TCGGAAAGCTCCTTAGAAAGTGGAGCAGCGCCAGACCAGAAGTATCTGACGGAAGAAAGGTCGTACTTGGTGACGGAAGGATCCTTGGCCAACAAGATGAAAATAGGAGGCACAATGTGGCAGAAGGTGACTCGGTGAGTTTCAATAGCTTTGAGGAAGGAAGCCAGTTCGAATCGGGGCAAAACAACCAAAGCTGTGCCTTGGAAGGCAGCGAGATGGATCATACACGTCAAACCATACTAATTTGGCTGAGTTAGCATGACTGAGCTGAAATCATTATGTACAGCCTTTCAACTTACAATGTGGTAAAACGGAAGAACTCCCAAGTAACGATCAGTAGCGACATCGACAGTTCCCTTGGTGTGTTGCGCAAGTTGAGTTAAATTGGAAGCAATGTTCATATGGCTAGCAAAATAGAATAAACATTAGTGATTGGCTTCTGTTTATCGACATTTAATTATCAAAACTTACCTAGTCATGACACCCTTGCTGCGTCCTGATCACCCGCATGATGTTAATAAAGATAAACAACGCACGCAAATTTATGTCGGAAGCACATTTACCTGTGGTACCACTGCTGAAGCACAAATAAGCGACGGTGTTGCAAGCCTCTTCGTAGGTATATTCCACAGCCTCCATCTCCTGATCAGCCAAAAGAACCTTGGTATAAGGTCGAACTCCATCGATCTCGCTATCGCCAAAGAGAAGCACATTGGATTTGGGAATACCAGCGAGCTTGGCAGCCTCAAGTGCAACGGCCAAAGTTTCTGCACTGGCAATAATGATCTTTGATTTGGTCTGCTCGAGCTGATAGTGGAGCTCCTTAGCAGTGTATGCTGGATTGGCGGGTGTGAGCGCACCGCCTGCGGCGACGGTACCGAACATAACTACAGCATAGTCAACCTAAAATGAGACAAGTGTTTGGATTGGTAAGTCTACTAAAGGACGCAGTGAGCTTATCGTATCATATAAAGATGTTGATCAAACCTTGTTTTGAGAGAAAAGACAAAGCGCATCGCCCTTCTTGAAGCCGAATTTGTGAAGACCTGCACGAAATCTGAGCGAGCTGGACTTGACCTGGCCGTAAGTAAGATAGTCTCCAGTGATACCATCGATCATGAGAGGCTTGTCGTGGCTAACGTTGTTAGGGTTGGAGAATACATAGTGCCAGATGCCCACCTGGGGCATGCTAGTGAGAGGTTCTGCTACAAAGACCATAGTGAAGTGGAGGTGGAGTGGGGTAAGATAGTGAACGATATGTGCGAGCAGGTTTTATATCGACCCTTTTCTGCTGCCAGATCCATACTCCGATATACCCCGCCACCCCCACAAGTAGCTTTCTTCATTACGAAGCAAAAATTGACGAGTTTAAGGTTACAATGCTCTGATTGGACGGTTGCCCACAAGAAACTTCTCGTTCAAGTTCGAAACTCTCTGTGGTACTCCTTGTGGAAAACTCGGAATACACCTGTTTCCATTGTATTTAACCCCACACGAAAAATACACTCAGGCGACGCTATAAGCTATGAAATACGGATGAAAACCGACATAGGTTCGAGAAGTAGGACTTTGAACGAAGCGAGTCCGCTTAAAAATATTAGCTCCAACGTCACAATGGGAAAAGCTAAACATACGGACATACGGAATGGATCATTTATATCGCCTTAGTAAAAAATTCTCGGATCCTATCATCTCTTAAATACAAGCAGCCAAATAAATATTAAGTTTTCTATAACCTTGCGTTGAACTTTGGCTGTGCTTCAGCGTTAGCAATAACCCTAAGCTCTTTACGCAGGATCTTGCCTGCTGCCGACTTGGGCACTACATCAAGGAACCGGACACCTCCTCTCAATTTTTTATGATTTGCCACATTACTGTCCACAAAGCGAATCAATTCCTTTATAGTCGCTTCGTTTCGAGGAGTTCCTTCCGTCACTTTGATATATGCTCTAGGCAGTTCCGTAGCCTGCTGTTCGTCATACACACCAATGACAGCGCAGTCTGCTACTTTCTCGCATGTTAATAGCAGCGCTTCGAGTTCTGCTGGAGCAACCTAATATAGGCAATACCATATTGGTCAGTACCCGAAATCGGGAATTCTCTTAGTTGAAAAGGAGCAGAAAACTGTGGGGTACAAACCTGGAAGCCCTTGTATTTGATAAGCTCCTTAACTCTATCAACGATAGCAAAAGTGCCACGTTCGTCTAGAACAGCTACATCCCCGGTATGAAGGTAGCCTTCGCTGTCAATTGTAGCAGCTGTAGCTTCAGGCATGTTGAGATAGCCTTGCATGATATTGGGACCTGGGGAAAAATAGACATTTGTGTGAACACAACGTCACACAAATTTACAGCTACGAAGAAATACCGGATCCTTACCAGCCATCCAGAGCTCTCCGCGCTGACCGAGCCCAACCTCTATGGCGTTTAGAAAAGCTCACATGAGAAAAACTTTAAAGGCGACCAAGGTGATAGCATTCATTCTGTAACTCACCGTTACCGTTGTCATCGACTATTTTAGCACGCATACCAGGAAGCATTTTTCCAATAACGCCTATTGAATACTAGTGTCAACACCTGCAAGTGATCGAGATTGTGTTTGTTTCTATTATTATCATTTTGGTTCCCTTACCATGCTCGTCATCATCCAGCGGTTGAATATGAGACCCAGGTGATGATTCCGTCATGCCATAGGATTGAACACATTTGGTATTCAACCGCGTATTGACAGCCGTGGAAAGTTCAGCAGACAAAGGGGCGGCACCACATTGGAAATGGGTGGCAGATGAAAGGTCATAGTTGTCGACAATAGGTTCCTTAGCCAACAGAACCAGGACGGGTGGCACAACATGAGCAATTGTCACCTTATACTTTTGTATAGCCTCACAGAACTTGACCAAATCAAATCGAGGCATGACCACAACGGCTGCAAGTCAGTAGGAGTGTCAGGATTAATATGGGGTAGTGGCGGGGATACTGAAAAGGACAGGCCTGGGAAATCACTTACGAATACCCCAGTATGGAGCCAAGTGGAGCATGACACTAAGCCCATACTTAATAAAAAACAGAGTTGACCTTGATTAATATGAAGTAAGTCGGATGATGTGCAATTTCACTACTCACGATATGGTAAAACGGCAAGAATCCAATAAATCGAGCTGTGTGATAATCCATATGCGGTTTCATAGCCTGGGCAATCTGAACGCAGTTGGCCGCAATATTAAGGTGGCTATAAGGTCCGGCTTAGTCACCCTTTCGTTGATTATGTGTCGAACGCTTTTGCCATATAGGGGGCAACTCACCTAGACATGACACCTTTACTTCGACCAGTGGTACCGCTGGAGAAGCACAAATATGCTGTGGTGGACTTGGCCTCTTCGAAAGTGTATTCCTCAGCTTCAGCTTCCTCATTTGCTAAGATCACTTGGGTATATGGACGAACGCCCTTGATGGTTCTATTACCAAACAGGAACACGCACTTGTGTGAAAGCCCAGCCTTGGTTGCAGCTTCCAGTGCTTTGTCCAAGTTTTCATCATTCGTAACGAGGTATTTGGAGTTGGATTCCTGTAACTGGAATAACAATTCGTCGGCTGTATATGCAGCGTTGGCGGTCGTCACTACACCTCCAGCGGCGATAGTGCCATGAACGATCACACCATAGTCAATCTATATAGATACGTTAGAGCCAGAATGCATAGGCTTCTCATTCAACATGCTTCCTACCGTATTGCTGGAGTAGATGCAGAGAGTATCACCTTTCTTGAAGCCATGTCGACGGAGACCAGCATTGAGCCTGAGAGACAGATTTCTTAGCTGTCCGAAACTGATGACATTTCCTGACTCTGCGTCAATGAAAATAGGCTTATCGTCCGAAACCGAGTTGGGGTTCGAGAAGATGAATCGAGTCAAGCCTGTTTGAGGCATCATCAGTAGAGGTTCGGATTTGAAGACCATGGTTGAAGGCAGTTGTGGAAGAGAGTATGGCAAACACGGTCCGACATCATTCGTAGTATTTACTTTGTGTCATTTTCCCCACGCATGAGAACAAAGTTACCTGAAATCCAAATTAGGCCACCTTTAGACTTTCATTCAATTTCATTCATGTAAGCAGCTTTGGGGGCAAGTAGCATGTTCCAAATATAGATAGTTACGATCACAGACGTGTCAAAGACAAAGCATTTGCGTATCGATGAGCGAAATTTGAAGATTGCCTTTGCACAATAGAAAAATGCGTAGACGTGCCACAGCGAGAACAAAAAAATTGCATGTCAGTAATCCCTTCCCGTCAGCTGTGACTGAAATTGGAAGACCTCAATGCAAAATCGAAGGAGTTGCTCCCAAAAGTTGTAGAGAACCTCCAGTCCCATTTACTCGGTAAGCAAAAGCGCTTTCTTTAAGCTAACGCGAGGAACCGAATCAGCCAAGGACATCCTTTTGAATGATTTCGCAAGTTTCCGCTCGTTTACCGCTAAAAGTCCGTGTGAATTGTGAGCAGGTCAGGTGAAATTGGTATATTAAATGAAAAAATGTAGTACACCGAGTCTATGTTATGTCACAAAGAATTAGAACAAATTGGTATTAGGAAAGGCAAAAGCGTTGGCAACGGAAAGTCAAGGGCCATTTGTATAAATATCGCAAGCCGATAGGAGAAACATGGTCCAATTAATCAGTAAAATCAAGGGTTGGCGACATGCAGATGAGAGTCACGTTTAGACCGAGGTTCCTTCTCCTCAACATCAGAGTCATCCTCCAAATTTTTCCAGTGATTGAGAACCGAGATAGCCGTGACGATGGTCTGCAACGAGTGCTTAGAGTTGAAACCCTTGCGTACGTTGCCGATCAGATTAGGTTCGTCTCTTGCTACCGCGTTCTGTTCATTTGTAATCCATGGATGCTTGAGAGCCTCGGATGCTGTTATCCGCTTGGAGGGGTTGAAGGTCAGCATTTTGTCTATCAAGTCTTTGGCTGTAGGTTGTATACTGATTAGTATTGCGCAGTCAATACGCTGTCATGGAGAAGTCAAAGTGCTGGCTTACCGGCATCTGAAATATCAGACCAATATTCTTCGTCGTATTCGTATTTTCCAGACATAATGGATTCAAAGAGCGCGGCTTGGTCTGTAGCGTGGCATAACAGACCATTAGCAGATTGTACGTAGTCCCAAGGTTATTTAAAAGTTGTTCCTACCTTCTCCCCAAAATGGAGTATATCCACTCAGCAAAGTGAACTATTGGAAAAATTGCTATGAGCCTTTGAAAATCTGAATGACGATCGATGCTTCTGCAACTTACGGTAATAACACCTAGACTCCACAGATCAACAGGCTTGCCATGGCCAGTCTGCAGCAGGACTTCTGGTGCCACATAACCTGGTGTTCCGCAGGCAGTTGTCAAGATATCATCATGATTTTTGAGAATCTTGGACAGGCCAAAATCGGTGATCATTAAGTTTGCGTGTTCGTCAGGTGTTTGAAATAATAACTAAGACAAAGTAGCATAAGGGCTGCGGTCGAGGCACGGTCAATGAGGAAGGATGAATGGTGTAAACTCACATTTTCTGGTTTTAAGTCTCTATGAACAATCTTTTGAACACAATGTCAGCCAAAACCAAAACTGGATATCAGATAAAAATTGTGGGAAATGTCATCTTACATCCAAACTATGAAGGTACTCAACACCTTCTAATATTTGTTTAACCATGGCCGAGGCATCCTTCTCGGTATAGTTACCCTTCGCAAGCAATTGAGTGAATAGTTCACCACCACCAGCAAGATCAGTGACAATGTAAACAGCCTCTTTGCTTTCATAGAGCCCATGCATGGATACTACATTGGGGTGTCGTACTTGCTTTAGAATATCTAGAAACGGGATGTTTGGTTGGTGATCTAGGCCATGCATGAGCTCCCATAAAGTCCTCACTATTTGTACGTACCTAACTCGCTGCTTAGCATATGTTCTTTGCCTGTAACATGTCAAGCAACGTGTTAGTATTTTGAGTCGTAGTACATTTTGGAAAAATGTGCCACGAAATTGGCTGTGCCACGTATGATGCAAAGCAACCTACCAGCGATAGCTTTCTTGAGAATGATCTTGAGAGCGAATGGTTGACCTGTTTGTTTGTGGAAGCATTCCTTGACAACGGCGAATGAACCAACGCCTAACACTCTCTTTGAGATTCGGTAAGTTCGTTCCAAGTCAGCGGGATAAGGTGGCGACTCATCGTTAGTCTCATGAGTCTTTTTGAAGAGATTGAGAACTTTTTTCATCAGGGGTGATTTGTTCATTGTTTCGTATATTTGATTCCTATGCGAAGGAGAGGAAGCTCACTGAGTACATATTTTTTTTTATTTTCTATTTTTTGACCCAAAGGTTCTTGCACAGCCCAGCAGCAACAAACAGCTCAGCGCATTACAAAACGTGAAGGGTCGGTGCCTTTTCGACGAAAACAAAAAAAGCACCTCAAAATACACAAACAGCTTGAGCAATATCAACTTACAACAAGGCGGCTTGGGACCGATGTGTTTTAGGGGAACTTGTGCTCATCTAGTATTATGATCTGAGCTATGTTTTCTTTTCTTCGGTTTTATGAAACAATGCCTGGGTGCAGACGAGAGAAAGGCAGTGGGAATAAAATAAATAATAATAAAAAAAAGAGTGTGGAGACAGAAAAGAAAGTGGGTCAAAGCTCTCAAGGTCTTTTTTTTTTTAAGGCATAGGTAACAAAAGCACTTGGCGAGCACGTGTATCGTGTCATTCACAGAGTATGAGCACAAGACAGGACCATTATCTTATCCGCCGCATATCAACGATATCACTCTTCAATAAGGTGACAATCGAGTCGTCGTCATCATAGTTCTCAGCCTCGGTTTCTTCGTTGGCCCCCAACTCAAATCTTCCTCCTTCTCTTAATGCCTTGTCAGTAACACCGAGATGCTCCACTGTGATGGTGCCGTCAATGATATCGATTTCCTTTACGACCACCTCCTGTAATGAATACACACACAGTCAGACATACTGCTTACACATACAAATGCACAGATGAACATTTCACATACCCGCCAATCCGAGATTTCGGGTGTATAGGTAGCCGACAAAACCAATGTCTAGAGGGGCATGCGGTAACGTTAGACCTCATGAACAATTCAGCTACCCATGACATGACATCTTCATAAAGCAATCACGTACCTTTATAGCGAGCACGTCGAGCTCCTCTGGTAAATTGGTGGTAAAATTCACAACCTCGCAGGCATTATAATCTATGACTTCGTCCATATCCGCACTTTCGATCGCTGTATAGGCCATGGGTACAGTTCTGCCATTGTCAGCCTCATTATCATCAGATGCGTAGTCAACCGCATCATCAACCCATGTGTTCCCCTCCAAGTCTTCCACTCCACTTTCCGCAGAGATTTGGCTGGCTCTGACCACCCTAGGCGCTTTTTGAACAGGGAATTTCTTCTCAGTTTTGCTTCGCAAATTATACCCTCCGCCATCGCTTGGACCGGGATCAAGATCAATGCTGGTGATGACAGCTGTACCACCTACTAGTTCTGAAGGATTTGCTTGCGGCGGCTGGAACCTGATGTGTTCCTTTGGTGGCTCCTTCTCAATATCATTCAGAAATCCGCGTTTCTTATTTCGGTTCTTTTTGAGAAGAGAAGACGATGGAACAAGCCCATTTTGTTCAGCTGGCTGAAGGACATGACTTTTGAAGATCTCAGGCTCCTGATTTGAGGCAATGGGTTGTGGCTGTTGGATCATGGGTTGGTTCTCCTTCGTATCCTGGAACTGACCCTCCATTGCCTTCTTGAGCCGCCGCCGCCGTTCATTTCGAGACCGAGTTTTTGTGCTTCCTTCCCCTGGAATGGTCTTTTCGTTTGCTATCCGATTATGCGATGAAGCTGTCGGTTTCTCTATGGTATTACTTTTCGGCAGATCAGATACTTTGGTCGATTGACTGGAAATTTGCGCCTGACGCTGAGCAGGAGACTTGGATGAGGCAGGCTTTTCCTTGGATTTCTCCTTGGATTTCAGTTTGGCAGCTTTGCTCAATTTGCGCTCCAGCTTGCGTTGTCGCTTCGCTTCCTCTTTTGCCTTGGTATCTTTTGCATGTACTGCTTTTTTACTACGCTTGACCTTCTTCCTCGTAATCTCAGGCTCTGAATCAGACTCGCTCTCTATTATTGATGCTGTATGGAAGGCGGTAAGTAAAGCAAAAATGGCAAATTGGTTCGATGACAGTATTCGTGACCGCTTGCCTTTTCTCTTTCGTCTATCGCGGTGTATGATATCACTCTCATCATCGACAATTGGCTTGACGCTGTGGTTGAAAAGCATTTAGTGTCTTAAACTGTGTCTTTTGCATCGACTCTGAGACTTACGTGATCAGATCCTTGTCTTTCAAGAGCCCAGATAGATTGCTTCGCGGCATCAATCGAAACCCCTCCATCTCGAGAAACAGTGGGTGCTCAATATTGAAGTCATGCGCGATCCCTTCAGACAATCGATTCACAGTCTTGCATTCTTCTTTTGATACCGGATACCAGCACTTTAGCGGCGGAAGTGGTGGCAAAAACGTCAACCTGATTCGCATGAAGTAAAAGGCGAAGTGACGAGCGGTGACCGCTATTTTTTTTTTTTTTGGGAAGGTTGTCAATGTGGTACTTCCATAAAATTTTCGCCAGGTTCAAAACCAAACTCTCAATCATAGATTATTCAGGCCGTAGGCCGTATGTTATATTCAATAATGCAGCACATTAGTAATTAAATCATCACTATATCAATGCACGTTATATAAAATAAAAGCAACTCTAGTTATATACCACTATATTGCGACAGCTATCACTGTTGATAACCGCCATTATCCGACCAGTTTTTGGGCCAATCTAAGCCTAGACATGGCATGCCAGCTCCACACCGAGTCTTCATCTTTTGCTCCCAAGATTCAAATTCCAACAAGGCATTGCTGGCTTCTGCTACAGCCTTTTTGGCATAGACATGGGACTTGCCTTCGTATCGCCACAAATACGTTTGAGACATGTAGGAGGAAAAGACACTGTTTTTGGTAGAGGCACCATTCTTAGGTTCCATCACTGACACGTTGGATGAGGACGTACTTGCTGCCGTGTTACTTGACTGGTTGTCATCTTCTTCAGACCACACTCCTGAGGAAACGAGCAAAATGCTTGATTTGATCGTGCTTGTGGTGGTGGAAGAAGGTGTGGTCGCGCCCTCCATGGCAGATGGAGACGGCAGAGGTGGACGAGAGTCTTTGGCTGATCTCATGGAGAAAAATCGCATGATCTTGTCTCCGCCATTTTTCTTTTTCGTTGAACGACTGAAAGTCAATGCCCTCTTTGGCTTTTCGACCTTGCTTTCCGTTTCTGAATATTGATCGATCAAGGACGCTCGTCGTTCTCTAGTAGGCGCGAGTACGAGTTTGGGATAATCTTTGGGAGATAGTGAGCTCAGGAGTCTGAGCCTATCAGCAGGTTGTAAGTCGTCAATCTTTGATTCAATAAAGTTAAATTGCGTGTAAAAAACGCCTAATAAAGATTCAAGAATAATATGTGCCTCCAATGCACTACGTTCGTAAGCGGCATGAAACGATCCGATGGACGCTCCAGAGGCAAGTCCAGATTGATGGAGTCTGGACCAGCACAGATCTTGTTGACAGACATTGTCTGGCACAATCCCGTTGTTCGACCAGCTGACTTGTGCGTCTTTCCAAATTGTGCCTACACGCCATATTAAAGTCCTGATGAAAAATACTCGAACATTTCGACTCCAATGCAGCAGCAGTCGCTCAAACGTAGACGGGTTCAGCAATGTATCGAGACACAGATCATTTGCAGAAGCAGGATCTCTAGTCAGTAGCTCGAAATGATTGTACACAAATGAAAGCGTTCGTACTAAAGCAACAGTATGGTCGCTATTCTGAAGTATCGTTCGAATAGTTTCCAGGATGAATGGGACGTTGATCGGAAGAGAACATAAGGTACCGTTCTTTTCAGGATGGGCCGTAAAGTCATGAACGATCATCTCCAGCAGGTCAAAGAGACCTTTGTATGAAGGTGAGTCGCGAACGATAATGGATATGATAAGTAAAATGAAACACGACGGTATTATCAATTTTGAAATTCTTATTGTTACTTACAAAATATGCTTTCGACAGCACATAGCTTTGTTCTCTTGATGGCCGTGCGTACCCACACGTCAGCCATTCCATGAAAAGTACCTTGATCACAGCTGAGGACCGATTTCACCACACAATCGGCATACCTTCGAGTGGCCAGCTCAAGCACTTTCGGTTTCCCATGGTTCGCACCAGGTGGCGGTGGACTATTGGCAATAAAGGTGTTGATGGGTCGACCGTCGTCTGTTGAAGAGCCTCCAATCACAGGATTGGCTTCAAACGATGGATCGTCTTCCATACCTACTGGATGGTGCTGACTGTTGTCTCTAGGTATACCGTTCGAGTCCCACTGCACGATAGTGGTAACAGAGTTAATTTCGCGGTGAAGCAAGGAATCGATTTTTCCTTGAAAGAAAGAAGCTAAAAATACGTAAGCTGGTGCCGCCGAGAGCATTGCTGTATTGTGCTGCGAGGATCTATGGCCGAGACCTGCATTCATGGGTTGAAGATACTCTTTGAGCACCATGTGGTAATGCTTGTAAAAAGCAAAAAATAATTCACTGTCGTCTGATTGCCATCTCCTTAACCAATTGCCAGCTTGTTCGATTGGCTTTGGTGTATTTGATTTTCCCAGCTTTATATTGTTTGTTAATGTTCGATAATCGTCACATATCAAATCACGGAGATGGTGTGGAATAACAGATATAACATCTTGACGGTAATTTGACAACCTATCATTGGCCATGGGTTAAGACACGATGCAACGGTAAACATTGAAATTTTTTGAGGCTAAGCTTACTCTTCAAACCAGCCCATTTCGGTTTGAACACGCCTGTATATGCTTTTTGGTAAGGTCAAGACCTGCAGTAAAGCTTTAGACATGCCAGGTATTTTGAAGAAACTCAGTGCTATAGTTTTGTCAAAATAGTGTTAGCATCATAATTTGCATCGCATCTGGCAAACAAATAAGTGCAGACAGTCGTACCAAATATTTTCGCGCAGAATACAATGACATTGGAATATACGGCTTTTTGATTGAGACGATCAATAGCATATTGCAATGTGTTTAACAAAAGCGAACGATACGTTCTATAATCTTCTTCCATAGCAGGGTCGGTAAGTTTGATGGAACAATCCAGGTTGGCCCATTGTTTGTAGTCAGAGGAACCACACCTATCTGCAAGGTGGGCATGGCATGAATGAGACATCCGTGATTAATCAAAAATACTCCCGCCTACGCTGCAACCCATCCCTTAGTGGTCGCAGCTCGAATTGCCTAAATATTGACTTACCAAATTCCACAAATTCCGGTCTACGAAATTGATCGGCAAGAAAAAATAAAGGAGAGACAGAATTGACATTTTCATTAGCACTTGGCGGCACCCAGAATGAATGTGGCGGGGTAAAGGCGTTCCAATTACCTTATCATTATCTCCAGTATAGCTTCAAAATAATATGACCGTTCATTGTAGACGGTATGAACCACTGTATTCATGAGAGCTCTCCACCTATAAGACAATTAAGGGGATAATTGTAACAGAGCAAAAAAAGAAAAATGACAGGTCAATAATAGGTCCAATTGAACGTACAGCATGACCAAACACACACCATCTTAATAAGATGTTCCTTCCTGAAGAAATTTCTTTCTGGTTGGCAGGGTGCCGACGAGCTAGCCACGGTAATAATTGATGTCTTAGGATATCTAGCTTGTGGCGGTCTTTGTTATGAAATCTGGTTTTGTAATGTACAAGACAAGGCCAAAAGCATATATTTTTGGACTGAGTTAGTCGAAATGGCCTCCTACCCCTGGTACAACATATTTGTCCATACCTGACTAACGCTTTTCTTGCCAAGCGATAATCGATCTCACCAAGGTCGGATACTACATGAGTTGACGAAGCACTGCCTTGGTTGGTTCGCGTACGAAAGATTTTCCTTTTGTTGTTGTTGTCGTCGTGACCAAATATTTTGACAGTCATTGAGCTTTCACCGAACAGACCGAAGAGGCTATGCTTGGCTCGGCGTTGGCGACTTTCTGATACTACTGGGTGAATCGATGAAAGAGTGGAGGATGTCATAGTGTGGGCGAGTAAGTCGGTAGATTTCGCATAAGAGGACGCTAAGATCGAATTTCTATTGGATCCAGTTGCATAAAGCAGCATATGAGGTCTAATAAATGTGTATTGAGGGCGCTAAGTGGGCTGACCAATTTTCGAACGAAGTACAAGTTGAGAAACTATCCAGAAAGAATGGCGGAAAGCAAAATTGGACGACGCAAGAAAAATAAGAAAAAATAAAAATAATACAACAGAAAGGAAAGGAGATGGTGTAGTTGAAACCAACTGCCCGAAAAAAAAGGCAAGGCTTATACCATGAATGATGCAAGCGTGACCCTGATGGAGTGTTGCCTTGTCAGGGAGATGATTTCGTATTCGCACTACACCGGAAAAAACCCTCCCTCCTGCGACATTACCTTGCTGCCTTGTTCTTTCAGACGTAAAAGGGGGGCCGCGGAGAGGGGAAAAGGGGGGGAGACGTAGGAGCACATTTCAGAACCATGGATCTTTGTGCAAGTATGCCATTGGATAGGGACCGAATGCGCATTTTTGGTTTTACAGTATCAATATAAGCTACTTTGCGTATGCCAACACGGATTGGTAGGGAAGAATGACAGTTATTAAAGGAAAAAGATAGTCTAGGTCAACACAGTACTACAAAATTAAATGGTGGTCCTATATCTTGTTACTCCATTATTTGGGATTTTTTTTTTTTGGGTGCCTATGCGCCAATGTGTAATATTGGAACGATGTTATTGGAACGATGTTCTTATGATGTTCGTACAAAATTTTCATCCTGCTATAGGTATATAACAGCTTGACCTGGTAAGCTCTTTTTTTTTATAAAAGCATCAGATAGTGTTGTATTGAGTTTGTCTTAGTCGAGCTTGGGCTCCCCGTAATTGGGATTCGAGCTCCTGTATACGGGTCTTGAGGGTTTGTTCTCTGGAGGCAAACTCAGCCTGCCTAGCTTCAAGGGACGAAACCTGGCCTGCCAAGGTTATATTTTCTGCCTTAAGTTCGGACACTTCATTTTCCAGGGATTGAAGTTTTAGTGCTTTCCGCAATCGAGATCGTCTTGCTGCGTCTGTATTTCGCTGTCGTTTCGTGACGATATCTTTTGTTGCAGACCCATCTCGCTTCGATCTTTGTTTCGTTGTTTTACGACTGCTGACACTCGAAGATGACTCGGACAGCACATCTGTTTGTTGTACAGGCAAAGTTGAACCTAGAATGCCTCGTTGTATCAAATCATTCTCCAACCAATCGTCAATAGCATCTACGCTCAGGCCTGGCCCAGCTCGGTCGGAAACAGTCTCGACCTTGACATGAGTAGCCAGTCGCCCTGATCGAACATCGACCATTGGATTTGAATGTGTGTGTCGTATATGGAAAAAATGATGAGAAAAGAGGAATAAGAACAGATAGCGTTGCGAGATGAGATGGCTGAAACTCGTCCCATCGCGTCAGTCACGAGTTTCCATCCACTCTCATTCGTCGACTGCTGTGACTCAACTCAGCTCCCACAGTTGATTCCTGATGGCTTCGCGAACGTGCTTCCTAAGAATCCATTCGAAATATAGGATACTGTTGAGAACAAAAAAGGATGTTTATGCACAACAGCGTATGGTACATGAGCTTGCCTGTCGTAGCTGATGTCTTGGGAATCAACCTCTCTTGTTATCCACAAGGTTCAGACTCCACTACATCAATCAACTAATTTCATTATCAAATCAATGAGGAAGAAGATAAAAAGTAGGAAAAATAAGCGAACATTGAATGCACTCAATAAAAGACACCTTTCTTGCCTTGCTGAGTCTTACCGCCCGGCTACCATCATCGTCGCATGCATGCATGCGTCCAACTACTACTGGTCAACTTCACTTTACGTACACAACCACGGTATTCTTAACATGATGTGTTTATCTTTTTTTTTGGCAGTTAGTTGGCACATAGGTGAACTATTCCCAACTAAATTGTAAGTGGGCAATGAGGGGGAGGGGGGAATTGATATTACAGTGAACTAAATGTGTGGAGGGAATGACGACAATACATAGATGGGGGATAAAGTGGACGATTAGCAACCTGGTGAAAAGTTTAGAGGGTAAAGCAATATCACAAGGCGGTGCTCGAAGGAGAAGCTTATTCAATGGTCCACATGTTATTTTTCCCATGCTGAACATGCTCAACTTCGGTTTTATCGCCAGGACGTCCTGCTGTCATTTCCAAGTCGGAGCCATCGTCAATATCAATAGGTGTATTCTTCTGGACCACGCCTCCTTTATGGTCTTTAGTGAAGACTTTTACGCCATGCCATAGGTTATTAAAGGCGAAACCGGTCATCACGCTGGTACCAATGTTAAGTACAATGGTAATAACAATAGTGAAGATCAGGAACCGTCGAGTAAATTGGTAAGGATCGTCTGAGGCGTCGCGGGGCATGGAGACTTTGGCCAGGCGGTATAAAAAGTAAATCAGACTCAACAGAGTGGCAATACCGAAAGTGCCCATCAACCACTTGTTTTCCTTGTAAACAGCTAGAAAGCCTAGCGCGAGGCCAAGAGCACCCAGTACGAATACCAAGATCATTTCTACGATACTGGCATCATAACCGAGCTTGGAAGACGGGATGAGCTGGGCGGCGTAGGAGAATACAAAGTATAAGTCAAGTTTCAAGAGTGTCAACAAGATGGATAGGTGAATCAAAGCTTTTCTGACACTGTCATGGTAATGCGGTTGGTGAGTGAGTCAAAAAGCCAATACTTTTGGAAAGCGTGTGGCTGAACTTACCGGACATCAGCCGAAAAGTTGCGATAGTTATCCCTAAATTAGAACAAACCAGTCAGAAAAAGCAAAACATTTCAAAGCGAGATGAAACAATATTTACCATGCAAAGCTTTTTCGCAGTTTCCAGGCAAAGAAGGCAATGACAATAAAGAACAATGGGATGAGAGCAATAATGGTATACTCTAAAGGTCGCATACGATGTTCGTAATAGAGAATAGCCATTTGTTGACCAGCAGGGTCTCTACTCCATCGAGGATCAACTGGGTCCCAATAGTCGATGTTACCACTATATTTCGCGTATAAATAGGGTTAAAGCGAGTTACAAGGTTGCGGCTGCCCGCATGGTCCTTGGCAAAGAGGGCTTGGCTTGACTTACCATCCAATCTGTTCCAAAATGATATGTTGCTGGAGTTGAATGCCACCGTAGCTAATAGAGTTGGACGCGCGCTGTTAGTAGCTGTACCAGCATAAGATTAGAAATCAAGGAGAAAGGGCTCTAGCTTACACTGCATAACACGAGGAACGGAGTTAAAAACGGGCAGATCAACTTGGTTCAAAACTATTTCAACTTACCAACAACGAGGAGACCGTAGAGCACTAGAGCAATCAGTTGTGCTAATTGAACAAAAATTTAGATTATTAGGCGTCCAAGGTTCAAATGTGTCCACTTCTTTGTTGATAGCGGGAATAGCGAACAAAGCTCAGCCATACAGGGCTGTGTTCCAGTTCACTTCCCCATTTTTTTACCTGTATTTCTTTGGTAAAGAGCGTCTACGCATAGAACAATTTGAAAGACTTGCGATACGATGAAAAGAGCATGGTAAATCAAATCAGAGACGCTGACACCTAAAGGACATGACAAAATAAGACAACTGCGAATTTCAGAATTATACGGTTTTAAAATTATTAAAAAAAAAAAAAGTAAAGTTCGAGAGACTTGCCTTCCGCAGCCGGTGATAAGTTACAGTTGCTGACCAATTGCAAGTGATTCATCACCACGAAGCCTTCCAAGAAGCATACTAGAACCGCTTCCAAACAGATCAAGCTGAATACAATAGTAGATTCACGAGTTTTGAAAATAGGAGAAGTGCTGAAGAAGTTAGACATTTCATGAGACACAGGAATGTAGCCAGTAGACCGAGTCATGCTCGCCCTTATAAAGTAGCCAGCGGAGAGAAAGGGTAAGGGACAGAGGCTTTCATTTGCAGGTTTTTTTTATGGGGGACATTCTTAATCTGGCATCTCACAGCCTCACTCCACATACCTATTGAAACATTCAACAAAGAAGAGGTTTATTGTTACAACTAAATAACCGAAACATATTTATTGATCATGCTGTTGTCGTCCTTCAGCATCAGAAGCTGCTTGACGCATGGCTTTCGCTTTAACGACAAGATCAGCGAATCGGTTGTTGGACGGTGGACTACCAGCTGAAGTGCTGCCATAATTGGAATGGTCGGGGTGACTGGTGGAAGCGCCTATGCTGGTAGCAGTATTGGATCGCTTGTGTTGATTGCGACCTTTACGCAAAGCAGTGAACACACGAAGTTCACTCTTGACATCACCGATGGCACCTTCCCAATGCATACGGGAGTATGAAGCAAGAGGCTTGGCATCCTCGCTTTCGCCTTTGTGGCCGAAATCGGGTAGTAACCGAATCAGGGTACCGAGCGGAATGGAAAGTACACCAATAGACACTGTGATAAGCCACTGGAGAGGAGACAATGGAACCGTCTTGAAGGCAATACCTCCAAAGGTAACAATCAGGAACTGGCAAAGAACGACGACGACTTGAACAGTAAGGAAGATCCAGTTATGGAAGATGTTCTTAAATACATTTAGAGTGTCGTCTATGCGTCGGCAATTGATTTCGTTGAACACTTGAAGGAACACAAAAGTATTGAAAACCAGGGTACGCAGAACAGCTTGATCATATTCGGAGTCGCCAAGATGGAAAATCTTGTCACCATAGGCAATCAAGACCAAATTGAGTACGATTTGGAAGATAGCTTCACCCACAATGAGTTTTCCCATGCGGTAATTGATCAAACTAGCATTACGAGCAATGGGCTTGCGCTTGAGAAGATCGTCAGTAGGAGGTTCAGTAGCAAGTGCCAAGGCAGCCAATGTATCCATGATCAAGTTGACCCAGAGCAATTGAACAGCACTAAGAACAGATTCAGAGGTATCTGAGGTCACAGCACTAATAAAGGAAAGGGCCACAGCAGCAATATTAACTGTCAGTTGGAAAGTTAAGAACTTGCGAACACCGTCATTCACAGCACGACCCCATTTGAGAGCCTTGAGAATAGAGTTGAAGTTATCGTCCATCAGAATAATATCAGAAGCCTCCTTAGCGACTTCAGTACCAGCAATACCCATGGAGAAACCAACATCGGCCATTTTCAGAGCAGGGCCATCGTTGGTACCATCACCAGTCATACCAACCACTTGGTCTTGCTTCTGAAGGCAATCCACAACAATGGTTTTATCGGTAGGTGAAGATCGAGCAAGAACTTGGAGGCGAGGTACAATCTTCATTTGCTCCTCACGAGACAATTCACGGAATTCCGGTCCAGTTAAGGCAACGCCACCCTTGGTAAAAATACCAGCATTGCGAGCGATGGCCTTGGCAGTTGTAAGGTTATCACCAGTAATCATGCGAACAAAGACACCAGCATTACGGAAGGCTTGGACAGATTCGACTACTCCAGGGCGTAGGGGATCCATAATACCAACAATACCAATGACAACGAGGTTATCAAGCGGGGGTTCATCATCTGACATCTTCTTGACCTGGGCATCCGACAAGTCCTTATAAGCCAAGGTGATGGTACGAAGGGCTTTTTCAGCATATTCGTTGATGACATTTTCAAATTTGGTGGTGGCTTCCTGGTCTAGTTTGTGGACATTGCCCTTTTCGTCAATATATTGAGTGCAAGAAGAGAGAACAATTTCAGAGGCACCCTTAGTATGGACACGGCATTTAGCCTTTTCCGTGGTTTTGGCAGATCCGTCGTTGATCTCAATGACGGTGGTCATAGTTTTGCGTTGAGAGGCAAAGGGATAAACCTTGACCTTCTTGGTGTTATGTCTGTGTAAAAAAAAAACCAATGGTAAGTCACATTGGTAAACATACGAATGAGTGAGTGAGGATAAAATGCTAGAATTGGACTCTCACCTTGTCTTTTCATGATCATAGCCGAGTCCCTTAGTTAAACCAAGCAGCGCACATTCGGTCTTGGAACCAACAAATGCATCTTGACCCTTTTCATCCTTGCCTTCAAAAGCAGTAGAGTTGATAGCAATACTCTCAAAGAGCAATTCAGATACATTCTTATCAACCTCCTTGTACCAGTTCTTTGCATCGTCGGCCTTGGAAAATGTCTTTTCAGCAAGTGATCCTTCAACGACTGTCATCTTGTTTTGAGTCAGGGTACCAGTTTTGTCTGAGCATACAGCTGTAGCATTACCCATGGTTTCACAGGCTGCCAAGACACGGACCAAGTTGTTATCCTTGAGCATTTGAGTGGTGGCGAAAGCAAGTGCCATGGTAACGGCCATAGGTAAACCTTCTGGCACAGCAACAACAATGATGGTAATAGCTTGAATGACAATACTAATGATGGCAGCAGCAATATCGGCGCCAGGTGGGAATTCGGGTTGGAGAGAAGCAGTAATAAAGTATTTGATGATTAAGACAATTAACATAGTGACAGCAGCGGCAAAACCAAGCTTAGCAATTTGCTCAGCTAGGATATCGAGCTTGGCTTGCAAAGGAGTGACTTCAGTGCCGGTATCACGCATAGACATCATGGTCTTTCCAAAGAATGAATGTTCACCCACGGCAATGACTACCACACGAGCAACACCTTCCAGGACCTTGGAACCAGAAAGAATAAAGCAATCGCCCTTGTCGTCAGTGGTTTTCTTCATTGTATCGGATTCACCAGTGGCGGAAGATTCATCGCAAGCCAAATTGTGACCGTCAATAAACAAAGCATCGACAGACAGTATATCACCAGGCTCAAGCAAAAGGATATCACCGACGTTGATTTCGCTAATGTTGATTTGCTTTTCCTTTCCTCCACGAAGTAGTTTTACCACTCGATCTTCCTTCTTAGCGTTCAGTTTTTTAAATTGAGCTTCCTTTTGATAATCATTGATAGCATTGGTGAAAACGACAGCTAGCACAGCCACAAGAATAGCGGTTCCTTCCACCCTATCGGCACAAGGCAACGGGGATATAAAAATTAGCGGGACATAAAAATTTTAGTGGACAACTTATGCAGTGGAGATTATTTTACCATCCAACACGAGGTTCGTCGGCAGGGTGTCTGGGTGAATAGTCTTCCCAAATGCCAACGGCAAGCGAGACGATAGAAGCGATGGTAAGCATAACTGTAAAAGAGACGAGTTAGTCGATGTGCTTGCTATAATGCGAATGAGTTGGGACACATACTGAGAGTTTTGTCGTTGTAAGCATTCCATAGTAGTTCCAAAAAGCTTTTGCTCTTGGCCTCTGGCAGCACATTGGTGCCAAATACCGATTGACGTTCGGCAAAAGGTTTATCGGAAGAGGATTCTTGGCCTTCATCAGGATTTAAGCCAGTCTTAGGGTCAACTTTGAGTTGTTTGCATATCTTTTGCACGCCTCCGAGCTTTTTGAGAACATCTGGGTTCTTTGGGTCAACAAGCTTTGCAAAATCGTCAGGGGAGATACCATAAGGATTGGAGGGAGTATCTGCCTGGCGATCGCCGTTCAAGAGAGGTGTTCTTTCCTCAGACGGCATTTCGGGGAGATGCTGAAAGAATGGAGAGAAAGGAAAACAGGGTTGGTCGGGACGGATGTAAAATTATTGGCATGAAAGTCATTTCCAAGTGTGGAACAACGCGCGAAAAATAGATGGGTGTAGGTGCCACATCGAAAAAGAGGAAACTTCTACCGCACCCTACGTCACGAGCCATCATACACTTCAAGCCGAACTATGTGGCGCGCCTAAACCCCAAGTGTTTATTCAACACGAGAATGGATATGTCTGCTCTTTCCATTCCATGCGTCTACTTTTTCTTCGGAGGATGCACTTGAAACTTGTGCGAACACCTATCGCCGAATCTTTTTTTTTTTTCTATGGGGGGAAAAATTTGGTCTTGCTAATCAAAACGAAAATTGGAAAAAACCTAGTCACTCCATAGTGCCCATGAAATTTTTCAAATTAGCTCGCTTTGATTGTCTGAAACAACGTAGTGGACGCCTACCATGAGTTGCTATTTAAATTGCGCAAAATAAACCGCCTCAAGAAATCTTTAAGATCCCAATGTGAAGGCGTGAGGGTGGCACAAAGTGTGGCAATATGGCGTAAAGATATGCATTCCATAAATTGCTTAACTGCTGCCAATGTGGAAACTTGTCAACCATATTTTTATATTTCGCAACAGTCAGCCAAGGGCCATCCATAGTTTTGTTACCTATCTTGGCTAAAATAAGTGTATTTGTCTTCGGACGGGAGATATCTGAGCAATCGCTAGTTACAAAAATGACACTGCGTTAAGTCCAAGTGGTGTTTGAAAATTTGGGACTGGGCAATAAGGGATTATTTAATTTTGGAAATTTCGAGGTATCAGTTCACCAAAATGTGGCCCTTGTGATGAATGATGAAATAGGAGGTGTTAAAAGTGAATCATGCCAAAGAAGATGTTACTTTGCTTACGTCTTATTACATCCTCTGTAGTCGAAGCTATTAGATATGCTTGGCCAATTGCCGTTTTCTTATTTGTAATGTCTTTGCTGCTCTTATTTTTGTGGACCGCCCCGATTACCACAGGGACATGAATCACATCTCCGCTGACAGTCTTTTGTTATTCACCCAAAAAAAAATTGCTAGTTTTGTTTTTATTTATTTTTCTTTTTCACTTTCTTCGCTCTTATAACCCACCCTCCTCTTAACCTTTGACACACAAAGCGAATTAAAACATGTTGATGGCTTTTCGTCTGCATGTTATTTTGGCTTTCATCGGCTTCTTCGCTCTCGGTGTCTGTGCGCAATTGTCAAGTACCTTTGCACAACCTAACGTCACACAAACCGTGGCACACCTAAAAGCAAGGCAAGCTTCTGATGGAAACGGCCATAATAGAAACAATGGTTCATCCAGGTAAATAAACAGTTGGATTCATTGAATAGAAGAGAATAAATTAGAGGAAGATGAATTATACTGAAGGGATTTTTACCCTAGTTTAATCATCAGCAGCTCCCGTAGCTCTCATAAGCGTTCGAGAACTGACACTTCTTTTCCCGACTCCATAACATCGTTTATACCAACCTCCTCCTCCTCCTCCTTTTCCATACCACTCTCAACCAGCTCTGATTCATCTTCTGACTCGGCAATTTCTTCTCCTACAACCCAAGACTCTGCATCGACTACTCCTACTGACCAGGTAAAAATGAGTTGACTGAAACCACCCACCATCTAATTTTGCAAGTCACACCTGTCTAATTTCTTTTCATAGCCGATCTCCACCACCCAAACCCAGAGAGGCGACTCTACCACCACTGATGCACCAAGCTCGAGTGACTCTGCTTCAGTTACTCCTGATCCTACTACACCTTCACCTGTGACAACTGATCCGATATCGCCCACGACGCCAGACATATCTCCGTCGTCGTCATCATCATCATCATCATCTATCTCTTCTCCTTCTTCTACTTCAGAATCGTCGGCTTCATCTATTGCACAAAATACTCAGACTTCCACCACAGATTCGTCATCAGCCGCGCTCACTTCATCCAGTGATACGCTTCTACCTACTAGCACTGATGTTATGACCAGTAGCGATGCGACTTCCTCTGCAGTGCCTAGCGAAACAGCTTCCCAACAGCAATCTGGTGACGCTACAAGCTCCGCTAACAATACCGGAGCTATTGTTGGTGGTGTAGTGGGCGGTGTAGCTGGTCTTAGTCTCATAGCTGGGTTGATATGGTTTTGCAGGGTCCGTCGACGCAAGCAAGCAGAAAAAAATATGCCTTTCTATGGGGACGACATGGTCGAAAGCGACTTTAGAGATCCTGATCAAACAGCGCTTGGAGCTTCTCCGATGAGACCGTTTGTACCACCTGCAGCTGTTATGGAGGACGAACACCATTCCGACCTTCAATCTCAACCTTCCCAAGGATACTACGATTCAATGTATGCAGGTCAATATATGAATCAACCTCCTAGTGCTGGATACGAAGACTATAACCCAAGCTATGGAACACCGACCGAAGCAAGCTCGGTTACTGCTCCTCAATCTGACTACGTCGCTGCACTGATGGCGCAAAGAGCACGAGCCAATACAGAGTATGGACAATCAGAAGGCTATGATTTTGGCACAGAGAGAGAACAACTACCTTCTCCAACTGGAATAAAACCTGATACGCAAGACGATATTCACTACGGGAAGCCCGATTCTCGAGAATAGATTTTTTGAATAGCAGCCGGACGGACGGAAAAGCGGCGAAAACTAGACAGTGGCTCAATGCCCAAAAATAATCTTCTGCCAAGCCGTCTTTTACCCTTTTTTTGGCGAAAGTAAAAAAAAAACATAAAATAATAAAATGCCCCCAGCCTTATTTCCTTCCATCTCTTTATCTGTTGCCTCCAAGTGAGGCTATTAAGAAACTATGGATCCAGCTTCAACCACTCCAAGCGGTGACACGGCTACCACCACTACTACTACCAGCACAACAGATGTAACATCAACGACTACAGTCCCACCTACTACCACTACCACCACCACAGTCGACCCTACAACAACAACGACCAGCGTCATTCCAACAACAACCACCACTACTACATCAGTTCCAACAACCACCACCATTGCATCGACCTCTCCTACCACTACCTCCGCTCCAACCACTAGCATTCCAACCACTTCAGGTACGCGGTGAAAATCTACTCATGACTACTATTTGCGTTGTTTGTTTTCTGAGCACTGTATCCTGACAGCCCCTTCTATACCCACTTCATCCATTACTACCCCCTCTATCACCCCAACTACAACTACAACCACCACTACTGCTACAACCACCACAGATCCTCCTACCAAGTCTGTCCCGGCAACCACTTCATCGCTCTCCACGTCTTTCAGCCTAATATCCTATACCTCCAACAATGAAGTGATCGTTTCAACCACAGCTGTGTTGGTGACTATCACACCTGCTCCGGCTGGCGAAGGCGTTGGTACAAGCACTTCAAGCGGACCCAATGCAGCAGTAAGTTTTGATTTCCGATCGTTCTTTTCTTCTGCGTGACGTGGAGTGCTACAAACTAACAGTTTTGGCTTAGATCATTGGAGGAGCGGTTGGAGGAGTAGTGGCATTTGCTGCCATAGTCATAGCGGCTTGGGTATTCTGGATTCGGCGGAAAAAGCAACGCAACGGTTCCGGTAAAGGTCTGGAATTTTTTGCTGAAGAGGACGAAGATATGTCTTATGAGCGCATGTATGCTCCTTCGCCACCACCATTTAATTCCAAACGAATTTCCATGAACACCCCGTCCGAAGGCAGCCATGGCTATAGAGATTCCATCAGCTCTAACCGCATGTCCACCACCCTGGATGAACTGCTCGACCCTCGCCCTCTGCTCATGTCAGAACATAGCTCGGTGGCAGGTACCTCTATTAAAGATCCACTATCGGTGCGCCAAAACCAAAGATTACGTGTTCTTGTTGGCTCAGGAGGCACCATCATACCCTCGACGTCTACTCAATCTTCAGACGAACACAAACCAGACGCCGCTACCCATTCACCAGATCACGCCTGATTTCAGCATACCCCTCTCCTAGCTTTTCTATTGCTAAAAAAATATTTTTATTTGTGCCATTTACTTCTTGTCACAAGCTCCATTTAAAAATACCATGGATATATATTTATTGAACACATGCATAAAGCTAGGATATTGCATCCAAAAACAAATAATAACGTCCAAATTTGCTCAAGCATAACATGAGAAAAAGAAATCTAGAGTAGAAGAGAAAAGACACCAGGGAAAGAACAAGGTAAGCAAGCAAGCGAGGCTGAATTGGGGTTTTTCTTCGGTGTCAGATTCATTTGGAAAAAAAGAAAAATTGAGATGCAGGCGGTGGAAACATAGCCATTTACAACTTGACGTTCTTGCGAAGTGCTTCCTTGTAATCCTGGATACTGCCCTCAAATGGTTCGACGTGACCGTTTTCGCATCGCCAGATATCTTTTGCAACTTGAGAGATCAACCGGAAATCGTGAGAAACAAGTACAACGCCTCCAGAAAATCGATTGATGGCATCCGCTAAACTATCTATGGACTCCATATCCAAGTGATTGGTAGGTTCGTCCAGGAGGATGATGTGAGGATGGGCCATGGCTAATTCTGCAAACACAAGGCGGGACTTGAGGCCGTCGGATAGATGAGCGATGGGCGAGGTTTGATGCGTACCCGTCAACCCATACCGACCGATTTGACGACGCCAGAAATCTGTTTCGGTGCTAATTTCAGGGAACTGCTTTTTCATGTACTCGATAGGACTGACATCCATATCCAACTGGTCATTGGAGTGTTGTGAATACTTGGCCAATTTGAGATTGGTATGCCGTTGGACACGGCCGCCGGTGGCAACCAGTTCTCCACTCATCAACTTTAGCAACGTCGACTTTCCAGCACCATTGGGTCCGACCAAGGCAACTCTGGAATCCATATCAACGCCAAGCTCAACATTTCGATACAAACAATCTTCCATCTTTCCACTGTAGGCGAAGGACACATCTTGGAAGCTGAGATTGACAAACAGAGGATTAGAGGTTAGAAACACGTCGACTTTTTGTCCAAGGTTGAGGAATACCTCAAGTCGCATGACATCCGATGTAACTTACGCGAGTACCGGAGGAGGCAACTTGTCGGTATCAGTAAAACTGAACTTGAACGGTGGGGGATGTTCAACCTTTTCGATCAAACCAGCCGCCTCCATCTTGTCAATGATCTTTTGCTTGGACTTTGCTTGTCGCACCAAGTTGGCATAGGTACCAGCGGAGGCAATGAATTTTTTGATATGAGCAATTTCATCTTGTTGCTTCTGATAGGCTTTGGCTTGGTTGACTTCATTTTCTTCCTTGGTCTTGACGAATTGGTCATAATTACCACCATAATACACTAACTTGCGCTTATGAGTAAGATGCATCATGTTGGTACACACTCCGTTGAGGAAATCCTGTGAGTGCGAAACAATGATAAGGATACGGTCATAGGTTTTCAAATACTCTTCAAGCCAAACACAAGCTTCCAGATCCAAGTGATTGGTAGGTTCGTCTAGCAAGAGAACGGTGGGTCGAATGAAAAGAGCTTTGGCAAGCGCCACACGCATTCGCCAACCACCAGACATGTCTTCTGTATTTTTGTCCATTTGTTGCGTAGTAAATCCTAGACCGGCCAGAAGGGTACAAGCTCTGGTTTCAAATGTCGAAGGATCAAGACCCTCAATTCGTTCATAGATATCTTCCAAAATCGGATTGTCAGCCCCATCTTCTTCACCTAAAATATCCTCCACTTGCTTTTCAAGACGTGCCACTTCCTTTTGCGCATGTTCTATGACGGTTTCCACAGCATTTTTGCGTTCAGGCTCAGCTTCTTGGTTCAACAGATAAATCTAGCAAAGAGCAGCGTATTTAAAAAGGTGGGGTAAGTTCGACTCCGCACTATTAATGACCCTGAGCATCATTGCTTACATCAAAGTGTCCTGGGATTTCGATATCCTTGCTAGCAAGGGATTGCAGAAACGTGGATTTACCAGATCCGTTGGCACCGATTAAACCATATCTTCGGCCAAAGTTAAGTTCAATAGTGGCATTGTCGATCAGCACACGACCGTGGTAGTTAAGCGAATAAGACTCGATTTTCAAATCTCTGGAGCGCTCTTGGGAAGTATAGACTCCGGTAGCAGTACGGTCCACTTTGAGATTGAGCTTTTCCAGAGTGAGATCATCCGATGAACTGTTCATGGATGACGACAAGGCCGGTGTGCTTTTTCCTGAGGTTACTGGTGTTGGCTCTCCACTCTTTGCAGCCTTGGCTGAATTGCGGGCTGCTTTGGCGGCCAGTCTCTTCTGCTTGGAGGCTGAAATCTGACTCATGCTGAATTAAAGTAAGAAAGAAGTGAGGAAGGTTGGCTGGTCTGTAGCTTTGGTTATTGTAAAAGAAAAAATTTGTAGGAGGAGCTCATGACGCTATCCCAACCTTCCATGATTGGAAAGTGACCCAGAGGTCGACATGATTTTTCTTCTAAAGTCGCTACCACTTTGAAGGTGTGCGGGTATTCAATTAATGCGAAGAAAAACCATGCCCGGGCTAATGCAATATGGACAGTTTCATGCTTAGCTTTAACGCGCTTGGGCTTTCTTTAACATTATGTGGGGTTATTCATGTAATCATATTGACTGGCGCCGCAGTCAGCTTTGACCTGTCAATCACAGGATCCCAAAAAATTAATACAATCCAGTGGAATAGGGAAAATTTTACTGTACAAAAAAAGCCGTCAGTCTATTTCTATTACTGCGTCAGAAATCGGCAGATGGGAAGTTTATATGTGTCTAACACCCAGTAACGCTGTCGTACATTCTCCCAAACACCATCTTCGTCGGCTGTCGACACTTTCATTTCAATGTATTCTGTTGATAATCCCATTTCACGCAAGTCAATTTCTGAAATACGGCAATAGACGTCGTGGAAAAACTGGTTGGTCGCTCCTAGGCCATTGAACCATGTGTAGATACCATCTTCATTGAGAATATTTGGAACAGCTTCATGGAAATTATGAAGATCATCATAGAATTCTGAATAGAATATATCAAACGATGAGTATGCGCCCATGATGGGAAGTTAGCACACCACATTACTTACCCCCGTAGGTATCGAAGAAAATACCATCAAAAGATTGTTCCATGGAGGGAAGAACATCTTGCCATCTGCCAAAGAGAATAGTCACTCCAGGTTTCTTGTCCCAACCAAGTTCTTTCATGTGAGCGTATACATCGGGATGGGCTTCAATAATGAAATGGTGGCGAGGTTTATATTTTTGCAATTCGGTATCGATCAAACCAAGGCCGAATCCGACATTGAGGACATCAAGACCTTCTTTGGGACACATGACTTTGGCGTGCTCGACCATCAAAGGAGCTTCCCAGCCCATCATAACAGCATCGTCATTCTCGTCCATAAGCTTGTTATCGCTGTAATGAAGTTTCTGGTTCAAATACTCTTCATTCACCACTTGATTTTTTTCTTCATCGCTGGCAAAATGAGCTTGCAAGGCACGAATGATCAATTCTGCTCGGCTGCCTTCCGCCACTAAGATCTCATAAATATCAACATGACCATTTTGAAGAGCTAATTCACCAGCTGTTACTTCGTTCAAGTCAACAAGGTTGTAGGGATGACGTTCTGATAGAAGCCACTGGACGATATCAGCCTTGCCATGCTCTGCGGCGAAATGCAATGGCGTTCGCCCTTGCTCTGTTCTGTACACAAGGTCTGCTCCTTCCTTTTCCAACGCCTTGGCTTTTTCCTGAGTGTCTGGCGGGTTAGTCGCGTGGCTATTGCCTAGAGCAAGCGGGAGTGGCTTGCAGCAGATCCGAATCAACTCACCAGATCACCATCTATAATGGCTTGAATGAAGGCTTGTCCAAGCTGTTTCTCCTCCTCAGTATACTCCTCGACATCAACTTCCTGAACCTCTTCGGTGTTGAGGATATGGCTTTGTTCTTCGGTGCTCATGACAGTGTCTTTAGACCCTTCAAAAAAAAAAAAGTTGAGGTAATAACGTAGTGACCGTCCTTTTTTGATTCCGCTCGGCCATGAAGGGAGCTGCTGTCTCACGTTCATCGACCCTATGCCTGACATTCAACCACTAATAGAAGGTAATGCGAACAACTTATATATTCATCCAGTAATCCATAGTCTCAAGCTCAACTTATCAATGGTATAGACGTCGGTCAACTTCGAGACATTCTTTTTGGTGTCAGCGAGCAACAGTTAGAAACAGAACAAGATACCTTTGTCCAAGTTTTTGAGGTATGGTGCAATGCGTCTTTTACAGTGGGTGACCTCTCCTTCATACTAACATACAAATTTTACTTACGCATGGACAATAGGAGAAGATATCCCGAGATAATGAGTTTGCTGAAAAATACAAAAAGCTCGTGGAAAGCCGTGAACGATACACATCTATAAAGAGCAATCTCGATACCCACTTGAGCAACGTCTCTCAACAAGGTAAGGAGAACGCAGCTTCGTCCTTAGAAAATTTTTCAAATGATACTCATACTATAACGTAGCGCAAGAAACAGCAGCGTCTTTAAAGGATATACAGATCGAACTAGAGAGTTACAACGAAGTACGTGCTACCTCTAGTTTACACGCCATTTCCATGAAATAACGCAAATAGATCCTCTCCACCTCATCATCTAACCATTCTTTCTCTCGGAATAGGAAAAAAGGAATAGAAAGGATACGTGGGAAGCAAAGCGAACAGCTTATCTCGAGGAAGTGCAGTCCAAGCAAAAGTCTTTTGATTTGGGACATCGAAGGGAACTCGATAAGCTGGAGGAAAAATATGCAAAATTGACTCGCGAATCGACTTATGCCAATCTTGTAGGTACCAATACATGGAACTACAAGTAGTGACGGACAGAGAGAGTGATATTATACCCCACAAGCATTGCTTCTTTTATGTTTTATGCCTTATTCACGTTAATAAAATATGCCAGCACATACCAACGCGTAAATCTTTCTATCGGCGCTTGCCACTAAAATTTCCCTGGCTAGCCAGTCAGCCGCTTTTGCACCCCTTTTTGCTGATCACCGACCATGTCCAACATAAAAATGGTAGATATACTCGACAATGTACAGTTTTTGATGCAGACCTCCAACTAATCGCTCATTTTCAATAGCTGAACGAGAGGGACGAGGAGGAAGTGGAAGTGTCCTGGGAAGATCAACAAAAGATCAATTCCTTCAGCAGATTGAACACCAGGACTGATGATCTCGAGGAACAGTATGAAAAGCTGAAAGTGAGTGGTCCCCACTGTACAGCTGTGTTTGCATTTTGAGAATTTCACTGATGGGTTGTTGTTGTTACAGCAAGAGAAGGAGTACCTAGACGATTTGTCGATGGAGCTTGAGCTCGCAGACGAGGATGAACCTGTACGATACAAAATTGGAGACGCCTTTGTACATATGCCGCTCGACAAGGCTCTTGAACGCATAACAAGCGACTCAGAAAAAGTGCAGGCTGATATCGATGATCTCAAAAGCCAGATGGACGATGTGCACGGTCAAATGGAAGAATTGAAGAAGGCCTTGTACAGCAAGTTTGGCAAGTCCATTAATTTAGAGAAAGACTAGCTTGCCAGATACAGTACACCTTCAAATTCACCAAAATACAAGTTTTACTTTTTTTATTCAGTATTTATTATTCACGTCTGGTAATTTTTTTTTTTGTATATGGTGCTCAGGTACAAGTGGAGAGATGGGACAATTCAATTTTATTTTCAAAGTTTACTGTCTTTCTGTTCAGCTATCTCTACAATGAGATCACCAGCATCAACAAGCTCATTCGCTTTGGCGTAGATCGCTTTGATCCGGCCACTAATAGATGCTTTTATAACCGTCTCCATCTTCATGGCACTGACCACAAATACTTCTTGGCCAGCTTCAATCTTGTCTCCCGGTTTGACGCTGACCTCAGTGATCATGCCGGATATAGGGCAAGCAACCTCGCCAGATTCGCCTATAGCCTTTCGTCGTAGAGCTGAGTCGGCTGCTGCAGAACGCCTAGAGAGCTTTAGCTGAAGCTTACTGCCAAGGCTATTGGCTGATGATGATGCTACTTCAATGGCAGAGTTGAAATTGTCAGGAAAGTTATTGATGGAAATATCTTGCACTTTGATAGAGTGGACTTGTTTGGAAATAGACTTGTCAGTGGACGTTAGCTCAATGTTGAAGACATCGCCAGGCTTGAATTGAAGTGAATTGGGCTGGGAAGCTGCGCTTTGATCTCCACTGCTGTTTTGAGCTTTCGTCGCCTTTCCAAGCGCTTGACGGCTAACCTCCAAAAGATGTGGTATTCTTCCTTCCAGAAACAAGACATTGACATCCTGAGTATCATTATGAAGAAATTTCTCATCTTGAATCAAAGCAAGTAAAAAGTCTTTGTTGGTTTTGACTCCTTCTATAAGAGTATACTGCAAGGATCTTTTCAGTTTTTGTATAGCAACTGGAAATGTCTCGGCGGTGACAATCACTTTGGCTAGCAGGGAATCGAAATGGGGCAAAACAACGGCACCCGCGTGAATCCAAGTATCCACACGAACACCATGACCCATGGGAAATTCTACATCAACTATTTTGCCAACCGAGAGCATGTTGTCTCTTTGTGGATCTTCGGCACAGATACGAGCCTGAATTGAGACCATTGGTGGAGCATTGTCGATTTTCGACTGGGAGATCCCTAAGCCATGAAGCGATTCTCCTAAGGCAACCAATATCTGGGAGCGAACGATGTCCAACCCTGTGATCTCCTCGCTAATGGTATGCTCCACTTGAATACGAGGATTGACTTCAAGGAAATAATACTGTTGATCAGCTGGCGTGACTAAGAATTCCACGGTACCTGCCGAATCATACTGAATGTGTTGTGCCAAACTGATGGCCGATTGTTGTATTTTAGCGCGCAAAGCTGGTGAAATGCCAACAGAAGGAGCAATCTAAACGGGGCCGCGCAACAAATGTGTACTTTTCAGTTAACTTGACTAAACTAGTCTATACACATCTCATTAACGATGCAATACTACAAGACATACCTCTATAATCTTTTGAAATCGACGTTGAACCGAGCAATCTCTATCTTTAAGATGAACCACAGAACCATGTTTATCTCCCAGAATTTGAATCTCAATATGCTTGGCACCCACAATAGCCTTTTCTACAAATACTTGCTTGGAAGGGCTTTCGTTGATACATCGTTGCAATACGCTTTCGACATCTTCCGGTTTATGAACCATTCGTATACCTCGACCACCACCTCCGTCGCGGGCTTTGAGCATAACAGGGTATCCATATTGCTGACCGAAGTGGCGTACCTCGTCTGCAGATTGAACAGGCTCCTTAGTTCCAGGTGCCACTGGTATCTTTGCATTGAGAGCAATTTGTCGGGCTGAGAGTTTGTCGCCTACTTGATCAATGGAGGTCACGGAGGGACCAACAAAGAGAATTCCATTGTCGGCGCATAGTCTGGCAAACTCGGCTGATTCCGATAAGAACCCGTATCCAGGGTGAACTGCAGTAGCACCGCATTTTTTGGCGACATCGAGCAATGCCTGCGGCTTCAAAAACGCTAGTGGTCCACCCTGAAGTTGAACTTTAGTGTCAGCGAAGCGAGTGTGAGACATATCGGCAGGGTCACTGTAGACAGCTATGGTCTCGAAGCCAAGCTCCCTTGCACAATTCAGAATGCGAATGGCAATTTCGCCTCGATTCGCCACTAACAGCTTGACATTGCGGTTCTGTGTGGTCATTGAATGTCAGTGGAGTAAAGGTAAGGTTGGTTTGAGTCGGTATTCATACGAGCTGAGTAAGGTGAATTGTGCGGGGTAAGAGCTTTGACATTAAGATTTCCCAGTCGCACAAGCACCTTTCAATGCTGTACGCCTGCCAAAAAAAACGCACCACCGTGGACATGTCTGGACAGAATGGTTGCTGTTCCTGATTGTCGGAAACGTCAACAACAAATATACAAGTTTACAGTGTTATTAATATTTATCTCGCAAAAATACATTTCAATGTGCATTTAACTTTTTTTGGGCAGAACAACGAACACATTGCTCATTAAAATATACCTAGAGAAGACTGACCACGTTAAATTTCAACTACCCAGGGCAAGAAGGATCTGTTCCTTTGCTTTAAATGAGTAAAAAGTCCTTTTGTTGACAGATAAGGCAAAAATTAATGTTTGGACAGTATGGAATGCGTACTATTAGCAAATGATTTGACAACAACAATGGAACAAATAAAGGTTAATGACATTTTCAACATAGAAAATGGGTTTCTAGCTAAAAGTATATAAATCCCTGTAATGCAGTGGATGAACCAAAGGTACTCGATTCACGCACGTTATAAGCTTGAATTAAAAAATATGAAGACTTTCTATACCGCTACTCTTTTGGTTGCCGCCGCAATCTTCGTCAACGCTTCTAGTATTGGAGAGGAAACTGCTGGTAATGCTGTGAACGATGCTGTTAAGTCGGAAAAAGACACTATGGCAGCCAAGAAGTTAGAGAAAGTGTCCGATGACATGCCCGATTTCTGGCAAATGGACGAAGTCGCTGATGCTGCAGGCACCCATACTGTTGCTGCTGTCCTTGCCAGCGCTGCTGAAGCCGCTGAAGAAGCCATGGAGAGCGTTGAACCCGTTCAAAAACACCGTCACCAGCATGACGCCAGCAGTTCTGCTGCTGCCCCTGAAAAATCCTTGGGTGCCGCAGAATTCCATGCTGAAGTTGACAGTCATCAAGAGGATGTCTTGACTTCTCCTGAAGCCCAAATGCCTCCCGCTGATGTGAAGGAAACCCAGCCTATGACACCTCAGGCTGACAACAAGCAGGAAGGAAATCCCGCTACTAAGTTTGTTGACAGCATCAAGCGTTTTTTCAACAACCTTAGAGGAGCTTCCAACTAAAAATATGTATAGAATTTTAATCTTTATCATTGTCACATCATTCAAACCTGAAAGCTGTCATTAACATTTTTGATTGTAAGAAAAAATGTTGGGAAAAAATAAAAGTAGTATATTTGCATGAATTTGGAAAAGGAGTGTAATGTAAGTTGCTTATGATTATGTTTATGTGAATGAACGAATGAGGGGTTGGTTTCAGCTTTATTGTCTAGATTGTCATTGTGATATCGTCTCCCTTTTCCATGCATTGGAGGAACTCTTTCAAGTCGTCTTGATCTACCGCATTTATGAGATCTTGGTATTGCTATAGTGGAAATGGATTAGAATGTAAATTTATACCATGTTTCGTTGGATGCTAATTGAGCAAACTACTTACTCCGCGATATTGACCGCCTACAAAAACCTGTGGAAGCTCCTTTGCTCTTCCACGAGTACTTCCTCCATTATTTTGTCGTTTCATATATTGCAAGGCAGGTTGACTTGCTGCGACATCAATAACTTCAAACTTTATGTTATTAGTCGATAGCACATGGCCAATATGCTCTTGTCGTTGTTTGATCTGATAAAGCAAATAAAAAAATAAAAAAGGTTTGGATTGTTAGTTGCTGCATCCCAATAAAGTTTACGCACTGTGATTCCTAACTTACAGTCAAGTTACTGCATATGCTGGAAACATAAATTTGAACTTTTTTCTTATCCCTCGGCGTCAAGTCCGGAGACCTAGGTTCATCCATCATGGTAGGTACTCTTCGACAAGATCCGCCCGGTCCTCCGGTACTTCGTAGTGTCACAATAGCTTGGTCATTTCCAGAGGATGGTCGCCAGCTTAACCGTTTTGTCTCATCATGCTGCCGACTCTTCAATACCCGAAGTTGCTGCTTCTGATCTCTTGCCATCATGGAAATTTGATTTTTATGTGATCTCTCCAGTTCCTCTACCTTCATGTTGTGTGAGTGCTCTGCCAATTCAAATTCATGTAGCACTTTCTCTACTTCGCTGTCAACGACATCGATAGTTCGCTTTTCTGCATCAACGAGCCTGGACTGTAATTTTTCCATTTCTCGCTTATGAAATTCCTCTAGCTGACTAAGGCTCTGCTTTTGCTCACGTAGTAATTTAGAAGTTGCACTGTCGTGGGACTGTTGAAGCTTTGACAGAATATCTTGTTGCTCCTGAAGTAGTTTATCCTTTTCTGCAATAGTCTCAGCATGTGATTCCAGTAATGCCTGATGGCTGAACTTTTGTGCCTGAAGGTCAAAGGGATACAAGATCAATATTGAGGAACAAAAGCCTTTTTATATCTCCTGGATAGCATTCATACCTTCAGATCCGCTGCAAGTTCTTGTAACTTTAGCAATGCAAATTTATCACTCTCCACATCCATGGTCAGCCGATGGAATTTTTTAGCCTGGTCATCATTCATAATGGAGTGTCTCCTTGTTTTGGGTTGTACTTGTAATCTCTCCAGTTCTCGCTCACGATCAGACAATCTTGCCAGTATTTCGTTGTTCTGAACATGTCAAGTATCAGTGATCTGAGTAGATATGGTGCAGCGCGCGAAACGAAAAATAAAATAGAAGCATGAAAGTACCTTCAGTTTTAATTCCCGGAGTTGCTCCTCCACTTCCTCCAGTGCTGGCTTAACGACCTCAGCTCGCTCTAACTCCCATTTTCGTATATCGTCCTCCAGTTGCCTCTCTCGCTCGGATAGCTCCAGTTCCTTCCTACTTAACTGCTCGTCGTCTCGTTGCTCGACTGGACGAACCACGATATCCATACTGTCGATTTGCTGGGCTTTACGCTCTGCCTCCAAAACTTCACGTAGTGCTTCTAATTCGTTATCCCGTTGCTGAAGAAGTTTCTCCTTCTCCAGAAGTGCTTCCAAAGTTTGTCTATTTCGGAGTCGCAATACTACAAGGTTCTCGTTGTTAGAGGTATTGGTATTATTTGACTGCTCGGATATTTGTTGCCGAAGTCTGTCTAGTTCTTCTGTTTGGGCTGCAATGATGTTGATGTTTCGATCATTCTGTGATGAGATATTTGGTGTATCAATATACCAATCATACTCATAACACGCTCCCGAGCGTAGTTACGATTTCACTAACCTTTGACTTCAGACGGTCCAAGTCTTGCTGTAGTTGCGCTGCATTCACCTTGTTTTTGGCATTGCCACCTGCAGTTTTGGATTTTTTTCTAGCACCTAAGCACGGCATTTTTGAGAGTAAAGGAACAAATACAAAGTGATAGAATAGCCCGCCTCAGTTGTATCATTTGCTTTTGTATCTCCTTGACAATCTCCGCTAGTGCCTGATCCCTTACAGACGGAACGACAAGTCTATCTCTGGTAGTCCTGCCCAAAGTATGTGTATTTACACATCTGTGGTGATCTCCTTTTTTTTTATTTTCTGCACCATGCATGCCCTGAACGAAGTAACGATGATCGAATATGTCATCTAAACACAGTAGTCTTAGTGGATATGATGCCTTGGTAAGTTTGCATGGACTCTTTAATTCCACTCCTCCTGGAAAATTCATCGATGAGCATTTGTAAGGAACAAGGAGACTTGGCTGCCTTTACACTCCTATATCACGCTCAAAATAGGATGTTTGCAGAGGTTTTCCCCATCACAACGTGTTATCGAGCTCTACTTTACTATGTAGACGTTCAACACGTGGAGTCACACTGTGCTACAGAGGAATGTCTAGTTGACCTTGTATTGCGACATACTTAAAGGCAATGCAGGAGTTGACGTGATGACATGTGGTTATTAAGTTGTCGATATGCATGTTATTTGAGTTTAACCTCTCCAACCACTTTTGAACATTGCGCCATTAGGACGCCAGGACATTGTCACGAAAATGGCAGTGAGTTGGTCCGAGGATAATTTCATCCAGTGTTATATTTTCAATGCTTTATACACCATTTTGTTAGGCTCAGTAGATGAAATAATTCACTTTCTTTATTGAGACTACATGAAGGGTCAACAAATGATGAGAAACAATCAAAGGATCAGCCTTGGGCAGATGCGATTTTTCCAGCATCGGTAATGGCTGATGAAATGATATCGAAATGCTTCTTTTGGTTACCCATAGACTCTATAATCATCAGTTATTCATACGCATTCAATCAGATAATTCAGATGAAAAGCTCCTCGTCATCTCCTTTTTCCCAACTTGGGGACAAAAGATCCTTTTTCCTATCGTTTGATTATCCCATGTGGCCATTCTACTGTGCATTGCCATGTTTCTCGAGATCAACCGAGGTGGTATCAACCCACTCGTTCATCCACGCTAGAACTATGATAACGAGAGATAAAAAAAAAAAACTTAGGTCCTGTTTTTCAATAACCTAATCTTTCCTTTACTTTGTTTAATTACTAACCTTCTTTATACCATCGTAACAAATTGGCAGGTCGTGTTATGCTGAAAATATAAATTGTCAAAAACGGAGGTTCGCAATGTCTGCATGAGAGGAGTTACTTGGCATACCTGTGAGGCTCGTCTGGGAAGAACAAAAAACGGGAAGGAACCCCTTGTCGCTGAAGAGCAGTAAAAGTGGCTATTCCCTCAGTTTCAGGGATTCGATAATCTCGACCACCATGAGTAACAAGAGTTGGAGTCTTCCAATTGCGCACGTACGAAGATGGAGACCATTTTTCATAGATGCTTTGGGCATGCTCATCAAAGGGAGTACCGCCAAACTTAAAAGCAATGGTATGTTAGGTCTAATGAGAGGCATAGTATGCACAACACCCACATTGGTTAAGATTTACCTCTCTTTCAGGGAATGCAAGTTCATCTGTTCCATAATATGTACTTTGAAGTGAGAACATGCCACCGTGATTGACAAAAGCTTTGAATTGCTTGCTGTGGCCATTGAGCCAATTAATCAAATAACCACCAAAAGAGAATCCCAAACCAAAAACGTTTTGTGAGTCCAAAAAGTCATTATGAGCTAGCGCATGGGCCAACCCCTTCTCGAGATCTATATATGGATACGATCCCCAATTTTCCTGAAGGCAATCACAGAAATCGCTTCCAAACCCCGTGGATCCATGTCGGTTGATTCCAACCACTGCATAACCAGCCGATGTAAATATCTGCGGATGCCAATCCAGCACCCTTGGGGAAAATTTCTGAATGAGACAAGGTAAGAGATGTGGCGGGCAGTGAGGTGCTTACCAGTTATCTCGGAAAGGCATTTGTGGTCCTCCATGTACCAAAAATGCCACTGGATACTTTTTTCCTTCCACATAGTTTACTGGCTTTAGAATCCACCCATGTACCTTATCTTCACGTGCGCCTTCAAACCAAAAAGCTTGGGGTTTGGGGAGCTCCATTCCATTGAAGGCCGAATGAAGATCCGATGTCCTGGTGTACGCCTGCATTTCCATAGTCGATAAGTTTAAATTGCAAATAAGATGTGGGAAATTCATGGACGCGAGCCTGAAGATAATTCCGTTTTTAGACGTTGAAACAAGCGTTGCAGTATGTTCATGGGTGAGAGATTTGATTTCTTCTGTCTTACGGTTGATAGCAAATATTTTCATATGTGCTTGATCATCCGCTGTAACATAGATGGATTGAGAGTCTGGTGAAAAAGCAAGGGACATAGCACTATGTGGCCAATCTTCAGTGATGTTTCTGCGCTTTTTGCCGTCATAAAGTATGACACGAACTTTGTCAGAGTCATATCCAGGCTGCATCATCTGCAGGTATGCAAGAGTGCCATCCGGTGCATATTTGGGATAGTAAGAGTACGCGTCGATATCACTATTGATGCACTGGGGTATGCTACCTCCTGAGGTTGAAGTAATGAACACTTGTTGGGTGGTTTTCCAAGCAAAATCTGGAGAGTCCAACTTGCAAATGAATGCCATTTGCTTGCCTGTGACAATCATTTATCATGATGGTGAAACATTTGGAACACCACACAATAACTTAGTACTTACCATCAGGAGAGAAATCGTAGTCATCAGCATCACCATACATCGGATGTGGTACAGTCTACCATTTCAAAAAATGTTGGTTAAGCCTTTCTGAAACAAATTATCATCAAGAGTAAACCTCACCATCCCTGTGTTTAACAAGACGTTAACTGAAGATCCTCTTATGGCGTACTTTGTGCCGTCGAAATCAACCTTCACAACAAAGACATTGTTTCTTTTGCCTTTTGGAGGGAGGTATGTATTCCACGCCCGAACGCCAAGACTATTATAGACCATTCCTGAATCTGTTTTGGCGGATTCAATGCTTTCATCTATGGATTTGACCGTCTCCATTCTTCCATCTTCATATACTTCGGCAGCAAATCCCAAGAGTCCTGAGGCACTATTGTACTTCAATGCACCGACTTCAACTGGAAAGTTCGAGAGTTGGTATGGCTCTTCAGTTTCAGAGTCTACTCCCACAACGTAGATATGAGCAAAGTCATCATCATCTCGGGCTTGAAGGAAGATAATGTTTCTGTCGTCAAGAAAAACAGGTTCATATGGAGTTCCATACTTGAAAGTTGATGTTAAAGGACGCACTTCAGAAGTGGTCAGATCAATAACATGAAGTGTGGGTGCGGACTACATGCGTCGAGTAAGTGACTATCATGATGCACAGTAGTTGTCGCTTTAAAGTGCAACAAACCAAAGGAAAGCGTTACCTTTTTTTCCTGACTAGAGTATACAGACTGCGAAAAAATAGCTTTTTCACCAGACGGCGATGTTACTAGAATACCAACTTTTGGTAAATCAACCAGCTTCTCTGGAGTTAGTACTTGAAATCCGTTCATCTTTGTCTTGAATGGCCAAAAAACCGAAAACAGATACAGTCGTGGAAATAGACGCCTTTTTCGCCTTATTTATATTTCTAAGCTCAACAATCCGCAGCATGTGTAACTTTTCTTCTTTTTGGCAAATCCGACCATATTTATCTCGTACCCTTTCTTACCGGATGGCGTCGAAAAAATGTCGACGGTCCAGCTATTACGGAGGGAAATGCAACACACCATTTTACACAGGCTTAAAAATAAATGACGAATTATGAAGTGATGTTTAGTTACATGTAATAGAATGTTAAAGGTTGACAAAGTTCTTCTAATGGATATCAAGTCTAGTGAGTTTAGGACGATGGTTCTCTGTGAAGCACGTATCGTAAATACAGCTCATCCTTGAAATGGGCATGTCTAAAGATGAAGAACGGTTGGTCAGATTTAGGTTCACTCATACCAAAGTAACCATTATAGACTTACCTGATACCAGGTGGTCTTGCGTCCTCAAAAAAGCGCAGAGCATCTGGAACAGATACGGCCAAACGCTCAATCATATAGCAGCAAATAAAGAATCCTGTGCGATTGAACCTGCATCCCATTCAATGAGAAATGAATATACAAGAGCATCACATTAAAAATGATAGTGATCCTACAAACCACTTACCCATAGTGACAATGGACTGCAATCTGTAAATCAGGTCTTTCCTCCCAGCATGCACTCGCCAGCTTTATGAATCTATCGACATCTTCTTTCATAGGTGGGATTTTAGAAACAGTCGATAGTTTCTTATAGTCGATGTGCGAGTTTTCAAAGTCCGATGGACGGTAGGGAGGAGCTAATGGTCATTAGGGTGATGAGTTTGGAACACAGGTGTGGCAGCAATGAATGGGAGCTATACTCACTGTCCTTAGAGATATCTATAATATAGCCTATTTCGGGATGCTTTGCTATAAAGGCTGACGGAGAGTGATCTGGGTCAGTCTGTCGCATAACCTTCATGGCTCTGAACAATGATGGGCCAATGTTGGTGAATGAAATTATATCCGTGCGCTTCCACTGGCAACACATCCAATGTGAGTCAAAAATGCAAACGGTACGATTTCACGTTCTGAAAATGTGTGCATACCTTTTCATAGTTTTTGAGATCCCACTTATTCTCTCCTGCTGTCTTGTTCAAAATCTGCCATGCCCCACTAAGAGTATCTAATCCACATTTCTTGATCAAGAATTCTGTGATAACAGGATTAACAAGCTCGGGATTGACAATCATGGCCTGATGGCCTGCACCAGGCACAATATAATGTTCTACAACTTGATCGTGCGAACTAGCAGATGATGATCCATTCTCATCTACATTGCGTTTGACAAGATAGCTTTCAATGATTTTCGCGTCATCAGCGGGAACAACGTTGTCCTATCGAATTTGAAGCATGCGTTAGGGCTTTGTTACAACGCCGGACTGACACATTATTTAAATTTACACATACTTTTTCAGCACCAATAAGCAGAACTGGGCAAGCAACCTTTTGATAGTCAGCAGCAGTAGGCCACGTAGTTCCACACACCATCCTTTTGTAAACGGCTGAGTGACTCATCAAGTTCCATCGCAATTGCCTATAATATTACCATCATTCGATTAGATCACAAGCATAGTATACATGAACAGCATACGTTATTTGCTCACCTCCTTTTTAGGTGCTCATCAGATGTTACTCCAAGCATTCGATGAACGCTTTTACTCTCTAGTCCGCCCTTTCTGTCCGCTACTCGGAGTCCATCAAAAAGCCAATCTGGGATCCAGCGTAAAAGACGGATTCCCTTTTTCTGCTTTTCGTCGATGTGGGCCTTTGGAGCAATGAGAACCACCCCTTTGATACATGGGGCAAGGTTAGATGATCCAGCAAGATATGTTGCTATTGAACAGCCGAATGAATGCGCTATGATCACCATGGACTGACTTTGATATCTGGTCTCTAGGAGCTTCCGAATATCGTTGACAATTGCTTCTGATCTATACGCGGACCAGCTGTAACAATGCAGTTGAGACATTACATATTTAAATATCATAATTCAACGCGCTGTGATACTCGACTTACCTTGAATCTTGATCGCTTTTACCACAACCGATCATGTCGATCGCCAAAACGTGACCATAAGTTGAGAAATATTCGATTTGATTGATCCACTGGGAAGCCTATTAATGTAAAAAATTAATGACAGATTCTCAATTGAACATATCAGAGTAAAAAACTTGGTGCAACATACTTGTGCGCCGAGTCCGTGGATGAATACGAGTAGAGGCACTTTGCTGCCCAATTCATGGATGATATGAACTATGCGAAGCTGGTGGCCATTTGTTTCCACGTACTGAGTGTGATTTGATATTAATGGAGGATCGGCTATATCAGAGGTGTTGATAAGTAAAATAACCGACACTGCTATTACGAATGTGTTTTAAATGATACTAACGGTCCTCAAGCACTTGCTGCTCTAATTGTTTTTCGGCATAATCTCTTCCAGCCAGCCAATACCAAAATCTGTCCTTGCCGTTGGACTGACTCACATAGTACGCTGTCGTTAATATAACGGCACCAATGCTAATGACCGCTACGCTAGACATGCAGGAAATGCAAAGCTGGACACTGAGTCTTTTATCGCCTCAAACGTGGCATTGACTAGCAGTCACATTTCCCAAAAAATAAAAATAAAAATGACCCAGCTTTTACCCTTTTGGCATGGAGCAGCACTCCAATGAAAACTACCCGATTTTGTTCATGACATGACAACAAGCAGCCATTTGATCCTGACAAATGGCTCTTGTCGCTCCCATCGCTATCTAACTCACTCATTTTTCAGATATGCCATCTTACTGACGACAGTATATACCGTACACGCGTTGTAGGGTACGCGGCATGACACCAGTACAGATTTCAGCCAGCCAACAATGAAATTTTGCTTGCTGTGGTCTCTGTAAGCACGGAAAGTGTAGAAACGGATGGTTCGTCTATGGATTATAAATTGCCTTGTAATTGGCTGTGGCAATAAATCCTGTACTTTGATTGGCTCAATAGTTACGAATGGAACGGTGCAAATCACGTGCACAGACCACGTCCGGCAAAAAACCAGATATATTTTTTTTCCCGTCACGACCAGCGCAAAGTTCTTTAAGTCTTCACTCTCGTAACTAGCATGTCACAACGATGTAAGAATTCAACCGCTCTGTCAATCCTTTCTACCCTCACTCATTCTGAGAACTTTTCGTATAGCCAAACGGTCTGTCAGTGATCTTGACAACCATGACATTCCAATGCCCGACGCATCACCTGTCAAGAAGACTCGAGGTGATCGCCTCCAACGCATGGGAACTGATGGAGGAAAGTCTCGCTTAGAAGTTCCAAAGAAGCGAACCAAGACCGGCCAGGTTTACGTGTTTGGCAATGGTGATGTTGGTCAGCTTGGTCTAGGTGACGAAATGCTTGAGCGCAAACGTCCCATGCCACTCAAGTCTTTGGAAGATGAAGAGATTGTCGACATTGTCGCTGGTGGTATTCATACCATCGCCATTACAAAAGCTGGAAAGGTAAGTTTTTTTTTCCTACCTTTTGCATCAATGACCGAGCTAGTTGAAGTTGAGAGTTAAACATTGCCTCTTTTTCATCATTTTGTTTATTATTTCGATACTAGCTTTGGAGCTGGGGATGCAATGATCAAGGTGCTCTTGGTCGTGAAGGAGAAGAAATGGAACCCGCTCTGATCGAAGGGCTGGATGACGTCAATATTGTTAAACTCGCCTGTGGTGACTCCATCAGCATTGCCCTTTCAGCGGAAGGAAAAGTTTACAGCTGGGGCTCTTTTAGAGTAAGTAAGAGAATACACGCGTTAAATTTCTTTTTTCGTAGTCTGACTAACGTTTCCCGGCAGGCGGACGACGGAATTTTGGGTTTTTCAAAGGATCAGAAAGTCCAATCCAAACCAGTTTTGTTCTCGGCTCTGGAAAAGTTTAAGGTGGTCGATATTGCTGCTGGCGCAGATCACGCCATGGCTTTGACCGATGAAGGTCATGTTTACAGCTGGGGTGATGGTAAACAATTCCAGTTGGGCCGCCGAATCATGGAACGACGCAAAACAAACGGTTTAGTGCCGGAACGACTTGCGCTTCGCAATATTGTTCACATTGCATCTGGATCGTATCACTCGTTTGCTTTGAACGATAAGAACGAACTCTACGTATGGGGTTGTAACAACTTCAAGCAAACCGGTTTGTCTGAAGAATACGGCGGTCGTGTTCCCGATGTCATTGAAACCCCTACTCAGCTTGAGACCTTTACCAACGATCTCATTGTCAAGCGTGTTGATGCCGGCGAGCACCACTCTGTGGTTCTTTTGGCTAACGGAAATGTCTATACCTTTGGCCGTGCCGATTCATCACAGCTCGGGCTTGTAAGTATCTGAAAATTCAATGAAACCATATATGCAAGTTAATGCTCATAACTAATTGTCCGTCTCCAGCCTGACTCGCTTTTGGACTCTTTAGAAAAACAGGAAGACGACATGTACCATGTAGAACGTGAGTCAACTCACAAGCGCGCCATTGGCTTGCCTACAGCTGTTCCAAACCTATCCAATGTACATCATATTGCTGCTGGTAGTAATCATACCATTGCAGTGACCAAAGACGGAAAAGCATACGCATGGGGTTTCGGCGAATCGTACCAGCTTGGTAGCGGATCAGACGAGGATGAAAAGGTTCCTCATTTGATCGAAGGCCAAAAGATCGAAGGCAAAGAGATTCTCGTTGCCGCTGCTGGTGGTCAACACTCTGTCATTCTCGCCGAATAGTTCTATTTTTCCTGTGTTTTTGTATACTTTGCCCCGTTACTTACCACATCCCACATTTTCTCCCACAACAATCAATAAATACCTGATAGAATGTTTCTAAAATGCATGTGCGCCGAAGTCATGTCCTGCCAGGTTGATGTCATCCACATTAACATCGTAAAAAACGTTTATTCAGAGGTATTATTTACAAGTTCGTTGCCGTCGGCAAGCTGAGAATTAAGCTTATTCCGTGTATTAGAGAATTCAAATACATCTGTAATAGCTTCCTTAAAGCATTGAAAGTTGTAGTCAATCAGCCCGTGCTTCTCAAAACTTTCTTGACGCAATATACAAATAAGGACCAGTAATCTGGAAGGGACATCGTCAATGACAGGGGATCATAAATAGGTGAATGCTAAGGATACCTACCGATTAACTTCGCGCAAGTACAAGACATCACCGTTTGTCAATTTGATTAAACTAGAAGCCTCCGCCTCTGGCTCACTAGCCACTGATGTATCACTCATAAGTTGCTCTTGAAGGCTGTCAGCCCCGCCAAAGCCATTGACGCCACCGTTACCTACTGATAGGGATGGAGATGATAATGTTGCGGATCGGTCCTCTTCGACGTCGTTGATGGATGGAGTGGTTCCATTGGAAGCTGAGTTTTGTGCACTAGCCAAGGTAAAATAGAATTAGTGCTAGTTGCTGCAATCTCCAGATTATCACAAAAATACAAGATCTTACCCATAGATGCATTCAATATCAATGATGACATCAATCATGTCACTGCATATTTCGTAAGATTGCATATCTACAGGAGAACTGTCCGTAGCAATATAAATCTTTGTCAATGTGTCAAACAAATAGGCTTTGTCGATTCCCGAGTTCTGTAGCATGGTTAACAATTTGAGTTTAAGCAACACCATCTTTTTCATCATATCAGAATTCATTTTAACGTACGGAGCAAAGAACGTTAAGAAGGTTCTCTAAGGTTGGTAATTCGCGAATCAATTTTTGGATAATTTTGCTGAATGCCTCGTAAATCGAGTGATCGTAAATGCTGGTAAGATAGTAGCTTAGCTGAATGTGCTCCATTTGTGCATCAGCAAGAGCATCGGCAGTTCGTTGCTGAATATCACGCTGTGTGTCTATTTTGTAGTCGTCGGACAGACCATCCACCTTATGAATTAAGACTTCGAACGTAATGTTGGGGTTGACTCTATAAGCACTGGTGACCGTATAATGAAGTCGATTGACGGCCTCCCGGTAGTCGTCCTACAAATCAATATCGCTTCGTTAATATCCGCGAGTTGTATGATCGAAAAACACTGTATTAGATTCCTTGCCTGCGCATCAATGACAAAGATCAAGGCTCCAACTTCACCAAAGATTTCTTGCGAATCATAAGCAGTTTCGAAAAAGTTGATTTGCCCAGGAAAATCCCACACTTGGAAATCTATGAATGAACGACTACACCCACGGCAGGTTATTTCATTTCTGTTCCAGTTATGCTACGCAAACAGGACTTGCAACACATACGTGACATCTTCTTTCTGAATTTTTGTAGTACTTTCGAGATAGAGCGTATCATTCGGCGGCATTTTGTTGAACACTACTCGTTGGATACTGGATTTGCCGCTCCTATACAAAAAAGGAGGTATAAAGGGGTTGAGTATCCACTGGAAAAAGTCTACTAGCGTTGTATATAACTTCCAAAGTGCTCTTACCGTTGCAGACCCATTAATAAAATGCGTGGTTTGTGGCCAGTAGTGGTTTCCTGACCAGACTCGCTCCTACCGATTCCGAGATTTGAGTGTAAACAATGTGGGAAAGAGAGCATGAAATTAAGTTTTGGAAGGAACATACCCATTGTCGGTTTGATAGCGATAGTCATCGTACTGATCAGACGCAAATGCAGGGTTGGATGTTGGGTGAACCGGTGGAAGAAAATTGACAAGTACGTTAGACATTGGCGTTATGATAAGAAAAGCTTTTTTGCCTAGTGAAAGCTCAAGCGTTGTACCTCCATTCTTTCCTTTTGTGTGTTGAACTCTGTCAGCAGCTCAAAAGCTCAATATTAGGCGGCCTCCATCACTGTTCGTGACTTTCAGTGTGCTACGTCTGTGACGTAAGCAAAAATGGGCATTAGTTTCATTTGCCCTGGTCGATATGAGTAGAATAAGGGCACCGCAAAGGTGGTAATTACTGAACAGACAGCTGGACTCTAGAATAATTGTGGACTGTTGATGGCTTATCATTTGCGTATTCAGTTTGCATCGAATAACTCCAACAAGAAATTGCGTATGAAAATTTGACTTTTACAAAGCTAAATTTTATTATTGAGTAAATCAGTTTCTTTGCTACAAAGTATTGGAATTACGATAGCAGCTTCATCATACGAGTCTATTTAATTACATTACATCTACTTGTTTGGAAATCTTTGACGCAAAACTTCTTCTAAAACCATAGAACTATTCAGTTCTATTTTCCAATCTATTAATGCGTCCGACCTTGTGGGTCCCATATTGAGCACTCCGACAGGCTTTCCGAGTTCTTTGACTCTCTTTACAAGCCTGAAGGCGGAAAACGTTGCCAAAGAGCTACCAATAACCAGCATTGATTCGCATTCTTCAACAAGGCGTGCTGCCTTCTCTTTGACATGGCTTTCGATGTTCTCACCAAAGAACACCACGCGAGGCTTCATCATGTGGTTCCCACAAACATCGCACGGTGGTATCTTGAAAGTATCATAAGAGACAGTAGAAGGGAGTTCAACATCACCATCGGGATTTGTCTTAGGTTCGCCGCCGGATGCCACAATTTCCTGCTGGTAAGCCTTCCAAGCCTGATTCAGGTCATCGAGCCTCTGCTGGAAATCAAACCGACTTGTGGTGTGGTGGCAGGACAAACATGATACTTCATGCAAGGTGCCATGTAGCTCTACTATACGATCTTCCGGGGTCCCTGCTGCGTGGTGCAAGTGATCAACGTTTTGAGTAATAAGGCTACTTATGTGACCTTGCTCTAAAAGATTTTGTAATGCATAATGTGTCGAATTTGGCTTTGCCTTCAGCATTTGGGGCCAACCAAGGTATCCTCTGGCCCAATACCGCCGTCTGAACTCAGCATTTGCTAAGAATTCTTGAAAAAATATGGGCCGCGTATGATTCTTGACATATCTACCCTACACCGTTAAATCTCATTTGTTAGAGGAAGTAGAGGATAACATGGCGATGGATAGAAAACTCACAGAAGGTGACCTATAATCGGGTATACCGCTATCAGTGGATGCGCCGGCACCGGTCATTACAAGCATTTTGTTATCGCTATCTTCAATAAACTCTGCTACGCGAGCGACGGCCTCTGACAGGTCGACAATAGAGTCAGCATCGGGCTCTCTAGCTTCTTGAGGCATGGGAAAGTCGGGCATGCGAACATTGGGTACGATGGTAGACTTCAACATAGAAGGCTTACTATGCCACCGTACTTGCACATGGTGAAGTCGGCGATTCGATCGCTGCCATGCTCGTAACGTTGAAAGCATTGGCTGAACACTCAGTTGCCTTTCCTGTCCGTGGCAACTCGTTGGATAGTGCACGTGACTTTGAAAATTGCAAATTGGCTTGAGAAGAAGTGAGGAATGTGAACTAGCCAATCAAATTGCACATCGGTTGCGCGATCATCCTCCAAGGCGAGTGGATGAAGAAGAAGCAAACTGCGACGCTTTCAGGTTATAAAACGAACAGACGCTTTTTCTCTCCAATATCTTTCTTTCCCTTACTTCATTTCAAGCATATCATGTTATTTATTGTACAGAAAAAAAGTTCGACTATCAAAACGTATCAAGTCATCGATATTCAGACCTAGATGGAACGACGACCTCCAACACTGTAGAAAGAACACTTGCCACTACTGCGAGCTCTACCGGTCTGTTCTTCAAAAGTTTTGCAAGTTTCATATGGAGGAGTATACAGATGGAGGGACACAGCACCCCGTTCCCCACTAGGATTGGAAATACGATGGAGACCGATTTTATCTGTTAAAACATCTGTTAGTGACTGAAGCTCACATCCACACAAATCAAGAACTGGCATCAACCACATACCATGGACATAGGTGACTTGATCAGCACCATAGATGGTCTCACGCTGCTTTGTCAAGCAAACTCCAGTTTTAGGGCAAACATCAAGTTTACGAGCAGTAGTTATATCACACATATCAGTAGCGACACTCTCTTGATCACTCATATCAGGCCAGTCAAACAACGACTCTTGAAGTTTGCCATCAAGAATTTTCATAACACAGTGCGAACCAGCATGATCATGGATAGGACTAAATGTGGATACGAAAATGTCAGATGAGAATTTTAATGTGGACATTTGCGACAAGCCAATTTGGCCATCTCTTACCTTTGCTGACCCTTGCTCCATGCAAGAATCATAAGGTTGAACTACATGTCAAAAGAAAGAGTTAGCAAATACGAACTATGGCAAGATGGACAACTACATTACGAAGCAGACGATTTTCGACATATTTATTAAATACACCGTATCAGCGTTCTCACCTTTCCATTGCCATCATCAACAAGGTTACGAGTGTACGCCCTAGAGTGATCAAACATAGCATATTGCTCCCAATCTTCAGCGTTGGAATTATAACTTTCCATCAGAGCAATAATACGGTTGGCATCAATGTGCTCAGAGTCAAGACCGCCATCAGGACCAAGTTCGTCATGAATACGAGCAACTAGATCATGAAGTGTCCTTGGAACAGCATCAGACTTTGCAACCTCTTGAAGAGGATGAGTAAGGGCAAGGCATTGTTGTGGTTCTTGAGGTGGAGCCATGTTATCAGAGGGAGAGAAAAAATAGATGTGTACAGAAGAATGTTTCAGCCAATCTGTTTCCGCTTTTCAGCGTTAATTTCTCGTTTGCTCAGCTGACAACCAATATCAACGAGGGGCGGCTTCCGACTTTCACCTTGCTGGGCCCCAAATCGCGGACTAATGGTAAGTAAGCACACTCCTGTTTATTTGGTACTTTTCGCACAAAGGAATAGCATCGGCTTTACAGCAACACGGTAAGTTGGATGACAGCACCAAATTATCAATAAAGACACCTTTGTCTTTTAAACACGTCTTGTTTACCAATTTGGAATGGAGCTATCATTTGGTTTGCTTGTTTGCGTCGTGGGAGAACGACCACATTGTCGGAAGGGCTGACTGCTCGACATTAAGAACGACACCCAAAAGCTCACATCTAGCCATAGAGGCGCCGTACTTTCTATGGAAAGATGTTAGACACTATGGCATGGGGCAGTCATCCAAGGCTTGGTAGGATAGGAGAGGATGGAGCAACCCTTATTACACCCACGCCACATGATTCAAGTATCTTGTTATCCTTCGACTAGTTGATTGAAGTGAATCACCTCGTCCTCAGCACCCCTTAGCCCCACCATAAACGGCCATGTGAGAAATTTATTATGTATACTTGGCATCCCAAATATACTAGACCATTACAACTATGATGCACAATCTTTTTTTACGACAATGATGAGAAAGTGATACAAATAGCATGACGTCTTGCATTTGTGGCCTACTTCTTGACGGCAGTACTTTATACATCATGTTGAGAGTGTGGGAAACCTGTTGCAGCCAAACTCGAAAATAGCAGTCCACTTGGGTTTGGATCCGGGCCAACGTTATCTCGTTCACCAGTCCCTGTGTCAGACCATATTTGAGGAAGCGACATACGTTTAGCGTGGCCAATACCTAGCCTAACAGCACAAGCGTTACCTACACATAATCAAAATGATATTGTTATGCTGGGTTGTTAGCATATATAAAGCGATGTGTTTGCACTCACAGTAACACTTCTTATCTAGCTTTCGCCACAGTGATGAGTAAGTCGTACCGCAGATGGCACAGCCTTCATTCTCTGAGGTATTGTGACGAACAATCTTAGTAGAGCCGTCAGGATGTAAGCAAATCTTGCGAGGTGTATGATGCAGCTTCTCACTGTGAGGAACATACGTTGGAATGAGCTGGCAGTGGCATGTGGCGGTTCAAAAATTGGTTATATACGTACTAAAGACCGCAAGCATTACAGAGTAGATTTTTGCCTTCAGAGCAGCGTCGCCAGGATGGGGTTTCCGTTGTAAAGCAGTTTGAGCAAAATTTTATAGGCGATAATCGGATCGCGTCTTTGGATATGACGGTGCTCTCCATGAGATACGAATTGGCCGTTTGGTCCTGAGGCATCCGATAAGGATCTGGGTAATAACCCGTCGCCAGATATGCGGGCGGGTAATACCCAGGCACTGATAGCGACGAACAAGATACACCTTGTTCTACCGCATCCATGTTTTGCATAGTTCCCAGTGTTTGAATTGGCTGATTATAATAACTAGCAGTGTTCAATTGAGATTTTTCTGGCTGTAGGAAGGCCTCTTGGTGGCTGGAGCTGTCATTCGTGAACTGCACAGAGCCCATAACATAGCTATATGACTTGGTATCGCTTCCTTGGCTGTCACAAGATAGCTCTATTGTCCGACCCTCTGTATTGTTGGCTACACCATTGATGGCTGGATTCAGGTTAAATACTGCTGGGTGGTGAGAGAGAGGTTCATTAATATAGCGCAAATCGAGATACTGCTCTTGCTCGCCATTTTCTCTCGACATAGTCTCTTGAAGAAGAAAAGGAAGCGTTCAAACAGAAAATGGAGCAAAAAACCGGTATTCACAAAAAGAATACGACCGTATAAAGGGGTGCCAATTCTTCCATTATGCGGGCACGTCAAAAAAGGATATCTGATAAGGTTGCGGGGAAATGGCAGTCTTGAGTGAGTTCAATCAACTGATGTAGGATATGCCAGCTAGCGTTAATAATGACATGGCATATAAGTTTAACGACTGTGCCTTACATAAAAGTTATTTATCGGAATTCACGAATCAGCATCAGAAAACGCACCCACACATATATATTACATCCGTACTTGCACCACTCCCAGCCCTATAAATTTATTGTTTCTGAACCGCTATTCATAGGATACTGATCATAAAGATCAGTAGCGTGAATCGAAAGGATTTCTATTCATTAATCAGGGAGTGTGCCAAAAAAAAATTGGTCGCGTCGCGTGAAAAACTAGTGGCGTCATATTTTTATTACACAGTCTTTCAAAGAGACTATTACAGCACTATTGGCTTTCAACAGATACAGTGCATAAGTAAAATATTACAATAAAATGTGCATCTAATTTTAAACAGACAGGTCGGAGGGTATCATCAGTTGAGTTGGGCTTGATCGCTACGTGTGGTGTCATCGTTCGAGCATCGACAAAGCAATGGGATTATAGGCTATCGCATTTTTGTTCTTGATGAAGCGGTCTTATGTAGCCTTTTGATTGTTGCGAATATGCTGAGATGCGATTTTAGCTAGATGGCTCCTCAGCAGAGCTGTTGGTTATGGGAGATGTATTCAAATGGTTCGCAAGCTGCTGCTGACGAAGCTGGAGTAACTTTTTCTCCTGCTCAAGAATAGCTTCTTGTTCTTGTTTCGTGTACTGAATACCAGGAAGTTCTGATAAAAGCAGCTGAGCGCGATCAAACTTGTCCCATAAATCTGACACGGCGCGACCGATTTTAGCTTGATCACTGCCAGTCTGAAGTTGCTCTATGACGCCCAGGAATGATGGTAAGAAGACAAAATCATCCTTATTAAAGGAACTAGCAGTTGGTTCCTCGCTATGTGGTGTTGTCTCTGGTTCAGTAGCTGCGACTGGATCGATAATGATATCTTCAAACATTCTCTTCAACAAGCTCAACAAAAAGATTGGACCCAGTTGCAAAATTGAAGCTGTAGGTTTGGGCCGCTGAATCACGTGCTCCATTTGCCACCAGAAGTGATAATTTCCTCAGGCTGCCAGGCACCTAGTAGAACTTGCAAAAAGATGGCATCTTCAGAACAGGGTCAACAGATTGATCTCGGCGACCTCGACCTTCCTCAACTTCAGCAAGTCAAATCACAGCTTGAGGAGGTAAGTTAGCACGAGATTTCGTGTCTGATGGACTTTTGCGCAAGTCTGTCATCGCGGACTGGCCGTGTTTGCATCACGGCCGATCTGCGTACTCCCATGGTGATGTTAAACTAACAACCTGTGTCGCTTTTTTAGGAACTTTCGCATTTGACGCAATCATATAGCCAGCTCAGAGGAGCTCAAGCTCGATTCAATGACTGTAAAGACAGTGTTGATACCTTGAAGACGGAAAGAGCGGAAGACAAAACCATCCTCGTCCCTTTGACTTCATCATTATACGTCCCCGGAAAGCTTTCAAATGTTGAAACGGTCATTGTTGATGTTGGAACAGGTTATTTTGTTGAAAAGGTTGGTTAAAAATGCTATAGATTGTATCATTCAGCAAATGGGGCATTGACGACCCAATTTTTTTTTCTCTATCGTGTTTAGTCGGTCGCCGATGCTTCCAAGTTTTACAAAGAGAAAATTGACTACGTCAAAGCCAGCGCCGCAAAGCTCCAAGAAACGATTACCAGCAAACAGAGTAATGTTAGAGGTGCGTATGCATTAAAGATCAGCGTTGTCACCCCCCCCCCTTCATTGAGTACGAGACTAACTCACATATGTTCCTGCGCAGCTTTGGTTAACGTGATGCAAGATAAAATCCAAGAACAACAGAAAAACTAATCCTGACTGATATCCAGGGCCATTCTATTTTGACCTCATTCATATAATAAAATCAAAAACTATTTCATTGCTACTTGGAAAAGTGATGTTCAAATAATTTCATTGTTCAAGCGGGGGAAGGCACTGTGTTACCGGTTGAATTGAGATTTTCTAAAAAGCCCAGTAAAAAAAGTCAACCTGTTCTTTTTTGCCACTTCATCACTACCTCCAATTGCGTGCTATTGAGAGACTAGCCCATAGTTATCGCCTCTCTCCAATCTCACTCATTCTGCCAATAGAATGGATATTTTTGGCCTGAGTGGGAGGTCTAAAAACTCTCGACAAAGAACGTCTCCCAACAGCCATGACCTCTCGCCCATCCAAACTCATGCCATCTCGATCGATCCTCCCAAACCAGGCAATGCTAGCAACAAATCACCAACTCGCTTAGCTCAAACAAAGAATTCTAATACATTCCACTCGTTTAATTCTGATGAATCTTACTCAGGTATTCCTCATCGGACCACCATGGGTGCTTTGTGATACCTATCTTGATACTCACCAGCTCTTCTTCCAAACTTAGAACAAACTAACCATACCGACTCAAGTTCCTGGCGCAGTTCGCATTCTTCCAATACCTTCTCGCCGCCTGGTAATGCAGAAAGCGAATTGACTTCGGAAAGGGAGGTGGATGCTATGTTCGAGAAGATGCTTACTCGAAGGGGCTTTCATGATCCGTCTACGCGTGCAACCATGTCGGCGTTTTCTATCGAGAAAAAGCGCCTGATGATCTCACAAGACATGCATGCTGCTGCTGCACCCACTTCATTACCTGTTGTCGCTCCTAACAACCTTCAACCTTCTAAGCGAAGCCGAAGTATCCCCAATGATCTTAAAGAAGTCGACCGCGGTTCACCAGAATATTATATTGTCAAGTTCAAGGATCCCGAGTTGAAAAGCGTCAATCCTCGACTAGTTGCCCATTTGGCTGTTAGCTTGCGTACTATGTCACTGAGGTAAGGAGTATATTCCACCGTTAAGAGTTCTCCATGTGTGAGTGCTGATCTTTAATTCATGTGGCATTATAGCTGGGTGCGACAGTTTATTGACAGTCGCGGTTTGCAAGCCATTACGGATGCCCTTGGTGTATTGAACAGACGGACTCATCGGTAAGTCGATTTATTTTCTTTTTTTCAACCGATCGAAGTATACGAACTTTTCATTAATGTATTTCGTTATTTTGGTAAAATTAGCACCGACGCCGAGCTTCAAATGGAAACCGAGATATTAAAATGTTTCAAATCGCTTTTGAACAATCGCGTAAGTTATTATGACCAAAATGCTTCTCTATCGCATCATGTACAGTGTTGATCGCTAACATTCATTTATTATAGTGGGGAGCTCGAGACGTCATTTTGAACCCTCAATGTATATTCAACGCAATTTTTTCTATTGTTTCCTCCTCCATGGTCACTCGTAAGCTTGTTTGCGAAGTAATGGCATTTTTGTGCTATTGTGAAGAACCGACTGGTCATGAATTGGTATTGCGAGCAATGGACCAAGTACGAGACGCGCGAAAAGAGATCGGTCGCTTCGACGCTTGGTTAAATGTATGGGAAGTTACATTGGATGGCCGTGGAAGACTGGGTAGTATGGTGGGAGCAAGCGATGAATTCAAGAAGCATGGTATACAATCCGCACCGGACAATCAACTATCTGACTATGCTGTACGTTTTCACATTGATGGTTCAATTTCTTTGATCAAATGAAATCCTCCTACTAAGACTAACATGATCTACACGTTACGACATTAGCTATCGAATATGATACTCGTAAATGCCCTTATACAAGTGATGGACGATCTCGAATTGCGCATTCACATTCGAAACCAGCTCAATGTTTGCGGTCTCCAACGAATCATCGAAAAAATGAAAACGTTCAATAATGATCATATCAATCGTCAAATCCAATCGTTCAAATCCGTGGCAGAATCTGATAGTGACGACATGATGGAGATTTACAACGACCAGGTGCTAAATGACTTGAGTGATCCTCGCGATGTCTTTGAATGCATTTTGGCCAGCGTGGAAGGCACTCGCGGATACGAATTTTTTCTTTCTGCACTTCAGCATCTCCTATTTGTTAGAGATGAAGGCGAAGTAAGGTAAAGCTATATGAGTACAGTGACTGCTGCCATCCAATTACGTTCTTTAAATAATATTGATTCTGCTTTAGGACTCGCTACTATCAAGTATTGGATAGTTTCGTCAGTCAGATTGTTCTTGACAACAAAGGACTATCCGATGATTTTACGTCAAGCTATGGGATGTCTGTGAGGTACCTTATTGACAAGTTCGCCGAACAAGACGAACTTAGTGCTGCCCTTGAAGAAGTGAAGGAAACACGGCAATTGTATGAACAGACCCTGGAAGCAAAGAATGCCCTCGAAGCGGAAATGAATGAAAGAGGAGGTGCGTCTTCAGTTAGACTATTTTATGTAAATGGCATCTCCATACTAACATGTGTAGGAAAATAGATGGTATAGTTACCCATTTGAAAGAGAAGACAAGGTCTCTGGAAGACCTTCTGCGCATATCTCGTCACACCATTGCAACTTTGCAGGACAAATTGCAAGACTTGCAAAGAAGCTACCAGCAAAACTTAGCATCAATGGAGGCAAAACTTAATGATGTTGCCGACACGAAGATGACCCCGGATGCGCTGGTGGAAATTGTAAATCAGAGTTCTGCATCAACCGCTGAAAAGAAGGAAACGTTACTTCGAACCTATGAAAGAATACAAGCCCAAGAACGTCTTGAAGGTGCAGATAAAGGTCCAGGGAATAGCATTTTGTCTGTTTCGGTGAGTGTTTTCTTCATTAAATTTGACCTTGAGCCGAAAGTCATCTGCTGACTGTGAACATTTACCGTAGCCTAAACCATCAAGTATTCTCGAGAATGCCCCGCTAGCGCAAGGGCTATCAGCGGCTTTCAAGTCAGAGCTCGCACAGCAATTTGGGTCAAGTAATCGATTAAGTGGTTTCATCATTCCGGGAACTGCACCAAGGCTAGGTGTCTCAAGAAGAGCTCCCATTTTGTTCGAGAAACCAAACTTGGAGGTTGTGCAAGAAGTGGATAATCAACGATCGTCAATTGTCAGTAGTAAGAGAGACAGCAGTAGCTGTGGCGAAACCTCTGATGATGATTATGAAGAGATATCTGGTGGACTAGCTGCAGCGCTGAAGGCTAGAATGCAAAAGCTCAGCCGAAAGTATTCTGAAAAGCAACAAAACGAACTGCCGTCCGCAAATGATTCTCACGAAGATACCGCTACTCTGAGCCAACTTGCAGAAGACCAGATTATAGAGTCACCTCCTGCATCTCCTAGACCTACTGGACTTGGTCTCAAAAATGTCGAACAGTCAGGTTCTCAAAGAGAATCTATGGATGAAACTGCATCACCTATGGTGACTACCACTGCTCCTCCCCCACCTCCTCCACCCCCGCCGCCACCACCACCACCTCCGCCGCCGCCGCCGCCTCAGATTTTCCGGCCGGATACTAATGCAGTCGTTTTACCACCTCCCCCGCCTCCTCCTCCTCCGCCGCCGCCTCCTCCAGTGTCAGCACCGGTGGTACCATTCTATAGTACCGTTCCTACCAAAGCGGCTTCTAAACCAGCAGAGAATATACCACATGTGCCAACAGTTCATGCCAATCCTGCACCACCGCCGCCACCACCACCTCCCATGTTTGCACCACGCCCCACGTCTGGTATTTTGACTCGTAAAGTACTAGGGCATGTACCTACCGTAAAGACACGTGCTCTCCAATGGCAAAAGTTGAATGCTAGCGCTATTCAAAAAACAATTTGGGGAGTCCAAGATGTGGATGAGAAGGCTCTCGAACAAGAGTTAGACCTTGCAGGAGTATTTGCCGCCGCCGAATCGACATTTGCTCAAAAGGTCATTGCAACGCGAGCAAAGGCAAGGAAAGAACGCAAGCAAGAAATTACCATTATTAATCCCAAGAAAGCGCATAATATAAGTAAGTGAATTGCATGCATATTAATAGCTTGCACTATGGCCACTAACTAACGTTATACGCTGTTTAGATATTGCATTGTTGACCAAGTTCAAGCACCTTTCATTTGAAGAAGTTCGACGAAGGATTTTGGCGGTTGATGAGGTCTTTTGTACAGAAACACTGCTCAAGAACCTTCAAGCGAATGCGCCAACTCCAGACGAGCTGGGCAAAATATCGGTCTTTGTTAAAGGTGCCTCAGAAGACGACTTGGGTAACCTCAGCAAGGCTGATGCCTTTTGTGCCGAGGTAGAGTGTATAACCATGATAGACAAGCGTAATTCGCTGAGAAACTAGTAGCTTACAATGCGACGTTTACAGATGATGAAAATCGACCGCTACAAAGAACGTATTGACCATATGTTGTTTAAAATCGAGTTCACCGAAAAGCTTCGACACTTGAGTGAAAATATGAATGCTGTTCTTGAAGCATCCAACGCACTCAAAGAGTCAAAGGCTTTGAAGGAACTTTTGAATGTATGCATTTCTGGAGCATGATTTCCTGGCTTTTTTGTTAATACTCACCCTGACTCTTCTCTCTTAGCTTATCTTGATGATGGGTAACTTTTTAAATAGCAGCAGCTTTAACGGTGGTGCGTTTGGAATTAAGATTGCTAGTATCAACAAGGTTCGTGGACTTGGAGCAAAGTATGGTTTTATCCAGCTAACATATAAATACTGACCATCATGTTGAACACCCACAGCTGGTGGATACGAAGGCAGCAACGGAGAATACAACGTTACTGCATTTCCTTGCAAAGGTGGTCGAAGAAAAACTCCCGCGTGTAAATGAATTTGTTGAGGATCTGAAAGACTGTGATCTCGCATGTAAAGGTAAGATAAACTGAGAAGAACAGAAGTATTACCTGTGACCATACCTTGTACCATTTCTAATGTTCTATCGGACGCTTAGTTACACTACAGGACCTAATCAAAGAATACAACGAGCTTCGCAGCGGGCTGCAACAGCTTAGTCAAGAACTTGCAACCCATTATGACGATGAAAATTATGTCGCAAACCCCGGTGACAATTTTGCATCCACTATGCACAAGTTCTGCAGACATGCTATAGAAAAGTTCGACGACTTAGAAATTCGGTATACATCCATGGATGTAGCCTACAAAGATGCCGTTACATTCTTTGGAGAGAACCCTAGCGAGATGAAGCCAGATGAGTTCTTTGCTATCTTCCGAACGTTCATGTCCAGCTGGGAGGTAAATATTACCATCGTCATCTTTTATTACTTTTCATGGATACTGTTGGCTTAACCTACACATTGCATCTAGAGGGCTAGAAAAGATCTTGTAGAGGAGAGAAAACGGGCAGAGCTACTGGAAAAGACACGCCACGCTGATGCTGAGCGCAAGGCACGAGCTCAAGAACGCAAACAGGTGGTTGACATTAGCGAGTGTAAGTACAGATATTCAAGCTTGGAAACGGATATTCCCTACGTATTTTTCTCACTTTTGTCGCTTTCCAGCCAATTCAGACGAGGATAAATATATCATGGACAACCTTTTGGAAAAGTTACGAGCTGGCGAGTTGGCTACCAATACCAAGAAGCGAACGGCTAAACGAAGAGAATCTATACGTGAGCGTCGACTTTTGCGAAGTGACTCGGTGGTCATTAAAGCGGAGGATCTACTCAAATATATTCAAAACGAAGAAGAAAATGCCGCAGCAGCAGCACCACGACAACCGCGAACACGATCGCGCCGCTTAACAGCATCCAGTCGATTGCGTCAACTGGCATCTCCCACTGGCTCTCCTATATCAGATGCTGATGTGGCAGAACAAAGTGACGAAGAAAAGCATAGCTAGACTTCAACCTATTTAATACTATATTTTGCATTGTCACTTCGTTTTTGTACAGGCTATAGTACTTTTAATATATGAATATACATGGAAAATAGTGGGTTTTTGTTAATGTTATGATCGTTATAACTTGGGAACATCATTTACTGCTGGAAAATTGGACATCTATGTCAGTCACCCGTGAGCCAGTCAACGACAGGAAAAAAAAAACGACGAAAGCAAAATAAAAACATGAGCATTAGAATAGATTGACTTTCAAACACTGATCAGTAGGTTGGCTATACACAGCATCTTACGATGATGGTCTACAAATATGTTTATTACAAAGCATGACGATCAAATATACTCCAGACATGCAAGACACACTTACGATCGGCACACCAATACCATTTGGATGGATTTAAATGCCGCTATACATGATGATATACCTGCAGAAAGACATCGGCACATCATACTTACGCTAGAATTCTGCCTTTATGACCGTCGGGCTGCTTTGATTGTAGTGCTTGAGTTCCTGAAACAATAATAGGATGAAAGCACCGAGCTAATATATTTATTGTGAAGTCCAATGGCTCTTCAAACCGGTTTAATCCAACCGCAAATGATCAATAGTAAATTTCTGCTGGTAAACGCAGAGTCATTGCATAACTTCTATGAAACGTCTTTCAATAGAATATTTCAATCTACTTAGTCAGTCGTCAGCTTTAAGCCCGCTACCAAGATGAGTCAATTGCTGGGCAGCCAAGGGCTTACGTCACCCCGACAGCTTCCGACCCTTCAAAAAAAAAAAAAAAGTCCCGTACTGGAATAAGTTCGTACGCTTACACCCACCCAATCTAATGTTTAGCTCCAGATTTGGCCAGATCGCTAATAGATCGGCCACATTTGCTCGTTACAGTACGAGAATACAGCCTAGGGCTGTTCTCAAGGCTGAAAATACCTTGTACGCCAATCCAGCTAGAGTTCGCCGCAACTTTTCGTCTGAAAAGGAACCCAAGAAGAACAATGAGCACGGCGAAAAGGAATCCAAGTCAGAAAGCGACAAACCTTTCAACATCCCAAAAGGATTTGAAGGTTTCTTTGGCAGAAAGGCAGCTGATGGCAGTGCAAAACGTGGAGCCGACGAAGCAGCAAAGCAACACGCAAAGAAAGCTTCCAACGAGATCCCTAAGCCTCCACCTTCCGGAGGTCCCAAAGGCAATGGACCACCAGAGATTCACCTTAATCTAAACACCATTGTACCCACTTTGTTTGGAACTTGGCTTTTGTGGAAAATGACTTCACCAACTGATATGTCTAGAGAGATTACCTGGCAAGATTTTAAGACCGAATTTCTCGACAAGGGTCTAGTCGACCGTCTTATGGTTGTCAATCGTAACCGGGTCAAGATTTTGTTACGCCCTGAGGCAACTTCCATTGGTGCGACTCCCAACGCTGTATACTATTTCAGTATCGGCTCCATCGACAGCTTCGAGCGCAGACTTGAAGAAGCACAACGTGAACTTCAAATCCCATCTTCGGAACGAATTCCAGTTGCCTATCATGATGAAATCAGTTTAGGCAGCACACTCTTGCACTTTGCACCTACTCTTCTCTTAGTTGGTGTTTTGTACTATATGACTAGACGTGCTGGAGGTGCTGGCGGCGGTGGTCAAGGTATCTTCGGCATTGGAAAGAGCAAAGCCAAGATGTTCAACCAAGAGACCGATGTCCGTACCAAGTTCAAGGATGTCGCTGGTGCAGATGAAGCCAAGGAAGAAATTATGGAATTTGTAAAGTTCTTGAAGAATCCTTCTCATTATGAACGTTTAGGTGCCAAAATTCCCAAAGGAGCTATTTTGTCTGGTCCTCCAGGAACAGGTAAAACCTTGTTGGCTAAAGCAACTGCTGGTGAAGCCGGTGTTCCTTTCCTCAGCGTTTCAGGTTCCGAGTTCGTCGAAATGTTTGTCGGTGTCGGTCCTTCCAGAGTGAGAGATTTGTTCGCCACAGCAAAGAAGAACGCTCCTTGCATTATCTTTGTCGATGAAATTGACGCCATTGGTAAAGCTCGTGGTAAGGGTGGCCAAATGGGTGGCAACGATGAGAGAGAGAGTACACTCAATCAGCTTTTGGTTGAAATGGATGGCTTCGACTCCAACGAACATGTTGTTGTGTTGGCTGGTACCAATCGACCGGATGTGCTTGACCCTGCTCTTATGAGACCGGGACGTTTCGATCGACACATCGCCATTGACAGACCTGACATTGGTGGCCGTGCACAGATTTTCAAGGTCCATCTTCGCCCAATCAAAACCAACGAAGACATTGAGCGATTATCCAACAAGCTTGCCGCTCTCACACCTGGTTTCTCCGGTGCCGATATTCACAATGTTTGTAATGAAGCTGCTTTGATTGCTGCTCGACATTTGAAGAATGAAGTGGATGAAGTAGACTTTGAAAATGCTATCGAACGTGTCATTGCTGGTTTGGAGAAGAAATCCAGAGTTCTTTCACCTGAAGAAAAGAAGACCGTTGCTTATCACGAAGCTGGCCATGCTGTCGCTGGCTGGTATCTTGAACACGCCGATCCTTTGCTCAAGGTTTCCATCATTCCCCGTGGTGTTGCTGCCCTTGGTTATGCTCAATACCTTCCCAGGGACCAATACCTGTACTCCACTAAACAACTCTTGGATCGTATGTGTATGACCCTTGGTGGACGTGTCGCTGAGCATATTTTCTTTGACACCATTACAACGTAAGTTTTGTTATTTATTTATTTTGTGGTGGGTTTTTCCACAGATGCAAGTTTTTAAACAAAAAAAAATTGTCTTACAGTGGTGCACAGGACGATTTGTCCAAGGTTAGCAAAATGGCATATGGTCAGGTTGCAACTTACGGTATGAACCCTGTCATTGGACCTATCTCTTACCAAGATCCAAATGGTCAAGAAAGCTTCCAAAAGCCCTTCTCTGAAGACACCGGTAAACTCATTGATGCCGAAGTTCGAAAGCTGGTGAACGAAGCCTTTGACCGAACATTCAAGCTGTTGACGGATAAGAAGGAAGATGTCGAGAAGGTAGCCCAATTGCTTCTGAAGAAAGAAGTGCTTAACCGGGAAGATATGGAAACCCTCCTTGGAAGGCGACCTTTCGTTGAAAAGACAGTGTATGATGAATACGTTAGACCCAAAACCGTAAGTGCACGTTGTATGAAGTTTATTGCAAGTCGGTCTGAAGCGACTGACATTCTCCATCTTGATACAGAACTCTGCTCCCCCACCATTCCCTGAAGATAGAAATGAGCAACCACCCAGCCCTGATGTTAAATAGAATGCTTTTATGTTAGAATTTTTCAAAATGCCCAGCTTAAACTCCCACTCCCCTCTCCATATGCCTCATCGATGATATGTAATGCCAAAAGTTTTCGTCTTTATTATGGCACATTTTTTTTTTGTCATTTATCTCCTCACTCACTCCATCACCCCCTGTTTGTACACTTGTTTTCTTCATAGTAGACAACCGTTTTGAAATACCAAACCCAATAGACTGTAGAGCGAATGAAATCTTTATGTCTCCTCCCCGTTGAGCCACAGACCTTAAATTTACCAGCAAATTGGTCAGTTTCACCTTTTGACTGCTTCTCATTGATTGGCGATTCTGCATTTTTTCGTGCAACCGTTCTCGCGCCTGGCAGCATTCATCGCACACAACTTCTGACATCCCATCACTACATTGTTAAACTGCTTGGTTGACTTTCTCATCTAGATCGATTCATGTATATCGCATGAGTGTAGATACAAAGTTAATTCTAAGTCTGATAAATCGGGTCGCTGTCCGGGTAAGCTTGCCTCGCATCTCGGCTGTAGCCGTGCTCACCCAGCTCATTTACTGACAACTCTAATACCACTGTATTCCTTTCAACTTTAAAAACAGCTTCCAAGCAACAGCGGACGGCGGCTCGAGAGTCTGGAAGCCGATCCACTTATGCAGCAAACTGGTACGTCTCCAGCATTGAACGGATGCTTCCTCATTCTAGTTTTTAACATGCCTTTTGCAGTCGCTGCCTTAATCGAGCTTTCCAAGTTTAGACTTTCGACCATTGCCAACCAATTGGTTTCTGTATTAGAAAACGTTTCCAAGGTAGTCATCACTGAGCATTCGGATGGATTGTCATAATGTTCCTCCTATTCATCCTATTTTTCTTCCTTGCAGTCATCTTCTCTATCTATTGACGATTATGTCCCATACGATGTTCTTCAATCCCAGCTTTTCTTGTTACGAATGCTTTCAGCCTGTATGCAGCATCATTGGAAATCTTGCCGAGAGAGCGCATCTGAGTTGGAAGATCCCGACGACCTCGGATTGGACAACGATGCGAGATCTTTGTCCAGTAACGAGGACAATGGTAGTGAAAACGGACAAGATCAATCAGACGGCCTTCCACCCGTGCTAGAGGATCCTCCAGCGTTAGACGAACCTCTTGCAAAATATATTGTTAATGTATTGATGCGCTTCATTCACCAAATGGCGTCCATCGATGACAAAGCCTTCGCACACTATTCCAACAATACGCCAGGCATTGCACGATCTGAGCAACACTATTTTCCATCCAATACCAACAGCTCGACAGGTATCATTATCGATATCTATAAGGCTGCTTGCAGGGTCATCTTCTACACCAGTGCCAGTAACTGGAATGTGGTATTTGCCAAAGTAAAGGCGAGAATCATGTATCTTACCACCACCTCTGAAGAGTACCCTGAAACAGCTGATCTACGTCTCTTGGAATGCTCAGCATTGGACTCGAAGCGACTTACCATGGTATTGACTAGTATGTATTTTCCGTGTGGTTGTTTTTGCCTTTGCCTGACATCATGACTAATATTGTCTCCACCCATCTGTCTTTCACAGCTCTGTGTTCATCTTTTTTGCATATGAAGAAAAATGCTCAGCTCGCGATAGCCGTGTCACTCAGAAGAGCCATTTGGGGCTGGATAGAGACTTACCCCGCGGAGTTTGTACAGCTGTGTCAATCTCAAAGGCGCCTTGAAGGCAGCCCAGAGATTCTATTTGATATTTGTAATTCTTTAGCCGATACGTCCAAGAGGAAGGCTATTCTCTGGCCACTTCAAACTATGTTGCTTATTCTATGCCCTGATGTATTGATGGCAGCTACCATGTCTGAAGGCCGTGGAGTTCAATCCAAAAAGGTATGGCCATACCCAATTTATTGGGCTTCGGATCATCCCGAAATGATTTCATATTAACTCGTGTAATTCTCTCCCTCTCTATTTTGCCTAGTCTATCTTCCTTGACACACTTCGAAAGACCTTACGAGGAAGTCGTTCCTCAGACCTAGCCTCCATATGTTACGTTGATATTTTCAAAGCATCAACGTACGTCTCCAAAAGTGATACCTCGGCCTTGCGGCACATGGTGCCAGAAGTTGAAAATGAGCTCAAGGAGAAGTTGTTCGACATTAATCGCCATCTCAGCTCCGACAACTCCATTAGTAATCTCGGTATATACATTGATCAACGGGCTTTAATGTCAGACTGCTTGACAGCGTTGTTCCGTCTGAATCCTAGAAATACCGTCCGCACTCTAGTTCCCATTTGTCTCGATGACCGAGCTCCCCTCATCTTCAAACTCAGTCTCCTCAAAGCTTGCTTGACCATTGCTTCCGAGGAGAACTGGTTATTATGGAATCCCTCCATCTCTATTGTCTATACTTCCCTCGCCGCTCCTCTCCGAAAACTATTTCTGGAGTTGGTCAAAGCCGAGTATGCGAAGAGTGAAACGAGTTTGTTCACAAACAGTAGTCGCAAACTCAACCTCGGATCCAACGACAAAAATAAGAGGAAGGAACTTCAATTGGAAAATGACCAAAAATATGAACTACTGCTAGATTTGCTTAGACTATATCGCGTGAATCCAATGCTGGCCATCATGGTAAGTCATTTTATTTCCTTCGAATTCCTTGTTGAATATCACTCAATGTACTAACATGGGGTTTGTTGACCTTTTTTCAAAAGGGTGAAGAAGAGGATCGTTTTGAGCAAAATTGTTCATTAATGCTAGGTATCACAAATTGTCTTCGGGACCGTAATCACATCATTCGCATGGCTGCTGCCGATTGTTTGTTCAAGCTCCACACTCCTGGTTACATTGTCCGCTGGAACCAATCCGGCGCTATGATGGAGACATTTTGGAAAATCTCATCTGTGGTTGTGCTTGATCTATCAAAGCAAATTCTGGACAACCGCGAAAGGGATGATAGTCTTAAGAGTTTGCTGGATCTTCTGCGAAGACTTCTTGCCACTCGCAACGATTTCATTCGAGCTCATCAAGACATCGCCTTGAATGGCGCTGATATTCGTGAGCGCTTACAAGCTTCTGTTGCTCTCGAAATTGCTCTTCTTGTTCTTCTGTGCTCCGCCGATACAGAAATTTGCTCTGGTGCCATCACCTGCTTTGGTTATCTATGCGCCGAAGCTGATCTCACAGACTGTCAGGATAGTCCCGTTCAGAGCCCACTGACCATTGTCGAAAATTTACCCGTTTATGTCGAGCTTTCTACTGCCGGTGGTGTGGTTACGGGTCGTAAAGCACAGCAGAAGCGAATAAGAAAACTCCTTCGCATGATCGCTAATTATACACCGGGTAATCTGGCTGCATGGGAAGAAGCCTGGAAGCGTTGGAAGATACTTACTCAGATCATGACCAAGCCCGTGGAAGAGTCTCGAGAAGAAGTTCTTGATCAAGGCAAAAAAGTTGGTTCCATCTTTCATGACAAGCTGAATAGAAGCGTGGCCAAACAGACATCAACTGTTTTCACTCGCATTGAAATTGACGAAGAGAGATCATTGGAATGGCAGGTAAGCCGAACATTTGGAGATTGAATGCAGGGAAAAAAAAACGCGTACTGATAGCGTACCTTCGTTTCATAGAATTACACTGGATTTTTGGCTGCTTTGGGCGGCTGCTGCTTGATGTCGGAAGCTTTATCATCTCCATCGCCTACAAAGGGCAAAAGCCGCGCAGCATCCATCAACTCTGATCAATATCGCCGATCAACAGCTCCCGGTGAATCTGCCGGTATGGTGGATAAGTTCATCATGGAAATGGTCGACTTATTGGTCTCAGACAATGTTCTTGTGCGTGAAGTGGTCAAGGAAACCCTTGGTGCGGATCTGTCCCCTGGTTTGTTTGTGATCCTTTTCCGTCATTTGGAAAGTGTTCTCTCCCGTTGCTTTGATGCTACTGGTGAAGCCATCTGCAGTGAGCGATATACCCTTTTCGTGGAACAAGCCATCTCTGTTCTCAAATTGGTCTTGGATCGTATCGTTGATCCAAGTGACAGTCTTTTCACTGTGGATTTCAGTGGACTGATCAATCAATACGCTATGTACCTGAATAAGTTGGGTACAAACCATGTTGCTCTGCGAATTAAGGTGAAGATGTGCCAGCTTTGCGAGGTTTTAATGAGCAAGAAGGATCATATCACCCTGCGACAAGAAATCAAGCTTCGTAACAAGTTACTTGAGATCATTGTTGAATGGACTAGTGATTTCTCCTTGGTAAGACTACTCACATTTCCATTATGATTGCCATGGCAACCACTAGTGCTGATATGCTACTTTTACAGAAACCTGACACTCAGTCGACGTTCTCATCGGTGGAAACATCCCAAAACGAAAAACTTCATAGAGACTTGGATCAAGCTTGTCTAAAGACCATTGTTGCTCTCTTGCACCAGCTACCTTTGCAACCACCTGATCCAGTCCACGAATCCGACCTTGGTCAAGTGAAGAGCAGATTGTTCTACAAATATTTCACCTTCTTCTTAAAGCTCTTGAATCGTTGCAGGATATCAGAGGTAAGGCCTACGCTGAAAAATACGAGAAACCGTGCTTTAAAAGATACGCGATGGCTGATATAATCTTTTCTCCATCAATTAGATTGAAACCAGTCAACAGAGTCATCGCAACACACAAGATTTAAGCCTGAACAGAGTACGTGTTGAAACGTTTGATCCATGTAGTTTACGACGCACAGTATACTGATTATATGCGCATCATTTCTTTTTAGACTAAAGGCGCTGCTGCCAAGGATCTGGGCTCTTTGAAAGACTACACCATCCTCGCCATGTCAAACTTGCTCAGCGCGAATGTGGATGCTGGACTGAAGTATTCGCTGTCAATGGGGTACCACGAGGATACTCGTACAAGAACTGCTTTCATGCAAGTCTTGACCAACATTCTCAATCAAGGAACAGAATTCGAAACCTTGGCTGAGACTGCCTTGACTGACCGATATGAGAAGCTTGTTGATGTAAGAATTTTTCGATATTTATCGGGTCGTCGCCGTGAAGTTACCGCACACTTTGCTTAGCCTTGCCCTTATCCTTTACAGATGATTGTGGATTCCGACTTGACAATTGCTCTATCTCTTTGCGACGTCTGTCCTATGTCTGATCTCGATGAAGTTGCTCATATTCTGTTGACCTGCTTCGAATCGCGCCAAAGGATATTGCCGCTCTTGAAGGCAGTCATTGAGAGAGAGGTTGCAAATACAGGTATGGAACTGTTTGAATATTGTTTGGAGGTATATAAAATTGCGTGGACAATAACGTTGTATGACGGTTTCAACACAGAGAGCGAAACGGAACTGTTCAGACGAACAAGTATGGCGACCAGGTTACTGTCGGCGTATGCAAAGACCTATGGTTCCGAATACATGAAGACCACTTTGCATAAAGCAATGGAGACTATGGTCAATAAACCAGCCGAAGCAAAGACTTTTGAGTTGGACCCATCCAAAGTAGAAAGCGGAGAAGACATTGCCAGAAACAAGCAGAATGTCATCGACACCACCGACTTGTTCCTGAATGCGATCTGTGCTTCGACAAATGACGCTCCAAGGTTTGTAGCCTAGAACGTTTTGGTTTTGCTTGAAAGAACTTTTTGTTTTTTAACCCATTTTGATGTCACCTCTAGATCATTTCGTGAGATTTGTCACTATATCTTGAGCTCAGTTCGTGAACGTTTCCCGGAGGCAAAGTACACGGCGGTTGGAGGATTTATCTTCTTGCGTTTCTTTTGTCCCGCCATTGTATCACCGGAGGCTGAAGGATTGTTCAAGTTACCTCAACCACAAACTCGGGATATTCGTCGTGGTCAACTAATTGTGACAAAAGTCATTCAGAATTTGGCCAATAACATTCTGTTTGGTGCCAAGGAGACATACATGATTATATTGAACGACTTCTTGACCAGCAACATTTACAAAGTCACTAATTTCTTGCGTGAGATGTCCAACCTTCCACCAGTGGCTTCCCCCGTTCATAGTGAAGATTCCAGTACTCAGATGGAGGAAAAAGATTATGCCAAATTACATCGCTATCTTTTTGATAACTTGGAGCGCATGACCCGTGATTTAGCGGCACGAAAACCTCTTAACCAAGATGTGGATTCTACTCAGGGCTGGAAGAAGTCATTTGACAAATTCTCAACGTTGCTCGCACAACTGGGACGACCTCCAGAAATACCTCAAAGCGAAACTAGTGTTGCTCGAACATATACACATGGAGCATCCAATCAGCTTTACACTGAGTTTATGCGAAGAAATGGTCACCGTAATATTGATCCTGTCAGCTCCAAGCATATATTCTTTGAAGGAGGTGTCTCTAAAGCAGGACGACCGGTGTTTTATTTCATTACTCGCAATGTCAGCGCCGACAGCATCGATTTTGAGTTATTAATTTACCATGTCCTTCAGGTGAGTCTACATATGATTTTATTTTTTTTGGGTTGTGATGACCCACCAGAAATATGGACAGGCGCATGGTACTTATACACTGATTTCTTTAGGTCATGGAACGATCTCTTCACAAACCTATCGAACTGCTCTTTGATGTCACTCAGTTTGGTCCGTCGAACGAGATTCCAAACCAGTGGCTCAATCAACTCCTCCAACTCTTACCACCAGATGTCCACGAAAACATTTCAACTATCTACATATATAATGCTAACTCGCATCTTCGAAAATACACAAAGAAATTGCCCCGACCTGTCACCTACAAAATTGGCAAGCGAATTGTTTTTGCTGTCACTCTTGCTGAATTGCATGAGCACATTGCTCCTTCCGAGGTTCGACTACCCAAGTCTACTGGTAAGTTATGTTGGAGTATATTCTGAGCGATAGACCATGAAACTAACTCTGGGCCCCATTTTTCCCCTTAAACTACTGTAGTCGCTCTCGAAACCGATCCTAGCGCGGTCTTCTTCCCCGTCAGCAAACTATCACACTATAGAACTGTGATAGCTGTCACTATTAAGGTTGGATTGGAATACATTCAGATCATGACAGTAAGTACTTTATGATTTCATTCAAGTAGCAAATACTTCAGGCAGCTTACTCACACGATGCTCTTTTGCCAGGTCCGTAAGCAAGAACTGTTCTATGGACTTAATGCTGTGACAAACGATGTATATCATATCTCTTCCATCGATGATATTACACTGGTTCCGCAGAAGAGGCATGGTGAAGACCCCAATGAGTTTATCATCAAGTATGATAAGGGCAAGTCGTCCATGACTCTATCAACTGCCAAGCGGGATGCCATCGTCAGCGTTTTGCGACATAACAAACAGCGATATGAAATTTCTAAGCCCGCCAACATCTCTGAACGCATCATTCGCCCCAATGATGTACCTGGTCGCCTGCTCAACATGGCACTGCTTAATATTGGAAGTGAAGACCCTAATTTGCGATTGGCTGCCTATAATTTGCTTTATGCGCTCAGTCTCACGTTCCGCTTCGACGTTGGGAACCAATTGTTAGACGCAAAAGGTAAGAAATATTAGAAAATCTGGTTGGTTTGGGTTCGCATGATATGCTGACCGATTGGGGTGATGGCAGATCTCTGTATTCCAGCCAACAGTACCGGCTTCATCATTGCTATCAGTGAAAAGCTAGCTGTCACTGAACCTTCCTTAACGCTCGAGTTTTTGAATGAATGCTTTGTTGGCTTTAACAAATCAAGTGAGCCACTGCGCCACTTGTGCCTGGACTACATGGCACCTTGGCTTCCAAATCTCTCCATCTTTGCCCGTAACTCCCCAGAAGATGGCAAACAAACTTTGACCAAGACGAAAGAAGTCATTCGACTGCTCATTGACTTGACTGTCACTAGAAACGATGTAAGCTTATGGGTTGGATTTTATTTATGTTTTGCTGTGGGTGCACGGGAGAACCTGCGCAAAGGTTCAACCAATACGATGGAAAATCTAACAAACCTGACATGACTCTTACCTCCAGATGTACAATATCGTTCAAGCCAAAATTTGGAAAACGCTTGGCAAAGTGGATGACTTGATTAACCTAGTCCTTGACGCATTTGTTCACTTCTCGGTTGAGCATGGTGTTGGGTCCGCTCAAACAGAAGCCATGGCAGATACGTTTGTGACGTTATCCAATGTAGCAGTTCGAGGCAAAGTCATTGCACGACTTCGCAAAGTTCTCCAGAGAACGTCTCTCAAACCTAGCCGAATTCTTACGGAACACCCCGCCTGGACTGAAATTGCCGTGTTGATTCGATTCATCCTAATGCTTTCTTTCAATATTCAAGGCCCAGTCAAGCCATATATTCCAGAGATCTTTCACATTGTCTCTATGCTGGCTGCCACCGGCCCTACGTTGATTCGCACATCTGTTCATGGACTTGTTGTCAATGTGATTCAAACTGCCTGTACCACTATTCCGCTACCCGAAGGAAGCCTGAAGAAGATGCAATTCTTGTTGACCGACATCTCGGATAGCAAGCACAGATTGCTGTTCGGTTTGACTAAACCCCATGCCAATGCATTTACTATCACTCAAGAAACCATGACCGATGTTGCCGACTCGATGCCCCTTGCCTCGCTTGAAGCTGTTGTTCACACTCTGCTCGAGGCTTTGACATTTGGTGCACCATCCATGGGTAAGTCAACTTTGACCCTCACCGTTTAATCTTTTCAAAGACGTTGACAGGATCGCCCTTAACGTGTCTGTTTGTTGGAACAAACATTAACGATGTTACTCTTGTAGATGTTGCCAATATGTGGCGTGCAAGATGGATGAGTCTTGTCACCAGTAGCGCTTTTCAGTTCAACCCTGCTATTCAGCCTAGAGCATTTGTCGTGCTGGGTTGCTTGGCGCAAGAAGAAGTAGATGACGACTTGTTGTACCAGATTTTGGTAGCGTTACGTGGTGCCTTGGCCATTTTCAACGAATCGGATTCCAACTTGATCACTAGTATCATGATGTGCCTCAAGAACATTGTTGAGAGTCTTCCAGCTGATTCTCGCTACCTCCAGCAACTGTTTTGGTTAGCCATGGCGCTTGTACAAATTAATCACCCAGCAACGTTTGCTACAGCAGTTGATCTGCTGCAAGCTGCCCTTCGTGCGTTGGATGCCAATGGATTTTTCAATGATGAACCTGTCATCGATGTTCTTATGGCAGCTAGGGAACCTCTTGTCGGTGTTGCAAGACTTTTGGATGAGGCAAGTGGGGTTAACTTCGAAACCCACTTTTCATTCGCTGTCGCTGGTATTCTTATGAAGGGCATGAAGCACTCCAATCCGAAAAATACGGTATTCCAAGGTTTGACGACTTTCTTAGACATCGAATGTAAACATACGATGGAACAAAATATTGTTGAATCCAAGACACTGGGCTATTTGGCAGGACTATTACCCATTGCAGCCAAGAACTTGGCGCTCAAGGAACTGTTGCGTTTAGCCGGTATCAATGATGTGGAAATTGAGAATTCGGAAGTCGGTACTACCTACTTCCGCATATTTGACAAGTTAGACATCCCGAACAACACCACCGCCCTATTACTGGTCTCGTTGCTGGTCACCATGCTGAACTCGGCTGATAACGAAACCGAACGCTTATTCCTGTATGGTATTCTCGCTGAGGCTGCGGTGGCTATTCCCGAGGTGTTTGCATTGATGTAAGTTTTGTGATTCTCTGTACTTGCGCCCCAATTGTCAAAATCAAAAATTAACTCGAAATGGCGTTTTTCTACACCAGATACGATACCTTGCTTCCCAGAATGAATCAGATTGTCGTCAGCAGCCAGACTCATCCCATTATAGACTCAGTCAAGTCGATTTTGTACACTGCTTGTTCTGAGCCAGTGTTCAATCAAGCAAAGTCTCAGAACCGAAGTCAAAAAGCTTATCTTGAAGAGCTAGGATTCTCTGCCTTGGGTGACCCAGTGTTTGGAGCGGCCAAAACAAACGTTGCCAAGAATGCCAAACTTGCAAGTGAACTTGTTGAATTAATTATTGCTTAGAGTACCCCCCAAGGACTTTTTCGAAAGTAGTGAATATATATATTTTCTTTTAAAGCAAGATATGTATTTCACTAGAGCCACCCACCGTTTTCTTCTTTAAAAAAAGAAAACCCAAAAAAAAAACCAGAAAACAACTTGTCTTATGTTTTATCCCCCTATTGTTGTAATTGTAATTCATTTTCTTCGTTATGCTGTTTATGCATCTCTCTCCCGTTCTATGTTGCCTATGATGTTCACGTAAAATCTTTGCTTTCATATTAAAAATTAAATTAAAAAAAAGGAAGAGACAGCATTACTTTCAAAGAAATTTATTGTACAGTTTGAGTTAGTATTGGGGGGCATTTTTGGGGGTGGATTTTTTTCCTTTTCATTTGATGTTGATAAAGCTCTTAACATGGTCTTTTTTGGTGTATTCCTGATGTTCTTGACAACTCCGCCACGGCTTGTCGTAAATTTTCTTCAGATACTTTGTGCCTTTCGAAGCGGCATCAGGTATAGACGAAGATGAAGTAGAGGACAGGCTGGAGGCGGAACTGGACCGACTCAGCTGCTCGGCATGATGTTGTAATGCAATTTCATGTTTACTATCAGCCAAACGTTGCGCTACCCGGCGCAAGCTTTCTGTCATCGGATCTTCAAATTTCCTGACTTGATGATACTCTCGATTGACTCGATCCATCTCCTTTGTTAGTCTTAGCATGTTGGCAGGATGAGCCAAGTAATTTTTGTCGGAGGCAAATACATGCTGCCGTTGCAGTAATAGTTTGTGTTGAGTACGTGATAAATTGTGGGGTTGAGCATTGGCTGCTATAGCGATGTTACTAGTTCCAGGAGGAGTATTCACAACCGTAGGTTCTGAAGGTTTGAAGTGGGTGTCAGGGGCACTACTACACGTGGTGTTGGTATCAGATGGTATAGGGACATAGGGAGCTGGAGCTAGTTGTGGCGGCGGTGCGGTAGTAGGGTTCAATGATGATGAAGAGGAGGCGCCTATCGATTTGTCGGCATGGGCGGTGTATGGTGTTACCTGAGTGACAGGGCGTGCTGCCAGATCTGGTTGGCTGGCCATATGCCGTAAAGGGGTATATTTCTTGTTGCTGGCTAAAGGACCTCCTCCTCCACTTGCTTCAAATGATTTGCTCAGCAAATTCACATTGGTTCTTGGATTTGTTTCCGAAGGCGTTTGTGCGGCCGTATTGATATGGTCATGCTGCTTGGCACATGACGCTATGTTCTCGTGAGCTGACAGGGAGCGCTGATGTGCTTCCCATTCTTGCAGTTGTTGTCTCAATAAGCTTACAGGAGAAGATGTGCTACTGCTTTTTGGTCCTGCTTCATGATGATGCCGATGATGGAGTGCACGTGTATGTTCCAACGTCGAAGGTGACCTGGTCGACTTGCCATCCAATTTCGCTAATTGCACATGACCTTTTTCAAACTCCTTTGTATTATGATCTGCTGAATCGTCCGACTTCCGCCACTCTGGCTGGACCAAAGCTTGTATATCGTATATTGGCTCCCGTATGTAGTTCTGCATGGCAGGATCTACTGCCGTCATCGTCATGTCGGGTAAGTTTTAGGTTGTAGGTTGGAAAATATAGATACAGCGGGACAGCTTTTTTTTAGAAAAAAAAAAAAAGATAAAAAAAAAAAAGGAAGAAAAATTCTCGTTCTTTCTGCCAAAGGTCCTACTTTAAGATAATGCCCAAAAAAAAATGGGTTTACAATCTCTCTTTCGTCTCCAAAAATGGCTGCTGATATTGAACCTGTCTATTGGAATACGCACTGTGAGCGCGATCAGACGAAAAGTTGAAAGAGTAAAAATAGAGAAAGAGAAAGAAGAATAAGGAAAATGCTGGAGGCAATCAAAAAAATTAGGTGTAATAAAGGGCTTGTCTTTGATTGCGTTGAAAGGGTCAGTGGAGAATCATGTGGGGGTGCTGCCCATCTGACCACGTAATTGAAATTCAACTCAATCAAACAACTCAAAGGTCACCTGCAAACCCTCTCTCTTTACGTGCAAGGAATCTCTATATTTGGCAAGCCATGCTGGAGCGAGGGCAGTTTAAAAAGATTGACAGAAAGAAAAAGGCATAAAGTCATGTTTCCAAGCAGCAGGGGCCAAGAAAGACAGCATGTCAAAAAAAAAAAATCATACTTGTAGATCACTGCGCTGCCCTGCCCTGCCCTGCACGATTTTTGCCTTGCACTTTGAAAACATGACTGCAGATACCCTACTAACCGCGACAGACTCTCAACATGTCGCCCAGTTCAAATTCATGGCAATCCATCCTCTAAATTCCCAAACTGTGTTTGTGCTTTTCGAAACAACACACTCGTCACCACCAGCTAACAGACGCCTCAGACATGGTTTCGGACAAACGGAACGCATGCTCTTCGACGCCCTGTGAAGAAATCGTCAGCCGTTAACAAGCGTATAATTTCAGGGTTCATCTCCCCCCTGTCAGCCATCGATCATTTTTGTGGGGGGGGGCAATCCAAGGGTGACTGTTGAGCCGATCATTTTCATCGAGCTCCAACAAGATTAATGGAACAAACGTATCTATTGTCGGTCCTCGCTTCCGTAAATACTAAATCCAATAAATGGCGTTCTACCAGTTTTGAATGTCAACTGGTGCGGAACGCGCTTGAAACAGCACACTTTGTCTCAGGGCAAAGATCATCATATGGAAACGACCGCCTCCTTGGCAAATGTGTAATCGAAATGTAGTTCGGTAAAGCAGGACAAACAGCGCATCAAGGCGGGATGAGTGCTTTTCTCTTTATCAGAACCAACACTATTTTTAATCCTTCAACTCACCTTCTATGTTAATTTTTAGTAAAACCTTTGGACCGATTTACTGCACACCTTCTTCGAATTCTACCTTACCAGCTCAATGTAATAATGACTGCCCAGCAACCACATAGATCATTCGTTACCAATGAACGTTCGTTATCATCCATCCCAATTAATTTATTTCGATTTATTGAGCGTATACTGGGTGATAGTGGCCGTTTAGTAAGTGCGCTCTGCAAAGGATGTATCAACGTGGCTGATGCCTCGTGGCTGGTGTTACTGGCAAAATGCTCAATGCAAGTTTTTTGTCCGCGCAATTTTACTCGCAATTTTACTCGCAATTTTGCTGGGTCTTCCGAAATTTTTTTTTTCAAGCAGTGGCATTCACAGTTGCAACCTTTGCTGAAGATTTTCCATCATGCCAACCAAAAAGTCAAAAGCAGACAAACCAAGTAACAGCTCTAATGCCAAAGGTAATTACTGATGTCCACCGTCTTGTGCATGTTCTGTCACTCACTATTGACGTCTTATGTCAACAGCTTCAACAAGTCAGCCAAAGGCGTCTTCCGAGATTGATGACATTTTCAGCAAGAAGAAACCCGCAGGCGAGATCGACGACATTTTTGCCAAAAAACATGTAGAGCAAAAAGCAGTTGACAGCGCCTCAACTGCTTCATCAAGTCACAAAAGCGGAAAAGAAAAGAAGGAAGGCGCCGTAGATCAAGCCGATGATTCGCAAGCTGTTGAAGAGGTCGTCTTTGCCGAGCTGGCAGCTGTCAAAGCATCCAAGAAGCGAGCTTCTCAGCCCAAGGTTGCTGACGATGATGGCTTTGGTGATTCCAGAGGAAAGAAGTCTAGTACGTCAATTATAAAAAGTTTATTTTTATATACTTCATCAGCATGTCAAATTAACCATCATTCTTTCCCAAATTTTTTTAGAACGCACCACAGATGATGGCTATCCTCTGTATGATGTAAAGGAATTGAATATTGGCTTGGGAGGAGGTTAGTCATCACTAATGTGTTGTTCATGTTGAGAGTGTTGCTAACGAGCGTATCATCATATTAGACACACCTGAATGCCCATTCGATTGTAAATGCTGTAAGTTTTTAAAGTTTTTACTTATTTCGTCTGTTTCATCAATGTATGATAGCCAAATAACTAACCGGCGCCTGGTTATCTTTCAATAGGTTTTTGATTGAACTTCCGGGACAGTTTGCTATTTTCCTGTACATGTTATCAATAAAAAATGTATAATAGACCAATAGTGAAATATGTGGAGCTCAGGATTCAGAAAGCAGATATTGGAGGTTTGCAGTGAGACGGGACCATTTATTTAAATTTATCAAATTTACTAGAGAACTATGAAATACGTTTAACTGCGAATACTGAAAAGTATCTTGTTTGCTGGCGACATTATAGTAGTTTCCCCAGCTGAAAATGTATGATAAACTAAGATGTTTCATATAGGATACATACCTCGTAGTTGCAGTTGCGGCATAAAGTTTATTTCAACGCAAGTTAATTCTTTAAATGTTGCAAACTAAAAGCCGTTTCTGATATGGCCTTGATAAGTCTGCAAACATTAAAAGATTTATCGATTGTTTATTTATTTTCTTTTTCGAGTGATGCCCTTGCGCAATTTGTTTTGCATTTGTCCACAGCTGTGGTGGCATTTTTTTAATCATTGTATTTTGTGGCTCGGACCATCCAAGGTATCCGACACAATGATGGGAGATAAGGGCTGGCCGACACAGGACTTAAATACTATACATATTTTTGCTTTCGGTTTCTACTATAAGTTAGCGGTCTGTTCAATATATGAGGTTGTAAAACTATTCAGACGGTTGATAAACATAAATTAAAATTGAGATAACAGCTTATCATCTCACTGGTCAGTCTTGTGTAGTTAAACATATGGTGATGGCTCAAAAACAGAATTTTTTTTTAAAAAAAAAGGTGTTGCCACCTGAAGATAAAGCAGCGCGGCAAATGAAATGAAATTCAAAAAAATATCAAAAGATATTGCTCACTACAGGGATCGAACCTGTGACCTTGGCGTTATTAGCACCACGCTCTACCAACTAAGCTAAGCGAGCTTCTTAGTGCAGAGTCAGACTTTTGCAATTTTATTCAAATGTGAAACTACTAAAAATTAAAAGGCAGTTTACTCAATGAATTATGGAGTTAATCATTTCAAATTTTGTCAGCTGCTTTATATTAGCATTAGCCTTTGTTAATATGCTGTTATATTCAAAAATACATTTTTTTGAGCCGTATAATCGTCTTTTTCCATTTTTGAGACTCCGCTATCGATCGTAAACATACTAACCTGACGACATTGGTGCCTCAGCTCTGCTAAAGGCACCTAGAAAAACGATAGTCAGGTAAGCTCTACTCGCTAAATGTAAATAAGTAGGAACATTGCTCATATTTATATTTAATGATTAAAAAGACGAGTAATTGTAACATAATTAGAAATAGCGGAGCTCCAAGACAAATCTACTGCTATGGACAAACCGCTCCAATTCAAATAAACAGTCCCAGAACCACCCAGGTATCCCTAGCCTACAGGTTCAAGTCCTGCCAATCTTAATATTTTATATATGAATTTGTTTTTAGACCCGCTTCATAGAAACGCCAGGGCGAAATTCCAAACCACAAAGAATCATATTGCATAGGCGCAACTGTGTCGCCACTGGCTTTAAGTCCTTCCACTTATACTTTCAAAAACCCTCTTCAGACCCATCTTGAAGTTGAATGGTTCTCGTGTAGACTTAGTCTTAAAGCTACACACATCCTCGACACTCTCGGATGGATAAGTCGGCCATTTTTCATCATGTGCATTGTCAAGCAAAATTCCAAGCAGCCAATACGCCATATACGCTGATGCACTTTCCGAATTTGGTCTGCTGGATTTTACCAACTTCTATGGGCATTTCAGCATAACATTCTCAGTACAGAAGAAGTTCCGTTTCGCAGTGAAGACCAATAGCGATTGCTGCTGCGAACATTTCTATGGTCCTCTGTCATCAAACGACAGCCCAGACCTTTGCGAAGAAAGGCTAGATCTGATTTCTAGGAGATTTGAAGCGAAGACTTTCCAGAATCACCTTTCAGATCAAAAACCGATCTGATGCCGAAGACAGCAATTACTTACCCACAGTCACCATAATATCCACTGGTTGCTATAGCCGCCATGTCTTTTCAACTGTTCTCTGTCTGCAACAGCCATTTATTTTCTTCCAACCACCTAAGCATGCCCATACACCCGTCACTTAACAGAAGGTGACCCGTTTGCCCTTCATAACTGATTTCTTCATTGGTCTGAGTATCTCTGCTGTGAGATGGTCCCCACCCAGATGTTTTTCAGTTGAATCGCTGTATATACACTGTTTAGGATACTTGTACACTTCTTTAAACTATGCAGGATTTGGGCATACACAATACAACGGTGGTATCACGCAAACGGTATGCCCATCTATAAAGAAGAAAGCTCATTAGCCCAACGATATCTCCCATATGCTGACAGCCATCCTCCGCAACATCTGTGAATGTATAGTGGCCATCAAAAGTATTTAGAGGGACCTTCTACACCTATAACTACCATATCGAAGATGACTGCAACATTATATAATCACATTTGGTAAACCAGTTTTGGCAATATGCGAGGCAAGGAAACCTGGCTCTGTCAAGAATTTATTTCAACATGTATGTTGACACCAAGGAAAGCACAACACCCCCTCGTCATTTAATGTCGAACTGTATTTACCACTCATCGAACTCGGCAATTGTTATTGCTTTGTTAGACATCAAAGCGGCATATGACACGGTGGATCGTACCATCATATGGGTTGCACTAGTATACCGATGAAGCCCGGACCACTTTTATCTCTCCTACAGCATCTTTTTGATGATGTAGCAATGTCGGTAACGTTGTCGAATTGCCTGTCCACACCCTCAGCACCAGCAACAGGAGTCCTCCAAGGATCCGTCCTTAGTCCGCATCTATACTCCATATATATTAACAGCCTGCCTGGCGAACTTCGTGTATGCGCCTCGAACCATACCACTAAAGTTGGAGAGACAAGCGTAGCCATCAACGCCTTACTGTTTGCCGACGATGTCGCATTAATCGGCTCAGCAACCAAAGTGCAAGCAATGCTAGACATTGCCAGCGACCACTCACTTCGTCTTGGATACCGTTGGAGTCCTTCCAAATGCGCTGTACTCAACGCCGATGGCAGTCATATCTCTCTCTATGGAGAGACTTTGCCACAGGTGGATGAATTTGTATACCAAGGTGTACCGTTCATCAAACAAGGTATGTCAACTGAGGCATTGATACGACACCGGTCTTCTGGTACCATTCTGGCGATGGCCGCCCTACAGGCAATTGGCGCACGACCATCTGGTTTTAGCGCGCTTCTTAGCTCATACCTTTACCGCCGCCAGTTCATACGGCCTAAATTTGAGTATGCCTTGGCGATATGTCGACTGACTGCCACTGACTCTAAAGCTCTCGAGGACCTGCAAAATCGATGTCCTCGCATGATGACCGGCGGACACCGCACTTCGTCAACCGTTGTATTTCGCCACTTATGTGACCTTCCGTCCATGACGAAACGAGCCATAATTCTGGGAATGAAATTCTGTGCCAGACTCGAGGACCTGCCGCCGGACTGTCTACTAGTTCTCCTTCTACCACTTGCTCCAGCATATGGCAGACTCACCTTCCTCCGGAGAAACCCTCTCTACTGTACACTTCCTTCACCTTCACCACTGGACCTTAGGCCGTTCATTACCGCCTTCCGCCTTGAACGTCTTGTGAGAGATAGAGACCGCCCAAAAAAACTCTTTCTCAGCCGATGTCGAAGCATTTTGGGAATAGACCCGATCTTAACAGCCCCCGCCTCAAAACGTGAAAGAAGCCGCCTAATACGTTGGCGTATGGGTTGGCTTCCAGGCACACCCAAACCATGCCCTTGTGGCTTAGATCACACATCGCCTTGTCAACCTGACTCAATGCCCTCTTCTTTCGCATTCACTTTGGGAACATCTACCATTAATTCCTCATGGATCCCATCCCATTGACGTCGCCCTTAACCATATTCCAGGACCAAACAGCTCGGTACCACCTTTCTGGCCCGCTCTTCTACTGCTACTATACAAGATCGAACAACTCTGCCTAACAGAGACAATGACTCATATTGAACCTGCACCAGGCTCTTACTGGCTTCTCCGACATCTGCATCCAGAGAAGGCATCGTTGCCTCTCCTCTGATCCGTCACACTGCCAAAATAACTCTTGTAGTGCAGCTGTGAGGATTACCGTGAGTGTGAAAATGTCTTACTTTCTGTGATCATTGACCCCGCACTTCTGTCCTGCTCTTGTTTTTTTTCCCTTTTTTAGTAGTATGCCGATAGAAGTTTTCAGTACAAATCCAAAAGACTGTCTTGTAGTTCATTCTTTTCATTCGATTCTGTTATGGCTGTCTTCCTCCTAAAGATGGAGCCAACAATAAACCATTTAACCTAAGCTAAACGGGCTCTAACGCTTAGAGTGGCCACTAAGTTGCGCCGCGAACAAATTGCGTTCCACTTCCTCATGTTCAATAAATGGACATAAACATAGTATTAGCAGTTTCCATCCAGGTGTACCCTTTGAGCTTCTTCTATCCTATAGTTCGCAGTGATTACAGTCTATGGATAGCCAGTCGTATCGTATGGAGATTTTTGGTAGTTTTATAAATTTTTTTATAGAGTTATGTGGATTTGAGACCTTCACTATGAGATGAAATTGAACAGTAGTACACAAGATTTCCTAATAAACATCCTATTAGCGAGAGAATTGATCCAACAGCCTGTTATAAGGTAATGGCTGCTATATACAGAGATAATGTAACCATTAAACACCACGATCAATTAAAGCTTCCGCCGAGAACGACGGGTTGAACCACAGAGTTCTTAACAAAATCCGCAAGAAAGCAGGAAGCAGCTTTTAATGAAAATGTGGATAAATCCCTTTTTACAGGCTTTACCAAACTATTCTTTACTCATCAAATGGCTTCTTTACCTATTTCAAATCACATAATCAAGGTTTCAAGACACGCATTGTGAGCTGACAGTGTGACTGGCTTATAAGAGCATGATTTTTTTTTGGGTTCATGTTTCTCAGTATCTTTCTTTTCCGACATGCCTGCTGAAGATTCACGTCCTGCCAAACGACTCAAGCTCGAGAATGAAGACAGCTTTCACCCTGATCTTCTTTCGCAAGAAACTAGAGATAAAATAGCGGCCGCTTTCAAAGTGTCCAAACCGTATCTGCACTGCAAAATCGACCAGCTTGTCAACGACTCCCTCTTGCGCCAAGTCCGCAAGGAAATCTTTGACAATTTACATTTCACCCTGAAGGAAACCGATATTTACAAGGTAAGAACATAGCTATTCATTTAATGAATGGTCAGAGTAGAGTGTCTAAAGCGTCGGTATACGTAGGTTTGGCAAACTGGTGATCTTGCCAACTTGGACGGACTTCCCGAGGAAGAACTGGCCAAACTCCCGTCTATTTTCAAATTGCGAAATGTCATCTATTCGCAAGATTTCCGTGATTTCATTTCGCATATCACCGGGTGTGGACCGCTCTCGGGAAAGAAGGCGGACATGAGCATCAACAACTATTTGAATGGATGCCATTTACTGAATCACGACGATGTCATTGGTACGCGACGAGTATCGTTTATCTTGTACCTCACTGATCCAGATGAAAAGTGGGATCCCAAGAATGGAGGAGCATTGGAGCTTTATCCTGTTGTTGAAAAAGGAACTCCGGCAACAGACCCAACTTTGATTATTCCTCCACAGTGGAACCAATTTGTAATGTTCACTGTACAACCTGGTCACTCTTTCCATTCTGTTGAAGAGGTTGTTCCTGTTGGAAAACCTCGTTTGAGCATTTCTGGATGGTTCCACATTCCACAGGAGGGAGAACCTGGCTACCAAGAAGGAATGGATTCGGATGGACCACAATCATCCTTGCAGCAGTTGGAGGTAAATGCATAAGAGTGACAAGACGCATTTATGAGACTCATCTCACTAACGTGGTTTTTGATAGGCTCCAGACTCCAGCGAAGATTATTCACACTATGGCGAGGAATTAGATGAAGACGCTACTGAGGGTCTCGCCGAAAGCGATCTAAAAGAACTGATCGAATGGATCAACCCACAATATTTGGATATGAGCATCCTATCCACAATTTCTGACAAATTTGTTGAAGAATCCGTCATTCAATGCAAGGAATTCATCAAACCAGAATTAGCTCAACAAATTGAGAAAGCTACACTCCAGGAAGATCAAGAGCAAGGCTTTGGTAATGAAGTGATGATGCCTCATGGTACTGGCGTAGGAAACGGATGGGAAGTGCATGGTCCTCCACACAAGCATCGTTACATGGTGACAGCATCGGATGTTAAACCAGATGGACAGTCAAGCGCAAGCCTTTTGCACAAGCTCGAATCCTTTTTCGCCACACAATCGTTCAGACGCTGGCTCGCTGTGGTCACTCAACTAATTGTGAAGGGATATCGTGGTGGAGCTCGAAGATTCAGACCCGGTTTGGACTATACTCTTGCTACCATGAACACTCGTGGTCAAGCTATCCTGGATGTTACTCTTGGACTTTCATCGACGAAAGATCGACAGGCTGCGGCTAAATGGGAAAGTGATGAGTTTGGGGGCTATGAATGCTACATGGCACCGCATGATGATGAGGAAGACCCCGCGACATACAAGGCAGCTGATGAAGATGGTGCTTTGCTCACACTTTCTGCCGCCTCCAACACTTTGTCGATTGTTCTTCGAGATGAGGGAGTTATGCGATTCATCAAATATGTTAGCGCTAGAGCTCCTGGATCTCGTTGGGATATTTCACTTGAATATGATCTTCCTGAAGATCAAGATGCAGAGGACGATGATGATGATGAGAACGAAGGAGATGACTAAGGATAGATAAAATTTATAGGATGTAAATATGCCTTATAGAATTATGTTAAAATCATGTTAAACCCATGTTACATTTGCTTGTTTCCCCATTCAAGCCTTTGGCTCTACCCGATACCTTTAGTCGAAGGCGCATATGACACTCACTCGTAAAGCCGAGCTATATAGATGGATAAATACAAATAAGCTTGACCTGCTGCCAACGTTGTCTTCTTTACGGTATAACCACGAAAGACTAACTATCATCAAAATGAGAATCATCAAAATTAGACTCTTCCGATACGATACAATCTGTTTTAAATTTAAAAAATAGCTATGATTTGTTCGATATTTGACGTTTGTAGAATCCCTCAATTTTGTCTGCTCATACGCTAAGTATATAAACTTTCCTTGCGATGCTATGAGACTATTCAGTACGAAAGATCTGCCTTTATTTGATTAGCATCAATATCAATTTGTTGGGGTTCGAAAGTCTCGTGACTACGAACCCTTCGTCTTTGGAAAAGAATGTGACGGTTCACAATCAAAGTCAAGGCTCCGTTGTCCCGACTTTCTGGGCCACAATTGTTACTTGGTTCTACTTCGTCTTCAATGACCGTTCCGCGACATGGTTCTAGTAGCAGCAATGGTATATCCCCAAAGAAGTTCGGCACTGAGCTGACAAGTAGCCCATTTTCCGCCTACACCAACCCCAACGCGCCAATCATCACTGTTGTCAAGAATTCAGGAGTGTTCTTGGATAGCGAATACGACAATGCGATACCAGGTTCTCTGGCAATGCCTATGGAATTCATTATAGACGGTGAAGTACTAGACGTACCAGAAAATACATCCGAGGAAGAACCGAAAGACGCCCCCCAGCTAAAGGCTCTGGACCCCCGAGAATATCAGTTAGAATTATTAGAGAAAGCCAAGAAGGAGAACATTATCGCTGTTCTTGATACAGGCAGCGGAAAGACGCTCATTGCTGTCATGCTTATCAAGGAAATGGAGGTTACTGAAAAAATCGAGCGAGAAACTCGGAAAAAGGTATTTTGTTTATGACATGCAGCTCTTTCAATGTGCCCTTTACTGACATGTACCGTCAGACCAAATTCACCGTTTTCTTAGTCAGTCGTGTTCCTCTTGTCTTTCAACAAAAGGAAGTAATAGCCATTAACAGCGACCTTCGTGTAAACTACTTGTGCGGCGAATTAGTATGGGATCAATGGAACAAAAAGATGTGGGACAACATGATCAACGAAGACGATGTTTGCGTTATGACTGCACAGATTTTCCTTGATGCTCTGCGGCATGGCTTTATTCATATGGACAGGGTAAGTACATCGAGTATAAGCAATCTAACCTGGGTTAGTGATCCTCACACAACCTTTTGTTTAGATCAACTTGATGGTCTTCGATGAATGCCATCATGCTACCAAGAGTCATACCTTCAACTTGATAATGCGAGAATTTTATCATCGTTGTCCTCAACAAGATCGCCCCAAAATATTTGGTATGACTGCTTCACCAATGAACTCTCGTGGCCGTGCGGAGGAAAGTCTATAGTAAGTTCTTCCTTAAAAAGAGGATATCAGCTCCTAATCATATATCGTTGCGTACTAATTTCATCCTGTATGCGCAGTACACTTGAGAAAAATCTTGATGCAAAGATCTTCACTTCACAGAATCTGACTTCTCTACAAGCTTTTGTATATAAACCAACGGAAATCATTGTGGAATATACTCCCTATAGTGTTTACGAAAGCAAAGGGTTATACAAGCTTCTTCTCGAACGATTCTACGATCAACCATCCCTCAAAAACCTAATTACAGCTGCAAGATGGACGTATCATCAATTGGGATCCTGGTGTTGCGATGCATTATGTCAAAAATGGTTCGATACATTCAGCACAGGCGCAAGTGATGATGACATGAATAATTCGGAAGATGAACTTCTTCAGCTTAATGTCGACAACTGGGTTGCAGCGAAAGAAGCATGCCAAAGCTACTCCATACCTCAACCTAATCTGGAAGACCCATCAATGTTCAGCAATAAGATACAGCGCTTAATACAGATTCTCAAGATATTTAGCTCGAGTAAAGTGCCATTATGTGGCATCATCTTTGTTGAGCGGCGTTACACGGCCTATGTTTTGATGTGGCTCATACGTTCCTGTGCCGAACTTTCGAATATAAAGTCTGCTGTGCTCGCAGGCCACCAAGCCAATGGGGTTAGTGAAGCCAAAATGGGTTACAAGAATCAGAACAGAGTTATATCCAAATTTCGAAATGGCGAGGTCAATCTACTCATAGCCACCAATGTCGCAGAAGAAGGATTGGATATACAACCCTGCAATCTGGTATTGAGGTATGTGAAAACTTGTTGCGGTCATGTTGCTGACAGAATGTATGTGTTTGCTAATAGCCTTAATCCCAAATTCAAAACAGGTTTGACACCTTTCATACTTTGATATCGTATGTTCAATCCAGAGGTAGAGCTCGTCACAAAGATTCAAAATACATCATACTCATGGAGAAAGGGGACGTTGCAGCGGAGAGGCTACTGTATGAACTTCGACAGTCAGAGAACGTTGTACGCGATTGGTGCAACGCACTACCTGCAGACAGGAAAGCGTCGGTCAATGCCATGGATGACGATCCATTCGATTTATATTGTGGAGATGAAGACGACGAGTACGACGACGATGTTGATGACTTCTTTTTGGTACCATCTACCCAAGCTGCCATTACACTGAATTCAGCCGTGCCCTTAATACATCACTATTGCTCAACGCTTCCGAAGGACGAATACTGTGATTTGAAACCCGAATTCAGTTGTGTAAAGGAACTCGATACCTTCATCTGTACCTTGAAATTACCAAGTAATGCGGTTGTGCAAGAAACCTTCACAGAAGCTGCCAGGTCAAAAACTCTAGCCAAGAAGCTGGTAGCAATGAAGGCGGCAATTGCATTATATCACGCCAAGGGACTCAGCGATCATCTCATGCCAATAGTTGTCAAACCTGAAATGCTAGGCGATATGGCTCCTCAAATGGATAGGAAGGGTAATATCATTGGAAGTCGAAAACGGCGCAAGGTCTACAAAAAGAAGGTACCGTGGTTTTGGGAAAAGCGAGTACCAAAGAGTTTGGACGAAGAGGAAGTATTCGATGAGGATGAGCGTTATTTAAACATGGTTTTATCTTCGCAACAGACATGGTTATCCATGGATGACACCGGCGTTCCTATTGCTATAAGAGCGAATGAAACGCACAGTAGTGGTGACAATAATGCTGCTGAAGCGCTAGGACAGCTCACTCCAGGAGAGCAGAATATTTCAATCTTAGCGGATGCAATGGAAAATGATGATACCGATGCCAATTTGGTAGCGGAAGAGCGATCTCAAGATCCATCAGACGAGATGATGGACGTGGACGATACGAATCATGACCACCTCACCTTATACTTGACCCACATAAAGCACAATCTGAACGATGACTTGGATGCTGGCATTCAGTATCGAGATATATGCCTATTAACCTACAAAGAGTTTCCTGTGATACCTGCGTTTCATCTGTATCTACAGAACAAGACTACTGAAACTATAGTACGCACTGTTTCAATCGGTCAAGGCTATACCTTCGATCTTGAGGAAGCGGACATGCTACGAAAATACACGATACAAATATTCTCAGCAATATCCAACAAAAGCTATGAATGTGACCTGGAGGATATGCCTTACTTTTTAGTGCCTTTGAAATTTGATATCCATGACGAAATTGACAGAGATTCATTTGACTGGACCGAGATTGGTCGTGTCGTCGAAAACCTGACTCCCAAATTGGATATTGAAAATCTCGACCAATATACCGATCGCGTTGTCGTAGATCATTCCGACAGTTTGAGGCGATATATCTTTCATCAAGCCCGCCGGGATATGACGCCAGCATCAGAGATTCCGTCAGGATACCATGGACGTGAAGACGGCTACAAGAATTTCGCGGACTACTACGAACAAGTTCTTTCGCGTACTCCTGGAAACATGGATCAGCCTATGATGGAGGTCCGAAGATTCACCAAAGTCCTCAATTATCTATCACCTATAGCCAATGTTGAGGCAAAAGCACCGAAACGTTCTGCTCAGTATCTTATACCCGAATTCTGTGAATTATACCCCATCAGCACAAGCATGTACAGAACAGCCATGTTGATGCCTTCTATCATGATGCATATAGATGCTGTACTCCTAGTGAAGGAAGTCAACGAGAAGTTGGAAACGAACATTGATGATACACTGCTGCTGGAAGCATTCACCACGCCTTCTGCTAATATGGATACAAATTACGAACGATTGGAAACGCTTGGTGATTCGTTCCTAAAATTCGTGGCAACCATTCGACTTTATATTATGTTCCCACACAGCCACGAAGGCCAGCTTCATTGCCAACGTATTCGTATCATCTGCAATAAAGCCCTTTACCGAGGGGCTCGTCGTCTACAGCTCTACAAGCATATCAGCAGTCAACCTTTGAATCGAAGACGATGGCGACCTCCTCACTTTAAGCTGAGTACTGATAATGAAGAAGATCTACGGATGAAGCTACGACGTCACTCATTATCAGACAAAACGTTGGCTGATATTGTCGAAGCTACCATGGGTGCTGCTTATTTGGCTGGTGGCGTGGAGCTGGGATTGAAGGCTGCCATTGCCTTGCAAATCCCGTTCGACCATATAACAGAGTGGAAGCATTTCAACGAAACATATACTGAGTCTCGCGCTCAACTCAAAGCCCGCGTCAAGGAGACATCAAAAAGACATCTCAAGCTGGACCATCTTGAAGAAATAACAGGATATCGATTCCGGAACCCACTCCTGGTCGTAGAAGCATTAACCCATGCCAGTGCGCCTAATTCCACCGTCCCGTGTTACCAGCGCTTGGAATTTCTGGGAGACGGTATTCTGGATTTCTTAGTTGTAAACTACCTCTTTCGCAAGTATCCAGATTATGAGCCAGGGAGGATGACAGACATTAAGGATGGATGTGTCAACAATCGTGTGCTTGGAACCATGTGTCTAGAAATAGGCTTGAACAAGCATATCATTCATTTCTCCAGCAAACTTATGGGAGCTATTACTCAATTCGCGCGGGAAGTTGAGCTGATCAAGGATAGCGGCGAAGATGTAGGAGAATACTGGTCAGACCTTGATGTACCCAAGGTTTTATCGGATGTAGTAGAGAGTGTTCTAGGCGCCATTTTTGTGGACTCGGGCTTTGATTTTGATACTGTGCAGAAATCGTTCAACTTCTTTATGCTTCCGTTTTTCGACAAATACGTTCAGCCCGACATTCTCAAAGTACATCCTTTGAAGACACTAACTACAGGACTACAAAAAATCCACTGTGATGGTCTGCTTCTACGGTAAGAACAACCGCTATTTTCTCTTGCATTTTTTGAAGCAGAATTTTTTTTTTTTTCATCACATCTAAATTGCTATAAATGGCGACTTATGCCGCTCTTGTCTTGAACAGAAACCATAGCACGAAAGGAGAGGACAGTAACAGCCAAAAATGCATCATATTTTTACATAACAAACCTATCGCCTCAGCATCCAGCCATAATATTCGAGAAGCTCGAAAGCAAGCAGCGGTCAATGCAATCGCCTTTCTGGAATCCAACCTCCACGTTATTTCAGAACTTTGTGACTGTGGTATCAGTGAGCTGCAAAGCGATAAGGAAGCGGATACTGATGCAGAGGAAGAATTGTAATGTAGCTTAACTCAATGATTCATCTGTTAAGAGCACCCTAAGGAAGTGTATTCCAGTGGCTTGCGTATTCTTGAATTAAAGTATTCTTCTCATCGTTCATTACCCCAGCCTGACAAATTTTCTCACGATGATTTCATGTCCGACGTGTTGGTATAAAATTAGCCAGCCAGGAGAATAACCTCATCCTGTCACCTTTCTTTCCTCAATGAATTTGCTTCTTAAGCGTCTCCCTTCCACGTAAGTCGTGTTTCCATGCATACCAGGTCGTTGATGCAAGACGACTGACCGCGTATTCAACGTAGCGCTCGCTTAGCTCCGTCTTACCGAGCCTTGGCCATCCCTACCTACTCACGTTTTTTGAGTACTCGTGAGTAGAAAACTTATTCTGTCATCATCGTATAGTCGCGTACTGATCCCTATTCTTATTAGATGCCACTCAGTCTGCCTGTGACCCTGATGAGCCTCACTTCCTGCAGTCTGTAGAAATGTATTACGATGACGCTGCGCGACTTAGCAACGTCAACCCTGGTACACTTGGCCATATCAAGGCTGTTGACAGCTTATTGAGAGTTACTTTCCCTATTGAGACGTCTGACGGCAAGACTGATATCATTGAAGGTATAAGGTTTTTATTTTGGGTGTCCAGCCTTTCCCCCTTTGTACTCCTGACTGACTTTTTGGTCATTCTGCTTTCCAGGTTACCGTGCTCAACATTCACGTCATCGCCTTCCCGTCAAGGGTGGTATCCGGTTTAGTGACGAAGTCGACCTCCAAGAAGTTGAAGGTAAAACTTGAAACTCGCTTGCTTATGTTGCTCTATATCGGTTCTCACTCATAGGTCGATTTTATAGCTTTGGCAGCCCTCATGACCTTCAAGTGTGCTGTTGTGGATGTTCCTTTCGGAGGCGCAAAGGGTGGTATCAAGATTGACCCTAAGAAGTATACAACTGAACAGCTTGAACGTATTACCCGTCGTTATACCATGGAGCTCTGCCAAAAGAAATTTATTGGACCAGGGTATGTTATTATTATAAATTTGCCCCCTTCGAATGGCGCGCGCGCGCCGTATTTTTGGGTGATATCATCTTCTAACTCCAGCCCCCCCTCAAAAAATTTCAGCGTTGATGTTCCTGCTCCTGATGTCGGTACTGGCCCTCGTGAAATGAGTTGGATTATGGATACCTATAGACAATTCAACGCAAGTGACGTGAATGCTGCCGGTTGCGTTACTGGAAAGCCTATTGCACAAGGAGGCGTCCGAGGAAGAAACGAGGCTACTGGTCTTGGCGTTTTCTATGGTATCCGAGAATTCTTGAAGTACCCTGAAATCCAGAAGAAGACTGGCCTCAAAGGAACCGTAGACGGAGTGAGTGTTGTCGTTCAAGGCTTCGGTAATGTCGGTTACTTCGCTGCCAAGTTCTTTGAAAACAATGGTGCTAAGGTCATTGGTGTTGGCGAACGTGACTGCTCTATTTATGACCCCAAGGGTTTGGACGTTGAGGCGCTCTTCCAATTCCGCAAGGATAATGGCACATTCCGCGGCTACTCTGCCTCAGCCACTATTATCGATGAGCCTGCAAAGATCCTCGAGGTTGAATGCGATATCCTCATTCCTGCTGCTTTGGAACGTCAAATCGGTCTTCGCAACGTCGACAAGATCAAGGCTAAGTTGATTGGTGAGGCTGCCAATGGTCCCATTACACCTGGCGCTCACAGAAAGTTGGAAGCACGCGGTATCCCTGTCATTCCTGATCTTTTGTTGAACGCTGGTGGTGTCACCGTCTCTTACTTTGAATGGTTGAAGAATTTGTCTCACGTTCGTTTTGGTCGTATGAACAAGAAATGGGACGAATTGAGCAAGACCAAGCTCGTCTCTCTCGTTGAGGAGAGCGCTGGCCGCAGTCTCACTGAAGCTGAGCGCAAGCAAATTGTTCACGGTGCTGAAGAGGCCGATCTTATCTACTCTGGTCTTGAAGATACTATGCACGAAGCTTGCAAAGAGACCCGAACCACTGCCAACCTCAAGAACATTGATTACCGAACTGCTGCCTTCGTTAACGCCATCCAAAAGATTGCAACTGTCTATGAAGGCACTGGCATGATCTTCATGACATAATATGACCTGTACAATTATGATTCTTTCTCTTCTTTTACAATGAAAATATAAACAAACAATCACGCCATAACTTTTTCACTTTTTAAATGCAAACTGGTTCATCCTAATTGACGTGTAAAAGTCACCGATGTGAATGTATTTTTGTTAACTGTTGCTGTTCATTTGTGGTTCAAAAATCGGCCGAGACAAAAGCTATCGGATATTTCAGTCACAAAATGATAGGATTCCTCACCTTATGGACTTTGTCAATGAGATACTGATTGAACAAATAGTATTATTGTTTGGGAGAAATAAACAGACTTAGGCAAGGTTAAATTCGTTCAACACGATTGAGGGTATTGTTGTGAATGATGGGGTCCATGCCGGAGTTGGATGGAAAGTGGAACCGAAAGTGAAATTCATCAGTGTTCCCAGGCCGATTTGTTTTTCTTCGTATCCTAAACCATTCATTGTAAGTGTCCATCATTGTAATCTCGATTGAGAGTAGCAGGATAACCGTCACGTCCCAACGAATTCTTGGGAACGCTGATTGACGTGTCACTTGCATAACACACGGAACCAAATTCTGAGCTGAGATTACCGTCATCTCATCTGATTCCTTTTTGCGTAGATTTCCATTATGGCGTCCCAGCAAGACGGTCCTCCCGTGGACGAAGGGCCTATACCTTTTTTTTCTGGCCCTGATGATAAAGATCCGTTCGGATCGCTGCAACCGGCAGCTGCTCCTCCGCAACCCAAGCAGACTTTACCGCCAAAGCAAGAATCCGCACCTAATGCAGGAATTGCCACGGTGGGCGACGCAAGCGCATTGTTTGGAAATACTCCAGCGCAAGACCAGTCCATCTTTTCTCCATCTAAAGAGACTTATCAACCATCTCCGGCTATTGAAGCCTCGCCTTTTGGAGGACAAACCTATTCCGGCAGTAATAATGATTCTTTCTTTGATCAGACCAACCCATCCTCCTTCTTTGATGCACCTGCTCAGTCTGCTGATGTAACCTCTCAGCAACACTACGGTCACAACGGAATGCAACCCGGCGATCAGCAAGTTCCCAACTATGGTACTCCGCTCCAACAACAAGGCTACAGCCAACACGATGCTTACCAGCAAGTACCTTCTGCTGACCAGTCTTACGATCAGCAGCAATATGCATATGGTAATCAATATGATCAAGGCTCCGCCCATTCACATCAGCAGCCGGCTGGCTACTCCTACGAACAGGGAAATATGTATACGCCGCATAATCAGCAGCCTAACGATGCGTATGATGGGTACACCACCCATTCTGCTTACGATCCTGCAGCATACCAGCAATCGCAACAACAGGCTTCATATGAGGTAAGTACTTATTTCAATTCATAAGCAGTACGGAGGCTCCTATCATACTAAGTAATATCAGTCTTACGGACAGCATAACCAAGAACAACCACCGGCTAGCCATGATCCATATGCTCCACAGGACCATTCAACCCCTGAGCAACAGCAGCAGACGTACGATCCATCTACATATGTTGATCAACAGCAATCACATCCTCCGCAGCAGAAAGAGCAGCCGCCCGTAAATCAGGATGCATATGTTTCGCAAAGCTATACGGCGCCTGAGCAGCAACCATACGATCCGTCCGCTTATTTCAATCCGCAGCAGACGGAGCAACAAGCGCCTATTCATGACCAACAACAGCAGCAGTACGATCCAGCGGCTTATTCCGAGCATCACCAGCAACAATATGACCCAGAAGGTTACTCTGAGCATCAACAGTCGTATGACCCTAGTCAGCAGCAACAGTTTGATCCCAATGTTCATTATTATTATGACGAAGCGGGTCAATTGCATTACTACGATCCCAATACCAACCAGGAATATGACTTTAGTCAATATGACTACTCCCAACAATACTCCTACGACCCAAATCATGTTGGAACCGAAGCTGAATCATTGGATAAAGCGCATGAGCAGGACCAAGGCCAGCAGGAAACGATGGATTCGTTTGAGCCGCCGGTTCAAGATTTCCAAGCTGGACAACAACAATTTGAGCAGCTTGGAGACGCTGCACCCCACACTGAATCGACCGATGATCCTGTGTCCCATGAAGAGCCTGTTAGCCAATCCGTGCCTACTCAACTTTCTCAACACGATAATGGCCATTCCTACTTTGACGAAGGAGAATCTTATAATCCTGACATTGGGGATAATTTTGTCACTGAAACCACGCCAGATACTGGTGATTTGGATGACTTGGTTCTAGGTGGTGAGCAAAATGCACAGGCTCCATCACTGGCTACTCCTGCTGCTCCGCCATCGGCACTTGCACCTCCGCCCAAGGCTGCTCCGTCTGTGGATGAAATTTTGCAGCCATCAGCGGAAACAACTGCAGCTCCTGCTCAGTTGTCGGTGACAGAGGACAAAATTGTGCCAGAAGTTGCAGCAGACGACAGCGGAGAAGTTGCAGAATCTTCTTTCAATGAATATTCGACGAACTATTATCCTCAAGATGTCTCACCATCCCAGGGGCCTATTGAGGAGCCATCGTCTTTGATGTCTTCTCTCAACCTTCCTCCTCAATCTTACCCACCTACTGAGCAGCCTGCAGACCATGAGGTCGAAACACAAGAATCTTCCCTTCGAAGAGACTCTACAAGATCGTCTCATCATGGAAATGCGGCTATGGACATGCATACATCACATCCTCCAGTCTCACAATATACACCGTCTGAGCCACCTCGTAGTGTACAGTCTTCACTGTCACCGCCACCCTCTTTGAGTGCCTTCTCGGTCAGCGCACTTTCAGTCAATTCACCTGGATTGTTTCCCTGCCCGGACCCTGAATGCCAAGGAGAAAACCCGTCGAAGGCTAAGTTCTGTTGTGAGTGTGGTCGACAACTTGCTGCTTTATCGCGTTCACCTACTCCGGCTGTTTCTGGTCAGCAACCAAACAGAACCTATTCCAATGATAGCTCAGCTTACTTTCCGCAAGGCGATGCACAGACACTTCCACAGACTTATGTTCCAACTTTACCTAATCAGCATGTCCCTCGGTCAGGTTCACCACTTACTACAGTGTCAACACCCCATGACCCATATACCTCTCAAGGCTACTATGGAGCAGAGAATTACGATCCATACCAACAGCAATACGGTAGTAATGATCAACAGTACGCTGGACAATATGATGAGCAATACAATCATCAGTATGATGAGCAGTACAACCAGCAATACGGTGACCAACAATACGGTGATCAACAGTATGGTGAATATGGCATGGTTGACCAGCCCGCTGAGACAGAGCCAGCGATCAACGACCCTCTCAATCGTGGCCAAGGTTGCCCTATCGCTGTATTTGGATTTGGCGGTAAATTGTGCTTGATGTTCCCTCATACAGTACAGCGCTACAGCGGTGGCTATGGTGCCGATAACAACTTCGCTCCAACACAAAATGTGGTTCCCGGTGATGTAAAGATTCGAAACATCAAAGATGTATTGACTACAACCGACAGCAATACCGTTGCCGATCTCGCAAATTTCGTTGGGCCGCTTGTCATGGATAGCAAAGTTGGAAGTAAAGCAAAGAAAAAGGACGCTATCAAGTATACTAGTGAGCGGATTGAATCTTTGAAGGCTCAAATACAGAATCTGCAAGGAGATAAGGAAAAGATGCTTCTGGAGTCTAGAATCCTTCTCTGGCGGGTCGTTATGGCTGCTCTAGAAATAGACGGGCCTCTAGTAGACAAGTAAGTATTCTAGTCATCTTTAAAAAAAAAGCTTTGTTGATATGTCTTCTGTATATCTAATCCTCCCAATTTCTTAGTGTTAAATTTGATGAAAGTATCCGCAATATTTTGTTTGCAACTGACGTGTCTGTCAAGGATGACAATCTATCCTCGTTCACTGTACCAGCGGATGGCCAACAGACTACTGGGCAAATACAAGATAGCTACAATATTGATTTGCTAGAGACTCTCCAAGGTCACTTAATGCGTGGAGACAGAGAAGCCGCCGTCAGATATGCTGTCCAGGAAGATCTTTGGGCACACGCATTGATCATTTCAAGTTGCGTAAACAAAGACCTTTGGAAAGAAGTAATCAATGGATTTGTGGAACGTGAACTATCATCGCAGCGATCAGATGTTTCGCAGCAACCAAAAATTGTCCAAGGTGATCGCCAAGGTCTTCGTGTTTTGTATGCGTTGTTTGCGGGTCAAGGAGCCAAAGCGAGTAAGTATTCATAATTGAATTGTCAAGAGAGCAAGATACCGTCGTGTACTAAAGATTTATTTTTCAGTTTCTGAGCTTGTTGTGTCCGGATTGCATGGATTTAATAGACCTTCGAGTGCTGCAGCTCCGTTTTACCCTAATCATTCGCCAACTCTTGACATTGAAAAATTGTCTCACTGGCAAGACACTCTGGCGCTGATTCTTGCCAATCGAACCCCTCGTGACATCGAGGCCATGACTGCCCTAGGCGATATTTTAAGAGACTCTGGTCTAGATGATGCCGCCCAGATATGGTATGTATGCTCTGCAAAAAATTAAATTGTGCGTCCATGCTCAATGTGTTAATCAATCTACTGTCTAAAGCTATCTGGCTTCTCCTCAAACTTCTATCCACGCGGGAATAGATACTCCCAACGTACGTCTCACCCTCATTGGATCATCGAGCATGCAAACCATGTGGCATGATATAGAGGCTATTCATTTGACAGAATTATGGGAGTTCGCTGCTGCTGCGAAACAACCTAGCGGCTCACAAGGCTTACCATTTTTGCAAGGCTATAAGCTCGTCTTAGCATGGATTCTTGCTGATCACGGTTATATTGTTGAAGCGCAGAGGTATTGCGAAGCAATGGCAGGGATACTCAAAGCCCATACCAAGGGTAGCCCTTATCTGCACAAGCATCTACTCGAAAAACTCAAAGAATTGAACGAACTTTGTGAGATGTCAGGTCACGGAGCTGGGTAAGTGTCAATCCATCATTTCGTTTATGAAGTGACCTGCCGTCAAATATCCTAATCGTACGATTTTTTATGTTCTATAGTGCTGATAGTGCTACCTCTTGGTTGAAGCAAAAGATACCAAAGCCTACCTTGGATTCTATCTGGGGTTCATTGGAAGGCAAATTCAACAAGTTTGTTAGCGGTGAAGATCTTCCAGCCATCGAACCAGAATCTAGGAAATCTACAGAAATCGTAGGGTCCAGTATGCCTGAAACTAGCTTACCTGCGCGAAGTGCATCTGCAGTTGATATGCGTTACAATAATGGTGCGTCAGCAGATTGGTCTCGACGAGCTACCACACCTCAATCTGGAAAGTATGGTACGGGTATGCGACCTATATCCCCTGGTAATCAATTTGGCATGGGTGGTCTCCAAGGTTTCAGCCCTCTTAAAACTGAAGAAGTTGTGGAGGAAGAGAATACCTCTTCGTTGCAAGTTGACAGTTATGGAGGCACACCAAATAATGAGAGCGCATATTCATACGGCCAACAGCCTCCCAAAGGTGTATTTAGCCCATTCGGTCAGATACAAGCTGACACCGTTGATGAAACCCAAACCGAAAGCTATCAGTCATATCAGCCTTATGGTGAAGATACAGCTGGTGGTGGTTGGTGGTCTGGTGGCGCTAACGATATGGCTGCCGACACTGGAGCAGCCAATATTGACTCTAATCAGTATAACACTCCTGTGAATAGCTATGAGCCTCAACAGTCATATGAGCCAGCAGCCAATATGACCAGCAATTACGATGATGATGACCTTGGTCTTGGAAATAGCTCTTCCAGGAAGGATCGTGCTCAGCCTCAAGAGTCTGTGCCATCAAAGCCTACAACTCCAGCTCCTGAGAGATCAGAAAACGAGGCAAATGAGAAGAAGGAAGCGGATGACAAGCAAGGTAATGATAAAAATCCTGTGTAAAGCTGATCCGAGGTGTAAACCAATCTGCTAACGCGTATTAAATTATCCCTAGAACCTAAAGGAGGCTGGGGCCTATTTTCCATATTTTCTCGCTCCAATACATCAACTCCTACAGATAAAAAATCTGTAAGAGCTAATCTTGGAGAAGAGAATTCGTTCTATTATGATAAGGAACTGAAGCGCTGGGTGAACAAAAAGGTGAGGAGCGTCAATAGTAGCGATGTAATCACTATTGTATTAGCATATAATTCTAACCCATCGTCTTATTAGGCTGGTCCTGATTCAGCTCCATCAACACCTGCTCCCCCGCCACCCAGATCAGGTAGCTCATTGTCTAATCCTCCCAAACCAGCTTCACCAGCTCAATCCTCAGCACCGCCAATGTCTATGAAACACTCTGTATCGTCCGGAGGACCGCCACCACCGCCGCCAAGTGGAAATTTGCAACGTGCCACATCTGTCCCTGCACCTGGTCCACCACCGGGCGTTCCATCACCAGCATTCTCTACACCACCACCACCAAGTGGAACGGGAGCGGCAGCCAAAAGACCTGGTGCCGGACGAAAGCCAATGCGGTCCAGATATATCGACGTATTTAATCAACCTCAGCAGTGAGGAACTCAAAATGAGAAAGCGCACTTTTTGTCCATAGGATTATGTGATTTAGGAAAAAAAAGAAGTAGCATAGTCTTTCTGAACTAGAATCAAACATGTTCGTATTTTCGTGATAGCAGAATACAGTAACATTTGCAATCAACCTGTGGTTTGACGCTGACTTTGAAATGTCAACACGCATTAGCAAAGACGCACTTTCTCACTTGTGAATCACACTCATCTCGGACTCGCGTCATCATGTCTTCCAAATACTCTACTTTACCTGACATTGTAAGTCAACTTAGCTTCATCTTTACTCAGGGTCCCTTTCGCTTATGATGTTATGTTAGGATGACCAACCTGATGTCTTTGAAACAGAAGACAGCGAAGGGAACGATCACATTCGCAGCTTTGAGAGTCAGGTACAGTTGATATGGGGATTGGAATTATACAATACCAACAATTATCATCGTGTTTAAACGCATGTAAACGATGTAGGAAGCGCAATATAGTGATGACGAAAACGAAGACGTCGATAAGCAAGGAGTGCCACTCAAAGACGCCGCTTCACGTTTCCAGGGAGCGGTTGTAGATGCATCTGACACAGGTAACGCCCTACCTGCAACCTTAGATTCCTTTTCAGATCTCCGGTTTTTGCTAATTCGGCAACATAGATTTTTCAGATCGTCTGACTCGACGCCGTAAGGCCATGTATCGAACTTTCATTAAACGGTCAACATTGGAAACATCGGAATATGAGCTACTTCCGAAAGATCCTACATTGCATGAGACGTCACTTCAAAAGCTCCGTCGCCTTCAATACGAACTCCAGGAGCTGTCGGATGAAGTTGAAAAGAAGAAGGTTTGATCTGACTTATGCAACATTGAAAAGCCCATGTGTCATTCATGCTGAAACCGTGGATGAATTTCCTTTCCAGGAGGATGAAGTGACCAGTACAGAAGTGCGTCAGGGCGACCTCCTGTCGCAGATATCATACCTACAGTCTGACCTCTCTCGAATCAGCAGCAGTCTTACTGGCCGCGGAGAGGATGAGCAGGATGGATTGACAGCACAGGCCGCAGAGGCTCGACAACTAATCAAACAATTGGAAGTGTACAAAAGCATCGTTGCTGCTGACGACCATGTTCCAAATGAGCAAGAGAAAGGTGCTGCCCCAGCTAAAGATGCAAATGGAGAGGTATGCCATACCCCATCACGACTGCGTTTTACAAGTATGGCTGACGCAGCATTTCTTTTTTCAATAGACTTTGACCTATGAATTGTTTTACAACCCTAAAACAGCGCAACATTTCAAGCAAGCCCAAATTGTTGAGATCGATAGCCGTATTGCAAAGCTTGAACAATTGATCGGTTACAGCTCTGGTGATAACGTCGATAGCTTGGTCAGTGGCTCAAGGCAAAGAATGCGCCGATCGTCTGAACAAGTGGCTAACCGTATCACTTCCTTATACAGCCAAATAACCTGTCATCGACCTCCATTGTTGCCTTGGTGTCGAAGCTGGAAAAGCAAATGACTGTCTTATCTCAACCAAGACATTTGGACATGATTAGCAGACGAGTCAAATTGGTCAACAGTGAACTCGATAAACTCAACGAGCTTAAGCATGGGAAAGGCGAAGCTATTAACAACAGCAGTTACGGGAACAACCAGAAAAACGGAGAAGTAAATGCTGTCTCAGATGCTACGGACGATAGAGTATGTATTTTAAGGATGACTGTGTAACAGAAGTGTCTGTGTAGAATTAACCGTCCTGTCTTTAGATCAACACTCTATTTGACTTGATGAAGAAAGTCGAACCTATGTTAAACATAACTCCGGCAGTACTCACACGATTAAAGGCTCTTCAGGGGCTTCATACGGAGTCTGCAACATTCTCTGAGTCGATCAAGATGATATCTGAGGAACAGGCGAAAATCACTGACGAGTTAGAAAATTTAGGTGGAGTCAGCAACAAGGTGAGCTGGAAAATTCGGGGAGAATTTTTTTTTTTTTTCAAAGTGGCGTGCTCTGGGTGAATTCGTCTTGATACTGACACAACGTGATTTCGCAGCTGCAAAAATCCTTCCAAGAAAACGATGCCAATATACAAGCTAATATGCAAATCATGGATGATAGAATGACAGATCTTCTTCGTCGCATCAATAATCTAAATACCAGTTCCTAAATCCTTTTTATTTTGTTACCTATACCCTCAAAGCAAAATCAAAATATGAAATGATACATGCCTTTAAGAGACACTGGTTTGAAGTAGAGCAAAAAATTTCGGTTCAAAAACTGATGATTTTAAAAACCGGTTTTGCTGGGTATCACTGTTATCACAAATTAAACCCTTATCGTTTACCATGATTTCTGTGATAGACATAGAAGTGCTCTCCTCTGCCTAATCTAATACTTCATAAAATGGTTCACTAGCATGAATGGCGTCTAAATGGTTTCAGGTTGTTACATGCAAGAATTTTTCATGACGTTGCCTAGGCCGGCCAAATGGCGGCGCATTATGTGGAAAATGTGTCATTCGGGATGGATGGTTCCAAAAAATTTTCTGGCGGGTGGAATATGCTATTGGAACCCTGGGGTTTCATCGCCCAAATTTTTTGTAAGGTATATAGACCGCCTGATGGACCCTCTTTCACCGATTTTTTCAGTCAAGTTAATTCTCACTTCACTTTCCCTTATCTTCACCCTTATTACCAACAACTCAAAGGATGTCTGCACGGTACTTTCCAGGATCTACTTTTCATGATACCAATAGCATCGAAACCATCAACAACAATGAGAAGCATCCTCGTGATTTGGAGCAAGCTCCAGTCGAATTCCACGCTGTAAAGCGTACCATGGGAAACCCTAGTGTTCTTGGTCTATGGTCTTTTGGCATGGTCACCATCTTATTGGGTACTTATAACCTATTTTTGCCTACCACCAGTAACCACATCATCTTCCCAAGTGGCTTTATGTTTGGCGGTCTGGCTCAATTTATCGCTGGCTTTATGGACTTCTGGTACGGCGGAACCTTTGGAGGAACTGTCTTCGTCTCCTATGGTGCTTTCTGGACTGGACAAGCCCTCATGATGTTGCAACAGTTCTCATCTACTCTTGATGCTTATACCACCAAGGCTGATGCAGATATCGCAACAGGCATCTATCATATCTTCTGGGCAGCATATACTTTCTTCCTTTTCGGAATCTCTTTGAAGGTCAAAGGCGGTAACTTCCTTTTGAACTGGTGTCTCGCCTTCGTCGGTATTACCTTACTTTTGGAGGCATTGCAAGCTTTTACTGGACTTTATGTCCTTCTTCGTATTTCTGGTGTCACTGCCTACCTCGCCGCCATTGGCGCATACTACAAAGGTTTGGCCGAGCTTATGGAAGAACAAGACGTCGACATATACATTGGTTACAGACATTAAATGTTCCATTAGAACCAATTCACTATTAATGTACATACATAATCATAGACACTTTCCTTCATTGACTTTCATTTCACTATCAAAACCTCATTTGCTTAGCATATACGCATTCAAAAATCATAAAATAACACCTCAAATCTAATGTCAAGTCTGTAATCAATTGAATGAAGATTAACACCCCTCCCGCTCAATGTTGGGCGATTTGACATACTTCCTTCCATTACCTCTATCTGCTTTATCAACGTACTTGAGATAACATCATTGCTGCATGGGAACATATATCGATCGACAACGTTGACTTGAAAAAGCATAATTTTTTTAAGTCTCGTGAATCGCATGGCGGTGTTTCACATAATGTCTTGATCCATTGTTCACTTGACTATCAATGTTCATGGGAGCTTTTTTAGGTTTGTTTTCCCATCTGTTCAACAGATGAACGCTACACCCTTTGTGGAATCCTAAAGTCTGCCAAAATGGGAAAGCGATAGATCACTTGAAAACGAAACACCTTGAGATGATATTCATGGACGTATCGAACATCAACGTAATTGTGTTACTTCAGTTCTCGCGATTTAAATTTTAATAGTGAAACAATGGTTACAAGGGGTTGAGAGGCGACATACAGGAGAGTTTTTAGATATACATTTAAGAGAGATCAGGCCATCAACAGCGTCCTTTTGGGTTGACAGCAGCTACTGTGGCTGAATCAACACTTGTTATCTGGCCATCATCAATGAGCTCTGCTAGCATTAATCCAGTAACTGGTGCATTCAAAATACCCCAGCACGAGTGTCCAGTGGCGATATATACACCACGGGAGTTAGGATGCTCTCCAATCAATGGAAGGCCATCCTTTGATGTAGGAAGATAACATGCTTGTGCAGCCACGAGATCAGCTCCTTCCAAATGTGATGGCGATGCAGCTGCAGCAAGTTGACGAAGAGTGGCGATGGAAGATTGCTTTATCTGGATTTTTGTCGCCGACAAAGGTAGTGGTTCATCATCAGTCTCCCCGCATATATAAACAGTGGAATCCGGTCTAGGGTATATCTAGATAGAAAAGATTTAGAGAACGGACCAGGCGTATTATGTGTGTGTGTGCTTTTTTTTTGTTTTTACCTCTGGGTCATAAAAGTTGCGGTTTAACTGAATGCTGCAAAACAAAGCTTGGGCAGGCACTTCACTGTTGGGTTTCAATACTATACTATGGGCGCGTGCTGCAATGATAGGCAGTTTCCCTCTTGGTGACTTGCTGGATCTCATAGGTAGCGTACTGCTCCATGGACCCATGCACACTACAACAGCATCACCATGGATCTCAGTATCGTTGTCCAGTATTACTCCTGTCAACTCGTTGGTCGAACTGTCCCATACTAGACTTTTTACGCCTTGGCCGCACAGCACTTCCACACCTCGGTTTTTAGCTTCGTCAATGAGCTTGTTGGTAAAATAGTAAGGATGTACTTGAGCAGTCGTTTTCTTGCTTCCCATAGACTGAATTCGTTCAACTTTCGAAGTGTCGAGCCACGAAATTTCGCCGAGTTTTTTGCCATCTGCGGCAGACCCCATGGTAACAGCATACGTATCGACTTTACGATAGCCGTAAGATTCCCCATTCAGTTCTTCAGCAAGCTCTTCGTGCATCCGAAAAGATTTACTGGATAGAGGTCCTAGCTCCGTCGATTCTGACCTTTTGATGTATTGTCAGTTCACCATCGTTTCACCGCTTCTATACACCTCCCATCGACTTACCAGTCGAGTGCTAAGAACCCTCCACTTTTTCCGGACGCAGCTTGTGCCACACCAGTTTTTTCAACGACAGTAATTTTGAGATTGGGATTTTTCTTTGAAAGAAAATAGCTCACCGAAGCTCCAACAGCTCCAGCGCCGATAATAATAACATGTTTGTGGTTATTTGACATAATGCGAAAGTTGGAATTGTCGAGATTTATGAGTGTCGTCCCAAGATCAGACAGCGTTTCTTTTTAAGTTTACATCGAGATGAAATGATGGCGGGTCACGTGCGTGACAACCTATGCCGAATCAGGCGTGTAATTACGTTGGCTACAATGCTTTGGATCAGTAGACAAAGGAGGTTCATATTAAGCCATATTGCAAGGGACATATATTATCATCTGGTTGCAGTATGGGTGATTACCGTGTGCACCCATCGTCATCATTTTGTTCTGCTAATATTCTGTTATGTAGAGTATGCAGTTGTTCAGTTAAGTAGGAAACCACTTATACACCCACCGCATTCCCGCCAACGAAGATAATATTGACAGCCCGAATGTAGTAAATCTCTGAACTTAAAAGACGTCTATCAGATTCTATCGTTTACTTACCGCCGAATTCACTTTTCTGGTAATACTCACCCCGCACGTTGGGCGGCGAGCTGCCGTTGACCATAATTACGTGTGAAAAAATGATAAAAAGATCCTACACGTTCCTTTTACACTTTATGATGTGATTGTGATGAATATCCCTTTTTTTTTGTCTTGCTCTTCTCTATCGTCAAGTTTCGGTATTGTCAGTCACCTTTAACAGTGTGCCTTTCCATGCCGGCAAACTTGTGTTGATGAAGGAAGGTTGGGTTTTCCATGTCTTGTCAACAGAGTAAGGTGGTATATTTACCGAATGATGGCATAACGCATTTAAAGAATAAGATAAGGGCTGTTGACGGTATAGCGGCATAGGGTAAGGATAAAGAGGACAAGAGACTTGGTAGCAAGCAATCTCGTTCAAAAAAAGGCTGTTTATGTTGTGAAGGTTCAATATATGCATGTTAAAGTGAATTTCAAGGCACTCAAAAATAAAAATTCAACCAATATTCATGAATGATCCTTGGCTTCATAAATCAATACGTCTTTTAGCGCGGACAAAATGATATACAGTATGTTGAGATTCAATGGTGCGTCCAAATTTAGCAATCAATTGGTCTGTGCGCAGTTGGCGCATGCTACGTAGCACTCTTTGCAGACGTGATCAAACGGTCTAGTCAACAGTATCAGCAAAAAATATTGCTTCCATCTCTAGGTAGCTCACATCTGTAAAAAAAAAAAAAAATTGACTTGCACAAAAAAAAATGCAAAAAGGAATGCCTTCTACCAGAATCGAACTAGTGACCTTCTGCTTACTAGGCAGACGCTCTGCCAACTGAGCCAAGAAGGCAATTTCTTATTTGGGAAATTTTGATATTATACTTGTTCCCTTGAACATAAAAGCACACATCCATCAACACTTGGTATCATTTGCTTGGCTTTTCTTACTAATAGTTTACTTCAAAAGAAGCTCCATATAGATATTGAAAAAATTAAAATTGATTTGCGCTTGTTTGAAAAGAATATCTATAGTAGAAAGTACAGTTGGACGCTTGAAAATTTTTCTCTGATGATTGCCTATTGTATATTTCAATATAACCATCTGACAAGCAACATCTTAAATATATGGATGCTTAATTTATCATCTAAAAAGTGATATCCACCTTATTTTTGACTGAAACGGAGTTATCACATGCATCATGACTGTAAAGAGTCGTACTGGAAAGTGCACTTAGATTTGATGGATATCATTAGCAAATCTCACAAAGTACGCTGTGATAATATAGCGTCCTTTACATGCTTCTACCACATGCTGTTCTCTAGGAAACGCATATAAGAGCGTAAAAAGTATTTGGGAGATATGAGCAGAATTTCATTTTCAAATGACAGTATGTCTCCCCGTCAATACGTAAAAATCGCCTGTCCAGTCCACTCCCTACAATATATATCTAGATCAAATAAAGAGACTTGCCAAGTTGACACGAATTTTCCGTCATATAGGTAGGGCCAACCACTATTTTATTGCCCTATGACTGGATTTAAATTGAATTTTTCTTTGAAGGTAGCCTTTCGATCCGATACTAGTAGTTAAAAGGACTGTTGAAAATGTAATGAAGTGATAACAAACTCGTCTGAAAGCGCCTGTCTGCAAAGTTTATTTCACAATCCGAATTTCGAAATGCTAAAGCCACTTACGGCTATACAGCTCATCAGTAGTCATATCCCCGTTTATGTTTGTCTACATTGAATTTCATATATCCTAGAAGAAAAAAGGTTACGATACTACTACGGTGGGGTTTTGCTCAGGTAGCTGTAGTCTGACGGTTCTCTTGGGATATGCAAGTCCCGACTATTTTATACACCAAAAAAATAAAAAAATTGGTTCCAGCAATATTAGATTTACAATTAAAAACGTGGTAGGGAGAGATATCTGCTAAAAATTAGGATGATTCAAAACATATCTTTCTAATAGAATTGCTAGTTCAAGTAGCCAATATTCTAAGAGAAAGATTCCGTGCCGTTTTTTACAATTTTATTGCAACAGAAATATCGCCAGGGTTTATATGACAAAATTACGTTTTCTACCACATATATCCGTATTCTATGACATCACGTCGGTCAGATAGGCGACATACGCGGCCGCGCTAAGTGTTCACACCTTGTCAAAGCAACCTTAGTGATCACCATGGAAGAGATTGGCGTGCAAATACTACCCTCTGTAAGCACAAAGACATCTTCAAAACCGAACTTTTGTTCAAATTACAGCGTTACTAACCCCCATTTCCTCTGCAGCACAAAGAACTTGCTACTCCTAAGAACAAGACTACGCTGTTGGAAGAACTCGCAGAACAGGATTTGTACACAAAACTAAAGAAGCTCCAGCGACATTTAGAATTCCTCGAACTGCAAGAAGATTATATCAAGGATGAGCAGAAGAATTTGAAGCGAGAGCTCATTCGAGCCCAAGAAGAAGTGCAACGTATACAGTCAGTACCTTTAGTCATTGGTCAGTTCCTGGAACCGATTGATCAGCATACTGGTATTGTGGGCTCCACCACTGGCTCCAACTACGTTGTTCGCATTCTCAGCACAATCGATCGTGAACTCTTGAAACCAAGCGCGTCTGTAGCTCTCCATCGCCACTCCAACGCACTTGTTGATGTTCTTCCACCGGAAGCTGACAGCAGTATCGCCATGTTGGGAGCGGATGAAAAGCCAGATGTAGCATATTCAGATGTTGGTGGATTAGATATACAAAAGCAAGAAATCCGAGAAGCTGTTGAATTGCCACTCACGCACTTTGACCTGTATCGTCAAATCGGTATCGACCCACCACGCGGTGTTTTGCTATATGGTCCACCCGGTACTGGTAAAACCATGTTGGTTAAAGCAGTTGCTCATCATACGACGGCGAGCTTCATCAGAGTGGTTGGATCTGAATTCGTACAAAAATACTTGGGTGAAGGTCCACGAATGGTCCGTGATGTATTCAGACTAGCTCGCGAAAACTCACCCTCCATCATTTTCATCGATGAAATCGATGCTATTGCCACGAAGCGTTTCGATGCTCAAACCGGAGCAGATCGAGAAGTCCAGCGTATTCTTCTTGAATTGCTTAATCAGATGGATGGTTTTGATCAAACGTCGAACGTCAAGGTAAGGAAACGTCGTTCTCGAAAGGTATATAATCACGATCATGGCTAAGTCAACACCCTAAATTAGGTCATCATGGCAACGAACCGTGCAGATACACTTGACCCAGCATTGCTGAGACCTGGTCGATTGGATCGTAAAATAGAATTCCCCACACCCGACAGACGCCAAAAGCGACTGATTTTCAGCACAATCACAGCAAAGATGAATCTCTCTGAGGAAGTTGATTTAGAAGACTGTAAGTAAAACGTCAAGAGGAGTTGATCGGCATTAAATTCGTATCCTAACTTTTTTTTCCTTACGTAGTTGTTTCGCGACCTGATAAACTCTCTGGAGCAGAGATTGCTGCCATCTGCCAGGAAGCAGGAATGCATGCTGTTAGGAAGAACCGTTATGTTATTCTCAGCAAAGATATTGAGAAGGGCTACAAGTCCAATGTTAAGAAAGCAGATATCAACTTTGAATTTTATAAATAACCACCCGACTGACAGTAATAAAAATTTGTTTGTCTTCTCTTTTTTTTTCTACATCCTTTTTTACACATGGACGAACTATTTTCAAAGCTAGCTCTTCAGACAGCAAATACAGTAACTCGGATAGCGATCAACCATGCAACAAATGCAGCACTGGTTAGTTTAGAACATGATATGAACCGTTTCCATTGGATTTGATAATTGAGACTCCCAGGGCCCTAAAGAGAAGTGTGACCTCTTACTTGCTAAAGCAACCCAAGACAAAGCAACAACAGCATGGTATTGAAGATCTCCAGAGACAATTGGATCTACGGATAAAAAATCTAAAGGTATGAAATGGAGTGAACCGTAGCAATCCAAGGCGATCTGACTTACGCGCCTTTCCATTGACAGCCTACGATTGACATCATTGCCAGGCGAGTAGCGGATGGGCAAGAAGACTTAGAGCCGGCTTTGGAAATGTGCAAAGACCTACGACGAGATATTGATAGCTTCGGTGCTGATATTGACATGGAGTCAAAGACAACCACAACCACGCCCGACTTTGTGGCACTGCAACTTCGTAACGTCTTACAAAGAGTGGATGATACCATCCCGTGGTTGCAGCTAGCTTTACGAACATCGGATATTGAAAAAGGCACGCGAAGAGGAGCAAATGCCTCGACTTCTCGTTTGCTGAGAGCTGCGTCTGTTCTACGTCAATGCAAGGATGGCGACAAAACAATCGAGTTCAACTTGCGATTGTATTCTATGTTCCTTGGCAATGTCCGACCCAGTACGGCGAAGGACTTTACTTGGAAGGAAGACTACCATAAGTGCAAGGTCACTATAACCAAGAAGTCGGCATTCAAGTACGAGCTTAATATCGAAGAAGACTTAGATGATTTGAGGTATCATGAGGAAGGTGAAAAGGCCGGACAGCTCAACTTTGACATCAGTGATCTCCAAAGAATGTATTATACCAAGAGCGGCGAACTTTTGAACATTGAAGATTCCAAAACACCTGTACTAGTATTAAAGATAACCAAGAGTGCTGCTGCTAATATCGCTGAGACTTCATCAGACAGCAAGGGCAATACGTCCACGCTGAAGACCATCAGCAGTGACGAAGCGCACGCTGCAACATGGTACGCTCTGGAAGAATGGAAGGAGGAGGATGATGATGAGTCTGATAATGAAGACGATGAAACCCCAGAAAAACAAAAAGCACAGGCGTCTGAGACCCAGAAAGTCCCCTTCCATCCGACTCTTCCTATTCTCGAAGCAACTTTACGACTAGCACAATTGGAAATCACGGAAGAAATGGATGTATTGCAAGCAGGTGATGACTTGATTGATTTATACATGAATTGAGTTACATGTGAATGAGATGTTACATATCAGTCCACCTTACGGATTAGGCTGACTGAAAATAAAGGTGCTGCTTCTTCTCTAAAAGATGACTGTTTTGCGATTTTTATGATATTATCAAGGATAGAAGAAACGCTAAGCGCATCTACCATTGGGTTAGACTGTGATGGCATATGCACCGCAATCTCTGAGGGTGGATATTCTTCATCAGTGTATTCTCTAAACGCCGGGAAGATATCGACGCCAAGTTCATCCAAACCGATTCCAGGGTTCAAAGGCGATAAGGCGTAATAGTATTCCATGACACGGCCAACGTACATACACACTGCTGCTGCCTTTGGGCCGAGAAGACTAACAATATCTTTGTAGATAGGATCAGCCACCTCTCCGCCTTGTCGATGGGTCAGAATTAAGGAAAGCGCTGCTCGATGGTGGTGGAGTAAACCGGGGATGTTGGAAAGTTGGCCACCAGCAAGTGGCATGTGGAAACCAATGGTGGCTCTTGATTCCTTGGGGTAGTGAGTGAAGAGGTTGGACAAGTAAATGGCACAAGGCAACAGACGGTGTAGCTGGAGAGGATGGTTGGGTTCAAGGTAAAAGGGAGGAATGGCTCTCACGACTTTTTTATACAAACCATTGAATTGATCTTCTGAAAGAGCATATCGAGATGCTTCTGCATATTGTTTGATACCTTCAATTGCTGGGTCTTTTGATTTTTCCTCCAGGGATAGCATATTGAAACAAACGCCCTGACGAACACCACCTTCACTAAAGTATACGGTTCGCACCTTGAAGACTTTGAATAGGGCAAGGACCAAGAAGCTGCAAGCAGGGATCATGGTTGCTCGGCGCTTTGAAATTCGGAAAACTTTGAGTTCCTTAACAAGGTCCTCAGGTGCTCGATCGACATATTTCTTGGCCAACTTTTTGAGGGTCTTTCCCGAGATAGAGTATCCATTGATGATAAGTACAGGATACTGGCGGCTACTTTGTTCATTATCGCCACCATAGAGTTTCGAGTCCGACATACACATATAGCCCAATGCTCGGAATCCACCACCCGAGAGATAGATCGTATGACCATCATTGGCATCACTTTGTGCTTTGATTCCATCTGGCACCTCAACCTTCTCCAGAGCATCTGTAAGCTCTGCTATCAATTTCTGGGCAAATTTTTCGCGCTCTTCGTCATCATCGTGTTCAATTAAAAACTTCTTTAGCGCTGCCGCGCCATACGGTAATGAAACGGCGTTTTTACTGCTGCTAAAGCCTTGCTCAGTATTGGAAGTAGTGGAATCGCGAATGAGATAGTTCAATTCCACTGATCCACCGCCTAGATCCAAAGCCAATCCACGAACATGATCAAATGAACCTAGAAAAAAAAAAAAGATGAAGACGATACAGTGTCAAGAGCGTCAGTTCCCCGACGAAAAAAGAATGAAATGTAGAGAAAAACTAGAATTCATACTAACCAACGATGCCCATAGCCGAGACCAAAGCTTCTTCCTCCTTACGTAACAGAATTGTTTTCCAACCAGTGGCCTGGAAGATCCTGTCCTGGAATTGCGCTGAATTCTGTGCGATCCGAGTAGCCTCGGTAGCGATCAAACGGACATTACCAGGGGCAACTCCCGCTTGGTCACATATAGCTTTAAATCTCAAAAAGCTGGTGATGACCTCGTCAATAACGTCCTCAGGGATCACTTTGTCGCTGCTTTGGGCGTCAAATAGAGAAATAGGGGCACGTTCCTCGTACAGGACAGGAAGGTGGCGGGCCAGAGAATGTATGATACCAAAGCGAATCCCGTTGGATCCCATATCGACCACGCCGAAAGGTGCCTCTACTGGAGGAATTGTCAATGGCATTTTCAAATGGAAGGACTTCTGAAAAGAAAGACGTAAGGTTGTCTGTTGGTTGACCTGGCAGTGTTTTGAAACAGATCATTGTGAGCGGCGCTTATATTATTTGCCAAAAGTGGCGCCAATCAAACGAATTTGGTGGACGTCATTGCATCTGAGTGAAGGAAGCTTGGGGGATATCATGTCAATGGCTAGTAACATAGTGTATAGGTTTCAAATATCCAGGTGTTATTTTTTCCATAGTCTCTCCAGGTGTGACAGCACGTGAGACATTTGTCCAATGGGTGGTCTTTAAAAGCAAGCATCCATAGAGCTTTCTCCGAGAAAAAGAAAGATCTAGTTTATTAACTTGGATGCTAGGGTATCAAGGGTACTGCATACATGAACTGGGGAATTGCGAATGTTATGGGGAGGTTCAAGAAAGGTAGTAGCGAGGTATTATGATATGTGAACAATAGTCTCCAGTCCAGATACACCCTTTGGGTATATTGGTAAATGAGGGTTAGTGTAGTATTTGGCTGTAGCCGCGGATTGGAGACATGCTCATTAGCTTTGAGTGCTAGTTTTGTAGCCTTCAAAGCCGGCCATGGTGAACAAGACGAATGTGATAACAAGCATAGCAGTGCTAATGACATCAATGGTGGCGGTGCTGGAAATCCCAGAAAAAAAAATTGATAAGCCATTTGCGAAGTATGATTATCTTCCAAGAGACATTACTTACAGAAAAGGAAGTACGGTATTATCTGGGTCGCGGCCCCACTTCCAGCTGGCCAATGTCATGGATTTTGCAAGCTTAAGGGCAAGCCATGCCTAGGAAGATAAATGCATATTAGTGGACCCACTTTGGACTTCCGGTAAATACCAATCATCCAGCCACTTACGCATGCCATGGAAACTATAAAGTAGGCCGAAAGGAACCAGGCGTTGACAGGAAACTCGCCAAGATCAAAACCCCATATGACGAATATCAAAATAATGGCTACAGGAATGTTCATGAGTAATAAGGTCTGTTCGACTTTCTTGTAGCTTTCTTGTCTGTTGCCATGTAGGGCAGTGCTGATGCGTGAGGCGTAAATAGAGCCGATATTGCCAGTCAAGCCATTCAATACAGGAATCAACAGGGCCAAGCCTTTGTATGAATCCACAAAATTTTCAAACACCACGCCTGACAAGCTGCATCGGCGACATTTAGTATAATGCCATAAAACATTCTTCCGATACGCAAGTTCTACTAACCTAGAAATCACCATGGCGCACATGATTGGAGTCCACCCAGTGAATAAGAGTTGTTTGACCGATCGATTGGTCCATACTAAAGCCGCCGCGCCAGGCAACAATACTACCATGACAATGACCAGGACGGTACTTAAAATGGATTCTAAATAAAGGTACGATACGATTTTTGAGCCAAGACAGTCCTCAAAACAAAATAGTAACACCGCAATTCGACACTTACCCATATTTTCCTTAAGCAAACGAGCAAAGGTAGCCAATATGACGAGGGTGACGATGTCTCCTAAAGAGGATGCCATAGGGCAAGCAATGTTGTCTGTTGGCCGAAATAGAATAGAGTTAATTCATCGTGCTTTTAACACCTCGGCATAAGTTGCGGCTTGAAACTGACCTGGATCTACATTAAACCGACGGCTGAGAATGATTAGGATGCACATGAATATGCCTAGGATTAAACTGGACAACGAGGCAGCCAACATAGAGCTAGAAATTACGAGCATGCTTTCGTAGTAGGTGCTGGCATCATTACTTGGTCGAATTAATATTCCAAGAATGAAAGAGAATAGTCCGGCAATGCAACCTGCTATTAATGATTGTACTTGGAGGAGAGCGAGATTGCCGATCACCAAACGACGACGGCTCGCAGGATTGTCTAAATCGCCAAGATTGGCCTGCGGTGATAATATCAGTATCAGTGCAATTGATGGGGAAATTCCGATGATCATCTATCTGTAAATACTTACTGAAGTTGAGAGACGTGCAGCTAGATTCATTTCAAGATTGCCTTTAAGGTTAAGTAACACGGGTACCAAAATGAAAAGTTCGGGGATGTGAATGAAGACGTCCCAGTGCTACCATAAAATGAAATGAGCTTAAGTAATTGGAGCAGCGATCACTAGTGGGCGTGTAACCACAATTACTTACAAGGTAAATGTCCAGGAGCTCACCAGCCGCTATAAGGCCAGCAATAGAAACCAGAACGGACGGCAGAGCCTTAGTTAAAAAAAAAAAAACAGGATTACTTATCATGCATTGTCAACATTTTCCAAAACAGTCAGTTGGGGTCTCTCACCTGCCACGCCAAGTGCTTAGGATTATTATCACTGGCACGAAGTTCGTCATGGCTTTTGGAGTGAGGCGATGAATCGAGTAAAGCTAAATGTACAGAAGATTCTGAGCTTGTCGAGTCTCGCGGCTTGTATTCTGTGTTCATTTCTTTGTCATGGAGGTCGTCATCTTGGGAGGAGCGTTCAGAGGAAAAGCCTTCGTCGACCAGTTCGATGTAGTCTTTATCGTGTGATGGTGGCATGTTTTGTAAGGCACTTGAGTAGATTTATGGATTGAGAAAGGGAGTGGTTCCTCAGAAGGAGTGAAGGAATAGGAGGAGACTGTGAGATGAAAGAAAAGAGCTTTTTATTTGACAATAAGCTCGGGGGAAAAGGGAAAGGATGAGACGGCCTTGTACCATCTCAGGCCTGCTTTTCCACTCATGGCGCGCGCGAGGCTCAAATTTTTTTTTATGCCCCGACAGTAATATTTGCCTCAATGTCACCAAACCAATTTGGTCAAATATCACTCATTCCATGCATTGTATCATCACCATGATGTCGTTCTTGAAGAGGTATTTTAGTTTCTTATAGTTATTTGAGATAGAGTAGTGAAAGGTGTTTCTAAATATTACAATGATTGAAATGAACAGAAAAAAAGAGAGGGGGGTTTCAATCAGATGGTGGAGCAAAAGTAATGAAAATACCGCTGAAAAGACGATTTCTTAATTTGTTGCATCACATTCATCCTCTCGCTGCTTTTTGAGCTCTTGATAGCTAGGACTTTCTTTGAATGCAACAGCCGCCTTAAGACCCGCGGCAATAACCATGTACATTGTTTCACTGGCCACTTGATGCAAATTGTAGTCTTCGTCTGCTTTTAGTATCAGCTTGACCCCTGATACCGCCAAGTCACGAGTCCGCTCTACGAGATGGTATTTAACGTCCATCCAAAGTAAAAGCTGGACAAATGATCCAAAGAGAAAGTATAAGATATCTATAGTGACATAAGGTGGGGAAGTTAACTTTCACATGTACTACTGGAAAATGGTGTAGCAATGGGGTGATACAAACCTGGAAGAGGTGACCGCTTAACCATGATGGCTAGTGCAACGGCCAAGTCAATCATGTATTGAGCAAACCTTCGAAACCGATCGATTTGCGTATCTTGTTCTGTCGGTATTCTATAACGTTTATCATGGCCGAAAGCTTGAGCGGCCAATATGTATTTTTCTTTGGTTTCGGCGTCTAGTATGCCAACCCTTTCTTCTACACTATTTTTTTTTTTTTAGAAAAAACAAACATCATTAGAAAACAATTAGTCAACCATCAACGTACGTACAGATTTGAGCAATTTACTACATAGTTCAAAAAATTTGATTGTTACTTTACCTGATCAGTTTGGCTTCCAAAGCCATTTTGGTCCTCATGTCGTCCTTTGCTAATGAAAATTCACAATCGTTATATTAATACCCGAGAATAGCCTTTGCTACATTTAGTTGACCAGCGGAATGACAATATTTACCAGGCAGAGCCATGACAATTTTGTCAAGCCCAGTAAGATAGATGTCAAGAGCAACAGTGTCGTTGCCTTCATCGTACTCGTCAGCAGCAATCGCTACCAGCTTGATACCTTGAATAATACTTTTGCGATCCAAAGATCTACCAGACTTGTTTATGGCGTTGGCCAAGTGAGAGTTCTGTTTGACGGCCTCGGCAAGATTCTCGATATCATGCTGTTGCTGGTCCATAGGTGGTACGTATGGAGGTGGTGGAGGGTTTTGGACTGCGACCATTGTTGTCATGGGGTGTTTGTCGCCTGTCATTATCTCTGAGCTGGTGTGTTTCGGGCTTGGCTGTTTTGGGGCCTGCCGTTTGCCAGAAGTTGTTAATATTTTGAATCTGTCGATGAACGGGAGAGATGATATCCTTTCTGATGATGCTAGTAAGGATGCCATGAATAAAATGGAGGTATAAGTGAAAGAAAAAGAAAAGGAACGAGTTTGATTTAAGATAGAAGATATCGGGTTGAAAATTAGTAAAAAATAAAAATGAGCGCACGGGTGCATGGCTAACGTGTAAAAATAAAGGGTTGGGGGGATAAGCAAAGCCAATGCTAACAGTTATTTCGTTGTCTTTAGTTTTCACGTGTCGTTCGGGGTTCGGGCACCATCTTCCGTAGCGTAGCATGAACAACGCAAGGCAGTTTGCATCGCTGATTGTCGTCAGCTCATATCTTACCCGATGTTGGTCACAGATTCGGTGGCCTCCATGCCCTCAGATTGACATTGTAACGAATCGTGTTCGAAACGCAAGCCATTTTGCTTGACATAGACTCTTTCATTTACACCGGTTGCTGCAGAGGCAAATATCGTCCTTGATAGGGTAAACCGGGGTGTATCTTTGGAACTCGTGCGCGAGACATTTTAATAATAATTTTAGTATAAGCGTAACAAGATCGTCGATAAGACAAATAATATACGAGCTAATCGATTTGAATATCGCCATACACAGTCATCCCAAGACGCATTCATTCGCTATATCTCGTTCGCTTGGCGCTTCAAAGTTGAAAACCATGTATTATTTACACTTTACAGACATCATGGAAGCACGTAACATTTTCTATGTGAACAATGATTCCTGAGGATACATATAAAAAATCCTGATAAGAAGGTCTTCAACTGCATGGACATAAAATTCGGCAATAAAAACGAAAAATGAGTATTGATAATAAAGAAAAAAAGGAGAAGAAGATCTCTACCAAGGTTTACTTAGATGTCAAGCGCCATTTAGTACTGGCACTGATCAGGTCACAACTGGTTTATAGTACATGGTTGTAACGTACTGATAAATAAAGGGGGAACAGGCCCGATGAGTAATCTCGACACCGTATTCAGTCATATTAAAACATGAACGCTCACCTTTTTTCGGTATCTGCTGGTAGCAGCCAGAGCCATGACACCATCTTTTATAGAACACGCATATAGATGGTTCAAAGTGACATGGTTCGGCACAGGTAGAACTGAGTTGTCTTCATCACTGATTGTTTGGCTGTTGAGCATGACCTTTTCCAAATGAGGTGGTAAAGAAGGTGGTTGTGTCAATTGCTGCTGTTGCGCTGTCATCGAAGCAGCTTCAGGGCTTTGCTGAGCGATCGTTTGAAGGTATTGTGGAATCTCTGATGAGTATGTTCCTGGTGGTGACGAGGAAAGCGGAAATGCTGCGATTGGGAAAAAATCAGTTCTCCGTGTATGACTCGATCATAGTGTCAACATGACCAATACTTACCATTTGATGAATCTTCTAAGCTTGAGCGACGCTCACCAAATTCATCTAATTCATCATCCAAACCATCATCTACTTCGATATAGTTGACCAAATTTCCATCCGGATCCGTGGCTGCCTCCAAATCGTTTGAACACTTCCATTCATCGTCCACAATAAACTTTAGTCGATGTGTTCCTGGTGGCAATTCTAAAACTGCCGAAAAGTCTTGCGAGCTGCAGCACTTTTACGTTAATAAGAGTTACCAACATAACGAAATGGAGGAGTTTATAGCTATTTACCTTTTGACCAAATGAATCTTCTGCTTCCATCCATTGAACGTTCCAGTTACGTATACATTATTGCCACCTTGTGTCCATGTGATGATGGTTGGTACGGTGTTGGCTAGATCAAAGTGACAGGTTAGAAATCAATTGCTTTAGCACTCAACGCTGAAGTCGGTACTATCAAAAGATTGCGTTAAAATAACCCACCTCTATCGGAGACTTCAAGGGCAAGATTACTAGCTCTTCTTCGGATTCGACTATCGTCTTCATCAGCTCCAGATTCGTATTCTCGTCCAACACTATGACCTCTTGCTCTGTAGTACGGTCCTTTGACAGAATCACTGCGATGATGAGAGCCAGCTATAGGTTGCCGTGAATCACCTGTTGTTGGTCTGGGATAGGATTTGCTTCCTTTCTGGTCAATATCTATACTCTCAAGTCTATCAGAGAGTTTATCTGTAGTAGTTGGCGTGTTTGGGCCGCCGGTATTCCGCCGCGAATTAAAGTCTGAACGAAATCGGTCTTCATCAGGTAAAGAGAGAGGTGATCCCACAAAAGGGGAGCTGTGGTCACTATCGATTCCCTGTTTGAGCCTTCGGGCTTGGTTATGTAGATATGGGTCGCTGTAGTTGATGTCTCGACTATGGCTGGTTGAGCCATTTGGTTCCGTTACATTGACACTTGGAGGGGAATCATATGGGTTGGAGCGGACTCCTGGAAACGAAGCATTCTGGTCGTTGTCGGCATAAAAAGATGTCTGTGGATGCTCTGTTGAGGTTGAGTTACCCATGGCAGAGGAATGATCAGTCGCAAGGCAAAGATACCAGGGTTTTCAGCCACTTCCAGTCTTGTCTCTACCGTAGTCCATATTGAAACTCCGGACCTCGCTTTGCATGAGATAGAGAGCAGCCTTTGCAAGGAATCACTCTCGCTAACTTCAATCGATATTATGTAAGTGTATTAGATTGTCTGTTTCTTCGTATAAAAAAATAATCAACATGTTGAAAGAAATTATATTTCCAAATAGTCCTGTTGATATGTTTGTATTTATCCACGTCGTCTTCCATAAGAAAAAAAGTAAAATAATGAAACCGTGGAAAGCTCACTAGCTATATGAACACTTGGTATGTGCGATATGTTGTCAAAATGCATCATAAATGGAGTAATCTGATGAGGAGGGTTTTGAAACAGGTACTATAGGCAACATCATTAATGTAATTGCATCGAATTTCGAGTCATATTAGCGACGGTCCAGATCTTCATCGTTATTCGCTTCGTCATCATCCTGAATACTAAAGACACTGGCTTTTTTGCTAGATTGCGGCGATGTGACCGATGGTGACTCTGCAGAATCATTATGTACATGTTCTACAGTGGGAGCTTCCTGTAACTCGCCGAATTCTTCAAATTCCTGCTCTTGTTCATCTCGTGCCATAGCTTCCTGTCGTCGGCGATATGCCTCCTCTTCTATATCCGAGGAGTCGTCATCAACGTCCAGAAGTCCTTGCTGTGCTTCCAGGTCATCATCAGGAAACGATGCTGCCCCTCCGCGAGACCGGCTGCGGCTCAGTCTGGTTGGTTGTAATGCAAAGTTGAGTCCGTTAGGTAGCAGTCGATTTGCTCGCTGGAGGCAGAAGCACATTCCGATAGCAACCAAAAGTACACATGTATACTGGAGACCAAGTATGTCAAGTTAGTATGCTTTTTCTATATTAGATAGCTACTGGTCTATGTTTCCTTACCAATACTATGGTGGTTGGAATGTCGAAGTTGCTTGGCGGAGTTCCAGAGCCTGGACTTGGAGGGTCTTGGCCTAATGATCATATACATTATAGTTAATCGATATGTCCGTGATGAAAGCAATGACAAGGGTGACACTTCAGAAAAGCGGACGCAAAATGGCTTACGTTTCTCCATTGTCAAGATTATGAATTCTTACTTGCTGGCTGACGGCGGTCCTTACACCAGAACTTCCACCTTTGTCACGTGTTTTGATTGACAAGTTGAGGTGCACTTGTTCGAATTAATTGCTACCCACAAACAAAGAGAGGAAAACATATTGAGTTTCCCATTAATCCCACTTATGTATCTAAGTTTCAAAATTAAGGTTGGATTCTCTATTTTGAATGGCCAACATGGCCAAAATACATATGAAAAGGAATGATGGGTGTTCCCCGAAGAAGAAACGCAAACGTCGGCGAAAGATACATTCCATTATCAGCGGACTTACGCTCACTATCATTGACCATGAGCATGTATCCAAGGAGGCTAATAATCAATCAATTGAAACAAGAGAAAGATTGAAAGCGAATATGGGTTATTGTCAATTGCTCGAAAGAAAGCCGAAATAGAACAATTGCTGGTGTACATCAAACATGACGGATGGATCGAACATAAAAAAGCCGCATGGCTATCATTTCACTTTGATAGCAAATGCACGTAAAAAGTTCTCGTACAGAGAAAGGTGAAACCACTCGATCGTATGAAACTTTTGGAGACTTAAATATGTTAAACTAACTAGTCAGTGTTGGCTTTATGGAGTACGACTGTCTGTATTAAAAGAAGTTATCTTGTTTATGTGTATCCAGTACTTTTTGCTCTTGCGCCTCAAAAATTTGCTCACTGTGGCAGAGTCTGCAATTTTTTAATCTGTGATGAATAGCCGAATCTACTCTATTTATACATTTATTGATAATCAGATGTTTTGTTGGCCACATAGGTAAAATAGTACTTGGCAGTGACTTGACAATATCGCATGAGCTGGACACGCGGAAGCCAACTCGAAAGGAGGTACAAGAAATATACTTGTTATTCACACGAATGCCCATACAAGGTTATTACAGCGCTCAAGTTGATCGCCGATACCGGGCTCTTAACTTCGGCGTATGCTGTCGTTTTAATCGACATAAATTTGATCGTGCCGACGTGGCAAAGCGAAACATGGCTACGTAAAACTTTTGTAACAAATAGATGATGAGAAGTAATCTGACACTTTTCATAAGTTTTGTACTGGATGTAGGAAATGAGTCATACTGTCTTTGATACATGGCTTTTGTGATATCTGTAAGGATGTTGTTGATATGAAAATTGGTAAATGCGGCGCGCAGATTTCAAATAGTCTTCTTAGTCAGACAATGTTTGCCCTGGCTAGTGGTCGAGTGCAGGTATATAGTATATTGACAAACGATATGAAGATTAGATTCTAAAGTATATGACAAATCTACCAAGCTAGCTTGGAGTCGCCGTCTACAGGGCAAGCCTTATCCTTCAATTTACACGAATCAATTGTAGCCCATCCGTTGGCAGAGTTGCCTTCCTTGTCCAAAAGGAACTCCCAATAATGAATAGCGCACATCAAAATTGGACCAACTTCTCGACCATATTCATCCACGCTGATTTGACCATGCATGTGTAGATCTGCGCCAGCATGTGGACAATATCTGTCTGTTTCGTATCGAGTACCATTGGGAAGAGTAACAATGAGTCTGTCCTTATCATGTTCAGCGATTTCAATGGATGCTTCAGCCTCTTCTTCTTCAACAATGAGAATAGGTTGCGCTGCTTGCGGTTCCTTTGTGTCAATGGCGGTTTCCTCTTTTGAGCTATTTTCAGCCAGCTCTTCTTCCTCCTTTGCTCTTGTTTCCGGCGTGCTGGCTTCCTTCTGCTTTGCTGGCTCGACATCCGTCACTAGTGAATCTTTAACATAGCCGTTGCCATTTGCAACTAGTTTCTCTGCATTACTGTCTTCCTTGTCACTGATGTCCAATTTAGCAATGCTGTCAGATAGTTGAACCTCTGGCACAGCAGATCTGTTCTTGATGGTGGGTACAAACATCAGTGTCGGAAAGAAGCCCACTTCACCGGTCCCATTGATTTGAGTTTGTAGCTGGCACCGAGGGGAAAATTTTAGGCTCCAAAAAAGAGAAGGAAAAAAAAAAATGTTTGACGTTGGTATCCGACCGACCCGAAAGCATTCAATGCATGTCAAACAAAGGTTTGCAAAATTCTTTCTTCTTCCTATTTTACCAACTTTTCTAATACTTCCTTATTACCTTTCCTTTTTCCTTCATTGTGTTTAAAGTAAATGGAAGATCAGTCAAGTCAATTACAGGAAAAGGTCGAACCGTCATCGAGTCTGAACCTTTTAAACAGATTGCGTGGCAAAAGCAGCTTTTCTGATGTTGACCTTACAGAGGACGACACTTACGCCGTAGAGCCATCAGAAGAAGATTGGAAGGAACTACGCGAAGTGGCTGACATATTACCAGTATCGGCATACCTTGTTATTCTAATTGAATTTTGTGAACGGTTTACTTTCTATGGTTTGAGCGGCCCATTCCAAAATTACGTCCAAGCACCCGATCCCGGACATTGTAAGCTGTTTGTCGGCAGGAATATTGATAGTCCGTGAGAAATTTTCATTGACAAATTGTAAATCTTCTAGATCCCGCTGACCAGCCAGGTGCACTTGGCAAAGGCCAACAAACAGCGACTGCTTTGAATACATTTTTCCAATTCTGGGGCTATATCTCCCCTATCATCGGTGCCATCATTGCTGATCAATATCTCGGAAAATATAAGACTATTGTCGTCTTCGCTTGTATCTACTTCGTTGGTCTCCTCATCTTGACCTTAACTTCTATTCCACCCTCCATCCAAAGTGGCGCTGCCTTCCCTGGTTTCATTGTGTCAATTATTATCATTGGTTTTGGCACTGGTGGTATCAAGTCGAATGTTTCCCCCTTGGTTGGTGAACAGTATCAAAGTCGCACTCCTTACATCAAGGTGCTGAAAACTGGTGAACGGGTCATTGTGACGCCTCAAGCTACCTATCAACGTATTTTCAACATGTTCTACTGGGGTATTAATATTGGATCTTTGTCCGCTATCGCCACCACTGAGCTGGAAAAGAATGTTGGTTTCTGGGCCGCTTACCTTCTACCTACCCTCATGTTTATGTAAGTACACCATATCACTTCCAGCAACAAGTGTGACATTCATTGACTGACAAGGTTTCTGATGTACAGTCCTGGTATTTTGATTGTCGTTGCTGGCCGCAAGTTGTACGTTCAAGCTCCACCTAGAGGATCCATTTTCGTTGAGGCTGGTAAACTATTACTGTACAGCACAAAAGTCAAAGGCGGTATGAAGGCATGCAAACCTTCGGAACTACGAACTACGCACCCTGAATTGATTGATAAGGTGACTTGGGACGATATTTTCGTTGATGAAATGATCCGCACTTTAAAGGCTTGTAAGGTGTTTTGCTGGTTCCCCATTTACTGGCTATGCTATAATCAAATGACAAGTAATCTTGTCTCCATGGCTGCCACAATGCAAACTGGCAACGTCCCTAACGATATCCTGCAAAACATTGATCCCATTGTCTTAATTTTCCTCATTCCTATCATGGATCGATTAGTCTATCCTGGTCTGCGTCGCCTTGGTATCAGCCCTCGCCCTATTGCACGTATCACCATCGGATTCTTTTTCGCTGCTGTCGCTATGGGCTACACTGCAGGTATTCAATCCATGGTATACAATAGTCCACCCTATTACAACTTTCCTTCGGAAGGAGATGGTCCCAACTACATTTCGGCTGCGTATCAAATTCCCTCTTATGTGTTTATCGCTATATCTGAAGTCTTCGCCAGTATCACCGGTTATGAATATGCTTACAAGAAAGCTCCAGAGTCCATGAAGTCCTTGGTCATGGCTCTGTACCTTCTCGCCAATTGTTTCAGCTCTATCCTCAACTTTGCTCTAGTCTCTGTCACAGTCGATCCAAAGATCGTGTGGTTGTTTACTGGTATCTCTGCTGCCATGGGCATTGCTACCCCACTTTTCTATTTCTGCCATCACAAGCGAGATCTCGTCGATGTGGAGGAGGACGCTATCGCTCGTCAAGGAACTGTCAAGAAGGCTTATGATTATGCTGAACCTGTGAATGAAACTGAGTTGGAAGCAAAGTACGAAGCAGAAATGCAGCACGCTGCTTAGATTCAAAACAGGGAAATGCAAACCACCTATTTTCCTCATCTCCAGATAGCTTTCTCGCTTTGCAATTTGTATATCAAGGGCCATTTTTATTATCTTTTGTCCCATCCGTTTTTCCATCGTAAAAATGTCATTGATTGACAGGTTAGATTCTTACGTGTATTTTCCCTGTATTTGAAGCTTATATCAAAGTTAAATGCTTTAAAAATAAAAAAAAATAAAAACTTTGACGCAATAGATTTTTCATTAGAAAGTATACCACAGCTATGCCTACAGGTGATCGTCCTTTGCGTAGAGCGCAAAAATTAGCAAATAGATAACCTGCAGTTTGTCTACATACTCGAATATCTTCAGCAGCTCGCCGCCAACCTACGCTGTCAGTGAGCCAAGATGATGCCATTAATCATCAGTGTATTATATCATTCGTATGGGTTGGGTTTTCGCGCTAAAGAAAAATATAAAATTTACAGTTCATCACACGTGTTATTCCCTACCCAGCTTGAGAACATGAGTAACTCTCCCCAAACACAATTGTGATAGTATACATGGAACCATCAATTATGCATGTATTCATAAAATATAAACTGAACAAGTATAGGATCTTGTGCGAGGAGATTGTCTAGCATCGCCTCTTATTCTTTGAATTGGGGTTAACAAATCCTATAATATGTTTTGTAGGGATATGAAGTGCAAAAAAAAAAGTGTGGGCAATTGGAAAGGAAAGGAACTACATGTAAACCCTGTAATTTAAGCCTTAGCACTAGCCTTGACAACACCTTCCTCAATGCGGCGACCATACTCAGGATCAGCTCTCTTGAAGTTGGCAATTTGACGATCACGGATGTGCTTCTTGGCGTTCTTGATGTGGCCAACAATGTTGTTGACAAGGTTGGTCTTGTCTTGAGCAGACATCAAACGGTAAAGGTTACCAGCTTGAACAAAGTCAACATCAGTGAGCTCATAAGAGTGACGGCCAGTGGCTCCGTGAACTTCCTCAGCAGTGAAGGTGGTAGCCTTGACATTGTTCTGGAATGGACCGTTTCCGGAGTTGGGCTCATAGTTGGCAGCAGCACCTCCGTTACCATTGACAGCCATGAGACCATCACGCTGGTGGTTAGCAACACGAGATTGAGGCTGGTTGATGGGAATTTGAGTGTAGTTAGGTCCCAAACGGTGACGGTGGGTATCGGGGTAAGAGAAGAGACGACCTTGCAACATACGATCAGCAGTGATATCGATACCGGGAACGATGTGAGAAGGAGAGAAAGCAGCTTGCTCAACTTCAGCAAAGTAGTTCTCGGGGTTGCGGTTCAAAGTGAGCTTTCCGATTTGCTGAAGAGGGTAGTCCTTGTGGGGCCAAACCTTGGTAACATCGAAGGGGTTGAAACGATACTTCTTGGCATCTTGGGGATCCATAACTTGGACGTAGACAGTCCAGCTGGGATGTTCACCACGAGCAATGGCGTCGAACAAATCACGGGTGGCATAATCGGGATCAGCGGTCAACTTGGCGGCTTCCTCAGCGGTGAAGTTCTTAACGCCTTGATCAGTCTTGAAGTGCCACTTGACATACTTGAAGTTGCCATCATGGTCAACCAACTTCAAAGTGTGGGAAGAGTAACCATTCATGCGACGATAACCATCGGGAGTACCACGGTCGGAGAAGAGGATGGTAACTTGGTGAATGGACTCGGGGACGAGAGAGAGGAAGTCCCAGAAAGCATCGGGGTCGCCACAGTTGGTTTGGGGATTGCGCTTTTGTGTGTGAATGAAATCTGGAAAAAATTGTGAAGGAAGCGGAATTTAAATATTAGCTTGAACAAAACGGCAACAATTCGCATCTGTAAGCATAATCATAGCCAGATGGCTGGCTGCTTTACTCACCTGGGAACTTGGAAGGGTCGCGAATGAAGAAAACTGGAGTGTTGTTGCCAACCATATCCCAGTTACCTATACATTTGAGCTTGTTAATAAGTCATTCCACTTTCTCACTGGATTACACCGAGGGTCTCTCTTACCTTCTTCAGTGTAGAACTTGACTGCGAAACCACGGGGATCGCGAGCAGTGTCAGCACTACCCTTCTCACCGCCAACAGTGGAGAAACGAAGGAAGACGGGAGTCTTCTTGCCCACTTGGTTCAAGAACTTGGCCTTGGTAATCTTGCTGAAGTCGTGTGTGACCTCTATAAGGTAGAAACGTATATCGAATTAGTAAGGCTTGTTACTTAGTTGCCCGCCACTGTGTGGGGTAACAATTTATAGCGTAGCGTTCAATAACGTACCAAAGACACCATGAGCACCAGCACCCTTGGCGTGGACAACACGTTCAGGGATACGTTCTCTGTCGAAGTGAGCTATGCTTACAGTTAGCTTACAGTTACATCTGAAGTTTAGGCGTTTGATTATGAACTAATACTTACCGAGCTTATCAATAAGGTGGAAATCTTGAATCAAGCTGTAAAACGTAAGGGACAATCATATGTCAGTCATAAAATCAGGTAAAGAAGGGTATCGCACAAGGCTACATACACAGGTCCCCATTGTCCAGCAGTTTGGGAAGTCTGGTTGTTTTCAACAGGGTTTCCGTTGGAGGTTGTGAGGTAGTTGTTTCCTGACATTATGAAAGAGAGTGGGGTAAAGAGAGACGCAAGAAGGCAAGGCGAGGGAAAGTTGAAAAATGGATGTTCCCAGTGGCAGACAGTCACACATGAGCGGAAATTGAATTTTCAGAAAATGATTCGGTTTGATGAAAAAGTGCTCGCACGAACTATATTCTTCAGTAACCAATGAAATTGCGTATGTACCGTTACTCCGTACCAAATACCTCGGTTTGCAAAACTGATTATACCCAGTTTCTCCACACAAATGAAGTTACAAATTGCTCAAGGGCCAACTGGTATTGAAGCCGGCATGCTTTCAAATAATCTTGGGTTTGACCATCTTTTAGAGATATCTTACTTTCACTTTCTTAAATCATAGAACGAATACTATAATCAACGCTTTATTGAGGAGTGGTGAGAATCAATACTGCTGGCCATTCGACGGTGATGGAATGCTTTTCAGTACTTTTCACGTTGAGAACTTTAGCAATGTTTGAAATCATGTCATCCACAGGATCTTCTGAGTGATCTTTCATGTAATTAGCATATGAACTCCACGTCTTGACGTAATGCCTAAAATTTTCCAAGGTCATTTCTTGTTCTAAAATTGGCTGAGGGGTAATTTTTCCAATGTTGGTAATATCACAACCATCTGGACTGAAGAAGTATTGAGTGTCAGGGAAAGGCTGTGAGTCGACGAAATGATTAGACATCCATAATTTTGCAATTGCCGAGCATTCGTTTCATGTTCTTACGATAGGAATATCTCGGTAGAGATTGTCTACTAATACTCTTCCTTGGTCTAGTAATAGCGGCACTGATAAGCATGGCAGTCTCTGGTCAATTATCAATAGAGCCATCCCCTTACCCCAATATTTCTCCAACTTCTTCAGTCCCAACTCCTCGACCAATAAGGATGCTTTGGGCGAATCCTTGATGCGAGCGAAAGCGTATCCCAGGATCGCAATGGTACCATTAGGTTTGAGAACTCTCTTTGCTTCCTTGAAAAAGTCGTCATGCTTGAACCAATGGAAAGCCTGAGCAGATGTGATAACATCAATACTGTTATCCTCAAACGGAAGTTTCTCAGCAGAACAAGCTTGATAGTCAATGTTGGGCTTTTGGATAGCAGCCTCGAGCATCTTGTGATGGGTCGTTAATCACTTTGGACAGTTCTGTTATGAATAAATGTCTCCCTTACCTTCGCTGAAACGTCCGTTCCGTGAACACGTTTGAATTTATCCGCCAACTCTACAGCTACTTGGCCAGTTCCCGTTCCAATGTCTACTGCCTGATCAAATATGCCTCCCTTTTTCGCGTGGAAATCATATATTATGTCATAGGTCGGCTTGGAGTAAACTGGACGGAATGTGCGGTACTGCGAAATAGCAATGCTGAATGACTACCCCTTCAATAATGTAGTGGACATCAATATGAATGAACACTCACTAACGCGCTGTTGAAACTTGCTTTTGAGAATGTAGCCATCTACTGTCTTGTATGGAAGGCTTTGACACTTAGTACGTATGAATCTAGACTGATATTTATTCTTTATCCACCAGCGGACTTCCGCTAAAAAGTGAGTCAGTTTGCCACCACGCGGACGAGACGGTAGTAGCAGCTCTCGAGCGTCAGGACTGCCTCTATAAACATAATGCCATGTCCGTCGCGCCGAGTTGTCACTTCCATAATACATTCATACATCGGATCACTCAACTGAAAAGGCACTGGCATTAAATTCTTATGGGAACGATACCACACTTTGACATAGTGTACAATCATTTTATGAGTACTCGTCCTCAATTACCGCCCACGAGGCTTCTACTATGACGCTCTCCGAAATGCACTTGTAAGCGATTCTGTGCTTTTACTTCCCTCCTCTCCGCTCATGAAATCTGTGCATGTTCCTTTTCATTACTGTTTCTTAGCCGCAGTGCAAAAAAATATAATGGCGAAGCGGTACATATGTATGTCATAGTTGATCAACGAGGTTGTAGCTCAATGAAGATACTTATTGACAAGATATCTTCGGAACTGATCCCCGGGTAGCTGACTCATTAACAATAATCATCTCTCTGCATTACCACTGGATATTCTGCTTAAATAAGTCCAAATGATCTCGGTCTTGCTATGATGGAAACTTTTTCCAGATTAAGCCTACTGTGGAACAATTCTTTCACGACTTTAGTATGTTTTCTAACATAAAGCCGTTTAACATTATCCATATGTAAGCGAGCTTTCTTGCTACGGATGAATGAATATCCGAATATATCCGAGATTCGGTATCTTCTTAAATGCCCCTTGGTGACATTGAGATACTATGGAGGTATCGCTTTAGCTCTGTTTCCCAGCAAACGAATACAGAGGCTTTTTAGGATTCTAATCTGACGTTATGATATTATGAGAATGTAGAGGCTGCTACCAAATGCGCACCAAATAGGTATGAAAGAACCAGATTGAATACAGTAATTGCCAATAGGATAAATACCACATTGCTATTGGCATTAATGAAGTATGTTAACAACATAGTAAGGCATGGTGAGCGACAGGCATGCCAACCTATATGTTGTTACCAACCTGCTCTACACCGTGGGTCATTTAAAACTTGTGATATTTAAGATCGTACCGCATTACCGCAGTTACTACGACGCAATCGACGTTTTATACAGATGGCATCGTGGTCCACCAAAGATTTCCTATTGTCTGAACAACAATTCCTTGTGTTCTCTCAGCATGCGGAAGCGGCCCCGAATGGTGAAATCCGCATCTAGATCTCCGGTACCTAACTTGGTAATGACAAGTGGCTTGTGCGCTCTGTGGAGAGCAGCAGACAAAAGACTTGTAGGGGATAATCGCGTTCTGAGATGTATTGTAAACAATTCTGCGCTAAAGCATGCTAACGATGTATTAATGGTGCTGCTTGAAAACATATGACGTCCACAGTACAAGGTACCGCCGGCGTTCATCAATAAAAACAAAGTGGGTGCACACGAAATTTATAGCTGCAGAACACGCATGGTGATGAAACCTGTTTTGCAGAAAAGCAAAGGACTATGATTTTCTCATACCAAAGGGTCCTATCGAAACAGCAGTGCGCAAAAGGCATATTCACGTTAAATTCGCAGTGAAACCTCTCAAGATTCAAAAACCCACAATGTGATATGATAGAACACTTAGGAATTTATGAGACCCCATCGCCGTTTCAAAGGGAGGTGTGACCTCAATGTGCACACTTCTTCACAAGAGCAATGTCATCTTACAATACACTAAAAGTCATCATAGTGTGCCCGACGCTATGATGTAGATGGGTTTCAAGTTCGTGTGGAGACAGGTAATTAAACCTGAGCAATCTTCGAGGGTCTCCGTACGCCGGAGATTGAATTCAAGCACAGAGGGAAAACGAGCCCAGCGCTGGAGCAGTTTTTCCCAGCTGTTCATCCATTGACCCCATTCTCCTTCCTTTGCCTATACATCGCCTGTAAACGCACGATACCACATCCCCCCATTGTATTGTAAATTTACTCTACGCCACAAATGGCGGATCAGGCGAGCTTTACGGAAAAAAGAAATGCGAGAGTTTTCGCAAAAAGAAGGCATCTACAACATCAATTAACTTCACCGCTGCCTTCGCCATCTCCTACCGGCAACATCTCCACCAAAGTCTTGCATGCTTTCAAGTCGCAATCCACTCCTCAATCTGCATCGTCTCTGAACTCCTCTACTCGCTCTAATAGTTTGAACTCCTCCATCTTATCCACTCTGAAGGCCTTAGATACTTCGCATTATCCTCTTGCCGAAACAATGACACCTCCGGCCATGAAGGCTTTATCTTTCGAAAATGATATTCTCTGGGCACCATCTGATATGATAGAACCTTTGGTAATTACTTTTATCTTATATTTTTATTACATTCGGACAAAATATTCATGCGAAACATATCTTTTTAGCAAGAAGCGCCGATGATCAATACCTTGCCTGTATCAGACGATGAAATGAAAGAAGAGCAAATATCGTCCAGTTCGAGAAAACGGCGAGCTTCCTCTCTCTCAGTGCATACAGAATCGTTCTTTTCAGACGAAGATATGGAACCTGTAGAAATCACTAAGCGTGTCCGTACTAGAGCTGAAGTTGTGAATGACGCAGACGAATCCAGCCGGACACCGCATTCACTTTCAGAATACGATACAGATGATGAACCATCCCAAGAACTTACAATAGCTACCACGTCGCTGGATCAAGATAGCTGTGGCAGTCCAAATTCCGCATTTCCCTCTCCTTCGCCGTCCCCTATAGTTTCTTCTACCGAGCCTCACCAAAATTTTACCTCTTATTTCGACGCTGCTCTGACTGGCCGTACTTTACATAGCTCAAATACCCCACGACCAATCCGCAATCTTCCAAGCATTCTTTCCACATTTGATACCCTCCCACAAGCAACACAGTCCTATCTTTTATTCCAATTACTTAGGCGTTCATCGACTACGACACTACAATTTGTGAATGCTCTGGTCATCCCTGCTTTGAAAAGGGATTTCCTGGCCTCTTTACCATTCGAACTATCGCTTCATATTCTGAGATATCTAGATGTGGTGACACTCTGTCGCGCTGCACAAGTATCCAAAAAGTGGCGAATGGTCGTAGATGCCGATGCAACGATATGGCGGCAAAATATCGAAAGAGATGGATTTAAATTTACCTTATCCGAAGTCAGACAAGTTGTTGCACGGCAAGCGGCAACAAGAGCGGCAAGAAAACAAAAGATGATTGTTTTGAGCGATCATAGAGATAGCTCGGCCATAGCTACCATGGATGTCGATGACCCTGAAGAGTCTCGACTGTTGCGAAAAGTCATTGCCGAAAGCGATCACATTTGCGTCAATAACACCGATGACGCCGCCTTAGCTTCTCAAGGCACTCCTACTTCCAGCAGTTCTATGTCAGGTACATCTGCTCCGTTAGAGCCATCTACTCCTCATCCTTACAAGGAAATCTATCGAAAACATTTCATTATACGACAAAATTGGAAACGTGATAGAGCTACACATATATCATTTCAAGGCCATGCAAACAACGTCGTCACTTGCCTTCAGTATGATGACGATAAAATTATATCGGGATCGGATGACCGCTGTATTAATGTCTACGATACCAATACTGGAAAACTGCGAAAAACTATGAGTGACCATGAAGGCGGTGTCTGGGCTCTTCAATACGTTGGCAATACCTTAGTGAGCGGGTCAACCGATCGCACAGTCCGAGTTTGGGATATTGAACGAGGCACTTCCACTCATGTATTTCCCGGACATACTAGTACCGTTCGCTGCCTTCAAATTGTCATGCCCGAGATGATCGATGGTCGTCTGCAACCATCTCGGCCACTCATTGTGACTGGTTCAAGAGACTCTACTTTACGAGTTTGGCGTTTACCCGACCCAGTCAATGATGAACCTTACCTCACTCACAGTCCTAACAATCCATGGTTTATGCATACCTTAGCTGGCCATACTCAATCCGTACGAGCTATAGCCGCTCGAGGCAATCTCCTAGTCAGTGGGAGCTACGATTATACTATGCGTCTTTGGAACATTGAGACTGGCCGACTAATTCACTTGATGGAAGGCCATACACAGCGGGTGTATTCAGTTGTTCTGGATATAGACAACCGTCGCTGTATGAGTGGTAGTATGGATTCCACTGTGCGGATCTGGAGTCTAGACGATGGCAGTTGCCTCAACGTACTTGAAGGTAAAGTTATCAGCTTTTAGTGTGGTCTAGTTTGGTGCATAAGCTAATCGATCTAATTCCCTGTACAGGCCACTCCATTCTCGTCGGTCTTTTGCATCTCACTCCAAACCACTTGGTGTCAGCGGCAGCTGATTCAACTCTTCGCATTTGGTCCACTGAAACTGGTATTTGCGAACACGTACTATCTGGCCATCAAGCTGCCATCACTTGCTTTCAGCACGATGAAAACAAAGTGGTTTCAGGATCTGAGGGCGGACTTAAGCTCTGGGATATTAATACCGGACAACTGGTTCGTGACTTGATCACCAATGTAACCGGAGTATGGAGAGTTGCATTTGATGAAAGACGGTGCGTTGCTGCCGTTAATAGGTAAGGCTAAAAATACATGCCCATACTTTTTAGTCCGATTTTTGTGAGATTAATCGGTTCCCTTTCTTCCGTCATCATAGGAACAACGTAACGTGGTTTGAAGTGCTTGACTATGGCGTTCAAGGCTTTGAAGATGATACCGAGATAATATGAAATCCAATCAAAAAATTTGATACCAAACTGCATAGCGATCCTCTGCCGCTTCATTTCTGTTGTTTAAGCTTTTTTTCTTCCTTTTTGCTGTTTTCCTGCTTCCGTCCCTTCCTTGCTCCTGATATTTGATACCCTTTTTTGTTCTCATCTTTATTTTATACAAGACAATTGCAAAGAATAAAATGAAAACGAAAAGATGAATCCAACCATAAGTGACCGTCGATCTTTGTGTATAAGAAAGAGCAAATTTATTTATTTTTCGCAAGAATCATTTGAACTTGGGCGTCCGCCTATAGTATAATCACCCACAGGTATTACAACGTTATCGCATTGCCGAATAGTGAATAATGGTTTGAAGTGAGCATGCGTACTTATAATCTATCGTTTACCCTGGATTACCCAATCGGCGATGTATGAGAAGTTGCCAAATTCCTGTTGTTCAGGACGGGTAAGAGTCGAGTTAACGGGAGTGATCTGAGGTATCTCGCGAGTGAATTCCTCGTCAAAGTTGGAAGTGTCAGCTCTGCCATTGATAGACGGGTAGAAAGGAGGAGGAACACGTTTAGCCAGCATATCATCCCAGTTGACGCCGCGGAAGAATGCATGTTGCTTAATATCTTGAGCGTCCATTTGACTTGATCCTAACCGAGTTTGAGGATCACGGATAAGAAGCTGAAAGACAGAAAAAAGTCAGTGACCATACATCAAAGGGAAAGCACATTGAAACCAAGCGCAACTTCTTACCTTTTGACAAATGGAAACTGAGTCGCGAGACATGTTGATAGGATACAAAATTTCATCTTCCAAAATGGCATCAAAAATTTCGTCTTCGTCTTCTCCTCGGAATGGGGATTGACCCAGCAACATTTCATAAATGAGAACGCCAAACGCCCACCAATCCACAGCTCTTCCATACTTTTGCTCGAGGAGAATTTCGGGAGCCATGAATTCAGGAGTACCGCAAAAAGTGCCGGTCGTCTGTCCATACCACATATTTTCTTTACAAAGACCATAATCAGCAATTCGGATGTGACCGTCCAAACCCAAGAGAATATTGTCCAACTTGAGATCACGATATATGATGCCTTGCTTATGGAAATACTCCAAGGCCAACAAGACTTCGCAAGCGTAAAACCTGCAAAAGAAAGAAGAAGACATGTTAACATCAGAGTAATGGATGCGTGTCGTACTTTGGTCAACCTACTTTGCTCTCCTTTCAGAGAATTGTTCACGTTGAATGTGCAACATCAAATCACCACCACTGATGTAGTCCATAACAAAGTAGATACGAGTCTCTGTTTGGAAACAGGAGTGTAGACCGATCAAGAAAGGATGACGCTCTCTGTTTGCAGCTTGGAAAACTCGCTTCTCTGAACGGGTACTGTTGATAAACCGAGAAGTAAGCGAAATGAAAGCATTTTCACATTTGACATACAAAATACACCCACCTTTCCACCTCATCATTGTCGATGATGAATCGCTTTTTGAGAACCTTGATAGCATAAAGCTCACTAGTATACTTTTCTTCCGCAAGCATGACCTATATGGTGAGAGAAAGGGTATATGCATTAGCTCCAGGTGTAGATTTGATTTATACTATTCACTATTTTCGAGTCTTACCTTGCCAAAGTTACCCTTTCCGAGAACAGCCAAGAAATTAAAGTCATCCAAACCGACCTTACGGCCAACTTGCAAAGGAGAAACGCCTTGCTTTGGTGGCACTGGCGGTTGTTGCTGTGGCTAATCAAAATGTTAATAATCTCTATTCAAGCGGCGTTCAGATCTGATCTGTCAACTTACAATGCTGCTAACTCTTGGTGCAACAGGGTACGGCTTCTGCTGTAATTGTTGACTCATTTGAGGAGAAGGACCAGGTTGATAGGGTCTGGGCATCATAGCGGTGTTGGGAATAGGGGCGTAGGATTGGGGCTGCGATGGACTAGGAATTCTCTGCTGCATAGGAGGAGGACCCATCTGCTGTTGTTGCGGCATATAAGGTCTACCATAATCAGGTGGCATATTGTATTGCCCTGGTGGTCTCATTTGAGGCGAACCATGAGATTGTGGAGCTTGAGGACTCATAGATGCTGGCATATGCATCGAGCCTTGAGGGTACGGTTGCTGGTACTGGGGTTGCTGTTGATGACCACTTTGTAGGGACAATTGCGACATGTTTCCGTGAAGCGAATCGCCTAGTGATGTACTGGAACCTCCACTAGTTGGTCGCTCTGCCTTTGTAAGCTTCGGTGTGCCGGTTCCTTCGGTTGTTCTCCTTTTGGCAGCCTTGATTTCAGCAAGCATTTGATTTGCCATTTCCATAGACATACCGCAGAAGTCAGGTACCAAATGAGCGCACTTAGTATGGCAAGTGATACCACACTCTGTAGCAGGTTTAGGTCAGTTTATGCCATGAAAAAGCCAAATACCCCAAAGCTCTATCAACATACCATGACATTTTTTGCTTCCCTTAGAACCAAGCGGTAGCATGTAACCACAGTGACAGCACCAATTTGCTCCAATATTGGTGATTGGTTCGAATCTGTGAGGAATACGATGGTTGAGCTTGTCCTCGTCAGGATCCTATGAGTGAAAAAAAAAATTACGCATTAGTATAAACATATTCATCATAAACATTTTCGTAATGAGCATAATGAAGGCGTACAGTTTCGGAGTCCAAGCGAGATATACATTTGGTAACAACTTTAGTGTAGCACTTTCGGTGGCAAGAGTAATCGCAGTCTAGAAAAGTAATAGAATGAGCAACGACACTACATTGAGGAGTTTAGTGACGCTCATGTGTGACATACCTTCACATTGATATCCACTGTTGACCATAAACTCGCCACACAAGGCACAACGCATAATGTTGAAGAAGCTCTTTTCCACAAATTGATGCCCATTCATTTCGTGAACCTCTTCCTTGCGTTGACGAACGGCGCCTGCACGACCAAGCTTATCGAGGGGACGTCGATCACCAGTAGTATCACGGACTAAAAGACATGTAACGTCAGCAATGTACTTGAATTGTGCAGCATTCACCGAAACATTCATACTTACCAAAATTGATGCGCAATGCAATATGACCGACGGGCTCAACATCAAACCATGCTTCAATTCCTTTGTCGTTGGCGCCTCCAATGCCTTGTTCACGATAGGTGGGTTGCCTGTTCGCTTGAGCATTTGGGGATTGGCTACCGGCTGAATCATGCTGTTGAGCAATCTCGGCTGGTACCCAACCTTGACCATTATCTTGCATGATCTTTTGTCTTCTGAGACCATCGACGATATCAGAGATTTTCAACCAGAGGATACCCACAGGCATTGATCGATCACCAGATTGATCGTAGATGCTGATTTCTACGTCTGAGGCTTTGCTTACATTAACTTCGCACTGGTCAGCCCATTTGTCAGATCGAGATGGACGTGTTCGGAACACCACATTTCCGTCAATCTTGACCACGGCGATAGTTTCGGGCATGCTGAATGTTCTTGTAGGAGCATGGGCTAGTTCTCGAACCTCCAAAATTTGTAGCTGCAGTTTACCCGTCAATGGCTTTCGCATTCCAGGTACACCACGAAGAGCTGGGACTGTCTCCAATTCTGTAAGTGAGAAGATTGTTCATTAGATTTCCATGTGATCTCTTAATTTGGAGGTTGCCACATAGAGAGCTAAAGCCAAGCGCCAAAAATAAATTTTAGGAAGGACCAAAAAAAAACTTACCATCATCATCATCGTCGCTCTCTCCAATATATAGATTCTTGTATTTACGCACAGCCTTGTTCAATAGATTGAGCTTTTCATTACTTTCATAAAGTTCACCTTGAACTTCAGCACGTCGCCGGCGATCGGTAGAAGAAGGGTCCTTTTCAACTGCCCAGGCCATGTTCTTGATACCTGCTAATACCTTTTTCTCAACGTCCAATTTGTATTCCAGTTCATGTAGTTTAAGAGAGACTTTAGCCTTGTTAAAGGGGGTATCCGCTTTGAGTAGATCTAATACCAATATAAACAGGTCAGCAGAGGTTGGCTCTTTTTTTCAGGCCAGCCAAGAAAGCACTTACCAAGGTTACTGTATTTCCTTTTTTCGGGTTCAACCTTGGCAACTCCTGCGTTTGTGCTTACGCCTGCACTTGCTACCATTGGGCTACTGGATGGATTCCGAGATGAGGCTGATGCAGCCGCAGCTGCTTCCACGCCACTGTCACTGCTTTGTGTAGACGAACGACTCGGCTTTTGGCGGAGCTTGCGAATTTCTTCTGAGAAATAATCGATGTATTTTTGATATTCCTTGATCTCAGTATCGCACTGCATCTGAGCGTTTCTATCTTGTATGATGCGACGCATCTGCATCGCTTTATCACGATACATCTTATTTTGGTTGATCTTGAGCTCTAGCTCACGGATTTTCGATTGCATATCCTGACCAAACAGAAGGAATAACAAACGTTAGAACCAATATCTATACATAAAAAAAAGAGTGCTAGATGCCCTCTATGCCGAGACTTTTGTATCTACTGTCATTTCGGATAACTGTTGCTACTGTTTTTGTATTCAGCCATAGGCTAAGCTGCAGGAAGTAGTCGCTGCAATCTTTGTTGATACCCAACTTGCCTGTCGAAATTGCAGGAAGCCGGAGCGGCTCGATGATAATCTGGGTAGACATCCAGGTGCATAATGGCTGCTTGACCAAAAGATTGAACGAAAAAACATATATCAACATACCGCCATTTTACAATACTAAGCAGATTGTGAAATTAGGGAGGCAAGGGTATAAATCGCGTAGTGCAGAGACAACGTTTGAGGATAGGGAAAAAAACATGGCTGTGGTAATAGCGGGGTTCGAAACGCGAAGTTTTGTCCTGTGCGAGACAGCCGAAAGGATTGACACTGATGGATGCCAAACGCTTGATACTCGATATGCCTGTACGTCTTTTACGACTCTCATGTAATATGATCTCATCATCTGTAGTTTGAAAGCATAAATACACATACAACATTGTGTAGAACCGAGGGAAGCCGCCGTTCATTTAAGATTTTTCAGCTGAGCAAAACATTCAGCCGACTAGCGGTCGATATCCCCATTTTCTTTGGCTCTCACTCAGCCGGTATATATATATTAACTCCAGTACCTGATGGTTCTTACATTAATTGCTTTAGTTTAGATATGCATTTCTTATTAGTCATTCCTTCTTCGAACTACTATCGTCATGAGCGGTTTCATTTGGTACCACCAACGCCTTTCCAACAAATGTCTGAACGATTCGGAGTTTCTTTTCTCGAGATACTATTGTATTTCCAATAAACTCTGTCTGTCATACGAGCTATGTTGCTTCTTGATATTTATTTTGCTATCTACGCTGTGTATTGAGGATGAAAGACTCGAGAGAAATCACATATAAGAGCATAGTTCTAAAGAACTTTCCTTCGCACCCTAAAGACCGTCGATGTTTGAAATGCAGGCTAAGCCAAAATTGAAAGCCTAAAAGGCACTGAGATGTTGTTTGATATGGAAGCTAGATTTTCTGCAACGCTGACGAACAAAAATTGGTAAAGATGTCGTACTTATGCATCAAACAATCACTTGAAGCAGTCGCTTGAAAGCGCTTCAGTCGCTTGACAGTGCTTCTTTTTTCGCAGTCGTGCCCAAATATCCGCTAAATAGGCGAGCGTCAACAACGGCGTCAGGCAAACAAAACAAAGGTACCCATTGGAAATATTAACATATAAGCAATGGACAGTTTCACACCAATCCAGCCGTTCCTGTGGAAAGTGTAAGTCGACTTAGGGTCACCTTCAAAGCTTGAAGTACCGACTCATAGCCTGTGAGTAACCGTAGACCATGTAGCATAATTCATGATCAGTGAGCTGCGCATTTTTTCTATGTCTTATTAGCACCATCACTGACCTGATTTTCGTGGTGTCGACACAAAAAATATTGTATCTTACCTACCCGAAACATTTTGCTAAAAGCACATAGTTCATTCAATCTCCCACCACACACTGTCAGCCAATAGAAATGCGTTGCTTTGACTGGTGCATGGGTATGTCCACGGTTCAAACTCGCTGTTATCACAGCACCGATTCAGAGTTTGAACCGTGAAAGCATATATCAACTTCGTCTGAATCATCATAATGAGTGGTCATAATATAGACGGAATATCTCAACAATATTAAACGACTTATTTACATATTCGAGATATGAATTTGGAAACACACTTGGCATCAAGTGACAGAGTTGAAACATCATTTTGACTATTACAGACCATATTTGAAGACAATAGCTGCTTCAGATTTGGAGTCAGAGAGATAATCTTATAGATATAAGTACTTGATAATAGGCGCATCAAATTAAATCTGATGGCTGTAATCCATTCATACGATAAGCTGTGCCCAGAAAATCCTTGTCATAGCTTCTATTATCATCATGCTGAGAAGTGAGGATAAAATTTATCTGTTGGTCTGGGCGCACCTGTGACGTATGCTGCGTGGCTTGAATTGTGTGAGAAGCAAAAAAAAATCATTCAATGCAAAAAAGAATTGCGCAGTCCGGGAATCGAACCCAGGTCTACCGCGTGGCAGGCGGTAATTATACCACTAAACCAACTGCGCGCTTGTTGGAAACTGGACCACTTCCAAAAATATAGTCCAATATTATTTACATTGTGCTTATAAAATATATATATTTCATATTTTATAGCATTATAAATCTACGTTACCCTATTGACTAATATAAATTTTATTATTATTTATTTTAAATATAATTTTCTTTAAATATATATCTATATTCCTCCAAGTTGATAGTCTATATGAACACTATCTACGTTAACTTTGACTATACGAGAGCTTAGTTTCAGGACAGGACGACGCAATCGTTCCTCCAGTTGCCTAGGTATACCTAGTTATGACAAAGAACTTTTTTTTTTTTTGATGAATGAATTTAAATTATTCTGTCCACATTGCTGATATGTTCTTTACGTGCGGCGCACTAAAGATTCAAATTGTGTTTGCTGTTTCGGTTGGCGCGCTTCGCACAATGACAATGGATGTCCATATTTTTATTCGACGCTTATGATGCATCACTCAAATATGTGCAGTGCAGGTTGAGACGTAATGGCGTCTGATCATCTTTCTCACTAAGGTATTTGATGTTTCAAAATCACCTTGATTACCGTTTGAATGGTTGACGAGAACAAAGTCATATACGTATTAAATCCCGTATGCATTCCATTATACTACGCAAGGAAGAAGAAACCCTTTAATAAAAATTCACAGAAAAATTTAGCTGCCCTTTATTTCTCCCTTCAACAGAAGCTGTGTTGTAATGACGCATATTTGCCAGGGACAACTGTATGTAATCATTAAAATTAGCTAGCAAGAGCACGCGCAGCGCCATAGGTTGTCACTATTGCATAAGCATTAGAAAAAAATCAATATCGCTTTATCAAAAGAAGTGGGAGTACTACTACATACCAACTGTTTATCACACTTAAGTCAAACAATCTATTTCTTCAGAAGCCCCTGAATGATTCAACAGTACTTAGCTGCGAGTGATGTTATAGTAAACACCATACGATATATCTTCAAATGTGTTATATGGCTACCATTATTATAAGGTTCCATATTTATTTAGAGTGTCTTTTGCTAAAGAAAAAAAATGTGAAAGATACATCCTGAAATGCCTAATTGCCAATTTTAACTATATGTTTTTAGTTGCATTTACACAGTACTGTGCGCGAAAAAGTAAATAGGCATTTTTAGCGGCAAGATCTTCACCGAATCTTTTTCATTTTCTATTATTATCATCGTAAAAATTTGGCACTCGGTCTCGTGTGTATCATTCAGAGGAGAAAATGAACCAAATTAATTACCAGTCAACTTGGGGTCATGATGGAGATTTCTCGAAAAATTTCACAGTGTTATGAAAGTCAACTGCCAATTTTCGCCACGTTGAAACTTTCCTCTTTTCCCTCTCATCGATAGCCACGTAATGGACGCTGCTTTTAACATCACCATGGGTGGCCTTCACTATGCGGCCAAAGCGTATGACATCGCAAGTAGAACATTGCAAGAGCACAATGTAACACTGCCATCCCCTCAAATAATTGCGTACAGCTTTCAATCAGCCGCTCAACAATTAGGTAACGCGGCAACTTCATTCGGTCTACCCTCGTACTGGAAGGATATCCTTGTCAACTACAACGTGCTCCCCGTGATAATGGCACTAGTGTGGCTATATACAATGTTTTGTTTATTCACAATGACGCTACGATGGATCTATAGGGTTGTTTTTGGGTTCGTTCGATTTTCTCTTATCATCTGCACTGTAGCGTTCGTGGTTTACCACGTCCAGATGTATCTCAGCAAAGATGGCGACTTTGTAGATAGCACACCTTTATCGAGTAACCCTCGGGCAAATTATCTGAGACAACAGGGGGTTGTTCCATAGCGTTAACGAACAAGCATGTAGAATATTTCTTGGTTGGTTTTATGTACTCTTGCCCAATTTTCCCTTGTAGTATATAGCGGTTTTCTATTATTCAGTGTAGTTCTTTATTCTTCATTATTAAAAAAAACGACCTAAGTTAGAATGCTGATGGTTTTCAGCAAACACAAGAAGAGTCAAAACATAGTTAAAAGCAAAGGTTGATTTGATAATTAATGCGGGGTGGCAAAAGGTGAGTTGTTTCCCATTCTACTGTCGTCGCTTGTAGCGAACATCGCAAGGGTGCTTGGGAATAACAACCATGCTAGTGAAATCGGACTCAGGCACGGTGGCACCTTCAGGGTAGTCGAAATCGAAAGTGGTAATAAATGTAGCAATGACGGTCTTGAGTTGCAAGTAACCAAATTGTTCGCCAATGCATCTATGGCGACCAGCTCCGAAAGGAAGGAAGGGACTCTTTGATGAAAAACCAACAGTACCAAAACCATAATCTTCATTCGCATCGGAATCAACTTCCATAGCATGTACAGGGTCAGTCTTCTCGATCCAACGGTAAGGATCATACTTGGTGGGGTTATTGAAGTACTTTTCATCAAGCTGAGTAACACCAGGGGCAGCGCAAAGCATATGGTTTTTAGGGATGACATGGCCAGTTTTTTCGTATACAACTTGTTCGGCAATAACCTTGCGCATCATTTGGTAGATCGGTGGGTGAAGACGAAGAGTTTCGCGGATGCAAGACTCAAGCAGGGTCAATTCCTTCAGGTTCTCATAGGTGAGGTCTGCCTTCAAGGATCCCAACTTTTCAATAAGTTCCTCTCGCACTGCCTTTATAAGCTCAGGGCGGGCAGCAAGTTCCAAGATAGTCCAAGTAGAGGTTGTAGCAGATGTATGTTGTCCACCGAAGAGGACTGCAATCATCATGTGAGCGATATGATCATCAGGAAGAGGGGTACCATCCTTGTATGAGGACTCCATCAAAGTTTGAAGAAGATCAGAGTTACTCTATTGATGGAATCACGTTGTCAGCCCATGTGCGCTTTTGTGAAAATAGGAAAAACTCAATTCTTACATTGTCATTTTCTTCTCTTCTACGCTTGATGATACTGGCGTACAACTTGGTCATCTTGATGTTAGCTTCATCACGTCGTTTGTAGGAAGGCAATGGCAAGTTGGGGAACATCATATTAATGGGCTGGAAACCTTGATCCAAATCATAGTAGAGTTTAGCGACAGGACCGTCTTCCAAATTTGCTCTGATTTCCTTTCCCATCAAACATCTTGAGGCAGTGTTGATAATGAGCTTGCTGAAGAAGTCGTGGACGTCAATGGATCCAGTAGAGGATGACAAGTTGCGGTCGAAGAAGTCATGGGTTTCGTCAATGATCATAGGTACGTGCTTGCGGAAGTTTTCAGCTCCAAGACCAGCCTTGATAAATCTACATTATGACATCCAAATTAGCCGAAAAGTTTCATAATCCAACCATCACAAAAGACCCAAACATACTTCTTCTGCTCCATGAAAATATTGTGAGGAGCGTCATAAACTACGTCGGGACCGAAAACAAACTTTGTCATATGGTTATAAGCAGCAGCAGCTGAAGACAGGTTCTGTTTGCTGTTGAAGACAAATTGGTTGCCGTCGGCTCCCATACAGGCAGTGACGGTCATACCAGCCATTTTGAATGTGAAGATATCGCCATATTTCTTTTGGCAGTCTTGAAAGAATTTGATAGGTTGCCTGTTTCTCAATGGTCAGATACGAGGAAATGGCGAATCAAGTGGTCAAGAGTACATACACGCCAAATTCGATAGCATTACCGAGCCAAGGGATAGCGTGGAACACGACGGGAGGGTGTTTAGGATCACCTTTGACAAGCTAGTAAAATGATTATCAAGAGCGTGAGTTACGTTGCATTTAGTATGTTTGAAAAGATGAACCAGCTCAAGGTCAATCTACTGCCATGCTTTTCGCAGATCAAGAATTTGGCTGTTCTGATGAAGGAAAAAACCACGATTGTTTTCCGAGAGTGAAAAAGGAGTGGAGAGGTTTTACATACCAGCTGCGATAAGATATGAATCACAAAAGCGGTGACAGCTGCCAAACCTCCATAGAGTGCAAGGGTGCCCAAAGAATCGGTCAACATTGTATAGGATGAAAACAAGGTAGAAGGGGAAGGTACTTTCGGAGACTGTACAAAAATTATCGAAAGGGCAGCAGCCAATCATTTTACTGAAATAAAAATTTGCTTTTATACCTGGCCCATAACGGCCTCCCTTGCAGAAATTTAGACGGCCAGTGCCCCGAATGCATACAAAAAAAACCGCTAGGTAAAATCGAATGATTTTTTCCCAAATATGCTGCCACTTCAACCGAAACCATAGTCCAAAGATTTTTTGATGTAAAAACACATGTACCTATGATACCGTCGCTCGTTAGTAACTGCCGTAGCAAATTAGCACTATGATTGCAAAATTCACGTACGCTTTGCTATCCAGAACGTCCTTTTGATAGCTCATAGTCACATGATGATCGTCAAATTTAAACCACTACGAGCAACTTGTTAGTGGATGAAAGAAATAGGGTAAATACATATTCCGAAAGGTTACCTGTCCTCGGTGTTTCGCAAACATAGTGTAGTGGCCCGTATCCATTTTGCCTTGGTGATTAACAACCGCAAACAATGTGTACACATTGATGTTGTTGTAAGCTGGTGGATTTGATGATCGATGCGATTTCTTATCACTATGATTCAAGTTCGTTAGTGTCAATGCATTAGGCGCTTACAGCTGTTCTCGAGTTCTTGCACATACCTGTGTTTACCGCTTCCATCGCCATATTCAGTGGTATAAGGCGTCATGTCTAAGTCTATTGGGAATTTGATTTTGGTTTCTATCTTGGTAGCAGATTTACCATGCTCAAAACGCTGTTCACGATACATTAGCATTTTTCCGCAGCTAAGCCGGTGAGTTCATTATGTCTGATACTGTACCTTTAGCTGAAAACTAAGAACCTGCGGGAGTCGCTTCACAGAGAGCTGCTTGACAGCTGCTTGGAATGTATGCCCACAATTTCCGCAACTGTATTGATTTTCTCCAAGCTTTTCCGGCTTGGTATATCTAAAATGATGGTACTTTAGAAACCGTTCAAACCAAAGTATTCGACATCATGAACGTGATCTTTTAGTATACCTGTCAAGGCAGTCGGTCAAGGAATTCGCTTCTCGGGCGCGTCTAGCTGCAAAAAAAGACTGATGCTGATCGGAGTTTGGTGATTCTTGTTTGTCCTTAGAGGTCAGTAAAGGATTTCCAAGTTTTCCTGCATTGTCTCCTGGCAGGGGTTGTGTAATCTGCTTCTTTTTCTTTTCCGGCGGTAGCAAATCGAGGCTTATGTCAAGCATAGGGTCGTATGCTGATGAAACATTGCCACACTTTAAGCAGGTGACATTTGATTGCAGGAGGCCAGCAAAAGTCTGGTGTACCACACAGTGGCAATCATCCATGCTATGGTCTACTGAAATATACATTTACTAGACGTTTTGAATACAATTATAGGAGCATCAGGGAAATTTACCTTTAGAATCTGCATGGATTTGATTCAGGGCGCTTATAAAAAACTCATGTGCATCTTGTTGGGCATATCCCGCTAGTTCCTTTAGACTGAGCCACATAGATTGAAGAAATGTACAAGGTCCATAGGGTGATCTCTCACCAGAATACAACTATTAAAAATTGAGTGCAAAGTTAATTAAAACATAGAACTAGGTCTAAATCGAGATATAGAAAACTTACCTGCTCGAATAGCTTATCCATTTCGCAGCACATACAATATTTTCGTTTGCAAGATTTGTAATTATGCCGGTCGCTCAGGAAGTGTGCTCTCAGAAGGGGATTATGCGCCATACTCTGGAGGATGACATTCATGAAACATGTATTGCCCATGTTAGTCAGTCCGCGTATGCCGCGACAAGGCAATAACGACGACTGCGTCGTTATTAGCGTTTGTTCGCTATCAGATGGTATCCAGTCAATAAATTGCGGTTGAGATTTTTTTCCTATAAAAAGCAGGCCGCATTTGAGTATGTACTCTCCAAATCTACCAATCGTAAAGGAATATATCCATACCACGTCTCAAATATTTGTACATGCGTAATAACTTGGGTTTCGTAATAAGATCATAGAGCTCTTTGTCATAAATATAGTCCGAACATAATGAACAATAGATCATTTGGTTTGAAAAATCCATAGCTATGTTGAAAAAAGCATATTGTTGAGTTTGATTAAAGAATCATCGGGTGATTGTCAAATGAAGACAAAAGTTGAGAACGGTTGGATTACCAAATGTATGATTCTCTTTCTTAAGATGTTGCTGAATATGCCTTTGGCTTCTACAACCCAAGTAATTGCAGTGTAAACAAATGTGTAGTCGGTTAGACAGCAATTGACACGAAGTACAATGTGGTACAGGAAGCTGCGTGACAGGAGAGAGAAAAAATTATGATTAGTGTGAGGTTTCGAGAACAGTTTGGAGTCGCCACCAACATATCTATCTTCTAACCTGTTCATTCAGCTTCTTCCTCTTTTTGGACCTGACGGGATCATCGGTCTTTCCAGACGATCGCACTTCACTCATAGCGATTTTCCACGCAATACCATAATCTACAGCCGTGATGAAGGTTTGTCGAAAGGTATCTCGGTCACTTGCATTGCTGGGTATAGAATGTTGGTGTTTCATATCAAAAAGGTGCTTGCATCCTGCGGAGGCAATTTTAAAATTTTGACGCTGTTCATCGGTGGAATAAAACGAAGTAGGGTTGTCTGGAGAATTTAAAATATCATAAACGGATGCTGAATGAGCTTCTGCGGTGCCATTGCTATGACCGTTTGTATTAACAAGTGTCATAGCTATGGAGTCGGCTTGTGGGATCATTGAAAGCCCCTTTTAGGTAACAAAACGTTACATGAGTAATTCGTTAGCTGATGAATGATACACTACAAAAGTAACTCAACATCTTGATGCACTTCTGCCATACCTCTATTATTGACTTGCTCTGTGTTCAAGCCTTAGCTAAGCGGCTGATATGGTGTTATACACTGGCTATAAAGGCGATTTTGGAGGTCAAACAGGCAATTCGCTGTAAGTCGAGCTTTCAGTGACGATCTGCAATCAAGAATCATTTTGAATTAGAGTTACGAATGCATAAAAAAACAATTGTCGATGGTTTACATTACTCTTGTTTCTTGTGAAAATGTCAAGACGGATCCAACCGCACTGACCGATAAAAATGGTCTGTAAAGATTCAGACTCCACCCTGGGGAACACGGGGCGATTTGGTCACTCTACTCGCACCAGTTTTTATACAAAATCTTTTATGTGTCCTGATTGCTATTGTTACGACCGTTAACATACTTAGAAGTCGTTTTTATAATTTATTAGCTACTAATGAAGTCTTGAAAACTCTTCGATAATTCTGAATAATTGCTCTAAACTGCAGTTAAGCCGCTGTCCACCCATATCTCCATCAACAACTTGCTGCATTTGAGATCGATTTAAGTCAAGAAAACTTTCTATCAAATCGCCGTCAATAAATCCTCTGTGTGGTGCTACTCTACGGTCACCACGAAAGTTTCTCCATCTGTCCCAGAAGAATAACACTCATTAGTCATCATCTTCAAACCAACAAAGCGATTCTTTTGTTTCTCGTCTTACTTGGAGTGATCGAAATGTCCAATGCTGCCAACAATATGTATAATGTTGCTTTCAACCTGAGAAAACAGCAAATATTGATCTGCTGTTAGATTATGCATCACACCTAAAACGCCATTGATAGTTCCGAACAGTGTTGATGATGAGGTCGTAGTTGTATCAGAATGGTTCATCACAAGAGAACCTGGATTTTAGAAAGAAGAATGATTAAACAACACAGAAAATTGAGAAATTTCGCAGTGATGATGTATATAAAACTTACCTTTCCTGAAACGATTGACATACTCGCCTAAATGCCACTCCCCAATAACTTCGAACTGATCCGTATCGTCCATGGTGTTGTTTGGTATTTGGGCCAATGTGAACAAGTTATAGCCAACCTCAGCACCAATTACGATATTGTCATCCACTAACGATAGGCTGGCCATCCAATTAGAGTTCTGATCTATTGCTAATTCGCGAATGGTTCGACTGTTCTTGTCATATACGAGCTTGGAGATCGACCTCATCAAATCGGCAACGACGATTTGATTACCATTGACAGCCATATCGACAACAATCGTATTGGAGCGATGGCAACAGACGTTGCTCAAGCCGTGGTTAATCCACTCATAAATGCCAATGGTTCCATTGACCGCCACCACCAATTTGTTGTCCATCGGTTGGATGCAATACGGTGACCCATCGATCGACCTTGTATGTCTCAAAATCAATTTTCTCTCGGGGCTGACTTGGAGGACAAGGATTCTACCTTTTCGGACATCTTCGTCGCCCGGAACTACGGTCGCTGTACCAACGATATAGAAGTCCGACGCACCACCGTCAAAGGAACAGCTCGCGATGGATTCACCAACTTCAAAGCTTTCGAGAGTAAGTGTATCTAAGACTGAGGGAAAATCATGAGTTATTCTCCTTTGAGTTAAATGATATAGATTTCATGTAGACTTACTTTCGAAACTTTGATCATCAAGAATTTTAATAGATGAATCCTTTGACGAGTCCGGCAAGCTTGTTTCCATTTTGGTTGTTATGATGGCAAATGTACGGGTAGACTCCTGGTAACATATTCTTCTCGCCATTTCGCCCAAAGGAATTTTGTTTATGTGAAGTTTTTGAACTTGATCTATTTGACCTATCATGACTCCTGAACTTGTCGTAAATGCAATACAGTTTTCAAATGATGGGTTGCGAAATGCTGTAATATTGCTCATATCCTGGAGAAGACTTATACGTAAATATCACTTATCATTCAGTATAGATCGCCGTGCATATTATACCTTGAGATTGACATCAGAGTACAAAATCTTGTGATTGCTGCTATGAATGACCGTCGGTCGGTCGGACGCAGCGAAGACATGTGTTGCTCCGCCCGCTGAGAAGGTATTCAAAGTAACTGGTTGTGTGCCAATCGACACCTTTTTTTGGTTGGAGAGTTGCAAGGTGAGAGGATCCACTTGAAAGTTAAACAACTGCCCGTCACCTATACAGTTATGTTGAAATGTAAGTATCTTTTTGCGTCATTTCTGCGTTTTCCATAACATCTTGTGCACTGTACCTAAGGCGACTAGCAAGAATAATTCCTTTTCAAACTCTGTTAAAAGGATAGATCTTGGTATGATATCTCCTCCAAGATCTACACTTGCTATTACACTCAAATCCCGAGCAGAGAGAAGTTGTGTTCGCATGGTAGTCCAGTAACCAACAACGATCACATCATCGTCAAATGCAAGTGGGAATTGATTAATATGTATGCATGCGATTTCGTTGGCCAATTTTGTTGACCTGACACGCATGAACTCTTAGTAAATCATTTCAACAAAAGATTGATGCATTTGTCTTAACCTACCCAGATCGCTCCAGCTTCCCAGCTTTGTACTCCAAGAGATTCAATGTACCTTCTCCCGTTGAAAAAGCACACCTTCTGGCATTTGTTGTGGCAATCGTGATACGTGCGTTTTCCTCTGCTGATAATTCATCCAGCAAATTACCATTGTCACTGATTTCAAACAGTCGCACGCTTTGATCAGTGATTTGTACAACATGATTGTCAACGGTGTTTGTAGTTGCTAATGTTGTTCTGGTCAAACAGAAACCAGAGTAGTGTTCAATTTCGTGAAGCTCATCCTCAATTTGCCTCAAAACTCTGGTCTGTTCTATAAATGATATGACGAGTTTGTCTTCGATACTGAATAATGGTTCACTGATTAGTGGAAGACCATATCGCCGAGCTCGGTGACGATCCATACTTACTTGCTGTTGTACGCGGGACGTAGAGATAGTACGTTCTTGACTCCCACTATCTCTAACGAAGCTTGTATATGAACGCCTACACCATTTCGAATGATACGCAATGAGCCGTCTGATCCCGCACCTGAACACGTAATTACTTGAGCCTACATCAAATGAAAACCGCCATTAATCACCGATGAGAGTTCGGAAAGCATTTACAAAAGCCATTGGCTTGCTTACCTGTCCTTGCTTTTCTATATCCACTAGAGCAAAATCTGTAATCGGTCCCAAATTGGTCATTTCGTCAAGAATGGTAACATAGTCGCCTTCATCGTTTTTATCAGTATTCAGTTGAGCCAACTGGGAGTCACCATACGCAGAGCCTACAAATAGAACGCCGTCTCCAAGATACGAAAGGGAGGTAGGAGCAGATATCTGTAATTCGAAAGACGATGTCGAATTCAGTATCATTTCAATATTACCAAGACAAGACGATGTATGTACATACTTCTCCTAGCTTTTCGAGGTGTATATCTTTGACATGCTGGTTTTCTACTAGCAATATCAGCAGATAGAGTCGTCCAAGATAGTCGCCTAGTAATATCCGACTAGCATCTATTACCTCATGACTTTCATAAAATGAGCTACCGTGTCCGCATAATTGATAACATTTTCTTTGGTGTACTCACGCTTTCATGACAGTAGCATCCATGTAAATTGTAATCGGCGGATTCATTGGTTGAAGATACATTATGCTTTGTTCGCCTACGACTATCAAGCCATTGTAAGGTGGAGGGGCCGCGATAAGCAAATTAGCGCCAGGTTCCACATTAGTTGAAGGAATGATGCCTGCAGCTTTCGAGTTTGTTCGAACATTGACTACATACGAAGTCACATGTCGATCTTCGTGAGCATCTTGGTATAATATGGCGAGAGTAGGTAAAGACATGCTGGGAAGAAAACAGCAAGATATAATGTTCGTCTCTTGAAACCTTAGCGTCACCCACATACAAGATGTTATTAACATGTTTACATAGCCATTCCCTTCTGGCACCCTTCTTTCTTACCTCATGTTAACGGATATACCAACTTCAGTTGAGATTCGCTTTCCTATCACCTCTTTTCCTTTGCTAGATGACCGCCCTGCAATAGGCTGCATATTTTCGCCCCAAACTCCTGTGTTTAGTTGTAGGAACCTGATCATTCCCAAGTAGATACTTGTGCAGACTATTCGACCTGAATCGTCAACGTCGACTACAGATCCATCGTCGTATGCCTTGGCGCCGATTTCCGCAAGCTGTCCACTGCATTCCGTAACGACTTGCTGTAAAATGTCATCGTAGCTTAGAATACAGTAGTTGCTTTGTTCTGTAAGTACAAATAACTCTGCTGTTGGCCGATTCTGTCGAAAAAGTCAGACTTAGGTTTAGGGCATCGTGTTATACGAGGAAACTCGATTATTCTTACTGTAGTGTGGTATAACTTCAAGCTGGCAACGCGACCCCAGATCCCAAACTCTACAACGAGTTTGAGCTTCTCTCCGTCGAACCGAAAGACTTCAATCCTTGATCCTTTGCTGTTATAACGATGGCAGTCAGTTATGTCGGTGATCGGCTTGAGTCTATGCATTCAGATCAATAAAGGTCGTACCTGACAATCAAACATTGTTCATTTGGCGACAAGAAATTGCCTTTGACCGAAAAGCTAACCGCTGTTGGCTTTTGTGCCGAGACTACGTAATTGTATTGGTTCATTCGACCGACAATGTGCAGTCTAAACACCAGACTGTCTTATCGTGTTATGGCGCGTTGTTTAAAGACGAAGTGCGGAGAGGTATTTTTTTGGGTTTAACTCAGTGATCCATTTGCTCCACAAGGCATAACAGCCAGTATGCTCACAAATGCTGTTATGGCAACATTGGATAATTGTGTATATAACATTGTTTATTTCTTTTCTTTTAGTGACAGAAAAAGTGATAAAAACTGGGATGCTTAACATGGAAAATGCTGTTCTATTTCTTGGGACAAGTCGGTTTAAATTTGATGCCCTTGGATGCACCGTTGGATTTCCACAGTCCCCAATGTTGTTCCACTCCAGGAGCTTTCCAGGGTGTATCTACGCTATCGAAGAAGTAATACTTTATGCTCTTGTCGATACATTGAATGTCACTGACATATGTTTGAAGATTATGAGTGCTGGGTACGGACTGCCCATTAGTAGCACCTGCTGTTGGCCAGCCAGTTTCGCCAACAATCAGTGGTTTGCCTTTAGCATTCTTCTTCAAGTTGTTATACTGGAGTACCAGGTTTTGAGCAGCTTGAGAGGCTGGTACTTGACCAAAGTATGGATGAATGTTAGCTACCAAAAAGTCTGAAGCACTGATGACGGCTGAAGTAAATGACGGCGGTATCTCACAGGTACCGACCAAAAGACTGTGTGATTTGACTTTGGATTTGACATCCTTGATTTTCGCGGCCAATTGGGATGAGCTGATAACTTTGTTGAACAACACTTCGTTTCCAACCAACACTCCAGAGATGTAGGACGACGACAGCTTGTTTGAACTGAGAGTGTGCGTCAACGTTTTGACTTCTGACAAATAGTTGCTATTATTGCCTAAGTGATAGTCGATTGTGTTATAATTATGTCTTGATGGAGCATTAGGATTTCCAAGTTAGTCTTACCATCTATCCAGACGGCGGTTAGAACTGTCATTCCACCTCCTGCGCTTTTGATAGCCTTCAAAATAAGATCCAGCTGATTGCATTGCTGAGAGTATGTTCGGATATTGATGATACCGTTACTTTTGTATTTTTTTACATCCTTTGTGATGGTTGACTGAGACTTGCAAAGGCCATTAGCATCCAAAGCGTTATAACTAGAATTAACATTATTACCTTGCCATTTTTTATACGTGAAGTTATTTAATAAACAGTATCTTACGTTATACCATACAGCGATGAGCCTCCAGGTGCATGAACCACGTCGTGAGACTTCTTAGCAGGAGCAGATACCACTACAGACGAAAAAGCCAAGAGTCCAATGGCAACCGAGCTGATAACCCGCATTTTTGATGAACAGGGGAGAACACATTTAGAGATGCCCACTTATATACCGTGATTGACGGGTATCGCTGTCTTGTGATACATTGCGACTTAATGAAGTCCGGTGCGACAAATCTGCAGCCTATTCTTCTCTGACGATATTCCCTTTCCTGCAGCAGTAAAGATCGAAAAATAATATGGAAATACACCAAAAGCATTCGGATAATAACAGATACTTAGAAGCAAAGAAAATATCATCGAAAGGAATTGACTATGCTGGTATTATCCCGTTACGACGGGACCCGCTATGCACTTTAATCTGTAACACATGGCTTTAACGCGAGTCTATAGCTGAGTGACTGGGATACATTCAAAGAGTTGAATGGCCGATGGCGAAGAATTTGAAGGCCTTTTAACCAGACCGAAGCCATACCAGAGTGGATCTGGCTAGGTGATGGCCCTGATGTTACGACAAAAACCAACATGTCTATATTCGGGCAGTTTCATTGCTTCAGTCGAAAATGCCAGAGGATATTATAAATTTGAGCAATTTTTGATATCACATATTCAAAGGTTGAACGAATAGCTTGGAGTTTACATTGTTATGAAAGTTGAGTATCCAACAAATGTAGAGAACGTGTTACTGTTGCAATCCATATAGAAGAGGCTGCATTTTTAGTACTTTGACCTATGAATCTTGAAATGCTTTAACTATTGGATGACGATGACACGGAGGCAGCTAAATTTATTTTAAGAAAACATAGAAGGAATTTGTAAACGGATCGCCCTTTCGATAGAGGATTGCTATTATAAGCTTTATGGAGCATAAAGTTACATTTGATGAGGAGGAAGTCACTGGCTTATACATACTGTGGAAAGTATTTTGCAGTCCACAATACTGTCTTCACCTTTCGTGCGATTGATGCTGGTTATCCTATAGTGGACATGGGTTGACTAAACTCAACGTGTATTGTTAATTACTTTGGCAGCATGTTATTGCATGCAAATAAGTGAGACTTCCCCACTAAATCTGATTACTTATGATATTGGTAATAACTTAAGCAGAGTTGCAATGGCCATTTGCCAAAAGTGAACAATCAAAAGATAAACCCTGACTTTATGTTTTCTACTGTATCCGGATGGTAACGAAAAAAAAAACTATTTTTTCCACGTGACTTGAGGTTCTTATTGTTGTGGAACTGAGTAACGCTTTGGCTGATCTGAGAAAGCTCTTCTTATAGGCAGTTTGTCTCTTGACCCAACGAAGCTGCTTATTTTGGAAGTCTAGAGCCAATTGGCTTTAGAGGAACATCAGGACCTATGTACACTTGATCTTCACTTATACCTGGAAATATTGCCCGAAGTTTGGCAAGCATGGACGCTCGAACGATAGAACGCGAAGAAGACTCGGCGCATGTTTTGAACGGATTATTTCCACTCACTTGACGCTAGGATATGACGAGGATTGTGATCTAGAGAAAATTATTCCACTATGTCCATGCCATTGAGGGACAAGACTATGAATTCAGGGGCTTCTAAATTTTTGCTGATCGGTATTACACATTTGATCACGAATCCATTCGGTACAAGCGATATTTAATTCAGCGCCCCACTCGCTTGAATTTTCAGCATGTCTCGATATTATCTACATCACATTCTAATGTTAATATTAATATTAATATATTAATTGAGCCTTAGCCTAGGAGGATGGATTGTAGCATATATTGCCTGACCTATTTCCTTTCTGCAAACCAATACTGGAATTCCAAAAAAAAATTATATTATATTAACATTGTGTGCATGCAGCAAGCACAACTGCGCTTGATATTTACTGAAATGCGTACGCTCGTAAAAAAAGCTTGCTGTATTCCCACGCGGGTCGAAATATATACTAATCATCAACTAATATAATAATCTATATAGAATATACTCGATAGTAGCTACTCGTTTCCTCTGTCCTGTTTTTCCTTGAACTAGTTATCCCACAGTAGAACCAACGCCAAACTAAGAAAACCCCAATAATCAAATGTAAATGAATTGATGGTCGCATGTTCTTCGCATTTGAGAAATCATAATCTAGGAGGGCGTTTACTCAGGGCTTTTGCTCAATAATATGGGTTTATTAAAATGGAGTCGAAATGAAATTGTGTGAAGCAACAATGTCTAAAATATTGCACAGAAATGATGGGCTCATGTTTCAGTATATTTGCAATTTCTGGACAGGCGCCATATAGCTGCGTGCATCAGACCATGACAACATATAAGAATAAGTAACTGCTGCAGAAGAAATTGTAATGCATTGCTAATGACTTGCCATATTATTAAAACATGAAAGCAAGGATGCCATTTCCTTGCAAAAAGGAATTCCCTAATAAGGATTATTTATCAGTAGAATTCTATTTACAAAAAAACTACGCTCCCTTTGACAAACTTATGATCAGCACAGCTGTAAGCCAAAGTTATCTTATCAGGTTACGTTCGGGAGCAACAATGATCAATCTTATATGTAGTGACCTTAGGATAGCGCACTATTTATAAAAAATCTTTGTTTTTTTATTCAAAGAAGACAATCTATATGCTTCTATGAAATTTTTAAGCAACTTGGACAAAGCCTTCCTCGAAAATGTGAAAATTGAAACAGTCAGACTTGACTTTATGAATGAGTAATTTTTACTGGTTCAAAAAATATCGGAAGCGCAGTTGGTTTAGTGGTATAATTACCGCCTGCCACGCGGTAGACCTGGGTTCGATTCCCGGACTGCGCAAATCTTTTTGTTCTTTGAGCAAAAAGTCAATCTTTTCTTGTATATCTCTGGTACTGTGTACTCTAGTGGGCTACGCCGCTGAATTTTTTTTTTCCTTGAGGTATGCGCTAGGTTGAACTAGTTAATTTTCATCAATGAAGGGGTGTTTTTGTTAATCGTCCTTGACAAGAAGACGCTTATGTGTAGCTAGTTGTAGTATACTACAAGCTTCGGCCCTTGGTACGTGAATTGACTTGAAGGGCAGAGGCGCCCAGATGTTTATAAAACGAGAACCTGGGCTCAGATACTATGATCTTTCAACTTTGACAGGTAACCTTTTTGGATATCGGCAAACCATTTTTTTTTTTTTTTTTTTTACTTTTCGATTGTATGAGACCTGTGACCGATTTATAAACAAATGCTAAGCTAAATTGACCTCACCATGCGATGATATAACTAACTAGCATCTAGCATGAAGTTTGAATTCATCGTGAAATGTTGGAGCTAAGCTTGCATAATTAGTAGGCACCTCATTGAAAAAGGATAATTAACGGTATTGTTGTTCAAATCTGTTTACACCCACGCCTGAATTGTGACGCTCAAGAACGACAGCCGAGGATTCTCCACTAAAAAAAAAAAAAAATCTGTTATGTGATCGGCGACCGGATGATAGGAAGGCATTAAGTTCAGCTCAAAAACGATTAACTTGAAGGATGCGACTGCGTGACTCCTCAATTTTGAGTGGTCAGGGAAGAGATCGATCAGCATTTGATCCCTTCTCGTATTGCAATATAAGTATACGGACCCCTCTGTCTTTCTTTATCCTTTCTCTTCGCTTCTACCTAAGTTCAGTCTTTACTGCAAGTTACTGTTTGTTTTCAACAACTTCGGATTTAAAGACTCCAAACTAGTAACATTTCTAGGACCCTGAATTGGTTGGCCCCTTAACAGAGCCTCCGCTAACTCCTATACACAAGGTCAGCCGCAAATTCTTGAGCAGTGATATCTTTTGGTTGCAGATTCGTCACAGACTGGTAACATTTCTCTCATATAGCAGTTGACATTGCAACATTTCGACATTCCCTTTGGAGTTATTACTGTCAAAATCCAGCTGAGGTTGAATTCGCAACCACGCATTATCACCAAACAGTCGTTCACTTCTTTTCTGACAATTCAATGGATATAGCACAGTTCAGACCAAAGATATTAGGTTAGTATTTTATTAAAATATATCGAAAGCAAAACATATGAGCGTAATTTGTGGAAAATCAAATTGAGTTGAAGGTAGCAGAAAGTCATTGTAAAAATTGATATTTCTCAATGCGATCATACAAAATATCTAGTCTGGAAACCAATGATGCAAGAAGCTAAAAACTTTCTTTCTTTTGTTTCTATCCAACAGACATATTGAAAGTGTCGGATCTCTCTATGGTAACAGCAAAGAAAGTGCGTACTCAATTGGAGCAAAATTACAATATTTGTTTGAAGGATCATAAGAAAAGCTTAGAGTCTTTGGTTATGGAATGCTTTTACGAGCTTCAGGATCAGCATGGCAGTGTATCAATGCACGAAGGTAGCGACGGACGAGATTCGAATATTATGCTAACGACATCTGTGAGCTCTCCCGAAACCACAACAATATCAGATGATGGCAAATCGATGTTAATGGGTATGCAGTTACCGGACTACGATCCATTTCAACAACACATTGGTTCATATACTCTCAACGACTTCTCAATGCCTACGTCTCAATATACTACATATTCAGAAGCAAGTAACCTCCACAGTCATATGATGAATGTACAAAATAACGGCATAGACTTCATGCCTGAAATAAGATTAAGAAACCAGAAAATTCCGACGCAAGGTTTTCAGTCGCAGAGCCCAGAATCTTTCAGCAATGTAATGTCGCAAGACCCTATGGCTAATTTCCAAGCTCATTTATCCTCAAACTATCTTCCATACTACACGTTCTCCTCTTCTGCGCAACCTGGCCCCGGCATAAAAGCGCCTGAGACACCACAATACCATATTAGCCCTACTTCTTATGGGCAGTTCCATCAAGCTTACGACACACAGTATAGAGTGCAGCAAATGAAGCAACATGAGATGGGAGGACCTATACTGAGCACTCCAAATAACCAGTTACAACATAACAGAATACAGCAGCAGCCATACGTAGGCAGTGGCCACGGTAATGGACAATCGTGGCCACTCACGATAGCCAAGCTACGGCAGATGAATATGAAGTCAAATATAAAAAAGAACGTTGGGAAGGCTAAAAGAAAGAGACGTACTGCTGCCATTGTTGACGATCCGAACGCTCCTCCGAAACCGAAACGAAATACTGGACTGAACAAACCACTGATATTGAGTCCCATTTTAGCAGCTTTCACAGGCGTGTCAGAAGTAAGCTAAGGCAGCTGTATATCATGTTGAATTATTATCAACTGGCTAACTTATGTTGGTGTAGCTTTCAAGGCCAGAAGTCGTAAAGAAGCTTTGGAAATACATCAAAGAAAAGGATCTACAGGATCCAACTGACAGAAGATATATTCTCTGCGACGTAGAACTGAAGAAAATATTCACTCAAGATCGTGTAAATAGCTTTGCCATGAATAGGGATTTGTCGGCCCACTTATCCAAGAAATCCGATCCAGAGCCTACTACGGCTCCTACACTTGAAAAAACAGACTCAAATTACACTCTAGTCAGCTCCAGTGCTATGACTCCACAAACTCCAGGTATCAGCATGTCCGGAGAAGAGGATTTCACGGATGTGGCTAAGTCTGAAGAATTAAATGCAATAGATATAGAGCATCTCGTGCAAAGCATGGCACCAGTGAACTCTTGACGGTAAACCCCTCGCCATGCCTGCTTGATCCACTGTTGAATATTCTGTCGAAGGAAGCTTTAAAAATTGAAGTGTTGACCTTGCCATTTTCACTTCTTAATAGTTATATAGAAACAAATGTGTGTCTGGATACTTTATTACATGTAAATAAAAATGTGATGATTGATTTATAAACAAGACGGAGAGCTAAGTGATAGCAAAATGGTAGCGAGGATACTTGAATTTCTATGCCAGCTTGCCTAAGGTCGATTTAGTGACAGTCGCCTCAGCGTCAGAAGGTAACGTTACGGTCTCCGCTTTAGCTGGGGCTAATGGAATATTTTTTGGCTTGGCAGCTGAAACACCTAAAGGCTCATGAGTGGAACCCCTTCTGCCATGACCGTGGGCATGCTGATTTTGATCTTCAGTAGGCATTTGGTCCTCGGTTAAAGAGATGAATTGAGGCATTTCGAAGTTCAGGCTAAGGAAGTGAAAGGCACTTGTGAAGGCAAGCTTGCTCGTCTTAAATACGCCTTTTTATGCAGAACAAAGTGGATCGTGTGATTTTGGTAGGTGCAGACCCTATCATCATGACACAAATGGTAAAAGGGAAATTTACAAGGGACCCCTCATGAGTGGTTGAAATTATTTGAAAGGGTGGAAGTGGAGAAGTGTCTCCTCTTGAGCTCAATTTTAACAAAAGCAGTGGGTATGGCTTTCTATCAACAATCATGCGTTTACATTACATATCTGTTATGGCAGCTTTGAAACCGTTCAAATATTTTAGAGTGTCTGATATTCATGTTGTAGTAGTTATCTGCACATTCTTGTTCTACAATATCATTTCTATTGGACACAAACAGATATGTCCATAGAAGGTAGACCGCGGTCGTTATATAGAGCCAGTTTTCTCACCATTTCAAGCAAATCCTCATATTCATTTTGACATACGAAGATCCTCAAACTTCTGAAACAATGATCAAGACCGTATTTTTTGTATTCTCCCTTACGCTCATTGCCGCTGTAAAGGCAGAAGGCTGTTCTGGTGCGGCCACCATAGCCTCACAAGCAGATTTAGATGCCATCGGTTCTTGCAAGACATATACTGGTAGCATCACCATCGATAATTTGAACGCTGAAACATTGCAATTAAAGGGAGTGGAAACTGTCACAGGTGATCTGTTAGTGAAGAACAATGCAGCTCTGTCAAGCTTTAGTGCACCAGTTTTGCAAACCGTTCAAGGACAATTGGAACTTTCAAACCAGGTCCACCTTGGAACTTTCCAGGCTCCTAAACTTCAAACAGTTAACGGCCTCACCCTGAGTGTACTTCCTGAACTCATGGACCTTGGTTTCTTGAATACGATCAACGGCTTGAACAAATTGTCACTTACCGATACCAGAGCAGTCAATATTCAAAATGCCAACATTAACGGTCTGCAACAACTCACTTTGACCAACAACAAGAATTTGACATCTATTCAATTCCCTGGTCTTATGAAGGTGGATGGAGAGATCTTCATTACTGCAAACAGTGCTTCATGCGCTCTCGAGGTATTTTTTCATTCGCAATGTTATTTCGAGGAAGAAATCATGCAAATTAAACCCTTTCTTTTTTTATATAGCTCCCCAAGCTCACGTCAGCAAAGTCAGCCACCTTCCGTAACTTGAACAGCTTCGATGCTTCAGCGTTATCCGAAGTTTCACAAGACTTGTCTTTCAACCAGAACAACATGCAACAGTTGTCAGTGGATGGTTTGAAAACTCTGGGAGGCGCTTTAATTGTGGTGGACAACAATCAACTTAACAAAGTTTCCATGAATCAACTTACTCTTGTGGGTGGAACATTTTCTATTGGTAACAACAGCAACCTTGTCAACATCGACGGATTCCCCAAGTTGGAGCAGGTACGAGGCTCAATCGACCTTTCTGGCGCCTTTGACAAGGTCGATATTCCAGCTCTCCAGGATGTGCGTGGTGGCATGCGCCTTCAAACGACTAGCAGTTCATTCCAGTGCAATGGCTTAGATAACATGCGTGTTACCGTCATCAAGGGTACCTCATTTGATTGCAAAAGTAATCTTGCAGCAGACCAGCTCGCTCCTACTGTCGGTCAAGGCAGTGGTACTCAGGTGAATTCAAAGACTGCACCAAAACAAGATTCTGCTGCAAGTTCTCGTCTCGGCGATATGCAATCTTCCTTATTTGCTTTTTCCATGTTCCTTGGCTACATTCTTCTAGGATAGTCACATATGAAATAAAAAACTTGAAAGCATCGTTTACATAACCTAACAAAACGAAAGAAAAGAACGCGCTCAACACGGGAAAATTCACCCAAAATGGTGCAAAATCCATGAATGAACGAATGAGTTTTATTTACATTTAAAGTAGATGAGGTTCAGAAATGGGTAAACAATGATGTTGTTGACAGCCAGCTAACAAAATTATCTAAATTTTGAGACACATTGGAACACTTTATGTCCAGAAGCATGCATATGTCGTCATAGCCTGACTAGGCTAATCATCATTGACATCCAACAGCCTTTTGCTCCATTCATACACTACGTAGCTAATACTGGCTGCCGGAACGACCTAAATGGAAATATCAGCTACTAGCTCTCAAATCAACGGTGTTGCGAATGATGAAACAAAAACATACCTTGATGAGGGTTGGCGTCAGCCCAGCATAGAACCCTATGAGGCCTTCCTTTTTAAATGTGTCGCGAGCACAAGCCCAAGCTGCTCCAGGCGTTCCTTGAGCTTGAAGCCTTTAAAAAAGACGTCAGAAACTTGGTTGTAGACATGCTAGCTCGGACATATTTCTTACCTCGTTCGTATCATAGAAAGTGGATATACACTAGAGGCACCTATACTGCCACTGACGATGCCACAGCCCCATAGAACAAACATGCTTGGTGTCTTCTGTTTCTCCTCGCTTTGATCTAATTTCTCGAGGTATGATGTTTTGAGTGTATCGTAGATGCCCATATCTAGGGCCTGGTACGGAAACACGCCTATTAAACCCAGCGTCTGTCAAGGATCGATGTCCGATTAGTGAGGGGTTACATAACCTATCAAAAAATGATAGAGATTCTTACCAGTCCTGGCCAGAATGCCAAAAAGCCACCGTTGCGATACATTTGACGAGCTGTAGTGGCGATGGTAGATTTCACAGCTTTTGAAAGCTTAGGGTCGACGTTACTGGAATTCGCGAAGGGTTGCGACTGTATTCGAATCTTCAACGTCTCTACCGGGTAGATGGCGAACTGGCTGATGATGCCTGCTATTCCACCGGCAGCGAATCGTGATGCTGTTGATATGTGATTCCTGTCATCGAGACCCTCAATTTTCGAAAGGGCCACTTTTGCCTTCTCAAAGGACCAAAACTTGATGGCTGATTCTGGAAAAATTTTAGCCACATTCAGGCCATTTCCTACAAAAAAGGCTCGAAGACCGCCGCCAGATTCATAGATAGTGCGAACAGCTTGTATAAGAGAAGTTCGCGGTGCACGTTTAAGTAGTGAATTAGATGGCTCTGCAACTTCCGCAACATAGGTGATAAGATGGATCTTTAAACGATCCAGAGGTGCGGTGCAGGTACGAGAGATGGCTCCAGCAAATCCTCCAGCCAAAAGGTATCTCATGGCATACTGGGCTGTTTCATCGTTAGGTGGAATGACAACGTCTGCATCTTGGTTCAGTTGCGTTGAAGTGTTATAGTATCGGAAGACTTCGACGATGCTAGTGGTATCTCGTGGTAGTAGCTATAGTTCCGAATACGGATTAGTGGTGACGGTGAGAATTATCATAGGTTAGTGTTTTGGCTCCGAAAGTCAAAGAGGAAAGGATTACTACATACAAGAAGGTAATCTCTCCACTCTGCAAAATCAATCTGTCCGTCGCCGTCCTGATCCATGGCTCGTACAAAATCGTCCACTTCCTTGTCCGTCGCAGCCACTCCGCCTCGTCTAAGCGCCGTTTTGACCTCTTCTCGCTGCAAAACTTGATCCCCACTTCGGTCTATTTGCTCGAACAAATGCCACAGTTCCTCTTCCTTTCCCACAACGTAGGTCTCGAACTCGTCAAAGTCGACCAGGCCATCTTTCGATGTGTCGCACTTTTCCACTAGCTTTTTGACGATATCGTTTCGTTTCTGAGCTGGCAACTGATACGTCAGTGTCTGAATACCTTTGAGGACCGACTCTGTATCCAGGTAGCCTGTCTGTGGATTTGCTAGGGCGGAAAAAAGGGCTTTGAGGCGAGCGTCTCGTCTTTTGGGCTCTTCAGCAAAGTACGGTTTGGAGTTTCCCGATAGTACTTTTGGGTCGTCTGGACCTTCTACCATAGTGCGAAGAGAATGGTATATTAGTTATATGGCAGAGCAAAAAAGAGGAAGAGGTATTTTATAAGTGTATTTGTAGAGTGAGAAGAAGTAGAAAAGTGGTGGGGGGGAGCGCTCGGGAAACAGCACGACTTAGCGGTTATTTGCTTTTTTGGATTGTTGAGGTCACAATATCAACATCCATGGTCTGTGCACAACCTAAGCAGCGGATTTCAGAGTACCATTCATTTGACATGCCAACCATCGAGAGCAATGGACCCTGTACTGTTAGGTCTTTTGTGGGCCTGCTATCTTTTCGTTTTGATAACATTTTAAGGCGATATATTCGTGGATGAAACATTATGGGTAGTGATATCATGGAAGCCAGGCGATAGGCAAGCAACAAGTCGCTTCTTCAATTTTTTTTTTTCCCTCATACATTTCAAAGGGACAGCGTCAAAAGTAAAAGCCAAGGAATGAAATGCATGAAAAGCTATGGTATCTCATTACCATTATCAGCGCTTTCGTTTGGTGATAATCCATTAAGTTTGCTGGTGAAGAAAAGCGTGGTTTTTGTATACGACAACGTGCCTTGATGATTTCCTTTTATTTGCGCCGAGGGGGTAAACAGACATCCAAGTTCGAGAGGTATTCAGAGTGTTTTTCTTGCTGGAATCATATTTATCTATTCTTGTTCAGAAAAGAGTGGACATGCCACTCTGACTGCGCGCGCATGCCATCCATCGCTACATAGTCCCACGTCGGCTACGTTATTACGGTATTTGACGACTTAAAAACCATATGTGAAAAGCAGTTTGATCTGCTTAGAAACTAGTTTATTCAAAGGTTCGTAGGAACTTGTAAATTGAAAAAGTTTATCTGCTTTAGCAATAACCACGAAATTCGGCATTGACAACCCAGTAGTCACGGGATTTCGTGCAAGCAGCACAAAATACCTACTACGGCGACTACCAGCAACATTCACAGCGTTCTTCGTACACACATCCCTGTTTCAGCTCAGTTATTTTTCTAAAAGCTGCTAATGTCTGGAGACGGACCTGCTTCACCAACCGGGAGATACTTACCGTTGGGAAAGAAGTCTAATACAACGAACAGCATTAAGTCACAAGGTCCTGGAAGTTAGTATGGTTTCTAATTTAATTAAACGTCCATGTCATGTTAGCATGAGCCTATTCTATACCCACAGCGAACCTCAACGGGCAATGTTGCGATTCGTTTTAGGCTATGATGCACGAAAATGTGGATCTCGGGCTTAATTCCGATGATCGGCATGCAAGTTGATGATGGCAACTCAGCGTTCCGTAGAGTCAGACACTAATATATTCGCTCTCCTTTTATCCTATTGTAGCTGGAAGAGGATATCAAACAAGAGCAAGACTACTGACCAGTAAAGTTTCGGCTCCTCGACCAATAAACTTACCAAGTTTACGACGAGAACATGCGGGAATGGAAACGACAGCACCTGTGGTCCTTGGTACAGTTTCTGGCTGGGGATCACCATCGTCTTCGCCTGCTTTGATCACGTCACCTGGAAAAGGTGGCGATTCTCGCGTCAAACCTCAATCTCCTATAGCCACGGTCGACACGAGTGCAACTGCGGCACAGCTGCGCTCACCATCATCGTCCGTTCTTATGCTCCAGAGAGAAAATGGATCTCCAAGTTTAACAAACTCTGGCTTGTCTCAAGGATCACCAAAGGGATCAACACTATCACCGCAAGTACAATCACAGCCTGTAACGCGAGCCTGGGCCGTGCCTACTACGGTCATTCCTACCGCGGAAAAAAAATCGTCTGATTTCCCCACTGCAGCGGAAACGATGGACCACTTGAAACGTATGTATACTGATCCCAACCTGGCATTCGCTCAGTAATGACGAGAATGGTTACTTATAAAATGCGTTTCTTTCCATTACATAGCCGAAGATAAAAAACTCCAGGTAAACACCATCGTCCTCGAACGATATGCAAATCATTTCTTTTAACCATTGTGATTTCGTAGAAGGATGAAAGCTCAACTGTCGATAGGAAAGGCTCTGTTAGCAGCCATATGGAAGGAAAATGGGACGAGGTACAGTCATTACATTAGATGGTCTTATCATATGCTTACTGCTGTAACTATGTTTATCATAGATGGAAGATGAAGCTTTGGATTTCTCCGCCCCAGTTCTTGAATTCGCGGACGGCACAACGGTGACTGTGCAACAGAAGGCGGATGATAATGACAGTGATGTTCAGCAAGAAGAAGAGACGGTAACGCCAGCTGATCGGTTCACGGATGATTACGACCGAAGCTATCATGCACAATCCAGGCACCATCCGCCATTGTATGACACGGGTGACGCTCGCCACAACGATCGTAACCATGGCTACCAACGCCCCCCTCACCAAGATAGCCGATGGAGGGGTCATCACGAAGGCAGAGGAGGTCCAGAAGATGATCACAATCCTCGCTATGATCGCCGAGGAAGTTATGAAAGACATGATGGCCGATCAACCTTTTTCGACAGACGAGACAGTGCAGGGAGACAGCCATCTTTCTATCACACGCAACGTCCTGGTACAGATCAATGGAAGGATAGCGAACATGATCCATCTTGGAGAAAGAATAGTTATCAACGACGGGCTAGTTCTGAAACACGCGATGAATTTCATCCTACATTACTGCAGCGTCCAAGGCGAGTGTCAGGTGTCAGCTCAAGATCCGATCACAGTGTACATGACGGTTCAGTTGATGTTGATCAAGCTCATTCTGAAACTATCAATGCTCATGGTCCAACTCCTGGCGAAATAGACCGTCCTCCTGAAGTTACCGCGGTACAAAAAGAAGTAATGATGACCGCAGCTGAAAGAGCGAAGAAGCGACGAGATGAAGAAGAAGCCGAATATATTGCTGCAAGAGAAAGGGCGAAACAAAAGGCACTCGAACTTGCAAAAGCTACCGAAGCAATCGAACCAGCGACATCCGAGCTGATCGGTCAAACGTCGAGCACTGATGATAAATCATACTCCAAATCAGAGGCTGATGCGAAGAAGGCTTCCTCTTGGGCTTCCATTGTCCGTCCTGTTGCTGGCAAAGAATTTGGTACAGCGCGATCAAACAGCTTACATCAAGAATCCAACACGGCGCCAAAGTCACCCGAAAAGCCTCAGAAGTCACTGTCCATATCCAACATCGATAAGGTCATGTTTTCAATCCGTCAAACTTTGAACGAAAAACGGTCAGACACAACTGAGTCGCCCATGGCATTCTCTCAATCGAATACAAAGCCCGCTGTCGATATTACAGCAAGCAACATGTCTGGTTCAGATGAAATAACAACAGAAGTCGGTGCCGAAACTGAATCCAAGCCTTGGACAGGTGAAGGGGACGCCAACTGGTTGGCTACTTCTACAGAAGATCCCACATTCACAGCTGATCCATCGTCCATTGTAACGGCAGAAACTGTTCTCAAAATAGAAATGATAACAGAGCCAGAAATGCAACGTGGAGCAGCGTGGTCAACGATTGTGAGTGATCTTGAACCATCGACCTGGAAGGTTGATGAGGCCAAGAAGTCAGCACCCGAGGGAACCAAGCTGGAAGATAACAGCAGCAAGGCTAAGATGGCAAATGCTGATGATGACTCCAAGAGTGAAGCAGAAGAAACTCCGGGTTTTAAGCAATGGAAGCGTTTCATGAAGGAGAATGCTGATCACGGATTTGAAGATAAGGAGAGAAGTGCACCCAACGACTGGAATGCTTATGCTAACACTTTACAAGCCGAAGCTCGAGAATTAGCAGCATCCAAAGATAGCATGTCAGAAACACCTGATAACTCTCAAGTGTCGCCGCCATTTGATGCAGAAGATTCGGAATCTCCAGCCGACCGAACAGACGGAAGTACGCGCGGTGGTCATCGTGGAAAATCTCGAGGAGGACTCCAGGAGACTCGTGGTAGAGGTCGTGGCAGTGCTCGCTTTGACTCAGGCTCGGAGTTCGAACGTGGACGAGGACGTGGCCGAGGACGTGGTCGTGGTGGTCGCTTTGCTCGTGACCTGACGGAAACACAAGACGCATCTTTAATGACAGAAAATCAGTCGCCGCCTACGCCCTCGAATAGCAGAGCTGATTCATCATCGTCTTGGCGACGCAATCCTAGTAGCGACGAGCAGCTCGATATCGAGGTGAGAATACCTCATCGACAGAAACAAAAGAAGCTTACCGCCAAAGAGAGACGTGAAGCAGAGTCAAAGGGTGCCACCACCGATAACGAATTTAAGGCATCAGCGGCTGGTGATCTGACCATAGCGAATAGCATATCGTCATCCACTCGACATATACCAAAGAAAGTCATCGGTGCTGAAGAAGAGCTTGATTTTGCAGACATATCACAATCCAAAGCCAGTACATCCAGAGGTCAGACTCACAAGTCCTCCAGTCATGTCAAAGATGTTAGCCATGCCGATTCACCCATGGAGACAAGTACCCCAGGATCACAGACAGAAGAATCTGGCGGTTCAGGTATGTCGTTATGTTTAGCCAAATCTGCCGTTTACGTGACCAGTGGACTTATAAAAACTCCTCGCTCTGGATCAGATACTGGCCGACAAACCCCATCGAAGAAAAAGGCACCAAAGAAAAAGAGTTCGCTTGGAGGATCAAAAACACCATTGTTCCCTCAAACTTTTGACAACATAGTTGGTAAACGACCAGCCACGATCAAGTTCAGATTTGAGAATGATACGGATGCTGATAAAGAAGTAGTAAGTTCAGGACAATTGACATGGTTCGCTCTATGAACGTGAAACACAGCTAACATTTGTTTATTTTAGGACATCCAATTTGATTCCTCGCCGGCACCTTCTTCGGAGTCCCCTAGAGTTGCCATAGAACATCAGCCTACTGAACGCATGAACTTGGTACTGACCAGTACCTGGGGTGTATCATCACCATTGAATGGATCACCCAGTTCTACTTCTCAGCATGACAGTGTTCTGTTTTCCAAAGACTTGGCGTCCCATATTGACTTGGACACCAGTGCTCTAGTTGACAATTTGGTTCATGGAAATTCTAGTGAGGATGTGGATTCCTCGCCAAGCTTTAAGGATCGATCGAAAGATGTTCATTCAAACTCCCCGTTGTCCCATGGTCATGGCCGATTTGGAAAAGGGCACTATGGCATGAACAGGCGTCATGATAGTCAACAGCAACGGCGAGTAGCGATTGATCCTCGAATGATGGGTAATACGAGTTTCCCCGTCATGATGTATCCCATGGCTATCAGTTCCCCTGCTGGCACCATGCCCAACAATGCGGTATACATGACCCCTGAGCAAACCGGTAAGTGTTGATAGAAAGTTTTACTTGTTATAATATGAGTGCTAAGGAAGCCCACTGCAGGACATTTTCCTGGCACGCCTGGTCAACCTCAAGCATCCCAGCAACAATCATTCTATTTGATACCACAGCAATCGTATGTGTCTGGCAACCAGTTTCTGCAACAACCATTTAACCAAGCCACGTCAAACCATTCGCAAAGTGGCAGTTTCATGATACCATTTGCTTGGCAGCCCAACAACCAGCGGAGCAGACCACCTCATTCACCACAAAGTGGCCTTGACCATAATAGCCCTGGTTACAAGAACAAAGATAAGAGCAAATTCAAAACTCCGGAGATGATGGCCAAGAATCTGTCTGGGCAGTATGACAAGAACAATGGCAATCAAGCGAGTTGGGCGTATCAACCAAGGGGTGGACCTGTGCCATTAAACCAACCGGCAATGGTGGCCGGCCCACCAAGCACCTACTTTAATAATGCAATACCGTCGTCGACTTATGGTGCGCGTGGAGGACGCAGTGGTTATAATATGGGACGACCGACGCGTGGAACAAGTATTGGGACTCGAGGGGGAGGATCAACCAACCGTGGTGGTGGTGGTGGATATCAGAACTGGCGATGAGCATATTACTGACTGAGCATTCCTTTTATTTTGTATTTTCCGTCCGCAACAATAATTTTTTCCTTTCTTTCAACGCAATACAGTTTAACCCAATTCTCCACATACCATCTTGCTCTTTACTGTTGGTTTTTACTGTAATTAACTCTTTTGCATTGTCTTGACGCACATTCGGACACATCGCCCATGTCCATAATCACGTCTCCCATTCCTACGGTTTTTGACACCCATGCAAATGACAAGACGACGGCATTAACCTGTGAATGGGATCATTGTTCAAAATCGTTTCCTGACCATGCCGCACTGTCGTCCCACTTATCACAAGGTAAATGATCCCATGCATTCTTACACCCTATATGTCACGTTACTGAAGGTAAGGGGTGGGGGTTTCCACAACCTAGATCACATTGGATGGAAACAGCCAGACTATCACTGTCTCTGGGAAGGATGTACGCGATCCAATATCAGGTCCCACTCTCGTTTTGCCCTGATGATGCACCTGCGAACGCATACAGGGGAAAAGCCATACACCTGCACACATCCAGGGTGCCTTCAAAGGTTAGACAACGGCCAAACCCACGAATATGGTGATGATAATCTCTCCCTTAACTTACCCCTTTTATTCAGTTTCAGCAGAACCGATGCTATGCTCAAGCATCGCAACACGGAACATGAGGAGGATGGCAACCACCGAAAGGTCAAGGAAAAAAGCGCTCTGGCTAAGCATCGCGCCAACTATTTGACGAAAGAGCGACGGCCCATCGATATGAGTGAAGCTAGTAACATTGAAGGAACCGAAAACTTTGTTCAGCGATATAAGGTGGTGAAAACCAAACTCAACCATATTTTAAGAGAAAATTCGGCTTTGAACGAGGAGTACATGGAAGCCACGAAAAAGCTCAAGCGACTGCGAACAGAGCGACGCGTATTATTGGATGTTTTAGCCGAGGCTGAGAAAACCTCGCACGACACTGCTGCAGAGCCTGCCGCAAGTCAAGAAGTCAAGGAAGATGAAGCAGATGACGAAGAGGACGAAGAGGAGATTGATGAATTAATGGATGAAGATGACGGATAACTTTTTTTTTTTTTAACCAAAAAAACCGCATGTATCCTTCATTTTCGTTTGGAGTTATTAAACGTACCGCCTTACTGCAATCAGGCATTGTAGAAATCAAGTGAAAAGAGAAAGAATAAATCGCATGCAAATTTGCTCTTTTCTTTTCCAGACAGACTTATGTAGTGAATAATGGTATTTTGAATGTCTATAGGATGGTTGTCCACTATGTGTTGGTAGGACATGCAACGTTCAAACGTTTCAGATGGATTGTTAGGCATACTACAAATTGAGTAACAAGGTATTGAATCAAGGCAAGCATGGCTTTTTTTTTTTTTTTTGATTTGGTACAGATTGGTTTATTGCGAATAACATCATTGTGTTATTCGTCTTGGCAAGACAAAGGTTTAAAGAAAAGATTTGTGAAAAAGCAGAAAAGAAAAAAAAGGGTCAAGTCAAGGATCTCGCAGAGACATGACAGTATGTAAACCAGGGTTACATACAAGGACCAGGACGAAGTAGAGAGGTAAGAGAAAGTAAAAGAAAAAAAAAAAGTATACTTCGAAAAGATAGAAAGCTACAAAAACCGAGGGGTTTCCAAAATGGAGAAAAAATTACAACAAAAATACGCAAAGGGAGGTTTCTGAAGCTAATTTGAATTGAGTCGAGTAAGAGGTTCCTTTTTTTTTTTTCTTTCTTCTTTTTTTCCATCTTCATTCCTGGAGAAGGATGTGTGTATTACTTTGGCCGAGAAAGGGTTCCAAAACCATGGGGATTGGTATCCATGCTTTAAATCGGCATATCCAGAGGTGGGGGGTGGGTAATATCTGTTGTTGGGGGGCAGATGCAAAAACAAGACTTTGCATGTCAAAGCCATCCAGAGATAAGTTTCCGAGTGCAAGAGGAAGAGTGTCCAGTTGTAGATAAGAGTATCAGGGAGGTGTTCATCACGGTGTTTCAAGTCGTGGCGTTCAAAGGGCAAATTACATTGCTCCCATTTGATTAGGGCAGCCCTTGACAGTCAAGTGGCGAACGAGAGCATCCTTTCGGCTGAAAGGCTTCTCGCAGTAGTCACAGTGGTAGGCTCGTTCACCTCGGTGAACCGTTGCCTCGTGACGGGTCAAGTCGTGACGACGATCGAAGTTCTTTCCACAGCCTTCGACATCACAGCAGAAGAGCTTAAGACGGTTGGGGTCGTGGACTCTCATGTGGGTTTGCAAATTGAAGCGACGAGAGAACATCATACCACAACCCTTACGTTGGCATTGGAAGCGCTTGAGGGGACGACCCGTGGCATCGCGAGTGGAAGAAGACTTCTTGCGCTTGGACTGAGAAGTAGAAGCAGAGTGGGGGACATATTCGTCATCGTTGTCCTGGTCATCTCCGCTGGAGGGATCCAAATTTTGTGAGCTGTTGAAGTAGTCATCGACGACATCAAACAAGGAGCGCTGTGAAGACTTTTGATGGTCTTCATTATCAGCCATACAGTCGTCAAGAGGAACGAACAACGAGTTGTTGTTGGTGGTATCTGTGGTTTGTTCACCGACATAGACAATCTGCTGATTCTGCTCTTGAGCAAGATGAGCGGCCTTCTCATTGATAAGGGTCAAGGGATTTCCGTCGAAACCAGCGACGAAAGGAGACATGTGGCTAGTGTAATAGCCCTCATCAGCAATGAAAGGAGACTTGGCCATGGTGGTGGCAGACTCTTCCTGACCAGAGATCATGGGAGTGTAAAATGGAGTGGGTGGAATATAAGGTGTAGCCGAATACATGGTCAAGGGAGATTCGATGGGAGTTTCCCACAACGATGCTGGTGTCTCACACAAACTCATATCGAGGTCCAAAGGCGAATTGAGAATGTTGCGCTGGCTAGGCGGAATGTAAGAGTGCTTGTGCGACTGAGCTGTATTTTCAAGACGAGCAAGAGATTTACGGCTAAGCACATGTGTTTCCCATTCGGAATCAAAGCTAGTGGTAGGCGAACTATCACAGGAATTCTTACCATGGGAGAATGACAGGGCATCTTGAGGCTGGTCATCGCCAAAGAGGACGGGATCCAAGAAAGCTTGGTCAAAGGTATCTTCAGACATTTTAGCTAAGGCAGAGTACTGCTGCTGAAGGGTATTGAACATTCACTGATTAGAAGAAGAAGAAGGTAAATTGACTTTTGCGCTCTGGGGCCGTTGTATTTATCAGCAACCGGTTGGAACCATTTTCAAACTGCGACAAAGACTGCGGCAGGCGGTTTGTCCTCCCCCAAAAAAATGACTCAGGTTTTTGCTCCCCCTTGGTTGAGCCCAAGCCTCAACTCTAAAAAATTTCGTAGCGTAGAGACACGTTGCCATGACAATGATATCCATGGTGATGTATTTTTATTCTAAATAAATGCTGAATAAATTCATTCCTTCATCGATGTTGCTGTAATACCTGCTGCAACGTCGATGCTACCTCTGACGTCCATTCCTCTGCCGAATAGTGGTCATTTTCGTTTGACGCACCTTCACTTCCGAATCCGCTAGCATTGGTTGCTTCCGACGGTCTTCTAGAGTACATGGAGTGAGAACCAACCGTCACACTGGAAGATTCCGTGTCTTGAGGAGGTAAGGACACCATGGATTGCGGTCCGAAGTAGCCTTCACTTTTCAATGCGCCTTGCTTTGCTGTACTGAAGTCCTCCGACATTCGGTAGGTTTGGAAGTCCACACCATGAGCACTAGTTGCAGGGCGAAATTCTCTCGATCGATTGAGAGAAGGTGTCATGTACACTGGTACTGATCTTCGTCGTCTGTCCTTTTCATTGCTTGTGCGGACACTCGCCACGGGACTACTTGAGCCGAACTTTTGACGATCCAAAAAGGTCGGACTTAGGGGGGAAACCGGAGTGGGCCGCTTGCTTTCGTCCATGGTCGATGCGTTAGACGGAGTAATCAGCGTCATACGTAGCGGCCCCTTACGGCGACCCCACCGAAGAGCTTCCCACTCCTCCCACTTGCGCATAATAACTTGGCTGCTATCAAAGTCTCCGTCATCTTCCGTATGGCCTTCATTGGCCTTGTCTCCGTGCACTCGGCGAGTGGCTCCCCATGTGAAATCATCAAAATGCCAGAATGCATAGATGGGCAGAAGGAAGTTCCATACTGGCAATGCTAAGATGTATATCTGATGGAGGGTTTTTTGAGTCGATGTAGTGACATTTAAATTGCTTCAAATGAGCCCTTACCAGTAACCATCCAAACATAGAAATTTTTCGCGTTGTGACCACGATGAGAATAGCGGGAAGTCCCAAAATAGCAACCAGTACCGCAATAGGCAGTATTTGAGGCTGACTGGACATAGCGCATACAACAATCACGTACACTGCCAAGACGACCGCTGCTGGCAAGATGGCCGTGCCAAGCAGGTCCATGAACACTACGAACTGCATGGATAGACAGGCAATGCCACAGAGATCAGATACAAGGACGAGTTCCATCAAATTATGAATCGTAGAATTGATCCAGCGTCGTCTTTGAGATAGCAAGACATGAAACGTATCAGGCACCACCGTTTTGCAAACCTAAGCCAAAACAATTTTTTTTAGTCTTAAAGGAAAAACGGACACGTCAAGCTGAGGTGTTTCTTCAGATCCAAATGACGGGACTTACGGCTTGTGGGAGAAACATCATTTGGCGCTTTGGGAAGGTGCGAAGCATCAACGTGGAGAGAAATCGATCTTCTCCCAAGAACAAGAGGTTCTTGGCATGCAGTGTAGTAACGACGTTTTGATTGTACTCTAAAACGATATCTGGATTCGCTAGCAACGGTACCCACGCTCCATTCTTGGGTGCTTTGATTCGATACATACAAAAGCATCCAGGCAAACAAGTAACACCACCGAACACAGATTCGAAGGCTTTTGCATAGTGATGCGAAATGTAGTATTCAAACACTGGGGACAAAAATAAATTGACAATTGCTTAGTACTTGGTGTGACATAGTGTGCTCAGAGGTGAATTTACCTTGTATCATAGTGACCCAACTATCGGTCTTGTTGGCGATACGTGTTTCCCCACAAAGTCCCATGACGGTAATGTCATTGACCATGGCGGCCACCATATGAGATAGAGAATCTGGAGCCACCATTGTATCTGCATCTATCTATAAAAAATTTAAAAAGAAAAACATTTTAGTACGTCATTGGAAAAGCTTATTGATGGCATCCTCTACAACTTACCATGAGCACCAGCTCAAATTTCTCAGGTGTAATACCTTTCATGAGCCAAGTTATTTTCCAGAATATTTCATAATCGAGCACAGACATGCGGTCGTTGAACAGAACACGTTGCAAAAAGCTCATCAGGATAAGCTGAGAATCTCGCTTGCCACGATTACCCGGCTTAGGTGAACTTTGCTCGTCCACTGTGCCACATTTGACAATAAGGATGGCTGGGTACATCTGACCGTCGCACATATAATGTCCTGCGTACTGTGGTTCCAAGAACGTCAATCATGACTCACACTATATCATTCTACTGTCCCCCAATGCTTACCACTTTAGCTATGTTCAGCTGTTTACCTCCTTCAGCAATTGCCATATATGTGCATCTCTTCGGCTCTTCCATTCCGCTGCACAGAGTTAACATGGACAAAAGAATGTCTGGTGTGGTCCGAGTATTACCAGATCCAGTGATCATACCGTCAGCTACGATAAAAAACACCTACGAAGCATCATTGGAAAAAAAAAAGTTAGCATATAGCCATGTGAAAGCCCATTCCCTCGACACTATTACTTACCTTGTGACGGTTCGAATAAGTTGTCCTCGCCAGTGAATCTAGGGCTCGTCGCATGGAAGCTTCACCTTCAGAATAGCAAGTGACCAGCATAAGAGTATATAGTTGGGTATCGACACTACCAGCATCAAACATGGTGGTGTTTTCTGATGAGGTACTAAATGAACGGTCCACTTTGACAGGCACAGAAGCAGGCGGGGGAGTATCTGGCTCTCCTTCAGATACGACAACGGGCGGTCGACGAATGGCAGGGTCGTTGTTTCCGCCAGCAACGGATCGCCAAGCTAAAATTTTACCTGACCTGCCTCCTGGTTTAACAAGTTTTGGAGCCACAAACCAGTGAAATATAGCCGCCATTGAAAATCGTACGACAATAAGACCAATGATGATGGCAAACATGAGACTGGTTATAAGCTGGCTGATAATGCAGCCCATGGTATCGCTCGATATGACTCCGCTGTAGTAACGTGAATTCATACAGGCCTCTGCTTGTTGAACCTCGCTCCAAGAAGAAAACAAGTACGATGCATCTTGTCCTCGTGCTTGACGGATAACCACGTCAGCTCTGTCGCCGAAGAACTTTTGTCCAGAAGAAAGGTAGTAATTGAGATTAAGAACTATTTGGGTACGGAAACCAAGCTGAATGAGTACGCCGTGTCTTTGAAAGTGGTTGTTTTTGTTTGGGAGTTTTTTTGTGAAATAAAATAAAAGCCATCTTACTTCCATCGCCCAATACAGTGAGATTGACTGGGTTAGCAGCATTTGCTGTTGGGCCATTAGGCTGCAGGTCTCTCCAGTCGTAGACTAAGGCTCTTTTGGACTTATAATAATGGTGAAGAGTTCGAAAAGGAATACAATTGGAATCGCCTCTTTGTAAAGTTCCACCTGCAGATAAAGGTTTAAGTATTGAACATGGGGAGGGGAAATTAGGAAAGTGGTGTAGAGTGGCATTTACCATAGGGACCAGGAACAATGCAATTTCCCAAAGTGCCTCGACCGTACCCTAGACCGGCATCATATTTTACACAAGCATTTGTCACGTCGGTATCAAACAGGGCCGTGAGATCCATGTTCTTGTAGTCAGAAGACATGGATATATTTTGGGTATTGAGAAAGGCTTGCATGATAGGGAAGGGATAGATGCGACCATGGACCACTACGTCTTCTCGATAGACGCGTTCACGGAGTTTGGTTGTCTGGTTGTAGAAAGAGTAGGAATCAGTCTCGAGATCGCTGCAAATGGTGTACTTAAGACCAAATGTTAGGAATGCCATTGCACCACAGCAGAACAAGATTATGTAAACCAATGTGACCTATAAGGCATTGAGTCAGTGGTGTTGAAATGGGTGTCAGAAAGATAAATATTACCTTTTCTCGCCAGGCCTGTTGAACCATTTTGGTGTTCTTTTTTAGGCATATTCGCAAGCAACAGCCAGGGAAGCAGCACGTTGCTAGCCGAGAGAGAATAACCCACCAGCTGAATCGGGCGAAACTGAAACCCTTTCGTTTCTGCATCGTCTCTGCATGATCCATGGCTCCCAAAGGGATTCGGATGATGCCACTGTTGGATGTAATGGCTCCTCTATGTTTGTTTTCACGACCGGTCTGCGTGGCAGCGTTATTCAATTGATCCATGGTCATTGAATGGGCCATGACCGACACCATGCCTGGTCGTGGACGATGGCGTTCAGGTCTAGTTAAAGACCGTTGCCTTGAAACCGAGGTTCCGCTCTTGTCGTTGAGGAAGGTCGCTGGTTGTAAATTTCTGGATTCGGATGTAGGCATTTTGGTCGATTCATGCGGCGGCGGTGGATTACTTGGACGTTCTACAGGCGATTCTGATCTTGAACCATACAGTGCAGATGCTAGAAGCTGATCTGAACTGAAACAATTGGAAGAATACGAAGGATTCGATTCTCCACTTGAGTACATGGACGGATATTCCATAGGCTGAGGCTGAGAATTTCTCCTGATAACTGGCCGCCGCCGCTGGTGGCGATCTGTACCTTGCATAGATGCAGTTATTATCTGTCCACCTCTTTGTTCAGCCATAAACTCTGCGGCTGGACTTGTATGGGATGAGTGAGGTTGGTCCATACGAATTTACTGGTACATGGATTATTTTTGCAAAAGAAATAAAAGAACTCTTTAAATTGTACGAATACAAAATTGTAACTGAAGGTACGATGAAAGAAAGTAGAAAAAGGGAAACCAAAGAGTCCCAATTGTTATGTCTTGTGTTTTTTAAATAATTCAAGGACTACTTAAAGCTGAATGGACGTATCGGGTTTCATACCAAGCCTTCGTTCTCTTATTCGTAAGCTGAATGGGAGAAATTGATGTTCGTTGCTAACAAATTGAGTATCAGATCTACATGATCTTCGCCTGCGTTTCACCATTGTGGAATTCCACTGGACACCGTTCCTGGCTTCCAAGCGCATTCGGTTCCTTTAGGCTCTCAGAAGGTTCTTCCGTAATCGTCGTCACTACCTGGATGTCGAGGTTTATCCAACAAACCAATGTACCTTGCTAGGGATAGTGTAATATTTGTTTCACTGCACACACCCCTATTTCCCTAGCCCCAGCAAAGAAAAATAGCTTGTTGCGAATTTTTTTTTTCACCCATTAAGGAGGCAAAGCAGCTTTTACCATAACGGTCAAAAGCAAGTGACTCTTTTCATTGGTGATAGGAGGTCAGGCCATACAGTGGCAGTAGCAACAGCACCATGCAATTCGCCAGGGTGAGCCAATAATTACCTTCAATTAGCCAATTATTGGTTGCCCGCCTCATTTTTCTATATTTCATCATTAATTTGCAGCAGCATGGATGAGCTAGGGATGAAAGTGGCAACTTTCGCGAACAAGCGATCGATAAAAGTCAGCCAAATAAAGGTGCCGGCATTAACATGAACCCTCGTGCAAACGAACGATCACGCCAATGTCGATATCTTTGTGCAGCGTGCGGCGGCTAGAACAAAAATAAACCTGGCACAAAGGTTTTAGCAGGTTCACTCTTTCCAAAAGGAGGAGTCAATGTGTCGAAGCTAGGAAAGGACTGCCCAAATACATAAACACGGGGTCACATTTGAGTTAGGATTGATTGAGACAGCGGATGACGGAACTCTAGGGATGAACCAACCTCTTGTGTTTTCAAGCTGTTTGTCAATAGGGCTGAGGTCAATTTCGTTTTTCCGACTCAGATGTTGAACAGGCGCTTCAATCATAGCTCGTACCTTGTGTTGCAATTACATTTGTGGTTATAAGGAGACACGTTCTTTAAAAAAATTAATCCAATGAAAATATTTAGTGCGCTCTGCGGTATTTTGCAAGAGCTTGTACTGCTCTTTCATCTTAATCGCACCTCCTCACAGAGCGCCACTACCTCCTCAAAGTCGACAACCGTGCTCGTCCAATACACATGTCAATTTTGGAACTGTTGGCCTGGACATTCCGTGTCATTTGTTTCATACTGTCGGTTGCTGCCTTTGGCTGCTTTCTAGGCGGTATCATCGCTATCATCATTCTCCCTCACGTATAAAACAAAAAGCTCCATCCGCCAAGAAACTCGTCATTCATTTTATCAAGAAACACACTTACTTTTTTCCCAAATTCGCATCATGATTGCAACACTCTTTTCATATACACACGTTATTGTAAATATTTATTTCAAGAACATCGTTGCGCTATTAACGGCAATAGATTTATAGTTAAAACACATCTTTTTTTTTCCAAACAATTACAAGTATTAAGTAGTGGGGTTTACATAGTCTAACATACTGTATATCCGCTTCCCAGCACTGGGGGGCCCTAACAATGCAAGGGGGGTAAAACTGAAGCATCCGGGTGCAGACGGTCCGATAGTAACAAAAGGAACAAGCTCTCGATGTTTACATGGCGGCCTTCTTTTCAACATCACCATTATCTTTCTCATCTTCTAGAACAAGCACCTTGTCGATCGTGTTGCGTAAATTGTACTGCTTTATGCCCAAGCTGGCGATGAACGCCATACCAGCGTACACGATCCAACTCCGGAAGATAATTTGCAACGACTCGACATATGCATTAATCACAGCATGTTGAATGGTAGGCTCCAGCGTTCGGATGATACTGGGATTCGAGATAATGTCCGTCAAAAGCTGGTCAGTGTACAGCGAGCCTAAAGCAACGGGTAGTCGGCTATACAGAGAATTATTCAGCAACGATCCGCAGATAGCCACTCCCATAACACCACCGACTGAGCGCCAAAAGTTGCGTACAGAAAGCTATAGAACGGAAATGATCAGCAAATAGGTAGCAATGCTGTGCTGTATAAAAAATTTAAGCAGAGGCTGAGAAATCTTACCACCACAGCGGCATCTTTAGGTTCCACAGCGCTTTGCACAGCAATCAAACTATTTTGCATGGTACCTGAAGTCATTTGTCAGTACTGCGTCAGCCATTCAAAAAGTTGGTCAGGTTCTTACATCCTGTAGCCATTCCAATCATCAATAGCAATCCAACTTGCTTGACCTGAGTGGAGTGTTCATCCAAAGTTGCAATCAAAACTGGCGGGCGGGCGTGCAAAGCGTTAGTCCGCGATGATCGAAAATATCCCATCACTTGTCGGTGATATCGGAAAGCCAATCTCTTTCATGTTTAGGTTTATCTCACCTGCAGCGACGGTCATAATAAAGTATCCAGCCATTAGAATATATCGGTAATTCCCAGTCTTCGATGTCAGCAACCCAGAGAGCCATGAGAGAATCACTTGCGCTAAAAGAAGAGGCATCATGCGAAGACCACTTCCAGTGGCAGTCGCGCCATTGACAACCTAAATATGAGAAGATATCAGCTTTTCTGGAGTGCTTAAAATACATGTCATGCACAGCAGCTGTGCAATTCAATTACCTGGAGGTAGATAGGTAAGTAGTAAATTTCACCAAAGTATAGCAGTCCAGTGAAGAAGATGGAGATGTAGACAGACACGACGGTTCGAATTTTGAAGACGTGACCTGGAATGACAGGGAACTTTGCAATTTTGCCTTCAACAAAGATAAAGCTTAGGCCAAGTACGCCACCGACAGTGAAGAGGATAATGATGATAGGTGAATTCCATGGCATTTCAGAACCTCCACGATCCAACGGGAACTGACGCGAAGGAACAGTCGTATTAGTGTATGTCTACCTCTAATCAGGTAGTCAATGTTGACACTTACCAAGAGGCACACAATACATGAAACGAGGAGGATGACCCCTAGGTAATCGATTTGTTTGAGTTTGCGTACAATGGATACTTTTGGGGACTTTAGGGGTAGCAAAAAGAAGATAGCAATAATGGTAATGATCTCGATAGGGACATTGATATAGAAAGCAAGTCTAAAAGAAAAGTAATGGAAGACAATGGTTTAGTATGGGTGGATGAAGAAGACTGTCAACTACTTCTCTCACCTCCAAGTTGAGTGGTCGACAAAGAAACCACCTATGAGGGGACCTAGGACTGATACAAAGCGTAGAGGGTTAGATGATAGAATTGACACGTTTGAGAAAGGCCATGGGGTAACATACTTGTGGCTAACGCGTAGACAATGCCTGTGATAGCGTGGTACTTGGCACGTTGTCGTAATGCCACAATATCTGAACAGCGACGCGGGGGTTAAAGGCGGTAAGTAAGTGTTTTTTGCCTTGGTACCGACGTGGTACAAGCAAATAAAAGAATTCGTACCGGATATAATAATTGAACACATTGATTGGATGCCTCCTCCACCCTATTGTTAGAATGCATTAATTACGACTTTGTCATGTTTAAATTTCACGCTACTTCTCATACCACCACTTACGATGCCAGAAAAGGCGCGACAGATGATGAGCATGGTCATATTCGTGGATGCACCACATAAAGTGGACCCAATGAGAAACGATGTGAGTGCAAATAGCAGCATTGGCTTTCTGCCAAAGATATCAGATAGTCGTCCATAGAGTGGCTGGAAAGCTGTTTAGAGGAAATTTAGTGCTGTATCATATATATTTTATCTGCATTCCGCCGGCAAAATTTCCTTACCGGTACTCGTCAAAAGATAAGATGACCCAACCCAAGATATCTGGTAAAGGGACTCGAACTCTGTGAATGAAACAGCGAGTTAATATACGATTGGGTGGTATAGTTATATTGCTCTAATGCGCTCGCTCGGTAGACGTCTGGTGGCAGCTAGGCTAAATTGAACAAAAAACAACCAGGAACTTACCAGATGCAATCTTGGGTAATGCGGTAGAGACACTATAATGACATAGGTGGAGGAACAGTTTAGTGGAGAATGCATTATACACATTAAAACCTAGTCCGTGCTCTTACATTGTTTGGTCAAGTGCCGAAAGAAAAATGGCCATTGACAATCTGGTAGTAAATGTGATCATAGTAAGTAGACTGAGGTGTTGAAGATGGGCATAGGCGCAAATATAATTACCCTGTGTAGACAATGATAAATTGCTTAAGCGGAAGACCTCGGCCATGGTCATTATACGGTTCATCGGTAGGTTGTGAATCTTGATATAATTCGGATTTATTTGGTTGCACTACGACGGTTGCTTCGATACATTGTTCGCCATCTTTTGGACCTTCCACTTCATCACCTATAGTCGTTAAACTTTCATTGTCGGGTTCTTTTGCTGTTACATATGTGTCTACTGACATTCGAGTGTTGTTGAAATAGTCTGATGGTGAACCATGGTAGATGTATTCAAGGTGCTCCTCCTCTTCCAAATGCTTTGGCGTCGCTCTGTGTTCGTCCATGAGATAAAAAAAAAGTATGGGCTGAAGACAGTGAAGAGTGTAAACAGAAGAGAACGAAGTGATTTGTAAATGAAGAGAGCGAAGATTGATTATAATGAATCTTTCTTCCTAGATTTAATATTGAGAAATACAAATTAGAGTCTCCACCGTTTCGACAAGTCAAGTCAGGGGGGCTTTTTTTCCTCTACGGTGATCTATGGTGAAGTAAATGAAAAAAAAAAAGAAAAGAAACTTGCTATTTTCTTTGGCTTCTGCAATTTCACGTACGTAATAGCAAATTGGAATTACTATCATTTGTCAATCTCCTAATGCGTATGCTTGGTGGAATTCGCTGCCAATTTGCTTCGGTAAAGCATTTACACTTCCGTCATGGAAGTAGTACTACATTTCGACGGAGGAAGAGGTGTTGGACGGCGATACTTGCAAACAGGCAAGAGGTAATTTGTGGCCAATGTATGTGATAATAAGTGATAGCCGTTCCCTCTTGTTTGCACAGTAAGCAATGATACAGAGGATCGATGGCAGTTGCCTTGGGGTGGTGGGGGGGGGACATCGAAGTTGTTGGCAGCAGTAGTAATATCGTGGTTTCATTCAAAGTATAAATGAAATCTGTCAACCCGAATGATTGCAAGTTGCAGTTTGAACTGCAATGTCTAACATCCAGAGCTAGTCCCTACTCTCTGACACACTTCCATCCAAGATATTGACCGGTATCTCTCCTAAACCATAGCTACGACTTGTTTTTCAATATCTCCGGAAATATACGACAGAAAGTTACGTAAAAGAAGGTGTCCGAGATTGTGCATCGATCAAAGTAAACGTTTGGCTGCCACGATAATTTTTATTTGATAGCAGGATGTTTTACCTATTCTAGGCATTTTAAAATCGGCCAAAGAAAGATGTATAATATAGCGGTCGACATTTATCCAGTTAATTGTCTCTTGGTATATTCATAGATACAGATGGATGCGCTAACGTGGACATTCAAGGATCGAGTGATTCCAAATTGCGGGATCTCAATGGTGTGATCCAGCATCTGTAGGAGATGAGCTGGGATGCCTTCTTTTTCTTTACCTAGATGCACAAGGGTGAGTTGAATTGCATTGATTAAAGCTCTGGTCATGATTTCTTTCAACTTACCCAATAGCAAAACGCATTTTCTTGGGAAGTCGAATTCTTGTAATGGAGTACTGGTGGTGGTCTGCTCCAATCCGCACAGCAGATAGCCTTCCGCCTTCTTCTCAGTCAAGAATGCGGCTACATCAGGTTCCGTGACCTCTTTCATGGGCATCCATTTCTAAAAGTATATAAGGTTTAGCGGATATTTTCAAGGAAACGGGTAAATGTTAATGGGGATGCTATACCTCGGATGATACACTGATACCGAGGAAATTCTGATCGTCCTTAATCTAATCGAGATGATGGGTTAGATTATTTGATAGCGGTAACAGCAATTTCTTCTTGTCATTCGCATACTAACCTTCAGATTATGGACTGTGAGCAGACCAGCATTGAAAATTTCGCACGTACGGCACAAGCCAGCAAGGTTGGGCAGACGGTCAATTAAACTAGCAACCACAATCAGATCGTTTCGTCGGCGCTGAGGTAGAGGTCAGGTTAGTGTAGATTCCACATGGGCCTTTCCGCCTATGTTATGCTTACATTATGCCGAACCAGATTTTTGGTCAAATCAATGTCGCTTTCTAGCATCATTTCCCAAGGCATGATCTTCTTTTGGAACGATGCATCGTCTTTGTTTTCCACAGGAGCAGGGTCATTTGCTAGCAACTCTTCTAAACTTCCAGCAGAGGCTTTTATAGCAGTTCTTTCGAGGTTGATCAACGGGAACAGGTCGGCTACTTGGGGATCCACCTTAAGGAAGGCTCGCTGTATGAACCAGGTTAGTTTTCTTCACATCTACATGCCAGCCACATATTGACCACATCACTACTAACCATGCCGATGCGTTCACTATCAGATACATTAAAGATGGTAGGAACTTGTCGGAAGATAAAATCTAGGTTGAAGTCCTTTTCTGCATCGAATTCTCTAAAGTAGTAGGACTCTTCAAGTTTTTCTCGGAAGCGAACAGCATCTGCATTTGACTCCAAAAAGTCATGAAGAGTTTCAAGCGTACGTTGATTAGCATCCAGAATAGATTCGCACGTGCTAGTGAAGGGTGGGGATGCATCAGATATCTGCAATTTGCAACAGCTAAAATGATTTCGAATCTCTTTCAAAACATACCTGTCAGAAGCTTTGTTGCTTTTATATCGTAGCCAAATTCGTCGGAGAGCGCATTGAGCTATAAGGCGAATAGTATGGTGGTTACTGGTAAGCCAGGGGAGCAGGTATGCCAATGTCTACATCCGTTATATTAGTAATGGCCAAAAGTAACTTTGAAGCATCACGCAGGCAGATATGCGCTTACCTTGTCTATATAAGCAGGGAGTTCCTGAGACGAAATGCCTTGTCCAACAAACATGGTAACAGTGATTAACGATATCATGACATGTGCCTTGGGGTTGGCATTCTGTAGCTCTGCATAAATGAATGAAAAGTGGGATGGGAACTTTGAGAGCATGCGCACCATCGCCCACTAGCCAAAAATAATGTTAGCGTCTGCCTTATGACATGCTATTCATCAGTACTGAGTAAGTTACCTCTAAGTAGCTTCTGATGGACACCATGGTTTCCTTCTTGAGACTCTCAAAGAACAGCTTTATATATTTCTCGACGTTGTTCTCGTTTATAAACTTCAGCAGTAGCATGATGGCGCACACCATTCGCAGCTTGTAAGAATGAAGACAGATTAGCTGCGATCTATTTTGCGTGAATCGAACAACGAACTACATCGCTTTCTTACCTTGCATCGATGTTCAATCTGGTTGACATACACAAACAAATGTGTGTACTTTTCGGATGATATGAAGGTAAGCAGTTCAACCAACACACCCTCAGCGAATTGGCAATGGGACTCGTCAGTGTCCTTTAGCTTCATCAATAAGATGTTCATTTGTACCCGTACAACATAGTCATTGAAACTGAAGCTCAGTTCAGCAGTCCTATGCAACGAATGCTGAATGAGCAACGTATGGAAGTGAAATAGTGCATTCGCTTAATTCAGACTTACCCTTCTGTTTCGTTTATTTCTTCCAGCGCAGTTGACTTGAGCAAAAGTGCTCCATCCATTTTCTGATCGTCACGGTAACGGATAGGTCCATACATTAGGAGTTGTATGAACTCGGATTTGTATTGCTGAAGGCTAGCCATGCTTGTATCCGACATCTTTGACCAATACCGATAGTAATTGGACGCCATTTGGGTAACGATGTATGGTCTTAAGTCACCCCAATCAAATATCTTGTGAAATGCCTAGAATGTCATAACGTTAATTAATGAACTGCATAAGTTTCTGATAACCTTTGGACAATCTGACTAACTTTTTTGATCGGCCCATCATCTTCGTTGAGCTCGGGCTTTGCCAACAGTTCTTCTTGAAATATCATATCTATGACAGCAGCCGTGATTTTAGGGAAAGTGTTACTCTGACTAGAGCTTGCGTTGATCATCTCTAGTGCATGGTCAACACATGGTTGGATCTAAAGCAAAATGTCAATGAGTGCGTTGAAACAGCTGCGGAATGCATCGTCTACGAGATATTTACCATTTCCAACGACTTTTCGAACGGAAGAGCGACGAGAAGTTGAATGCACTTCATGATCGGTATGACGCAGCTTTCTGACGCCACTTCCAGCTCGTCTACAGCATGGTCATAAAGGTCTTGTGCATCTATTGCCTCGAGAGCCGCTTGGTCATCCTAACAATTTGAGAGTCAGGCCATCTTGTTTCATTCTGCCTTACTGTAGTAGTGAAGCATACTTACCATTTGCAAATACTCCATCATAGCTGTGATACAGTTCCATTTCCTTGAAATGAATACGTCAACCAACGAGCCCCAAGTCTTGCCGAACGATTGGAAATCTGGCGTGCGCTTGAGTCTGGAGGATGCAGCAGTGGCAGCAAGTTCAGTGACATCCGTAAAGAGACCTTGTAGTTTGAACTCTTTTGCGATGGTAAACGACATTCCCGCCATAAGCAGATAGTTCATTTTGGATGTCTCTTTATCAAACGTTTTTTCTAATGGTGCAATAGAAAATGTGGTCAATATTTGGGAAAGCTTGGAGGAGTGACATGTTGGGAGACTTACCGCTACTATTCTTGATCTTTGTTTTGCTGCTTTGCACATACTTTACAAGCAGGTCAGATCGGAACGTGGTAGTCAAGATATCGCTCTTAAGGAGATACTCCGTGAACTTGGCATAGAAAGGGCCGTATGTTTGAGCTGCTGTGTGTTGGTTACCTGATATTTGGTGCGCTTATGGCAATCTTAATGGTGAATTAACATTATTGACTTACCGACAACAGCATCAACATCGCCCTCGAGATACAGCAATTCCATCTTTTGAATTAATTTGACACACACTTCAGATGTGAGGCCAATGTAACCTAGAGTGTATCCCATGAAAACGTTAGTGCTGCCTACCGTCTGTTATTAAGAAACACAATGGGTACATACCTGCACCGTCTCCACCATGTAATGCATCATAATCAGACCAACTTGTCAACAGGAGTACAACAACTTTTGCTAGGCAGTTGTTATCACAGTCTTCTTGTCTGTAGCCATAATGAAAGCGTCAGAAGAAATTCCTTCAATCAAACGGTTGGTGTGAGAAAGAATGAAAACACATACTGGACAAGCTCTTGTAATCTCTCAATCAGCGGCGCAAATTGGCCGCTTGATTCCGGACTGAACATCGCAACTCGGGAAATGATATTTGCTTCATTTTGAATACTCTCCAAAGAGTCTGATTCAGAAATTGGCTCATCTACAAAATCTTTGGTCTTTTTTGCCAGCTGAGCTACAGCCTTATCCTGTGAGAGAGGGATGAATGAGTGACCTAAAGACAGCAAAAATGAACGTCCAACATTTGGCAGAAAAGCTCACATTATGTTCTGTTTCGTATTGCTCGATCCATGATTTCATAAAGGTGAACTCTGTAGAATCTACTACCATCGGATATCGATTTACAAGCGAGTTGATGGTCCTAAAGGTGATATAAAGACCGGGGTTAATGCATCGCCAGCTACTGAATTGTCGACCCACAAACACCTACTTTGCCAAGTCCACAAATGCGAGCGCTGAAACATTCGATAGCTGGAATACAGCCTGCATACATAGCCGTCGCATCCATACTTTTGCGTTCTGTTTCCTGATGGTTTCATTGATTTAATACTTGGATAACTTCATGGCAATATCATGATACCTTCGCTGGTACACTACCAACGCACTTACTGAAAGTTCATATTTTTATCAATCAACACTCTGACAGACTTGAGTTCCTCGGGACCAAACGCCTTGCAAGGTGCGACATCCGTCAACGCCTCGGTGACGTACATCATTGCAACAAAGCTTGTCATGACAAAGGCTACATGATGTATGAGTTGTTGTATCAAGGTAACCTATTGATACGCGAATCATGAGTACATCAGCGGATGGATAATCCTCATTATCATCGAGGGGGAGCAAAGCACTTACCTTTTCTTCGGCGTCCTCTACCGCTTCTATTAATTTACGGATGAAACCACGAAGCATTTCCCCAGTAGGGCTGACCATGGCACCAAGAGTCGAGACAGTGTACAGACTAGTTGCATCGATAGCAGCGAAGAAAACGCCAAATAAAAAGTCGTATTGTCTGGCTACGGCGAGCAATGACTGCTTGGTTTCGAATCCAAAGACATATTCCAGGATTCTCTTACGAACAGACATAGCTTCGTTTTGAAATCCTCGATAAAGTAAAAGCGTCCACCACGACGGATCTATAGCAGGATCTGAGCTGAAAAGCAATAGCTCGAATCGTGGTAGGATAGGATCCACCAAGTGAAGAACGTTCTCGTGCATGATATCGTACAGCAAGAAAAAGTCTTCATACAAGTTTTGATAAGCTTGAGACTTGTCGTCCTCCCATTTGAAATAATGGGTCCATTCAATATTATTAGGTGTAGTGATTTTGGTGGTGAGGTCTATGACTCGCTTGAAAATGTAAACGCCGTATTTTCGTGCAGTAGAGTCTTTGCTCTTCAGGCCAGCCTGAATAAGCTGCCAGAATTGGTCTTTCAATCGAAGGTCTAACATGGGTAGACCGGTATCGTCGTCAAGTTCAAAGTAAGAATCGAAAAATCTGGCCGTCAATCCATAGACTTCCGAACGCAGCAAATTTGTTGCAGGTAAAAAAAAGATCCCGCATGTTCTCTCCCACAACATCTACTCATACTACATGTAAGCTGCATAACCCTTTGGCTTTGATGTTTCGAATAAAAAAAAAAGCAGCTAAATACCTGACAAATCTTCGCCTTTTTGCTGGCATTTTCTTGTCGATAATACAAACTGGATATGACATCGTTCACGGCTTTTGTTCGCAAGGTAGCGTCGGTACATGAGATCAGAGAGATAGCAACCAAGCCAATGACGTCTATCCATACATTGTCGTTTTGTACATAATGTAGAACTTGGTTAAGCGTATCCAAACAACATTCCAGATCCAGTTGATCGGGGAGTGAGTCGCGCGTGGCTTGCGCCTTGATAGCTTTCCATTCAGCTATATCACCTAATTGTGCGTCAATGAAGTCAACTGGATCGAGCTCCACAAGGTCCACCTCGGTTTGCATAGCTGTGACTAGTTCACATAAAAGTAATTGGAGGAGATCAATTGAAAAGTCAGTTTCATCTTTATCGAGAGCCGAGGCGATGCGTTCGGCTAGTGTTGAGACAATTAAGGCGATGCTTTCAGTAGATATCATGGAATCTACTTGAAAGCTCTCTAGTACGATGGGCTTGAGAGTTTCCTCGACCACTGACTTGTCTTCCACAGCGGTGACGGTTGGTAGTAGTAACTTCAGAATTCCAAATCGTTCTGATTCCGAGTCGCACTTGTCATACTGAACTTTGAGCTGAGAATTGTACAACACTCTTTGTTCGTGGTCAACGGATGACAGTAATGAATACAGCGGGCCCGCCGTGAAATCTGCCGCCATGGATGACAGTGGATGAAGGGTCTGTCTGTGGAAGAAAAAGGAAATACCCAAAAAAAAAAAGACAAGTCGTGAAATGAAAATTCGCGTGCCAAAATGTCACGAACGGATGGTCAATTTTGTTTTGTGTTTAATACATTTTTCAGTGTCCTTTGCAGAGAGGCTCCTTTATTGTAATGAGCAATGATAAATTACAAATGAAATATATGGTACGTGTTATTTTAATCCCTCGTAACTTCCTCCCATCGTCGCATGCAAGAATAAGCGCTGTAATCTGTTGGTGGGTTGGGTTAGCCAGATCCCTTTCTAGGTAGGTCAGTTGAAGGCTACTTACCAAAGTTATCGTCTGCGTTACAATGACATTTCTTTTGCAATTCACGTCGAGTGGGACAATGTGTAAATGGATTGTGTCGGTAGCCAATGTCATCAAAGAAGTGAACTTCTGTTTTGTTGAGGAATATGGCAGCAGCAATGGAATGGACCGGCGCATCACCCCATCTTTCGTAGAAGAAACCACCCGCGCGATCAAGGTACTCGAAATATCGAAGATAGGCAGGTCCGCGCAACCAATTCAAATCAGCAATTTCAAAGTTGGACCAAAAGTGGCACATGTTGTAGGTATCTCCACCATCATTGGTCACAAAATCAATCAAATTGTTTTCTGGGATGAGATCGGGATATTCCTTCATGAAATTTTTGACGGTTGGCCATAGCGTACGAACGGTGGATTCGTATTCAAAAAGAGAGATCGTCCAACCTGGCCATTGGGTATTAGTTTAAAATGCTGAATATGATCTTAACGGAGGGCTTTTACATTCTCAGTTGATTTTGCTTACCGTATTTCATTTTGTTTTCTTTCATGTAGAGGAAAGGGTCATAATCAATGTCACAATAAAAGTCGACACTGGGTTCAACACGCCTGATTCAAGAATAGAAAGATTAGCATGAATGGGCCAAATGATATGAGAGACAAGCCAAATACATACCAGTAATAATCATATTCCAGCATCAAAGGGTGTCTGAAAAAGAAGCCACTTTCAAATCTGAGGAATGTTGGATTAGTGACAGGGCCAACAGCTGTTCTCTTTCAAAAGTATAAGATTCGTACCTGCACATATGACGATACGACAAATTGTCACCGTAAATAACACCTTCTCTACCCATTTGCTCCCGAAGAGCAGTGGCTTTGTCCACATCAATCCATTCCGGGTAGCTCCAATGGCCGTGAGGAATGATACCTGGAAAAAAAAAGGGACGGAGTAACAATGAGATATGGCTCTTGGCAAACACTCCATGGTCATAAACACTATCATGAAGTATGTTACTCACCATATTGAATCTTTGCATTGGTCATGCCCCGAGTCAATTCTTTGAATTCTTCAGTGAAGGGTTCGTCGTTGAGAAATACATACGGGTAGTTGAACTTGTGGTTGAATCTTGCCTCTAATTGTCGCATGGTCCATCGCACATCATCCAGTTCTTTATTTCTGGTCAAAATAACGAAGGCGGCGTTGGCACGGGTGGTGTTGTGCCAAGCAGGGGGCAATGATGGGTCTGGGAGATTGGGATGTGGCTCTGAAACAACCACCAGTTGTTCAGCAGATGACGCGCTTTGATCTACATGGGCAGTTTTTGTAGATCCCGAGGACCAGTTGAGCGGGAATGCATATAAGTAGAAAAGACAAGCTATAACAAGCGTCGACAACAGTAGCGGCCGTAGCTGAGACGAAGTAATGGTGACCATCCCAGTGAGGAAACAGCTAAAGGTGGACGGTTCTGGGAGCCGACGAGCACAAAAATTTATTTACAATTCCGCAAAATGAGGTAAGAGATTTTGTGTGCGAAAGGGGAACAGATTGAATTTTTGTGTGTTTATTTTTTTTATTAACATTATGTAGATGGGAAATTTTGCACAAAAAAATACGACTTAAAGCTGGTTGACAGCTCCTTCAACGCTCTTCATTATACGTTCAATGGCATCAGCTGTCTCCTCCTTGGTGACGTTCAACGGAGGAATCAAGCGGAGGGTCTCGTAGATGGAGGTGGTCAACAGTAACATATCATGGTTATCGCGGGCCTCGTTTGCAATCTTGGAGGCAAATCCGGCGGGAACACCAGAAAACTCAATACCAATCATTAAACCAAGTCCTCGAATGTCGACTGAGGCTCCCTTGGGAAGCATCTTGGGAATACGTGAGCGCAATGCTGAGAAAAGTTCTTCGGATCTGAGCAAGAGAAAAATTAATCAGAAATAGAAAGTTTTTAAAAATTGAATGCCACAGAATTGGCTTACCTAGCATTGGTGTTTTCAAGAAGCTTTTCGTTATCAAAGACTTCCAAAGTGGCATTGGCAGCAGCGCATGCAACAACATTTCCTCCGTAGGTACCGCCCATGGATCCAGCGGGTTGCTTGTCCATCAATTCCTTGCGTGATACAATACCGGATAGTGGGTAACCGGAGGCAATACCCTTAGCCATGACCAAAATATCAGGGGTGACGTTCCAGTGCTCAACGGCAAACATCTTGCCGGTGCGACCGAATCCAGACTGGACTTCATCAGCGATCAAAAGGACATTATTTTTGTCACAAATTTCTCGTAGCTTGGCAAGGAAATCTAGATGTTTGTGTACAATGACGTTATTATCGCCACACAGACTCATGCCGCCAGTGCTTTATATGGACCTTACCTTTAGGTGGTACAACGTAGCCTCCTTCTCCTTGGACAGGCTCAATGATAACAGCAGCAGTATCAGATGGCGCAGAGCGTTGCTTGAAGACCAGTTCAAGCTGACGGATGGGATCGTTACAGCAGTTGTTGATGTTGAAGGTATCTGGGGAACTCTTGTGCACGGCACACTGGTTACAGTATGGGAAAGGAGCAACGTGAACACCAGACATCAATGGACCGTAACCAGCACCATAAATGGTCTTTGAGGTAGTCATTGACATGGTACCGATGGTACGACCGTGATATGAACCTTGGAACACGATGATATTCTGCTTCTTGGTAGCGTGTCTGGCAAGTTTGACGGCCGCTTCAACAGCTTCGGATCCAGAATTCCAGAAAAAGAAGGTATCAAGGCTCTTGGAGGGCATCTTGGGTTGAAGCTTCTCGATGAGTTCTAACATGGGCTTGTGGTAAAAGATGTTGCACTGTCCGTGAGTGAGTGTAGCGGCTTGTTCTTGAACGGCCTTTACGACATGAGGGTGACAGTGACCTAATAGCGCGTCGTGTGTAAATGATCCGACCAACCACGTCAGCCTAGCTACGATGTTGATAACTTACCAGTGTTGGTGACGCCAATGCCTGATGTGAAGTCAAGGTACTTCTTGCCCTCGGTAGTGAAAACATAGGCACCCTTGCCCTTCTCGATGACGAGTTCAGTGCTTCGACCGATACCCTTCGCGATGTGGCGTTGTCCGAACTGAGCAAGTTTTTGAAGAGTAGACATAACTGACGATGGATTTGACAAGAGTGGGGAAACAACGGCAGGTGCCTGAGAAAAGAACTGGCAAAGGACGTTGCAAAGAAAAGAGTGACTTAAATACTGGTATCTCACGTTTTAGGTTTGACTGCCATCCCACGCTTATTGGGTAACTACAGCCAATCAGAAGCAAAGTACCCAGCAAGCTTTGTCAATACTGTATCATCTTGAGGCGGTGTTTTTACGTTCCGCCTTAACACCCGCCTTCTTAAATATTGTAAATTTCTAGAGAGTAAACCACACATAGATAAGCCAGGCTATAGCAGCTTATAATGACGACTAGGTGTGTTTTGTTTCTTCGCTCGAAAGAAAAAATCGACCGTTCTTTTGAAAAGTATTCTGTCACTACTCAAGATACGTCAATATTACATTTTGCTCTTGAAGCAGATTGCAAAAATTGCTCGTTTTACAACGCCTTGATCGTACAATATGAAAGGAACTGTGACTTGCTATAATAGTGTACGCAGTAGGTTACTGAATAGAAGACGGAGACGTTACGATTTGCATAAGCGATGGGGTTCTAGATGGGTTGTGGCAGTACCTGAGTGCTAATTTATGCTGTTTGCTGACTACCTCTCAGAGCATATCCACCAATCGTGCCCGTCGGAGAGCAGTATAATCAGTATACGACTGCTGTTGTCTTTTGGTGTACCAATCAACAACGTTTGTTGGTAGCTTCCATAATGCTTCTGCCAGTAGTGAAGGGCTGATGCGAGTTAGGAAGACATTGATCCAGGTATCGGTTTGATCATGTATGATATTGTCCGCTGACGTCAAAGAAAGGGAGGATGCCTATTATTCCCCACAAGGTGAATTTAGGAAGAATGTTAAGATTTACCAAAAGGAGGGAAATCCTTTATAGGCCAAAGCTTATTAAACACTGTCATTTATAGAAGCAAATGGTGCAAGGAATGCTACATTGACAAAATACCCATAATTGAATATATTTTATTTCATAATGATCGTGTAACAGCCGTGGTATATATAACCCTTTGGTTAGCGACTTTGAGTAGCAAAATCCGTTGGCATCGGCAACGTAAGCGAAAACGTAGCGCTAAAACCAAAACTCCGACACAAATGCTTTGCTCATGGCGACCTCGGCACACTAAGCGACCGTCGTTGTTTCATTCATGAACTGGTAATACCTAATATAGTACTATCTACTCGAAATACCGATGTTTAAACATTGCATAAAACGAAGACAGTCTCTTTTCATTTCTCTCATTATCCGAAACACCTTCTGAAAAGGAAACCTCAGTACAAAATGAAAGCAGCTGTACTCACTGAACGCAAACCCGAACTCGAAATTCAGCAAGTGGCATCCCCAGTTGCCGCGCCTGGATCTGTAGTAGTAAAGGTCTTGGCTACTCGTATCGTGCATTACTTTGAGGAGATCTTTTCAGCCGTGCGACCCTATCCATTGCAATTACCCCTCATTCCTGGTTGTGGAGGTGTAGGTATCATTGAAGAAGTTGGTCCTGATTGTACCAACCTCAAGATAGGCGATTTCGTCTACTGTGATGGAACCATTACTGCGAGAGATGATCCAAATAGCCCTCAGCAAATCTTGCAAGGCCTGCATTGTCCTGATGGTAGCGGTTTGTCCGAGACGTTTCGACATGGTACATTTGCTGAAAAGGCACTTTTCCCATAAGAAAACCTAACTGTCATTCCGAAAAGCCTTGGTAGAGATGCCGCCAAGTTCACCTGCATTAACCTATTACTTGTACCTTATGGTGGTCTACTCTCTGGAAACTTCCAAGCCGGTCAAACCATTATGATCTTAGGAGGTACTGGATATTTTGGTTTAGGCGGTGTTGCAGTCGCTGTTGCTATGGGAGCAAGGAAAGTCATTGTCCCAACCCGCAGTGCTGAGAAGATGAAGATGTTACAAGATCACTTTGGCGACAGAGTGGTGCCGGTCATGACATCAGGCGATGAGGTAAAAGACGCCGCCGCATTTAAGGCAGCCGCTGGAGAAGGTGCTATCGATCATGTGTTTGATTTATTGGATCCAAAGGCGTCGCTGTCAATTTTGCGATCCTCGCTCGCTGCACTTCGTCCCAATGGAACTATAATCCTTATGAGTGGAAGTCAAAGCAACATAGAGCTACCCTACTACCCTATTATGTTGAATAATATCAATATCAAGGGTTGCTTCATGTATCCACGAACGGCCGTCAAAAAGTTGATAGGCATGCTTGATGCTGGACTGATCAACACACACTTTATCAAAATTGACGCCACGTTTACACTTGACCGCGTGAATGACGCTGTTAAGCACGCGAAGCAAAACAGTGGCGCATTTAAAACCACTGTACTTACTCCTAACGGCATTGCGAAGTAGTGACGATAGAGTGTACCAGTAACCTATATCACTGTGTAAAAGTTTGATCCATAGTATTTTTACGCACCTTATTTACTGTATAAAATATTGATTTTTATTTATAAAGAGAACGCTAACTTGAAAAGCTTGGTTGAAGAGAGAGGTTGCATTGATATGTTTGACTTTCTTAATTTCTTCAATCCGTAATTTTGTCACAAATAGTGCGTGACGCACTGGCTACCATTCTGAGCACCGAAAATTTGGGAGGCTCAGAAAAAAAAAAATATACAGCAGCCAAAGTAGAAAAACTTGCAGCATTAGGTTTTAATCTAGATCATGGCTACCAGTCTCCCCTCTTCCGAGCCTCTGCATACCGTGCAACTTGACGGTTTGGTACGAATAATGAAGAACATAATTACCATAAAATCAATGACCAATCGTTACTAATGATCTCGAAACAGGTTGTGCTAAAGATCATCAAGCACTGCCGTGAATCATATCCTGTCGATGTCACAGGACAGCTTCTCGGTCTTGACGTTGATGGTGTTCTCGAAGTCACCAACTGCTTCCCCTTCCCTTCTAGCGATGATGACGAGGCTAGCGGTAAGTTATCCCTCAACCGCAGAGATCTTACAGCAATACTGATTCTAACTTGTCCACGGTTACTATCATAACAGCACAATATCAGCTTGATATGATGCGATGCTTGCGCGAGGTGAATGTCGACAATAACACTGTTGGATGGTATCGATCAGCTCACTTGGGTAACTTCATGGATCTCAACTTGATCGACACTCAATACAACTATCAAAACTCTCTCAGCGCACAATCGGTTGTCATTATTCACGATGTCTCCAAATCTGCTGCTCAGGGCAACTTGAGTTTGAGAGCGTTCCGTTTGACTGAAGCCTTCATGAAGGCTTATGAGAAGAAGACCTTCACGACTGAAAGGTAACGACGGCGTCAGTGCATTTTGGGGGGAGGGGTATACCGATTTGGCTACACACCGAGCAAGAAACTAAACAAATGTCCTATTTTTCACAGCATGATCAAAAATAAGCTCACACTCTCCAATATTTTTGATGAGTTACCTATTCAAGTCCACAACTCACATCTCGTCACTGCTCTTTTGCACGATCTCGATTCGCCCGTCGCCGACGCCAACCGTCTTCCTTCGCTCACCACCTTCACTTCCACTCAAAAGACCGCTACCTTGGCTGAGGACAATGCACCCCTTGCTCCCAACCTTGAAGTCCTTGATTTAGAATTGGATCCTTTCATGCAAAAGAACTTGGAAAACTTGCTTGATTGCGCGGATGCTCAACAACAAGAGCACAACAACTACCAATACTGGCAGAGAAGTGTCGCACGCGAACAAACCAAGATTCAAGCATGGTTGACAAAGAGGGTAAGTTATTGTGAGGTTAACAAAAACTTGACCAGACAGAGCACTGTAATCAAAATCACATTCGGGAAGACCTAAAAAACTCATCCCATTATCCATCTCAATCTTAATAGAAACAAGAAAATGCTCAACGTGCCCAGAATGGTCAATCGCTGCTCCCAGAGGATGAGGTCAACAGCTTGTTTAAATTGCCAACTGAACCCAGCCGATTGGAATCCATGCTTCTGAACGCACAGATCCACAATTTCACTAAGCAACTTAATCAATTTGCTGGCCCTAGCTTGGGTCGTTTGTACAGTGTGCAGGAATTGCAAAAGTAGAAGCTTCCAGGTTTATTTTATATATTTTTTCTTCTCTATAGAGTTACCCATTCTTCGTCACATTAAAAAGAAAAAAAAATTGATTCGTTCCCAGGCTGACGCCCATGATTGCAAAAAAAAAAAAAATTGTGGGGAGAATAGCGAATTAGTAGGAGGGCTACACCATGCGGCCGTGTTACCGCAAGGAATGAAAATCAGTAGAAACCTTGACAGCAAATGGCATAGTGGCGTGAGCGTAGCATCCTGGATGTGGGTTATCCAATGGCGCCTGTACACCGATCAAAAGGCAAGCCGCACACGCAAGTATGAGCCATGTCTTCTTCTAATTGGGCTCTGCTCTGTTTCATCCTCTCGCACGGTCTTTGAGTCCCCGCAGTTCAATGACATGTCGAACCTTATTTATCACTATCTGGAAATGGCAATGGATGCTGTACGTTCAACAGGTCATAGGTTCAAAGAAACACGAGGATAGAAGTCTTACTTTGTCAAGAGCAAACACCCAAAAAAGAGACAGTTTGGCTAACAAAGGGAAAGTTTATCCCCAGCTAACAAACAAAAAGACCACGCTTAAAAGCGTATCCGGTTCATTGAACGGGCCTAAGAAAAGCTCATTAAAGTGGAAGAAATTAAGACGGATGCATCTCAAGACACTGCTTAAACTCCGAAGGTGGGCATTGGAACGTAGCGGAAACCCATTAATATATGGTGGGTGGTGGCGGTTATTCTGCTTTAAGGACCCTCGACCATGGTTTCCGTCCTATTCCACGGATAGCTCCGTTCAATTTCCAATGACTTTTTCCTGTCGCGGGGAGGAACCGATGGTGTCCACGTCATGGAGTGGTGTCCATGATCGAATAGATGAGCGGAGAATCTCGGGTAATAATGATCTACCTCTACTCAAGCATAAATTGGATTTAACCCATAAGGTGGCTCGTGCAAACCCAATGCGCTGATAGGTTCGCCAGGATCCATGGTCCGACACAAGTAATTATAAAATAAAAAAATTATTATGGGCGGGAAGTCACTCGACGCTTTTACCATGCTGCCAGTTCCCTCTTTCTTCTTTTTACCTGGACAACCAACGTCTATACATAGATAGTCTACTTGTGCCTTCTTTCATGTATTGGAAATATGCATGGCAGTGCTGACTACGACTTGATCCTCCGCTTATAGGTTTCACTAGTGCCTCTTCTTTATTATTGCACTTTCCTCTTTTTTTTTTTTCCTTCCCCGCCGTATCGGACGCCAACCTTAGGGCAAGAAGCGTGGCATTAACTCCTCGGTTTTGCACGTTCTCACTCCACTTTTCGGGCAAGTTAAAACCACCTTGTGTTGCCATGGCCATTTATTGCAGAAATACATTTCTGGGATGCCAGGCCGTTTGCCCCACGGCCTCGGTTATCCATGTCCCCTTACTGACCCTCCACATTTAACCAAAGAATCCCACTGCACACTGTCAAAAATAGGTGCTTATCCAGTTTCATTGCTTGGAAACGGGTGCATGGCTGCTGATGACGACTTTTTGGATGGACTCTTGTGCTACACAACTCCGACCATGCTGTCAAGGCGGAACTCAAGTTTGGGGTGACCGTAGTAAAAAAATAAAAAAAATAAATAATGTGGGCCAACTTTGATCGGCGACCAAGAGAGAGAGACTCGCTCTTCAAGTTTATAAGCGCTACTACTTTTTCCACACTTCTTCTTCTTTTCCTTTCCTAATATTTTTTTTTTAATTTCTCTCTGTTTTTTTACGCGTACGTTAGTCATTACATTCAATGGATATAAGAAACCTTTTAAACAGCCATGAAGACTCGAATCTCTCGACGTCGGTGGAATCAGCTTCCTACACCGATGCCGACAAACCTTTCGAATGCAACTGGGAGGAGTGCGGCAAGCGGTTCTCGCGTCGATCCGATTTATCGAGACATCGTCGTATTCATACCGGGGAACGTCCTTACCGCTGCGACTGGCCGGGCTGTGGCAAGCAGTTCATTCAACGCTCAGCCCTAACCGTGCACTTTCGGACTCACACTGGTGAACGGCCACATTTATGTGAATTTGAATTATGTGGAAAGTCTTTTAGCGATGTGAGTAGCCCTTTCCGATTTCTTTTGCCAATTCTATTTTTTTTTTCTGTTTTTTTTTTTGGTAGATGTTGATCATCTTTGTCCTTTTAATTTTTTTTTTAGTCATCTTCATTGGCTCGACACCGTCGAACACATACCGGCAATCGACCATACGTTTGTAGAATTGGCGATTGCAACAAGTCATTTACCCGTAAGACTACGCTATCAAGACATCAGCGTAGCCATTTAGAATCTGGTTCATTATCAAGGTATATATTATATGGCATTGACATGGCGTCAGGGCATACAGAGTGGCTTTCAGGCTCATATCCCCTTTCCCAACCACTTAGTGACCGGAAATTGACTTCCCAATCTCCTTCTACTAGCTGCGACTCTGAGAGTGAAGCTACTATGAGTCCACCACCTGGTATGGTGGACGTTTTACCCAACAAGCGCTATTCAGCACCGGCAAGCTATGGTCCGGCGGAACTGGTTCCACCTTTGACCAAGCCTACCGCTATGCACCCAGGTTCGTGGCCTGTTCCAGATGGGCGGTATGCATACCCATACCCCTATCATCCTGAACAACCACACTATCCTCATACAGCAGAAGGCACGCAACATCCTCCATGGGGTTATCAACAACCCCCACCTCAGCATGTTCAACAGCAACAGAGGTATTCTTATGAACGACAGCAGTCATTAACTGAAACTGTCACTCCTTATCATGGTTTGCCATCACCTGCCATCAAGACACAGTAAGGCCTTGCTCCACATGTTTGCCATATAGGACACCCCCCAAGAGATACAAAAAGAAAAAAATACATTCAAGCCAGCCAAAAAAAAAATATTCCAAAACCCTCAAGAAAAAAATATCCAGCTTCCCCAACAATTAGGCCCACCCAAGATAGATACGCAGTCAACAAGAAGAAAAAAGAAACACCTAAAAAATCACTTTAAAAAAACTGAACCATGGTCAGCTTCTCAAACGACCGGACGACACTGTCTTCATCATTGTAAATACTCTGGAAGACCTTGGAGCCGTCCACGTTTCAAGCAAGCTGATCTATTTTTTTTGCTCCTCTATGCCTTAACATCCAATTTCGTTTTCTTTTTCTTCTGTTTGCTTTTTTTTATATACCTGTTTTTTCCCCCTTCATAATTCCACTAGTCCCTATGACTTTGTTCGTACATGGAACCACTCCATTGTCAGAACTCTGCACTTTTAAACTACCCTTGTACTTTTTTTTTTCTTCTTCCTTCATTTTTGAGTCTTTTCGTGTTTGCGACAGTATAAACCTAGTAATATCCCCCTGGTATTATATAAAATCTCTCTTTTCCCCCTGACCACGCTGTATTGCCCTTTTGTGGCTCGTAGGCAAACCATACGCATTGGCCAAGGCGATCTCTTGGCTGCTTCAGCGCAAGGCAAACCAGTGCCAACGGCCAGCCAGCCCGCAATGCATTATAGCTGGGATTCAAAAAAATGCAAGGTGGCAAAAAGAAATTTTTTTGGGTGATTCATCTCGCGCACAGACAATGATGAACAACGAACGAATAAAATTTCATGACTTTTTTTAATAGCCCATGCGAGCACAAAACCTTGTTATACAAATGCAATATAGATGAACCCAACGTAACGGTCTTTGTATCTCCGGTCAATGGACATTCGGGGGTTAATCAATGGCTTTTCAGGAAAGTCTCGACCTGAAAGGGCTTTCATGATCTGAGAATAGATTTGTAAAGGCGCAGGGTCAATCGCCACGATGAAGGCTCTCACTTGGAAGAAAGAAAAAAAACCGTGTTTCTCCGCCATAAACATATGAACCCAGCCGCTCGTAGGTAAGCCCACCCGCGTCCTCGGCCAAACCCAAAAATAAACCCTTCCACATTGTATTTCTAATAGATACTCCCTTTTTTTTTTGGGTCTTTTTTTTTTTAATAACGCGAAATGGCTCAGTTTGTACGGTATTTTATTTTAGTCCTTATTGGCTCTTGCCAGTCGCACATGGTGGGCCCTCAGATCGGATTCCTTTTTTAGTCAGCGTACACCAGATGTTGATGGTGCGCGGAATGGGTATTACGGAAAAAAATTTGGTTACTGATGTAAACAATTTTCGAACTTTGAGATGAGTCTCACAAACAACTCAGGAGGAGGACACAGACAAAGTTAATTTTTTTTTATATCAGTGGGTTATGCTCATCGCCCATGACGTCGCACAGGTTAGACTCCATTTACTTAGCAAACGACGCGTAGGCACAGACGATGCTGCAGCCACCATATTAGACTACTGGGGGTTTTGACAAGGTGTCTTTACTGAGTCACATTTTACAAACATCATCGCACTTTTGGCGGGTGCATACGATACCAAATTGAAACAGATGTAATACCAGGGTATGCCAATTAGCCCTCTGTGCCACGTGGCTTGCTAGTAATTTGGGCGACACCAATGTCTGTGTACACTAAGTTGATAGCAGTTACTATCGAAAAAAACAAGGTTTGTGCATCCCCCGGACAGTACTTTGAGTAGTACCATGGGGTATTTATGCTGTTAAGGTTGCTTATCGTTATGTTTCGACATGGCACTGGGCATATTCAGAAGCAAGTCGGGTAATCGGCGGTGAGTGTAGGAGTATGAGAAATGCATGATGACACCGTTGCCACAAAAAAAAGGTCCGTTACTACACTGACCAACATCAGCCTGCTGCACAGTCCAGCCCAGCCATGAATGGGTCCGTCAATTATACCGTACCCACGCCGCCAAAATAATTATGTGTAAATTGCTGAAGGTGGACAAGGTATCGTTACCAGAACTGGGAAGGTACTAATTATAGTGCAGCATACAGAAGAATTCCCACCCGTTTGCACAAAATATAATTAATACGAGCATTCAGCCTACATGCAATTAGGAGATTGGAACCGTGTAGGTGTGTCGAAACAACTCGCTTCGCCTATATGCGGTACCCCATTGTGATGGGTTTTGCATGATTAAATAGATGGGGGCTCATGAAACTGCACATGACATGGCGTACGATGGGAGGATGGACAAAGAATCATGAACTTGACTGTTGTAAACGCGCAAGTCGATGCGAGAGCATGGAGAGATTTATAAAGGATGTAACAAAGGAGGGAGTACTCAAAGCAGCAGCAAACACAAAATGATAGTTTTTGAAGGAAAATAAGGATAAAGGATAATCAGAAAAATGTACACTAATTCTTCAAGACTCTACCATCATATCTGAAGATTCTTGGGCGGGCGCAGTCTCTGACTGATCTATGTTTTGCAAGCCAGAGTCATCGTCTGCCATTTGCGTGTCTTCTGCCATACCATTGGACTCCGTATCAGCTGCACCTTCTCCTGTTGACTTCTTGGTCAACTGGTTGCTCTCGCCCTGATACTCTGCGTCATCTAGCGCTTCACGCCTTCGCTCCAAAGCTGACTTGAGTGGCATGGTCTGCGGGATGACATCCTCCAAAAATTCAAATTGATCGACTTCGCTCACCACAGACGCTACTCCGGCAGCACATTATTAGCCCACTGTATCATAGCTAATCGCTCAAAAAATGTATTTTACCTAGATCCTTATAATACACAGTTTTCCTCTTCTCTTTCTTGGCCTTTGCGAAACCCTCATTGGCAAGATATTCCATAAACAACTCCTGCAAGCCGAAACAAACCATGAAATGTTAAGTTCGAAAGATACATGAACCGGTAGACGGTGGATACATACCGTTGCATACGCGACACAGAATGTTGCCTCAGCATTGATGAGAGACACATCTTTATCTTCTTTAATGATCCGCTTGACTCGCGCAATGGGTAGGAAAGTTGTTCCGGCCGCCCGCTCAATTTTACTAGCTGTGGGTGTGGGAGAATCGGCACTTGGCATGGATGGTTGCATTGATTCCGAGTTTTCGTCTGTTCAATAAGTTTGAAAAAACACGCTGTGACAATGTTTGAAAATTCCAAACGCGCGCGCCAAGTTGCTTTGGGACTGCGTTTGCTGAATCACCTTTTTCCCCATGTCACTCCCGGAACCCACTTTCATTGGCGAGGCGCAGTCCACCGACCTCTTGCATAAAGGCGATCCACTCCTGGCCGTCCGTACATCCTGTCGGGAGGCTATTGAGAACAGCTCCATTGAGGTAAAGCTACTTTGTTGATCGGCATGCAAGTGACTGGCTTTCGCTTTGACTAACTAACTGACTGCGGTGATGCTTCCCACTAGATCTCCGAAAATGGAGTCGATGACTTCCTCAAATCCTTGAATAAACTGCAGTTTGAGGAACTTTCAATTGATTCCCCCATGCGTATGCCTGTTCGCTTCGACAGCTTGGCCCAAGAATTGAACTTTATTGCTTTGATTGATTTACTCAACTTCGGAAGCGGCTATAGAGTTCCGCTTCATAAATACACTGGTAGAGGGTAAGACTTTTTGCTATCATTGGTGACGTCGAGATACAAGAAGTCAGAATGGAGTCTAATTGAGTGTCAATCTCTTTTTCCAGAGCCTTTGATACGATTCGATTTGGAGCCATGTCATTTCACATTGGTGGAACACCGCTCACAGCAGCTACGTTCAAGAATATCACAGCGTTCGAAATCAGTGAAATTTTCCAATTCCCTATTGATCGTGAATACACACCAGAGGGTATGCCATTTGTTACCATGACAGAAGCCAATGAACTTAAGCGTCTTGCCATTGGTATTGCGCAAGTGCTTAATTCCACTGGGGAATTCTTGCAGTCCCACGGATACCAAGATCTAGCAAGTTTCATTTTGGACGTCACCAAGCCTTCCAGCGGTAATCCTCCGTCGGCCAAGAACTTGGTGGACCATGTAAGTTGTTCAGCTTGAGAGGAATAGGGGATGTTGCAGTACACTTACCACGTGCCATCACATTACATTATGCAGCTCATCAGAGCGTTACCTGGCCTCCACGATTTCACCGTCATTCAAGGCCAAAGTAAGTTTATAAGCAAGGGGACAGCAGAATTTGGTAGTATTTCACGAGATTTACAATGTTATTGTTGCAGCTGTTTATCTATACAAAAAGGCACAAATCTTGACTTACCATGTATGGATGTTCTTCAAAGACCAAGATCCTGATCGGTTCAACTTTGCCGACATCAAGGAGCTCACCATCTTCTCAGATAATGTCATCCCTACCATGCTGGAACATCTCAAGGTGATTCGTCTCCCAGATTCCCTTCAACAGAAAATTGAAGCAGGTCAGGAGCTCACCACGGCAGAGGCGTACCTTGCACGAGCAGCCGCGGTGGTGGCATGCGAGCGCATTGTTCAAAAAGCCCATAGCCAGGGTACGATCCCCCATATGACAGAAGGCGAACTAGATGTATACTTATGGCGACTGGGCAAAGAAGGCGATTATCGAAAGATCGTTAGACTCCAACTTCAAGATACCGTGATGTTTTAGGAGAGGGGTTAACACGGAGTTGGAAAGTGAATGCTCAAAAACGGGTAAAGCCGTTTTATTGAAGCGAGCCTGTCAAAAATTAAATAGCCCATCAAATAAAAAAAAATTGCCTTGAATTTATTTCGTCCTCCTCCCTCATCCGCTTCTCCTCCAATTCTCCTGATGCGACATTGCTGGCTCTTGATTGCTCTCATCCTGTGCATGGTCTCTTGCACGATGGCTGCTGCTGCTAGCACTTCTCAACCTGCCTCTTCTTCATCTCCAGCCTCTTCTTCATCTCCAGCCTCTTCCAGTGCTGCCAGTTCCAGCGCAGCCGCTCCAGCCGCATCAGGGCAATCATCACAGGCTCAACAACAAACCCCAAGCCAACCTTCCGCTACCCCAGCAAGCGGTATCCAGATTCCCATCAACCCTCCAAACAGTGCACACCACAGTATGGCTACCGGTTGGACCGCCGTCGCTCTGTTGCTGGTGACATGTGTTTTCTGGCACCTTTGATGTTGCACCGCGTCATACACTCGTTCTGCTTGCTTGTTTAATATCAAACTTCACTTTGTCTTTACCCTCTACAAACACTCATCCGCGCATTATTTCCCATTGCTTTCAAATGTTTCGCTATAATTTATTTATTCTGGCTAGCAACTTCCGTTTCAACTACTTTTAACTCAAAAAATTAATTCATTCTTCTTCCAAATATTAAAAATTTCTCTGGTCAGGATCCAGGTACGGCAGACCTAAAATATCGAATGCATGACGCTCGCTGTTTACGCGAACCATTTTTCCAGTGGATCGTTCGAATATGCCGTGATGGTTGACTTTGTACGATGTCTTTTTCTTGCAGTAGAGGCGTAAGGATTGTTCAAAGTGTTTGGAGCCAGTCCAGGCAAGTATGGCAGGATAGTACTGATGCGGTGGCGTGACAATGACGTCCAGTCGACGATGAATGTTCTGTCCAGGCTGCTGCCAAACGACCAGCGCTTGATCAGTGCGATTTTGCGTGATATCTGCATGAAGTAATCTTGAGTTGTGCACGCTAGCACTTAGAATGTGCGTCACCAGACCTGTAGACAGGCAAATTAAGACATATACAGTGTCATAGGGAGGGTGAAATGGAAAACCAACCTTTGGATCGCAATAGATCCAGTAATTTAGAGAGAAGGCCAAAGGTACGTTGCTCGTTTTCGTGTGTAATAAGGATGTCGACATCGCCCATGGCTGTGCACTTTCGCCTACATACAGGTGTTAGTCCGTAACTTGATCAGCGTATCATCACTACTGTACTTACCGATAACTGCCACATATCGTGTACTGAAATCCGTCAGCTATGGAATTGACTTGTTTCATAAGCGTCGCTACCAACTGTTCCACGTCATCTCTAGACATCCTGTAATACAGACGGGTAAGAGATCAAGCAGTCTGGCAAATTTCTTTCAAAAGGCGTCACCGTACTTTTCCAAGAATTCACGATAGAACTCAATTCCTACTTTCTGTGCCGACGTCAGTCTTTCATGTTTAATGACATCTTCCAGCGAGCGGTGTCCTGTCCTGTACCATTGAAGAGCAACCTCATGTCCTACACCTGCAGTCAAAAAGAGTTATAGTAGACTACCTTGTATAGAAGCCATTCAGTGTCACTTACCATAAACATTGTAAAACATGTCCAAAACGGCATGTCGTGGACTGCGCTCCAATTCCTCTGTGACGAAGGCATAAGTGTTGAGTGAAACAAAGGCGAGAACCATAGCACTACATACCGTGATCTAAAATTTTGCCGTCTCGAATGTAATCTTGTATCATTCTCCCTATTTTGTCACCTATACCGCGTATATCGCGAATTTGGCGGATATGAGTCAATGGCTCTGGATAGAATTTCAAGGCTACCACGGCAGCGCGGTAAGCTTTGGCGTTGAACACGTCCCCTGTTGAATTGGACATTATGTTAGAACCGTGTGCGTGCTGGGAATAGAATAGTTAACAAATGCTCACCATCGAGTTCTCGAAAGTGCTGCATGCGATGAAAAATTTCAACCAGTTCTTTGTTGGGATATTCCGCAGGCACAGGATGAAGGCATGAAAAGCCTCTGTTCTTTGATTTTGGTTCATTATCGTTGCTGGTGCTCTCCTGTGTACCACTCAAGAAGTCCATGTGATCTATGTCCAAACTTGAATCCTGCTCGGCTTCCTCATCAGATGTATTATAGTCACTCTCATCAGCCATACTGTATAACACGTGAATTAACATCATCATCTCACATCAAATGATACGATACATAGTATCCGCTATACCTCTTTTGACTGGAGTAGGTGCTTCTTCGGCCTTGACTGTAGATGGAGAGGGTTCGATAATACGCTAGACCAATGGCTTCCAGGGATCTGGCTTGTAGTGGGGCGCTCGGTGCGAGAGATGAATTACTAGGAGAGGGAGAATTGGACTTGGGAGTAGTAGGAAGGCTGCAGCTTGGCGCTTCATCGTCGGAAGAAATGGGGATGGTTTCGGGCGGCAGTTTGGGAAGATGGATTTCGTATTTTTCCATAGGCAACCATTGCTCCTTTTCCAAGCTGACAAGTAAAAGAGTGCATTGAGTATCAATTGGCTTCATACAGGTTATAAAATTCTAACTCACCACAAATTAAGCCACTCCATGCTGACAACCTTCGCCTGCCTTGTCTTTATATGCCTTTCCAGACGGTGCGCTGATTGAACACATGTGAGAATGACATTGGCGCGATGCATTCCAATGCTACTGACCGCCACCCCCTTATGGCCTCTTATGTCCTTCTTGACCTCTTCAATTTCAGAGCTGGAAAGTTTCAGAGGCAAAATGTAGAATGTATTGCCAGAAAGATCCAGCATGAGCAATGAATGAAAGGGGGGGGTTGACGCTGGTAGTGGACGCAGCAAGAGACCGTCAAGTAGTGGACACAAATTTTTTTACCACGTGAGTTGTTTTTTTGGGCGGACAAAGTAACTGGCAAAGAAACATTTAGTGCAACAGAAATTGTGTGAAACTTTTATGAAATTTACGGATAATGTTAGAAGAAGAGAGGAGAAAAGTAGAGCTTTTTCAGTACAAAATGAGTTATCTATCGTCTAGGCATACCGCGACCGCGACCACCACCAAGAGCACGTTGCATGCCACCAGCAGGCATGGGAGGGCCTGCGTTTGGCTTTTCGCTCTGGGTGTTCTTGATGGTCTCATCAACAGACAAGATCAAGCAGGCGGCTTCAACAGCAGCAGCTAAAGCATTGGTCTTGACCAAAGCGGGTTCCCACACAAAAGCCTCAAAGTTATCTTGGGTAGTCTCTCTTTGGATATCAACACCGTACCACTGGTGGCCTAGAGGGAAGCAAAAGATTAGTTTATAGAGCCTACCTGGTTCACACCACCGTTTTGACTACTAACCTTGAGCGTGTTGCTTTCTAAGCTTGTTAAGGATATCAGTAGCATCGAAACCAGCATTGTCGCAAAGCTGTCTGGGAATCACTTCAAGAGCACGAGCAAAGGCTCCAATGATCATTTGCTGCTTGCCCTCGATGGTTCGTGAATATTCACGCAAGTATTTGGAAATTTCCATTTCAGTAGCACCGCCACCAGCAACAACAAGGTTGTTCTTGATAGCACGACGAACAATCATGATAGCATCATGAAGAGAGCGTTCAACCTCAGCAATGAATTGTTCAGCACCTCCACGAAGAATGAGGGTGCAGGTCTTGGCCTGTGAGCATCCTTCAAAGATGTTGAAGCGTTCACCACCAATTTGTCGTTCATCAAAGGTATCGCAAGTACCCAAATGCTCGTTACGAATATCAGAGCAAGTGGACTGGACGGAGCCACCAACGGCTTGGACAACACGATCCATATCATCCTTGGTAACACGACCAGCACAGAAGATATCACGATCAGCAAAGTATTGAGTGGCAAGATCACCAATGGGCAACTTGGAAAGAACAACCTTGGCGCCAGTGGAAACGATGGCTTCCAACTTTTGGAAAATGATTTGCCATTCAGCATCAACGATCGCTTGGTAGTCATCGACAGCCTCAACTCGAACTTCAGCGTTGTCCTTTTCGGCCTTGAGTTCAAGTTCAACATTCAAACACAAAATCTTGGGGTTCTTGAAAGACTTGGGTTGTTGTTCAAAACCAGCATAAGAGAAGGTCTTCTTGAAAGCAACACCTTGAACAAGCATGGAATCTTGCATAGCACCACCGGGCACTCTCTTCATACCAATGAGTCTTTCGTTCAAGGAATCTTGATCCAATGACATAACAGCATCGACAACCATCTTGGTGAAGAACTTGCTTTGGGAATGGACGAGCTTGGATGACATGGCTGTAGCAGCGCACTTGGAGAGCAAATCACGGAAATCCCTACGTGACGTAAGATGATGGTGAGTAAAGGTGGTAGTTTGGCATATATGTCAAACGTAAAAAAAAAAAAAAACTTACTCTGCATTGTTGCGATCGACAGTGACAGCAATTTCCTTGACTTTGTTGATAGCCTATCAAAAGTAAAAAGTTAGATTGAAGTCATATATAATTCCCATCGCTGTAATGCGTTTTCCTTACCAAACGAGCAGCTTGTCTGTATCCTTTGATAATAACATGAGGGCTAACACCCTCTTCAATGTAGCCCTTGACTTCCTTCAAAAGTTCGCCAGCAAGCAAAACAACACTGGTGGTGCCGTCACCGACTTCGGCATCCTGGGATCGAGCAATATCGACGAGGGTCTTGGCAGCAGGGTGAACAATATCCAACAACTTCATAATAGTTGCACCATCGTTGGAGATAGTAACCACACCTAGATGAACCAAAGGTTACTATAGGCTCGTCCTACATCCGCCTCCAACTAACTCGAACGTACCTCGCTCATCAACCATCAACTTGTCCATACCGCGGGGTCCAAGGGTGGTGCGAATGGTATCAACAACGGCAGCACAGGCGTTGATGTTGGAGATAAGTTGCCCTTTGCCTTGAGAACTATCTGTGCCTTCCTTGAGCAAAATGATCTGGGGTTGCTGATGATGGAGAACAAGGGGAGATGATTAATAACGTACTGGATGGGGGCAGTAATCAGAGAGATCTGGAGGTGATCAGTGAGGGATGCAAAGTTGCCGTTGCTCAACAAGGGATGAGAAAGTGTTAGGTCTGGATGACTGGAATGCATCTGATTGGGATGAATCCAGGGCTACTGCTGACCAAACGTCGCGTGTTGATTTCGGTTGTGATCTAGGGTCGTGATTGTAGGCACAAAAACACTAGATGCTGCTTTTGATCGAACGATGCACTATGGTTTCTCGATGCTTCTATCGGTTTCAAGCTATTACATAGATAGTGAAAGCATGCTTACCATCATTCCATAGGACATTTTTAATTATTGTTTTACGAGGAAAGCGATGGCGAGTTGTCAAAGCGCTCTCTCAAAAATTTTATGGAGCCTTTTGGCTCACTACTGGCTTGCTCCGCTCAAAAAACCTGCACTCCCATCAAAGCAGCTGCTATGGCACAGTGTACACACTCTCCAGGAAAGGTCCTGAGTGCCGAACTAATTACCATGGCTGCAGTTCATGCCATAATATTCCCTCTGCGCCATGAAATCTACTGTTGCCCTTGGCCATCCATACCTGTCAAATCTCTCCAAAGTTTGATAGTACCCTAGGTATGGCATAGCTCCATCAAATAACACAAGTCTAGAAAGAAATGCAACATTGAATAGAAAGTTCCTGGGGAAAAAAACGCAGCATAACTGACACAAGTCGTCACGTCCAAGTTTTTTCATTTGGGCCCCCCACTGGTGAATTGAAAGGAAAATTGTTTCGGGAAAAAAAATTCCTGCGTAGAGGCTACTCAACCCGTTACCTGTCAGCATTACCTTACTCAGCCATGCCCAGGCTAACCAATCCATTGAGGAAGAAGCGCCAAGTTATTCAGCTGGACGATGATGCTGGCTTCAATGACGATCAATTCGCAATTGAAGAAACTCCAAGTAAGCTCCACTTCACTCACCATTAACCTTTTCTGACGCCATGGCTAAATGTCAGCTCTTTTGCTAGTCCCATGGAAAGCCATATACCTGGCTACAGCGTTATTGCTGCTAGGCAGTATGTTTATCATCCTGGGAGTTCTCATTAAAATAGGAATTATCACTTCTGAGGTATTGATATTTGGTATCGTTACATGCACTTTCACCGCAAACACTAATTGACTACCGCACAGATATGGCTGGATAGAGGCATTCCATTCCTAGTCTTAGGTTGTATCATGTTTATTCCAGGCGCTTACCATTGCTATGTAGCCTATTATGCTTACTACCGCTATCCTGGATACGACTTCTCTATGATTCCAGATATGGATTAACCATTGTAACGAACTCTCCTGTATGAGGCTGCAAGCTCTCATTTGAAATGTATATAAATGACATCTTTGCGTATAATGTGTCTGTTATTACCACTGTTTGTTTTTGATGGAAAGGGGAGTTGGTTAAGTTTAATTGCAAACAGGGATGGTGTACGCTGATAGTAATGTGCAACACTTCTGTTTGATTACATGGTAATTTACCTTAGAGAGACAGCCAGTAGTTTTGCAACCTGTTCAGTGGCCAGCCTCATCCACACGAACGATTAGCTAATGTACGTTTGCTCAGAAAGCTTATGCTTGCACCATCCTATTGGCTGCAGCGGAGACTGTGGCGGGGATGCACTCCTGGCGGATGCGGGCAGCTATGACTCTCTTAAAGCAACCAAACGATACAACGATTGTCCAGGACTTGCTTCAGAGTATTTCCTATCTGAAGCATTTGAACCCGTTTATACACATACACGTTCCTATACGTAAATAACCAATTGCACACCCATCAATACTGCACAAAAAACACTGGTTTCAAGGCACTCATTGACACCCCGAACAATTGTCAGGATGACGACTTGTTTACTCAATCACAGCAGGGTACCGACTACAGGAAGAAATGGCAGAGGACAAGACGAGATGGAATGAAAAAAATGGATCAAAATCAAGAAGCGAGAGGCAAGGTGTCTCTGAATGATCCCATGATGGGCGTCTTTGTGTGAACATGTGCTCTTTTGGCAGGTCCTTTTTTTTTTGCTGACCACCCAAATTTTGAGTGGGGCATTGTGGCCAGATTTTTTGCCAGTCAAAATCAAGAAAAATCGTAACCCGGCTACAACCTTACGTTTTCTTTCACTTCAAAACAATGTAAGTACATGACCCTCCCATCTCCCTTATGATCATGGCTCTCTTTCCTTACAGACTCCCTTGTAGTTTAAATGGCTGTCCCTGTTCCTTTCAACGACATTGGTAAATCCAGCAAGGATCTTCTTACCAAGGACTTCCCTGTCGGTGCCGTCAAGCTTGAAGTTAAGACCACTGCTGCCGATGGTGTTGTAAGTATTGGTACTAGGAGGGTATTGGGATGGTGGATGCCTCGGCCAGATCATTGATCCGCATGATTCTCTCTACAGTCCTTCAAGGTCAATGGTCAACGCGACAACAAGACCGGTATCATCCTTGGTGATCTCGAGACCAAGTATGCTGACAAGGCCAATGGTATTAGCTTCACTGAAGCCTGGACTACCTCCAACCACCTTAACGGAAAGGTTGAGCTTGAAAACAACATCGCCAGTAAGTGACGTGACAGGATGCATGTGCTACGTTGAACACTTTCGCTAATGTTCTCCGAACCAGAGGGTCTCAAGTTGGAAGTCTTGACTTCCCTTCTTCCTTCCGTTGGCCAGAAGACCGCCAAGATCAATGCTATCTACAAGCAACCTAACGTTCACACTGTTGCTTCTCTTGATGTTTTCAAGGTTTGTACATTTACAGGGTTGCTGCTGATTAACACGTGGGTTGCAAGGAAAACCGCTCGTTTCTAACTCGCGTTTTTTCTAGACTCACGTCAACATCAACACTGTCTTTGGTCACGAAGGTTTCCTTGCTGGTGGTGAAGTTGCCTATGATGTTTTGGATGGCAAGGTCGCTCGCTACAACGCCACCTTCGGTTACACTGCTCCCGAGTATGCTGTTGCCGTTCACGCCACCAACTCCTTGTCCGTTTTCTCTGCCTCTTACTTCCACCGCGTAAGCTCTGATGTTGAGGCTGGTGGTAAGGCTGTTTGGGACTCCAAGGGCTCCAACGCCGTTGCTTTGGAAGTTGGTGCCAAGTACCAACTTGACCGCACTGCCTTCGTCAAGGCAAAGATCACCAACTCTGGTATTCTTGGACTTGGGTAAGTCAATGGGGGGGCCGTGGCATGGCTGGATCAGAGAATTAATATCCCACTTTACTATAGATACACTCAGTTGCTCCGTCCCGGTGTCAAGTTGTCCATTGGTGGCTCCGTTGATTCCACCCGTTTGAACGAGAACGCTCACAAGCTTGGTCTTGCTTTCACTCTGGAGAACTAAGTATGTTCTCCCAAAAAAATTAACTCCCCTTTTTATTCAAAAAAAATTATTTCCTACGACATGGTCATCACGGACCCATTGCTGCTGGTAATTGTAGATTGTCACTGTATCCTTAGTTTTTTATTTCAAGGAACGATGCATAAGCATTCGATCTTAACACGAAAAAACAGGCTAGCTGTTTTTGTTTCATTCAATCTGCGTACCTTTTTATATTTTTTATTCTTTAGGGGTGGTGGGTATAGCGAAATGGAGTTGACCTAGGTTTATGTGGATGAGTGCCTAAGAGGAGAGACGAATGGGGAGCATGGGAGCGGTCATAAAACTAAGTAAACGAAGAAAGGCATATGGTAAGAAGAAACATGAAAGACAACAAGAAAGAAATAATTGGGGTGGTGTGAAAACGAAGGTGAAAAAGTCGTATTTTGGCGAAAAGAAAGGGGATTAGAAGAAGGAGGGTTCTGTACAGGTCATAGATGCAAAGTGGACCTAAGGTCAAAATGCGCGAAAGGAAAAAAAAAAAAAGTCAAGGAAACAGAAGATGTATGCGTAAGAGGGATGCAAGTGAGGTGGAGGATTTACTCGGTAGGGAAAGGCTGTGAAAGCATGCGGTGCAAATGGCCCTGTTGGTGTAATTTAGCAAGAAATGCATTGATAAATTCAGAGTATGGACGATGCCTCAAACTGGATTCGCGCTGTAAAAAAGAAAAATCGGGGCACCCCGAGAAGTTAGCGGATGTAGATTGATCATCCCAACTTTTTTGATTTGGATCTACCTGTCTATTTGTCATTTTTTCCTCCTCCTGCGCAATCGCTTCATGAAGCCTGACACAGTCTTCTTGAATTTGTAACCACATGTCAATCATTAGTCGCGGGTCATGGCTTTCAGCAACATATGCCATATTCTCTTGAAAAGCCTGCTCTTCTTTGGTTCGTAAACTACTTGGGGTGCTAGATGGTACAGACCAACCCTCTATTTTCGATGGGTCAGGACTGTTCCCTAGCACAGCTAAATCCTCTATAACGTCTCGCGTTGGCTTTGACATTGTATCTGACTGGTATTGCTTTTGAATCTGCAGAAGAGCAAAAAAATAAAATAAACAAAAAATACAACTTGTCAATGACTCTATTTCCCAACCATAAACATCTATGCAGTCTTTACACGCATGACAGGCTTCATGGTCATTTTTTTTCTCATTACCTCTGATATTGTGAAATGGAATTCTTCTTCCCATTGATCAAAATTACACTTTGAGCGCCATTCTGTGTCAAGGGTATCCAGCTTTGTTTCAATGGCTAGTTTTAACCGCCTTTTCGATCGTAGCCTATCTTCATACACTAATTCTCGACTCTTGATAACCGCCAATAATGTAAAGTTGATCCGACTTTTAGAATATCTGCAGTATAGCGTGATCAGCCCCCCAGAAGATGTAGAGATAACCAAAATAAAATAAAAAACAAAAAAAAAAAAATTATTCACTTACAGCTCCATTTTCCGTTGAAGCTCGGGTCCTGCCACATCCAACCAACTTTTATCCGCTAAGGGTGCTTGTGATCAGAATTTGGATCAGTAACAGAAAATAACCCATGTTTGTGGAACGCATTTATGTAAATTGCGTGCAGAGCCTCTTTAGCTTACCTATTCGGCCTGGACCTCGCTTAAGCCCGTCCAGTTCCCATATGTATCCACTAACAGGAACGTAGCTGACATAATGAAACATGGTATCTTCATCTGTGTCGGATGACTTGGCTGCTTCGTCTACTGTATCCTGATGCCTAATGCAGCAAGTTGAAGGGATGCATTTAGTATAGCGACCGGGAACGCGAGGGGGTGAATGGAGCGGAGTGTGGTGTTGTCATATTGTAAACAGATCAGCCCATCCATTTTTTCTTTTGGCTAATACTTACTTTGCCAAACTGTTATGCGCGGATCGTATGTTTGAATCATCTCGAATGGCGCTTCCTTTCAACTGAAAAAAAAAACAAAAGACAAAAAAAAGGGTCAGAGACCGTATCCAAGCAAACCCATCGTCTCTACCCAGGCTAGAAATCTCGCTGTATCTCAATAGGAAAACCTAATTTTGGTTCCTCGGAGAATCCAGTGCGGTTCAAAACCTTTCAGGAACAATGCCATGCCCAGCTCCGACGATTCGGTGCCAGCGGGGGCAGTGCTTATCAGATCAGTTACACTACTCACTAGAGGACTGTACTCCTTGGTAGAATCTCGGAAAGAACGAAGATCATCGCCAATATCAAGCATATCATCGCAATTGAGGAGTATAGACAAGATAGCTTGTGTAGAGCATGCGTTGTTGACTAGCTGCGTAAGTGAATGGACACGTGAGTCATCATGCATTTGTTGAACCATTTGTTTGGTGGAACTTGTGTTATATATCTATCATTGTTGCATACATACCTGGTTGGCAAAATAGATGTCGCCGCCCACAACAACCATGTCATCCTTGTGGTACTTGTTTGGAGTGTAGTGGACTAGAAAAGTAAATCCGAAAACAGGTCTTGTTCATGAAACAAGTTGGTCAATCCTCGTCAAATTTTAAAAATACAAGTCCCAATATGGGGTGGGGGTGGTTTTTTTTGGCGATGGTGGTGGAGGTGGTGGGTGATAAACGGGCAACCGATGGCTTGGTCAACCACCCAAAAAAAAAAAAAAATTCATCCCACTTACGATATGAAGTCCAACGTTTCAGTATCAGCCGACATTAGTTCTTCAACTTGGACACCTTTGGCTCCAAGTTTTTTACAAAGTTCGGTAAGAGTGCCTATATCGCCCCCACAAGAATGACGCCATGAGAAAGGTTTGCATTTGGTGGGAAAATAGAAGAAAGCAAAAAAAGCGTGAGTTCATGATAGAGTCGAAACGTAGAGGCCACAAGGCATGTCAAGCAAGTCCCCAGCGGACAATAAAGATCCAACGCCCGGATCTGAATGAAAATGGTCATGCAAGCCGTTTGCCATGCTGAAGTCATTAACCTACCCGGGCTAATGTCGGGCTCTAACCAACCACTGCTACTTCTTGTCTGGGCTTCCATAGTAGGAGCCTTTGAGTCGTGTATACAAGACAAACAAGAAGGAGCCAGTCCAAGCGGCTTTTCAACTGTTCAAAAATGTTTGTGACGCAGCCTCGTCTCCCCTTTTCATCACAAATTATTCTCGGATTCTTCTTTAAGGCCGTTGTCAATCCCACACCTGGGGGTAACAAGGAGCTCAGGTTCTTATTACCCTTGAATGTGCAATGTTATCTTTCTTATAGTTGAAGATGATGTTAAAATTGTCTCCCTGGACTTTTCAAGGAACGGTTCCAACTACTTGGTACCATACTTTACTCTTACATCTCATGGTAATCTGAAAAGCCAGGGGATGGCCCGCTTCATTTTTTTTTTTCACGGGGACCAATTCTTTTTTTCTAAACGCTCACCGTGGACAGTAAGGAGATCCTTGAACTTGATCCCCTCTCTTTTTTTTTGTGGGATGAACAGTGGCATACAACGGTCACGTGTAGGCCGATGCTGGTTGAGCTTTTTTTTTTGTCAGGCTGTCAAAATGACTGCGGTTATCCAACACAAATGTCACCTCAGCAATTGCAAAAACTGGGTAAGCAATGGGTTGGCATTTTTTTTGTTGAACACGCTAGAATGAAAGCTAATTAGCCTTGAGCAGTTTTTGTCACCGGGAACAAAAATAAGCTTCTTGAAGTTCAAGACATTCTTAAAGGCACTGTCGATCTTGTTTCTCATAGCTTAGACTGTAAGTTCACTCATCGACCAGCAATGAATACGGAACAAAAAATTAAACATGATATAGTACCAGAATTACAAGGTACACCAGAAGATATCGCAGCTGAAAAATGTAAAATTGCTGCCAATATGGTAGGAACAATCGATTTAGCATGAGCACGAGCAATGTTGAAAATAGGATGTGAGCAAAACTCATCATTACCTTATTAGTTACAAGGCCCATGCATTACTGAAGACACATGTTTGTGCTATAATGCCTTGAATGGCTTGCCAGGACCCTACATGTAAGTTCAAGGAGAATTATCCCGCCCGCCTCACCCTCGTTTCATTGTTTTTATTGGGTGGACTGATCTACAACCATTGAAACAGTAAATGGTTTATGCAATCCGTTGGGCATGAGGGCTTGAACAAACTTCTAGCTGGATATGAAGATAAATCTGCATATGCTCTCTGCACGTTTGCTTTATCCAAAGGTCCTGGCCATGAACCCATCATTTTTGATGGCAGAACACCTGTAAGCGCAGTCACGACGATGAACCATTTCAATTTGCGATGAAGCTGACCACCTCCATATTTCCCACACCAATAGGGTAAAATCGTTCCAGCTCGTGGACCTACACACTTTGGCTGGGATGCTGTATTCCAGCCTGATGGATTTAATGAAACGTACGTAACAACAGCCCATATTTTTTATGCGTTCTCTTGGCGTGCCAAGCCAGTGCTTACACATTATTTTGTCTTAGATATGCCGAAATGGATAAGGACATCAAAAACACCATTTCTCATAGATATAGAGCTTTAGAAAAGTTGAAGGCTTATCTTGCCTCACAACAGGAGTAACCGAAGTTTTACTCAAACGGCAGACCTCCCTGATCTGAATGGCGATCGTTCAATTGTGCAACAGCGCGCAACAATAAAAGAGAAAATACATCTAGACATCATTTATTGTACATTAAATATAGTGCACCATGATTCTAAGAATATTTATGTATGTACATTCGGAGAACATTCTTATTACAACTTCTTTTCCTTGTCTTGGATACTGTATTCTCCCTCCTTTTGAGCAGAAGCCTTATCCTTCATTTGTTCGGCTTGGAACATTTTTTGAAGCTTTGCGTTCTCTCCGGCGTCCATACCAATGATAGGGAGAGGTGGGAGCTGTTGAGCGTTTTGTTGTTGGTCTGCTTTGTCAGTTTGGTTTTTATCCATTGTGTGTAAAGGAAAGAGAAATGAAGAGTAAAAACGGATGATTGAAATGGGGAAATTTATACCCTGCTAACCGCGTGCTAAATAAGGCAATCGCATCGTCATTCTTCTCGGAGGACGGCCAGTTGCAATGATGATGAGATCAAGTTGTTGGCCATGATATTATGGCTGATGATGCAAATAAACCAAGCCTTTCTTCCAAACGAAACAAAAGAAACTATTTTTTGAGTGGTACGATAATTCGTTCTGCATTCAACCCTGTTGTCGGGCTTTGCATGGCATGCTGATTACAGCGTACGCCTTCTTTAACTGAAACCATTTGTATTAGATTTTTCCCATTTTTTTGCGTTCATGATCGATCTCAAGAGGTCAACGTAAGCTTTTTATTTGGTACATGTTGTGTCGTTCTTCTTTCAAACAGTAGTGGGAACTAGGTGTTAATGGTGGCGATGGATTGCAGACCGTACTGTGCAGACTTTGCCGATACATTGTATTCTATTCCAGCATTGGTAGTATTTTTGCGGTTCGTGATTACCCAAATGTGAGTCCTCTAACTACCCTATATAGAAGCCGGTTTTACCGCTTGACTGGGTGTTTGACCGTGAAAGTGAATAAAAACCATGCAACAATGATCGAACAGACAATTTGACTTTTGCTCAACTATTGTTTACACTTTCCTAATTTTTTCTATTTCACCAACCCTAACTATGTATTAATATTCCGGACGTGTAGCTCAACAAGTTACCAAAGACTGAAAATTATCATCGAATGGAAACGATAGGAATTGAACTTCGGCACACTGTGCTTATTGTCGATAATATTCTCTCGGTTTCTTCCATCCTTTGTTCCATACTGATGATCCTTGGCTATTGTTTTATACGAGCCACTGACAAATCTGTAGACCGGCTGTCATTACGATTATTGGTCGAAACATGCATCTTCAACATAATATTCGGCGTCAGTCAGCTGTTACTGAACAGCGAGTACTCCATTGGCAGCGACCCAAGATGTAACGCAGTCATGACGGTGTTCGTATTTTCTGACTTGGCATCTTCTCTACTATTAACGTGTATTGCAATCAACCTATTGTTGATCATATGCTATGAACCGCAACTCAAAGTATCTCGAAGAGCACTGGAAATCCTCTATACTTTAGGAAGTATCCTCTTTTCGGGTTTCATTGCTGCAAACCCGTTCTTCTCCCCAAACAAGGTTTACGATTACAGTGATAGTCTCCATCAATGCTGGTTCGCGTATTCTACTCCACCAAAGGATGAACAAATATTTTGGCAACTTTGGACATTTCATTTCTGGCAGATGACAGGTGTCATTACCTCAATAGTGTGCTTTTCTATTGTGTTGATCAAATTACGAAGGGAAGAAATTCACATTGACGACAACCTGGAAAGTGCCCAAAACTCAGTGACCAAGTGGATGGTTTCAGAGAATGCTGAAGAGGTTGAAAATGATGAAAGCACCGAGCAAGCCGAAGAACACAAAAATACATTCAATGAAGCCATTAGACGCCAAGGGACAGATTTGAGCGAAAGGATTACTATCCTCAAGTTTTTCTTACCTCGTAGGTGGTTTCGAAAGACCGAAAGGCATAGAGCTGCACACGCTGCCATCACCCAAAATCGCCGCGTATCCTTTGTGTCAAGAACTATTCGACAGGTCATTTGCTATTTGGCAGGTATGTTGCGCAATCATTGATGCGAAGGAAAATTAAATAGTAACTAATACGATGGATAGTTTTGATTATCACTGAAATCTTCAACTTTGGAAGTTTGATCGACCTTATCGTATCCTCTCGGTACCAACCCATTTACTATTTTCTAGGCTACTTATCAACCGGTGCTCGAGGTCAGTTATTAACAGCTTTGAGTGAAGGCATCCACTGTTCTCACACAAGTGTGCTCTATTCGTTTTCAGGCCCGTTACTCCTTTTGTGCTTTTTGATTGATCCCAGTCTATGGTCAGCATGGGAAGTCTATAGCAATCGTAAAAAGGCAGAAAGGATGCTTAAGTCAATGGAAACCGCATCTGCGAGTGAAGTAATCAATTCTACTGCGACTTTTACACCAGTACAAACTTCTGATTTGGATAGCATACTCAACAGCTGCTGAAATTGAAGTTCGCCGTCCGGGTATCTGACTTTGGGTAAAGCGCGAATTTTGGCGGACCACCAAAAAAAAAAATTTCTCGTCGACTACAAAAAGTCAAAACAAAAAAAGTCTTTGAACTGGTATCTTGTTTCCTTTCCAGTTGCATTTATAAACGTCAAGGCCGGCCACGAACGGCAAAAGGTATGTACTATTGCACTTTCTATTGCATTCCCTTTCCCTTCCCCTTCCCCTACACCCATCCGTTACCCACAGGCCTTCGAATGTGTTCTCTTGCAAAGGAGGCACTATTACGTCTGGTTTGTCTCCCACTTGGAGCGGATAAGATGAAGTAAAACTAGGACAAATTGACATCGTTTATACAGAAGGTTGCTGCGTTGCTTTCTAGCTTTTGTTAGTTACAACGGTCACTTGCTTTTGTGCCATGATGTTACATTCATATCTCTTCTCCCTTCCCCAATCCATCTTTCATAATATGATCCCCTAACCAACCAATCATCTTCTTACCAGGTTCCAGTATCAACAGCGTGCTATAATGCGGCATAGTAGCCGTATATTCATAATTTAGTATACCCATTTACATCAATAGTATTGTATAACACATAAAAAGTATTGTTTTTACCGTAAATCGCGTTTTATCAAATTTGCATTCTGGGTAGCAAGGTTACGCTGTCAAAATCAGTGTGTTGCACAGTTGTCCATGCACAATGAAGTGGCCTGTCTTCTCGCATGGGTATTGAACAACTGCTCAGCATAATCAAAAGCACCAAAAAAAATATGGTGAAAAAAAAAATTAGCGACGGATAACGTGATTTTAGATCAAGCCGTTGAAAAAAAAAAACCAAGTGCATTCGACGATTGAATAGTCAAAATCATACTGATCAAATGACGGTGAGGCTGGTAACTGCAACGCACCCTTCGGTGGTCTTTCTTGCTGATGCCTAAGACTTTTCTAGGACCTTACCTCTGTTATTGATGTCTCCGCACGAGGAGCCGAACAATTCGTTGAACTTTACTACAAATTATACGATTCACAGCGAAGTGTATGTCCATTTTCACGTAACATGTACAAATTCAACCACATGTGATGATAATTCTCTTCACCACCAGCTTCTGCAACGATTTTATCGAGACGATTCAGCGATTCTTTGGAACGGTAAACACCTGAATTGCTTAAATGGACCACGCCTCAGCACCGACCCACCCACTGACACTCTCTTACTTTCCATTGTAGGCAACGCATTTCCTGGCATTGCCCAATACAATGAATTTTTGAATAGCTTGGCCAATTCATCGCATGATATTCAAAGCTTTGACTGCCACCCAATACCAGGTGAATGGATGTGAATATGTTGTCCCACTTTGACCTAGTTGCTCATCAATACCTTCAGCCACAATGAATTCCCAAGGAGCATGCGGTATCCTAGTGTCTGTCAGCGGCGCAGTCAAATACGGAGATAGCCCAAGGAAGCGATTGTTCTCGCAGGCATTCATGTTGATACCCGATATAGAAAAGAGTGGCACATTTTACATTCAAAGCGAGAATCTGAGGTAATGGGTCAGGATGCAAGTTGAACGCTATGTCGCAAACTAACCATCTGCCTTGTCTAAACCGTCCATTACAGATTTGTGTAAAATAAAATTTTAAAAAAAGAATTTCATCCGCTCAACTCTCTTGTAACCCCATTACATCCCCCTATTGTAAAATTATTAAACACTCAATATTTTGGACGCACATCAACAAACTGTCATGGGCTAGCGATGTGCCTGCATTCTCATGACCAATGGGTCTAGAGCTTAACAATACATGTGGGTTGAGTGATCAGCGCACAAAAACCTAGTTAGGAGCTTTTCGACGTTTGTAAGGGTGAATCATTGAGCAATTATTGATGGTAAAGACGCTGAGACAAAGGGGAGCTCAGCCATTATAAATCGGCTTGGGCGATCATGTGGATGAACTAAAGTATTCGAGCCCACACAATTCAAGTGCCGTGACTCATATCCAAGGCCCAAACGTGCCGCTGGCCCACCGGTATCACCGCCGACCGCGCGTATCCCGGAAAAACAGCTGCCGGCCATTCAGGCGATGATGTTGATTCCAATTTGGTCAATATCGGCCGGCCCCTTCGAAGATTAAGCGACGATAAATATTTGGATTATACGATTCTATTTTTTTTGATAATTCATAAAGAACTGAACCAGGCCACGGAGATAGTATACGAAAGGGGTCCATTAGGAAGGAAGTATCAACATCCGCTTTCAATAATAAGAAAAACACTGACTGCGGCCAAATTAGTTAACCCGGAAATAGTGTTCATCCGGTTTAACCGGATCAGTGAATGGACGTTTAGCCAACGCGAAATACCACGATACAACGATGATAGAGCTTCAAACCGAATGAGTTTATAGATCAGGGATAGATGAAATATGCATCTGCTCATAATTTATGAACAAGGTTTGAAAGGGATTGTCTAGACCAGCTATCGTAAGTAAAATATTTGTAATCCATCCTGCGGAAAAACGTGGGTCCATTGCAAGACATAAAAAAAAAAAAAACTAAAACCCTGTTTAACGCTATTTCTCTTTCCGCAATCTCTTCTTTTCTCTCTCTTTATTATTATCTTCTTCATAATGACTGAAGCGATAGCTCAACAGGATGATGTACATGATTTATCTCACAGGCTGAAAAGCGTCAACTTTGACACACCTCCCAAAGTTGTTCAGCTTCGAGTCAATCAACAGTTTGAAACCATTACTCCGGATTATAGTGTACCAGGAAGTCCCAACTTCAGTCCTCAGCGAGATGACGATGAGAGTACACCATTTTCATCTAGGCCACCGTCGCATGATGAGAGTTCGGGAGTCTCCACGCCTCAAAACGAGATGCAAGATCCTATACATGCTCCTTACACTCCTGCATCCTTGTCGCCACGAACTAGTGGAGACGCTGCCACCAGTGTTTCACAATCTGAAGCCCCTTCAGCGTCGACTGATCCGTCAGTTTCGATATCTCGTGCATCGTCTGGATCCAGCAGTGATCAGGCTGCCCGATCTGATGTTAGTAGAGGAAGTGGTATCATCCCACCTCAACGTCCTTCCACACCCTCACAATTCATCTTCAAGAAACCCGAATATAATCATCATTATCACCATACCCATTTCCATCATCTTGAAAAGAAGGAGACGGTGTTCCACGAGCTCAAGCGCTTTTTCAAAGGCGGTGATAAGAAGGCGAAACATCAAAATAAGTCGTCGGACCATAAAAAGAAGAAGCTTCGTAAGGAGAATTCTGCAAGTGCTATGTCAGTTACTTCACGGGCAAGTGACATTAGCTTTGGCAATACTTTCAATCGAGACATTGAAGGCCGGTATGGCAAGTGGGGTGAGTTGGTCGTTCTTCGCTTGGTATTTCCTAATGAAAAACTTGGCATCACTAAACCAGAATACTATTTTTAGGTCGCTTCATCGGCAAGGGAGCTGGCGGTTCTGTCCGATTGATTCGACGAAGCGCTGACGCTAAAACATTTGCCGTCAAGCAGTTCCGTAAACGCACACCCACCGAAAATGAAAAGGAGTATATCAAGAAGGTTACAGCTGAATTTTGCATCGGTTCCACTCTGCATCACACCAACGTCATTGAAACCCTCGACCTTATTCAAGAAGGTGCCAACTTCTTTGAAATCATGGAATATGCTCCCAACGATCTCTTCAATATTGTCATGAGTGGAAAAATGACCAAGGAAGAGATTGCCTGCTGCTGGCGCCAGTCTCTGGCCGGTGTCCAATACTTGGTCTCCATGGGTATTGCTCACCGAGATCTTAAGTTAGATAACATGGTTCTCGATGAACGTGGAATCGTCAAGCTGATTGACTTTGGTTGTGCTGTTGTCGTCAAGTATCCATTCGAAGACAAAGTCACCCTCAGCAAAGGTAAATATACTTTTATATATGTTTCCTCTTTTTCTTCGAATAGCGTTTTCTAAACTATTTATCATCTTTAGGTATTTGTGGCTCAGACCCCTATATTGCACCGGAACAGTATACCCAAGACACATACGATGCCATCCAAAGTGATATCTGGTCGTGTGGTATTATATTTATCTGCATGATGATTCGACGCTTTCCATGGCGCATACCTCGCCCGTCTCATGATCAATCTTACAAGTCATTCGTGTCTGGTCAAGGATCACAAAGACTGTTCAAGTTGCTGCCTAAGGAATCTCGGCCCATTATTGAGCGCATTTTGACCGTCGATCCCGCTAACCGATGCACTCTCGACGATATTCTCAATGACGACTGGGTGAAGTCCATCGACGTATGCGACAATGATCATGTAGGCGAAGGTCATGTTCATCATTTGCTGTTTCAACCCGGCGCAGATGGTATGAGCCGGGGTAACATTGAGGTCATTGAATCAGAAAACAAGGAGAACGAACCTCCAAAATAAGCTGACTGGCACTGCATTTGACCTATCCTTCCCTTTTACGAATGGGGTAAAGAAACCCATTCTATTGTAACATATTAGAGTCATGAAGCAATGACTTTTTGTACATTTTTTTTTCTCCCTCTCCCATCAACTCTCTCCTTTACATCCCTCATCTCATCCAACATATTACACATAAAGAAACATTTCAATAATGACCAAATGATAAATGTTTGTTATCCTACATATTATGTCATATGTATTGCAACAGCTTTTTTATTTGTTCTGTTCTAACATCATGATGTGAAAGATTTTCCTATTCTTTAGCAAGTCTGTCATTGACCAGCTGTTCGACCGCGGCGGAGGTTGGTCTGCCGAGGACAGCTTTACCCTTGTCCCAATCGACAACCACGGGTCGTTCTAACACCGACGGGTCTTCCTTTACAAGTTTTACCAGTTGGTCAATACCACCGACCTTAGGAGCGTCGGGTCGGAGCATGCCTTGGACGGTGCCGAGGTAGCTTGACACTTGGCGCAGTTGGTCCGACGTGGGTGGATCTTGCAAATAGTCGATAATGTCAACTTGGTAAGGAGGATCCTTATGGGCAGTCAACACCTGCAATGCAGCTCGCGATTTGGAGCAGGCAGGGTTATGAAAAATAGAGAGAATGGGTCGAGTGCGGGGTGGTCGGAAAGACATTATGCAATGGTTGGGGAGAGACTGGCGTGCGTAGAACGGAGCGCCTAAAGAGACTGTCTACTTGCTGGGTTTGTAATTATTTTTTTTGTCATTGCATTGACTCTGCTTAGCATTCTCATTCAACGCAAAGCAAACTTGATGGCCTCCTTCGTTCCATAGCTTTCTCACTCAGATTCCTACCATGGCTCAACCCGAAACATCCTCCTACAGTTCGGCTTCGCAATGTTTAGCCCAATCCGAAAACGAATATGTTAAGATCGAACACAGCAAGGACCGAGGCCGATATTTTATTGCAAAGACAGACGTACCTGCTGAAACAGTGGTACTAAAGGTAAGAGTAGTCTGCTTCAATTAAAAATATAGCATGCAAAGTTGCTTGTGTATGTTTGATTAAACTCACGGCCACCAATTCCCTCCAATAGTCTTACCCTTACGCTACAGGTATGAATGAGAACAAAGTAGGAAGCAGAAGTGGCTGTTAGTTTGACATTAACCTCTCTCTCTCTCTAGCCATCTTCGATACCCAACGAAAAAGAGTCTGTGCGCACTGCGTCTACGTACATCCCACCAAATCTTTCTCTCTACATTGTAAGCAATGTGATCAAGTATATTTTTGTTCCCAACAATGCCACGATGAGTATCTAGGATCTGGCACAGCACAGGGAGTCAACCACCAACGGATCTGCGCACCTTTACGTAAGCTTGCCACGTTGAAGGCAGATAAGCATATGAAGTCAGTAACCAAGATGATTTTACATTTGTTCTGGGAGCGAGCTCGAAATGAATGCGGCGTGCATTGGTCCCGTAGTCAAGCACAATGGTGGGAAGTCGGAGATACTGATATTACCCGAGGTCTGGAAGACCTCAACTTAAGAAAAGACATTGCCCCGGTGGAATCCAACTTTGATATGGTTTTAGCGCTTGAGTCACATTATCATCGTTGGACGACGGACGATTGTCAATCCTGGAAGCGTCTCTACACCTTCTTACATACTTCTTTGACTGAATGCGGTCTGTTGAAGGAATCCGATACCATGGATTTCATAATGCACTTAATTTCCCGCGTTGAATCCAATGGGTTTGGAATGTATTGGGCCAAACCTAGCAAGAAACGGGATCAAGATCCATTTGGTCGAGGTGCGTCATATGTAACTGAGTGAATGCCGTGCCGATATTTCCTTTCTCACTCCCCGCTCGCCCATTTTGTAGCGTTGTTTCCACATGCAGCATTCTTTAACCATGATTGTGACCGCAACTGTGAAGCCACTCAACTTATTGGTGATGACGGAACCTCAGAAGTAGAGGAACCAGCTGCCGAAACGCCTGTAGATACAGCAGAAGAGCAGCAGCTGGAATTGAAAGGTGAACCAGATCAAGAGCAACAAGCCAAAGCTATTGTTGTACCTTCTGTTTTCGACTCTCCTCGAGGCGCTTTTCGACTTATGCTGGTACGCACACTACGAGTTGCTCAAGCTGACAAGCCGTTGTGCATTTCGTATATTGACTGGGACCAGCCTGTAGCCGCACGGCGACGCAAGCTGCTGGAAGAATACTTTTTTGAATGCATGTGCGAGAGATGCGTCAAGGAAAGTCAGGTTAAACCTAAAACAAAGAAATCAAGTAATAAGAGACATGTCACGGTCTCGAAAACGAATAAACCTGCACGAATAGATGGGCTGTGAAAAGTTGCAACTTTAGATCCAAAAACCATCCGAATTATTATATAACCAATTTTATGTACAGTTTTCCCTATGTGATGAAAAAAAAGCGATCAAGCGATCTTGACAGCACATTTTGTTGGCACTGTTACAAAGAAAGACAGACAATGGTAAAGTTGTATGTATAAAACATATGAGGGGTGGGGGGAATAAGAGAGATGTGTAGGTTGGAGGGGAATATAGATGATTACCAGCAGAGCAGATCTAGCTTCGGTCATCGTTCAAAGAGGTATTTATCGAATGCTCATGCTACGTCTTGCTTGGCCTTGCTTCTTTCCGCCGGACACCAGCTTGCTAACCTCTTCCTTCTTGGAGATTTTGCCTTTGTCGATGTTCTCAAACACTCGCCAAAACTTGAGGTTCTCGTCGGCAGCGGCACTGGCAATAACTTGACCATCAGGGCTGATGGCTGTATGGAGGATACGAGAATCATGTGCGGGAACGTCAATCACTTTTTTCAAAGTTGGGTACTCCCACACTGAGAGGTGGTTGTTAGGAAGACCATGGGAGGTAACGAGTTCCTTGTACTGAGTAGACCAGACGATGGATGAAACTTGTGATCCCGTGTATATACTGTGTAAGCGTGCTGTCGTGGTTGTGTTCCAGAAATGAACGTGTTTGTCACTAGTACCACCTCCTGTGGCTAGCAAATTCAAGTTCCAAGGACACCATGCCATTGCCTAATAAATTGGGATGGTTGAAATCGTCCATCGGTTAGCTTTTCTGGCTTGTTCTTTGTTTCAAAAATATAACTCTTACCTTAACCGCAGCATTATGACTTGCTTTGGTGAACTTTGGTTTGGTGTTTCGAGCATCCCAAATATTGACAAGATTGTCGTTACCGCCACTAGCAAGTAGCATACCATCCGATCGCCATTCAAGGCCACACACTTCGTCAGTATGTCCATGTAATTCGGCGATTTTATGCTGAGCAACACGGACATCATGGTGCCAAATGCTGCCATCACGGGCGCCGGAACTCACAATGTGCTTGTCCCAAGATAAGACACCAACACGACTTTCGTGACCAGTCATAGATCGAAGCTTGGTATTTGTTTCAACATCCCAGACTTGGGTATCTCCATCTGAAGTTCCAACCGCTAGATACGATCCATCGCTGGACCAAGATAACGATGCGATTGTGTTGGTGTTTGATTCGTAATTCAACGGCTTAATATCTCCAGTATCTGCATTCCATAAATAAATTGACTTATGCAAAGCTATGGCAATAACATTCAAAGACGACCAATCTAAAAGATTGAGGTAGAAGTCGTCCAGCATGCCGGGGGCGTCCAAAATTTTCTCCGGAGCAGTAAGGATGCGTCGCTGAGAACTAGAGGAAGTGCTGGTCTTCATCATGGGGTTGAAGTACTTTCGCAGGTCTTCTTTATCGCTCGTCGGAGGCTTTGCTTTAAAGGCGAGAATACGTTGACCAGGTACAATGCCGCACGCTTGAGCAACTCGTTCCTTGTATTCTTGAGAGGCCCGATCCAAATAGGGAGACTTGGAATCGTTACTCAAATTGAACTGTGATGAAGCTAGATTCATTCCGTCTCGATTGGGAATAAAGCGATCATACTATTGACATGGAGTTTTAGCTACGGTTACTCTAGTGAATGGGTCGTATATTATTTCTCCTTACATGTGTCTTGTTAATAACTTTGCAGCTTCGCTTGGTGGGAGCGTTTTGAAGCCAATCTTTACCGACGATATCCAACGATGAAAAGGCCGAATTAGATCGTTTAAGTGTTCGTCGTGGACCAGTTGATGAAGTCAGGTCAGCTGAAGGTTGCGAACTGCTGGTAGGCTTATTTTCTTTTGTGGCGACCTTTGGTACTGAACTACTGGAATGAGCTTTGACGGACTTAAGGCGGCTAAGAAGACTGGTCTGTTTGAGCGATGAATTCGGATTCACTGGACTGTAATTCAAGGCTTTGGTATCCAGTAATGGGTTGGCATTAGTGTTTTTTCGTGCAGGGCTGAGCGGTAAGGCGACAGCTTGCGATTTAGATACAGGCACGAATGGGAGTATTGTTTGGCGTCCTGTTGCTGACTTAGTCGTAGAACTAGTTACTGAGCTACGTGCAGTAGAGCTCTTACGCGCGGAAGGAGACCCCATCTGCAGCGAACTAATGGAACTGAACAGGCAAGGAAAATCCTGCATCGTTCGTGGGCCCATTTTTGGCTGTTGTGATTGGGTTAGGGTTATGATGCGCGTCGCACAAAAATTTTCAATTCATGCTGGCCTACAAAATCTGAGAGAGACTCGTTTAATAAAGTGCAAGACAACCGTATAAACAACACATGATCTCACCTCATAATTTCATTTATATAATAAAGCAACATCCTAGTGAAAAGATTGCTCAAGTAATCCTAATGGATATGACGTTAACAGCATTACAATGTGTCTGGAATATCTTCGTATTAATGAGAAATCTCGCCTTTGGTGACATATTTTAAGACTAACGTGATTTTCGCAGAGAAATTGAAAAATGTGTTAGCTCGACCATATGTGTAAATGTCAAAGGTTTACTTTTCAATGGCATCGAGAGTGCTATTGAGACAAAATATTCAATGATGGCGTGTGAGTTAGCAAGGGAGTACGATTGCCATGAAGAGTCTTAGACACAGGCATATCACCTCGGATTTGCCATAGCAGCCAAAATAAATTTTCAATGCCCCACCACTTTAACCTTTGAAACCTATGAAGTATTTATGCTGTCCGTCATAATTTTGCTACCGTGTGTTAAACATGTGCCTCCAGAGAGAATTTGCTTGATGGTATTGAAGAGTCAAATTGACATGATAGATTCAATCATCGTAGGCCGCTTAGACTTGGAGGTTTTGTGTTCCAGCGTGATTTTTGGGATGATTTTTGATGACTGTGAGTAGACAGACAAACGCCTAATCAGGCAAAATGCCATGACCTCAACTCAAGGCCATTTTTAAAAGACTGACTGACAGTTTTCCCTTTGAAGCTCCGTCTCTCATACCACCACCATGTTAGAAATCGATCCATCGCAACAATTAGCATTCCGAGGTAAGCACGGCTGTTTTCAGTTTCGGCACAAATTCAACTAGTTTAGCTCGAGATGCCTTACATGCATCTGTCACTATTCGCGACTGTCTTGCTCATTTTCGCACAATACTTCCTGCAGGCCCTCTGACTCGCCACGTTGAAGTTCAACTGGCCATTAGTAATCCCACCTCTGACTTTATTGCATACAAGATCAAAACAACCGCACCTAAGCAGTACTGTGTCAAGCCCAATTCTGGTAGAATTGCTGCACATTCTTCCATATCTATTCAAGGTATATAGGTTTGCCATTTATCAGCTGCAAATCACTCCGATGACTTATGGTCTCCTATTCTAGTCATTTTGCAGCCAATGAAAGAGGAACCGGCACCGGATTTTAAGTGCAAGGACAAGTTTTTGATTCAAAGCGTCGTCTTAACTCCCGAAACTGCGAAAGTCAGCTTGGCAGATCTGGTAAGTGCACTTACACGTTAGAACAGACAGAATAGCCCGCAGCCCATGTGACACCATTTCTATGACTGTAGTGGACTAGCCTTGAGAATGGACCAAAGGATAAGATTCAGCAGAAGAAACTTCGATGCGTGTTTCTCTCTGAGCACGAGGAGCAAGAGGTGAGTTGGCGCCTTTGAAATGGTTTATGATGAAGCGTTCGAAACTGATGAACCCCCCACAGCACCAGGCTGAGACTCTCAAGACGGAAGGCGGCGAGACCAACGAAGAATTTGCTAACGCCAGCGCATCGCGTCCTAATTCTTATGAAGAATTGAACAAATCTCAAGACCCATCAGTCCTACGTAAAGAATTGTCAGATGCACGAGAAACAATTCAGCGTATGCAACGAACAATCGACTTGTACGGCAAGGATGGTCAGCCTGGTAACCCAGCATTGGTAACCAAATCGGCGGCTATGATACCAGCCAACGGTGAAGGATACCCCGCTCATGTTATATTCCTCGTATCTCTTATAGTCTTCCTTCTCACTTGGTACTTTAAATAATCCATGCTCATTTTATACAATATATCTTTTTTATTTCGAGAATCAATAATTGGGCTTATCATTTTACCTGTGCGCCCTTCTAAATTTGGGAAGTCGAGCAAACCAATGCGAAATAGAAATTTCATGGCTTGCACTTTTTGAGTCTATCACCTTCGGTTTCTACTGTAATGTCGACATCAGAACTCTTTACGCCTACTACTGTTTTCTCCCTATTGGGCGTTGTCGCTATTCTGGCCGCAAGCTATGCTGCTTCAACACTCCTTCTGCCTAAATCCGCTCGAACCGTGGATCGCTATATATTCATATGGTTGGCTTTCGACGCGCTAATTCACTTCATTTTCGAAGGAAGTTTCCTTTACTACAGTACCTTTGGCAGAACTGTCTTCCGAGGATCTGGCCCCTTTGCTGAACTATGTAAGTATCACTCCGAGAAAATCGTGCGGTGTCTCACCGCGACCCCTTATTTTTACTTTCTCTTTTACAGGGAAGGAGTATGCCAAAGCTGACGTCCGTTGGGGTATGGCTGACCCAACTGTTGTTTCGCTCGAATTACTGACTGTGTTTGGAGCTGGTCCGTTGTGCGTTTTCTTGATGTATCAGATTGTACGAAATGATCCCGCGCGCTACTACAACTACATCGTTTTGTCGGTTGCTGAAATCTATGGAGGATGGATGACTTTCTGCCCTGAGGTATGTTATGTGTATTGCCGCCATGTTTGCTATTTCTCACCGCGTTTATGCTCCCTTCAGTGGCTAACGGGAAGTGTTTTTCTGAGCACCAATAACTGGTTACACCACTGGCTTTACCTTTGGGTGGGTTCGCGATCGAACATAATATGGAATTTCGAATCGAGTCACTAATTTTTCCCACTTTAACAGTTTTTCAACGGTATTTGGGTTGTTATTCCCGGATATCTTCTCTACCATGCTTACGAAGAGATCGTGTATCCTCTACGCCTTGTTCAAACCTTGGCAAACGATGAACCCAAGGAGGAAACCAAGAAGGACTAAGCGTTAATGCCAAGAGTTGGCTGTATTTGACAGAATGTTTATTATGCTGTTATAAAATATAATATATCGTCTTCAACACCCTATGCTTCGGATAACTTATGATACAATTTTTGGTGATAAAATCAATAGCTGTTGGTACATTGGCGTCATTATGTCTTTGATGTTGTGCTGCTTCTCCTTCTCTGCATTATTTCTTTTAACACTTCGTCTTCCCACTCCTCCTTTGGTATACCTTTGCCGAGATATTGCTCCACTCTAACATGATTCGGTTCTTGGTCATATTGCAGAGCAGCCCAATCTGATTCGAATGTATTCGCTGCCGAGCTGTCACATGAGGTTAGGAAACTGGATACACCTTGCTACGAGGACCATACGGACTTACTGTTCATGAACCCATTGGCCACTGTGCTTTTGAACGCTTAAAATTGGGTACTTCTTTTCTAGCACTAATGCTTGCCGAATGGTTGCCTCGATATCGATGTCTGGTGGTATATTGGTGACAGCTGTATGTACAAAATCGGGATCCATGGCCATGATTTCCTTTCGTCGCAGGCAGGTAATCTATCCTGATATCAGTTTCATATACTTTTGTTAACATTACGAATTGAAAAGAGTACATACTGCACAGGCAACATATAATGGCATAGAGGGAGCACTGGCGATAAAAAGATCGAACAGGCGAATGACCTTGTGGTAATCTTCAAGATCATGGCTGAACCATGTCAAAATCCAACTTAAAGCGTAGTAAGGAAGAATATTACATCTAGAGTATTGGCGAGGACCGGTGAGCGATTGCCACTAGGAATACAAGCGTGATACAAATATTACATACCGGTCTAAAAAGGCTCTCAACTGCGGATCAGCCATATCCAATAGAGCATTCATCAAATTCAAAAGTTTTGATATAGGATCGAAAGTTTCTAACATCGCATCTGTAATGGAGGAAAAGAGAACTGGTCAAGGATAGCGATGTTGTCAGTATAGTGTGGAGAACGCCACATTTGCAATTGAGAAGATGGCGACTGTTCCAAGCAAAAAGGATATCTTAAAAAAAACAAAGCAACATTTTCTGCGGCAGGTATGGCATCCTTTTTCCCTAAAACTAGCAGAAAACATGCGCATATGTCATGGAAGCCCTGAAAAACTCTTATCAGCATCAGATCCTTTTCCATTCCACTCATCTTAAACCTTACCTACCTGATAGTAGTTCAGCTTTGGATTCCTCCACAGTACTTCCATAATCAAGTCTCGTAATTCCTTTTGTTTGTGCTCTTTGAACGGTGCAGACATTCCTATATTGGGCCAAGGGTTAGAGGTAATAATATAGTCAATTGCTATAACAAACCGTTCACATACCTTGAGGGTAATAGTAAAGGGATCTCTCTATATCTTTTGCAATTTGTACACCGTCCAATATTTGCTTATCTAAAGCATAACGCACGCTCGTCAAATGTCCTTCTTACGAAGTTTGAGCAGATGATGCAACCTACCGTCAGCTTTTTCATCCAAGTAGCTTCCATGGTCAGTGTGTAGTAAGAGTGGCCTTTGAAATGATAGCAGGTTGTCGAGTCAGCGATTGCTTTAATGTATCCATAAGGGGTGACTCTGATTTCAAAAATAATAAAAATACCATGCTGCTCGACGAAGCCTATCATATAGAAGACCGTTGTCTGTTCTGGAAAGTTCCTTCAGAGTTTGGAGATCTCTTTCTTGAATGGCTGTATAAATGGCATTAACTTTGGTAGTGGGTGACATGTGCCCGTCTGTCAATTCAATGAAGCATATAATAGTCAGCGCAGTATTTGGCCAATGCGGACCCAGTTCTACTATGTTTGTACCTATCGATAGTTGAGAACCCATTTACACATTTACAGCTCGTTCATGCAAGAAATTGCCGAGATCGGGTCACAGCAAAGAAAAGCACTTTGAGAACATGTCCATATATGGATATAAGTGGTTTATTGCAATTTTTTGAAAGCTCGTTTTTAAATTGCAACGGCTATATTGTCATTTGCGACACGCCAAACATAAATAGCATGCAAAATACTATCATCACTCTGAATTTTACATTCCTCGGTGCCTGTGATGTAAAGTAGTTGAATCCCTGTGAGGCGATCGGATATACTGTTTGCTCAGGCGGTCCCTGAACTGTGGTGATACTTACTTGTTAGTATACGAATGTAACTAACCTCCCTAAGTTTTTACTCACTAGTGATGGGTACAATAATAGCGTTGGTGGTTGTTACGTATGTATTTCCAGATGAGTCTGGGGCTTGGCTAGGAATATTTAGTGGGTCAGTTGCTGCAGGTGTTGGGGCACCTGGAGGATTTAACAATGAAGATAGCATTGGTCCAGACGTCGGACTGAGAGAGACGGACGATTTATGAGCCCACGGTGGCGATAACGAAGGGAACGGCAGGCCAAAATGTTTGATCAGCACTATGGTAGGTTCGTTAATGGAGAGATTCATGATATTCGGTTGTATATCAGTTGAAAACTAGGAGTTGGATACACTAAAAAAATTCTTCAGTGCATCCGTGTTATTAGTGTAGTCCCTTTTCAGCAGAACACCTTGTCTCCTTTCAGTTGAGAAGCTTCCGAGATAGATGTCTCCGGACAGCCTGCAAACATGATAAACCCAACCTTAACGTATGCTTGTTTACTCAAAGTAAATTATAATCAGCAGCATGGCTAACATTGGTTCCACTGCATGAAACAACAAACACTTGTAATTTTACCAAATTTACGCTAAGCAGCGTCATTTTGGAAATATCGATTTAGTGGTGATAGGTGGAGTGAGTACAAGGTTTAGAAAGGAAAATTGTGAATGAGTTCTCTATGGAAAAAAGGAAGAAGAATGGAGTAGAAAAATAATAAACTGAGTAAGGATTCAGTATGCAGTCTCTATGAAGGGCAATTAGGATTGCTGTGGTTGCTGACGAGCGGCATCTGCATTTGCCAAAATGGTCATAATAAGGCTTTGTTGATCGACATCCAAATCTTTAGTAAGAAGAGAATAGGACGTAGCGTTATGTTGCTGAAGACCTGTGTTTAGAAAATAACAAAAGTAAGTCAGTACAAGGCCATCATGATGTCAACCGTAATTAATGATTTACCTCTAAAGCAGTCGCTGAAACGAACATAAGGATCAATTTCGTCCAAAGGAGACTCAAAGAGAACTTCCTCTTGAACATCATCATCGAATTCATCGCCATCAGCGTCATGAGCGTGGGCAGCGGCCTGAGATGCCAAGTATTCAAGGTACTCTGCGTTCTCGTCGTGGACATCCTCATCATCTGTAAAAAAAGGCCATGTTTAATAAATTGGCGACTTGCACCTGCATTATCATGTCCCTGTCGTAATACATACCGCCAGCATCATCTAGCTCATCTTCTTCGAAATTGGCTCCAGTGATGGGGTCGCCGAATTCATCTTCGTCGTCAATACCATCGCCATAGAACTTCTCCATATCCTGGCGGTCTAAAAGACAGTCGTCAAACATCAATTTTCAATGTGGCATAACATGAAATGGGGTAAATACGTACTTTCCATAGCTTTAGGAAGCGTCTTGAATACCATAAGCATTCCGTTAAGCATTTGTGACCATCCGGCTTGAAGGGACGCAGGGATGGTCTCAGTAGGTAGTTCAAGAAGAGAGCACAAAGCGACGATAACAAGCTTCTTGTCATGAACTCTATTGAAACGAGGTAAATTGAGGTTCAGTCATATGGAGTGGTTACTGGGCTGCTTGGGTACGCTTTCAATTACTGCATAAATAAAACCTATTACTAACCTGGAAAATTTGTCCAAGGTGTTGAACCAGGTGGTGAAGAAACCTTGGGTCCATTGATTTTCTTCCAGGATGGTTATAGTCAATTGTGGGTTGTAGTATATGCAGTTGACTACGATTTCGATGCAGTGGACTTTGAATTCCGTGGTCTTCATGCTACCGGTGAAAATGTAGCTGAATGCAAGGTTGAGGAAAGCAGGAAGGTATTGATCTACGTGGCCGCGGCAGTTGAGCAAGACGGATTCAATGAGTTTGCAAGCGCAAACACGATCGGCTTCGCCAAGTCTATCACTTCGCATAACCTATATGAAACCTTTGTGAGCTAACCGAATTCAACTTATATATGACTTCGAACGCTACTTACAGTTTCGATGATATCGAACATCATTCCTTGGATTTGCTGGTTGGTAACAAATACGTCTTGACCGTACGAGATGTAGTTGTCTAATGAGGGTAGCATTTCTGAACGCAGAATGGTTACTCTCTGGTGTGCAAATTATTCTAACGAACAGCAAAATGTCATCTCTTACCATCCATAAAGTCTATACCGGATTCCTTGAACGCTTTGTAGATAAGTTCAAACACACCCCACATGGTGGGAGTGACCCGTTTTGAAGAGAATGTACAAGAATCAATGATTTCAAAAATTTCAGCATACAAATCTGCAAAAGAATTCGTCATTCTGGTTAGTGGCGGAATTTACCCACTTACTGAAACTAAACTTTATCTTACCAATGATGGTGTTATTGAGGGTGTATGTAATGACTGGCAAAAGAGCATTTTCCAGCTGCAAGAGCATCTCAGGTGTGCTTTCCAAGCTCAAAATGAGGGTTCCAATGGTCTTAAGTACGCCCATAGCAGCCATGGTTTTGTCACCCATCTCATCAAAGTCCAAGTTATCGTCGACACCTTGGTTTTGAGCAGACGTAACATCTTCCATAATGCGCAAGAAGGTATCTCTCTATGACATAATGATGGTTAATAAGCTGCTAACACAGTTATTGTGACAGTCCGACCAATTGATACTCACAAGCTGTGTACAAAGCTGAACTGCAAATGGGGTCAATTGTTCAGCGAAAACTTCAACAAATTCTTCCATGACATTGGCTAAGGTATCAATGTCAATCTCATTGGTAAGAGACAAGAGTTCTTGCATGATGAAAGGAAGATTTGGAACGATGGCGTTGCGAACTGGCACATGCAACGAGTCAGTAATGGAATCTCCTAAAGCTCGCAAATATGTTCCAACTCAACTTACCACTTTCATGGCGGATCATAGGCTGCAAAGAAAGAGCAGCTTGAACCTTGACAGGCAATTCCGAGTCACGAATGCAGTCGACAACACTTTGATAGACAGTTGCAAGGTTCTAAAAAGTGGATAGATTAGCGCTGATCGTTCCGTAGTGGTAATACCATCCATTGCTCGACATACCTGCTCATTAGCGAAATCCAAGTCACTGAAATGCTTGGTAATGTCGCAAGCTCTAGCTCTCAAGAACGGGAACGGACTCTTGAATTCTGGGATAACGTGGGTAACAAAGAAAGGCTCCATCATACCAGCAACGGGAGAGTTCTTTCGCAAAATCTGATCCGCAAGACAACCAATCATACACAAAGCACCATCCTTCTCTCTTCCATTGCGTTGCTCAGCTGGTGTTTCCAAGTATTTGTTCAAAACTGAATTGATGAAAGTCAAGATTCCCATGAATGTGTGCTTCTTGCGATCGCGTGCAAGGTCAATAAGTAGGTTGATGGCATTTGTTTGAGGGGAATGGAAGTCTTCAAGAGGGTCTGTTTGATGTGGTATATATATAATCAGCATATTGGGAGGGTAAACGATGGTAACAATTTGTCAAATCCGAGCAGCACTCACCAACTTTCTTATGAACGTACTCGACGGGATCATCGTTCCAGAGCTCTTCATCCTCATCAGAAAAGCATAGTTGAGGGTAGATGAAATGAGCTACCAAAGACTCTGTATGAGGTTTCAAAATTTGCCAAGTACTCTTATGCTTAATGCTAAATATACACTGTTAGTATATATCCCAGATCATTCAGACTAAAACCTGTGATACCTACCAATCACTGAAGAAAACTGCACTCAGCGCTAAGCACTTTTGAGACATCCAATATTCCTTCTTGATCCATCCTTCAACTTGCTTGAGATAAGCTTGCAAAATATCGGGGGCGAAGTTGGTGATAAAGGCTTTAGCAAATGCAGTATATTTGCTGTTGCTGGCGGCGAGCAGTGCTGGGTTGCCGTATCGTGAAAAAAGTCGGTTCAAACAATGGTAAGCCCATTTTTTGGTCTTCCACCAGGGGTACTTTTCGCGTTCCTCGTTATCTGCGGGAAGAGCCTCAGTGGGAATGTATTTTCCAATCATTTGAAGGAAAATGGTTCCCCAAGGCACGAGCGATGAACTCTCCTGCAAGCACTTTGGAAGATCAGAGTGGATAGCAGAGTGATATATTTTCAATGCCAACTTGAGCATCTCAGCGGCTTCAAGACTATCTTGCCCAACAAGTCCAGATGCAATCTGTTGTACAGTTGGGAATGTCATCTTGATAACGGGACCAAGTGGATCGCGCTTCTCGGGAGACTTCCATCTTTTGATCCGCAAAATTAATATCTAGCGTTTCAACGTTGAATGAATAAATCGGATTACTTACTGGTAAATCTTGATGACTTCTCGCAAGGCTAGCAGTCCAACAAACACTACTCGGTGATCAGACGAAGTCAAGCAGGTTTGGACCTGATCCACAAAATCTGGCCAATTTTGAGGAAAATCGGCAGACAGAATCGTATTTAAAGAAGAAGACAGTTGAACCCTGACAGTAGAAGTGTATAACATTGAGCATGAAATCCCAGGCAGGGAAGCATTCGAAAGCGACTTACTTTACGGCATTAGGTGCGGTGACCAAAGCTTGTAGAATGCTTTGTCTGACGACAGCCTTGTCTTCGTCACTGATAGGCTTAACAGGGGTCTTTGTAGGATCCCATGCCTTTCCAAGACGGTTTTTGAAATAGATAGCAGCTGTATGATGCAGAAGTGTAAGGACATTGTACAAACAGTATTGCCATCAAAGCATTTCGTGCACATAAAGAGAATAATATCATTACCAGCTTGGCGAGCACCTAGTTCAGACTCTTCAGAGGCAAGGATTTGCAAAACAATAGGCAGGAATCCATTGGAACCTTCAATCTGAGCCATCACATCAATTGTTAACTTCGTCAATCTGTCTGTCAGAATAGTCAACCAGGACAAGAACGCTTACCCCGCGAATGTTCAATTCTGCTTGCTTATGGACGTTGGGATCCGGGTGATATGTGGAAACAAACAGCTGATATACAGTGCTGGCATCCATGATGAGCAATTGTTACTCTTGCTGTTTAAATTTGAAGCAGGTGAGATCTAATTCTGCCTTCTTTGCCCTTTTTTTTTTTTTTTTTGGAAGGAAAAAGGCACGTGATCACTTCACAGTAAAAATGCATTAACACCACTGTGTCTTACGCTTCAGATTTGTCTGCTTCTCGTAGAACCAGCCTTCACTACGGCATTGAGAACCGCATTTTTTGTTATGATTATGGTCCCAAATGGAAGGATCAATATAACATTCCGTTGAACCAACAGATAATGCACTTCAGTTCACTGGATGGATGATATGACTGGCTCCATTTCTATTTTACATAACCCGAAAAAGAATATGTTTCTTTGATGCGTTCTCAATAGCCATTGCCTGTAAATTTATCTGCGATCTATAAATTGTATTTACAATGGAAAAGTGAAAAACTTGCATTAAACGATTGTTTTTTTATATCCTAAATCAACGGAAACAAACAGGCATAAAAGGCATAAAAGGCAAAATTCAGTTTTATCATGCCTTGTGAAAAGCTAGGATAGTGAGTGTATCATGAAACAATAGAAATGTATATAGTCTATGTAACCATGACATTAGACAACGGCGAGAATCGCTGAAACGTCCGAAAGTCCTCGTTACTTACCATAATATTTTTAGTCTATCATTGTATCCGCTATTAGAGATTCTTCTTTCCATGATTTTATGCTTGGAATCGATTATTATAATGAAGCATGCATTCTTTTTGAAAAGATAGAATGTGTATTCTACGTAAGGTTGCCAGAACAATGGCGAATATTTAACTGACAAATATTTAACTTTTCAGGCCGTACAAAAATCAGATGTGACTTCTCGTGACGTCGCCTCCTAGAAGAGGCAGTACTTCGGAGGAAGCTTGACAAGAAGGAATTCCGAAAAGATTCTTACCGAAGACCCGCTTCTGGACAAAAGGGGGGAATGCTTAACGGAGAATCGGGAATCTTGGCAGAGGAATGGCACTTTGACCTGGATACCCCGTACATTCCGGCTCTACAGCTTTCACATGCCATTATAAAACATGTTTGTCAATACTTACCCACTCAAGGCGACAAGCAGCGCGCTTGTTTGATACATCCCTTATGGTCACCAGCAGCAATTGACAGTTTATGGGAAGAACCTTTGCTCCATACTGCTGCTGCTTTTCAAGGCTTCTACAAAGTAGTCCACATCAAAAAGCACCTGGCTCTGCGAGTCCAGTCACTCAATATTATACATGACCCAAATAATAACGATACAAACACTATCAAGCGATCCAGTCAACCACACCATGCCTTGAGAGATTCGACTTTAGCTAAGCCAGCGGTCATAATGGCACTTCTTCGACTCTGCGAGAATATCAAGTCTCTTCAGATCTATGGTTGGCAAATTCAAGCTCAACATATCGAAAACCTTAGCCACATGCTTCCTAAGTTACAGCGTCTGACCATCATTGGCGATAATGAACGATTGATGGTGCTATCATCGCCTTTTCGGAACCTGCTGTCGCGACTTAATACTCTCAGACTTGATGGCGTGCGCAACATCAATGCAAGCTTTATTTCTTTGCTAGACCGGCGTTGTCAAAATTTGGAAAGTTTGCAACTTAGTGTTCAAGACATTGGACCCGACGGCTTCGAAACGTTGACATATGGAAAATTGCACTTACGCGATTTGGTTCTGACAGATTGCGTACCTTTGAAAGATTTTCATGTAGCTGAAATCGTGAGAGCATTTCCACACTTGCGAACCTTGATCTTGGATGGCGCCAGCAAACTTACCGGCGAGTCGCTGGCTCATATCTTTGAACGGTGTCACGAATTAGAGAAACTAGATATTAGAGTGGAACCTGATTACAACAAGCAAACTCAATCTCAAACAGCTAATCAGCATTTGAAACTTTACGGCAAGGCGGGGGATTTACGTCAACTGTCTCTGCGTGGCATATGTTTGGATGCTATTACAGTTCAGTCCAGTTTATGTGGACACCCTCAACTTCGTGAATTGAATCTGGAAGCATGTGATGTACTATGTGACGACGATTTTCGACTCATTTGCAAAAGCAGCCAATATCTCGAATCCATTAGATTGATAAATTGTTCCAACCTTACCGGCCGCGCTCTAGTATCTATAGCGCGAACCAACGATGCCAAACTAATTGATGTGTCTATGATCAGATGCGGACATATATCACCTCAACAACTAAAACAGTTTTGCCAAAGCGTGGCCGACCGGTCCTCTAAGAAGCTTATTGTGAGCCAGGGTAAAGGACTGGCGCATTCGGACTATGTGACTTATGCATCGATCGACCCTTTTACTCAAGAACCAGCCTACATATTTGATGGAGATGCCATGAATTTTCTAGCTCAAGCAGCAAACCCCAGCTATGATTCCTTAGACGATAGTGAACATCTGATATCTCAACGCACGTACACATTGGATCGAAAACAGGTGGCGTTGGTAGCTGAACTACTTGGAATTTCATCGCAACAGTTGCGTGGCGCGATATCAAAAGTTCTGGTACTGTATTATCACCGTTTTCAATCATAGATCTGGGACATATATTCATTTTGATGTATTTATATACAGAGCACCACCCCGGACAAGAAGGCTTTCAAGTTTGCAAACGACGCAGCGAATCCCTCGCCACAACATCCTGTTCAAGTGCCTTGTCCATCAACTTTCGCTACCTCAGAACGTGAATCTACTCCTGTAGCAAGCAGTGGTCGGATATCATTCAAAGCGAATGAATACCATGGTTTGGAGACCAATGAACCAGCTGCTTCGTCTATGGCCCATATGGATGATTGGAGCATCCCGCCAGAAAATCGAAAGCACTCACCGGGTAATCGCAAAATATCCATCAAACCAGCGGAGGCCTTTTCAGCATCCCTGGTCTCGCCTGCAGAGAAGTCTTGGAAAGAACCAGTACCGACGTCTACCCCACCCTTACCTCAATCACAACTGCCTGACTTTATCGAGCCTTCCAACGAGAAAAATGAGCAAAAGATTGTTTTTAAGTACCAACCTCTTAGAGATCAGAGCAAGCCTATGAGCAAGGAATCACCACCAACTGCAAGCCCATCACCACCACGAAAGGAAGACAAGCCCGCTACAAATGGAGGGTCTAATCCGCCTACAGATGTAATGCAGTTAGGTGGCTGGGGAGTTGCAAGTAGTCCGAATTGGGGCGATGGATCTTCTTTTGGTGAGACATCCAATGGATGGGATGCTACCGCTGTCGAGCGCATGAAGTGGCAACCTGCTCAGATCGTAAATGCACCCGTGGCCAAAGGTCCGAAGAAGAAAGGAACTCGCTTATTCTTACCGGCAAACGCCAGCAGCGAAGGATGGGGCGCACCTCCTACTCAATCAGTCGCTTGGGACGATAACCGAAGACAAGGATTTGCACATGACATTATCGAATCACAACACCAGACAGTATTTTGGAAATTAGAGAACGGAGTCTGGAAGAAACTCTCATCTGGGGAACAACAGCAAGCGAGAGAAGCGCAAGGATCTATTACGGCACAGCAGCGACCACGGATGTCAACCGCTGGCCTAGAATCTCCTAGTCTATCTGCACCACTAACACGCTATGTTCTTGGCAACTCGGCCAGCGTTGTGGAAAAAGTCCTACCTGCTGTTGACACGAAGCAAGAAGAGAAGGCAGCAAATGGATATCAGCTTAGTGATGATGACGATGATACAAATCTCAGTCATTCTGATGATGGCGTGACGATCAGGACCTCTTCGGATGACCCGTATGTTAAACCAAAAGATGAACCAACTTCAAGAACCCAGTATAAAAACATAATGGATGAAGACTTGCAAATGGATTTCTCCGAAACTATACTGGCAACGCAAAAGTCCTCTGGTGAATCTGATAGCCCTCCTAGTCACCCAGGGAATCCTCAATGGGTCAGCTTTGAAGATTGGCGAAAGGGCCACCTAGCCAGTTCCATTGACCACCCTGATATTACATCCCAAAGTCATATTACGGTGGATCAAGGCGGTTGGGATGAACATGCTCAACAAGTTCCAGAGGTCAATGCGAGCCAAAATTGGGATGCATTGTACGATGATAAACCACAGCCAGATGTCATACCACCCGTTGCAAGTTATAAGCTTGTTGACATCCTTGACAATTTCAATGAAACTATGTCTATGCAATCGGCGCATTCTAGAGAGACTTCAGAAACGAAGTGGGGAGGATATGATTCAAATGTCGCATTATATCAAGGTGTGAATGAAAATGATGCTCTTCCACAAGATTCGCCTGACAAACTTGAAGCTACCGTGGAATACATCAAGGCACAAGCTGAATCTCGACAGACCGCTCGCTACGATGTCATCCGACAAACAGAAACAGATCTGATTTCTAACACAGGCTCTTATGGTCACTACGAATCTGACGAGTCAAAGTACATTTCCAACACAAATTGGGAAGGCTTGGAATTCAACAGAAACGCCGACGATGACTGGGTGTCTTCATCAACGAGTGAAGCCGGTTACCCTGTATCTGGGCTCGGCATCTCCACTAAAGGCAGCCGACGTGGAAGAAGTAGACCAAGGTCATCTGTCAGACATCCTATGCGACGAGAACAAATGGCCGGGCAATGGGGATCATTCCCTATTGACAATGTAAGCCTTGACGATGTCACTGATGAACCACCTAGCGTTCAAAGTCTTATCAACGTCGACATGGATGAAACGTTTGAAAATGATCAAACCTTGGATCAAGAGCACAAACCAATGCCACATCTAACTTCGTCTTTCACGAACTCGGAGTCTCCAGAAACCGGCAATGCCTTTAACTTCAATGCTGATAGTACGTTCACGACAACAGACGTGGAACGAACAGACTCCGTGTGTTCGGATTTGAATGCGTACATAAACAAAGAAAATGAACACACACCGCTAGACGAATTTGCAACGACCTCCAACTTCGATATGACAACTTCGTCTGCTGCGGATGATTGGATCACCAATTCGACAAACGGACTTCCAAAGGAGAATAAAATTGCCACCAGCAGCGTCAACAACAGCAATCTTTTTGATGACTTGATGGATGAAGAGTCCAATGAATTGCCACAGAACATAACGACTTCAAGTGCTGATACCATCATTGCGACAGCCCCTCAAGAACGCCAGGAAGTGTCACCGCAAACCGTCTCACCAACGCAAAACTCCACTCATTCACCTCGTGTCAGTGGCAGCAAGAGCGTCGTGCTGTCTGTGCAAATTGAAACGGTTGATTCAGGCACCCAGCCACTCGTCATTACCGAGGTATGTAAATGACTATATTAATCTGCTACATTCCAATATATATATTCTAACAATCAATGCAGAGTGATGACCCTAAAGTGGTCATTCACGACTTCTGTGACAAGTGGGCTATGACTGAATACGAAGATAGGATCATGAACGTCACACTACCTCGGTACAAAGAGAAAATGGCAAAACGTGTGCTTGGGAGGATGTCGAAAGGTAGCAGCGGCACCTTGAAAAGTACGCCCTCAACTTCGACAACTGCTTCGGTGGAGAACGCCTTGTAGTTGCTGGATTGGAGTTGTCCGTAAAATTGGCTATCTTTACTGTGTACATTACATATTTTTTTTATTCATGTGCGCCACACTTTGTTAGTAGATTATGTCGGCATTCATGGTTTGACATTGGTTGTTCTTTGGTCTGTTTGCCTTTGGTTTTTTCTTCCTTTCCTTTCTTTCGTTTTTACGTGTACATTACAATATTTGTCTCTACTACTACGAAACCAACGTTTATGTTTTAAAGTGTAACATAAATTAAGTAGTTAAAGGATTCATTCATCCATCTCTCTCATACTGGCGTCTACAAGCTCATCGATCTCTCTTGCCAACGCTGTGATTTTGCTTCCATATGTCTTTCCTTGTATAGAATCTTTTTCCTTGATGACCTTTTGAATGTCCAAGATAGATACCAAACTGGGCAATGGCGATTCCTTGGGTGCCAAGAACAGCAACTTTGAAAGGGTGGAAACCAGACGGTACACTGTAATTACGATCTCCTGGTTACCAAACTGGCTTCGTACTCAGTATCTGTACCCGCAAACACTTACCAATTTCTCCTTCGGTTTCGTTTTCCAAAGCATTTGTCACAGCACTGATGATTTCGACTTCCCAATCCTCGTCATCTCTAGGTGGTTCGTTTGTACTCTCTCTCTCCATGCGATCTTTGGAAGTGACGCAGGAGAAATTAAATGCCAGTGAAGAAGCTGTTTGCCGTACGCTTGCATCACTAGAAAGTAAAGACTTGACAAGTAGCGATGTTGCAATAGTGCGGTGAGAATCTGGTAAAGCTGACGAAAAGTGTGTTCTAGCTAACACAGGGTGAGCAAAAGTGTTACAAATCTAGTATGACAAATTGTTGATCATATGTTAGTAAATAGCACCATACAGCAGTGAGGCCTTCAGTACTTACCAATCGCAAAGTCATCAATAACGTTGGTTTAGCCACATCTTGTGTAGCTGCAGTTTCAATCAACTTGGCAATCGTTGTGCCTGGTAACGAATGTCAGACCAAAATTTTTGGGATGCCTGATATGAAGATACTACTTACAATCGTGGGTATAGAAGTTTCCGATATCACGCGAAAGGATGAGAGATCGGAACAAATCAAGTAAAGGAAATTGCTTATCAGTGGGCAGCTTTGAGCATATCGAAGCTGTTGAAAACAAGATGAGAAACACCGCCAGAAATATACTGAGCTGAACCATAACGTTGTTACTCACCAACAAGCTCATCCCACTCTTTGGGCGTAAAGTGGCCGTCGTTCTCTTGAGGCTTTTCGATGAAGGCCTTTGCTTTTTGAAGTGTTGTTTGCTCGGTGGGGTTTAAGGTGATATTTGCCTCGTCTAGTAAACTTTGAAGTTTCTTGATGATGTTCTCCAAATTGCCACTGTTTTTGAATAGAATTGGATCGGTTGAAATATCGAAAATGGCGCGCAAATTGATCTTGCGGTGGCAATGAGCTAGAGAACCCGTAATGAATCAGTACTGTGTGTCCCTTAATTTTCATGTAAAGCAATGAATACATACGTGGATACATGGTGAATATCATAAGATCGACGGTGCTGTTGAGCTCAGCGAAGTTGGCTCCAGAGAATTCAGCAAACTGAACAAAATACAATGTTAATTAGCGACAGTACCATTTGATATGCTCCATGCTCCTTATTCACCTTTTTCCCGTCCACAAAAGCCATAAACGTCGGTGTAGATCTGACTTGATACTTTTGAGCGGCATCAAATGCCACATGCGTGTCTATCTTGGCACCCACTACCTTGATTCGATCCTGGTTGACATCTTCGAGCTTGCGCATAAAATCCGGCTCAATCACTCTACAAGGTGGGCACGTGGAGGAGGTGAAGAAAGCAAGAACACCTCGCTGGGATTTGATAAGATTCTCTAGGGAAGAGAGGTTACCTATATTTTGAACAGGGTTGACGGAGGCAGGCGAGGCTGACAAGGCGGCTGATGAAACATTGTTTAATAGGGACATGGACGATGCAGACGGAACAGGTTGTTGCTGAATTGGCGCTGCTGTACCGTTCAGACTTGAAGGTCCAAACATGTTTTCGATCATAGGCCTCATTGATTGTCCGAATGGTCTAGGGAAGTGAATGTGTGTCAGACTACGTAATGGAATCACGTAGGCACTGAAGAATTTGGCTTACGTGTTCAAGAAATCAGCTGGAAGGTCGGTTATATGATCTGGTATATTCCTTCCTGTAAGAAATTGGCATACATCATTGGTGAACGTATTGCAGTTGAAGTCGAGAAGATGGTATTTTGCCGCCCTATATAAAGCCTCGTTTAGATACTAGAAGATAGATTATGCTCGAAATATTATGTTCCTCCAAACTTACGTAAAGGTGGAGCTGATACTATTCAAATACTCAATAAATATTTCCTCAGTAAGATATGTTTCGCCCATATCTACAACTTGCATTGGTTGACCATGATGAGTGGTACCTTCAACGAGTGGGAGGTGTTATAACGTCAGCAATCAACAGTAGCATGATCTTATCAATACTATTATATAATTTCTCGGGTACACTACCTGGTATCGCATTCATAATGCCCTGTCCGTAAAAATATTCTTGGCCGAAAACGACCACCGACGTGTGCCAGATACCGTCTATAAAGGGGCCTCAGTGTATCAGCCTCAAAGCAAATGAGCACAACCTACATCAACTTTGCACATACCTATCTGACGACCGGTTAGATTGAGAGACATTTGCTTTGCCATGCCCTGGCTTAAATCATAGACATAAAGTTTGACGGATGTCATTGAGGAAGCGAGGTAAAAGTGGAAGCGAGAATGCTGACGAGGCCTGGTGGAAGCTGATGATGTGGGGGAGCAGTCACAAGCACCGCGGTCGAAATGAAGAGTTGCACGCAAACTGTCTACCCGCAAAACTGAGGCATTTCCACCGTTCCTTCATTCCAACTGGTCTCCGGACATCATACCAATAATGCCTCTTACACGACCACCGCCACCACCTCCCAAACCTGTCTTTGACGAGTTTTCAACGCCTCCCGACTTTAATGACAATTTCAAGAAAAAGGAAACCACCAAGTATATGAATCCATGTCAAGTGGAAGAGAAACAAAGCATGAAATGTCTTGACAAAAATAACTACGACAAGTCAAAGTGTGAATACTTCTTCTTACAATACCGAGAATGCAAAAAGAAATGGGTAAGTCAAGCTGACTTGATATAAGATGAAACGAAGTTCACAACAGGAATAACGGCCATATACTGATGAGACATTCCCATGTATATTCTTCTCTATATCTACTGTTCGAATTGATTGAATGATGGGTTCATTAGCTCGCTGAGCGAAAGAAACTACGACAGCAAGGTCAACTGTAGAGATAGATTTTTGTTAGTATTTCAAACCCGATTGGTTGTATATACAGAAGTACTATAAAAAAATTTTTAAAATATTTTCGCTGGCTAGCCGACCATTGCTTCCTCCTTGACGCTTGTTCCACTTGTGGTTAAATCTTACTTGCGCCTAATGTCTGCCGAATTCGCGATTGTCTACGCTGCTCTCATCCTTCAGGATGATGGTATTGAGATCACTGTAAGTTATTGTGTGCATGCTCACAAACTATAACATCAACAACCCTGTTCAAAATCGAGATTTCTAATTCATCCTTTTCTTTACTTCTAGGCTGACAAGCTCTCTACTCTTGTCAAGGCTGCCGGTGTTGAAGTTGAGCCCGTCTGGTTCTCCCTTTACGCCAAGGCTCTCGCTGGTCAGGACCTCTCTGCTCTCCTCATGAACATTGGTTCCGCTGGTTCTGCTGCTCCTGCCGCTGCTGGTGGTGCTGCTGCCACTGGTGGTGCTGCTGAGGAAGCCGCTGCCGAAGAGAAGGAGGAAGAGAAGGAAGAGTCTGATGACGATATGGGCTTCGGTACGTAACCATTGACTTATAGACAACTCAAAATCATCAATCAAAATGTCCCTAATTTTTTGCCTTATTTACTTTTTCAATCTAGGTCTTTTCGACTAAAGTACTCGAACTTCCCTTCGATCTATACGCCATACAAGTGCGTAAATCATCGTGTCAAATCAACAGACATTGATTCAAATAAAATTAAAAAAGTTACCAATAAAACGTTTTGTTACATTGGTACTTCTTTTCTATTGTCCTTACGTTTTTACAGTGTTGTAACAAGAAAAAAAAAACTTCCATAGAAAATGGCGGTGGCTTGGACACCTGCTCAATGGTAAATTAAAACACCGCTCCCAGCAATCCCGCCGCGGTCGTTTCCCAGCAGTTTGTGGAGGACCCACTAGCTTCCTTTTTCTTCATTCCTCTTTCATTTGCTGTTGTAGCCAAAGTCGACTGTTGCAGAATGCCTGACGAAGATTCTGATTCCAAACCCTCGACAGATTTCCGTCCGCCAAAGCTCAATATCAACTGTGCTCCGAACTACAACTTCGGTGGAGACTCTCCGACCAGCGATATACTTCTCCACGCCGTAGCTCCCCGAGATATGGACCATCAACACTCAACAGTTGTACAAACTGATGATGGGACGTACATTTTGTGCGACTCACCGCAGCCTGAATACTCGCTAGCCGATAAAGCCAAGCATGATTCTTTCGCAAGCGATAGATCATCCGGTTCCAGCCATACTCTGAACGCAAGTGATAGAAGATCAAATGAAACCGGAGAGCTTCAACCTATGACAACAAACGAAAGCTCTTCTCCTCAAAGAGAATCAGCAGAAGCAACATCAACGTCTCCGAAGGGACCTAAAGGCGCACCACCGCCGTATGCCGATCAAGATCGTAAACGCAATTCTCACGATAGACAAGAAGAGACTCCGAGAGTAAAACCTCGGAAAGTCATTGGCAATTTTACCTTGACTAATACCCTTGGCGCTGGTAGCATGGGTAAAGTCAAGTTGGCTGTACATAACTTAACCAACGAGAAGGTAAGGTGCTCGTTCGCATTGATAACACAGCGATGACGTTTAATACCGACATGGTTGGCTTTTTTTTTTAGTGGGCTGTTAAAATCATTCCACGAGCCCAATATTCAATTCATAAAGGTCATATATCGAACAAAGATCGCAGCCGTGAGATACGAACCATTAGGGAAGCTAGCATAATGCTACTTTTGCATCATCCTTACATCGTCAGTCTAAAAGAGATGATCGTACTCAATCCATATTACTACATGTTTATGGAATATGTCAATGGCGGTCAATTATTGGATTATATAATATCGCATGGCAAGCTGAAGGAAAAGCAGGCGAGACGGTTTGCTAGGCAAATTCTCAGTGCTTTGGGTCAGTTTAAAGCGCATGATACCTCGTCGTAGCACATCTTTGTTTCTAACAATGTTTTACTTTTTTTGCACGCGATAGATTATTGTCATCGAAATTCCATTGTTCACAGAGGTAAGCATAGAGGTTACCATTTTTATTTTAAACCGATCATTCTGCTCATATCAATTCGTCATTACTTTTCTCTTTGCTTAGACTTGAAAATTGAAAATATCCTGATTTCGCAATCTGGACACATCAAAATTATCGATTTTGGACTCTCCAACCTGTTTTCACCACAATCTCATTTGTCTACTTTCTGTGGGTCTTTGTATTTTGCTGCCCCGGAGTTACTGAATGCTAAGGCTTACACCGGTCCCGAAGTTGATCTTTGGAGTTTTGGAATAGTTTTGTACGTTCTTGTTTGTGGAAGAGTTCCATTTGATGACCACAGTATGCCTGCACTGCATGCTAAAATCAAGCGTGGTCAAGTTGAATACCCAAATTATTTGTCCGGTGGTACGTTGATAATGAACAGCCTGCTCGATTTTATTGATTGCACATATCGCTAAATAACTATACAGACTGCAAGAATCTGCTCTCAAGACTGCTCGTGACTGATCCAGCTCGAAGAGCTACCATGTCCGAAGTTTTAATGCACCCTTGGACGAATAAAGGGCACGATTTGCCCGTTGATAACTATCTTCCTCATCGACCCCCCCTCACTTTGCCTGTGGACATGGAAGTGGTTCGAGGCATGACTGGATTTGAATTTGGAAGTGAACAAGATATCAAATCGCAGCTGGAGGAAGTCATCTACTCGCCTGACTATCAAAATGCCGCCAAGATCATATCGAAAAATTCAAGCGAACAAATCAATAGCGGCCTTCATAGCCGGAAACACCTGCAACATGGTTCAAAGCGACAATTTTATATGCCTAGCGATGACCCTCAGTCCATTCCCGCTGCCTATCACCCTCTAATTTCCATCTATTACCTTGTCAAAGAACGTATGGAACGTAATAGGTTGATGGAACAGCAAGATTCATTGGAAATGGTCATTAACAGTGGTGAAAAAGGCATACGAAGAGCGTCTCGCGATATTCTCACAGGAGTTACCATCCCAACCATTTCCAAGCCTGAGCGAGCTCATCCTGCCGATCAAACATATGAACAAAGCGTGCTCAATACTTACGAAGGGGATGGCTTGTCTGGAATAGCGTACGGCAGACGTGGACGAGCCAATATCCGTCTAGACCCAGATGGACATCTTGTAGAGGTAGATGGACACACGGTCGGTGACAAGATTGAAGAAGGATTTAGCAAGCTATTTTCCAGACGACACAACGGACACAAGGCAATTGCTGAGACTTCCGAAAACGAAAGCAGCAATACTGAAAATGAGCATCCTGGTGTATTCCGTCGCTTGAGTTTGGCGCTTGGTAAAGGTGGAGACTCATCTACAAGGAGACATGAACGACACCATAGTCTAAGCACTAGCAAGCGGCCGGTCGAACCGATCCCTATCCCTGGCACAGCGCCTGATACGACACCCCGTTTGCCATTTGCTCCAAGATCAATACCAGAAGAGTCATCTTCACGGAGGTCCATTGATCAATTTGGCCATCCGTTTGGTTCATTGCTGCATCGACCATATGCTGACAAAGATTCTGATCAAGCACAAGGACTTGTTGGTGGTAAAAAGTTGGCTTCAGGCAAAGTCCCGGCCCAAGAACTTCCCGCCGTAGATCCAAACGCCACCACCTTCGGGGAACCCATACCCAAAACATCCAGATCAACCCACGAGACCAGTTCTCATCGACAATCGTCCGAGCGCCGATCGTCTACCTATGCTTACGACGGACAAGATGTCTCTGAGAGTGGAACAGTGGACCAGACTATTCGGCCAGTATTCCTCAAAGGACTGTTCTCAGTCACTACCACTTCCACCAAGCATCCAAGCGTTATCCGAGCTGATCTCATCCATGTCTTGGAGAGAATTGGCGTAAAGTGGCGGGAAAGCAAAGGCAGATTTGAATGTGTCCATGTGCCTAGTATTGATCTTTACGGACAGCGTCAGCAGGTTTCACCGCCTGAAGCAGCCAAGGGAGAAAAAAGGCATACCCGAAAAGAGCCATCGTTTGATATTCCTGACCTTGTCGTTCGGTTTGAAATTTACATTGTCAAGGTACCGTGGCTCTTGGGCATGCATGGACTGCAGTTTCGAAGAGTCGGTGGCGACCCTTGGCAGTACAAAAACATGTGCTCCAAGATTTTGAACGAGCTCAAATTGTAGTAATATATTGTATAAAAAGAAGAGCATACCAGAACAGATAGCGAAATTAGCCCCTGTTTATGTGGTTTGTTTGTTTTGTTTCTCGTGTAATTTATGAAATACAGCAATGTCCATGTACATTCTATTTAACAACATTTCTTCTATCGACTTAGTTTCCTTCTTCTTGTCGTCGTTGCACCATGAACTGATCCACCAAATTGATGTACATTTCATTGTGAAGAGTTTTGACCTTGGCGTAGTGCTCATGCACACGAACCAATTCGGCCTGTAATTTGTTGATTTGCGTTCGTAACGAGGTGCTGGAGTCTTGAGTTTGAACCTGTTGGACAAACTCTTTTGCGTCGTGAACATTAAGTGTTTCTGGCGCAACATACTGTGTAGATCGACCATCCAGCTTTCCATCGAGCAGGAGCAAATCCTAAAAGGAAAAAAAAAAAAAGGAAAACGTTATAAAGTGTTCCAAAACTCAACCCTACGTTCCCAGTCGATAGGACTTGTTCGATGACCACCCAATAATATTCTCACTTACCCGCGATGTATCAGGAATGATCATGGATAGACCATGCTCTCGCTCTTCGTCCTCAGTTCGACGTGCACGTTTGAAAGGTGTGATGGGCATGACTGGTTCTGAAGATCGTTGTTGACCGATGAATGCACCAGTCAACTCCGGTGGTTTGATAAAGCAACTGACGGATGTCACTGGGCCCTTGTGCTGTGTGAATTTACGGAGTGACTGTCGGCTAGACACATCCCAAACGATACATTCACCGTCTTGTGAACCGGAAACAAGTAGTGAGCCATCAAACGATAGGCTTAGCGAATTGATTGTGTCACTGGAGTAAAGAGACCAAAATGAGAAATGAGAGAAGAAAATGTAACGGTCATGTCCAATGTTCAACTTACGTATGGCCTCTGAAAACCTTGGCGCTGGCAGAAGATTCCAAGCCGACGCTTTCAACCTTTCCCATACCACCCATGCTCTCTATGCTGGTAGCTGCGTATGATCGTTCCTCCACCCGTTTGTAAAGATTTACTTGGTAGATGTCATGGCGGCCAGCAGCCAGCAAGATGGTTTCTGATACATCCACGGCGAGGGTATCGACAGGGTGAGGGAACAAGAAAGTGGTTAAAAGAGATCCAGTTGCCAAATCCCAAAGCTGTTACAATAAATACAATCCGCTTAGAACAAATTGTTTTCGAAAATGTACAATGGTGGCTGTAATAATATGGTACCAACCTTGACAGTGTGATCTAAACTGGAAGTCCATATCCGTGCACTTCCAAAAGTACCGGTGCCGCACACTATATCTGTAACAGGCAGAGAGTGATCTGACCAGGAATAATACGGTGATGGGGCGATGGTGATGTCTTCTTGTTCGTCCAACAGCTTCGTCAGTAGCCACACATTGACACTAGCATCGTCGCTGGCTGAAACCAATGCAGTATCGTCGTCTGTGAATCGAAGCGCAGAGATTCGTTTATAATGAGCATCGAACGATCTGTAAAGAACACCGGTGGCAATCTTATTGAAGTTGTTGATTAATATCACTGGAGATTTTACTATGCTGTAAGTATCAAAAAGGAGCAACATACCTCCCACAGATAAATTTTGCCAGACTGTGTACCGCCAGCACAATAGACGCCTTGGTGCGAAACAGCAACTGTGATAATTTTTTCGGGACAAAGAGATTTTGCGTGAACTTGATCCTTTTGCCAGCAATATGAGTTGATTACAGCTTTGTCGGTTTGCGCACTTAAAACAAGACCGGTGCGTGAAGGAGCCCAAGGCAATGGGGCTCTAGCAACACCATTCTTGGGAACCATGTTTTGCTTGAGCGAAAAAACTACGGTTCCTGATCGAATGTCCCATACATAAGATGTCGAATCGGTGTTGGAACAGGATAATACAACCTCGGAAAACATGATTCACGCTGAAGAGTTGGATCAATCGGTACACCGTTTGAAAAAAAAATTGGGAGAGCCTCAAATTGTAAGGATAGAGCAGTCACAATCCCATTTGCCATGGATGGAATTTGGGCATCAAAGCAAGGTCAAATGGATCAAACTCCTGGCTTCTTTGATTTACCGAAAAGTCACATTTACCATACATTCTAAAGGAAACAAATTCAGCGCGAAGAAAATTACTGTTCCCATGACATCTTCGCCCAGCTGGTTGGCGGCTAGTACTGATAGTCATGGGGGTAAAACGAGGTAGCGAATTAAGTGAGCGTCATATTACTTTTATTTGGACGAAAAAGGTATTGAACACAACGGGGTAGACGCCAGTATAGCAATATCTGATAACATCTGCTGCGTTTCTACGACACTACAACCGGAAGGGTAAGGGCGTGTGACTCCTACAAATCTGACAGGATGACCAAAGGCTAAAATCGTATGGCGCCATCAAAGCTTCGTGAACAGAGCCTGACCTCTGCTTGACTAACAAAAAATATTATCTGCATTGTAAATTAGGATTAATACGGCATCTGACTCTCGATGCCATCCGTTTCGCGCTCGTTTCGGTCACCGTCCTCAGTATTTGCATTATTGTTTGTTAAAGGGGAGAAGAGTATGATTTGCAGTTCTGTATCAAAGGGCCATGCCAATCAAAAGCGAAATCTCTTCGATATCCTTTGTCGCTAAGTAGTGCGTGCATTTTTCGTTAGTCTGGAGTTTCCATAGGTGTATCTGTACCTAATCTACGAATTAACGAACGGCCATATGCGCTGTGTTTGCTCAAATCGCGTACGCCGCATTTTATAGACATCAAAATACTTGGCAAGGTTCTTCAAATTTCATAGATTGAAAATCCTTTTATGTGATATTATACAATCATTAAACTACCAGCTTTCAATCAAACAATATCGTGTTCGGCTTCAGTAGCAACAGTGATAGTATCGTACGTGTATCATTCACATGCCTTTCTTTTAATTGCAACATGTATTCGCAATGATTTTAAAGTCCGCTATGAAAGCAATTGCATGGTAAAAAATTTCAGAAGTACAGAAGTTCCTGTCAGGCTTTCGAAAGAAGAAAGTTCCCGCAATTCATTGTAAAACAAAGAATTTGGGCTGAGATTGCTGACCGAAGCCACAATTGAAACGCAACCCCGGATCGTGGGATTGTCATCATTTATTTCCAGCAACAATACCCATGTTGCTTGAGAGATGATAGTTATGGCAAGAAATGTTCAAAAGTGCGCTTGCGATAACTACAAAAATGAACATACAGTGGCAAGAGGCACATCAAATTGTACATTTAATGCTCTACCCCATAAAATCAAAGAAAGTCTAATTAATGTGGGGAACAGTATTTTTGCCAAGTATTGCGAAGATCGGCCAATAGTGCGAAATCGCAGACTACCCTATTAACCACATTCAAGAAGTGCGAGAATCGGCCAACACTGCGTATCTCCTTCAGTTAAATAGAGACCCGATAACACGAAAATCCATTCATCAAAATGGATCAAACCGAAACACCTGAAAAGATTGATATCTCGGAACTTAGTCAAGTCGACACTAAGGACTCTGAAGCAGCCAGAGAAGACGACAAAATCATCGCAAGACGACTTTTGTGGAAAATAGATTTGAGAATATTACCAATTCTTACATTGCTCTACATTTTTGCTGCCATGGATCGTTCTGATCTAGGAAACGCTCAAGTTGCAGGCATGCAAAAGGACCTCGGTGCCACATCAAAAGAATGGACCCTTGTAGCTTCTCTATTTTACGTTGGATACATTGTTGCGCAGCCCATCGGTACTCTGTATTTACGACGAATCAACCCGCCTGTCATTTTCTCGTTCGCCTGTTGCCTTTGGGGTGTAAGTGTTCGCCGTCCTTCATTATTATTATTTTTCTTTTTTATGATGCATGCACTCTCAATAATGAATGTTGCATATTTTTACCTTCTTCATGTACACTCTATGTTGGATACGCGTTGTCTAACAAAACATACCGTCTTAGGTTCTTACAATACTTATGCTTACAACCAAAAACTACGGGCAAGCCACAGCGATTAGAGTGCTTATAGGCCTGTCTGAAGGTCTCTTGCAGGCTGCCCCTCTATATTTATCTCTCTGGTACAAAGGATCAGAACTTGGAACCCGTGGAGCTATCTTCTTCTCTGTTTCATCATTGGCTGGCGCTTGCAATGGACTGATAGCTTACGGTCTTGAGAGCAACTTCTCCAACAAACCACCATTCGCACCATGGCAGTGGTTGTTTCTCATCGAAGGAATCATGTCTACTGGTTTTGCCTTTATTGTACTACTGTTGCTGCCACCTGTCCCTGAGAATGTACGCTTTGGTTTCACCGCTGACGAGAAGCGACTTGCCATCGCTCGCTCAGTAGAAGCATACAATACCGTGGACGCTAAAATCGACAAAGGTCAAATAATCGCCATCTTCAAGCAACCTTTGATCTACATTTTCATGGCTGCATATAGTGGTACCATTGTATCCTTAGGCTCCATGAGCAACTTTATGCCATCGATTGTACAAGGAATGGGTTACTCCAGTGTAAACGCCCAGCTCATGACAGGTTCGAAGAGTTTATTGAGATGAAATTACGCGTATGAAGCTTATAACTAACTTGAATAATACAGTACCTGTCTATGCTGTTGCTTTTGTTTCCACAATATTTTTCGGGCACTTATCGGATCGACTACAAATTCGTGGCCCCCTTGTGGTCTGCCTGACTGCCTTTGCCGTGGTGGGATATCTCATTGTCCTCATCGTTCGTACATCGGATATAACCCGGTACATTGGCCTTTGCTTAATTGCTCTTGGCATATATCCATGCGTTCCAATCATCCTCACTTGGTCCAACGTCAATATCATTGGTTTCACTCGACGTGCGACAGCCATTTCAACAATCAATATGGTTGCACAAGTTTTCGCCATAGTTGCAAATCTTCTGTTTACTGAACCGCCGTACTATGTCAACGGCATAGCCTTCGTGCTCGCTTTTATGTTCTTGTCCATGTCGTCATCCTTGATAGGTATATTCTATTTGCGTTCTCAAAATAAGAAAAAGAGAGCAGCTCAGAATACTCCTGAAGCAAGCGTGAACAGAGACAAAAGCTTTGAGGAAATCGGTAATGCTCATCCCGACTTCTTTTTCACACTATGATCCATATGTTTCTTGCACTGTAAACCATCTCCAGTAAAAATCTTATTCCTGTTAAAATTCAATATCTTGTGGGATTAAAATTATCAAGTGAATGTGTTTCCAAAGTAGTGAGTGATGGGTCGCTTGAGTTCACAATGTTGTCTAGAACTTCTTCATAATATTCCTTGGATACTCGAATGGCGTCATACACCAGCGACGCCGTCAGTCGGCATTGCACCGGTGGCCATTTCTTCTTGTCTTCCAGCACAGAGAATAGTAGTAGCAATCGATCTGATCTTTGACTGCCGTCGTCCTCATCTTTGGTGATCAAGGTAAATATCTGATGTGCCAAGGTGACTTGATTGTTGATCAGATGGCTATCGCCGACGTGTGGCGATTTCAAAATCTTGAGCAGCATGACGGCAGCAAGGATGACTGAGCGAGACCACTGGACCGGGACGAACTGTAACTCGGATTGGGATACCAACTGAATGAGCCTACACGCCACTGTTTCTGCTTTGTGCACAATTTCGATCAAATCCAACGAATCAGGCATATCGTCATGCAGTGCAAAGCTAAAGAGCTGTAACTGAGAGCCCAGAAAGATGACTTCCATACTCTGATCCATCTCTCGAAGCTTGTTAGATTTTAAATAGGAGAATTCTCGATCGTACAGCTTGATCATATTCATTCGCTCGGATGGATCGATCAAGCCATGCAGATTATGGGCATTAAACCCAATTGTCGCACTGAAGGTAGCGGTGAGCCTAGATATTTGGCCCAATTGAGCGAGGTAAACTGGTGTGTCGGCGTGGTCCAGTGATACCAGTAGACTATAATCTAATGGGATAGTGGTAGGAACGCCGCGTGCTGAAGCTTGTATTTGACTGACGATAAAGCAAGCTATCCAAGTTGTTCGTCGTACCTGGCTACTGGAGCGAAGCACATCTCGCTTCGAGCTGAATTCGAACGCATATTCGGGTCGATGCAAGCCGGTTTGAAGGCCGATGTGGGTAGCTATGCCGCTGTAGATGAAAGATGGATCTTCCAATTGTGTATAATACGGAAATGGCCACATACAAAGAACGAGCAGTGCTTGCACAATCTCGACGCTGCGAGCAGCCTTGAGCGTAATTTCCGACACCAATTGCTTGACTAGAGGAATAAGGTCCTTCAAAATGACCTGATCACGACTGGTCACCGCTATGATGGCCCAGAACAACAGCGGACACTCTTCATGAATAGTTTCGATGGATCGATTCATGCGGAAAGGCAGGTATACATGTAGCTTTTCAAAAAACAACCTGAAAACATCGGTCACTTGATTCGCTGCCATATGAACATTGCCTATTTGCTTGTTGCTTTGACAAGGCTCAAACAGGTCGTCGCTCTCATGGCTGAAAGTTGCGTTTAGAATATTGGTTGCAATTGTGCGCTTGGTTTCGGACCCATGTGCTTGTCGAATACTACGCAATTCTTGTTCGACCTGATGTAGCCGATGCTGCCTGGAGACTCGTTTGAAGTTTGCATCGAATACGCAGGCTGTCTTCAACTTGTTGCATCTTGAGCAGCTTTCAGGAAATTTTTGAGGAGCATCACATTTCAGTTTTCGCTGACGACAGGTTGTGCATGCCTTTGCTTTCATGGCATCTGAGATACAGTAGAAGGGAGGAAGAACGTCGAGATTCCGAGGTGAAAGTAAAGCACGACAATTGTCTCTGAGACTGGTAGTCACAAAACTGTAGCATGAGCCACACAAGCCAGCCGTCAGAGAGAATAACTGAGCTCTAGACGTCGGAAAGTATTCGTCGTCCGCTTCATGAATACCTTGGCGCATGCGTTGATTTGTCCTGATGTGCTGTCCCTCGCATACAACCAATGCTTGGCATGCCAGAATTCGATCCCAAAATAACTTCTTTTTGCATGAAAGTCTCTCCTTCCAACTATCGTTCATCCACATTGACTGAAGCACTCAAGATCCATTGCGTATATCTTAAGCCTCTCCATTATTGAGCTGCAACAAGTGTAATATATCACATTTTTTATTATGTTATAAATATCCAAAAAAAAAAAAAAAAAAGCTAATAAGGAGGATACTGTTGCTGCTGTTGCTGCTGCTGGGTGCGTCGACCGCCTTGGGGAGGAGCAGGGGAGCCATAGCCATCCTGATTATAATAACCACCTTGCGGCTGTGAATAACTATCATAGGTACTTTGTCTATAGTAATTCGGCTGTTGCTGAGGAGGGTAACCTTGGTTCATAGGCGGATAAGGTGCAGGCTGTTGCTGCGGAGTAGCATACACATCCTGCTGCTGAGAACCGTACACATCCTGTTGTGGGGCACCACCATAGCCTTGTTGTGGAAGATTAGATGATGGAAGCATAGGTGCTCCAGGAGAAGGATATGCTGGATAAGCTGAGCTTGTTTGTGGAGTGCCAAGGGGAAGATGAGTGCTGGAAGGAGAGGGCACAAATGCTTGAGTGTGTCTTAATGGGCTGTTTTGAATCGAAGGTGTACCGACTTGAGCGTTGGCAAATGAATCAGTTGCATCAAATGAGGATGTAAACACGAAGATCTTGTCTCGAATAACACATTCAATTTTGATCTCGGTTAAACCAAAGAACATGCGAATGGTCATATTGACCTTATCGCCAGGTTTGACCCCATCCAAGTTAGGCATTCGAATAGGGAACTGGGATACCTTCTTGACCAGGTGGTGAGTGGTTAAACGAGGTGCTGGGCCATCTCCATCAAAGGCATAAAGATCTGTGAGGGAAATTGATCATGTAAGGGAAAGCGAATCATATTATATCGAACATTTAGAGTGATCTGCTTACCTGAGTCAGTATCGTTGGGATAGCTAATGACAAAGTTCTTGGATATACACTCATCAACTTTCACGCTCTGGCCTTTATGGACATAGACACTGAAGCGTTGTCGACAGAATAACCTGTTGTCGGCTCCAACGACGGAATATTCTATTGGGTCCAAACCGGGTTGGTAGAGCATACGAGTTTCAACACCATAGGTACGTCTTGATACACGTTCGGTGACAATTTGTGGATTCAATCCGAAATAAACTGCACCACGAACAACAGCAAGTTCTCCACGGGGCGGAACACCAATCATGCCGACCCGATTTGCGAACACCTCTTCGACACGACGGAAGAGATAGTTAGATTGACCGAAACCACCCACCAAGAAGATGGCTTCCAAGTTGGGAGATTGGTTCAATTGACCATCGATAAGGGCTAAAACTTGGGACACAACTGGCTCAAACACATAGTCTCTAAGCTCTTCCGCCGGCAGATGCAGTGACCCATTCTCCAAACCGATTTCCTCATCCGTCAAATCACCTAGGCCCATAGAGGCTGGTAATTGCAGGAAGTGGTCTTCATATCCATCGAATTCAGGCTGTGGCAAATAGCATGCACATGTTAGATACAGTTGGCTAAACAATAACAACCTCGTGACCTGTCTTTGCCTCCTTTCTTTCCCTAGTAGCTTACCTTGATCAAATTTACAAAACTATCCATGACATTTTCCAAAGCTGACTCGTTAATGCTTCCATGATGCGAGAACTTGTTTTTAATATATTCACGCATGCGCATGTCCAAAAATCCGGAGCCGCATGAGCCACCATGACCTTTGGTGACTTCTTTCAGTGTGCGCCTGAAGTAATAAAAAAGACGTCAAACCCAATATTATGTCTGACATTCCCATAACCCTTGAACTTACTTTCCGCCTTCTGGTTGATCAATTTCAAACACAATCAGATCAACAGTACCACCACCAGCATCGCAAATCATAAAGCGTTGACCATGTGCGAGATTGAACTGTTCTGACTTCTTTTCACAATACAAGGCAGCGGCTTCGGGTTCTGAGATAAGCATCAACCTATCTGGGTGATCGCTGCGTGAAACTAGACCGGCACGAATGGCAGCTTCGCGCATGGTGGATTTAGCCCGGTCACTCCACATGGCTGGAACGGTCAAACAGTATCGGTAATGGTCCTGAGTATAATTGCTGGCGAAGGTCTTTTGCAGTTCCCCGCATACGTGTTGGTGAAACACACGGAGATAATCTGCAATGACATCAAGCACGGAGAGTCCGTTGGGCAATGATTCCTGATGCAGATTTTCGTCGAGATAGAGTTTGAACTTGGACAGAAGTAAAAGGTCTGTACTGTTGGGTTTCATAGCAGTACGTCGAGCGCCATGACCCCAATCTAATAACTCCGGGGAACCTCGTCGATATAACGATAGCGTGGGTGTTTTCGGATAAACTTGATTATGTTGACGAGGCCTATATAAGGCGTTAGTATAGATCGACGCAAAGTTCAAAAGAGACTGGAAGCAAGGCATTACCATTTGACAATATCAATGACTTCTTCGTTCTGCGCAAATGCGTAGCAACATCCCGAGAAAGTAGTACCTAAATTAGCGGGGCGCAGAAAATGGAACATAAATAACCATGTAATTGTTGAATACCGAGTATAGAAACGGTTGCGTGCACATACCAAAGTCAATACCAATGATGACAGGGTAGTCTGCGAAACTGAAGGGTTTTGCAGACATTTATGACAGACAAATGGTAGATTGCAAAGGAAAAGAGCCTAGGAAGGAAAGAAAAAAAATAACGTGTAAAATTGGATGCTCAGCACCCAAATTTGCACGGTTAGTGCTACGATGCGCTCTGCTTGTTTTTGCCAAGATGGAAAATTCAAGTCTATGATCTCATCAGCTTAAGCTTTGAGACCGCTAAAAATAAACCTAGGGCCAAGAGATTGAACGGATGGCAAACTAATAAAGGACATGATTCTATTTTTTCCACTTGAAAGGATGGAAATTGACCAGTGGTTTACGGTTGGTTATACGCGGCAGTGAAGAAAATAACTGTTTACGTGGTTACCATCTTTCCATTCGTTCCGGTTTGAAATCCCGCCTCCAACTTGCGAATCTCCACGCAAGCCAAAAGCTTCGTGACTAGATTTTTGACCAGCTTTCATCGCTCTCCTGTGTTGGATCATGTAAGCTCATCAACCCTCTCGCCTTGGACATAAAAACCAAGCAATAGTAATGTTTTATATTTATCCAGGCCGCAAACGCTGATTCAGTCAAAGTCGATCACATCGGCTTCGTTTCACAATCCACTGCCTTTGCAGTGGCATGCTTACATCTGGCCTTTTGCCTTAGTGTATCCGATCTGGCTCTACATTTATCTCTTCCGTTTTGATGAGTACCTTGGTTCAGAGGAATGGACATTTGTCAGTGTTGGCAGCATAGTTGTTGTCCAGGCCCTCGTCTTCCTCACTGGCCAATGGAGTGTCTCTATCAAGGCCAACTTTACCTGTACCAAGGTTAGTGATCATCCCCCTGATTGGGAAAACTTGCCGCAATGAATCCCAGCAATGACACATCTGATCATCTAGGAATCTGACATCCACCGCGCATCTCTTATCAAAATTATTCCTCCCAGAAGCAAGGGAGCTGGCAACTTATGTAAAATTCACCACGGAAAAGTAGGTTTCCTCGGTTCGGGCAATGTACCACCAAATCTGATCCGAACACCCGTACTAACTGACTCGTCTCAAAAAGCCTACTGTCATGAACAAGGGAGAGATTTCCTTTTACTTTCAGCAGAAAAAGTACATTTGGGATGCCGATAAGAAGCAATTTGTTAAATTGCGTTATCCATCGGACTCTCACCCTCCTATGAAGACTTTCCAAAACTACAATGGTTTGACCACCGAAAAGGACATCGTTGCTGTGACAGAGAAATATGATTTGAATCGGTTAGTTTTTTGTTTTTTTTTTCACCTATCCATCTGAACCTTTTTTTAGAATGAATGCTAACTTGCCTTCACTAGCTTTGATATCCCTATCCCAACTTTTGTTGAACTTTTCAAGGAACACGCCGTAGCACCGTTCTTCGTGTTTCAAATTTTCTGCGTTGGTTTGTGGTGTTTGGACGAGCACTGGTACTACTCTCTGTTTACTCTTTTCATGTTGGTTATCTTTGAATGCACTGTCGTATTCCAGCGTATCAAGACAATTGGTGAATTCCGAGGTATGGGTCAGAAGCCCTACACCGTGTATGTCAAGCGTCAAAAGAAATGGATCCAAGTTCAAAGTGATGAACTTCTTCCAGGTGATCTTGTCTCTATTGGTAAGTTGTGTGGTTATCGGTTGGTGAAAGGGAATATGACTGTTTAACATGATTTTCACCGTGTTACAGTCCGCTCTAAGGAAGACCAAGGTGTTCCCTGCGATTTGGTTATTGCTGAGGGTTCCTGCATTGTCAACGAGGCCATGTTGTCTGGTGAATCTACTCCTCTTTTGAAAGAATCGGTTGCTCTCCGTGATCCCAATGATGAATTGGATCTTACTGGTGTTGATAAGCTGAACGTCCTGTATGGTGGAACCAAGATTTTGCAGGTCACCCCACCTGCCAATGGCAGTGCTCCTGATGGTGGCTGCCTGGGTGTTGTCGTCCGTACTGGATTCGGTACCTCTCAAGGAAAGCTCGTTCGTACTATGATCTACTCCACTGAGAGAGTGACTGCCAACAACGTTGAAGCTTTGCTCTTCATTCTTTTCCTATTGATCTTCGCCATTGCCGCTTCTTGGTATGTCTGGAACAAAGGTGTCGAGAATGACAGAAACAGATACAAGCTTCTTCTGGATTGTATTCTCATTATTACCTCTGTTGTCCCTCCTGAACTTCCCATGGAGTTGAGTTTGGCTGTGAACACCTCTCTTGTTGCCCTCTCTAAGTTCGGTGAGTACTTGTCAACGACGCTATAGCCTTGTTTTTGCTGCATATCAACTTATTCTTTCCCACATAGCTATCTTTTGCACTGAGCCTTTCAGAATCCCCTTTGCCGGAAGAGTCGATGTGTGCTGTTTCGACAAGACTGGTACTTTGACTGGTGAAGATTTGGTATTGGAAGGTGTCTCTGTTGCTGATGCCAATGGTGCCAACACCACCTTGATCCCGGCCACTGAAGTGCCCAAGGAAACTTCGTGGGTTCTTGCTTCTGCACATGCTCTTGTTCAATTGGAAGATGGTATTGTGGGTGATCCTATGGAAAAGGAAACTTTGAAGGCTCTTCAATGGCAATTGGGTCCTCACGATACCGTATTTCCCAATGTCAACGAGAAGGGACGTCGTCAAAATCTTCAAATTCGTCGCCGCTTCCAATTCTCATCTGCTCTGAAGCGTCAATCGTCCGTCTCTAACCTTGTCCATCCCGATTTTGCTCACCACAAGGGCTTTGTTGGTGTTAAGGGTGCTCCCGAAACTCTGAAAACTATGTTTACAACTGTGCCTAACGACTATGAAGAATCCTACAAGTATTTCACTCGCCGTGGTAGCCGTGTCATTGCTCTGGGTTACAAATTTATTGAAGAACATCTCACTACTGATCAGGTACGACGCATTGATAGTGCAATTACAATGGTTTCTTTTATCATTGTTGTTGTCAAAGCATTTCAGAATAACCGAGTTTCGTTTTCCTTGACAGATCAACAACCTCACTCGTGAAGGCATTGAAAGTGGTTTGACTTTTGCTGGTTTCCTCGTTTTCACTTGTCCTCTCAAGGAAGATTCCCGCGAAGCTTTGAAGGAATTGAATGAATCATCCCATCGCTGCATTATGATTACTGGTGACAATCCATTGACGGCATGCCATGTTGCCCGTGAGGTATACATTGTCGAACGAGAGGTTTTGATTTTGGATGTAAAGGAAGGCGGACGCGGTGATACCGATCTTCACTTCCATAGCATTGACGACAAAATCACCATTGACGTTGACTCCTCTGCTGCTTTCGATCAATCGGTTCTGGACAAATACGATATCTGCTTAACTGGACCTGCTATGTCTCAATTCATGGGCAAGCCTAGTATGACCCAACTCTTGGAGCATACGTGGGTATATGCCCGTGTCTCTCCTTCCCAAAAGGTATGTCAGCTGCTTTCTTCCTCCCGATGATGGAGTCGATTTGTACTAACAGATGTATAAAAAAAAAAAAATTCTCTAGGAATATTTGCTGACTGGATTGAAAGACCTTGGATATACTACTTTGATGGCAGGTGATGGTACCAATGACGTGGGTGCACTGAAGCAAGCACATGTTGGTGTGGCATTGTTGGACGGCACACCTGAAGATCTCAAGAAGATTGCTGAACGCCAAAGAATTGACCGTATGAAGGATATGTATGAACAACAGAAGAAAATAGCTGCTCGCTTCAATACGCCTGTACCACCCCCTCCTCCCGCCATCGCCCATTTATATCCTGACTTTGCCCAGCAAAATCAGCAGCAAGTCGCGCAAATGACTCCCGCCCAGAAGAAAGCAATGGAACAAAAGAAACAGGTAAGTGAAATGATGCCGTATGGGTGTTTTTTTTTTTTCTTTTTTGGTTCTATAATCCGGGGACAAGAGATTCTAATATGCTTACCGCCTTCCTTTGGGTGACCCTAGATCGAAAGCATGACTAGCAAGCTCATGGAAGACATGGATATGGAAGAGCCCCCAAGCATCAAATTCGGTGACGCTTCAGTTGCAGCTCCCTTCACTTCCAAGCTCAGTAATGTGGTTGCCAGTAAGTTTTCTTTTTCTGATGGTGGTGGAGTCCATGTGGTGATAGTACTAATGTGGCCCTTTATTCTCGCTCCTCCTTTAGTCAATAACATCATTCGTCAAGGTCGCTGTACTTTGGTAGCCACCATCCAAATGTACAAGATTCTTGCCTTGAATTGTTTGATTTCTGCTTACAGTTTGTCAGTTTTGTACCTGGATGGCATCAAATTCGGAGATTTACAAATGACTATTTCCGGTATGCTGATGGCTGTTTGTTTCCTTTGTATCTCGCGTGCCAAGGTAAGCAAGAAAAAGAATTCGTTTTTTTAGCAGAATGCCTGTCGTGTTCCTCTGAACAGACACGTAGCCAGCCTCAAATTGGATTTGCCAATGTGACATTCATACATATTCTAATTCCACCTTTTTTTTTTTTGGAATGCCATAGCCTCTTCAGCGCTTGTCCAAGGAACGTCCTCAACCCAATATTTTCAATGGCTACATCATCTTGTCTGTACTGGGACAGTTTGCCGTCCATATTGCTGCTTTGATTTATATTAATGACTTGGCAAAGTTATACGAACCGTAAGTATTTAAGGTTTTTTGTTTTTTACATAATCTTTTTTGGTGCTATACCCAGCACGTTCTTCCAGAACCTGAAAGGAAACTATGGAAAGCATGAGCTCATGACCTTAATTTTAATTGGAAAATTTTTCATTTTCTTCCGTCATGCAATAGCCCGAAGGATGTCGATTTGGAAGGAGAGTTCGAACCTAGTCTGTTGAACAGTGGTGTTTACTTGATTCAACTGTCCATGCAAGTCTCAACCTTTGCTATCAATTATCAGGTCAGTTCGTTACACCTTTTCCTTGTCCGACCGCATAATTGGCATATCATTTAACTGATTCGTCTCACCATTTTTCATGTTCCCCGGTGTCGATTTCCTTGTTTGTACAGGGTTACCCTTTTAGAGAACGTATTCAGGATAACAAGACCTTGTATTATGGACTGTTGTCGGTGGGCGGCATCGCCTTAGCTGGTGCCACTGAGTTTTTCCCCGAAGTAAATGAACAGCTGAAACTTGTCAAGTTTCCCAGCGCAGTGAGTACATGGCTTCTATCGATTAATGGGGGAATTAAAAAAAAAAAAAAAATCTAACCCAGCCCTCGCTGTTACAGTTTAGAGATAAATTGACTATCTGTATGATCTTGGATTTCGGTCTATCATATCTGATCGAAATCGTTACCAAAGCGCTTTTCGCCGACAATCGTCCCAAAGCCATCGTCAAGCGTGGCCGACAAAACTAGATCCACCATGAGCCTTTCATATGTTTAATAGAAAAAGAAAAAATTTCCATTAGCAAGCCCTTTTTCGAGGTTTTTATGACTTAAAGCAGGTTGATTGCTGGGGAAGTGGGGCCCAATCCTAAACCTGATGACATCTGCGAGGAACTATGTCAACCGTGTGTGGAACGTAGAGTCATTCCTACACCATACCCGTGAACCGCCGCTTGATCACCGGGATACTGTCAGTGTGACGATCGCAAAAGACATTCCTGACCGCTTTTTCCTCTGTTTAGGTATTGTAGCACATAGCGCCTTGCACATTAATTTTTTTTTTTCCAGTCAGTCACTGTTACATTGCATTCGCTGTCACGGGACGGTTAGTCTCTTTGCCATGCACGGCCCTCGTCATTACTAGGCTGTTATATAACCATGTGTGTAATGAGAAGTGAAAGGAGATGACAGGGTTAGTGTGCTGAAGGAAATCTTACTCATAAACGCACGGCTGTCCTACGAATGAAGCCGTTTTGCTGCATAATGGTATGAACCGTTATCAGAGCAGATATCTGAGTAACAAGCAAGCCATCCCCCATGATCAGTAAGCTTCTTTCCACTTGATCTTTAAGCAAATGCCCTTCCCCACCCCCAACTTTTCCAACCTCTCCACTTACCCGTGCACTGTGCCTTTTACTCAGAAAACATATTAAAAGAGCCCGCCATGTCTCTCAATTTTTTTTATTTTCCCATTTCCACTTTTTGCCCTTTCTTCTTTTTCATCTCTCCATGGCTGGCAGCTCAAAAAAGTCTGTGCGCTCACTTTGTGCGAATGCCGTCCGGGCAAGAGGCAAAAGCTACTGTTTGGTTCATAGACGATACTTTGAAACCAGTTGGTGTCCTGATTGCAGCCGGGTTGGATGTAGGTTCTGAATGTCTGTACTATCCTGCATAACATCGCTTATTTATTTTTTGGGTTTAGGCCATTGATCCATGGCGCAAAACATTTAGAGATATCTATATTCCAAACTCTCGTCACATTTCCACTTGTCCTAGCAGGCATAGGATACACTCCCGTCAAGAAAGAAAGAAAAATCACCAAGAAAAAAAACCAAAAAAAAAAATCCATGAAAAAAACTCGCTCCACTTTTTTGTAAATACATTTCGGACCCTCTGGCCTTTTCAATGCAGCCTTGCAAAAAAGAAAGAAAAGGATAACATAAAAAAAATATTACCACAACAATCTGCCGCGAGCTCTTATCAAAACTTTTTATCGTTTTCTTTAGTCATTATCCGTAATCAGAAATCATACTCATAACACGTTCGCATGTGAATCGATTGAAAAAATTTTTATACAATAAATACCTATGTTTAAACCGCTTCTTGTTTGATCAAGAAATAATACTCATATGTTGCGTTCATGGGGACAGGTTTACCAAGGGATCGCCAATCACTAGGCGAGGGTATCACGAGTGAAAAAAAAAAAAGTTATACCCTATGCATGTGTATCTGCTTCGTCTAATCTACCCCCCATTATCTCCACTTTGTCTCCGGGGAAGAACGGTTCAGGATGTACGCTGGGCTTTGCTTGTTTTTTTTATTGTATTTTTTCTTCTCTGGGTGAAGCATATGACAAAACGCCAGCCAAAACATTATATGAGCGTTTGCACACGCAATGAGATTTTTCCATTCCGATATGTATCTAGCTTCGCTTGGGCTTGCTATCAAATCGAGCAGGCGTTTGGATACTTCCTAGCCAGGAAATGCCAATGACAACGATACCAATGAACATGGCGACGACGGCAATGGCCATGAATACACCAGTGTTGAACAGTTGATATTTTTGGAAGATAGGAGCGTTGACGTTGTTGGGTGCCCTCTTTTCAAAAGTGCTTCTCTTGGAATGCTAGTAACAGTAAGAAAAGTCACGCATATGGGAGATTGAGGATGATTGTTATTGTTATGCTCATTCAAATGACAGAAAGATTCTAGGCACTCACCAAAGGTGCTTTGGCAGCGCTGGAGGTAAGGATCACAGCATAGTCATCCCCAACGTTTTCCTCGATAGCCTTGATAAGATCATCAACCAAAGCATCTATCGACGACGTCAATGTTTAGTATCCCACAAAAAAAAAAGGGGGGGGGCAGTTCGCCGTATTTCAGCTGAGCGCTTATGCCTACCATTCTTGGCCAGTGACATTTCACTATGGGCACTAGGAAGCTCTAGCAGCGCAACAGTGTTACCGTTTCCATTATAGATCTCGTCTTTGCTGATACCTAAACATACAGAACGTGTTAGAGGTCTGAGTATCGAATCGAGGTGCGCTAGTCCAACCTACCCTGAGGATTTACGATAGCCAAAGTGCTACCACAAAGCTGAGCGATTCTTCCAACCAACTGATCTATATCAACATGTTTATCGATATATTGGTGTTGTATGCGTGTGGCTGCTTCGGAACTATGTTTCTGCAGTTTGGGGGTTATTTACGGATGAACGTACTACCAGAACGGACGGAACTGCCATGTATAGTTATATTGACATTACCTTTATCGATTCCAAAGCGTCTGAATATTGTGCAAAGTCGGAAGTATGGATCTATCGATAGCGTAAAAAAAAAAAAGAGGCGGATATCAACATTTCAAGTATAACGGCGTGGGCAAGCTTTTTGGTCGCATAAACAAACCTCTGGCTGATCCACAATAGCCACGACTTTAGTTTGGCAAAGTTCGCTTCCGAAAGGCGTAAGAATCGTGTCAATCGCGTCCTTTTGTAGGACGACGTATTGGTCATGCGATCCCTCCACAACAGATGTGAATCTGAGGCGAAAAAAGTTAGTGAGGAAACACCCTCATGTCGTGGTGTAAACGGCATTATTACCTCTTTGGGGACCATGCTAAGCAAGGCACGGTGTTTTCAAAAGCTGACACAGCAGAAACGAGAGCAATGGGTAGTAATGCAGTTAGCAATTTCATGATGCTTTTTCACTAACACACGCAGAACTCGGATTGAGGGTCGGTGGTTGATTACAGCCTTGAGTCAAGTCAAGTCAGCGTTTTGCACGGTCAATTTCAGACCAATTTCGCTGTCACTCACTTTTTGCATTGCATCGCCTGAACTTCGGTTCCTGCACCACCTAGTTTGATCCCCCATTCCGTTTCCTTGTTTGACAAAGGCACGCGCCTGGTCTAGACTATCAGCTCTTTTATTTAATTAACCGGTAGGTAGAACAGCGCTGCCTCCGTTGAAATGACAGCCAACACAGATGTACACCCTAAGCATATTCCATGTCCATATTGGGCTGTTTGGTCTTCATGAGCGCGAAATCTACAACATTCCAGTAACCAATCCAACCGTTATCCTAATGATTCCTTTGATTTTATCAACACCAGACATTTAGTATATTGACAACGACAGCCGCTTCACTTACGTTGCCTGCAATGTCTGAACGAGAATCAAGGTCCAAGCGACAACGAACGTCCGATGTAGATTACAGAGAAAAGAAGCGATCGAAAAGAGACGACCCCGTAAGTACAACCCACAAGCTATGTTGTGTCTGTCTTTATTCATTAATCGCTGGTCCATTACACGTAGGGCTCACCAGAGGATACTGGCCGTTCATCACAAAACTCAGTCCAGAAAGAGTGTCGAAGGCTGTATCAAGAGATTAGAGAGTTGGAGGACCCTGAAGAGTAAGTCTAATGGCCTCGTAACAATTGTATAATCAACGTCTCTAAGGCTACAACTGACATTATCTTACCTCATGGTAGTGGTCACCTTTTCTGCGATTTGTTTTTGCAACCTCCATCGCGTCGGCAATATCCTGATTATTACGAATTGATCAAAAATCCAATTGCTTTGAACAACATCAAGGTAATGAATGGAGTGTTTTTTTTTCGTTTAGTCGATAACGTGAGAAACAAGTTTATAATGACTATGGGTTTAGGCCAAGATTGATAAAATGCAATATACCTCCGTGGACGACTTCAAAGCCGATGTCGAACTGATGGTCTCCAACGCGAAAAAATACAATGTAAAGGAGTCGTATGCTTATCAGGATGCTATCAGGATTCAGGTGAGTACCTAAGTCAGCGGTAGGAATGCGTACTTGAGGACCATGGCTAATCAGTCGTCTGCTTGATACATAGAAATTCATCAAAGGAAAAGCACCAGCTGGCACAAAGGGTTCCAAAGGAGATGCAACCAGTGAACATGAATCTACATCTGCAGAGCCTGCTAATAAATCAGCTACTATCAAGCTTCCTGCTTTAGCATTCGGCAACAAACAGGCTACGCCAGCAACCGACTCAAGGATCAAATCCATCAAGCTTAAAACAAGTGTCAAGCAACCTCAATATAGTAAGTCCGCTTCTGAACAACCACCAGAAGACGATGTATATTAATGCCATTCGATCAGATATCAATAACCTGATGACCGCTATCTCGGAGAAAAACTCAAAGTTGGCGGTGGAGATCCTGGAATCGGATTCTCCTATCAACGTCAACGAACTGGTATCGGTCGACATGTTCAATGATACGTTTACTTGGAGCCCACTGCATGCTGCTGCTTACTATGGTGAAACCAAGGTGATCAAGGCGCTCATGGCAAAAAATGCCGATATTGAGATACATGATACCTGGTATGAAGGTACACCGCTAGCCTGGTCAGCCTTTGGAGGTAATGTAGATTTTCATATGCTATGCTGCATATCATGTACCGTCGCTTACTGTACGTTTTCCAGATCGGGACAAGGCAGCTAGATTAATGGTTGAGAGATACAACGCCAGCAAGAAGGCAAAGAATGTGCATGGACAAATTCCCCTTGACTTGGTGTCGGATCGCGATGACCCTCGCTGGGCTGGTGTCCTCACTTCCACGCCGTTGGTAAGTTACGCGCCACGATGTCTCAACGGAGATTACAACTGGACTTCCAATGCTTACGCCTTTTTTTGTATTGCACTCGTAGCCGCCAGCACGGCCAAGTCCTTCAGGTTCGGACTCTACCAAAGCTGAATCCCTTCCAGTTGTTCGAAGATCCTCCGAAGTCGTACCGATGCCACCAGCACCCATCATTAGACATGATGTACCTCCTACTCAACCTCAATACGCACCTGCTTTAGACGCACGGTTAGACCCCATTGGTCTGATGCGTGACGTTTTCAAAAACGTTCGAAATCACACTGATCAATAGTAAGTATGGTTTGTAACAATAGTTAATGTTCATACCGTGACTGACGGTCTCGTTATCAGTGGACGTCTGTATTCTGAGATTTTTGAAGACTTGCCGGATCGAGCCCAGTACCCAGAATATTTCAAATTCACCCACTCACCGCTATCCATCCAAATGGTGGAGGTAAGCTACCTTGTATCCTTAATCCACCATGCATCTTTCAGAAAACTCATGTGTCACTATTTAGGATCGAATGGCTGCTGGATATTACCCAAATTTGCAAGCCTGGGAAACTGAGTTAACCACCATCTTTCAAAATGCCATGGCGTTTGCTGAAAACAGCTCTCGTGTACACAAGGATGGCAAACTGCTACACGTAAGTGCATACTATTTGATACCAACCAAAAAAAAAGGACGTGTCTCTCACCCTAGTTGATTCTTTAGCGACTATACTATCGAATGAAGGAGCGCTACCTATCCAAGATTGGCGTTGGACCCATGGAAGAGCGACAAATGATGGTGAAACCCTTGCCACCTTGGCATGGTGAGCCTATCCCAGCACGACCTCAAGTCAAGACTTCTCAGCTCGACAAGAGTACGGTTGATGCTGCGTTTGGCACGGTGAATATGCGTAGCTCAATCCGCAACAGAAGGTTCCCCGATGGGGATGGACACATGGAACCCTACAGCACACCTGCACCCCCTCCACCTACCGCCCCGTATATTTCACAACGACCGGCTTTGAATCCTCTTCAGATGACGCCGCAAACCATGCCCTCGTATACGGATATGCCGTACGGCGTTCCCCAGTATAACAAACCTCCACCTAATAACTTTAGACCTATGCAATCGTTCACGCCGCCACCTGTCATTCCCATCGAGCAGCCTATGGCTCCTCCCCCGTCCTTTCAACCGCCACTGCCGCCACCAGTGCAACAACTTCAACAAATGCAAGCCCAACATTCCTTGCTGGACCCTGAAGTGGCGAGATTATTTGACACCCCTGAAAAGCGTCGAGGTAAGTAAGGGTGGGCGAGCGAACCACAATGAGTGTTCCATATTAATTTATTTCTGTTTCAACTTTTGTAGTTGTGCGGTTGTTGAGTGGTCTTAAGATTGAGTCGGACGATCGGTCGTTTGCCCAGCAAATGGATGGACATTACTTTGCGCATAGCCTGTCGATTGGCCAGCAAGTGCACACGCTTCGCATCAAGACCGACCTGCTTGCCCCGTTCAAGCAACAGACGGGGCGCATTGTCGTCCAAGTCGCCTATAACCACCGACGCCTGCAGCCCAGTGACGATGCATCGGAGTGGATCGCAACGCCTTTATCACACGGCCTCAACGTCGTTAGCGTCACTGTCACCATCGACGTGACGCCCAGCTCTAGCCCTGTGGCGGCTCAAGACATTGAGGTTCAAACCTACATGCTGTTTATCACTCGACCGTGACGCAACCCCGTCATTTTACATAACCCAGATAGTTGGCTGGTTGGTTTGATATCAATATAATGCATATTACAATTCTAAACAAAGACACAGAGCGGGGTAAAGGGCCCCCGGGAGAATGAGGGTATAAAGACGACTAGTGTAGAATTTTTTGGAGGTATGGAAAAACTATACAGCGAGGGAGCAATTAGTACAAGGGTGGATGGGGGGTTAATAATAATTATAAGTCTTCGTCTTCTTCGTCTTCTTCTACAATGACTTTTCGGCCCATGCGATTGCGAATATCGCTATCGCTCAAATTTTGAGCGCTCAACCGCGACCGGGCAGCTCCCAGGTCAAAGGGAGACGAAGATTGAGGAGACTGCCAGCGCATGGCAAAGGAAGACTTGAGCGGCAACGGCGCAGAGTACGATGGTTCGATCTGAATAGGTTTGCTGGCATCCATCTTCGGAAGCTCTTCGTCATCCGACAATGAGCTTTCCGAGATATCCGAGCCCATGGTGGAAGAAGACGGGGAGCTGTATTCCATGAGGGGCGATTCCATGGTGGTGCCTTGCGATGAATTGGATTGGCATGAATCGTACTTGTCCGCATTGTTGGTTGGTGGTCGTTTGAATTGCATGGAGGACGAGATGGCGGTGGGAGTGGTTTGAAGGCGGGAAGGAATAGGTCGCTTAGCAAACTCTGGATCAGCACGATCGGCTGACAATGCAGCACGCGGAGGGGTTTGCGGTGGTGGCATTGGGACTTGCTGAACCGCCGTCGTTCGTGGCATATTGAAATTGCCCACACCATGAGAGGGTTCACCAAGACTGATGCTGAGGTTACGGATGTTGCGTTTGGGGGATGGCTGCTTGGCAGGAGACACCTGCGCGTAATTCATTTGATCCACTTCACTGATGGGTGGTGTGACAAGTTGTAGACTACGTTGGCGGCTACCAAAACTGGTCGATCGATAAATAGGTGGGGACTGAACAATGCGTTTGTCAGACATCACCATCGGTTGAGTTTGTGATCGTTGATGATGTTGCGCGATGAAACCATCGGGAAGTTCGGGCAAATCACGCGGCCAAGGTTGTCGTTCATGGAGGAACGATTTTAAATTAGGTTCGCTCGTCTCACGACGTACAAACAAACTCTTGACCGAAGAGAGCCAACCACCTCCATTACTATGATGACTGGCCGTGGTACGACTTGATATAGATGAAGTATACTTTTTGTCAAAGCTTGGACTGTTGACCACCCGTTTGAGGCTCATGACGCCAGGAGAAGGAAGAGGTTTATCGTATCGACTGCTGGGGGTCTCCAAGGGCATCTCAACAGGACGAACAGGCAAATCGAGCGATGGACTGGTTTGAGTGGCCATTTCGCAAGTTTCAACGGGGTGGCTGATGAATTCCTTATCTTGGAGGGACGGATGCTTGCCATTTTGTGCAGACGATGTGAGGGCGAGTCGTCGAAGTTCGGCGGCTGAATCTCTGCCTTTGGGCATACTCATGACACTACCCAGGGGTGAAGATAAACGATACGATAATCGGTTGACACTATTCCTGGTGGATCCATAACCCATCTTTTGCGTCTTGACCTCCTCTTCCTCTCGTCCAAGTTTTTCCAACAGCATATACCAGATAGCGCTGGAAGCATCACATGAGCCAGCACGGACATTTTTATACATCGTATCGACATCAAATCCTGCTGTCTGAAGAGCATTCATGAGTCGTTGTTCAGTATGTGACATTGGCGTATAGGATGATCGTGATGACATGGACATATCATCCATCTCCATCCGCCAGTGAGTAGGGGAGTTGATAGGTGAAACTCCTAATGATGATGGTGATGAGAGTCGGTAGCTAGACGAGAAGGAGCTGGTGGAGTTACGGGCGGGTACCGGTGCAGAATGACGAGGCGTGGAGGTGGGAGGGTGAGAATCATCCGGGTATGAAGTATCATGTCCCCAACTGATTTGTGAAATTATCCGCTGGCGTTCGGATTCTATTTTTTGAATATCTTCTCGTTGAATCCTTAAAGAATCGGTAATGGCTTCCAAATCGCGTTCCACTCGAACAAAAGAATCGTTGGAAGGTGAGCATAGGGTTTGCGGTGAAATAACCGATGATCTATCGCTGACGCTGCCGAACTCATCCTCTTCTTCTTCAAAATCCAAATCGAACCAAGCGTGATTATGGATACAGTCGATGGAAAGTCGTTCATTTGGATCGAGTCGAAGGATACCATCTATCAAGTGGCGACTCTCTAAAGCAAACATAATTAATATTATGTGGGGGGCCAAACATGGCTGAAACAAATTACGAAACTCACCATCCGTGAGGTAGCCAGGTATTTCGTAGTCTAAGTGTAAGATTTTATCTTGCATGGTCGGTTCGTGATCATCATCAAACGGCAATTCTCCAGTCAAAAGAGTGTATAGCACGATGCCCAAAGACCATATATCCGCCTCTATATGAAAAAAAAAAGTAGAGTCAATAAGCAAGTCCATTTACCTAACACGAAGGGTTACAAAGAGCTGCCGTACCTGGACCAGAATATTTCGTCCGCCGAATGACCTCTGGCGCGGCATAAGCTAAACTACCACAAAAGGTTTCCAGCATTTTCTTGGTCTCGCACTCTCGAGTGAAGCCAAAATCACATAGCTTCACATTCCATTGAGAATCCAACAAAATGTTCTCAAGTTTGAGATCTCGGTGGACAACACGATGAGAATGGCAATATTTAATGGCTTCGACCAATTGACCAAACCACCGTCTAGCTCGAGGTTCAGATAAGCGACCTTCTCTGGTCAAGACGTCGAATAATTCACCGTTAGCACAATACTCGGTCACCACATGAATGCAGCCTTCAGCCAAAATGATTTCATAAAGTGCTGTAATATTGGGGTGGCGGAGTCGGCGATGATGATGAATTTCGCGAGTGATGAGCGGAATATGCTGACGATCGATTCGCTTGATAGCGACGTGTTGACCGGTCAAACGATGGGTGGCGAGTTTGACTTTTCCATAGCTGCCTTCACCGATGGTTTTACCCAGTTGATAACAGCCGATGGTGGGTGAGTCGGTGGCCGATAACTCCTTTAATAGATCATGATAGTCTGCAGCAAGCTAAGGAGAGTAATAAAATTTTAAATTTTTGGTGTTTCCTGTGTAAGGCCAATTTTAGAATTTTAATGTCGTACCTTTGCCTTCTGATTACGAAGCGACGTTCTATTCGGGTGACTGGCAGACATAGTAGGGGGAAGGGAACAGGCTTCAGAACGGCGTGTTTAGCTCGGGGAAAGGGCGGCGGCGGGGAATGAGCAGCCGTTGAAAAACTTAAGAGGAATGGTGGGGTTCCGAGTTGAATGAGGGAAGAAAAAAAGAGAGACTGTAAATGAGGGAGATTGTAGTTGAATTATGGACAATCAACTGCGTCAGTCATGCAACAACACTCAGATGGGGGATTGACAGAAAAAGAGAGAAGGAAAGAAGGAAGGAAGAAAAATAACATTTGAGGAGTTGGTGCCAAAAACTCTCTACATGCTCCACGGTAGCTTGCTTCGCCCAACTACTGTCACTAAAATGTGGCTCTCTTTCCCCAATCTAACTACACTCCTTTACTCTAACCCATCTTTACTCTTTGCTTCCTCTTAATTTTTTTTTTCTTTCCTTCTAGCATGGAGGCATTATTTACAGCGTCGGCCTAAACTGGCAAGCTCTTGCGGGTTGTGTAACGGACTAATCTATTTGGACGAATGGATATCTGATGTAACCAAAAACATAGTGTGTAGGAAGAAAACATCAACGCCAGCCAGCCAAATGCATGGGCAGTCCTGAACTGGCAAAGTGGAGAGCCTCTATAATATTTAACCGTGACTCGGCACCACCTTCCAATTTAGAGCTGCAGCCACGCTGACCAAACGCTTTATATGGGAGAGCGAAATCAAACCCAACGCTTTCAAAAAAAATAAAATGGGAGAGATCCAGCGCAACCCCAGCATTGGCATCTTAGCGAGTTTAGAAGGAAGAGATGGAAGAGAGAACGTCTTTACCAAAGAGTTGGAAGAAATGTAAGTCGTATGATCTAATAAGAAAAAGGGATCGTCTCCCATTATTAAAGTTTTCACTTTGCCATAAACGATCAAGTGAATTTGCAGGTAGTGCCGTCGATCCATAGAACGTGGAGACAAGAAAAGCTTGGACTACGCGCCGCTGTGATGTGTAGCCGTTGAATTCCACCGCCATGTTCTAGTTATTCCATGCCACCAGCGTAACCTATTGATTGGTGTCAGCTGGGTTGACATTTCCTTACCTTTTTGACCGGAGTTACACTTTTTCTTTTATTTTAAGCAATGTCTTAATATTCCTCGGTTACACTATCATCTAGCGCTTGAGGCACGTAATTCTTTGGGAGATGTGTTGATCTATCCGCTGCTCACACCCTCATTTAGAACCAAAAAAAGGAGCTGCAAATGGAATTGTCGGCAGCTACATTTATGCATGCACGGATACAACATAAAAATTATCACCTGCACGCGACGACAGTTATGATAAAAATCTTATTTTGCATTGCATAAAGCGAAATTAAGTAAGCCACAGAGAAATATATATGTACAATGAAGGATGCGGTTATTCTATGCCTTAGTGAGCGGCTAGTCGACATGGACAGTCTGTGCTGACATAGCCTCTTCAACTTGTACATGAACAGGTTTAGCCTGCTTGGTCGATAATAATGTCACTTTGGGAGCAGACATGCTATGTCGCAGAATGTGGTCGTCATCGATACTATGCCGCTGTGGATGAAACTGAAGATCATAGCATGCGTCGAAATACAATTCATCACTGTCATCGTCGGATGCGCTGTCGTCGCTCTTGGGTTGAAGTGTGTAGTGTAGTTGGTCGTAACTGATGGCACGGCGAGAGAACGACCAGCCTTCAGAAGGCATCTGAAGGTCTTCAAATGCACTCTTTTGTCTCAGTACCCTGAACTTGACAAAAGCCAGAGGCACTTCTTCATCATCTTCACTTTGTTCAGTGTATTCCTGTTTGCTCTCATCCTCTTCACTTGACTTAACGTATTCCTGTTTGCTTTCATAAGTATGGGGAGGGCTATAGGCTTCACGTTGAATAGGATTGAGCAGGGATCCAGGTGTGAAAGTCGTTGAATCAATGTCGTTAGGATGTGCCAAAACCTTCATGTTGAGAGTTTGAGAGTTGGGAACTCGAACAGGTCGAACAATCATGCCCAGAAGATCGTCATCGTCACTATCCTCTGGACCACGTTCGAAAATATCAAACTTGGATGCATCGACAACGCTGTGGTTGGCTACTTCGACGTTCGTGATAGTGCTGTTGACTTGGCCTTTGGTTTTTCCCTTGTCGCTATTACGCTGCGCTTGATGAGGTGCCTTTATGAATTTCAATTTTCGTAGTGTAGATGTATCGGTCTTGGAAGAGGCCATCTTTTCCGTGGAGCTTCTGTTTAATCGCAACGTTTGAAGTAAGGTGAGAACCATAGTTTGCACGCTTTGTGGATGACTGAATGAAAGGAGGGACGGTTGGGGAAACGAATTAAAGAATATATCACACTGTAGTGTGTCATATCTTCTGGCAATATACATTGCAATAAAGCCGGCAATATAGTGGGGGAAGGGAAATTTCTATCCAGCTTTTAAAAAATTATCTCATGGTCCAAATCGAATGCCCTGAGTGAACAACACGAGTCAATTTCATATTCTAATATGGGGGAACCCAATATTAATGCATATTGATTCAAAGCAAATGCTCTAAGCATCCCCTTGGTTGCGAAATACAGAAGGTCAGGTTTATTATGGTACACTGATTAAGATGAGAAGTGCAGTCGAAGATACAGTGATTGTTCATCTCATGAGATGCATAGGAGTTGGAGGACGATCTTCTAAAGACGGAGCTTTATCAACATTGGATCGTGGAGGCATGGCAGTAGGCGCTACCTTGCGGTGGATCCTTCGGTATTGTTCAAGATTATGATGCTGAGCACCTCCATCCCAATCCTGTACAGTAATATGTGGGAGTTCATGACCATTGATATCATGACCCTCGTCTTTGCATATCACATACACCTGGGGTGTGGATGAGGATGAAGCGTTCTCTGCTACTGAATCGTTCATACTTTCCGCCTCAAATTCCGCGTCGGCATCCAGCTTGAAATCATCTTCCAATTCATCATTTAAAGACATTAGCGCATGGGAGAGATCATGTGGCAATACGGTTCTATTAGGAGGATCCTCTCGAATTTGCTGCCATCCAACGGGAGGAGAACCGGGCGGAGAAATGAGCCAGTTCTTCTCCAATTCGGGTACTTGCAGGAGCACCGTGGAGGAATCAGGATTGATGTTCGTATGCTGTTCACCGATTTAGCAACCTTTTCAAAACTTCATATTCATAGCTATATACACTTACTTGACCAAAATATAGTCGTAACAGAAAGTGACGAATGTCGTCGGACAATGTGGTTGGTGGCTGTTCATCCTCGGCAAGGAACTGTACAATTTCAAGGTCTGCTGATTCGGTTGACTTTTTCCAGTACACATTTGTCTTATCGAGTTCTGACTTTGCCATAATGGCACTTGTTGTTTCTTCATACACCGCCATGATGCGGGCAAATCCCTTTATGGCCACAAAGGTGTGCAACGGACCATACATTTGGAGGAAATTTCGGAGATCTTCAAAAACTTGAGGACATTCGAAAAATTCCTTGGGAATGTCAGGTATGGTGAGCGTATTGGTGGCAATACTTTCGGGAGACGGTGAGGCTGGCATGCTGTACCGAGGAAAAGAAACAAGGAAATGGCACAAGTGGGTCTGACTGGGACTGTCACTTTCAATCACAGCCTGAACTTTTGCCAAGCGCTGGGCTGGCCGCTACCTCATTTGTTTGCTTTGCTTTACCCTCTTGTCCATAAACATGCTTTAAATCTCACAATGGGTCCGTTCGTTAGACGTACAGCTTGTGTGAAAAGGCGGTCGTCACTTGGACGCACTTGTGGATGTACCGCTATCTGCAGTACTTCAACCTTGCCAGCATAAGACCACCCCCCCTTCCTTGCACTATCTAAGCAATAACAGTTCCTCTTCAACAAACATTATAATTCCTAGGCTGCTCTCAGTAAAAGTAAAATTTTAGAAACCGTGATTGGGTGCTTATGCAAAGTGTGCGTATGGGATCGAAATAAGAAAGAAAATAGGGATGGAAGTAAATGCTGTGGTATAGTACGCGTTAGGATGTGAAAGATGTTACAATAATTATAAAGTGTTGGGTTGAAGAATCAAATGAGGGGTTTCAAGTTGACTGACTTTGCCGTTGATTTGGACTTCCGTGAACTTGGCAACGCTGACGACGGAGGGATCACAGCTGGTGACCGCCAAACCGACATAATAGTCCTTCGCCATGTTCAATCCACGTAGCTCGGCCACCGGTTCCCAAGACTTCCCATCGCTTGACCATGAACCAAAGAAATCCCGTCCTTTGCGCTCAAGTTTTAGATGACATGGCGAGCTTGCGCGTGCCCTGCCAGCCAGCTTGGTTTCCATGTTACGCATGGGTCGAGACTGGAAAATAACCCCGTCAGCCGGGGACATGCCTAAAATCACATTAGGAGACGAAGAAGCCAAGTGTTCGCGAATCATGATGCCAGCTTTGGCACAGCTGGCAAATGCTGAATGAGATTCCACCTTCACGGTGACAACCGTATTCGTTGTCGCCTGTTGGTACACAAACCGAAAGGCATCTTGTCTGGATCCGATGTCTTTGCCCGAACCCCATAATGTAAACGTATCTGCTGAGTCGAAGGAAACCGAACCAGGCAATCCGATTAACTCCTCTCCACCAATATCCATTGTTTGCCATATGCCTGGAAGATTTGGATTGGGGGGTGGTCCCGGCAGTGGTTGGGTAGGAACAGCCAGCTTAGCTTGAAGATATGGAAATAATTTTTTGGCTATCAATTCATGCCCATAGTCACTTGGGTGAGCCTAAGACAGTGAATTGTCAGAAAAACAAACCCAGTGCATCTAAACTTTGGCCATTTTTACCATAGTCTCCCCTCTCACATGTAGGCTTTTCTCGCACCATTTCCTTACCTCATCGTTGAATGCTTTACCATACTGAACCCAAGGGGTGGAATCCACAAAATACATTTTCTTGTCACCAGCTAAGGTCAAAGATCGAACTGCAGCCTGAGTGGGAGCGAACAAAGCACCTAGAGGCTCGCTGACGATAAAGATATGGGCTTTTTGAAATTCATTGCGTATTCGCTTCAGAAATTTACTATAGGTTTTTTCAAAGCGGCTAGATTCTTGTTTCACAACTTTTTCATCATTGCTCCCAAGCATGATGACAATAGCAGATGGCGTGTAGCGCGTGAAATCCCAGTTTTCGTCGTCATACCATCCTTTCCATTTAAAATACTGTGACTCCATGCCTGGCGCTGCGTCGCTGCAGCCATCGACAAGACACACAGCTGGGTAGGCGATCTGAGTATGCTCCATGGCCAGAGATTCAGCCACCAACCAAGCATAGCTGGTCAATGCGCCGCGGCTGGTGGTCAGGCCAGCCGTGATGGAGTCACCGACAAACTCTACAATATTACCAGCAGGTCCAGGAGGCTTGATGTTGGCATCGCTGTCGACTATGATCTTTTGCAGTTGGATACTGTCTTTCTCGGTCTTGGAAGCTATCAAAGCCGAGTGAAGGCCTGGTTCAAGGTGTTTCGCTAGTTGTACGGTCTCGCTTGCCTCTGGCAGCTGCACATACTCCCCATCGTCGATCTTGTAGTATAAATCCACTGTCGATCGAAGTTTGATAGCAAGTGTGGTACCGGTAAAGTTGAACTTGGCATATGCCCCGGGCCACCAGCTTATCATAGTTTTATCAGACTGATTCCAGCGACCATAGTATTGAATGTTAGAGTCGATGGGATCCAGCAATGACTGAGCGGCAGCACGCCCTATGCCCAATAAAATGGGGAGAATTAGGAGGACAATGGTGCTAATTCGTGGAGTGAAGAAGAGCATTTGCTTGTAAAGCTCTTGCTCAAAAACGTAACCCTCTAAAAGTAAGGCAATTGTCAAATGTTCGAGATGCGGACATTGAAATGCATCCAAAGCCGGTTTCACTGTTTATCAAATTGAAGACCTGACGAACTACCACTGGCATCTCATTTGTGGGGCTTTTTCGTTATTTTGTCACCAATGTCAATACGTTGCTCATAGTGATAGTCAGTGTAGACTATTGCATGGTGCGGTTTGGCCATGGAAAATCTCCGAGTGAAGTGCAATTTGCTATCCGACCACTCATGTTATCGTCATTGCGCACCAACGTGAGATATCGAAACCAATTTAATTTGCGACGATATGACGGCTGTATTGCCAGTCCTCATCCGTTCATCTAACTGGCAAGAGTCGCCACTACAGCTGTTGGACTTTCACCTCTCATACTTGCCTGCAAATCAATTTAAATCCATGTCTATGAATGGTACTTCCGGATGATCGCATTTAAATCTTGCGTTGTCATATGGTAGTACAGTGTACACAGCTATTAATAATTGCTCTATCATTTTACATAGGACCATTGGTATGATAATGTGGTTATGTTGTGTAATGAGATCGAGCGCTGTACAGTATCTCGAGACCTTCGTACTCATGATATGTATCTACATCTCCAGATAAAGTGATTCCCATACGTTTGAAATATGACTGTTGAATGATTTAAGCTGGCAAAAAAAAAGCATCATTTTTCGATTGACGCAACTGCACTGTGTTAGTCCAAGTATGTACAGAACCTGACAGCGACAATATTGGCGTAGAAAACGGTAGTCTGGAACCGATAGACTCCATCGTTGACTGATTTCAAAGGAATGAGAGTACGTTGGTCAGCCAAAAGGAACCCACCAAAGTAAAAAGAAATGAGTTCAAGTGATATATTAGCAGAATAATTAAAGTACAAAAGCGAAAATAAAAATATGACCCTTGTCGGCTGAATCTTTGAGTTTATCTAGTGGAAGCATAAGATTCTTTAAAAACAGGGTTAGCGAATCTACGACTTTTTAGTAGGAGTTCCTTGCGTCGTCAAAAACATGAAGACTGAGACATTTATAGCCGGTCTCCTTACCGGGTTGCAGGAAACATACACTCGCGCGCACACGAAAAAAATATAAACCGTTTCAAAAAGCCCTCGATATAAGAGTCAAACATTCATTATTCACAAAAGGCATGTGTCTTTGGAGAAACACATTGTGTGGTTTATTGAAAGTGAGATGACTAAGATTTAAGCGCCTGGGAAAGGATGGATAATCTCAACCCATTTACACATACCCTATGAAAATGGCAAGATAACAACAAGTGGTAACGTACTCCACAACAGAATTGAAAGACGTGATCTCTTGAAAGCCAACTCCGCTGAGATTAGACGGGTTGGTTTCACGTTTTGGTGTGTCGTAGCAGCTAAATACAGGGACTACGGAAATCATATCATTGTCTCAAGGCCAACAGAACATGGGTGGGTGAACTTCATTTATGCAAGTACGCGACATCAAATATTTGTTGAATCAGTTTTGTATTTCAAAAGGCATTGAGAGACGATTAGCTAATCATTTTCAATGAGCCAGCCAATGCTCAGTCCGTACCTCCACGTACTGGTTAAGGCATTCACAAGTCACCAAACACGTTCTCAACACCTAAGAGAGAACACAAGACGGGTTTGTTTTGAGGTTGCAAGTGTGTTTGGGAAAAAGCCAAGTGCACAAACTCAAAGTAAGTGATATGGCCACGGTATTACATCATGTAAGGAGTTTATTTTCTACACACTAGTTTAACGTGGGTTGCTTTAAGACATCATGGCCACGCTGTTCTGACGATAGAAGCAACCATCTGACGCTAGAAGCATGCGTACCGCTCAAGCAGGCAGATAGTGAAAATGGCTGGCTATATGAGAATATTCAAACTCAAGTACCATGCTTACTACGACAGGGAGTGAATGGAAAGCAGTATTATCTCATTGGCCCAAATGAATGGGAATATTTTTTTTCCAAGCACAGGCGCCGAGACGACTTGTGCTGAGGCTTAAATTTTTTATCGGAGGGCTGAACCGGCCCTGCATCCCTTACTGCGCCGGGCCGTCCAGATTTTCGCAGTCATGCGCACTAAGTGAAAAGTCGTGAGAGCCAGTGGCTTTTGGATCATCAGCATCCCACTCTAGATAGCAAGGGCTTCTTTATAATAAACTTGCGAATTTTGAATATTTTTTATAAGAAAATAAAAACATGTATTTACAATCAAGTTTTTTGGCAAAGAAGAAGAACGGACGCAGACAAGGAAAATTTACATTTGTTGTTAATAACTAAGCGCTATGGAAGGTTTTTTTTTTTCTGTAAGAAAATGCTGAAAAGTACGGGGGCTGCCTGCTTGCTTGGTAATTGGGTTGGGGATTTTTTTTTTCTTTAGCAGGGTGAAAAAACCAGGAGAGACCATAAGTCTGGGTTGTCCGCGGAGATGTTGCAAAGTCGTAAGGATCGGCGCTATCCAGCGTTAATTGGAAACCTTTAATCATGAGTACTGTAATTTTTTTTTATAATCTTGCGAAGGGGGGACAAGGGAGACAGGTGTAGATCGGGTTTCTTTTTCACCAGCTATCTTGATCCTGACCATACAGTATTTGGCTCCACCCTCTTTCCAAACTGTCGCCAACATATTCGGCTGGAGTCGGCAAATTGCCAAATTCCTCATCAGAGCCAGAGGAATCTCCCATGTCGGTGTCCTGCACCATAGTGGGTTGCTGTTGTTGCAGATTCAAACCCAAGTGGGCGGCTTGTGTAGAGACCGAGGGGGGTGGTGGTGGCCGATAGTCGGGTGAAGCGTAGGTTATGGCAGGCATAGCAGATGCAACAGAGTCTTGTGGATAAAAGTTACTACGACGATGTTGAGCGTCAAATGGTGAAACAGGCGGGAAAGGTAACTGCTGCTGATACTCTGCATTGGATGTCAAGTCTGTAAATCGTTTAGGTGATGACAACTGAGTTATTTTCATTGTTAAAAAAAAAAAGAAAAGGAATTTTTGTTAATGTTCAACCCTATTGTTTGATAGCTTAAAATGTTGGATGAGGATGAATTACCTCCGCATCATAATCATCCAACTTTCGCTTGTTCTTTGTGGAGATATTGGACTGGAAGTAGTTGTTATGGAGGTTGGCCGTTGCTAATGGGATGAGGTGTTAGAAAAGGAGAGTTGGACCTGCATTAACAAATTTCCGGATATGGATTACCATTGTTTAAAAGATATTCGGCATTCATGGTTGGAAAGAGAAGGAAGGGAAGATTTTTAGAAAAAAAAAGAAGAGAAGAGAGTGGTTCAAAAGAAACTTTATATGAAAGAAAGGAACGGGACAGTCACTTTCCTCAAAAGAGAATCAGTATGCGAAAGTCCCGAAGCGAGACACCAACTGGTTCGGGGCATGAGAGCTCAGCTCAGTTTCTTGACCGGCCCTTCACTCGATGTAGAAATCACGTGAACTACGATCCAATTATTTTTTGAGGCCAAAGTCCGCTCATCTGCCCTAAGTAAGCGGTAAGGACTTGGAAAAAAAAAAAAGGAAGTCAACGTAATCCACCCTCATGTCGTCCGAAGTGGCCGAATGCTCCATCTGCATGGAGCCTTTGTCAGGGCTTCCGCTGGCTGCACTTCCATGCAAGCATGTCTATCATAATGATTGGTTCGTTTCTATAGCCCGTTTAAATCTATGGTTTCTTCTTCTTACTAATGCCCATAAATCCCTGTATAGCATTACAACCTGGATACGGTCAAGTGCGGCAGCCGTACCAAAATGTCCAGTATGTAGGAGTAAAACCAAACGCAATCAAATCATTGGCCCTCTCTATTTTACCATTCCTGCTAGTGAAGCACGGCCCAACGCCCAACCCACCCTCACAACCACCATTGGTCAGACGGAAGATGTCGTTGACCTTTCGTATGCCACTGATTTGCAGACTAATTTTGATAAAGCACATAAGAGCCTTGAGGAGAAGACGGCGCTTCTTGAAAAAGCCAATCAACAAATAGAGCGATTCAAAGCCCAAGCTATCCAACACCAATCTGAGCACCTTCGATTACAAGAAAGTCTTTCACGGAGTCAGCTACAATTACGATACGTCAAAGCACTGCGAGGGTAAGTTTTGAGCAGATGGATGAAAAGACGGCAATGAAAATATTCATAGTTGCCATACCAAACAGAGTTCAGGAATTAGATGCCGCTCTACAGTCTCCCAGCGCACAAGCACGAATGCGACAGTGGAAAGAATTACCGCGGGATCAATTGGCGCTGATATTGGGTAGTTTACATGAAAAGACGAGTATGGTGGAAAAGTAAGTACACTCTTGCCTATGACTATTTAGCCAACAGCCGGTGACCTGGTTGAATTTTTTTTGGGTCTGTGCTTCGTCCTGCACGAAATTGTGCTCCATGCTTACCGTATCCTTTTCTAGCGAGCGTGCATTATGGAAACGAAAAGATAGAATGCAACAGGAAGAACTGAATATTCTGCGCATCAGCCTGGAAAAAAGCGAGCAAAAGGTAAGGCTAATCGAATGCGAGTCAAAAAAAAAAAAAAAGGCGGCGGTCTCAACTCAACTGTATTTTTTACAACTCACCAGAGAAAGAAAATGGTATTAAAAAAGCAAGAGTACGAAAAGGAGATAGAACGATTAAGTAGTCTTAGTCAGAATGGTAGTGTTCCTTATTCATTCCCGCCACAACCTGGTACATCCTCAGCCAACAAGCGACGGATAGCTTCGGACGACGAAACGGACAGCAACGCCACGGATGATGAAGCGCCGCCTGTGATGAAGAAGAAAAAACCAATACCGATTGAACTTTCGAGTGACAGCGACACCGATGCCGAAGAGGATGTTCCTGTTGTTGCTCGGTCCAAACCCATTCATCCAAAGAGACTAGAGTTACTTGGTATTCCCCCACAACACGAACCAACCGCTGGACAATGACATCCCCCCCCCTTTTTTTTAAAACACACCTATACCCCATCTTCACTGTTATTTTATGTACATAGTCGTTTTCAATATAATTTGCTGTTCTTGGTTTCAAAGACATTCTGAGTTTGTGTGACACACACGGGGAAAAAATTCAAATTGCGGTCTCTCGGAAAATATTAAACTGGAAATGGATAAACGCCAGGTTTGGCTATTCTTTAGCCAAAGCACTTTCCTTTGTTCATTTGGCAGGAAGAAACAAAAGAAGGCCATAAACCATGGAAACGAATGGATGACGGCGTATTTTGTCACTTGAATGGGCGTCTGTCCACGAAAGTTTACAAGACTTGTGGACGACGGGGCCCGAAATGGGTAGCACCATGTGATGGAGATGCTTCCCCACAAAAGAGCTGATATAAAGGTCAAAGCATGAAAGGGCCGGTGCAGCGTGAATACGAATGACTTTGGTCTTTTTCTTAGGAAATGGAGGGGTCTAACCACCCATGGTATAGACATCGATGGAATATCGTTTCCATGAGATGGAAGAGAAAAGTAAGAAAGAGAGACGGGAATAAAAAAGAATTTTTTACATGTAGAATCCTAAAAGTTTTGGGCCAAGCTCTATTTTTTTTCCCTGGGTGGGTTGGAATTCTCTTCTCTTGCTTTTTCAAAAGTCTTTTCAACCGCTAAACCTTGGAGCTGTTGACCCTCAACTATCCTCTTGTAGACATTAGATTGGAATTCTCGGTTGGGAATCTGGCATTATTCTCTCCAGTTCACAATTCTCTTGATTACACTAGCTTCAACTCCCTTTTCTTTCCTCTCGCTTTTTTATTTTTGCATCGTCGTTGGTTTTTGCATCGAACTATCCCATGCAGATGCTGCAAGGTTCTCCCACCATTCAGAACGAGTTGAGCTTGTCTGCTCCATTCTTCGCCATGGGGTTACCAAGTGGTGACCAACAGACCCCACATATATCCCAATTTGAATCAACTCCTAGCTTATCTGATGAATCATCTTTGAGCGTTGCCATGTCTCACTCGCCTCAAGACACTATGTATTCTACCTCCCAGATCCAATTTGACTCTTCCTATCTCGATCAGGCTAGCGATGATGATGGCTCGCCTGTCACTGTACCCTCGAAAAGAGGTAGCAAGAATCATGTTTCGAGTGCTTGTAAGCTGCTTGCCTTCTAGATGTTGGTTGTATAGGAACTTTTCACATCATTCTGACCTTTTTCTCTGCATACAGGCATAAATTGTAAGCGAGCCCATCTTGCTTGTGATGGTAAGTGTTTACTGTTCGGTGTCAATACTTTAGCAGGATGGTATTTCTCACAATCGCCTTCTCTTCCCGGCCCGCTCCTCTCCTTGACGCTCCAATTTTACTCATTTTCATACTAGTTTCACGCCCATGCAAACGCTGTGTGACGTTGGGTAAACAAGATTCTTGCCACGATATCGCACACAAAAAACGTGGACGACCGAAACTACGAGACAAAGCTTCTATGATGCAAAGTCATTTCTTGGCGAATGAACGGAAATATGAAATCATGTATGATGCCATCCAAACACCTGCCTTTGCCACGTCGGCTCAACGAGTCAATCGACCACAACAAGCTGCGCAACCCCAACAAGCAGGTCGGATTGCCTTTGTTCATCAAACGTTAGAAGAATTTCATGAACAACAGCAGCAACAGCAGCGAGAGGAGGAGCAGATTCATGAGCGAATCATTCGAAGGTCATTCAGTCGAGGAAGCGAAGCGGCTGCAGATAAGCCGCAGCATGCCCACCCGATGCACCAACACTCTGCGTCTCCGGCTCTTCAAGAAGTCTCCGTGCCTATACATCCTACTCAACCCCTTAATGAACATACCCACTATTTATCGCCCATAGATTTTAACCCATCCAACCTGCTGGCAGAAGGACCGGATTTAAATGAAGCTTCCATGTCACCCATACTGATCAACGGTGCCATGGATATGCCATCTCCGGCAAGGGAACACCCACCTGTTTCCAGCGGGGGTCCTCCTCCTCAAGTGACTGTGTTTATGTCTATGGAAGTGTGTTGTGCTCGGGCGTCCGATGAAGTGACCGAGGCATGGGGATATTACCCGCAAGAACTCGCCCATCGCTCGTTTTACGATTTTGTCTCCCCCAAAGATACCGACCGCTTAGCGCAACTTCACCGACTTTTGCTGGACAACATTCAAAATGTTGCCGACCAAGCAACCAATGGGAGCCAAAAGCGACACGCTCGATTACCGCGTGCCGAACGGACCACGAGTGATTTATTTTACGATACTCTACCTGAACGACTGATGTATGTGGCCAAAGGGTCCAATACGTACTCTGACACGCTTCATATCAAGCGACGAGACGGAGACATGGAATTGTTCAACTTCAAGGTGTACTTGGGTGGAGGGTTTGGAGCCGACTTATTTAACCCCGATACGTACAGTAAACTCTACATTGTTGCGATTTTGAGCAAACATCAATACGCTGTGCAAGCGTCGTATGAACCACAGCAACTAGCCTCCACCCGATCCAACTTTACTGAAACAGGCGCAGATAGCCCGATGGCCTGCGATAGTCCACAGAACGGCGGTCCTTCATCGATGGACATGACGGGTTCCAGTACACCGGAGTTGAAGAACCTAAGTAGTGGTGGCTCCACCCTAGGCAGTAGTGATCATGACCGATTCCAAGTGTTCCGAAAGCCAAGCATGTCGCTGACGACACCGTTTTCTTCTGGGTTTTCCAATACGAGTATGGTAGAGTCCAGGATCTCTAAATCACCACCCCGGCTAGGTGGTATCAATTATCTTAATTCTGCCGCCGTACCCAATCAAGCCCCTGTGTCACCCAAAATTAATATTGCGCCGACCACCAATCAACAAGGTCTTTTGAACACTTCGTCCACTCGATTTTTCCCAAAAACAGGCAATAGCGGCAATCCCACTACCAATGCCTCCACCAGCTTTCGAACCATGTCCATGAATCCCATCACAAGCGCGCTACCCGATACATCTTATTACTCTCGTCGTTCCGATCCGTTTGTTATTACCCCGCCTAATCGATTTGCACCCACGCCACTCGGTCGTGCCAGTGCTTCCTATACACATCCGACCACCCAGTACTTTTTACAAACCTCCAGCAGTACCCTCAATGCAGCCGCATCGGCCGCTCAAACCAAGACTCGAGGCGGTCCTGGCTATAGTTTTACACCCATGTCAGGGGCAAGAGGAGCCGATGACCTTGCTCCTAATGATCGAGCCACGGGTAAAACTGAAAGCAATCCAAAGATGGAGATGAGTATTACTTCGCTGCTGTGTTGAACTGCATCACCTCCCCAAAACCGTCCTTTCCCCAAGAACAATCAACCAGTATATAGTACCCTGTCTCTTAATTGTGTGTTTTTGACCGACTCTTTTGTACAATAAAGCTAAAATACCGTAACCTACTTGATCTTTTTTTATATAAAAATTTTCAGGTCAGTAGCGTCATTTGGATCGGCCAAGCGAGGAAACAGCTATCGTCGTTAGAGGAGTTTAAATCTCAGTGTCGGGAACCAGCCAATGGCACCAAGGGACCCTCGCGTTTTTTTCTATTTTCTCTTCATTATCAGCCCTCAAGCGGGTCACACATCTCTTCCATCTCTCTCATCTCATCATGTCTGAATCAGTCCTTGCCCCCGTCAAGATCCTCGCTAATCATATGAGCCATCTCTCTCTTGAACAGTACAGAGCCCGTAAGGTTGCTTTGATCACTGGTAAGAATCTCTCCCCTCCTGCAAGCCCTCAGGTGAATGCCATCTGCACATCATCTCGGGCTCATCTCTGTTGATCTGGGCAATCCTGTTTTTTATTCTCATCTTGGCTGTTGACCATGATGCTCCTGTGATGTACCAAGTGTTTCACTAACCGTCTCCGTTTTTTTTATTATTATTTTCTTCTCCTAGGTGTCACTGGCCAAGACGGTTCCTACTTGACCGAATTCTTGCTTGACAAGGGTTACGAAGTTCACGGTATCATTCGCCGTTCATCTTCCTTCAACACTGGCCGTATTGAGCATATCTACAAGGACAGACACGATCAAGGTAAGAACTCCAACCATTTTGGGACCCAGGTCGAGATCGAATGGATAGAAGGTGGCGGGGGCATTACGTACCGATGTGTATCTGTCTTAGAGAGGCGTTTTACTGCAATGACCCACAGCTAGAACATGCCCTGCCCACAGTAATATCCTGCCGGCCGAAATGTCCTGCCGACCGAAATCTTACTATTTTTATCCACCTCTGCCAAAATAACAATAAACTCTAACCTTCCCTTTTTTCTTTCTTTAGGCGTCAAGTTCTTCTTGCACCACGGTGATCTTACTGATTCCACATGCCTGGTCCACATCGTTAGCCAGGTTCAACCTACTGAAATCTATAACTTGGGTGCTCAGTCCCACGTCAAGGTCTCTTTCGATATGTCTGAGTACACTGGTGACGTTGATGCTTTGGGTACTCTTCGTCTTTTGGATGCTATCCGCACTTGCGGTCTCCAAGACCGTGTCCGTTTCTACCAAGCCTCTACCTCCGAACTCTACGGTAAGGTTGTCGAGACTCCCCAGAAGGAAACCACTCCTTTCTACCCTCGTTCCCCCTATGGTGTTGCCAAGCTCTACGGTTTCTGGATCGTTGTCAACTACCGTGAATCATATGACATGTATGCCTGCAACGGTATCTTGTTCAACCACGAATCTCCTCGCCGAGGACGTACTTTCGTCACTCGCAAGATTACCAGAGCTGTTGCTGATATCCATCTTGGTCGCCAGGTAAAGCGCCTTTCTGACTGATCTTGGGGCCCGACGGTCGCACAAGCTTCAGCCATTTTTATGTTTTTTTAATGGGCAGCGATATTAACCTTTTGCCCATAGGAATGCTTGTACCTCGGTAACATCGATGCTAAGCGTGATTGGGGTCATGCCCGCGATTACATTGAGGGTATGTGGATGATGCTTCAACAAGACCAACCTGAGGACTTTGTTCTCGCCACCGGTGAGACCCACACTGTCCGTTCCTTCGTCGAGAAGGCTTTCGGTGTCACTGGACGCAAGATCGTCTGGGAAGGTGAAGGTGTCAATGAAGTCGGTAAGGATGCTGAGAGTGGAAAGGTTCGCGTCCGTATCGATCCCAAGTACTTCCGTCCCGCTGAAGTCGAGCTCTTGCTCGGTGATCCCGCTAAGGCTAAGGAGAAGATGGGTTGGGAACGCAAGGTCAACTTTGACGAATTGGTCACCGAGATGGTCGTCGCTGATATCGAAGGCTCTCTCAAGAACGATACCTACAACTAGACCTAACCATTTGCACTCCCCCCCATTCTCCCATATAAATTTTTCGTGTTATCTCCCTCTGTTACCTTTTTTTCTCTTCTCTCTTCATCTTGTTTTCATAGAAAAAAAACATCCCAAAACCCGCAAATAAACGAGGATATATAATCAATGTTTTCGCTTGGATCCAAACCAACGTCTGAGAATCAAACAGAAATATTACATAGATTTCATGTTCAGCTAGGCTAAAAATAATCGATTGTGGTGGCAAAGAGGTGTGTGTGCTTTTACTCTTTTTTATTTTAAAAACACATATAAAATCGTAAAAAAAGCTGTCTAATCGGTTTCACACTTGGAGCATACACACTTGAACTGGAACAATTCAGCCAATTGGTTTCGTCGTTGCTCAGTGTTCTTATCCTCAAGTTGAATATAGCTGGTTCGAAGCTCTTCACCCTTCTTGATGGGCTTAGCTGCCTTGACGGTCAGACTGTGTGACTTGTCGGCAAATTCGATCTGGGTGTTAGGCTCACAGGAGTGTGAAAGATAAGTCGTGGCACGATAAAGGGCACTACCGACGGAAAGTTGGTCGGGGAGGGATTCTCTGTGCAACTCGGTTGATTTCTGCGAAGCAATTCCCCAATTAGTTTTTTACTTCTGACCATTAACTCCCTTACCGCGTAAATTTAAGCTTTAGCCCATCCTTACCTCTATCTCCTTATCTCCTTTGCTGATGGACTGGACAGAGTATGCGTTGAAAAGAATCTTACCCTTGAGCATCAGGAAACGCTCTTCGGTCAAGAATTCATCAACACCAGTCACCTTGGGTCCCAACAACTCCTTGATCAAACTCAATTCCTTCAGGTTTTGAGGGGTAGGTGTGAGTTCAAGATATCTAAAGCGGTCAACGTGATCCCAAGAGCTGTATCCATCGGTAACACCGGACTTGGCCTTTTCGATTTCGTCATGAACCATGGTGGCAAGGAATCTAGCAATCAAATAAGGGTATTTCACGTTCTTTTCCTTTGAAAAGTCAAGGAATGCTTGTTCCTGAGAAGAAGCGTCATCCTTGGTCTTGTTGTTGGTGCACAAGAATTGGTGATATTCTTCATTGGCCTTCTCGTAACACGATTGGCTACAGAAAACAACTTGGTTACAGTTGGCACATTCAACCTTGTCTGCTGTGATGTGCTTCAAGCAGTAGTTACAAAAGTCTCCTCCCTAAAAGACACCGATGATGAGTCACTGTCAGCACATTACCACAACGAAGGCGCTGGGTTTACCTCAAGTTGGGAGTTCAAAGCGGAAACAATGGGCTCTTCCACAAAGATAACATCACCCTCCTCGAAATCTTGGGTGGCGACCAATCCCTTACGAAGAACAGTCTGTCCTTCACCATTTTGACCTTCTTCGATATCACCAATCTTGACGTGCATATCTTCCGGAGGGAATGATTCGTAGAAGCCGTCTTGACGTTTTTGGTGCTGCCATAGATGTCAACCTACATACTTGATAAATTACGTACGGGGAAATTTAAAACGAAAGCGTACCTCCAAAGTCATCATGCCGACAACCAACTGGAAAACGGGTTCAGGAACAGTCTTCTGATAGATCATAATAAGTTCGACAGGTGAAGGGTACACCTTTTGAGCACGGAAGAAGCACATGGCGGCTTCAAAGTAATGTTCCTCTCCTGCACCGAATATGAATAACGTTGTTGGCCACAGCTTAGCCCTGACAGCGGAAACATCTTACCTTGAGCACACAGCGTCTCACCAGCAGAGATCTGAGCCATGAAGAACTTCTCCTTGTCTTCGACAGAGGTAGGGAAAGTCTCTTCGTTGACAGCTTCGAGGCCAGCCTCAAGTGTCTCAGACACCTTTTGCTTTATGTTTTCAGCTGACATCTTTGCCTTCTTCGCAGACTTCTTCTTCTCGCGCTCTAATCCAGAAACATGTTTTGTTTAGTTTTTCGTCTTTTTTACACAGGTAGGTACCGGAAGTTATAAAAAACGACACGGGTATTATTAGGTCCAAACGTACTCAATTTTCTTCTGAATTCAGGATCATTTCTTCTTTTCTGATCAAAGTAGAAGGCGTATCCGAGTGCAATGGCAGCAACGGTTCCAAGAGTGGCAATGGCGACAGTCTTTGTCTTCATCGAGGGCGAAGGAAGGGCGAGTAGTCACTCGTCATTTTTTTGCGCTTTTCTCCGGTTTTTGTTGTTTGCAAGCGTGAAAACGACTCAAACGTGACTGCTAAAAGATCCCGCTCGCTCGCTCCACTAAGGCTTTTGGCCCAATCACCCGTGCTCCCTTGCCTTTAGGTCCTTTCGACATGACTATTGGATTATTTCAATGACAGTGAGATATTTTTCACATAGACTGGGATCATCGACGTCAGAACAGATAGAAATTCCGCCTGCTCATGAGTGAATATTCGATGGATTTTTCATGGCGTCAGATTCTGCTCGTGAAAAAGTCATAGGCCGTGCGTCATACATACGTCGACCGAAAATAGCTATCATGCAAATCATGTCTTCTACTAGTTTCAAAAACTATATAAAGTCGAGCACTTATTCAATCCGGCAGTGGTTTGATTATCAAATTCTATCCTATCATGCTACGCCTTCAATCCACTCGCGCACTCAGCAAACTCGCTGCCCCTGCACGTTCCAACGTTCGCATGATGTCCGCTTTCTCACACATGTCTGACAACGACCCAGAAGTCTTGGAGAAGGAGAAGAAGGAGCACCTTGAAAAGGAGGAGAAGAAATGGAACGAGAAATTGGCTTCTTTCAGCGAAGCATCCGTAAGTTATCCAAAACTGATATGCTTATAGTGTGGCCAATGAATTAACCCTTTCTGTAGGTGAAGGCTGATCAGTCTGAAGATAAACCTATTGACGTCTTGCAAAAGGAATCCAGCGCCGAAATGAAGAAGCAACACTCCGAAGTGAAGAGCACTGTCAAATAGAGCCACCATCAACGGTTCATTACCGGATATTTCAGGTGGCCATTTGCTGTAGCATGCCCATAGCTTGTAGACGCACACCTCCTATGTTGTAAATAGCATGCATTCAATTACATATCATTTTGAGCCAGGTATAAACAGCTTTTTTACTGTGGAAACCCAACTATGCAAACAAAAAAAATTGTATCCAAAAAAAAAAATTAACGAATTAAGTGAATGTGTGAAATTTGGCTATGTTGCTGGGATATGTACAAGGAAAGGCAGGTTTGGATAGAATCATTCTTCACTGTCAGTTAGCAAAGGAGATAATTCCTCGGTACCAGTAGCTAAAGCATCTTGAGAATGGGCCACCGATGAACCGCTTTTCTTACTAGCCTATCGAATAGGAGAAGCCATTGGCATGGAGTAGGGATAAAAGAGCAGTCTAAAGAATTGAATCTCTATACCTTTTCTCGTTTCGCTTCCAGCTTAGCTAGGCGATCTCGTTCCTTTAATTCCTCCTTCAGCTTTTTCTTTTGCTCCCTCTCTGCTACCTTTTGTGCCTTTGCCTCTTCTTTCAGCTTTTTCTTTTCCGCCCTCTCAGCTTGTAGTATTTCCATGGGCTTCTTTTTCTTCGTCTTCTTATTCTCTCCATTAGCATCCTTGAGTGGTCGCTTACGGTTCAGCGCTCCAGTCTTAGATGAGATGGGTGGATATCGTGGACGAGTTCGCCTAGCTGTTTGGTACTCATCTTCCACCAAGTTTCCTTCTGACTTTTCCAATTTTTCGGCAAAGTATGGTTGCAAAAGTTTGATAATACCATCCGTGCTGCGAATGCGGACAAAGGGAGGTGGCGGTGGGTGTTCCAATACAGGCTCTGTGGAAGGAAACAATGGAGATTGGGTTAGCGGTGCTGCTATCCATAAAAACAGTACGTATAAGAAGAAGGAGAGGTTTTACCATTGGATTTTCTGTGAGGATACAAATGTTTGTAAAGGAAATGTTACATTAGCCATGCGTTCCATCCAGTCATTCGGCGTATTCAATGTAAAATACTTACGGTCCCGTTGCCTGCGCCTTCACCTTATCCTTTCCATACCATAATTTAAAAGGGACCTGTAATTGTGGATGATCAATACATACAACTTGAAGGATGATTGAAAAATGAATGTGTTAAAATCACAGCCTGCCAACGTACACTTAAACGATCCATATTAAGTTCTTTATCCAGGCCCAGATCTTTGAATCCAAAGAAATCTTCGCCAATGTCTTCACCAAACGCTCCACTAGGAAGGGCAATAATGTTGCGTTAGTATCGATGTTTTAGATGGATTGTCTCGGTGTAGGGTACTTGCCTAACAAAAGCATCATCTGTTTGGAAGAGAGAGTCATCCCCAAGTTGAACATCGGTTGAGCCCTAGTCATAGGTTGTGTGTTAGTTTTTGAATCATGATGATAGATAACGCATCGAAACAATCTACAAACGCTTACATTGATTAATTCATTGTAGGATGAAGTCAGCTTTCGATGAATATCATTCAGGCGGTGGCCGTATTTTTCAATATCATCATGAATGTAATCCTCTAATTCTTGGATACTTATAACACCATTGTCATACAGTGTGTGGGTTAAGATTTCCTAAGATGCATCGAGTCAGTGATTTGTAGGGCATTTGATCATCCAGGTTGTAGCGTGCTCCAACTAGCTACTCACCTCATCACTCATTTTGTTGCAGTATGTATCCCAGTAGACCCGCAAAGTTTTACCAAGACTGGAAAAGTAGTTGGTAGCTACATCACTGAGAACCGACAAAGCGCTGGATTGAGAAGCTTCAAATCCGGCATGTTCGATCAACTTGACAACGGTGCGTTGCATAAGCTCCTGACTAGCATCTTGGTTGAGAATCAAAGGTACAAGTTCTTGTTGGTCAACTGACGCCTTCCGCTCGCGTATAAAGCTTTCATCAACTTGGCTGGACCATTCACTACCGTCACCATATGGCGCTGCTGATGCACCATCATTGGAGCGGGGAGATGCAGCATCAGCTTCACCGACTTGAGAAGCTTCAGGATAGGTTTGTGACGTATTCATAGCAGTTATCTGAAAGTAATAGACACTATGCTTTAAAACATTGTTTCTGAGCATCAATCACCGAGGTAGTATGCTTACCGGCACATCATTTCGTACAGCGAGACATTTGGCATACACGCGTCGAATTTGCCTCAAAGTTTGCAGGTTGTCATCAATCATTTCTGATGTACCATGATTTGGTATCGCCACAGTGGAATATCTATCGAGCGATACATCCGAATAACTATGATAACGTTGTGTGAGTTTGGCTGTATTACAAGGACCTATTTCATGACGACTGTTCTTACCCATAGTCTTGTTCAGTCTCTAAACCATCGATGCTGCCTCGTCTTCCTTTATCAGGGATATCTTCAGGTATGTCGATAATCTCCGGTATTCCACTGGTGACCGCATACTCAGGAAGGAACAAATCAGATCGCGAACTATCATCAACTTGAGCTTTGTTAGAGTTGGCGATTCGTCGTGATAAAAAGCCATCGTCGAAGCTGTCGTCATCATCCGAATCACAGTCTTCGTATAAGCCGTTGTTACCCTGCTCAATCCAGCGGATAATGCTATCATTACTCGCTGTAATCAATTTACGAATTGTCTCGGGTGATTCATGGGCTTGCTCCATCATACTAAACCGTTTCATCTCGATGAATGAGCGCTGTATGACCGTACGGTCGCCAAAGGGAAGTTCGGATTGCTTTTGAGCATCCGACTACGAAGAAAAGCATCAATAACAGCAAGTAGAAAGCGACTTTAATGATACATTGGAATGCAGCCTTACCGAAACTTTCGCTCTAGTCTTCTTAGTAAGATCCCGCCAAATTTCTTCTTGCAGTATACCCATGTTGGCCTCTATCTCAGCATTTATATTACGTTCTTCTTCATCACGATCGATGACACCGTTGCTTTCTGTATGGGAAACACCAGATAAGCCTTTCAATGAGACTTGCCCATTGCCATGGCCTTCCATATCATGATCAGCTTGAGACCCGTCGTTCGATGGCGCAAGACTAGGTTCTCGTGTTGGATCACTCGGGGTAGAAACAGGGACATCGCTTCCATTCTTTTCCACAGAAGTGTTATTTGCTAAATGCTTGGAAGTTCCCGGAGCCTATTGAAATACGGTCAGTGCTGAGATCAAGCTTTCTCCATGCGAATTCCGAAAAATATCTCACCTTGCGCGAAGCCTTATGACTACTTTCATCAGTTTCATGCCCATCACTTTCTTCGGCTTCATCCTCTGCTTCCACATCGGCACGATCTCGTATATTCACATCGGGAACATGAACAAGCAGTTTGTCTGTCTTCTTACGCATAGCAATGGCATGTTTTCGGTATTCACTCGCTTGCTGTTGGCGTAGTATTAGTAAAAGTTGACGACATAGGTCGAATAATGCTGGCGTTTTCCCCAACTTACAGGATTTGTATTGTACACAAGACAGTTTTCGTAAATAAGGTATAAATCGTCCGCAAATTCCTTCTTGCTTTTATAATGACACGCCTTTAATTTCTTGGTAACCAGCCCAAGATCCATTGGCTTTTTAATCACTGCCGTCGCAACATATATAAGTCATTAAACCTGTCGTCCATCAAGTATTTATGTCCTTTCCAACCTACCATCGTAATAATCCGGCGCTTCACGCTTGTTGACCTTATTGAGGAAAGGCGTGGAGTGCTCCTAAATATGTAACAAGGATGAGATAGGTACATACCAAATATATTTGATGATTTCGGATCGAACCCACTCTTACCGTATAATTCTTAAGATCCATTAAGACTTTTTCACATGATTCATATAATTCTTCTTGGCCAAGCTTATCTTCGTTCGCCTTTACGAGCAGTTGTCAAAAATAGGAAAGACAAGAATATCGCGCCGGTTTGATTGTAGCTTACCCATTTGGAACGGTGAGGTCGAACGTCAGTCAATAAGTTGCGTAACTCACGATCACCTAATTTTGTTACTGCTCGATTCTGCTCGATTGCTTCTAGCAAGTACTGTAATCATGTGTTAGTCAAAAGCTTAGCAATCAAACTTGGTTCATTATTACACACCTTCAAGCTGAAATTTGAGTTCGCATTAAGAATCGATATCTGTAAATAAATGAAATGTTAAAGAGCGTTTTCGTGAATGAAAGCTAGATGAATGACACGAATATCTTACCGTTTTGTCAGATGGATTATCTTTGTCATTCATTTCTTCCTGAGCTTCGTATTCCTATTAAAAATATTAGATGTGAATCAAGTACTTTTCAAGCTTTTTGCTGCGTGTTACCTCCAGTTTCCGTTGCTCAACCATAGCGGCGAGATCATTTTCGAAAGTATGATACACATTCATCAAAGGTACATTCGAAAGTTCCAGAGGAGATATTAGAGCATCGTCCGAAGTGGATTCATCGGCTGCAAAGTAGCATTTTTAAGAAATACTGTTTCGTTTTCTAAAAGTGTAGATGTTAATATCGTACCTGGAGGTGCTGTCTCATCATCAGCCGCATCAGTGGTATTTTGTGAAATTGTTTTCATAGCGGGTTGCAAGACGATAGCTGGTGCTTGATTCTGTATGGATGCGTCTAAATCACCCGAGCCTTCAATAATCTTATCGTATTTGTCGGTCGAAAGACCTTGTAAAATATCGTCTATGGCATTCGAGTGTTTACAGCATGGTTTCGAGCACTTGTAAAGCTGTGGAACGAGTTGGTCGAATATCATAGCTCGTACTCTGAATGCGGCCACTTGTTCGTCTGACATTGTGCTGGATTGGGATTCATTTCCTGGTAACTCATCGTCGCCGTTTGCTTTAGCCGTGTCGAATCGGTCTGTTGCCGTGATGAAGAGACTCCACTTGTCAAAATTAGTCACGGCATCTTTGAAGATCTGAGACTCCGAAGGCGTAAGAAACTGCGTGTACAGGTTTTCCGAGTCCAGATGCCTTGCGATTATAAAGGACACCTTTGTCAGCGCCGGAAGCACCTGACACTTTTTCCTCTCCATTGGTTGGAAAACTACGTTGTATTATACTTCTGTGCGCTGGGTTCAACGCCGGCAGCTCTGTCCTGGTCAGTTAGAGTCACGGGAACTTTATCACGTGATCGAGTCGCGACTTCTCATGTCTAGCCGGTACGATGGATGTTGTCGCCAATCAAAAAGACATTTTGTCGGCTGTACAAACATGTTCACCACTTCTATTCACCAATTAAGGCTCTTCAGATTAGGGCTTTTATATACACTAGCTGCGAATGAAAGTTTTGGAATAGGCTTTTTAGATAAAGTACGTTTAAACTGTGAAATTTCATGTGGTAAGGTGTACTGAGCAACCATTTGGTGGAATAGCACTCGATATTCAACACAACCAAAGTGCTTATCATAAGCTCGTTTTTTTTGGACGTTTATAGCGTCACCGATGGACACACCTTTGTATTATAACTAACAGCTTCAGGCGTAATTCCAAATCTTCAGCATTGCTGCTGACGATAAATACATTGAATGTACAGAGAGAAAAAGAAACAAAAGAATAAAGAATAAATGCTACATAAGTTAAAAGTTGTAATGAGGTTAATATTTGCTGCTGTATTTATCCAAGTAACCATTCAGCAACCAGGTCGATTTCCAGTGAGTTCAAGTCTTTTGTGCTCTCAAGTAGCAATTGATCAGGTTCGAATTCGTTATCAGAGTCGTCGAGAAACCACTCTTCATCTTCACTTTCGAACACCTGTGGTTTTGCTGACGTGTAGTCATCTTTTTGATAAGTAGGAGGATAGGCGAATCGAGACATGGGAATCACATCATCAATGTCAGAGTATTCATCGCTGCTATCTCCATTAAGCTCGCTCAAGTCCAGAGTTCTTTCAACAGCATCCAATTCGTCACAATCCGTGACGGTCACTATCGGCGCGATTCTAGCTTGAATATAGTCTTCTGGGTTGCTGATTAAAAGTGACTCGATGGCTTCCTCTCGTTTTCTGGACAGTCTATGATGATGTTCACAGACTGGCTGCCAAGGATCGGTTTGTACAGCATGGTCATTGGTAGAAGTGGTCATCTCCCGGCCATCATTGGGCTTTGCCTGCCCAGCAGGCAGTATTGATGTAGGCTTTGGAACAGATGGGAAAGACACACCTTGAACTTTTAAGAACATTTGCAACAGATTTGCTGCATCTTCTACGCTGTTTACGGTAGTCATCTTGTTGTGCAGTAAGACGAGATCGGCAGTGGACAATTGTACATGTTCGTTCCTTGGAGGTTGTTGGTTTAGCGACGATACTCTTTTCGCTGCGACTGCGGAAGGACGATTACTGTTCTTGGAGGGTACTTGATCCATTGACATGGAGCTTACAATGGTGCGATGAGCAGTAGCTTTGAAGGCGCTGACAGGTTGTTCTTTACCAACATCGTCATCATCATCACTGTCGACGGTCTCGGATGCAACAGAATCTGTCTCCTCGTCGCCGCCGGCTGCTGTAACGACCATTGACATTCTATTACGAGATTTCTTGACAAGATTGGGAGATCGTGGTGCAATAATAATAGATGGTCGTGCTACCTTGGTTTCGTTAGTAGTAAAGTTGTGGCTAGGAGAGGACGGCCTTTCTGGTTCCGATCGGATTACAGTTTCGGTTTTGGCATTACCTACTGCCGCCGTCTTTTGTGTACCATTTCGAATCAATTCCAAAGACATCTTTGGCATGGTGCTGTTTGCAGGAGGTGCAGGAGCTGATTTTATCAAAGAGCTCAACGTGCTGCTCTGTGACATCAAAGAATCCCTCCGATTTGGTTCATCACCGTCACTCTCAGAAGGCAGGGATGTGATTGAATTCATTGTTCGTACGGATCGTGTGGAAAAGGTGGGAGACGCGGGTGAGTTGATAGTGGATGGAGGCTGAGGTTGACCATTTTGTGCAGTAATCATATTATTTCGCATATTGGATGGAATAGGAGGTACAGATGGTGGATCGGCCCAGCGTGTCTGTTTTCTAGGAGGAGGAACAGGAGGACGATTTTCTTTCGAAACTGGTGATCGACTGTTGGGTAGGCTTGGCAGGCTTTCGTCTTTAATAGCATTTTGAGCCATGTTTTGAAGAGCAACGCGTTTCAGCATATCAGACTTGGGAGGCGGAATGATCTCAATGTCGGGTTTCTTTCGGCGCCAGGCATTTTGAGCATCATCTTGTTGCTCCTTATCTTTTTCTACTTCAATGGACTTTAATCTATTAGGTGTTAAGGTCACCTTCATTGTACCTCCAGACAACATGAGAGACTCAAAGTCCATTGTTTTGGTGTCATCATCATCGATAGTGGGCGACGGCGATGAAGCACGACCAATCATGTCTTTTTCAATGTCCTTGGATTGGGTCTTCTTCTTCTTACCAAACAAGCGGAAGCCAGTTCGCGCTTTTGGAGTTGATGAAAGCGAGCCAGCGCTACCATTTGCAAAAGACTGATTCAAGATAGACACTGGTTTATATGTGGAGCTTTTACTTGGAGTAGGAGCTACTCTGTTTGTTTGAGATGCACTGGAAGGTGGTCGTTGGGGAAATTGTGTGGAGTCGGGTCGAGTCAAACTTGGATCTGATCGTATACTGCTTTGATCTGCGTCATAGTCGATCTCTCTATCGAAGTCACTTTGATATTCTACGCAAGTACATGGGAATTGATGTATGTCAGAAAACAAGCAAACATCGTGAATCCTACCAATAACTTTTCAACTTACCTTCCATACCAGAAATTTCGCTGTTCAACGTGGACGTAGGGGACATCGGCACTGAAAATTTCGATGGTATTCCTGGGGTTGGCGAGCTGACCCGTCCGTTGACATTGCCTTCGGGATAGAGCCTCTTCTCTAAACGAGCCTTGACCTCCATCCTCATAAAAGCAGATCCTACTTGTGAATCCTCTAACAAAGAAGCATAGACTTCCTTGATACGAACATGCTCCAAATCCTCTGCTTCGCAAATTCTAGCCGTTCCCAATAATACATACTCAGCAATATGTTCGATAATTGCGGTAAGGTACATGGCTACAATGGAGGAAACGACAGTCGACTTATTTGGCTGTGTTGGTATAACCTTGGATTGCTTGGAAATCAATGCACCATATTCACTAGATCTACTCCTGACTTGTTGCACAACGGTATCAAACGGTAGAGCAGGCCCAAACCTGATGGATCGCACCTTTTCATATAACTGTAGCTCGGTGTCGGTTTCAGCAGATGCAAGGTAAGACTTGAGTTCCAATTCGGCTTCGACAATAGCGTTTTTCCCGAGAGGTGTATAAGAGAGCGTATGAGATACGGCAGCCTTTAACTGGGCTAAGTCCAAACAAGCAGCGTTTTCGAGGAGCATGACCAAATATTCGTCCAAGAATTGATTGATAGAGTTCAAGGCATCGCTAGAAATACGAAGTGACCCAATCTCTGCAATGATGGCGATGGCCGCTTGAATGGAAACATACTCTTTGCCTATTTGGAGAATGAACTGGCCATCAGCGAGATGGACTAAGCGGGGGCAGGCTATGTACTAACAAGATGAAGGCTAAGACTTGTTATCTTACCGTTATACGAAGACTTTGTAGGCATGATGTCTTTTAATGATATGGTTGTTCCAGACAACACTGTTGGCTATCAATGCCAGGCAGGACGATATTTCCTTCGCAGAAGGATAATAAGAAAAAGTGCAAAGGCCTAATGAAATGATTGGATCGACTTCGCCAAGGTAGTACAGGACAGAGTCGCTTCTTGAATTTTCGCGGCCGAAATGAGCTAAATCGAACAAGTCGATTTTTGCAATGATTTTTTAGCTCTATCAAATTGTAGAAGCATATCGCCAAACTCGGCCGTCAACGAGTTCAATGTCGATGATTCTTTGGTGTTTCAAAAAGAAGTTTTTTATTTTTTTGGACGAAGGTGGCTTCTTTCGCTGATGTGGGCCGATAGAACACTGGCAGCCACTGCATGTTTTGGGTCACCCGCTTTTTCCCCTCTTGACGGCAGTACCACAAGGGTCCGCGGGCGGGCTTATTTACCAGTAACACTGACAATTTGCGATGGATTCTTCCATTGTGACACTCTTATGCTCTAAGTTTATTTCGGGCAAAAAGTCGCTGGCTAAGCCGCAGTGCGTTGCCACCAACCTAATACAGGTCCACCGCCATAGAACACGCCATTACAAGCTTAGATATAAAAATGCAATCCGAAAATTCAGGTGTATGCGCCAGTTACTACATTATCCCATCCTTCCACAGTCCATTGTAAAGCAGTTTTCTTTGGTTTCAAACCGATTTTTCATTTTTGAACTATCGAATGAATACTATCGGAGTAGGAATGATAAAGACAGATAGTACAAAGGCCGTTCAATACATGAGCCGCTAGTCCCTATGTATTCTCCTATTTCAAGAACTTGTTTAACAAATTGGCTGCTACAGCTTCAAAACCACTACCGCTACTGCCACCTTGTTGCTGCTGCTGCTGTCCGTACGGTGCTTGTTGCTGTTGATGGTTGTAGTCTTGCTGCTGTCCATACGGCGCTTGTTGCTGTGAATGGCTGTAACCTTGCTGCTGTCCATATGGTGCCTGCTGGTGAGGCTCATTGTATTGTGGGGGTTGACTATAGCCACTTTGGCCTTGATTTGGAGGTGCATTTGAGTAATTTGAAGCAGCACCTTGATGGGAAGGAGGTGGAGCATAGCCCGAGGCATTGGATTGATGTGAAGGAGACTGGCTGTAGCCACCGCTTTGAGAGGAAGAAGGTTTGGACCCTCCTCCCATAAACATTCCCATCATGCTTTCAAGAGGGTTACTACTGCCACCCCCGGCTGCTTGACCAGCGGCTGAGCCTGCCTGCTTACTAGCATACAACTTGATGGCCATGGAAACGGCTTTCTGGATCATAGCGCTCTGGCCACCACTACTACTACTACTACCTTGTTGAGCTCCTGTGCTACCGCCAGACTGCTTACCCATCAACTTTGTGACTTCGCTCATAGCCATACCAATAACAGATTGCAAACTGCCAGAGCCACTGCTACCAGATCGTTCTACAGCTTGCATGGCCGCGGCAGAAGCAACATCGTCATCGTGAACTGGCTGGTTACCTCTGCTGCCTCCACCGTACACATTTTGGTGAGCTGCTCTAGCTTGTTCAATCTCATGGGGTTGTGCTTGTTCATGCTGTGGCTGTCCGCTTAGTACTGACGATAACAGCGAGCTGAACATAGACTTGTCGTTTCCAGTTTCCCGACTGGCGTACTCTGTTGCTTCATCAAACTCTCCGTGGTGCCAAGCGCCAGAGTTTTGCCCTTGTCCATATATGGTTTGTGCATCTTGGTGTGGTTGCTGAGGCGCCGTGAAACCTCCACCATGGGGAGCTGGTGCTTGCTGGTAGCCTATAAAAATAACCAGCGGTCGGTATGGGAGCGACACAACGAAAAGAAGAATACGAAAAAATATTAACCTTGATAGCTAGAGTTTTCTCCTTGTGGATAAGACATGAGGATTACTTATTCGGCCCGGAATTCGCGGAAAGGCTCGTATTTATTTGAACCTAGCATGAGGCAGTCACAAAGTAACATGTCAGGGCTGCGGGTCTCGAATGTGTTGGCATCAAAGGCTTGGCTCCTACTAGCTGGTCTTTCTTGTTCTCGTCTTCTTCTGATATGCAAAGTCGTAAACTGGTTGTCAACTGTGGTATAACTTTTTCCAATAGGATGTACTGGTCTATTTCATGTTGGACCGAATAGTAACCCTACTTTCTATTACGACACAAAAGTTGCAGCGCGTGGTCTTGCAGAGACAGGGGTCTTTGGTAAGAGGGTGTTTCATCGTACCTTAACGCATTCGTCTAGCGCAATGGATTGGAATAGAGTAACAGTTTAACAAAATGACTAATTCATCACGTATAGATAGGATGGATCCGTTCGTAGGGTGTTATATCGTGCCATCGGATAAGCATCGCACTCAGAATCACAAGGATGGCGGTTCTGAACCACATTGGAATGAAACACTTTATCTGTAAGGTTTCAGTTATGTCACTATCAGCCATCCCCTTGCTTTTTCTTTGCTGTTCTGATTCCATTGTTATTTAACTCGTAGAGATGTTCCAGCTGGCGAAAATAGGCTGTATGTTGAAGTCTTTGATGAAGATCCTCGATCAGCTGGTATCATCGGCGGTGTGGCCATCGAGCTGTCAGAAATCACCAATAGCGGTCGACTGGATAAATGGTTTGCCATCAGAAGATCCAATGGCAATCAGTCTGGAGAAATACACTTGGTGTTGAATGTAGAGGTATGATTTTACAGTATCCACAATGCTGGATGGGATGCCAGGCAGGCGATCATATTAGGTTGTTAATAATTGATAACTAGGGTTCGCCAGGACATGCCGGTTACGCTCCTCCCCCTCCGTCTTTTGAAAATCAACAATATCAAGCAGCGCCTCCACAATATAATGGTCCTGCCTTAGGGTACCCTCAAGAGAAAAGCCCTTCCTATGGTCTTCCCCCCTCTTACGATGGTCCATCTACAGGCTACCCTGGCGAAAAGCAATACAATGATTTGGGACCTCAGGTTCCCATGCCCCTAAACTATGGATCTGGTAACCCGCCGCCGTTCAGCCCACCGCCTCCTCAGCAATACAACACCCCTATGTTCCCGCCCCAATCATCAAACTCTCCCTATAGCTATGGTGAGCAAACTCCAAGTCAAGGATCGTCCGGTGGTTACAATAGCCCATATACCCCTGGAATGACTTCATCAAGTCCGTATACCAATACAACAGAAGCCTATCAATCTGCAGAAACGAAAGCATCGGCTGGTAAGCAGCCTGGCAAACCCACGCCTGATTGGATGGTAAGTCATCGCTCTGCCACTGGGATACAATAATTGGCCGGACAGCTGAACTTACGATATTTATAGAAAATGGGTGGAGCTGCTTTGGCTGGCGCTGCTGCTGTTGGTCTTGGTGCTTGGATGGTGGATGAAGTAAAAGAACACAATGAGCATAAGCATGAACATTACCAACAGCAACACCATAACAAAAAACAGCATCAACATGGTCATCATCACTAATTTCGATACAAAGTAAAAATTATCTTGCGTACCATGTGAACTTCACTCTGCAAATCTTTCATTATTTTAGGAAAAATTGACTTTAGCGCAGACGTTTAAAATAATGTTCATGATATAACTACTGAGTGTACCCCAATTCGAGATAAACAACATTGCATCCGAAAGTTGATGGTATTGCGTTTTCAATCTTGTTCGTTTCGCCAGACGGAAGATAGGATAATTGTAAGTTTGATGGACAAGAACATTTGTACCCCATGACTTTCTGATGGTTTGGCAGTGCAAGGAAAAAAAGAAAAATAATAAATCAGTTATATGACCATGATCTACCATGCTAGCGTTGGTCTCCCGTACCCAGTCCATCGAATAAGACTCTTGCCCCCTCCTTCCCCTTCACCAAGCCCTGTTATGACCATTTCAGTTTATCAAGATGCAGGATAATGGTATCATGAAACCATAAATTCGACAGGATAGTGAACGAGCATGAGGTAGAGGCAGATGTAGTAACAGAGAGACAGGATAGAGAACAGCATGATATATGAGATATAGTTCACTGGTTAATGAAATTCAGCAAATTTATTTTATAGGCTACTTGACTCAGCCCACGTCGTACGCTTTCTATACCATGACTGCATCCCCGAGTAGCCCACCCTTGCCCCATGTACGAAGAAAAGAAGAAAAAAAAGAACCCATGGCCTCCATTCAATATCCACGTTCTGCGATCGACATGCATAGGTCATGATGGCATTCAAGGAGTGGATATAGCCAAAAAAAAAAAAGAGGATGGACGTAACCTTCGAGAGCCCAAGTTGCACAGATTCGCCGCCTAGTCTCTTTCTCTTTGGATGAAGCGGAGTGAAGGCTGTTCTCCAAAAACCAAGGGGGACAGGCATACACACACACAAGATCTGAGCGGGCGGCGCAATAACAAATTTTTTTCAAAAGTGACTTCGACTATTGTTGTACAGCATCGGTTCTCTGCTTTACTCTCTTCGTCTCACCTTAGCGTTTCCGTTTTTTCTCTCTCTCTTTCTCTCTCTCTCTTCTTTCTATCACCCATGTCGGTCGTATTACGCTCAGCTTCTGGTCCCTTGAACGATATCACTTTGAAAAAGCAACTGAGCGTAGATCGTTCATCTTGTATTAAATCAAAAACATCGAACCCTAGTGTGCCTGCTGCCGCTCGTTCAAAGACTTCAAGTTTACCACTGGCACTTTCAACACAGGAAACTAGCCCGCTAGCTGAATCCAAGCCTTGCTCGAAACGAAAGCCTTTGAAGGACATTACTCTCAAAGTATGTCATAAGCTGCCACTAAGCGTCGCTTCATGCCACACCAGCGTATGTAGTTTATCATTTTGATATATTTTCTCCACTTTTCATTGCTATTTTTTGGGCCATATCGTGCAAAAGGAATCACTGGTACACCATAAAAAAAACCCAGGTGTAACACCAGGCGTGTTTGATTTCGGTGTTTTCCTTCTGCGGATGCCCCGTCAGCTTTTGACTGGTCGGTTTATCAGCCTCCTCTCCCCCCTCCCCTTTCCGGTTACCATGGTAACCTACCATGACTATCCTGCCAATGCATTATGCTCGGTAGCTAACCATCAACTTGTTATGATATAGCCTGCTGAACCAGATGTCGACTTCACTATTTATGTGGATGTCCCGCCCACGCAACAGCAGCCGCAACCTAAAACAGACAAGTCCACCCAGGTACAAATCGTCCAAGTGGTTACACCCAAATCGGATAAAACAGTTGATGAAGGTACCCTTGGCAAAGAAAATATCGCTCCGACTACCATATCCGTTGCGCAAAAGAAGAATGACAACCTGCTTATGACCGTCGACAAGTCACTAAAGACCACCAAGAAACAGCCAACAAAGAAGCAACCGTCGTCTCAATCAAATAAAAGTTCATCCGATGCTACAGCACTCAAGCGTAAACGCAGGACAACCTTGACTATGGAAGTTTCCACATCGACAAAGCGAGCCTCTCTTCGAATGATGCGATAATTATCATGTCTCTCGACACCTCAACCATCTTGCACTATTATTTAACTGACCGGAAACGAAAGAGCACTCTACCAAAAAAAAAACCACCCCCAACCTTTGCATGCTTATTTGGCGCGCTACCCTGTACAATTTTTCTTTTTTTGCTACTTCTCCTTTTCATGCTTTCTCTTTAATTGCCTCGGTTCTCACTTTTTTTCTATTCCAAATACCCTGTCTTCCCCTCGAATACCCTTTCACAAAAAGTCCATGTACATACCTTATTTTCTTCAATCACATCGTCCGTAGTCAACCCTTTTTTTTGTACCGCCTAAAAATTCCCCCTCATCCATATTACAAAAAAAAAAAATTGCACATTCAACTTGCTCTCCAGAAATAAAATATCTGCGCATATCTGTAAAACTGAGCTTTTGCGATTCATAAGCTATGCTATGCATGAGAAAGAAGCCAATATTTTGGGCATACATCATGCAATCCGCTAGTTAGCAATTGTGGCCAATGGAGGGGAGGTCTGAACCTATTCAAAATGAAAGGATGCCGAATTTGGCTATTACTAGGTCTGCTAGTCTGCATGTTAATATGCAGCAAAACAAACCTCTTTGGATTCAAGCAGTGCTGCTGTGTCTTATTCACGCCTATTTTATTTTCTTTGATTGCACAAATTGATATATTATCACAATCGCACAGAAAGTCATCTGGATGGTTCATCCATGCGCTTCCCACCGTAACTGTCACGCCTCCTTCCTCTACCTGTCAATCTCACAGACTAGGGGACACTGCCTCCCCCGCCCCTTTCGGGTTTGAAAATATTAATACTACTCAAGATTAGAAGGTTTTTATCTCACATAATGTCCTCCTTCTATGCAATCTGAACAGATGAGTAGGTTTTGAGGTACCCCGTTCAGTACAAGACCACTTAGTGTTGGTGCAACGTTACCGACCTCAAGTTTCAAAATTGGTGGAATAGCCGGCACCCATGGTCCGCGATTTACTCACGAGGAATCCAGTGTAGTACTTTGACCCACATTGCCTAATTATAGCGGTGGTAAGACTGGTTGATCACAAACTCATTGAGTAACAAGGCAGGGCAATTATACCTTTTAATCAGCTTGACGACGATGGAAACAGTACACTATCTAGTGATGCAGACAATGATAAACCTCCATATACCCTGTTATCCGTTTAGAAGTATGCAATGATATTATCACGCTATTTTTTCAGGAGGGATCGCCCTCATGTACTCCTTGCCAAAGAGTTATCTGAACAATTGAGAAACTATCAATTCTCAAAGGTTTGGAAACCTTGAATGGGCTGGTGTTCTTCCTGAGATGCTAATATCGTTCAACCTGTCAGCATAAACTGCGCTCGCCCGCCTCAGAGGAGAGAGTCACGGAAAAATTGCTTGGATAAGATTTCGAATCAACCCGGAAACGACAGACTACTATTCTCTTTTTCCAATGCTATTCACTGAGCTTACCCATCCACAAATAATTGGTGCACTAGCAGGTAAACTTGCGCGACCAGCCAGTCACCTGGATGCTTATCATATCAAATTTGTGCTCAATAGTACTAATCCATCCTCATTGTACACCTATCAGCCGCTGGTCACGGATCTCAAATCCTGATCACCGACGCTAACTTTCCTGTGTCAACCGCCACACCTTCAACTGCTACAAGAGTCTATCTCAATCTTCGTCCTGGCCAAGTTTCAGCAGATGGTAAGGGATAGCACGCGCATAGTGCGTTAGCTAAGGGGTTATGCTGAAACAACTGCTCTTTAGATGTTCTTGCCACCCTCCTGACTGCCGCCCCCATCGAGGCAGTGCACGTTATGGAACCTTCTTCCGAATTTACTACCTTGGATCATAAGGGCGAGGTACCTATCTTTGATATCTTCCGAGATCTTGTGAAGAAACAGAACGATGGCCTAGAACTACAAAAGATTGAACGCTTCGCGTTTTATGACTTCGCCCGTAATCAAAATGTCACTCTTGCTATCCAGACCGGTGAAACTCGCCTTTACGGTAATATCATGCTGACTATTGGTGTCAGGCACCCTAAGGAATAAGCGGGAGAGGGTACCTTCATAATTGAAACAGAGAAAAAAAATAAAAATAAAAATTATTTCTTTGTTGAATGACTTTGAACGTGAAAGCAACGTATACCTTTTCGTAATGAACTCCAATGCTAGCGAACGCGACGAGAAGAAAGGTGAGAAAGGAACTATGGTTTTTGTTTTTGAGCATGCCGATTGAACTTGTCCGGGAATACCCAGATCATGATCGTAATGGAGTCGACCATCCCTCCGCCAACCACGCTTCGAATCAAGCCCCAGCCAAAAGGCGGCTCGAATCTACTGAAGTAGCAGTACCCACTTCCAGCCCTAAAAAGAAAAGAATGGTATGGTATTTTTGCTGATTTTTTACAATCCTATCCTGGATGGTTTCATGACCTATCAACTTCTGTACGTAGAAGCAGAAGTCAGCCAGCATCAACATCCTGCAAACCACGCAGCCACTGCCCTTGAAGGAAGTACGCGAGTTTATTTTAGCATGCCTGCAACCATCTGCACAACATCCCGGTTGGGCTCATTTCACCAACCGTGCCAAGATCAAACATGTTGCGTTGCTTTACGTCCATGGACTGACGGAAAGCATGCTCCAAGACCCTCCGTACATCAATGAAATATTTAAGGAAAAGTACAATACACATGTAGCTGGCAACAAAAAATCGGTACTTCGAGATCCATTTTTTGACCTCATCCAATGCCCTATGACGAAAAGTGCTAAACGTCGGCAAATGGCAGGTAAAGAGTTTTCATAATGTCTGTTGCTGTGTATGAACTGAGCTGATTCGCTTTGATATAATTTTCCATCTGCATAGCTCTGAAGGCCAAAACTCTATCTCCAAAAGATCTGATCCTCGATCATTCCCAATTAATAGCTTATAGCTATCCTATTCATAGTTATCATCAAGCGGATTCAGAACTTCCTGAAGGATGGATGGAAACCCCAATAGATAAAAGCAAGATGGTAGAGGACCCAACACGCATAATTTCTTTGGACTGCGAGATGGTATAGTACTCCACATTTTTATAGATCGAATGTTGTCCTCCAGACAGTGTCAATATTTGAATGTTTGTTTGATAATACCTGGCTGACTCGTGTATTAACAGTGTGTCACGACCAAAGGAAGGTCATTGACAAGAGTAGCACTTGTGGATCGAGGTGAGTACTGATGTTCAGTTATGATGACGGCTAAACAATTACTAATGATTGTATCAACACACACACAAGATGGCAAATTACTGCTCGATGAATTAGTAAAGCCAGACGTACCTATCATTGACTACGTTACACAATATAGTGGGATCACGGAAGAAATGTTGAAGGACGTTACAACAACGCACGAAGAGGTTCAGCATATGGTTATGAAACTCTTAGATGAAAACACAATGTTGCTTGGCCATAGTCTGGACAACGATCTTCAAGCACTGCGTATACGACACCCATTTATTATTGACACGGCTGTGACGTTCCCCCACCCTAGTGGACCGCCACTCAAAGCATCCCTAAAATGGCTCACAAACAAGTGGTTATCTAAAGACATACAAAGCGCAAGTTCGGGGCATCATCCTGTTGAGGATGCGCAAGCATGCCTTGACTTGGTGGAAAAAAAGCTAAGACAAGGGCCATCGTTTGGAATATTTCAGTCTGACATGGATAGCATATTAGATCATCTGTCGGATGCAAGTCAGCCGAAAACTGGTGCCATCCTTTGTAGTAAAAACACGATGACCAGCAAAAATCAATCACATGCTAATCAAGATGACAGTTACTTTATCACGGCAGACGATGATGAGTTAGCTCACCAAGTGTGTGCGAAGATAAAACAAAAAGATTTAATTGTGGCTCGGTTCAGATCCTTGGAAGAAACCCTTTTTCAGCAACCGCCGAAACATGAAATGGAAATGGCCATCCAAAGGTTTCATGACTACGTTCAAAAGATTTACGACGAGGCTCCTACTGGCACAGTCGTCGTCGTTGCAAATGGTGGTGGAAACCGGCGCAAATATAATAGGCAAGTCCAAGGTGTCTTGTGAATTTTAGCATTGAAACTCCGGTGTTAACCTGACATGCATGATTTTGGACGAATAGGTTAACAGAAAGACTGAAAATATATGAGACTGCGTTGAAGAAAGGAGAGGAGGCGCCAGCAGAGCACCTTTGGACCGATGATCTTACTGCAGAAAGAGAAACCGAGTCTTTGCTTGCCCGCAGTGGCCTCCTGCTGGTTGCATTGAAACCAATCGACTGATTCCAGAATATCCACGCAAAACTGCCACAACGACAAATTTGGCAACACAAATAAAAAAGTCTTTTTTGCATCAACGTACCACAATTTTTCTAAAAGAATCAGTTTAAAAACCTCTGCCAAGCTAACCTGCCGTTCTCTTCTTTCTTCGATCACTATGAAAACATTAGCACCATTCCTTCGCTTCTCGTATCGAGCATCTCCTCCATCGTCGAAATCAACCATCTTACTGGATGGCCAACCAGATTTTCTTTTTGAATGTTCGACCTGCATACCGCACAAGACACAAAATATCTCCAATGAGGTTGGTAACCTAAAGAAATATGAATCTGTTTGTAGCCAAGGAGATGACTGAACTGTATTAAAGAAACTTTATGAGGTTCACACTGTGCTTTGTGATCAGCATGAATGTATCTTACAGTCCATCAAATCCACTCATTCGACACTCAACACCTTGATCCGTGAGAGTCGAAATTTTACAACCATCATGCAAGATCTGGCATCTTCCTATTTGGCAACACTTGATGCATTCAATACGCTGGACGTATCCTGCATTGCGGAATTTGAAGAAAGACTGATGGTAATGTCATTTCCTGACTGGGTACCCCGTTTCTTTGATCACGAGTCTTTGGCGCTAAACCCCCACCTACCTCCGACTTTGGACCATGCCTCTCACGTTAGACGATACAGCTTGGAAAGAAACTCGGAGCAAAAACAACCACGTTGTTGCAAGACGTTTTGAGGATTGAGCAAAGCATCTGGAATTATCAGAAAACTTGCATGGATATGCTTACATCGATTTCTGTGAACGATGACGCCATGAAGAGATGGATCTTGTACCTAGAAATTCAAGCACAGCAGCAGTACGAAGAACAATTTAGACACTTAAAGGTAAGACGACGGTGCGAAAAGAGGTTGCATGTGAGCTTTCCTTTGTTGATGTGTACTCACTGCCTTTTTTTTTTTTTGCAACAATTTCAAATTAGGCATTGTTTTCAAGCTGCTCGCCGTCGTTAGCTGATTTCACTTGTGCAATCTGTTTGTCTATTTATCACGACCCGACCAAGCTTCCAAGTTGTTCTCACAACTTTTGCAGGTCTTGCTTGGACCAGTGCCCTCCGCTAAGAAAGACGTGGGCCCCCGATCAACCCCGAGCATGTCCACTGTGCCGCACCCCATTTTTACTATCACAGTGCTGTGACGACACTGAAGTTGCCAAGGCACTGAAAGCGTTCTTTCCCAAGCAACTGAAAAAAAAGCAAAAGGAATATAGCAAAGAGCGTGTGCGTGAACGATGGCAGCGGTTTTTGCGTGGAACCGTGTATACATCGTCTGGCGACACTCTATATACCATCACCGGCTCTGTCATCATCGCATGGCATGAAAATCCTGAAAGTGTAGACAGTGACCAAAGGGCTAGAGCTGAAATTATGAGCTTTGTGGCCTGGCCATTCTAGTGGTGCATTTTTAGCGTGTAAAATTTTGTAGCAACATCTCTCATATTAATGATAAAAAGAAAAAGTGTTCCCGGCAGATTTTGTTTCCAGCGGGTCTTATCGGTGAATCGTACCACTGTGCAAAGCACGTGTACCACATCCATTTTGGTTGAATTGGAAAACAGATGGCACGGACAGACAAAGCCACTGTAGAAAAATTAAACAATCGACGAAATGGCATTTGCACTGTGAATGACCTTGTGGCTGAAATTCAATGTTGATTTCCAAAACAAAGGTACAAAATGGTTACTGAGACTTGTAGGTGTACAGGTGTGTAGCCGCTAGCTTGACATGAACAATGGAAAGTAGTCTCCGTCAACGCCTCCATGTCTGACGTTGAATAGTCGCGACAGTCTGGCCCACAGCTGAATCAAGCATCCAATTTTCCTTTCAGAGAAGCGGTCTTATGAAAGGAAAGCCTTTGTCTGGTGTGGAATTGGTTTTTGGCAATATGGCGACTACCAAGCGGTTGGCACTTTCTACTGCAGCACCTACAATAGGCAAGTGCACGCCATAATCGGCTTGCCCGAAAGAAACCCCGAACAGCTCTGGGCAGTAGTGTGCAGGAATCCGTTCCACACGAGAAAAAATGTTCTTTGCTTCCAGACCACTGACAAAGTAAGGGGAAGTCATGCTTATATTTCAATTAAGTCAATTGCTGTAGGGAACAAATTGAACCTTCAGCAGAATCCAACAGCATGTTCTTCAAGAGCGGTTTCATCTATGCAGGCGGTTCAGGAGCAATGATTTGAATTAACGAAAGTACTATTTAAAGATTGTACAATGCGCTGGGAGCTAGCATTTAGTGGACATCTCTTTCCATTGCACGTTTTCGCAAAATGATACGATGCTTAGTAACATAAGTTAGTTTGTAATCTCAGCATCGCTTAACTCTAAATGTTTCTTGCGGAAATGCAAAGTTCAAACAAGGGGGATGAATTCTGCCATTCAAGGGTGGACGACCCCGTAACTGAAACTCAACGTTCAACTGTAAAAGAAAGATGCGAAGTGAAGCATTGGCAGAAAAGCTGGGGGCATTAGTGTAGTACACTGTTCAGTCAGGCCACTTTAACAACGAGATTGGGATGTGACACCCTAAACACAGTGTTGCATTCGCTTGTGATGCACGCACTCAGCATTCCCTTTTGCAGTACGCTCGCCTTCTACCGAATGCTTCTCCGTGCGCCAATTCTTTTTTCCACGCTTTGGGTGTGGGTTGACCTTGAGACACATGAGGATTACATTAGTTTCAGTACGCCTATTTTATTTTCTCATTTGCCTTCATTCCAATTGGAATGCAGAAGTAAACCCTTCCCATTAGCGCCGCCATAGTAATCACCCTCTTTCCCTTCTCTTTCGTCTTGACCATGTTGCAAACTCATAGGAATGGTCTTGTGGCACTGCGCAAACTGAGGAATAAACTTTGGGCTGAGCGGCCTCTTGCCATTTATGGATGACCGTCGGCATCAGCCACTAGAAGACATGGTATGTCCCATTCGACCGAGAGAACTTTGCCATTTTAAAGCCAGAGGCTGAGCCTTACCCACATACTATAAAGGCGCCCTGACTTGCGTTGATCACCAAATCCTGACTTTGTTCGCAACCTCCCAACTCTCGACACTATGGTAAGTCACTCCTTGCCGTTCCGCCGAATTGCCGTGTTCAAGTCACTAATATAGAACTACATTGGAAAAAAAGACATCTGTTGAGCAAAGAAAAAGCAATCTTGTATCTAGCGACGGTGAAAAAGCTCTTTTCACAAACGCTTTGAAAACAGCAGAAACCTTTGATAGCAACAGCACTACCAAGGAATCAAAGGCTTCAAAGACCTCACTGAACAAATTTTTGGGCAAAATTCAAAATTTCATGGGTGTGACACCAAAGACGAATGCTGTTATCAAGGAATCACTTGGTCTCACATACAAGCAGAAGGAAATCCTTGTCTCGGCCATGGTCAAAAGGTATGTAGATAGGTATAGAGACGGCTATCTACGTGGAGATGGTATTAATCTTCAGTCATCTTCTTTAGATACGCTGACCGAAACGAGCCTACCGATGACCGCGAGAACTTGTTTGAAAAGATCATTGAAACGCTGTCAGAGTTGAAACCAGGCAACCAGGACCTGATTGACTTTATCACCAAGCCACTTGTTTTGGAGTTCTATGTAAATGTGGTTTTTTTACACTGCAATGAATGGGTAATCACGGATACTGATATCATTTTGGTTAGGCCGATATCCCAAAGCCATATAGAAGTTATGTTGGTCAAAACTATCGATCAGCAGATGGAAGCGGAAATAGTGTTGTGCTACCTGACACAGTAAGTTGGTAGCTCTCTCCTATGGAATTTGAGAATGACACCTGCTTACATCCTTACTTGTTTTAAGGGGAAATCTGGTAGCAACTATGCGCGCACGGTGACTTCATTCGCTCACACCAGCGAGAAGCTACCCGACCCCAATTTGGTTTTTGACAAGCTCTTCAAGAGACCTGCAGGCTACTTTGACCCCCATCCTGCTAGCATCAATATGTTGCTGTTTTGTGTGGCCATTCTCATCACACACGATTTGTTCAAATCCGATCCTAAGAACCCCGCAAGGAACCTAACGACTAGCTATCTTGATCTGTAAGTTTACAAAGTAATGGATTGCAATTCATTGGAGATGTTCAACTCATTGGTATTGAATAGGTCGCCACTCTATGGTAATAATGAGCAAGAACAAAAGTCGATCAGAACTATGAGCAAAGGTCTCCTGAAAGCCGATCAGTGGGTTGACAAACGTCTTGTATTCCAACCTGCAGGTAATCATCACATGTCATTTAGGATACTGTCTAGCTTCGTTGTTCGCTGACAATATTGATTCACAGGTGTTGGTGCTTTGCTTGTGGTATTCTCCCGTAATCACAACTTTATTGCAAAGAAACTGTTAGAGTTGAATGAAAATGGGCGATTTACAGTCGGACCAGGTCTGTTGAACGAGGAACAACAAGATGAAGCATTATTTCAAACTGCACGTTTGATCAATGGTGGATGGTAAGTAGGCAATACATAGCAATTGGGGTATAGCGTCAAGTACTTAATAGGTTCCCTTGTGACAGTTATCTGAATATTATCCGCCGTGACTATATTCGTGTCATCCTTGGTGCGGATGCAGGCTCCACTTTCAACTTTGATCCATTTGTCGATGTTGAAGAACCACTCTACGGAAATGCTGTGTCCATCGAGTTCAATTTCGTTTACAGATGGCATGCCGCCATTGGCCAAGTGGATTCGGACTGGTTAACCGAAGTCATGGCACTTTACGACAAGGCATCTGCTGAGTCGCGCAAAACAGGAAATCCTGTGGATATGAACAAAGTTGGCCAGGAATTCAACGAACTGTTCATTCATGCTACTCCTGAAGAGTTGTCCCTAGGAAACCCTATTGCTGGTCTCCATAGAGCTTCTACCGGTGACTTCTCAGAGGATGGCCTGTCCCAGATCCTGCATACGAAATACGAACAGGTTGCTTCTAGAATTGGGTAAGTAAAAGTATCAATGCTAAAGTAGTCGATAAGGTTTCTCTAACCAAACCACATCCACAGTAACGGATTGAATATTCCTGCATCTTTAAAACATATTGAAGTGGCAGGTATTATGCAAGGCCGTAAGCTTCAATGCTGTACCTTCAATGAGTTCAGAACCAAACTTCAGTTGAAGAAATTGGAAACTTTTGAAGATTTCAGCGACCTTCCAGAAGTGCAAGCTGGTCTTAAGGAGCTCTATGGAACCCCAGACGCCGTAGAACTCTATCCGGGTTTGACTGTTGAAAAGATGAAGCCTGCCGGTATGCACATGCCTTACACTATGGGCCGTGCCATTCTGAGTGACGCTGTCAACCTCTTGCGAAACGGTAAGTTTCAGCATTGCTAAAGACTTTTACTATATCTTGACTAATCATGTTATACTCTCAATTCACAGATCGATTCTTCGTCACTGAGAATACCCCTGCTAATCTGACCAATTGGGGTTACGACTATACACAAGGCGATCCTAACAAATCCCAGCGCGTGTCCCCAGAGCTGTTCAGAAACATTCTTCCAAATGCCTTCAGTGAGAAAGAACTGGATAACTTATTCACCGCACCTCGCAAACCATAATTATGATACCACGTATATACAACTTTAATTCTACACCTCATCTAAGCTACTTGACCCATTTTAAACGCATTAAAAAAAAGCGAAAACCGTGAAATAAATCCATACGTAACATTTCCTTAGGAATAACAAACCTCCCCCAGCGTCCGTCTGTCTATACTGGTGATTGAACTTGTCTCAAGCTATACTGTTCAATTTTTTTTTAATTACTTCTCTTGATAATTACAGGCTTCTTATACAGTGTGATTATTGGTAAAGAATTATCGGAATTTAGGGCATCAAGCAGCTCCAAGCAAAGCTTAATATGCGTTATCATCGTTGCGCCTGGTGGTGTTGCCTGATGGATCGGCATGCAGGCCGGGATTTTGCCGAATGGCTACATCCAAATCGTCGGATAACCGCTCCCAAAGGCGAGTGACATCGTCCGCTGAAGCCGATCGACGGCGTTGATAAGTCGCCATGGGTGAATCAATATGAGACTCTTCTGGGGGTTGAACAAGTGACAGATCCCTTTTACAGAGTGGGCAGGAGGCACTTCGTTTCGTCAGCCACGGATCTAAACATTTATACAAAAGTACGATTAAGTTTCGACGTTTGTTATTGTGGCTCATGCAAATAAACCGGTAAATTACCTATGCAGTCACGGTGATATTCATGCCCGCACGGCAAACGGCGTAGAACATCGCCTTCACTGTACCCATCTAAGCATATAACACAGTCCACCCTCTTGTCGGCGTCAACATCTTCACTTGAGAATACGCTAATATCCTTGTCGTTATATAGCACTTCATCGCATACTGATTTTGCTCTTGGTTTTTCGTAATAAGAACTATCATCGATTACCATGATCTCTCGCAAATCCGTTAAAGATATTGCGCTACGACCAATAGGTTCAGAATAGATATTATCTTTTGAAGACTGATCGCGGCTCACTGTTCTAGTCGGGAAAATATCCAAGAGAAACGGTTCCAGCACTTGTCTGTAGCTTGTCACCGCCTGATTACGATCACTCATTGGTATGGTAGCTTGCTCTTCCATCTGTACACTCCTTCTTCGTCTGCTTCGCCATATATGAAAATGTAGGGCAACTGTACAGGTGAAATATGGCACGTTAGAAAGATCAAAAGTGTACAAATGCCAGCGAAAAACTTTGTTTCTTACCAGATGTTAAAATCGACAAAATTAGTACACCGCCAACAACGACCAGCGCATACTGCCAACTTGACGCTCCAGAAGTAGTTCCTGAATACATAGTCACTCTTGTCAGATGTAGATTGGGACGATTATCTGTGCTATTACCACTGTTGCGCGTATTGTCAAGATTAAATTGCGTGATGTTTTTTAGCCTTTCGTATAACTCGAGGCCAACGTTCAGATCAACATAAAACGCTGTTATATTGATTGTATCTGGAGCAATAGACTAATGATGCAGAAGGTTATTGAATATCCATGGTTGTCTCAAAGCTTTAGAATAGCACTATACCATTCCATAGGTGGCTAATGGATCATCAGCAAAGGAAACATTGTCATAAACAATAGCTGCTATTGCTCCATCCATCTGAGCGTAAAGTAGTTTTTGGTTAAAGAAGCACTGTCCTCGCCTGATTAAAGCTATTTTTGGCATGCTGTCTAAGCTGCTAGGCGGTGGTAAGGCGTCAGAAGCATTTGCTGAGCAAGCTAATCCTAGATCGTATAAGATTCCCTATGTATATTCATTAGTTAACAGAAATAAGGTGTTAATGGCTATTTGGCTGCTGTCCAATATTTACCGTTAAACCTTCGTCCGGAGTGGATGGTGTATTGGGCGTTTCCATTATATTGTCTTTGAAAGACCATTCCCCATAGACAGATGCTTGATCGCTATCAATGTCGACGGCATTATTGGAAAGTACAATGATATCTAAAGAATTTGCTTGAAGTCAGTATGCTCTTGAGTTGATTGCATTTTTTCCATTGCTATTTGCACAAACCTTGATCTAATCTGGGACTATCACTGACTACTGTACTGACTAACAGTAACAACACAAGTTGACCAAGAATTAGGGCAAGAAAACTTTGCATGATTGCTGCGTATAGCCATAAAGTTTTAGTTGTAGATAAACAAACAAGACAAACGAGGATGTTGGAAACAATGAGATGAAAACAGTGGTTCTCAAACATCCCGCGTATATATTTTAGGGAAAAAACAACTCTATTCCTTTGTCAACAATAGTTTAATATTTTCACCTCGGCTTGACATGCCTAGCGATTTATGTCTCGGGATCATAAATTATTTTTCTCTCCTTACCATCTCGGAAGATGTCTTTAAATCTACTAGAAGATACCATGCCGTGAATATGTTCATCCTTATGTTGTCATATAGTTCGTTGTTCGTAATTTGAACTTCGCATGTCTCCGTGTATATATACTTTAAGCGGGTATGACAGCAGGTATAACATTCAACCTCCTCTGGTTCATATGCTGTTAACTGAAATGAGCACCTTTAGCTTGAATGCTTCACAAATGCTGAAAGAGATATCCGTATTGCTCTTGAGGAAAATACTGGACGGCGGTATTATCTACATCTGTTTGTAGCCGTCCATATCAATAAGTTTTGCGCAAGGTCGCATCAACAGGCTTGTTTTCCGGTTTCTCATTTAGTTCTCTTGCTCGATTTGTTAGATACATGATTCCGACAATAATCCCTCCCATTCTCCAAAATCTAGACCACATTGTGCTGTCCGGATGCACTTTTTCATCTTCGTTATCTCGCTGTTGCCGTCTAGCTAGCCTCTCGCGTCGCCGTTTTTCTTCAGCTTCGTAGTGACGAGCATGCCACTCATTGTAATTGAAATTTTCTGACTTGGTCGATTTAAATCCTTCCGCTTGCGCTTGTGCACTGGAAGATCCGGTATTTCTGGGAGCTCTTGGTTTGAAGTTCCAAGATGCAGCTGGACTCGTGCGCCGAATTCCTGGACTACTTGGAGAAGACGACATTTGGTCATTCTCCATATCGTACTGCCGCCGGTTACTTGCAGATCCCAATACCGCATATGCTTCATTGACCTCTAGAAATTTCTTATGTGCATCTTTGTTGCCGGGATTGAGATCTGGATGGTATAGTTTGGATAGCCGGTAGTACTGGGATTTGATCGTTTTTTGATCGGCGTTTTCACGCACTTGAAGAACATCGTAATGGCGCTGTTTTCGGTGACGAGCTAGATGAGAATGGCTAGTTGAGAATTGACGGACATAACATTGGATTGGTTTTATGTTGCGTCTTATTGTAGTCGAAAATTGCATAGATCGCAAATGACATAGTTATGCGCTATCTGCATAGTGGCGACCTCATATGTACGGCCGTCGGAGTCAGAAACTTTGCGACTCGCTAATGCACCTTCCTCATTTCTCGAGGCTACCATTTCGTGCTTTAACAACCTGTAGTCCTCATGATAAGTCTTTTAAGTGATCAATTAGTAGCATCAAAGCTATTTTTCTTCTTTAATAATAATATAAATCCTATAATTATTCCTACAATGACATAAATTATAGCTGGGTGCCATCATGAGCTATGATTAGCAATGTTTTTTTGTTCTTCGGCAATCTGGAGACTGTGTGCGTCAGAACTTTTCATAAAGTCGAAGCTCGACTGATGCCAGTATCCATAGCTTAAATAATCGAAATGTCAAAAAGAGGTATGGTAATTCTATGCTTAGAATTTGGTAGTCTGACCAGTGTCATTAGCGGCTGATACGATGGTGTCAATACTTTGGTAACACACTCAAGGACGTTTATTTATGCACCATCAATCATATTAACAAGAATGTATCGGAATCGTACCCCCTAGTTGGAGACAGCAATTTTACTTATCGATCAGTCAATTATGACCACAATCGCAACGTTAATCAAATATCTATCTACTCATTAAGCAAAAGTTAAAGATGTTAACGTGAAAAGTTGAGTAACCGGTGGTATGGACTGCAAGCTCCCTATGTTGGTTCATGTCCGTTAACAGTGAGACCATGTGTGATGTCTAAAAAGAACTTGCAGATGAATGTGTTTGTTTGTATATATTGCTGTTTACATAAACTATAATGATTGACTTGCCTGACTGTCCAGGATGCCAAGATGCAAATTAAAAACGATGATGACTGGTAAAAGTTGCCAGTCGCTAGGAAAAAAGTAAACTCCACCATTGAATGTGTGAACTTATGCATTGTTTGGTTCCAGCAATGGCAAAGCACGACATATATTTCAATTTAATGAAGTGGTTTGCAAATTTCATTTCAGCAGGTTTCGAGTTCGAAGGTAAGCAAGGAAAACTTGTTGTGAGGCTGCCGTCTTCTTCACTTAGCGCAAACTATTAGTGTTGATGAGTTTCGTCTTAAAAATGGCAATATAGCGTTCAACAACCACATAACGACAGACGATTATGCAATTGTTTGCTTCGAAAGAAACGTACAATTTAATTTTGAAACCAAAACTTTCAAGTGATCGTGGTGTAGGGTGGAGCAAAAAAAAAAATTCCCTGGAATACGCTCGCAATATGCAATAGCCCTTAGAAGTTAGGCTGACTATTCGATCAAAGAGCCTCTGACTTGTCCGATTTACCATTGCCAATGACATCAAGAATAAGATTGATCACATTTGACGCCTATAACACAGTCTTCAAGCCGAGAGGCGGCATCTCTGCGCAATATGTAAGACTTTGTTCCTTGCATAGATTTACACCGAGTGAAAGGGCTTACCATTGGCATGATGTTATGTAAATAGGAAATGGAGGCTAGAAAATTCGGCATCAACGTGTCCAAGGAAGCTATTAACAAGAGCTTTCGACCTGCACTAAAAGCGCAAGTTTCAAAGTATCCTCTCTACGGATTAAGTCAAGGCTTGAACCCCAAAATATGGTGGCAAGACGCAAGTACTAAGACAACGTTTGGGCATGTTAAACAGACAGCTGAACTAGTTTCCATTCATCATTCTAGGTGGTGCGATCGACATTTATTGGAGCTGGTGCGTCTGAGAAAGGCAAGTAAAGGCAATTATAGAAGCGTTTTATCTTGGATCAAATGTGCTAATGTCACAATTAGATCTTGATGAGAAATTCCTGGCGCTGTACGAAACTATATGGACCAGGTTTACATGTGCTGATGGATATGAAGTATTTTCGGATGTATTCGACACTCTTAAAGAGTTGAAATCGAGAAAGATTACATTGGGCGTGATCAGCAATTCAGACGAGCGAGTTGGTAAGAGAGGACAGAATAACTTCGGCTGTCTAGTATCTGTTCAGATCACTAAAGCGTACTTACAGCGCAAGTTCTGGAAAGCCTCAAGTTGGATTCATATTTTGACTTTGTGCTCACAAGCTCAATGGCCAGATGTGAGAAACCTGCTCGGCAGATATTTGATCAAGCCTTACGACTAGGTAGTAAATCGTCATCGCCTATACAAGCATCACAAGCGCTCCATATCGGTGATGATTTGAAGAGGTATTTAGATCGTTCCTTTCTGTTCTTTAGAAATGTTTTAGTGGATAACCTTACATACTTATATGAAGCGACTATTTCGGCGCTCGGGATGCTGGCTGGCATTCGCTGTTATTACGACGAGGTTAGTTAACAGTGCGCATGACTTATAACATTGCCTTTCATATGCATTAATTCGATTATTTAGATAAGCTCTCATACGAGGAACCCCTGACCAATCTTCCGAGTGATTCTGAAAACTTGCCAGTTGAAATAACATACATGAAAGAGCTTCTAGGCTACATCAAACCGCCAAATGTATAGCTCTTAGATACCGGTCGAATTACAGCTTATAAGAATTTTCCCACAGCATCTTCCTTACCAGGTCGATTCGCTTTTTCTTCAACGTAGCTACTGTTTCATAGAAAAGTAACACGACTCATTCCAAATTTTGAACAGCCTGTGCGCTCAAAGCAAAGACAGTCACGTTCCAAATGAACTGACAGTACAGCTGACGTTATTGCCAGATACGAGTTTTGACTTTACTTTCCTAAATGTTGACTGACGACGAGTATGATTACCTCTTCAAACTTGTGCTGATTGGAGATTCCGGTGTCGGAAAGTCCAACATCTTGTCTCGTTTTACCGTGAGTTTATCGACCTTGACGCAGAGCAGCGACGCTTGATGTATGAACTCATGAACCTCCGATCTCAGACGAACGAGTTCAATCTCGAGTCAAAAAGTACCATTGGTGTGGAATTTGCAACCAAAAACGTTTCCATTGGTAAGTAAAGATGTTCTGATTATCATCCCAAGTGGCATGATGGCATAGCATATTTACATAAGCTGTTTTAGATGGCCACACTGTTAAATGCCAGGTAAGATAACTGTAACACGACATTATGACTTCAAATAGGACACTTGTGCTCATAATCATTTCAGATATGGGATACTAGTGGCCAGGAACGTTACAGAGCCATCACTGGAGCGTACGTGCTATTTATATTTTGAATTTAGCCAGCAAAACTTGCCAATTTCTGTGACTGACACCACATTTCTTTTCCTTTACACTCAATTCGCTCTGATAAACTACAGGTATTATCGAGGAGCAGTCGGAGCTCTTCTTGTCTACGGTATGTTAACGTCTTCTTAGGATTAAATAAGTATTTGATACTAATGATTTCTCTTTAGACATTACTCGACCAACGTCTTTCCAAAATGTATCACATTGGCTGAAGGAACTTCGCGATCACGCTGATGAGAAAATCGTCATCATGCTGGTTGGAAACAAGCTGGATCTGTCTGAAACATCAAGGGCTGTGCCCACTGAAGAAGGAGGTGCTTTAGCTGAAACCCAAGACTTTCTCTTTATGGAAACATCGGCATTGGACGCTACCAATGTTGATAATGCGTTTGCCACTATTTTTGATGAAATTTACAAGATTATCCCTAAAAAGACCACTGCAACTGAAGAGCAGTCAACTAAAAACATTGGGGATCGAGTTATTTTAAGACCTCCTAGTATCAGAGGAGAAGGAGGAGAGGATGCTGAGTCGAGACTGAGAAGTAGAAGAGAAGAACAAAAGAAAGCTGGAGGTGGCTGTTGCTAGCTGACACTATTTTATATGATTTGATCTTGAAGATCGTTCGATCAGTCGTATTATTCAATACCTTACAGTAATAAATATATATGTTTCCACACACCTTGCACATGGTCAGAAAGCTGCTCCAAAACTATGAAGTGAGGTGCGGTTAGATCAAGCTGAGATCTCTGAGCACACTAGATCGACGTCGGCTGGTCTGCTTGTGGACCGTATGACCGAACGCTATACCAGCATCCCTTTCACAAGTGTTTGTATCCTTTGGGCTGGTAACAGGCTTAATGCTGCTGTCGTCTTCGCTCGTTGTTTTTGAAGCGAATGGGTTTCCGTTCGGCGAACTATCATCCTCCATCTGTGAACCGCTAGTTCCATGAGCAGTTGAATATAACTCTGGATTTCGGCGAGACTCTGGAGATCGATTCCAAGGATCCTGACCAAAGGTCGGCTCGGGCTGCGACCAAGGAGCTACAAAAGTTGCGTTTCCGCAACGGTTAATTCTACAATTTCTGGACCATTGAGTCGTTGTTGAGTTTGAAAACTAATCAAACATACCTTGGCTCTCATTTTTACTTGATGCACGGCTAGAGTTCATAATCAATATTGAAAAGAAAGGTAAAAAGAAAAGGCTTATAAATAAAGTATCTAAGAGTTGGAAGAGAAGTGGGCGTACCACACTTTGGTGTCATGATGTCAGTCAACAGGGAAAAAAATTGTGACTGAGGTCGACTGCTCAACAATTCTTGCATGGTGGTTTCAGTCACTCCCGAAACAAGCTTTTTATTTTATATTTTTATTTTGGAAACACGAAAAGAGGATCTTTCAGAACAACTGGCTGACGTGAAGAATCATTTGATTTCTACTTCTCCATAAGATCAGCGACATATTCAGCGATTGCCAAGGAGCTCGTCAATCCGGGCGATTCAATACCTATCAAATTGTAAAAGTTTTTGAAGTCGGCTTCCTCTCTAATGATGAAATCTTGGAATGGTGCTCCTGGACCTGCCAGTTTGGGCCTGGGAGTAGAATGAACTAATTATTACTCGCTCTCTGTTTATCTACTTCAAATAGTACAACAATGTTCAAATACCTGATACCTGCGTAGTCAGGATAAAATGATGATTTATCCACATTAGGATAATACTTTCGTACAGCATCGACGAACTGCTCTAGCTTTTGGTCATCATCAGCTACAGCGTAGTCGTTCGAACCGTCCACGTACAAGACGTCAGGTCCGAATTTACAACGACCCGCCATATCCAGTGTAAGATGTGTACCTAATCCTGCCAAATTTTTTTCCGGACATGGGTAGATCAACCTACGGACGGGAGACTTTTTGCGGTATCCAAAATATTGACCTTTGGCGTAGTAAAGCTTGAAAGAGTTAGGTACTAGCATGTTAGCCACTTTGTCCGCATGCAAGCCAGCAGAATTAAAAACATGCTTTGCTAGGACTAGAGTGGGTTTGTCGCTAGTAGGTGGTGTGGCCACCTCCACTAAATAGCCACCTGCCAAGTGATCTGGCCGAATGGATCGAACTTCACTTCCTAGCGCAATATCGCCCCCGCAGCTGGAGAAACTCGATTCTAGATATTCCAAATAGCTGTGCGAATCAATAATACCTGTTGTTGGAGATACGAGAACCGAATGTGCGAATATCTCTGGCTCTTCCTTGTGTGCTTCATCTGCTGTCATGAAATAAGTTGGCACCCCAATTCGCTTTGACTTCTCGTGAAGGTTTTTGATATAGTTCGTTTGGTCTTCATTTTCTGCCACTACCCACTTGCCAAGCTTCTTGTGAGGTATATTTGTATCTTGAAGAAGGGTGTACAGCATTTTCTTCCCCCTAATACACAGTTTCGTCTTTAAGCTGTCTTCTGGATAGTACAAACCAGCATGAATCACTTCACTGTTTCGAGAACTACGTAAACCCCGAGTAAGATTGCTTAGAATCAATGAGTATTAAGTCATTCGTATGCCCATGACAAACCTGGTCTCCTCCCCGAATCTGCCATGTCGTTCCACCAAAATGGTCGATTCAGGAGATCGCTGCCTCGCTAGGCGTTCGGCCACAGCGAGTCCAACAACACCGCCTCCAATAACCAGATTGTCTACTTCCACGTCAGGCGTTCGCATTACAGAATACGGGCGGCGGCACCACCCCTTGAGGCTGATGAGTACTGATCGTCGTAGTATACTTTGCATTACTGTACGTGATTTCCGTGAATATCGTGAGGAAGACGGAGATAACGCTTCGAAAATAAAGTACTATAAATGATACGAAGGAATACACTTTGTCATACCCTATCTATACTAATCCCTACTATGACTTTCGCCGTTTGCATAAGAACTGCACAAAAACACTTTATATCCATTCCATCATCTCAATGTGACTACGTAGTCCTCTTCAGAATAGATTATCATATTGAGGGGAAAAATGAAAGGACTCTGTTTGCTGACAATGAGTGCAATATTGCAAAGCATCATTCGTAATAATGACTACAACGCAAAATTTAATTATAATGTTACAGGTATACTTTGAGGGTTACGGAACACATTTCCAGGATCAACGGTTTTCTTGATGCTCACTAGTCTTGGCCAAGCATCTGCATAGTACGCTGAACTCCAACCTTGCAGAGTTCGATCGATATAGTTTTGGTAGGCTTTCACAGCAGGGTACTCCTTTTTGTATTGTACTAGCATCTCGTTGAAAAAGGATGATAGCCAGTCTAGACATGTACTACAAGTACCCTTATCCCATTCCGAGACAAATTCAATTCCGAATTTTTGAGAACGATGGACGAAGGCATTAGCGCCTATTGATGGCTGGTTTCGGACTGCTCCTCCCCAAAGGTCAATGATAATATAGCCTTTTGAGTATTTTGCTAGCCACTTCTTGATGATAGATATAGATGAATCTGAGAATGTGTCGTTATCATATAAGAGTGACTTTCCCTGGTAGAGATGGAACATGAATTAAAAAATGACGATGAGGTTAACAAAACATAATTCGACATACTTACAGCATAATAACGAGCATCGGCGGGGCCAGGCCCAGTGGTCAGGCTCAAAGACTCGATGTCCGTGGAATCAATGTAAGAAAATTTGAGAATGGCTGAAATCATAGACATAGATTTTACGTCGGAATGGCTGGGTGAAGCAATAGAGAACCATTTGTTCATTAGGGCAGGGATATCTGATTTGGGACCAAGATATATCCCAGTGAGATCAAATCCAGAAGCGGCCCAGTTGAGCTCTATTGTCACTTCGTCAGGAGCGGTACTCGCCCATGCTGATAGACCCTTCATGACATTCTTATAGTTGGATGCGGGAAACGAGTACTCGAAGGTTGTCACTGCATCAGCTATCTCGTACATTTTGAACTTGAATGCAGTTATAACTCCAAAGGATCCCAATCCAGCTCCTCGCAAAGCCCAAAACAGATCAGGATTGTTGTTTGCGTCAACTTGCAGAAGTTCGCCTTTGGCGTTGACAAATCGTAGGGCAACCACATTATCAGCAAGAACAGAATGTTTCCTTCCAAGCAGCCCATATCCACCTCCAAGTGCATTGCCGCTAACACCAACACTAGGACAAGTACCTCCTGGCAGAGTGTAATTTCCCGCTTTCCACAATGACAGATATGCCGGTCCAAGCTTGGATCCAGCACCAATCCAAGTAGTTCCAGACGACTTATCAACGGTGACAGTATTTAGTTTTCCTAAATCGATAACCAAGTATCCATCTGCTCCACCGAGCGAGTAGCCTTCATAGGAGTGACCCCCGCAGCGTGGTGCAATTGGAATGTTAGCAGCTACGGCACATTTAACAGCTCCTTGAACTTGAGCTTCTGTTGAAGGATACTAGTAGATTTATCAATTTTTAACAATCAATCAATAATTTTGTATTTTTCGACTTCCTCACATACCACAACAGCCTCAGGAGTGTAAGTAAATCGGAGATCGAAAGCTTGCTTGGCTGTCGTGAATTTGCTGTCACTGGAAGTGACTACTTCCAGACCAGTCACACTGTTAAGACAGGACCGCAAACTAGGAGCCGTCGCTGCATATACGTTCGTAGCAAGTAGAGAAACAGCGTATAATGCGAATATTGTTGAGTAAGGTAGATTCATATCTCACAGTATGTGGATTTTTGGCGTTTGGTCCGATGTTTAGCCAATGGATGACTTTTTATACCTGGTAACAAAAAAACCAAAAATAGCGCAAGAGGGTCAGCCCCCCTACCGCCCGACCGCCTTACTGCATCTTGCAGCCAAAATTGGCGAAACGCTTGCGGGCTTAGCATGTCTGCATGCTGGCATTTTATAGCGTCTTCTATGCACCTTTTGAAACCAATGCTGGTAAATTTCACAGCATTGCTAAACAAGTTGTCTCAGTCTAATATTAGCTTCATTGCCACAAGTTAGCCATAAATCACATCCATGCTATGGAGAAGAGAACCTCTCCTACACCCCTTGCAGAGCTGAAGTCGACCTCTTTGTTACGTAAGGTGTTCACCGTTAAAAATATCGTTTAGCACATAATTGAGTTGCTTCTTTGGCTTCCATCAGAAACGGGACTAACAATAGACTGTATTTCTATTTTGAAAGTAATCGTCAATACCCCAAAACAAAGGATGGCACAACTTCGACGAGTCATGTGCCAACCATGATCCAACATACTGCCCTATCACTGAGGTTCCTGCTTTGGTGCGCTCATCACTCATTAGGCATGCTACAAGGGCAGGGTGGACGGAAGGAGGAAATGGTCAGCAAAAATGCACCCCTCGATTTCTTTACCTTTCACTGCAGAACTGCTCTCCAATGTGAATAGCACAATAATCGCGCAAATTAAAGGCAGTTAGTCTTAGGATTTGGGATTACAGACTCTCACAAAAGTGTGTTATTTATGTCATTCATTGCTCCCAAAAATATGGCGCAATTGGGAGAATAGCATTATTCACGGTATGACTTTGAACCAAGGTACTTTAGTCAAAAAGCAGCACGTTACCGCAACTCTGAGTTAACGCTTATTTCGTTCCTAGGATTGAAGAACAAACAGTGTTGTTTCACTTCAGATTTATGTGAAGTACAATCTACCTCTTCTCGTCTGTCAAAATAGCATCAATTACTTGATAGCTATGCGATTCGCACATATGTCATGATGCCTATGAGGTGCATAGCGCAGCACGTATTGGTTTGAACGCTTGAATTTTTGCTGTAGACATCATGTTGCAAGAAACTGACTCACAGACAGTAGATACATCACTAGATATTATTACAAGAGTAATTCATGAGTTGTATTGTAAGATGCCAAAGTGCAAGACTTAGTGATATTAACGATGTGCAAATCAATAGACTGTACAGACGGAACATGCAGAAATGATTATGAACATTTCAATTATCAACGGCGGTGACTATATCCCATCATCTTTCCTGGCATCGTATTTTTTTCATTTTCGCATATGTTGACAATACGAAATTTTGGATAGTGTCGTTATATATCATTGCAATTGAACCGGCAAAAAATTGCCAACAATGACGGTCTAGTAAAGTTGAGATTTAATACATGGTCAAAGAAACAGCATATTTCGAGGAGAGCCATACCGGTATATTGTATTTATCGCGCCTGATAGTGAAGGAGAAACAGCAGGACATGACACTTGTATTTTCTGGTTCCGGGTTCTTCAATAAACACGATGTCAAAACAGCTTTTTGCCCAGCATCAAATGCTATATTCCCATATTTCTGAAAACAATTTAATTTCGTGTCAGTGGGTGATCAATTCATAAGTTCATCCAGCATAGAATCTTACCTCCCAATAATTAACAGCAGACTCCTCAGCCATGAGTTCGTATATACACAATCGGCCCTAAAAGTAGATTATCGTATCGTTCGCGCTTTAGCCCGATGACCAAAAAAGGTAATTTGCACGAACTCTTTTGCTTACCTCCCGCAGCATTTGGATTGGTACATTGACAAGCTGTGCAAATTCTTTGTTTCCTCTATAGATTTCTCCCGTACGTCTCCATAAGCAGGCAGGTATGCCCATTGAACTGAAAACTCTATCATAGTCCTGGATAAAGACGATGCTGAGTACAAGCCTATTGCGTAAATACCATGCGACAAGTAGTAACCTACCAGCAACAATCGTTCGAAAGCTTCCTCAACCAAGATTAAATCAATGTCTGTGAGCGACTGAGCTACGTGTCGAAATGCTGGACGAAATGTTCCCATAACATTCAGGATTCTTTGACGACTAGACGGAGACATGCTATTCACATTACAGTTGAAATAAATGTCAGTACACCCTAGAAAAAAACTTTTGATCTATAGAAATGATGATTACTTACTTGCTGTCCATGAACTTCTGAAGTCGTGCATATCCATTAACGTAATTATACGGCCGTAAAAAACCTGCTTCGTATTTGGCATTTATCACCTCTGTCAGTCGATCTTCCAGCCTTCCATCTCTCGGGTCTGCTGCTGTGATATAGTAATTTTCGGCCGGGTTATTGATTGGTGGAGTAGCGCTTTGACTATTGCCACTGTTTTCGTTATTGGAGAATAGTGTTTGAACATCCCCTCCAAGAGAGTCTAAAAATGCGCTAATGACTGAAATTTCGTTACCCATATGCTCGCTAGCAAAGGTTAGAGGACCACCTGCCATTTGGTTTCCAAAAAGTTGCAGTGGCATGCTGCTGCTGGCTTGACCTATAGGTGCTGTTGTTAGCTCTGCTGTCGAAACAGAAATAATCATAAAAAGGACGTGGCGTACCGGAATCACCTTTATACAGAGCTGAAGATCCTGTTGTTTGTTCATTCTTTCCTGCGTTTAACGGTTTGCTTTGCGGCGTTCTATTTGCACTGCTGGAAGGCTTCGGCTCGTCGTGGCACAAATGGCCAATGCTGCGCTTTATACAGCGTTGACAAGGGCGCCCTATAATATGATATTACTGAAACAGTCTATATTGCAGTATTATTCGCGAGATTAGCATACCATCGTCGCAAGTCATGTGTGATCGTCTACAGTATACGCAAGCTGTTGTGGAATGGAGATTTTTCAGTACGACCGATATCATATTTGATCAAGGAACTAAAGCCACATACCATGAGAGACTTTTCTTCTTTTTGGCCCATTTCTTTTCTTCTTTGCGTCCTGAGAGCTGCCAGTCTGTTGCTGATCTGCTTCCTGTTCTTGTTGCTTTTGAGATGGAGGTTTGTCTGAGTCTGGGCTCATTGTTGATTTTAGGAGGAACAAGCCAAAAAACCGAATGAGAGTTGGCCACTCTTTTTCCCACCCAAACTCAGCCAACTACTACTGGGGTGTGCGACGTCAGGCTTTCGCATCATCTTGGTTCAACATACAATTCATTTGCGATGGTATGTGCCCACATAATAATAGGCACGACTGCATCTTCAGCGTTTAACAACAATTTCTACTTCTAGATTCGCTTCATACTTGTGCAAAACCGCCAAGGAAAGACGAGATTAGCCAAGTGGTATGTTCCGTATGAAGATGACGAAAAGGCCAAGCTGAAAGGAGAGGTACACCGCTTGATTGCTCCAAGAGACCAAAAGCATCAGAGTAACTTTGTGGAGGTAAAGCAGCGAATGCTCAATGATGGTTTTCTACGGCCGATAGTATTCTAATACCTTGAACAGTTTCGAAATTATAAGATAGTCTACCGTCGATATGCAGGTCTGTTTTTCTGTGTCTGCGTAGACGCGAACGACAACGAATTAGCGTATCTGGAAGCCATCCATTTCTTTGTGGAAGTTCTCGATGCCTTCTTCGGAAATGTTTGTGAGCTCGACCTCGTATTCAACTTTTATAAGGTGTACTCCATCCTCGACGAAGTTTTCTTAGCCGGTGAGATAGAAGAAACGAGCAAGAACATTGTCTTAACTCGTTTAGACCATCTGGACAAACTGGAATGAATCGATATAGATCGAACAGAACTTATACCTTGCCCAAATTTATTCGAACAAAGATGTTGCGATCATTTGTACATACTACTTTATAAAGAAGGATTTACTTTTCCATTTCATTTCATGTTATCATATTAATCTTGATCCATTGAATCGCGATCTTGATCGTCCCTCCTTCGAGCTTGTTCTTCAATCGCAGCCAAAAATGCCTCTACGCCTTTATGACGTTCGGATCGCACATTTAGTCATTGTAATTTGCTATGTTAAGATAACAAGGAGACTCACCATTTCCTGCAGAAGGATCCAGTCCCAACTGAGTCATTAAAGGCCCAAGTTGTCCGGATTGTAATGCTGCACTTAGTCTGTGTAGGGACTGTCGAAATTGAGGACTGTGAATGATTTCATGTAACTCTTCATTTGTATTATCTGAAGTTTCCGGAAGATGAGGAAATAGGGCGCTTGCAATGTCTTGGTCGCTTAAGATTGATCGGATCGCTTCTGTTGTAAGTACATTGCCGAGTTCTAGAGAATTAGTACGTTCCGTCCCTTGCGGCACACGAATTTCTGACAGTATGTTGCGAAGATCGTGGAGTTGATTGGTAGACAACTGGCTACCTTCATTTTCTCGAACTGCCTCCGTACTTTGCTGTTCTTCCGTGTCCGACTGACCTGATCCACGTCGACTTGATGGTGCAGAGGCTATGACGCTTTGATTAGGTGGGCCGTCCCCGCCGATTGGAGATGTGTTTGGAATGGTACCACTATCCAGAGAAAAACAGATGTATGAATGCGTTTGTATCGTTCAACGAAATAAATTATTCTGTTTTACACACCCTAATCCTCCAGCAGTCTGCAAAAATTGGAGAAATTGCTCTTGATTTATACCAAGATCTACAAAACTGTTGAATAAAAGGTGTCTTTGGAGTATATTGCCTGAGAAATAGTACCAACCTTGTCCGCCGCTCAATAAATTGAGCATGTCCGCAGCTGATTCACTTTCTTCTTCCATGTCGGCTCCTGCATTCCGACGTTGTTCTTCAAGTACACTCTGAGTATCATTGATGAGTTTGTTCAATTTCGCAACACGTTCTTCATCTTTTGAATCGTCTTTGTCTTGCATCCAGAAAAACAATCTTTGGTTGGAGGATTTGAAGTGCAAACGGTACACACGTCCAGTAGTACATTCAGGAACCCTTTTCATCTCTGCTTCTTCAGGAAATATAATCAGGTCTTCTTCTATAGTGTTGCCAACGCGCTCTTTCCAGTAAAAGTGCAATAACTGGTCGTCTCCCTGTGGTCGAGTGGTTAAGTACAACTTCATAGTAAAGGATGAACTGCTCATAGCTTCGAAAAATCATATACCTGATCCATAAATATAACCCTTTTAAATATAAACGTTAGTAATGTGCCAGGCTCTTGACCAGAATTAGAGATTCTACTCTCACCCTTTCCGGAGATCAGGCTTTAGCTGATCACCGTCTCGAATGCATTTGCCAGCGTTGAATTCAACAAGATGCCTCACACGTTGTGAAATAGGAAACAGTGACATGAATGCTTGCTTTTTTTTGAGTTGGTATACACTGGGAAATTCTGATTTCCATGCAATAGCCACAATCTGTAACTGCGATTATACAGGAGTTGCATTGAAAGCAAAAATGTCATAGCACGTGATCATTTCCTCAGTAACCCGTTTGAATTTCCAAAAAATAAGTTACTACTGTTAGTTGGCGGAATGAGGACGAGGATGTGGTGGCCTCCCTCCCAAACAAAAGAAAGATCACAAAAAATTAAGTTAGAAGTTGACCCTCCCAGGCCACAAAGGCGAACATGCCGGCGTGGCATAGAGATCTGGGATACATTAGACAGAAAATTTTTATTATTTATATGACTGAGAATAAAAGCGTGGCTCTAGAGCCTATAACCACATCCTCGTCCTCATTCCGCCAACTAACAGTATAAGAGTTTATAAGGAAATCGTTATTGTGAAGAATAGTATTGTTGTTCTAACCAATATTGTCTATGTCTTCAAGCTCTAAATATGTTACTCTGTATGGTTTCGAAAATTAAACGTATTCTTCAAAATGGTTACAGAAGACAGAGAACTCCCCAATTTTTCATCCTTGATGCATCCGCAGAGCAGCTTTATCTTTAGTCAGTTCAATTCCTTTCTTTACATTATCCATATCAATTACTCAGATTTTACTCTTTACTCACTTCCTACATGATATGTTCGCTACATTCGGACTGAATCGGAAGTAAATCCTTTTATATACCAAAAATGAGAAACAGTCGTCCCCACTATTCAAACAAAATCCCTGCTCCTTGTGGCAAACATTTTACAGATGTAGCAATGTGGATATTCAGCGAGTGTACTTATACCCCGAGTACTGATGGCCATTGTGCTAAGCCCATTTTTAAACAAGCTTTCTACTAAGACTACAACTTGCTGAGGCACTGGTGAGTGTAACCAGGCACGAATTTGTTGTGACAACATTTTTATCATGACACGGATGTTGTAACGAGTTCAGATTAGTCGACATGCATCATACACAAATTTCAGTCAAAAGAATGGAAATATAAAAGCAATGTATAGAATAAATTGTGAGAGATGACTCTTTGAAGACAGTTCAAGTGCTACACATAGATGATTTTTCTCAGCATCAAAGCACTATATCAAAATGTACTTGGTGTTTCTGAATCAATTTGGCCAAGATCGGAAATCAAAAAGGAGGTTAAGGATTACGTACTATGATAGGAGGATCTGCCTCGTTAGCTCACCATGGTCTGCAGAAGCATTTTTTTCATTTTTCATTTTTATAAAGTATTTTCTGTAGGCGATGCGAAAAATGCCCAACTCTTAGTGAGTTTTACTCATGATAGAATTGGTTTAAAATTAAGACAATGTTATAACCAAACTTGAAAGCCATTCAATATTTGGATGGCCTTGTTGTAAGTATATCTTATGTAATATTGATCCATTTCTTCTGTTAAGTATAATTGTAATGCTGCCACCTTTATACACCCGAAGCAGCCCAAAAAAAATAAAATCACTGGTCATTTTGATAGCTTGGCTGTCCCTATCCATGATTCCTACCTCTTTTTTGGGCTTGCTTACTTCTCTGAAATAAACATTGGCTCCACTGAAAGAAAAGAAAAAGGAAGTGGCAAAGCGGCCAGGTAGATGCTGACATATGCAAGTCATATAACAGCTTAAAAAAACCATTGAGCACGTTACTGTACAGTGCCCAAATTAATGGAAAGTTAGTACAAAAGTTTACAACAACTCTGAAAATAGACTCGAGCTTACATCTGCGGAATCTATATGGCGTAGCTTCTCATTGCAAGATATAGACCAAACACAAGGACTGCGAGAGTAAATTAGAATCATACGCAGGCATCTGCAGAAACCATTGGAATTGCACCTACAAGATACACGTTGGGACCATACCACAGCTTTAAACTGTATATGATTGGATTGTGACTAACGAACGCCGAGATATTCTGCTATAAGCTCAATACCGTATCAATTAAAGTTAAAAAAAAATCCACCATGGTCAATTGGGCCCAGTTTTGGCCTGTTTATCACGAGATGGAGCCTGGTCAGCGTTTTGGAAATTGGCATACCACATCAAGTGAGAACTGCTTGGTGGCGCCTCTTGCATGATAAAAAACCTCACAGAACTCGGCTACACCGTCGACAGTCTGACATACATAAGTCTACAAAATGCTACAAAATGCTTATGCATAAGCTTGAAGAGGAAGAAAGTCTATCATGTATTAGTGAATTGCCGACAAAAACGGGCAGTATGGAGTCAAGCCCTTCAAGAGCCATTGCCCATAGAGAAAACTAACTCGCCGACAAAGCTGTGGCAACTACTCCTGTTGTCCGGCTGAAAGAGCATCTGTATGGCCTCAGGTAAGCAAATCCTATCCGTAATAGGTCTCATATGATGTCAATATAACAATTTCACTGGAAATGCAGTATTGAAGAAAAGAGATGGATTCCTGACGCATGCCTCTGAGCTATAAGGCGCATCAGAGTTTCGATCAAAGAAAAAGCGATAGTCGCCAACTCACTTTCGTCATCTAAATTATGGGACTTGCCGCGAGTCATAATTCACCACAGGACCGGATAGATAGATGTAGGAGGTTAGTATGCAATTACATCATGCCATTCTTTCTTTGACCACCATGGACATTACTGTGTAATACACCAAGCCAATGGGGTATAGTCTTATCAGACAAGCACTTCTGGGTAGAATGTGAACGAAAATGGAAATTCTGGATGCCTATGATGCTTTCAAGAAAATTTCGCCAGAGATACGGTCGAAAGACAAAGTATGGAGCATAATATTTTTCAGCAGACCAGGCCTCAAGATGGGCATATTATCATTTGAAATTGGACGAGCCATGCCCGCCATTTGGACAACTCACTGGAATTGTATCAAACAACAGAGAGAACGGTGGGACCAAAGCTGCATTCAACATGTACGAGTTGATCGCCTTAGTCTACTGATGACCGATTCTAATGAATGGATAACAATAGTAGAAACCGGAACATCTCAAAGCATAGTCAAGGCTTCTGTTTGGAAAATGTGTAAATGTTACTAGTGTGAAACAAAGAAGGGTTCCCAGGCGGACGTCCGATCACTGACTTCCATTTGGTTCTCCTTACTAGACCAAAACTGACGCAAAAGAAGACATTCATTGGCTATTAGCTCCATGGCATGACTTAAATGTCAAAAAGGTCAGAAATCAACCGCAGGATGTTTCAAGTCTATAAAGAATATATATATATATATATATGAAACTTTCGTACAATATAGTAATCAGTACGGTGGATAAAGCGAGAGCAATATCCAACATCTGCCCTCTGTCACCAATTAGATCCGGTATTAGAACGTAACAATAGCACGTACCTCATCTAGAAGGATTGTTCCCGGCCCTTGATGATTGAGTTACAAAGCAGGCGAGTCACCTCCTCGACAAAATCTTTCACTGGACTCCAAGCATCCTAGGCTATACTGGACCACGTCGACCGAATCGGAAAGGGTTCATACCCCTCTCAGGATAGGACCACCTTTTGCAAAGCTCTTGCCAAAGGCTGCATGGCGCTCTTTCTGGAAAGCGAACATCTCCCACGGCTCTCGTTCTATATGGTGGAGATAGATACGCGACTTGGCAGTTTCTACTATTGTCAGAAACAACTCTTAAGACGAAGATAATTTCAGTCCCTGTCAATTCCCATCGATCTCATCCTAACCGCTACTTGGCGTCACCACCGTGAGTGCGTAATAGTTGGCGATAGATGGTCTATGAAAACGTGCCTGTCAACCCTAATACACAATATTTTGCTCTGGATATGAACTTACAAGATTTTTTTTGATTTTTTTTTTGTAATCAAGGAATTTATTGGTACTGAGGGAACAAAATATACTGTCGAGACGTTATGAGAGTCTTTCAGTATGTTTTTGACCAAAAATCTTTGGATCTAATGGTTTGTAAGCACATCTGCAAAGATCATGATTGTTGCTCCATTATGCAAAACCAATGGGTTTTCCATATGGCTGCCCATACAGAGCTCATGCTAACTAACGGGTGACGCTTCCCTGTGCTAACTGTTGTACTACTCTGAAGTAATAATGTTTGCCAGACGTCCAGTGGCTTCATGTTCGATGAGGGGTACTGGACTAAGTCCAACCCATTTTGCCATGCTTCCCATTTTACTTGGCAACCGACGACAAAGTGGTATTCATCTTCATCTTCCTTCTTGCAAAACAAGCATGTTGGTGAAGGATATTTCATGGGATCCATTGTATATAACCTTTTTCGATGTAACAATTTGTCATGGAGTGACCTCCACCAAGGTGATCTTGCTTCGTGTAGTATAGGCAGCTTCCATCACATGGTCCATCTAGACTTTGGAATCATTTCGTACCTCCTACTTGACAAGCGCAAAGGGGGCATTAGTAGTGGTTTGGAATTCTGATCTCTCCAGTAGTTCCGAATGTTACTTGTTGTCCAGGCAGACATTTTGATGGACTGGTACGCTTTGTTCTGCATCAGCCAGTGGTCGAGCTTCGGGATGTCATCAACGGTGTGACATTCGAATGGGCGTTGTATACATTGACGGTTCCATATGTATCTCTGTTGAGCAGCTGGTATGATCTGTAACCTGTTGTTTTCCAGCTCATTTAGTACCCAGTTTGTCCTTCTATCCCAAGCGGGGCTCCTGCTTCTTCTCCTAATGGTATCCTGTGACCAGACGAAAAAGTCATCGGTCGTATTACTAAGACTTATGTCCACTTCAGGTTGCATTGACAAAGGGCGGTATATCACAAGAGTTGCTGGAAACTGCATCAGAAAATGGCTAGGCCATCCATCATCAATTTTCAGCTGCGGTAGTTTGGACAGTAATTTGCATATGTGTGCCATTTGAGGCATTTTGCTAAGTGCTCTCATGAGCCTATCTGGAAGGAGAGGTAACACTATCAAATTGACTTGCTCCGTGTAAGCGCGAAATATCGATCTCAATAGGATAGATGCAAAGTTGGCCTTCTTTGATGCAAGTGCATTCACCATAAACAACCCAATGTAGGGTTAGGTATTGAGCTTGTATATTGACCAACTTACAAGATTTTGACAGCTTCAGTTTGGCGGAACCTTGCTAGCTACTGCTTCTGGTTACTTGGTCCGACTACCTCTCTATCTCCACCTCTCCTACAACCTTACTCTCAGCCTTTTCTATTCAATTTCTGTAACCGTTCTCTGTTATATCTCTGTTTAATTCATTCCTGTTTTCTTCTGATCGGCTAATATCAACCACCTATCCACCTTACCAGTTAGTCTGCTCCTTATCACGGTGACAAATCTCCAATGGCAGCGCCACGCTTTGTCATTTCTATAAGGGGTTTGCCTGAAAACTTTGCTGAGTTTTTTTTTTGTTGAAGACGATGAGTTTTAATTCAATTTGTATAATAAAATAGAAATATTTTTGTTATATATTATTATGTTTAACTAATATTACGTATTATTTACAAATATAAAATAAGTTTAAATAATGATTGACCCAATGCAAAATACAAAAACAAATAATTTATTTATTATTATAAAATAGTTATTAGCAATTATGTATAATTAATAAAAAAATAATAAATAGTACATTAAATTATTTATAGATATTGATTTAAAAATTTAGAACAGTAGCCGTCGGTGAAGAGCTTTCAGCTGTCGATCATCTTCAGACGATTTCCAAGGCATATTTGCAGAAAGAAGAGAGGTGCCTTTCCTTGAATATCTGTCAGTTAACTGGATAATCGGTGGGAGCTGGATTTTGTAGTCAGAAGTAACGTCCTCGGAATCGCTCTTTAATCCCGATTTGATAGTTTGACAACTCGCAAGTATTACTGGCAAGTCGTGAGGCTCTTCTATTGAAGTTGTTGATACTGAGTTGCAATCAGGACTATGTGTTAATGAAGGTGAAGTCAGTATACTCGTATTGCAGCTGAAATTATCGTCTTCGTCGCTATATGACAAGATTTTAGTAGGTACGGGTGACTGCCATTGTTGAGGAGTCCGAAGTGGAGCTGGCAGTCCGGGATGACTATGCTGATTCTTATGAGATTCGTTTTGATATTGGCCATAGCTAGCAGATTTGACAGCTTGTAACAATCTAGGGTCTTCGGTGGGGCAGGGCAATTTCTGGTCGCCCAAGTCCATCTCTGAATAATATGAAATCATATGTATCTTTTCGGAAGGTTGTGTCGTAATGCTAAAGCTTTGTTTGATTAATCCTTTCTCTTTGAATGAGACATGAGGTGGTTGGAGAAATCGCTTCTTTTGCTTGCAGCTCAATTCTTTGTATGTCAAAAAACTTCCTGCTACTCTTGATGGAGACCAGCTTCTTCCATCTGTCCAACGTCGCATACCAGCTTCTCTTTCATACCATACGAATACGGAACCTGAGCGTATGTTAGATCTTTCGCGGTCGGACAATCTCCTCCTTATTCTGGGCAAAATGCCAAGCTGACAAGCTTTGAATAATACCAAAGCGTCTTGCGTACATTTAATGTATCCGAAATATGTCTCCATGCTGATAGACGGTGAGTCTTCGGTAAAGCTATTCGACATCTTGTTCAAATACTTTCGAAGATGATAGATTCTTTACTGAAAGTGTGAATGCGTGTAAATACTATCAGCATTTGGCGCAATCTTTATTTTGAGTTTTTCAAGGATTGCTCTTTCATTTATTGTGCTAAATTAAGCATGTTCAAAAACTGACTAGGCAAACCAATATCAATCACTGAATACCCCAAAAAAAGCCAATATCAATTTGCCGGAGGTTACACCTCGTCATGTCTACTTCACACTATTATGAGCTTTATCGGCGTAGCAGCACTGGAATGGCATTGACCGATTCCTTGGACGAGCTCATTCAAAGCGGTCACATCAACCCTCAACTAGCAATGAAGGTGTTGGTTACATTTGACAAGAGTATAACAGAAGCGCTTACCAGTAAGGTCAAAAGCAAAGCTGTTTTCAAGGGTCACTTGGACACATACCGATTTTGCGACGATGTATGGACATTTGTTGTGGACTCCGTGAATGCCAAATTAGAAACAGAAACTATTACAACGGAAAGAGTAAAGATTGTGGCATGTAACGCTAAGAAGCCTGGAGAACAGTGATTTGATCACCCTACTCAACAACATCCCTTCCTACATCGTTACCAATATCGTTTTTCCCTCACCTTTTGAAAATAAATTCGTTTGCTTTACTTGTTACAAAAAAAATAATAATATCAATTTGCCGGACTGTTCAGATAGAAAAGGGCAAGCACGCTGTAGCTTGTAACCACTGGTTATGTGTACTAGGGCTAGCAGAAGATTTTCTAATGATTGCTCTCCCAATGACTCAACGTGAATAGGTAGAGTTTCAAAAGTATAAATCTGTTACCACTTTAGAGCAGTGTTGCGAATCAAGTTGATATATCAAATTATGGAGTAAACAAATACTCGTTTATAAGTAGATTCTCTCATTTATTTCTTTTTGTAAGAGCGCAACAACCCAGAAGACATATTATCAGAATGCATCTTAGGCGGGCTGTTTCAAGTGTGGTGCGAACCCTCCAAGTGATATTGTGACTGCTCAAAATTTTCTTTGAAAGGAAGTGAAAAAAATTGAGTGGTTGAAAAGAAGCTCGATCGCATTCTATAATTTAACATGCCAAGAGCAAACAAGCCAACCGGATCTCTGGGCAGAGCCGTGATTCGTTCCAGATTTAAAGGACAAAAAGCAATAGCAGTTGATGAAGGAAAACTGGTAAGATTTAACACTGATTTCTTCATAGACATTGGTGACTAATCATTGCCCTTGGTATAGCATACTACAGAGACCAACGAAGGCCCTGGCTGGGTGAAGCTCCAAAGTGTTACTCAAGAAGGAGATTTAGATGCTTTTCTGCACACTGCAGAGCTTGCCGGAACCGAATTTACGGCTGGTATGTGAAACGTATTTGTTTAAAGTATTCTGGCTTTGCAAATTTTATTTATTATTCATCCTGATCTTAGAACGACTTAACATCAAGGTGGTGCAAGACTCCTATCAAAATCCATACCTGTTATCTGAAAAGGAAGAAGAAGAAACGCTTAAAAAGCATGCCGAAAACAAGAACCGTTTGACAGTTCCACGACGACCAGCTTGGGATAGCGCCACCACTCCAGAGCAGTTGAAGAGAAGGGAACAGGAGAGTTTTTTGAGCTGGAGAAGAGGCTTAGCAGTGTAAGATTTGATACAGGATTTTGAGCGCAACGGTGAATCAGTACTAATCTACTATTTTGCTAAAGATTGCAAGAAGAAGAAGGCTTGTTATTAACACCGTTTGAGCGAAACTTGGAAGTTTGGAGACAATTGTGGCGAGTGATCGAGCGCTCACAGTTAATCGTACAAATTGTGGATGCTCGAAATCCGCTTTTGTTTCGATCCGAAGATTTAGATACATATGTCAAGGAAGTCGACCCAAAGAAACGAAATCTATTGTTGATCAACAAGGCAGATTTTCTGACAAAAAGCCAGAGACGACAGTGGGCAGATTATTTCGATAAACACAATATCCGCTATACCTTTTTTTCTGCTGCTCTGGCTGCCAAGCAACAAGAAGAAGAGAGACTCAGATTAGAGAAAGAAGAAGCTCGTCAGTTGGAGCAAAATGCAACCACGAACAGCGACGACGAGGATGAGGATAGCGAGGAAGATGAGGAAAAGCCTAATGAAACCTCATCTCTCGCAAATGAGGTTGAAGCCATTAATTTAGAAGATGAAGTGGCAGCTGATGATAAGGATATTACATCAGATGGACAAACAGATGATCATCACAGCATTGACGCCGAGGAAGTTGACAACGATGAGGATGATCGTACGAGAATCAGAACTACGACCAATCTTTTGGATTTGTTAATCGAAGAAGCACCGTCCTTCGAAGGTATGTGGCTGAGATTGTGTGTAAATACTTGTATCATTAAAAAAACCAACCAACTTTGCTTATCATGCGTAGATGAAGATCCAAGTACCAATCCAAACGCTGGCAAGCTGATGATTGGTCTCGTTGGATATCCTAATGTTGGTAAATCTAGTACCATCAATGCACTGATTGGGGAGAAGCGAGTTTCTGTCTCTTCAACGCCTGGAAAAACCAAGCATTTCCAAACCATACACTTGACGCCTTCAATTGTTTTGTGCGATTGTCCTGGTCTAGTATTCCCAACCTTTTCTACCACCAAGGCCGACCAAGTTTGCAATGGTGTCCTTCCCATCGATCAATTGCGTGAATTTACCGCTCCTTCTGAACTTGTCACCAAACGCGTTCCGAAAGAAGTCATTGAAGCAATCTATGGTATCCGTATTCGCATGCGCAGCGAGGATGAAGGAGGTTCTGGTGTTCCAACTGGCGAAGAGTTGCTGAGAGCCTATGCTAGTATGTATTATCCATCCTATCCATTTTTGGTGACAAATCACTCATCTTATTTCTTTTAGTTGCAAGAGGCTTTACCAAGTCTAGCCAGGGAAATCCTGATGAATCCAGGGCAGCAAGATACATTCTGAAAGATTATGTCAATGTGAGCATCCTCTATACTGTACCGTATTTGTATGGAACTATAAGCTAAAATATTTTGATCAAACAGGGAAAATTATTGTACTGTCATCCTCCTCCAAGCACAGATGAAAAAGAATTTAACAAGGAGACACATGAACTACAAAAGTATCTTGACCTGCAGAAAAAACTAGCTCCAACCACTCGAGTACCATCGAATGCACTCAACTATATTCCACCTGCCGAGACGTCCAATGTTGCTCGAGGACCAAAGACCCAAGCAATCGATTCCTCATTTTTCCAAGCACAAACTTTAAAAGCAAATGTTTCAGGGAGACAGCAAGGAGACTTCACCCGAGTTCAACTCTTCCCTCACCAAAACAGGTTGGCAGACGATGGTTCACAGTTGGCTCCTGGTGGTCGTAGACAAAGGTTAGCTATGGTGAATGGCCTCAATGGTGGTGATCCTGAAGTAACGGGAAAGAAACATAAGAAGGGAAAGAAGCATGTCAAAATTAGAAGCGGTGCTGGATACGATCATATGTAATTTGCATTCGCATGCTGTAAATCTCCATTCCACCAAATGCCCTGTATTATACATTGCTGTTGTTTTTCACTTTGACTACGAAATACAAATTTTTTGTGGAGGTTACACTCCTTTGACATAAGGCTTTATCAAAGTTGTTTCCTATTTTTATTAAAGCGATTACAGATTCCGTTTGTAGCCCTGAAACTTTAAAAGTCACATTAAAAATTTCATCCAACGGGGTAGCAAGTACGTAAATAGAATGGTGGGTATCTAAATATTGCTCAATGTATGGATATCAAGGCATGGTTTAAGCATTGCTTATGTCTATCATTCCGCGACAAAGCCCCAAGTAGGCAGAGTATCGCAGTGATTAACTCGTTGTCTAACATCTTTCAGGATCTGGAGATGTGCTTTGATAAGTTCAAGCCATTTTTTATCGCCTTTTGCCGCGTCCATAAGCTCTTGATCCTTAATACGTAAAAGATCAGATACCTCCCAACCCGCATCCTGTAGCTCTGGAGTCTCCACTTGAAATTCGCGCTTAATTTTCCAACCCGCATTTTCACAGGCTGTACGGATCATGTCAGGTGTAAACAAGGTGCGAATATTGGCCCTTTGACTACCTACCCGTGCTTGGATCTGAGCGTGAATACTGAGTGCTAAGAAGTGTGGTAATTGGTCCTTGCTTTCAGGAACATACGCAAGATGTTCAGCAAAACAAAGTGTTTTTGCTTTCTTCCGCAGATTCGCAAAAATGTTAACAAGGTCTTCTGGATAGTTGAAGTAGAAAGAACAATGGGAAAGGATGGCTACATCATAGCCTGAGTATACATCTGCTTCAGGCTTGGTGATATCAGTGTTGAAGTGATAGTCAATTCTATCACCAATGTCGCCATTTTTCAGGTGTTGCATGGATTGTCCAACTGTTAAGGGCGAACCATAGTCTTCTTCAGCAATGTCAATCCCGGTGATTTTTCCTTTAGAGCCAACGGCATCTGCCAGTACTACAGTGGTATCGCCTTGGCCACATCCAATTTCCAACACGGACGAAGCATCAGCGATTGCCCACTCCTTGACCAGTTTGATACGGTGTCTTGTTTGTGTTTCAGTAATCTTGCGATGGGTCTCTTTGTCAGTGTTTGGCATCAAGGCTACCAGGCGATTTACCGCTGCGTCATTATCAGTCATCTTGTGTAGTATTTTGTGTGCTGGTTCATTCAATTTTGTAGCCTTTTATATTTTAAAATTGCGGAGTTCAAGGCTTCACTTCGATTGAGCGACTGCGGCAATCGGCATACAATGCCATCCCACATTTATATTCAAGCCGCTCAACTCTGCCTCAATAAATCTAAAAGACCATCGTCATTTGCTTTATATTGAATGACTTCTAAATTTCTGAATGATATCACCTACTCTTTCCCTATTGAACCCACATCAATCTCTCAACTATCTCGACATTATTCACCAACAGTTTGTCTCCCAGATGGCAACAATTCGTAGTTTCGTAGCTTCAAAAGCTTCCACGTTGGCTTTATGTTAATGGCTGTGCCACTTTACTACAGTATGATAAGCTCAAGCGTTAGGAAAATTCCTTCCATTGACCGATCAATCAGTCACTATGTGGTCTGGGACGTGTTTCCTTTGCTAGTCACATGCTGTCAAAGTGCAAAATCAGAAAACACTGTAAACTGCCTTTTTTTTTCCTATGGTGTTTCATCGAACATTAGCTATGCTCTTGCATCGATAGCCGTTACCTAAAAACTTACTGGCAACCATTAGACATTTATTGAATAACAGTATATATGGAAAATGAAAAATTCAATTTGAAATGAATGGATGTGTTGATTTTAAGTTCGTAGACGTGAAGAAGCATACGAAATGTTATCTTTTCAATGGCGGTTGCTCGGCCCTTTTCTGCTTAATTGAGCCTGTGTTCATTTTTTGTGGGTGTTTTCCGTAATTGTATACGCCACATTCAAGCTGCACCGAAAGAACGAGAAAACAAACGTTTCGAAACATGTACGTTATCCCACGCATTTAATTTCAGTCTTCAGAAAACAAAAACAATAGGTGATTTTCTCTCCAATTCGATCTTTTGTGAACGATGGTGAGTGGCTACCAGGGAATCTATACCTCAAGCTATCTATTAACCCAGATTTTGTAGTCTGCCAGCAAACTCAAGAACATTGTCCCTCTTCTCGACCGCGTCCTTGTTCAAAGAATCAAGGCTCAAGAGGTTAGTTACTAATGGCGATTACTACTTAACTAGGTGTCGAAGCTAAAACACTCACTCTTCAAAAGAAAACTGCCTCTGGTATTTTGATTCCAGAGAAGGCTCAGGAAGCTCTTAATGAAGGTTATGTCGTTGCCACTGGTAAGGGTGCTCTTGACAAGGATGGCAAGCACATCCCCACCCAAGTTGACGTTGGTGACAAGGTTTTGCTCCCTCCCTATGGCGGCAGTAGCGTCAAGATCAACAGCGAGGTACTTATTGTTGGTCGAGTTGCTTGATAAAAGCGTGTCATGAGAAGCTAATACATAATATATGAATTATAGGAGTTCCTTCTTTTCCGTGATTCCGAGATTCTCGCCAAGGTCACCGATAACTAAGTAAAAAGCATTGCATTTTCGTCCTTTTTAATAACATGTAAATCTACCCATCGGCCGTCTGTAGTCAGTGCGGTTTCCCCTCAAAAGTAAGACAATAGAATTCCAGGTGACCCTTGTCAATTTTACTGCCGTATGCCCATGTTGTTTTATTGTGTGCTGTTACAAAGATTAGGGGTTTCCGATCCATTATGATGGAGGTTAGCCCACTGGGATGGAAGGCTCCTACAGTGTTAATGTATGTTCGCTAGAATTTGTCTCGACAGTTTTGCTTTTTTCTTTTTGCTGTTTTTTATTTTTCAGAAACTTGCCTTGCAATTTGAGAGAGCTTGTGACGTCTGAATGCTCCGACGCCTGATGTTCAGGCGATTGTACTCTACCAAACCATGGACTCATGCTGAAGCCTCAAAATGGTGCAAAAGCTTTAGTAAAGAGCAAATTCCAAAAAGTGATCTGAAAATAACTGTCAGTCGAAGCAGTGGGCCCGGAGGCCAAAATGTGAACAAGGGCAAGTAACCCTGCCATTTATACAGTTGAATGGTACTTTGACTTCTTACATTTACTACTTTGTTTAGTAAATACAAAAGTTGACATAAGGCTTGGTATAAAAGATGCAAAATGGATACCTGAATATGCGAGAATCAAGATTCTGCAGGAGGTGAGCTAATTTCTTCTGAACAGGTTTATTTAGGAATACTGTATAACGTTCCGTTAGGCCAATGTTCGAACAACTAAGGACGGCCAGTTGATAATGGTCTCTGACAGAACCAGATCTCAAGCTAAAAACTTGGAAGATTGCATGGAAAAACTCGCAGGTGTAATCCGTTCTGCGGTACAGGTTCCGAAGGATCCTGACGCTGAAACTATCCAAAAAGTGAAGCAACTGTAAGTCTTTGATATTCATATTAAGCCGTCTTCCGTGACACTGACCATTTGTACAAAGTGAGGAAACAGCCTACATGAGACGTAAAGATAGAAAACAGCTGCATTCACAAAAAAAGGTCCAGAGAAAATCCAAGGGTCCAGACTATTAGCAGCAGACATAGTCTATAAATGTTGCAAGAGGAAGCGACGGAACCATATTTCCAAGTAGAGACCCCCATGCTGTTTATTTGATTTCATCAACAATTAAAAACTGTCAGTTCTGTAAACTATTATATTCAACTATTTCGGTAATCATAAACAATTTCAATCCATGAACTATGCTGTTCATTTTCCAAATCCTATTGCGCCGTCGTTGGAGTTATTCAAAATCGCCAGCTCCTGCTTTCCACTTGGGAGCACTTGGCTATCATTATAGTTTGGGTCATTTTTGTTGATCCACTTTCCCAACCCAGCCTGCAAAAGGAATGTCAGAAACTCATGCATTACGATGGTGTAACAAAAGAAGGGATTTAAAATGATATTTACTAGCTTGCCATGTAATATATGCGATTTTAGCGTTTGCATTGTGCTTTTACGCCGATACTGCGGCTGATGTTCAGCTTCGTCATCTTGGGGAGTTGTCTGTGGATCTGATATATCAGTGTGTTCAAGCCAAGCTTGCACTTTTTCTTCTGCATCGGACCGTTGCCGTGCACATGTGCGAGTAGGTGCTGTCTTGCCATCAGAGTCATCTACTCTTGAGCCAGTATGTCTACTTGTCCATGGCTTATGACGAATTGCCGCCGCCGAGTCTACTTCAGATATGCTGCTCTCATCGTCCTTGCCGGGGTGTACTTGTAAGCTGGCACTTGGCGCATAATCTTCTGTAGGTTCAAGGGAGTCAACGGCTAATTTGTCGTGAATGGATTCTGGCGGTGTATCTACACTCCCCAGAGGAGCACCAAAGGAATGTATAGAGGACCGATTCAGATCCATAGATATTGTGTCCTTATTTATATCAGAAGAGTTTTGATCGGCGTCAAAGTGTCTTTGCAGAACGATGGACGGGGTAGCGATCTTACCATCGCTGATCGGATCTTTTGCATTTATAGTTGGCTTATCCATTCATCACAAATATTAAACCTGTTTAATGTAGTTGTTGGTTTTGTTCAGTTGTGGGCAATAGGAAAGCCTTGTGTCAATGCGAGAAAGGCGATTGGGCGCTTTTTATGAGACTGGCAGATGTGCACGATCACGTGCCATATGAACCAGTAAGGCTTGTGACTTTTACAGCGTTGGGTCACCTGATTATCACGGTAACAGTGCCATAGTCTGCAACAGTGCCATAGTCTCCATACTACGTTATGCTACGTTATTTTGTTATTTTTGCTTTGAATTGAAATGAGGATGCGAATTGTTTCCGAGAGGGTTTACAACTGAGAGCAATTGGTGGTTATTACATTTGCTGCAGATCATGAAGTGTCGGTGTTGAAAATAAGGCTATGCCAAAATTGAAAGCCTGCGATCTGCACTGATATGGGTGGGATTTGATATGGAAACCAGTCATTTGCAATGAATGACGGACGAAACATCGTAGAAGCATTTGTTTTATACATAGAACACTTTTTTGTAAATCAATTGCTTGTCAGTGTTTCCTTTTCCACAGTCGTCCGCCAAATTTCAAACAAATAAGCATGCGTCAAACTGGCGTCAGGATAGAGGGGAGCCATTCCAGAAATGTTACATAAACGCCAATGGACAGTTCGACTGTAATCCAAGCGTTCCTAACGAACATGATAATTAATTTTGACCACCCTCTAGCTTGGAATACCGATTATTAACCTGTGAGTATCTTTAGACCATTCATAATCCAAGATTTGTGAGCTATGCTTCTGAAGGATGTGAGAAGCTGGCCATCCGTCGAATCATAAAGGTACAAGAGCTGCCAATTATTTTTTTCGGCAAAGAGACTTTGAAATTACCCCTGAAGCTCGTCAACCAACCGACGCCGAATCCAGACAGATAATATGAGAACCAAGGCATATGGACGTTGATTGAATTGATTACTTTTGTCATGCTTACAGCTGTCGGTCAACTTGGTGTTTTCCTTCCGTCCTTAATTATGATAATTGTGAATGCAACCTAGAGTACCTTACTTATATGTTACAGTGGACGTGCATAATAGCTGCTCTGATACTTTGTCAAATGTAGAAAGAAAAAATAGTCTTTGGAAATGTCTCGCCATAGGCAATTAATATCGGCCATGGAATGGTTTGTGATATCCTGTAAGTCAAGCTCATAATTATATCAATTGGTGTCGTTTCCCTACTGACCATACTTCAGATGCCATCATTACAGTAATTGTGTGTCTCCTTTCCAAGCCCGAACCAAGCAAGTGACATTTTGCAGTGCCGCCAATCTGCCGGGGTGAAAGTTTCCTTCTATCCCAATCTACCTTCACTGGGTACGAACAGATTTGCTGACGCCTTATAATCACCACCACATTGACCTGGTTCTCTTCTCTTTGCCTCAAATCACCATTCTCTGTCAATTGCAGAATTCTGTACATGAAACCATTTTAAACCATTTTGTTCTTGTGTCGACGCAAAAAAAGAGTTTGCATCATTCCCAAACTTTTTATACCCAACTTCAGTTGAAATAAATGCAGGCTTGGCAGATTTGGAGGGACTCATTATTTCGTTGATAAAATAAAGACTGCTATTAATCAAGAAGTCATCGCGAATTTAGATAGACAGATACCCATAATCGAACACGAAAGAGTGCATTTATCTCATTCTTTAAGATAGATACATCAATTGTAGCCTATTTGCTTCTATACTGAAAGTTATCTATAAAAGCAACGCTGCCCATCCAGCCATCATAGCAAGGCCACCAAGAGGGGTGACGGGTCCAAGGAATTTAAACTGGTCTCTGTTCAAGGTCAAGGCATATATTGTGCCACTAAAGGCCAATGTTCCGCCTAGCATCAATGGTGCCGCGTAACGATTTACAGCGCGAGGTGCTGAACTAACCACTAGCAAAGCGATAGCGTGGGCTAACTGATAATTAGCTGCCATTTCCCAGCTCTATGTTGATAATGTGGGATTATTATAACTTCCCGGGTGCTTCTTTATAATGCCGGTTAACGTTGTTACCTTCAATTTTTTTGGGTCATTGTTAACATGCTTTGCCAGTCCATGCGCGCCGAATGCACCGAGTGCAACGGCAGTGATGCCTTATGCAATGACAGCCATTAGACTTTAATAATTTGCTTTGTTGGCCATAATTTTGACATACCTAAGGTTGCTCCAGCCTTCCAATAGAATGTAGAGGTCATTTTTTTTTTATTTTAGTTTGAAAGTTAAGAAAGAAGGCAAGCTTCTGATGACTCAACATGAAAATGAAAATGAAAAAGATTATGTGCGTGGCGGGGTTTGGGCTTTGATGGGGATTGGGCAAGCTGCAAAGTGCATTTGGCTTGAGCAGCTTATTGGACTTACGGTGTAAATTACAATCGTTTAAAAGTTACGTTCTTATTTTTCAGTTTTACTTGAGAAGATTTACAAGTGACATTTATATGTCTATACATGTACTATTACATGTATGTGTTGTTGCGTATAGCTGAAGGCATAGCACGGCTAGATGCTCCGCAATGGCTGCATGGTAGCTGTGGAACGGGATAGCTATCCTGGCGATAATCTCTGAATTGATCAACATTAGCGTGGCAAGGCATATGGGCTTGTTTGTTGCTAGTCAAAGGGTTTGCACGTGTGGGTACTGGTGTTATGTCTTCCTCTATGAGTCTCATAAGACTCCCTACTCTCTTGTTCATGGTCATCCAGTCATCCAGACCTCCTGATTGTGACCAGTCGGCATTCTGTTGGCTAGAGAGAGCGACAGGATTGCCAACATCGAAGGATGATCGCCTCGAAGATGGTCTAACACGATGGGACTCTTCCGGGGCCATTGACCAGATGGAGAGCATAGGCGACCATTGGTTGTGGCCATGGAACCCATTTTCTGTGGAGGAGGTCGCATTATATGAGTTATGTGGATTGGGCATACGGAGAGAGTCCAGTGATCCTTTACGTTCTTTCCAGCTCGGAGTATTTTGACGTGGATTCGTAAAGGTCTTAGGTTGTGGATCCCATGGGGAGGTAAACGTTTCCTTAGTTTGCCATTGCATCTCATTGGGAGATGGGGACAAAGGATTGTCTTCGTTGTTATAATTTGAAGCATGATATCCTTCTTTTTCGTAATGCCAATGCCTTAGTGTGTCAATAGGCGAGGGGCTATTTTGTTGTGTATCCCCGGAACGAGCATATAAATGACTGGCATTCATGTCTTGATGTTTTGCTTTAGTCGACGATGGATACATTTGTCCAATCGCATGTTTGCTTGTATTTTCCATAGGTAGAGGTATATTGTAGTAGGAGGAAGGAATGTCATTCTTCTTGGCTGCTTTTGTGTGATAACATAAAAGCATGTTAATGGAGATACGCTGTACATGATTAAAATATCGTGTCAAAATCACTTACGAGGCTGCGGTGTGAGCTTTTCTCTCCATGGTTGGCACACTTCTGATGCGTGCATTGACTTTCCCCAGGTTGTCATATCTGATCCTTCCATGTTATTAAGTTTTGTAGCTGGCTTTGGCTTGCTATAAGAAACTTGGCGGCCACCATGGTGTGCAAAATCATGTCTGCTATTGGCTTTGCTCTTGTCTTCTCGTAATGTTTGCGAATTTTCAGATCTCTTGCCTGAAGCCGAGTGGGGAGGTCTGTCGGAAGTCGTACTGCGAGTCTTCAATTCTCCCCAGCTTATTGTGCGGTCCGGTACGACATCATCCCAACCTCCTGGTGCAGGAGGGATAGGCTGAACTTCAGCATCGCAGGGGCGTTTTTTGCATCTCATAAATAAGGCTATTTCATCAGTACGCATAACTCGCTCTTCATCTTTGGTTAGGTGCTGAACTGTCTTATTTCGCGGTGTGCTGACGTCCTTTAACTGGGTATGTTTTTTAGAGGGAGCGGACTTCTTGTTACGTTTATGGGTTATGGTGTCATCAACTAGCGTGAAGGAGCAAAAAATATATGAGGAAAATGACAAAATTTTGGCGTAGTCACTAATATGAGTGGAAGGGTCTAATTGGTCCAGAATACCACATCACTGTCATCTCACCTGTCGAAGAGCGCATGCGCCAACTGTTATCCGACTGCCGAGCCCGATCATCTACAGGCATCGTGGAAGTACTAGAGCGGCGTGGTGTTGAGCGATCATTACTGCTAGTGCTGCTACTCGAGCTGCCACTATCGCAGTACCATTCATCGTCGTGAACTAGCACTCTGCTGTCAATATCTGGGTTTGCATTGAGGGAAGCTGCCGGGTTTTGTTTGGCGGTTGCACGGGAGGTAGTTGAAGTCCGCTTAGTGTCCCAAGGCACGTTATATGGATTCCATTCTTCCGAGTCGTTTGCATTCGAAGTGCTTATTATTGCACACGGCTTTGAAATGACTGAATCGGTTGGTGAGGTCAACTGATATCGACTGATGCCTGAATCCATCGCTGGCCAGCCGGATGAATTGATTTGTAGACGACCAAGCTCTTGGGTTGGCATAAAGATAGCGCTAGTTGTTTGGCTATAAAATGAATAGACTCAATATTTAGACGTGTATGTACTCTGTATGGACGTAATTTTGAAAGGTTAACGATGAGGAGGAGAAAGACGAAGAAGGGATAACGGCAAAGACAAAAAAAGTCAAGGTAACAAAAAGGATAAAAATAAAGAAAAAGAGTAAGTGGGAAACCAATAATAAAGCGTTACGAAAAGCTGTTTTGTAGGAAAAAGGGATGAAAATTTTCTTTTGCAGCGGTTTTTATTTGGTCGCAGCAACACATCACTCAACCGATCTGCAAATTCAGAGTGAAAGGGTAGCTTTGAGACTTGTGAGAAACGATATGCTGGCTCCTGTTTTCCTTTTTCTTTTTCTTTTTTACCTTGTCATTCTCTCTAGAATCCCAGTTTCCCCCTTGTATTGTGCGCCGTGTTACCCCGCCCTATCTTTCTGGGCGTTGAGCCAGAGCACACCGCGGAATTCTGGCCAAGTCTAGCGTCATCGGTCATCTCGGTGTTGGCTACTTTAGGACTTGCCTAATCTACTCCTTATCAAAAAATGCAGCTGGTTGATCTTATTGCATTGTCTCCTTGAGGCTAACTAGCCAAACACTTCAATGTGCTGCCTGAAAATAACAATAATAACGCCACACACTGACGAACATCTTAACGATGTGATATCCGATGGGAGCAAGGAGTAACATGACTGCAGCTTGGCTATTGAAGGACCGGTAGTTGCAATGGAATGCCAATATGTAAAACATTGACGCCATGCAAAATGGTTGGCTTCCTTACCGTAAATACGGCATGGTGAACTTCGTCTAAATATTCGCATTATTTTGACTGGGGGTTTAAGAAAGTCAAACCCAAATCGGGGTTGACCGACTTGCAAAGTTTTCATCCGAGAAGACATCCTTATTTTGTGTACCTCAGCATGGCTGTATCCCTCATCTGCTCCAATAGCTATGGCGTTGGAGTCTCACCGAGGTTACCGAGGCGAAGGTATTGCACGTGATCATTTGACGTCGTAGAACTAGGGGTCGTGGGGCAAACTTTTTGTTTAACCTTCACAGCTGACGACGTTTGTTTTGCCTATAGCCATTGAGACTACCTGCCTCAGATTATCGCCGTATTCGTGAGCGCTTACTTTAACCTACTAAAACACTTCTCAAATGCTTTTATGCATCTGTATGCGGGGGATGTTCTTCTCACAGTCAAATGATCGTCAAGTGTGCTCAACTAGTCCGCAAGGGGACAGTATCCCTGGAACTTGTAGCGGAGATGCCACTCAAAGAGACTTGTGAAGGTTCGCCGATCCTTCATATTGACACCAACAGATACCGTTGAGTTAATAGCAATTCAGCTTACTCAAATTTTTGGAAAAAAGGGAAGTAACTTAGTATTACTGTCGACGTGCCTTTTACTGGCGCGTTTGTTGGTGAAATATTTCACCCTGCTAAGGTGGATAAAGTTATAATTATGGCGTGTTCCACCGGCTGCTCATCCTTTTCCAAAGGCTTTTGTGCCATCCCATGACCGAGCCATTTTAACGAGTACGCCTTTTACTTGACGTTCAATTTTTTTTTTTCGCTTGGTGCGTCGTAGTATTTACTAGAGTTGATGCATTCTTCGTCCTACAGTTATCTGAAAATTCTCCAGACGAACGTGTTTATAGAAGAATAACGATATGCTCCACAATAACGTTCACTGTTACAGTATATTTTAAGGCAGCATAAAACTATATTAGAAAACGCAATGACGATGAGGTACGGTGCCTGCTGGTAAGTAGCAAAAAGGAGCTGGACGTAAGGCTAAGCTAACAGCAGTCATTGCCAAGTCTTAATAGATTATATTGATGAGTAACGGAAGCTGTTTGACCTGATATCAGAAAGGCTCTGTGTGAAGTTTTCTCAGACATATTGATATCAATATCCGCGTTACCTAGACACTTGACTCAGAAATGTACGTTGACGCTCATAAAACCTAGGAGTGCTACCGGCCACAAGGAATAGCGACCGTGTCATCAGATTGCGATGTGTGAGGGTCATAGAACGGATGCAACTCCTGAGCTAGATTATGGTAAGACTTGCATGTTCATCGATGAGGCAGGATTCAGTCTACAAGCTCAACGTGATTACCATCGGTCTCGAGAAGGGACTCTAGCCCAAGGGTATTATGCCAGCAGTAAAGGATATGAAACCACCATTTTGGGCACTATTATCAGAAGCAGGAGTGATAGACATATCTTTGGAAAAGTCATAAGTTGTGTCAATATCCACCAAGAGAAAAATAAATGACGCAAAGGCAATGGTTGTAAGTGATCAGGTAGAATCGGACGTAGCATTAACTTAAACGTGATGGATTGTGTTCATAGCGTGTATGTCGTGTATGTCCATGCATCACGCATCAAGGCGTTCATTTTTATTTTTTTTTATCTTCGAGGAGCAGCATAGTTACCGCTGTAGCTGTATTCATGCATAAACATCATACCCACTAACATTTGCAGACTACGGTTTATTCGGTTTGTTGCGCAATTTTTCGATGACTGAGTTGCAGTCGGTTGCAATAAAATATTTCGAAATCTGGAAACAAGATGAGTGTATTAAATTTTATAATGGCCGTTGCCAAAATACTTTCGTACGGCTATAATTTCAAGTGGCATTTTCTAGTGCACGAAGCGCGCCACATTCCCTGTGAGGCTGACTGCCTACAGGAAAGCCTTACGTGAAGTACGCAAGCAGCGAGAAAACTGTTTCCTTTGAAGGCAAGTACAATTCAACCTCATAATGCTTTGATAGAATATTTCTGCTAAAGAGGGTTGCTCGCTTTTAGATGCGGATTGAAAAGGTATTTATCGACATTTGCAGGTAAGGAATATTGCCAACCTGATTGGCTAAAGACCGTCAATCGATTGGAAAAACTTCTTTATCATCAGCCAATTTAACTTCTAGTACATCGTAGTTTTCTCACACATAATGTACGCATTAATCCCAAAGACCCTCTCCATACCATACCAATCGATGCTCACTGCAATCACAGCTAAAATGGCTATTGTACAAACCCCCGGTATTACGTTTGGTCTGACTGTTCAGCGTGTCTGGTATCACGACAGGGGCTTATTTCCGGAAGCCTTTAGGCAGTCAAGGAGATTAAAAGCAAAGCGGCGGGTGAAGCACAAGAAAACAAAAAAGTCGTTTAAGCTCTTCAAGCAGCCTCTCGAAAGAGTCCCAGTGGTACACATATCAAAGGTAAGCATGGTCTAAATCGAGTGCTGTCTTCATGCCGAGGCTGACCCTGTCTCTTGATTTCAGTACTTCTCTGAGATCAAACCTATCAGTTTCCAAAAGGATTGCCCATTAGCTAACATAGCTTTCACGGACGACCTCAAAAAATCCTCTACACATTTGTAGATTTTCTATGAAGAAGTTAAATCCAATTAACAAGCTATGGTTGCAAAATTTCTGAGATGAAGAAAAGTATAAGGTAGGTAGTGTATATTCTATTCGATCTCGCTTGCAGGGCATTTGTATTGATTTAGATGTTAATCATATTTACCCGCTCAAATATCCTATTTTTATGTACTTGCCAATGCTTACCTGCAGCGTGCTCGGTGGAAATTTGCCTCGTTGATGGCGCCGGCGAATATTAACTAGTATACACAATTTTGTTCACCTTGCTAGAATAAACGTATTTCTGTAGGGCAGAGTAATAAGTCACTAGGCAGGATACTGACCATTTTATGTACTGGATCCCAGGGAGCTAAGTTTCCTCCAAAGCGACGTTAAAACATTGAGACACTTTGTTCTTGTTTATTATTTCAACCAAATTTATTTTAACCGAACAATAATGTATGGTAATTTGATTAGCTTACAGCTAACTGTTGATTAATAAGGAGTTGCACCAATCTGTTTGGCGAGTTTAGTGGTGTAGTCTTTAACCACAGTTGCAACGCAGTACGCTTGTGCTTCATTTTTGAACGGGCCGGCCTCGCAAAGAGAGCCAACAGCGGCACCAGCGTTGTGCTTATTAACATAGCTGTATCATACGGTATGAATTAGAAAGGATTAAAAGATTTTGGTAGTAGGCACACGACGTTGAATTTCTACCTGGTACAATCAGCATTCCATTTAGTACAAAATTGATCAACGGTTTGACCCTTAGCAAGCTTATAGTCCAATCTCCTATCAATAGCGTCAACTGAGATAGCGGCCAAAAGAGCAGTAACGAGGATGATGATGGAGGTGCGCATAGTGGAGTGAGATGTCGATGTCTTAGAAAAGTGATCCGACAGTCCTCTTATATACGCCTAAATTTGCTAAATTTATCTAAACTGGGTAAATATAATAATAGTTGAACACAGAGGCTATCTTTAGCGTTCGCATATTGATTTCATGGGATACCTGGGCTTTACAGTTGGAACATTTGATACACCGTAATATAAGCGTCTTATTTTCTAATTTTAAAAAATAAAAACCATCTCGTACTTCATTTTCCAGTAGGCACGGTAGCGCAAAATTTCATTGGGGGTACACACAAGGTGATACGACCAATCAAAAGCATTTCAAAGTTCACAGAGAAATTAGGACTGCAAATATTGAAAGAAGCGTGAGATAGCCCGATAAGATCCGTGGTTTAACCGAATAAAAATACACCTCAACATCTCGGTTCAAATATAGTTATTTGCTATGTTGTCCAGTGTGTTCAATACACGATTAAAGGTTTATTACATTCCATACATCTTGTCGATATCTTTTTGACGTGGGATAAAAAAAAGGAAGGTGGATGATAATGAGGTATAAAATTGGTTATGCTGCTTTATGAAGTATATCTTCTTGGGCCCCCTACAAGCAAATAGCTGGGTAAAGTGCTACCAGCCTTCATGGCTTAGCACTTTTGCCTGGTCAAACCAGGCGTGCATACCGATGGCGGACTTTTAGCTGTCTCATTGACTGACTTGGCTGGAGACTTTCCTCAACCGACAGGGATATGATCATTTCCTTATTTGAATACTCCTCCATCATTCGTTCATGCGATGAAACTTCATTCAGCAAAATCAATGGGAAAGGGTTAGAAGGCAAAGGGTGTACAGAGTAAATAAAACTTGCAAGGAAGCCATATCAAACCGTTCCGTGGATGCTGGATACTGTCGTCAGTCACGAGTCGGTCGAGCCTTTCAAGCTTGATTTTTGGTTGGTTAACAGTGAGAGAATTTGGGCTCCGCACGATACAGAATTGTTTGCTGGTCAACGAAAATGCCCGTAACCAATGAGCATGATTGACGCTCATTTAAAATATTGTCATTAGTTGGAATGAAAATTTGTGTGTTTTGCTTTACAATTGACGGACTTAGGAAGGACGTCAGATTTTTCAGTTTGCTCATAAAGAAAAAAGGAGAAAGGGATTAAACGTAAATGAATATGAAGAAGGAGGTGTAGTAGATTAAAAAACATAACAACAATGTTGTGTTGCTTTAGCAAAAAGGCTAGAAGAATAGAGGCTGCGTCATATCCGTTCGGTTAGGCATGCTTGGCTTGGGGTTTGGTGTGTGGTGGCAGTCTCGGGATGTAACGAGCCAAAAGTCACCAGGATATCAGGTCCGATCTTGAATTGATCACCAACTTCTCTCACAGGGGCCAACGACTTATTCAAGCTTCTTATTGTATATTCGCTTGGGATCACACCATTTCATCTCTTACATTCTTCGGTGCATTTGCTCATTATGCTAACTTATCCTCTGCTCTCTACCCTATCTTCTTCCCACCGGTATTCACACTGAACTTTTTCTGTTACAAAAATACTTCCTTTGTTCTTCTGCTAACTGCAGATACCAGCGATCTTTTCTTATTACATCCTTTCAAATAACTTAACCCAACTACCTTCTGAGTAACTGTTTACTATCGAAAGCGCTCTCATCTTTCACATTCTACCCTTCCTATCTCGCATCCGTACTTACATACCTTTGATCATCTGTTATTTTGTTTTGTCCACTCGACGTAATCCTGTAAAACCCTTACCTTCATCCGTTCCCCCAAGCTTCTGTATATAACCGGTTGGCCCTTTGCCTAGCTATTCCTTGGATATCCCCAACCTGCTGACAAAGGTTCAATCTACTCATCGCTCTTCACTGGAACAGGAAATTCCCGACCCCACCAAGATCGAGTTTCCATCCCCCTCATATAGATTTAATGAAGCGACATTTAAGGGAACCGCTAACCCTGGAAGGTCCCACTGCAAATCATGATGTTGATTGCAAGAAAGGAGATGGTAATGATGGCTATTGGACACTTTTGAGAGACTATGCCTCTAGTCAGACGGTCATCAAATTAAAGTTGGTAAAAAACTCAGCCATCGGCACCAAACGACCGAGTTTACCTTCTTCGCCACCACAACAGCCGATCAAACGTATCAAGATGCTGTATTTAACATCACCTGACATATCCTTACTTTCGTCAAAGATATCGACATTGTCCTCAAACACCGTATCTCCATGTTTAAGCTCATTTGAAGAGCCCTCTTACACCACATCTAATTATTCTCGCCCCACCACGATATCCACGGATGTTCAGCCAACCTTACCGCTGAAAAAGCGGCCAAGGAAAAGTCCATCTGCCCCTGGGAAATACCGTGAGGTGTCAGTTGAGACCCTCACACTTTTGGATGCTATTCTCCCCTCTGCTCAAGATAGAGAATCTCATCAAGTTGACGACAATAGCTATATGGCTTACCGCAACATATTACTAGGCGCGCTGGAGTCTGAAAAATTCAGACTATCGCAACCTGTGTATAAATTGGAAGGTTTTGTCGGCTGCGGAGCCAGTGGCCTAGTGGTCCGCGCCAGGCAAAACGACCGACCTGTGGTTATAAAAATGATCGCAGATGTGAGCAGCTCCGCTCACGGTAAATATCACAAAGAACTGGACAACCTACTTAGTCTGGATCACACAAATATCATTTCCCTCATTGATGCTTTTACATGTTCATCACAGTACGTAAAAACATCTTCCCAAGACGCTCCACTCAAGACTCCTCAAATCTTCTGTCTCGTTATGCCATATATGGAGGAGACTTTGTTTGATTTGTTGGCCCATCAAAGAGAATTACGAACCACCAAACTAGGTGGCTTACCTTTGGTCCAAGTTCAGAAAGTGTTCGCTCAAATCGCAGCTGGTCTAGCTCATATGCACTCTCATGGGATGTCACACAACGACATAAAAGAAGAGAATACTTTAATTTCCATCAAGGGCGATCATATCCAAGCAGCGCTGTGTGACCTGGGCCATGCACGAGTGACCAGAACCCGAAAAGAGCCAATCGTCACTTCACCACAATACAAATGTGATCTTGTGCACTGTAACCATAGGCCGGAAAACGAGACCCGGCTTTACATTATATATGGAACCGCTGCTATGACTCCACCTGAGATGCAACCCAATTACCGATTGCGACAAAAAGCTCTCAACGCTTCCTCCTCTCCTAATCCGGAATTCGTTAAATTTCAGGGCTTTGAAGCTGATGTATATGCTCTAGGTTTGGTCCTTCATAGTATGATTTACGGTAGACTACCTGATGAATGTCATACTTGGCCGAAGAATATGGAAGAATTTAAACGCTCACAACCCATCAAGCAACCTGCTGGTCAGTGTGCTGTAGATATTGGTGGCGCTAACCAACTACGCCTAGCCTTACCATCTTCTCTTCGACATCTCCTCAACGGTATGCTTCATCGCGACTTTCAACAACGTTTCAGAATGGATCAGGTCATTAAGCATCCCTGGCTACGTTCAGCCATATCCCCATCTTAACATCTTATACACAAACATTCCTTTTATTGTTTTTCCCTTATTTCATGCCAATTTCAACTTTTAATTGAACTTTGTGGTTCTGCCTACCTCTTTTCTATACCAGATTGTCATGCTAATTTTCTTTTTGCTATTTTACTGATGCTAATTGCTTGTAAACATTTGTCGTGATGCTCCCTCTTAATTGGTTTTTTTTTTTTTAAAAAATATATATATATATATGCATATATGCGCTATTCTACACAGTGTTTTTTTTTCATACTGTATATGTGTGTAGCCGTAACTTGATAATCAAAGCACCCCATACTTCGAATGCAGGCCAAAGGCTATTCGCATGATTTAAACGTAATTATAATACTAAAAAAAATCAAAAATTTTCTAGCATACTGCTCATTGGCCAGCTCGAAGAACGAAGCGACGGATATTACTGCACGAGCAAGATCAATGCTGTCGTCAAAGCGCACAATGGATGCTGACAGCCCAGAAAGTATAGGGTGCTATCCACGTGACTACTACGTCACCCATCCGCTCATTAAAATTTTCCTTTGCCGTAACCGACGAACTTCGCTAGTATCCTTTTACCTTTTGTCTTGCCTCTGCTTTTGGTGAATTTGATAACATTGAATGGCTGATGCATTACCAGAGCCACTAGAAATGGAGCACATACCTATTGATTTGAGACAAGATTTGTCGGGTTCACATTACAATACGGAGCAATCCAATTTAATTTCTCCTGTCGACCACAGCCTACATCACCTAGATTACAAGTACTCATCATCTGTGAAAAGTCCTAATCCGTCATACCAACAACAAGCAGATCAGCCAGTTGGCAACAATAATAGCGTCGGCGATAATAATAATGCCCCTCATTTGTCATATAGTCAATCCTACCATTCTAATTCACCCAGTCCACAATCACCGTCGCCAAGACTGCACTATACCGTTACCGAGGGTAAGCATTGAGTCCATTTCAACTTGCACAATTTCAATTTTTTTTTTTAAAAGAGAAGATATGGAAAAAAAACAAAAAACGCATATTCATATATGTGTTGGCTGCGCGAGCATGAACTCGAATGAGTTTGATCTCTTTCATTGATCATTATATATTCTCCTACTCTTATCCTGTCCGATACTATCTATGTTTGCTTTTCCACTCTTCCTCTTTATATTCTTTATTGCAAACGTTGTACTTAGAAATCTCCTGATATCTTGAATACTCTCTCCGATCTGTCACGCCTTCTTTGTGCATGCTATAGCCAGATGTACCAGTCATCCCGCAAATCTCTATTGTGGACGGTGTATCCTGGCGGTACTGGTTACCGTAATGCGAGGAGTTCTTGCTTGATTGGGAGAAAGTGTACAGGATATGCACAATTTCAAAAACCACGTTCTTTTTCTTCGTGTTTCTCTTAAGGGAAAAAGTAACTTATAGAAATACGATTTATATTGACCAAAATTATATTCTCCTTCAATAGAAGGCTCAGTACACCATTCGTCCAAGTCAAACGAAGACTCAGACTTAGACAAGGACTACGAAGTTGCTATGAACCCTCAGCCAGTGACCGAAAACGTGAGCAATCTTTGAGAAAGGATCGATAACGTAGAGCATTTAAACTTATCCCTATCTTATTGTATTTTACAGCCAAATAACTTTGGAGACATTTCTAACACGGCACTGGTAAGCGTCGGTCACTTCGTCAGAGTAATTACAAACCGCCACAAGCATACACTGATGCACAGCTCCCAAAACCAGATACCTGAACCAAACTCTACCGAAGATGAAGCCATGGATGTAGACCCACTCCCTGTTCATTCCAATGGTATTTATTCGTCCAATGTCTCTGTACACTTCCTAGATGCATATCTTGACCTTTCTGGCAATACAGATCAATCGCCAACAGCCGATGTTTTGCCAGAGATTACTCCATCTCTAACTACAGCATCTTCAGATTCAAAATCTGACCTTGGTGTGTATAATCCTTATGTACAACCGCGTCAAAGTAGTGATAGTCCATCAACTGTCCTACCATCATCCAATCTAAAGCATGTTACAAATCCTAAAGCACCTGCTGATCAGTACAGCCTGACAGCTCCTGCTCAAGGATCTCAAAGACATTTGGTAGATAGAAATGCAAGGGATGAGAAGAGTAGACTGGAGAGGCTCATGAGTCCAGATGATGAGCAAGACAGTTTATTAGATCCGTCTCAAGGAGTGACTTCATTGATGGATATGATGCAATTGGTGCAATTGACCAAGACAGAAAAAAGCACAAAGACCCGTATGGTCATATTGCAGAAGATCATTCAGACAGACGATATTGCGTTACTACAGAAGTATGTAGCACCCCTGTTTATTTTTTTTTACCTCACCTGTGGTTCATGTTTACTAACTATATTCGATCTCGTATTGGTACTTATTTTTGCGTTCGCCTGTGCCATCGAACGTTTTCCCTATAGATTTGTTCATCACGAGGAAAGAATAGGCATACGAACGCTTGGAAACTGGCTCTATTCCTATTACGACAAAAAGATGATGCGGATAACAATGAGTATATTGAAGGTAATTTGCCGTATAGATGAAGATGAGATGATGTGAAAGACCCCTTTTGTTTATAACTCTATGTATAAATTATCAGGCACTTGACAAGCTTCCAACCTACGCATCAGATTTAAGGCATCTGAAGATCCAAGGAGTTGTTCGCCTGATAGCAACCATGTCTACCGGCAGCGATGGTAAGTCGAGAAACAGATGTAACGCATACCGAATTGATTCTATACTTACTTTACTACAGACCCACCAGATGTGACAACAGCTGTTACAAATCTCGATGCGAAATGGGAAAGAACACACCATTATCAACCCACGAAAGAAGAGGCTATAAATTTGGAAGCTGCCCTTGCTGAAACTCGCGCAAACAAAGAAGCTCGTGGCACTGTACAAACTCTTGATCAAGATAGTAAATCATCTCCAATGGGTAGTAAGAATAGCGATTCTGGAGACGGTAAAGCAGATAGTCTTAAACGATCGCATAAAAGCGCTGAACAGGTAGGTTCCAAATCATTAAGAGCAATAAAGCCATTGGTATATAATGTAACGCTTTTTCTAGGATCTGAAGCAAAATGTGAAGCGTGTCAAGTCCACTGCCACTAAGGAAAGTGCTTCTGCCAAGGCAAAGGCAGTTACGGATACAGATTTTTTCAATCGCTTACTAGCACCTAAGCGACCGCAAACTCCAGAGCCTAGCAAACCCAAAGCCAGTCAACCCACAAGTGACACAAAAGCGTCTACATTCAATGTAAATGAACTAAAGTGAGTATCCAATAGAAACATATGATGAATGAAATCGCAGTTTACTAACAATCTGTCGACAATCAGGAAGGCGAAAACGGCGGGCCGCACGATACCTACTGGAAAAGGTTCAGATTTTTCACTTGATGCACTACTTTCAACCATTGGTCGTAGCCCTGAACAGAAACGATCACCTGAAAGTCCACCAAAATCACCACCGCCAAGTACCAGCAGTGCGAAGTCGCCTGAAGCCGCAGGCAGCGACAGTGCTGGCACTAAACGGAAACGTGGGGTTACGTTCGCTCCTGATGATCGAATTGCAGAATATAGATATTATACACCAAATGCTGAAGAGTGGGCAGATGTAAGTTACATGAGGATGTATGGGAATTATACTTTGTTGCAATACTAAATCACTTTTATTTAGCAACCCACTGGTGAGGCAATAAATCATGTACATGGCAACGCCCGTGACCTTGATGTGGGTGAAGGTAGGATGGCTTTCGAAAGAACGCATCCAGCACAGGTACCAGAGGGTACCAAAGATTGGCATATTCCATCGCGTAAGTGTCGATAGCCACTTTCTGTTTTCCAGAGAAAGTAGATTTTTGGCTCGTATCTATCTAACACACAAACTTTCAAACTTTTAGTTATCCGATTACCAGACCATCTTGTTCTTGCGCTTCCAGAAGAAACTGCAGAGTCAAAGGCACAGGCGATTCGAGAAGAGTCGACATTTGCTGCCGTTTATACCAGTCTTGCGCATATACCTCCGTCACCGGCCGAACCAAACGAAGTTCCTCCTGTACATCCAGATGCCAATATCGTACACATTCCTTTGGAGGACCTGTATAGCTATCAAGTCAATGCTGAGAGAGCAAAACCACCACCGGAGCCACCTCTGCCTACTGATCCTGCTATTATGAATAATCTTTTAGCTGCTGCCGGCTCGGTGCTACAATCAATGAATGGGGTATCGCACTCTCAGATACCGGTACAGGCTACAGTTCCACCACCGCCAACAAATGCAAACGGCTCAGTAGATCTCAGTCTGGTTGATGGACTGCTTAAGAATCCTAGGTAAGTATTGTTGATATGCATTTCTGTACATATTCTTTTTTTTATTTAAACGCTCTATACAGCCTTGTTCAGTCGTTGCTTGGGCTTATGGGCACTGCTCCCAATAAATCGCCCAGTCCAGCAATATCCTCGCCTCCAGTGAACACTCTACCTACTGGCCCATCAGCCTCTATAGCATCATCCAACTCATGGCAACAGCCTCAATCAGCCCCGCCACCACCACCTCCCCAACAGCCACCGCGACAGCCTTATAATTACTATCAAACATCCCCTCCACAGCAATACCAGTCTCCCAATCGAAACCAGCAGTATGGAAATAATCAGCCCTACCCCGATCAATCCTATCCTGTAAGTTGTTCAAAATCGACCTATCCATTAGATAGTTACCAATCATTAGAGACACTTTTCTAATTTAAACTTTTTATCCATAGGTTCCTGGACAACCAACGCCAACAGCACGAGGACAATATTCTGCTTCTGGACCTGTGCCTAGCGGACCCAGCCAAAGACCTGCGATAAATCCAAACTTTAGAGGTGGATTCCGAGGAGGTGCAAGAGGAATGCCTCGCGGTGGTCGTGGTAAAGGACCTCGTGGAGGACGTGGTAACAAGTTTCGTGGCGCTCCCAACCGCTTCTAAGCACAAAAGACTAGAATGATTTTTCTTTCCACCATCACTTTGTCACATTTTCTTTCTTCTTTTATTGTAATGCTGTAAAAACCTTCCGTTTTATCTACTCATCTCGACACGCACACCCACGTTAACAAACGCACTGTACAAAATCCTTTACATTCAAACAGAGCTCTATATTTTGCTTAGCCATTCCATGAACGAAAGTGATAAATTTCAATATGGTAGTGTACATCGTGGTGTTCAGAAACAGAATAATGATGAAAGGAAAGGAAGAACTGAAAAATATGCTAACAGGATATTGCGGGATTCGGCTCAATATGTACAATGAAGAAACCAGGATTCCAACATTAGCGACGAGGTGTAGTAAGGCATATAGATAGTAGTGTGCGAACGCCTTATCCAAAGTGGCGCGATAAAAGTTCCTATAACAAAATGTTCAATTAGTTCATAGTATAAATAAAAAGCAATCTCATTTTCTTTTACACTCACATATGTCATAAATATGATGGCGCTAGTGGGGGCGCTGCGAGCTACAGTGATGCCACATCCTTGGTAAAATCCACGAATGCCAGCACCCTGCCAAAGGCCTTTGACAACTTGGCCAAAACGTCGCTTTACGCCAGTGAGCTCTTCCTCGGTTTGCATATGACTTTTAACCACATCGAATGGGAAAAATGAAAAGTTATATGACATGCCGCCAATAGCACCAGCTGCCATGAGTTCTTGAGCCGACAAATCTTTCTTGTAGACGGGTTTCCCGGCTTGCTTTTCTCGATGATGCATAAACAGCATACAAACGTATTCATATGATCCAAACCAAAACGCTCCTCCACCACATTCACGAATGAAAGTAGCGAGATGTCCTCGGTAAAATCCAGCCAATCCATGTTGTTGGAAGGTGTGAGTGATGATGTGAATAGGACCTCGGAAATGGACTAATCCTTGAGCACCATGTTGTTGAACTTGAAGTTTGCATTTGATCAGTTCCACGGGAGTGAGTACAATAGAGGTAAAGGCTCCGGATATCGTGCCAGCTAAAATTAATTGGCTCAAGCTCAAAGGCTGTAAGTCTTCATCGATAGTGCCTTGTTCGGCATACTGCTTCCTTTGCTCAGGTGTAGCTGAAACATCTCGTATAATACGTTGTACTTGCTTATACCCTACAAATAGGGCAGCATTCTCTATCATAGATCCTACAAGCGGAGAAGACATGCCCTGACAAAGTAAAGCAATACGTAAACATACGAGTCGAAATTCCCAGGCAAAGCATTATGACAAGGTAAAATACAACATACTCTGTAGAGGTCTTTGATGCCATGTTGCTTGACAGTTTGCATGATGCAATCCAATGGACCAGAGTATTTGGGGTTACTAAGCGACTGCGTCTGCAGACGAACTTTCACGGTATCGAACGGGTATTCCACAAACTTTCCGACAAGTCCAGCTATCTGCTCAAAAAGTTACATAAGAGAGAAAAGATGGTCAATTTGCTGTTTGAAAGAAGTATAGTGGATCAGGGTAGGCAGAAAGTAGCTTACGGAGCCAAAGAGTAAGTCGTCGAGTTGTTTTCTCATATTGGACTTGGCCCCATGATCGGGTGCCAATCGATCCACTATTGCTTGTTGTTGGGACGAAGCTGTTTCCATTTGAAAAATTGAATAGGGACCTCAGGTCATTCCGGACAGAGAAAGTAATAGAAGGAGGTTTTTATAGGTGGAAGTTGCCCCAAGTAAGAAAGAAAGGAATAAAAAATAAAAACAAAAAGCAAAATCGGAAGCACCTGCTTGGCGGATGCGAAGCAGTCACTATGGGAACCTGACTCACTACCCAAAAAAAAATTATCGCATCTCGATATTGTCTCTTTTGACGAGTAATTCCCTCAACCGTTCCCTGGTTCGACATAATTGACGCACTCTCAACATGCTCCATAGTTCCTCCGGTGATATATCTTTTATGATGTCGGTGATAGTAATTTCTTCGATAGGGGGCGATGGCAGAGGGGTTTCTTCCGATAATTCATCCCAGCTCCATGTTTCACACCACTCAGTCCGCACTTGAGAAGCGCAATTCGGTAATGTGTATGTGATAGTGGTAAGCTTTGTAATGATCTCATTCAATTCTTGGATTGTATCATGTTCTTCTTTGTCTGACTTATTGTACCATGGAAACGCAATGTGTTGAAATAACTGGTGCCTCTGCCGGTCATCCCAGGCCGGTTTATCAGCCGGTTTTTCAAGTCGACGGTAAACACATGCTTGTGTGCAGTGGCCCACGTCTTTAGTTACAATTGGCTGCTTCATGCTTCCAATACCATAAAATTCAACTTGATATCCATACATATCTGCCGCTCGTTGACACCATGCATTAAATTCGCACCTGGTCCATTCGAATCGATGATCATCATGGCGGAATTTGGTGCCGTCAGTGCCATAGTTTAAATTAGGAAAGTTGATATTGTACTCAGCATTAGGTGTAGTTACTATGAACAAACGTGGTCGATAGATACCGAGGACGGTGGTCAACATTTTTTCCACATCGTCGAGTTCTAAATGTTCTATTACTTCGGAGCAGACAATCGCATCATAGTCGGCCAGCCGCTTATCTGCAACATCTACACTTCCTAGTACATGCCACTTCATTAAAATGACATACATTCATACCTTCCATGACATCGTAAGGATCTTACCTTTATATAGATAGATATCTAATGCTTTTTCTCGCAAATTATCGTAGTCCATTTTCATGGGCTCGCAGGCTTCTGCACACAATGCAAGAGCTTCACTAGAAATGTCTAGTCCAGCTAGTCGAACAATCTCATCAACGCAACCAACAGGCGAGGTCAAAACGGATAATAAGGCGCCTTCACCGCAACCATAATCCAGTACCTAATGGAGTGCATGTTAGCATCGAGCTTTACAGAGCAGGCATTTTGGAATCTGGTCATACCGATTTTACACAATGTTCACTTAATATTCTCAGCAAGAATGTCCGACGTTGTCTCCAAAGACTCGGATTGAATATTGGCTCGATCTTATCGCTTGTCATGGAGCCGCGACCGATCTAGGAAAAATACTAGAAGGTAGGGGCAAAAATGGAAAACTGGTGATCCTTGGCCGACCAAAGTGAAAAAAAAAAATTAAGTGCTTTAAGCAAGGTATTTAAGCAAAGAATTTTTTTAATGATGGAAATGCTTCAATTCCAGCTGTTCAATAGATAAAACATATTATCTGACGAATCCTTGGGCAATAAGAACACGATTAAATTTGTCCCATGCCGGGTTATGGTCCCGAACTCGGTCAATTTGAATTTCTGATGCGCGTGAATATGAGATATCCTTGAATATCTGTAAGAGTCTTTTCAAATGCTCATGTTGTTCAGCAGCGTTCTGTTGGATGGTCAAATCGTTGGCGCCGGGTATATCGTCGAGCAATACAGCACATATAACACTCATAATGCTAGCATGCCATAATTCCATGACGTTGTTAAAGTGAGTTAGTTGGTGGCCATAGCACTTTTCAAAAGTCAGAACCAGTAAATTGGCAGTCGATATGCAGTCCTCTGTTGCTTCCGAGAGGGTCTTATCATCATTGATGAGCCGAGCTTCTAGTATGCGTCGCTTATGGAAAGTTAACTCGGTAAACTGTTGGACTATTTGCAGCGAGTATTTCATTGTATTTCTTGTACTGTCAGGAAGATATTCTTGCCATTCCATGTCCGGAAAATCCAGTACAGGATTTATAGGAGAAGCGGTATTGTTATCACTCTCGTCCATTTTTGATTCTTTATCATGATGAACTCTGTACTTCCGCTCTTTGGCTATAAATCCCTGGTGAATACCATTGTGTTTCATAACATTCTGAATAAAGTGTACATAAAACGCAAGTGCCTCTGCAGTAGTTTTTTCTTCATCTGGAAGTGGCATTGGTAGCGCAATTTGGGTCTCTTGAAGAGCATTCTGTTTCAGGTCCATTCCAATTAATATCCTCCCTCTGCATACATTCTACATAAGTGTATATCCACTCACCAAATCGCCGTCTGTATAGCCAGTCCAATCCAGTATGTCGGAGAACAGCATCAGAGTCCACCACAGCCTGTGGCCAATCTCCAGTTCAACTGACTCCTCTGACTGTTGCTGCGATATATTGTAGCCTCGTTGTATTGCCATACGTGTTGCTAACGAGTGATAGTGCAAACTGCGGCTTTTAGATTTGTCAAGACAATATATAGAGAGATAGTGTAAGGCAACAATGGTCCAAACTTCTATGCCATCATCTAGGCAGATGTCAGCAAGAATTCTTCGAGCCACAACGTAGAATGCTTGACCAGATCGAACGTATTCGCTCACACCAGCCCATGGGTATTCGCCTTCGTGGAATCCCAAAGCGTGCGACGCATTGTAGGCACAGATAGCTAAAATCAAAAGCCGAAATGAGAGGGTGTGTTCTGCTGGATTAGCGAGTTTTGCCATAAATGTCGGTTTGTGAAAGCAAGGTGCCCATGGGTAAAAACAGTTGAAGAAATTGTGTAGACATATCATTACATAGTTGCTGGAGTCGTTCTCTGTCGCCGACGGATATGTATTATCCATATCATCTTGCGTCTCGCTATACACATTGAGAAACCTTTTGACGATTCCTTCGTCCTGAGTGCGCCAGCGCAGTGCAGGATGTATTTGCGCTTGATTTATGGCTTCCATAAACAGAGGTTCATCGATTCCCAGGACTTGGGCGCTATGGCTCATCCCTTTGAGCAAATCGGCAATAGTAAAAGCAGAGGTATCGATGGCGATACCTTCTGCGTTTACTTTAATGTCCCATCTATAACAAGGATCTGAACTAGTTGATATAGTGTGCTGAAGCGAGTGTAGATCTTGCTGTAGATCTTGCTGTAATACTGTATTGGTGCCATCGACCTGAAGCATCGGTATAGAAGATATCTGCTGCGTTGAATGACTGCTTAAAACGTTCATTTTGGCCTGTAAGTCGTTCAATTGCATTTGTAATTTTTCAAGTGTACATGATTTGATAGTTTCCTCTGCTTGATCCTTTGGTAGTTCACTATATACACTATTGAAAGGGTTAGTCTCCGTCTTTTCGAACTGACTTTTAGGATCGGGTCGATTTGAATTCAGTTACCATTTGCTTTTGGACATGTGGCAGCGCAGACATAATGGGAATACTCGGTCGCATCTCTTTTTTAAACTATGGCAACGCTGGCACGCTCTTGGCGCCAGTGGAGGTGTATGCGTTTCGAGCATACCGCTGCTTTCTCGAAAATTTCAATGAAGCAGTGTGAAAATGCTGGAAATACAGGGTCAGCCAATCAGCATACACCAACCTGCAACTTGAGAAATCTTCTCAAAATACGTGCCTAATCATGATATCGAGACGTTAACAGAGTACATATATCTTCCTACTATGACATTCAATCAAGGAAGTCAAATAATTTTTGACTGAAATATCTGCTTAACTTCAGCTTCACACATTATTAACATCCGGCGGCTGAAACATGTCCCAACGCTCAACGTTCAGTGGTTGCACTTTAAAAATTTGAGCACATTTCCATTTTTTTTTAATTATATAGCGTACTTCTCCTCACCGTACAATGGTATCTATGGTATCTTCATCTTTGAGTTCATAAGGAATTCCGTTCTCTTTCAAATACTCGTCACTCCAGAACTTGGTAAGATGTCTCTGGCCAGAGTCATTCAAAAGCGTGACAATGACATGACCAGGTCCAAGTTTGCGTGCTGCACGTACAGCTCCAACGCAATTAACAGCTGAACTACTGCCAACAAAGAGACCTGAAATTGATGGCATGAGATACCGATATTATTCACTTATTTTGGAAAAGCATAACTCACCATCCTCTCTCACAAGGTAACGGGCCATCTTTACCGCCTCTTCATCTGTGGCCCTAAACGCATCATCTATGTGTACTCTTCCAATGTCAAAATTCTGAGTAAGTCGATTGATTCCAATCCCTTCTACTACAGTGTCCACTTGATGGCGCCGACGTGTGCCTTCAGCTTCTGTAGGCGAGTACATAATGCCATGCTTGACTTTATGGTAGAGACCAGATCCTTGCGGATCAACGAGAAACACTTTGAGACCTGGTAAAAGAGATTTGAGGTAGGTAGAAATACCGGATAGCGTGCCTCCAGTGCCTGCGCCAAGGACAATAGCATCTACTTTACCACCGGTTTGACGATAAATTTCTGGACCGGTAGTTTGGTAGTGAATCTGGAAATTGGCTCTATTCTCAAATTGATCGGCGAAATATCCTTGCGCTTCCTTGGATGCTTCGCCATCTTTACTAAACTCTTCCGCTCTTGTACGGGCAAGATTAACAAATTGCCGCTTGTCAATAATGCTGACCGGTCGAACCTTCTCTACTGTTGCTCCTAATTTTTCCAATAGCTGATATTTTTCTTTTGCTTGATCATCTGGCATGACAATCCATGCATTGTAACCCTTTGCACGAGCAATCATGGCAATTGAGATACCAGTCGATCCAACAGTACCTTCAAACACGGTGCTTCCGTTATCGGGCCGTAATAGGCCTTGTTCTTCTGCCGTCTTGATGATATTTAATGCAACTCTATCCTTTGCGCTCCCACCCGGGTTTAAAAACTAAAGCGTTTGTTAGCTCATATGAAGCAATCATAATTGGCGATAGAACTACATAATCCGAAATCAAATGTGTCAAAATACCTCTGCTTTTCCCTATAATTCCAAGAAGTCAGCAATTGATTTACAATAACGGTGCCAGCATGAATGGATTTCATACTCACCAATATGGTACATCCTGTCGCTTCAGACAGGCTCCTTATTTTCATCAGCGGCGTGTTGCCAATAAGACCGTCCACGCCGTCAACAATTTCCATGCCTCTGATATTACCAGGTGGGCATAAATGGTTAGAATCAAGGGAATCACGACGATGTCGAGGACTATGCTTTTTAGACGAGGAGAGGTTGAGATACAGGGTGATGGAGGAAGCTGTGACGAGTGATCCTAATAGAACACCCCATAGCAGTTGGTGATTGTCATTATGCGTTGACATGACCACAACCTGAAGAAAAGTGTTGCTAAGCGACAAAGCAAGTCACATCTTCTTCAGCTTTGACGACAAAGTCCGAATACGGCATCCGCTGTGTGGGTCATCAAAACGTGTGGAGTTTGATGTTGCTGAACCGCACTACCAAAAGCCAGTAAATAATACATAGCAAATGGACGTTATTAATAAAACAAGCTGATTTTTTCTGATGAAGTGATCTCGTGGGTAACAAAGCGTAGGTAGACAGGCTTACTACTGACCGATGAATGACGAGACCACGGTTTTGTACCAGTTTTTTAAAAGGGCCCTTCAAAAAACGTGATTTGTGCATGAAATACACTTGTCCTTTTGCCCCGCTTAGCATCTTCTTTTACTTTTACAATTCATTAACACAACTCTAACAACCGTGTAATGCCTGATCTGTCAGATTTTGAAGCTGGCGACGCGCTAGAAGAAATTAGCCGCAAATTCGCAAACGTATCCCTCGAAGCTGCTTACCATCGCGGTGAAACTGTCGAACGATCCCAGGTATGCAGAGTTCCAGGTCATAGTCACAATGGCCTCAAACATATTATATCTGCTACACCTCATCTCACTAACACCTGATATCAACGTCTCACCTCCCTTCTTTTCCATTTTCTCACCACTTGATTATCATAACAGCTTCCAACGTTACAAAGGTTGCTATGGTCTAACGACATAGACGCTTCATATCATGCAATATTGATGATTAGAAGATACCTTTCTCAAGGTAAGAACTCCGTTGCGCACTTTCCAATCAGGAACCACCACGGAATGTAGTGAACTAAAATATATCTGTATGTAGATAACAACGAGAGCCGCATCACAGACATTTTGTCGCTTAATATTTTAGAGCGAGTTAAAACATTATTGGAAGCTTCTAGTGCTCCACAGCTACAGGTTAGCACCTTACTTCATTCTTTTCATTTAACTGCGGGCATGACAATAATGTTTCACTCAACTCACACTTTTTATTTTGTAGTATGAATCCGCGTGGGTGATCACAAACATAGCTGTAAGACATTTGCATTTATTATGGAAAAAATATCGCCGACGTGAAGAGATCCACATACTCACGCTATCATTTTGTTTTGACCAAAATGCAGGCCGGCAATTCAACACAGACGATGGCTGTTGTGGAAGCTGACTATATTAAAGTGCTAATGGACTGCCTTTGCTCCGATGGTAACATTGATTTTAAAGCTCAGGTATGGCAAATTCCTACATTCCCGCGGTTCTCCCTTTTTCAGTATGATGACTCAATAACTGACACTTGACCACCAGATATCTTGGGCGTTATCAAATATTGCAGGTGAATCTGCTCCATTACGAGAACGGTTACTTCACCAAAATGCTATGAATGCTGTCATTCAAGTTTTAAAATCGCTTTATGAACAAATCTTGCAAGTCAGCTCTTCTGAATATACAACCGACCATATGAAGGTCATTCGAGAGAAGGGTGCACATGCCGACGTGAGGGTACTTACTTGGACTATATCAAATATGTGTAGAGGTGGATTTAAGACGAAGGAACTTTGGCAATTGGTAGGTTCATAGCGACAAGGACAAACACCGGATATGCATTTTCTAACGTGGTACTTCTATGAACAGTATATACCCGCTTTTGAAATACTTTCTGAAATGACTTTATTGGATGATCCAGAAATTTGCACGGATGCATGGTAAAGTATATGAAAGATGAACGGATAGGTTTTTTGGGGATCGGTATACTAACTAAATGAATTATAATATTAGCTGGGGATTATCACGTATATTGAGCAATATGCACAAAGTTGATCCATTCCTACGAGCTCTACATATCCACGATGGCCTCTGTCCAAGACTTGTTAAGCTACTGGAGTAAGTACATCCTCACCTTAGCCTGACCATACCGCAATGAATTCTCATTTTATCCTCTTTCTTTGACTCATCAGTAGTGACAATGTTCTTCTTCAGACACCGGTGCTCAGAACCGTCATCAATATTGCTTCTGGCCCGAATGAGCATATTTCATGTTTGTTGAAGGGTCAGCCTCTGGAAGTTCTATTGCAATACCTTTCACCCTCTGTCTTATCGCATTTCCGCCGAGACGCTCTTCTAACAATTGCTAACATAGCAGCTGGAAGTGAAAATCATGTCAGACAAGTTTTGGAGACTCCAGGAATTATGGAGATGGTGGAAACCTATACGAGGATACCCGACACTGATACAGATATTCTGCCCTACGCCTCCAAACAAAAGTCCACCCATCAGGATATCGAAGAGGAATGGAAAATTACACAGGAAGCCGTCTGGATTATCTGTAACGTTACCAGCTTGGGAAGTATTGAAAGCATCTGGTACGTAGGATATCTTCAAGTCTTCCGTTTTTATGTCATCCCATACTAACCTATCAATATATAGCAATATGTTAGACGCACACCCACAAATACCAAAGCGACTTTCACGAATCCTTCTATACCAAAGCACACCTATGCCGGCAATTCTCAAAGTACTGGATGCCATGATCAATATCCTTAGCCGAACCAGTGAGCTATTCAATGTCAATCCTCCATTATCTTCACAGCCAAAGAACCCTTATTACGATGAGTTTGTTCAACTTGGTATAATGAGACGCATTCAATCCATGAAGAATGAATATCCTGGAGTAAATTCGCTACAAGAGCGATTAGATTTATACACCACTGCAGCAAATAACTGCAATGCCCAGCAACCAACCTATACCCTGGTTGCTGGTTCCGCTGAAGCTTTCGGCCTTCCCACACGCAAAGTTCTAACTACTGGTGCTAATGTTCGTCGAGTGGTTCGCGGAACGGAAGATGGCGATGTTCGATGGGTAGAGGATGCTGTTGGTAAACTTTGCATTCTCGAAGGCAGCTAGATAGTTACCTGCTGCTTGTTTCTTTCTTTTCTACTTTTTTTGTGGTTCGAACCTTCTGTTGAATCACAGCTCATTACACGTGATCTATTGCAAGCCGTTCTTGCAGTCCAGATTTTTTTTTCTGAAGTTCGAACCATCAATCCATGTACCATCTTCAGTAAAGTATTAAAAATCTAATTGACAATGTCCAAAGCTCCCTCCTTGTTCCAGCGATTTAGCTATGTATATAAAACTTCGCGCTTTCCCTGGAAAAAGCATGTATTGATTGGCCATGACCTTTCTGGGAATGAGTATTGGCAGGCTCCCAACCCAAATCAACCCAGTAAGTGCGAGTTCACTATTCAATGCTATGATAACAGCGGATGATTAATTAACCATGGTGTGGATATCTGTAGATGGACGACCGAAACGATGGGTAAAGATGCTGGAGAAGCAACGGGAAAGCGATTTCACTCAGGACAAGCTACCTGGTACAATACAATTAAAAATCGATAGCATAGATATATAACGCATGCATACTAACATGTCATTATAGTGCAATGGCAAGCTTGGTTACGGCATACACGACCAACTACACCCACTATCCAAGAGATCATAGCAGCCGACCAAAGAAGATTGATGATCCAGGAACGGGCGAGGCAATTGGATGAGGAATGGGCAAGGGTAGGGAGACGAGCTTCACCTCTTGCAACACCTATGAGGTATATTTCGCTAACACGTGGATTACTTCAATAGCGCAAATTAGAGCTGGAAGAACAGGAGGCATTACTTATTGAGGGTACGCAGTATTTGAATGTATTCCCGTAGACCCTTCATTTAATTTAACCTCCTCTTTTCTCCAATATCTTTCCTGCAGGCAACAGACCACCCGCACCCAAGAGAGAACAACAGGATTTTGTTCCAGGATCATGGTCACCTGAAGCACGAGAACGGTAGACATTTGAGAGTATATGCGTTATAGCATAAGATGTAGCATAAGATCGATTAAAAATAAATTACTATTAAAAGTAGCAATCAATTAAACCACATTGCCCTTCAACTTCTCATTTTCCTGCTCTAGCGCCTCCCTTTTGGCACACTCCTGTTCCAAGAGCTGTTCCAGTTCTTGTCGGCGCTGTCGTTCCTTGTTGAGTTGTGCAGTGACGTTGTCAACAGACGACGTTTCACTAATGGACACACCCATGGCAACGGCCTCCATAATTTTAATGATACGCCAGAGACGGAAGACAATAAGCAACCTGAGACGGAAAATAGATTAACATCATTGTTATGAAAAAAATGTCTTGGCCATAGCATAAATGTGTATCATACCCTGCGACTTCGCGTTCTTTGCCCTTTAGTATGATCTCCAAGATAAAGGTCGTTATCACGACTGTTGGTTCACCCCAGCGTTAAATATTAGAAAGGATTGACGGACATGCTTCGCTCCGATGAAAATCACTTACCTGCGGCGTCCAGATTATGCATTATCCAGTGCGGAGAGCCAGGCGAATAATAGGATGGCCCGAAAGCGACCATGGTCAACAAGACTTCGACCAAGAACAAGCAGGTGATGCCTGTGCTGACCCACTCAGCGGTCACAACCGCCCAGTGATCCGCTAGCCCTGAGTTGTAAAGCAAGATCGATTCCACAGGCTCTCTTGAGCATTCTTCGAAGAAAGTAATTACAATCTCAAGGAGGACACAAAGGGAATCAACGATGGTAAGCCAGAGAATAGTCCAGTGAATTGAACTGCATTCCAACTTTTCTCCGAGATCTACACGCCATTGAGCACGAGTGTTTTGTACAGTCTCCTCTCCCACCTGCTGGTTGTCGTCAGTAGGCTCTGCAGGAATGCTGCCGTAGGATGTCATAGCTGTGCAAGATGATTTTGGTCATCTGGTCCACGTGGGGGGATAAAGTTTCTCCATCAACTGGCGGCGATGATTATGCAGTGACAGCAGCGCCACCTGTTCAAAAATGTTATCCCATTTTCTTTTTCTCTTTGTTCAAAAAACTGCGTTGATGGTTTCAGAGCCTAAAACCCATGAAACAATCTGAATGTATTTCCCACTATAAAAAAAATCACAATGCGCCTCCGCTGTTCTCTCACTGACTCTCCACAATGAAATCATTCTTCATAGCGCTCTTGGCCATATCAAGTTTGCTGCTCCGTAATGGCGCCATTGCCTATGCAGAACTACGAACAGGCGTGGTGAACCCGGACAAAAGCGAGAAGCCGTTTGTCGTTCGCAAAGGTCGACCATTCAACGATTATGACGATAGCAACAGTGCTTTGCGTAAGCTGTACAATGACCACGAATCCCAGTCGAAGGCTGATCAGGCTTATAAAAGCTGGTCCATTCCTGTTGGCAATGACGACAGCAATAGTGGCACCACGAAGCGTGATAAACTTCTCCATATACGTGGCTTGAAGGATGTACGGGATGAGCCGGCAGCTAATCAGCCTGCTCAGCAGCAGCTGAATACGTCCGATGGCCAACTGTCGGTTTGGCAAGTAATTGAAAACAATACAGAGTTGACCAACTTGAAAGGCATGATGGAAGAAACGTTCTACCCCGCTATTCTTGAAACAAAGTCTGCCATCAACTATACTGTAAGTATATCATTTGCTTGGAAAGTTAGAAATCACCGTGCATTAACGGATATACCACTAAAAAGGTTTTTGCCGTGGTCGACTCGGCCTGGGTCAATATTCCCAATGAGCTACAAAATGCTATGGAAGGACCGTTGGAGCGAGTGCTAAAGAATTCCATTATACAATATCACATTGTACCCAACGCCACCATTACCACCAATGACACCCTTGCCAATGGGTCTGAAAGCTATGAAACACTATCAGGCTTTGCCGTATCAATATCCAATCATGCAGGAACCATGAAAGTGAACGGGGTTGCAATGAACTCCAGCGATCTATTTGCTACAAACGGGGTTGTTCATCTGATTAATACCGTACTGCTGCCATCTCAAAATTCGGTTGTATCCAATCGCGATAACTAGAAATATGCATTTGCCTTTAAATGGAGCTTGGTAGTTTGCTCAATGAAAGTATGTAGAAGTAAATTGGATAATATCAGACTTGCTTTCATTCAATAAATAGGTGCTCAGATACCTTTGGATGATACATGCATCGGTTTCATGACTGGTCATTCTGTTCAAGTGATGGTCAACTGTCTCTCGAATAGTTTGTTGGAGCGGAAAAAGAGGGCCAATTAAGGTTTATTCTCCCCATTATCAGCGTTGCAATTGTTACGGCCATGATTTGCAGAATCTTTCAAACGGAACTTGAGAAATCCTGTTCGCAGTTTGTGAAGGGGGGCACCATTCAAATTCGGCGGAAGGATAAGCTGGTCGAAATTTCGGGAGTTTTCAATATGCGCAATGAACTACTTTGATATGAACAGTTTTGCTTATCGCATTGTTGAAATGACCAATTGCATCATGGTTAGAAGATTCAGAAAGATGCATCCATTGTAGGACAGTACCGTTGCTTGCTCAACAAAGAAATCAACCAGGGCCCTTTTGTTTGTCTGCGATTGGGACCAAATACTAACAATGCCCAATCTTTTTCCTATATCTCATCTGCGCTGAACAACTCATTGCCATGATGATCCATGGTATTCAACGAGCTTTGTATGCAGTGTAAAAATCACCCTTATGTGCATTTCCGATTAACACTATCGAAAATATTTTGGCCATTATTTTTTAAGTATTACGGTATGGTTATACCCAGTTGCAGGCGTTACCGAAAATTCTTGTCTTTCTACTTGGCCAGCGAAATCGTATGGGACTATCTACTAGTATAGCCTTCATTTCCATAACAGTACAAATCCCAAAACGTGGACATAGTATGGGTTCCATGGAATAGAGGTCCTCTTGTGCGCTATTTTTCTGAGGCCTGTTGTTGAACCAAAGATCAATATCAAATGCCTGGTCGAAATGCCAATGGTTTCTGTTGCAAATAATAAGTCATATGGGGGGGGATAACGAGATTTTAAACCACAACTTGTCTTCGATCTAAGAGTTCTTTCTTTTCCTCCTTCCGTTGCACAGCACAATCCCAAGCTCTTTCTAGAGCTTTGTAGGTACTGTAGATATGTCCCTGATGACTCGAGCTTTGTGTGTGAAAAAACGATATTCTAGGCATCTGATGAGGCACTAATCACCCTTCACCAAATTTGTCACCACAGAATTTTTTTATATTAGTACTGAAAGTTGTGATATACCACTTGTTGTATAAAGGTTATCATCCAAGTAATTCTTATTGGTATTTAATTTCCTTTCGTTTTTGAACGGTAAGATCAAAATTCTTGTTTATGTTGAATGCAAAGCAAATTTTTGCTTCTATGCCTTATCATACTAAGAATATATCGGATATATTTGCCTTGCAACCGATTTCATTGACATACCATACCCCTCCCCTCAGAAGTTTACAGCATATATGCATTCTCCACTAGCATCAGATGCTGAAAAAAATAGCATTCACGAGAAGGAAGCGCAAATTGAAGAAATCCATCACGAAGAGCACAAGGATGACATTTCGCCCGAGTTAGAGGCTCTGCTTCATACAGATCCATTGACTGGTCTAACTTCAACTGAGGTGCTAGAGCGAATAGCAAAATTTGGCAAGAATGAGCTTCCCGAACGTAAGAGGAACCCTATCCTTAAGTTGCTATCGTTCTTTACCGGTGCTATTGCATATCTCATAGAGATAGCCTGTATCATTGCTGCTATCGGTAAGATATGTTCAAGGGTTTATTTCAAAGATCAAGAAAGACGGACTAACGTTTTTGCTAGTTGGAGACTGGATTGACTTTGGTATCATTCTAGCGCTTTTGCTTATCAACGCCCTTATTGGATTTATTGAAGAGGCAAAGGCAGAGTCGGCTCTAGATGCATTGAGGCAGACTCTGGCTCTCAAAACAAGAGCTTGGCGTGATGGAAGACTTCAAGAAATTGAAGTCGTTGATCTGGTTCCTGGAGATGTCATCGTTCTGCGGTTAGGTGACATTGTCCCTGCTGATGCACGCTTATTGGGCATTGGAGCCACTGGCGAGGCCACTGAAGGTGATCTACAAATAGATCAGTCAGCTCTAACAGGTGAATCTCTGCCAGTGAACAAAAACAAAGGGGCTGTGGTCTACTCCTCTTCTATTGTCAAGCAAGGTCAGCAACTCGCGGTGGTTACCAAGACTGGAGCAAACACATTTATCGGACGTGCTGCCAACCTCATTGCTATCACTACCGAAGAGGGACATTTCCAAAAGGTCATCAATAGAATTGGAAACTTTTTGATTTACTCCACCGTCGTACTGGTGGTTATCATCTTCATATACCAAATGGTCAAGTTTAAAGGCACTCCTGCGGGCGACTGGAAAAACGTATTGGAAAATTGTCTGGTCTTAACTGTGGCTGCAATCCCAGTCGGCCTTCCAACTGTGATGTCAGTCACTATGGCGATAGGTGCAAAGCAGTTGGCAGCCAAGAAAGTCATTGTTAAGCGACTGACAGCCGTGGAAGAGATGGCATCTGTATCTGTTCTCTGCTCAGATAAGACTGGAACCTTGACCCTCAACGAACTGACATTTGACGAACCTTATCTTGCCAACGATTTCACTGCCAATGACATCTTGCTTTACTCCTATATGGCGTCTGAACCTGGTGCAAATGATCCTATTGAATCTGCTGTAAGAAGAGCAGCTGAGAGTACATTATCAGAGCTTCAAAATAGGCAGAGCCAGCATGATATTCCAGGGTACAAGATCACTTCTTTCTTGCCTTTCAACCCCACTACAAAGATGACTCAAGCAACTGCTGTCCAAGATGACGGGAAAACTTTCAAAGTAGCAAAGGGGGCTCCCCAAGTTATTATAGGACTTTGCGGTGGAGATGATGATGCTGTTCGTGCAGTGAACGCTCTTGCAAGACGTGGATTGCGTGCACTTGGAGTTGCACGCACTGTTCCTGGTGATATTGAACGATATCAACTGGTGGGCATGATTTCCTTGCTGGATCCCCCTCGACCTGACTCTGCCGAAACCATCCTCTCGTGTAACAAACTTGGTGTTGATGTTAAGATGATAACTGGTGATCAACTTATTATCGCCAAGGAAGTGGCTGCTCGTCTCGGTATGGGCAGAGTCATATTGGACGCTAATCATCTCGTCGACCCTTCCAAGTCTGAAGAGGATGTGACACTGCACTGCCAGAGAGCCGACGGTTTCGCTCAAGTAATCCCAGAACATAAGTACAGAGTGGTCGAGTTGCTTCAAAAGAAAGGTTTGCTGGTCGGTATGACAGGTAAAAAACAGAATCATTTAAAGTTTTGATCAGATTAAAACCACCAAAAAGTGACACAGACTTGTGGGTTAGGTGACGGTGTAAACGATGCACCTGCTTTGAAGAAAGCGAACGTCGGCATTGCTGTACATGGATGTACCGATGCTGCAAGGTCTGCAGCCGATATTGTGTTGCTTGCTCCGGGACTTTCGACAATTGTGGATGGTGTTACGACCTCTCGTGCCATTTTTCAACGTTTGAGGTCTTATGCGCTGTACCGGATCACATCCACCATTCACTTTTTACTGTTTTTCTTCATTATTACCATTGTCGAAGATTGGAATATGCCAGCTGTTCTGTTGATTATGATCTGTGTATTGGTAAGTGAAACTTGAATACGACCATTCCAATATGGCATACTGAATTATAATTTTTTGGTTTGGTCTTTGGCCACCTAGAACGATGCCGCCACTTTGGTCATTGCCGTCGATAACACCCAAATTTCACAAATACCGGACAAGTGGCGCCTTGGTCAGCTAATGGTACTGTCAACAGTGTTAGCGGTGCTCCTGGCTGCGCTTTCATTCGGCCATTTTTATGTGGCAAGGGATGTATTCCATGTAGCACCTTTTGTTTTGCACTCCATCATGTATTTACATATCTCATCCGGTAAGACCCAAATCTATTTTTTTTTGGTGTCATGTGCGTAGATCTTTGCTAGACGGTCTAATATTTCTTGGCTCTTTTTGATGGATAGCTCCTCATTTTGTGATCTTCTCGACTCGCGTTCCTGGATACTGGTTTGAGAATGTTCCATCCATCACCTTTTCAGCATGCATTATCGGCACACAGATTGTTGCTCTTCTCTTCTCAGTGTATGGTGTGTTCGGTGAAGGTAAGGGTTTAGTCACATGATGATCTTCGGTACAGAAAAAAACGATCGAAATAAGCTTAAAATTTTCCCTGTGTTCTCCATATGTAGCTGAAGAAGTTGCTGGATGTGGTTGGGCTTGGGGGATGGGCGTTCTTGGCATTTCACTAGTGTACTTTATGCTTCTGGATGTAGTCAAGGTCTGGATCTTCCGAGCCTGGTCGTTCGAATTTACTGCCAAGCTATGGCCCACTGCTGCTCGTAAGCACACCTTGGAACAGCGTAAATTGGAGGCAAAACGATTGAAAAAAACCACTGCAGCCTGGCACAAAATTGGAAAAATAGTGGAGATGCATAGAGTCGCCGCTGCGTTCAGTAATCAATAGGGTCCTCCATTCATACCATATCTAATAATACAGGCATTTGTTCCTGTTCCTGTTCTATTTTATTTTTACTTTCAACCTTTTCTTTTTGGTTTGGTGGGATAAGCTATAAAGGAGAAAAATTGACTGTAAGCCGTTGCTGGGTAATTTCGTTGATTTTTTTCCAGATATTTGTTTTTCTCTTCTTTCTGCTTGCCATTTCTCCCTCCGCATTTTGGCTCAGACTATGAATGATGAGGCTATTCAAACCGACTCTCCGGAAATGTTGACGCCAGATATGAAAGAGTTTAGTGAAGAGCAGCCGCTTTTAAAAGCGTTAGAAAGGGCTGCAGATGAAATCACTTCCTTTCAAATGCAACGCACTCTCAGCGAGCAAGGCAACAATTCCCTTGATGAACCCAATGCCAATGCGCTGCTACCTCATGTTGCAACATTATCAACATTACTCAGAAGGCTAGACACATTTCAGGGAGATCAAACAGCTGAACACTCCAAGCTAGATGACTTCCCAGACCTCATCAACCTGTCTAGCCTGGAATCCAACAAAAAGCCAGCCATGGATTTAAGCGCTCTCGACAAGACCATTTCTCGAGCTGCTATACTTACTTGCGTCATATCTTTAGGAGCTTCACTTCACTCAACGTTGGCTACCTTCACTGGGCAACTGAATTTGGTGTCCGCTACCTACACTGCAGGTTGGGTAGCCATGACCAGTTTTTGGGCTCGTTCCACTCTATCGCTCATTCGAAAAAACTCCAAAAAGAACAAATACTTGATTGAGGCTGCGAAACGATCTTCCATCATTGCTAGTGTGGCCATCGGCACTCAATACGCACTATCATCGCTCTATCCAAATGTTGTACCACCGGCCAAACCGTCGCACACCGTCGCTCAAGTATTGTGTTCGTGCCTATGGTTTTTTATTGCTCGTGTTGATGAAGATAAAAATAATGCCATCGGAAGCGTCGAGCAAAGTACCCGCGATCAACGATCCAATATAAAGTCTTCTTTACAAGACTACGATGACAAGCGGTCCACCTTTCTATCCACATTAGCCAATGAAGTGGAGGACGCCACCGTTATGCTGACAGCAACTTTGCATTACTTTTCACCTAGCCGAATTTTGGAAGGTTCTCATGAACTTTTATCTGCTTGCTCGATACCTGTTCCGATTGCCAGCATTTCGGCCATTAATACCACCACTAAACAAGTACGATACCTCAGTGCGCAACTTCCCCTGTTAGCCCGATTATCTCTGGCTCAAAATGATATAGACATGGACATAGAACGCAGTACCGTCGAAAACGAATTTGACATTGGCGATATGTTGCAAGCTGTGGGAGACACTATGGCTGGTATTGCTGCTAAACTTGACGTCAAGCTCGTCATATATCATTCAGATAATGCACTTCATTACACTAATGTCAGAGGCGATGAAGATGTCTTGCGACATACCTTGATTAACGTAAGTACCTTCCCCGGCTTTCAGGGTGACTATATGCCGACTTTCGAATCGCCGGATGCTTGTTATTAATCCTATCATATCTATCTCAGTTGGTGAGAAATTTGTTAGACTCATGCTCCAGCGGCTCCTGCATAGAGCTTGGATTGAATGTTACGGCCTTGACCGGCGACTCCGAAGCTACTGCATCTAAGCTTCTAATTACATTTGCCATGACCCTCGAAATGTCTTTAGCCAGTGACAATAGCATCCTTCCCAATGCAAATCTCACTAGCATGTTATTGGCTCACTTAGGAGGTAGCCTTGCTTTGGAAGACATCGACGACCATAGTACCAATTTCGTCATTCGACTGGAAATGAAAGAAGGCCAGCAAATGGAGCGAGTTCATGAATCGACAGAAAGACCGCACGAACGATTACATCGGCAGTTATCCAATATTCGATTCTCCGATGAACCTACCCTGGAGGACTTGAATGTCTTTGTAAACCGCTTATCCGGAGTCAAAGTTGTCCTGTATGCCACCGACCAAAGCATCTTTGCCAAACATCTTACCAGTTGTCTCGCCAGCTGGAATGTCAACATCAGCCATGTGTCGGTGTTCAAACCCATTGACGATGAAAACTACTTCCGTGCCAGCGACAGTGAAGTCACCACACCAGGGTCTGAGACCAGCGTAGCCCAAAGCTCCATTTTACATGTTACAGGAACACCTGAAGTGACAACAGCTCAAGGTGAACACAATCTCAAGACGGCGCCACCTACGTTCATCTTAATCGATGACGATGTGCATACACTTGAACAGCAACTACATGAATTTAGAGCGAATGCAGCTTTGGCTCAAGCAGCTCAGTCATCTCGACGACACAAGAGAGGAAAATCCAATGCCTATTTGAGCCAAACCACTGCCATCGTTCACTTCACTTCACTATCAGAGTATAAGAAAGTTCGAGACACAATCAATTGGTTCAACGCTGTGTCTGTATTACATCCTCATTCAGTTCCACAAATTATTGTGGTGCCTAAACCTGCGGGACCTCGCCGATTCCTTACAGCGCTTCACACAGCTTGGAGTAATGCCGTCGTGGAGCCCCAATATCTTCCTATTGCTACTTCACCTTCCAGTCCAATGACGCCTTCCTCTCAAAAATCGATCTGGAACGGAGGTTTGATTCCTAACTTACCGTCACCTTCTCATGGTCTGGATGAGTCTGGAATAACCAATGAAAGCGGAGTTCACCTTCAGCGCCGACCCGGTAGTGGGATCTATAGTCCGCCTATTGCTCAAACTGAAGAATCCAATTACTTCACTGCAACAGGATCAGGCGGTAAGGTCGGTTCGCCTAGTGGTTTGCATGCCCATGAAGTGCAAGGTTCTCCAACCGGTGTAACTACAGCTGAAGGAGTTTTGTTTGATCCAAGTAACAAGAGTACAGGCTCAAGTGCCAGCAATGCAAGCAGTTCGCGCTCAAGCATCACTCGGTCCTTCAGATCTCCAAGTACTTCAGTTGGTCACAATACACGTCGACGATCAAATACAGATTTACGTGGTGCTACTGAAGCCTTGACACCTGCTAGTCATATCAATTTACCTGTTGGATTTCACCAGCCACCGCTCGATCAAGTCTCGCCAGGCGGTAGTCCACTCAAGATATCCATGACGGCTGTTTCAGACTCACCAGCTGGTACTCCCTCGCCACATCCTTCCCTTCCCACCCATCCCACAGATACCCTCATCCCTCCTGAAGACATTGTAGCCGTTGTGTCGCCTTCTAGAATTCCCCTCGATATACCACCACCTGAACTTGCTATCGTGGAGACACCCGATATTTCTCCTATAGCGAATATTCTACCAGCTGCCAAACCTGTGGAAAAGTCATTGGCTATTTCTCGAAGAAAGCGAAAGGAGAAGGTTGCCCCATCTGGTGTAACTAGCCCTCCTATTAGTGTATTGATTGTAGAAGGTAAATACCACGTTTGCATCCTTCTGCACGATATCATCATTCCGCTCACACTCCCTATCCCTTAGATAACGTCATCAATCAAGCTATTCTTTCTACATGGATGAAGAAACACAAGATCAAGTTTGGAACCGCCAGTAATGGTCAAGAAGCATTGGACAAATGGAATGGTGGCGGTTATCATCTCATTCTGGTACGTCGTTGGGCGAGCGAGCACCTTAGATTGCGATGTTTTGTTTCTTATTCTTTTTTTTTTTTACAAATAGATGGATATTCAGCTACCCGTGATGGACGGTATCGAAGCAACACAGCGGATACGTGCCATCGAAAAAGAACAAAAAACTGGAAAAATACCTAGACAGACAGTGACAGATGAACCATCCGTATTTCGGTCTCCAGTTATCATTGTCGCGTTGACCGCGTCATCCCTTGCTTCCGATCGAGAAGCAGCTCTATCCGCTGGATGTAATGACTTTTTAACTAAACCTGTCGATCTTGTGTGGCTGGAAAAGAAGATCATTGAGTGGGGCTGTATGCAAGCCTTAATTGATTTTGACAGTTGGCGAAAGTGGAAACGATCGGAAGGTGTGGAGCCAAAGTCCACCACCAAACCGGCTGCGCCTGCTGTACTTCCACCCACCACAACACCGCCAAAAGCCGACGGTTCAGCTACGACACCCTCGGTGGCACTTTCCCCAAGCAGGTCTTCTGATTCGTCTGCTGCTCGTAAAGGTGTACTTCTGCCAGGTGCATCTGGAATCAAGCGACGACCGTCTTCGGCGGCAGAAGACAATACAAAAACTGGTCGACGACCCTTGAGTCGACATAATTCTGAACCACAAATGCAGCTTCATGAAGTGAACATCAAGCCCAGTGTCAGCCATGACACAAGGGCTGGCACGTTGTCACCAATCAAGGAAGCAAGTGGCTCTTCAGATGGCAGTGTAAAGGCGATGAGTGATCTCGCCAGGGCTGAATTGCAACAGCAACAACAAACCAACTAACATAAAATACATTCCTGTCTCTTCATTCCTTTTTATTCCTTTATTGTCTTTTTTTTCCACCTCAATCGCCTGTCTGGTTTATTTTTTATTTTTTTAAAAAATAACCTCGATCCTTCAGCACGTTGTACATTTTATTTTTTCGTTTTTTTATTACTGTTTTGTTAAAAATAAAATTATCCAGCCATGGCATCAAAATAAAATAAAATAAAAAACACACAACACCCACGCGCAGGGTACTCTTCTAGAGGTGTTGCCTTTCTCATATCGAAACTGCAAGCCAATTTGCCTTTATCTCAGCTATTGACGGGGGATCCTCGCAATGATCCTCCATAAATGTAAGGGAACTTTAAGGAGATGGCTGGTCCATGCGGGAACAACGATATATGGCCATGTTGGTGGGAAGTTTCAATCTTGGCCTCCTTAATGCTAGCTTGATGTGGTTTTCGTTCTACCCTGTAACGCTAAAAGATATAACCTGTCCATTTCTTTATTTTCGATCTTTGATCTTTTGTACTCTCTTGCCCCTACTCCTTAATTCTTCAGCTAGCGAGCCCAATTTCTACCTGTTCTCTTCCATTTTATCTGCAAACACAGGTTCTTTTCATTCATTCAATTTTATTACCACTCATTCCTTTAGCCATCCCATACAAAAAAAAACTCCACTCCCTTCCACATACTTTGTAATGTCTATGTTCGATCGACGAGTCGCGCCACATCTTTCTAAGCCAATTTTCAGTTCAAACGTGGATTTAACCACGTTTGAAGATAGTAATCACCTCGATATATTTGAAAAGTCGAATTCCAACATCACGCATGATGCGGTCAAACGAGCCACAAGCACACAAGCGCTTGCAGATTTCTTAGCCAGTACCGGACCCGAAGAGTTCTTTGAAAAAAACGCAGCTAAACGAGGCTCTAAATTATTTTCACGTCTTCGAAAGAAAAATTCCACCGTTGCCAAACCTCCTATCAATGACACTCCAAGAAAATACGTGGAAATTATTCCTAACTACCCACAACCTCGCGACGATTGGAACAACGGTGCTGCACCAGTGTCTTCGGCAGCTACCAAATGTGCCATGGAAATCTCAAAAGCTCTCTCAGCGCACAGTCTCAAAATCCCACCTCAACAACCACCACCGTATCAAGCCATCAAAGATATGACCCATGTTGAGCCCAGAAAGCCCCTCAAGGAAAATCGCAGCCCCAGCCTTTCTACGACCACGGTTCCTCCCATTCCTCTAAAAAATGCTAGAAGAAATTCAAAAATGAGTTTAGCTTCTTCCTCGGGTGAAACAGTGACTCCTGTAGAAGATCGTCGCTCAGATGGCGGAGCACGAAGAAAATCTGGAAGACGCTCAAGCCGGGGTCATGAGATGGACCTTGTTGAAGCTGCCTTGTCACACCGCATTGAAGCACGACGAAAATCATTTGCTTCATCTAATAGAAGTTCATCAGCTACCACTGCAAGTGACTTTGTAGCCACCGAAATTGCCAATGAACACGTCAAAGCCCTGCAGCTGACTAGTGCAGGACAAATTGATGCCATTGAATCCAACAGTCACAGAAAACGACGAACTGCTACCGTGAGTAGTGTTCAAAGCACCAATACAACCGCTACATCCCCTGTATCCTCCACCAGCACAACGACCATTCCCGCTGCCGCTCTTAACCGACGACGTATACGCCATGCCCAAGTGCAAACTGCCGATCTCCCCTATATTTCCCGCGGCTCCGCCGTCACCATCGAAACTCAAACCGATACAACCTCAGAGACAGACAGTGACACTATTATGACAGAACGAAAATCATCTATGCTTGAAGATGACGACTTGACGAATGAACTTTATCGAACTATCGAATTATTGCAACAACAACTTGCCGAAGAACAGCGATCTAAACGGCGACTAGTGGCCGCCATGCGAGACTCACGGGACAAATCCGAACTGCTGAGTGCTCTCGCCTATAAGAAACTTCGAGAACTATGGGAAGAAAAGTGCAAATGGGAAGGAGATTGCCTTGAACTCAGAGATCGATTGATGGAACTAGAAGGCTCAGAGAGCGGTAGCAGCATGTAAGCTTGAGCATCTATGCTCCAAAAAGAAACAAACTTCCCCCCTTGCCGAAAATAACCAACCAGCCAACAAAAAAAAAAAAAAAAGAAAACGGCCATCATTTCATTCCTTCTAAACAAACCCTAGCACTGCCCTCTCCAGGAAGTTAACCATTTCCTACCTAAACAACCCAAAAAAAAAAAAAAAACAAACATTGAACCGATGTCCTTCTCTATAACCTCCAAATCTATCTATCGCCTCCCCTCTAATGCTTCCTCTATTACCCCAAACTTATTAGTAATTCATTCCTTAACCCAATGCACCAATCAAAACAGAAGTTAATAAACCTGATTGTAACAAAATGTTGAGTAGGGTTTATAAGCTAGATTTCTAATGACGACAATAGGTCTCGTGCCCACAGCCCGACCAAGTTTGGTTTTTGGGGCCAGGCAGTAGTTTTTGGCTTTCACTTATTTTTCATTTCTTCCTATCCCATTCTCTGAGCATTTCAAGGACGTCTCTATCACCAACCTCTAGATGGGTCAAGCATTTTCTCATTCGCAACACGAATCAAACAGCGACCGACCTCCTGCCATTTCGACGGATGATTCCTCGGCATGGAGTACTGCGGTAGATGGAGGGGGTACCTCTTCACCCTCCATATCATCACGAAGAAGAGTATTGAGGTATCCACTTTCAAGTAGAGGGACACGACGGCCTAATCCCTTACGTTATGAACCTACCGATAGAGGAGTTCAACCACAGCCATCACCTGTCCCCACACGACTCCTGACTAGATTACAACAAAGACTACGTCGACCCACGGCCAGTGGTTCAGAAGCATCGTCCCTTGTATCGCCTGCTGAAAGTATGATGGATATCGACAGCCCCGTGCCAGAAGCTTCCAGCATAAACGGGTCTCGAGCGGAGGGTGAATTGGGGAGCGGAGAAGATGAGGCTAGCCAATCCAATTCCACGCTTTCCAGATTATTGACAGAGGTCATTACTTCGGCGGTACTGGATAGTTTGAACCAACCTTTTGAAGGAAATGAGGAGGGGCAGGAGGTATCAAGAAGACAAGAGGAGGAGGAGGAGGAGGAGGAGGACGACGACGACGACGAAGACGTGGAGGTACAAGGAGAGGAAGCAAGCAATAGAACGTTTCAGCTACCTAGAGAGCTTTTCCCTTCGGTGGAACGGTCATCCGAGCTAGGGTCCTTTTTCCGCATGTTGCGTATGCCAGCGTCGACGTTTCGAAGCAGCCAAACAGGTGAAACCATGCCAGTGTTCATTATTGGCTATAGAGCAACACGGAGCAGAGCCAATCAGGAGGAAGAAGGGGAGGAGGAGGAGGGTCAGCAGGGTAGACGATGGGTGATTTACATCATCAGTGGTAGCGGGCAACACAATGACTTTCCGGCAAGCTTATTTAGTGATAATCCAAGCTATGAAGATCTTATGATGTTAAGTCACTTTCTTGGGCCAGTACGGCCGGTCACGGCGACAGCGCAACAAATTGAAACCATCCCTATTACCATTTATCGCAAGGATCAGATGACGGAGATGATAAATGACAAGTGTCAAGTGTGCCTTGAGGACTACGCTGAGTCACAAGAACTCCGAATGCTTCAGTGTAAACACGGGTTCCATAAGGACTGTATTGACCGGTGGCTGACTGAAGGGCGTAATTGTTGCCCGATCTGTCGGGGTGTGCCGGTTCCACATGCAGACGACAGTTGAAGCACTCCATTGGTCAGCTGGTAAAATGGGGGTTTCACTCCTGCTCTGGTTTCGCTCGCCCTTACAAAAAAAAAAATTTCACCTTGCTATATAATCACGCAAATTTCTCTTTCCCTTTCTCAATTCAACAAAACCGTACTTTTCACTTGGAAAACTAGGATGACAAACGACGTCACTCCTAACACCACAGTCATTGTCGATGATGCTGACCTGCTCGCTATCTTAGCTGATGACGATAACCTATTACTACCAGAAGACAACGACGAATTGATCATACAACCCACCTTGGAGTTTCTACTCTCTCCCAATTTACCCGAACTACAGTCCGATGATGAAGGTTCGGAATTATCGTTGACGTTACTGGATGACGCACCGTCTCGAAAACGGTCAAGAGATGATTTTGAACAAGACGACGCCGACCCATTTGGCTTCGAGCTGTTGGATGTGGTTCAATTGGAAGACCCCCCTCATCTCGCCAAGAAGCCGTTTGTCAACGATGAAGAATTGAGCTTGGATTTCCTAGATGACTTTGAATCCAACCCCGAAACGATTGAACCCTTCATCACTGTGTAATATTTTTTTCAACCAACACTCTCCCCCCAACTTATGGCCAAAATGGAAAATATACGCTTAGTTTTCCGGCCTATGTACTTATCTCACCTTTGATACATATCTCACACTTGTACAACATACAAAAACATCCTCTTTCCCTTCTATTGCATCGCCTGTACAGTACAAAATAAAAATTAAAATTCTCTCAGTGCGTGAAACTGCAACGTGTCAAGCTAGCGTTTCCGACGCTTTCTAGAAATAGTGCGCCTGTTTCAGCCCTGGGCGGTAGGACCCACCCAAAAAAGCTTCTATTTCTTTATATTGCGTAAATGCTTGGGTTTAGGGTTATTTGCACATCATTTTGCACTAAGTAATAATTAGCTAACCAAAACAATTCATTAATCTAACCGCCCTTTCCTATGCAGTTTTTTATTTTCCCACTGGCGGTTATTTCAACCAGACATTATGAAAAATTTTCACTGGCCCCATGTTAAGAGACAGCTGCTTGCCGAAGACCCCTGTTTTCCAATGCCTTTGTTTGCCCCCAGCTCCGTAAGACTTTCGAAACCAATGTCGCTGATTTTTTTGTTTTCATGCTGCGTGCCCTGAGAAATTGTTAGATAAATTCCGCACTTTGACTCGTATGAGGTCATCCATGAAAGCCTGTTAAAACGCTGGGTTGGTTCTTCTGGAGGCCCGTGTGGGAAAAGGTCATGGCCATGCCACTTTTTGGTCTCAAATGCAGTAAGTGAATTTGCACAAAAATGTCATCGATTCTCTTTGTTTATATGGCTGGGGGTTGCGTGAGCTTAAGCAAAAAATTTAAGCATGCATGGCGAAGCGAGTTTCACACAAAGCCTATTTTCCGGCTATTGTTTTGCCTAAGTCGCTTTTTATGAAAGAATTCAAGCCTATTCTCTGGCCCGCTCATGGTTGGGTTGGCCAGCTTGTTTGAATCGCACCATGTCCAATTCGCTCAATATTTCCGCCGCCAGCCATGAAGGCAAACTCTTCATCGTCAAGCAATCCGTCGAAGCCAATCCGAATGCGGTCAATACAGTTGACGAGGTAAAGTTACGTCTCTCCATTAGCGTGACATGCCTTTCCTACAGATCCAAACTCAGCAGCTAACGCTCCATTGACTGACGCAGGACGAAAGAACGCCGTTGCACTGGGCAGCGTCGGGCGGCCACCTTGATATCACCGAATACTTGATCCAGCAAAAAGCCAATGTCGATGCTGCAGACGATGCAAGTATACTTGTTTTTGATGTGTTTGAAACTGCAACGGTTGAGATCGCTTACGTGTTGTGTGCGATCTATAGGCGGGCTGGACTCCGCTATTGATAGCTTGTAAGTTGACTAAACCGAGGAACAAATTCCCCCCCACTTGCCTAATGACACTGCACACTAGCATCAGCAGGACATACAGCGGTGGTCAAGTTCTTGCTCGAAGCCGGTGCCAATGTGAATGCGCAGAATGAATCGGGTCAAACCGCATTGTAAGCTCTATTGGACGCTTTGACCCCCTTTTTATTTATATCTCCCACTCATTGTATGCCGCCAGACACTATGCAGCTTCAAAAAATAGACTGGACATTGGCAAAATATTGATTGGAAAAGGCGCCGATGTCAACAAATTGAATAATTTGAAACAGACTCCCATGTAAGTCTCCATTGCATCATTTCCTTCTCAGACGCCTTCCATGACACACCTCTCTCTGGCAGCCATCGAGCAGCCGCACAAGGCTACAGTGCGTTTGTCCGTATGCTCATCACCGACGGCAAGGCCAAAGTCAATCTTCGTGACAGTGTGGCCAACACTGCGTTGCATCTGGCCTGTGAAGAATCCCATGGCGACACTGCAGCCCTTCTAATTGAAAACGGAGCTGACCCTGATATTTTGAACAAAGATGGAAAGGTCCCTTTGGATCTCTGTGCCACAAAGCAACTACGAACCTATATCGAACGAGCCATGGATGCATGAAGGATTTCGATGATTACAATGAACGAGGGAAACAACCAATTTAAATGGTGGTCTCCCGTAAAATGTTATATTATACAAGGAATAAAGAACGTGTTTGAACTATAAACAGCGGGAAAGCAAGTCTTTACAATGTCCGTGCAGGGTGGGGACTATAGACAGCGCAGGACGAAAGGGGAGGGAAATATGTAACATAATCGCGGCGCATGTGCCGAATTAATTCACTGGATTCGAGGAGGTTGTGCTTGTAGAGTAGCGTCGTTCGATGGTAAGGACGTCAGGAACACCTAATTCAGCCTAAGGGCAGGTCAGTATCTACTCTTCCTTATAACCGTCATCTCCAAAACAAAACTTACCTTTGCTTCCAGAGCAACGTCACTCGCGGGTTGATCCTGTTGGTATCCACATTGGTAGAACCCGCATTTCTCAGACCAAGCGCTGAGACATGCCCAACAGAACCGGTACCCACAAAGTGAGCAATCCACTTTATTGCAGCCTTCATCGCGGTGAATCATAATGGAACAAGAAGGGCAGCATCGGCTGTAGAGGTTAAAAGGGTTTAGTCACAAGGAAGGATAAAATCATGCATGTACATACACATATTAATAGATATATGTTTCGGTTGCAAAACATCAATGCTTTTTCCTACCTGTTCTCAAACTTCCATTTAATCGTATCTAGTTCATCGGATGTTTCGCTGATCGACAAGTTGAATTGAAGGTTCTCTCGACAAGTCATGCCAGGATGAGAGAAAGCGCCACATCGTAAGCAGGTAGCTCGATCACACGTAGTGCTATAAACAAAAAAAACGTCAGATTTCGAATGGGGAGCTGTGCCTGATTCATCTCAACTTACCATGTAACATCAGGAAAGTAAGCAATATGTGCAAATTGCAAGCTCTTCCAATATTCTGGAACAATCTCCATCGATACAAATTGGCGAGAGACGTTAGCGGCAAGTTGATGGGCTTGCTGCTTATCAAAGTAAGCACATGTCGAACATGAATGCTGATCACGGGTGTCGATGCAAGCCAGTAAACCAGATATGACATAGTGATGCATTTCTTTAACACAACCATTACGATACGATTGTCCACTCTTCCGATCACGCTGGAATCGAGCTAACATCGCTACTGTGGTCATGGTCACTGGTAAGCAAGGCGAGGCGCACAGATCGAGAGTTCGGTCAATCATATCGCGAATCACTTGAAAGCGCCTGATTAAATATAGGAAAGGATGGGGTTAGGATCCTATCGTGGAGGCAGCCGGTTTTTTTTTTTTTTTTGTTGGGTTTCCCAAAAATGAGATGACTTACGTCTCACGACACATGCGAATGGAGTTTTCATGTCTACAGGCGACCAGCTCAGTATCACAGTCTTGGCAAAATCTTGAGAATGGTCTATAGGGTTGATTGAACGCATTGTACTTCTCCACCAACGCCGGAGATACAAATTTGGCCCATTCGCTTTGTGGTATACATTCTTGGCATACTGCAGTAGTGGAAAAAGTCATCAGCCATGGAAGACAGCTTCCAATCCCCCCTATTTCACCTCAAATCTCCATTTTAACGTACCAGGGCAATGTATCTTCTTCACTGATAGACCCCAGCTAGAATTAACGGACTCCTCAATATATCTATTTTGTTTACCGGGCAGATGAGAAGGAGGCGATCAGTCCAAGTCCAGTCAGCCACGTGATAGTGGTGGGTAAATTGGAAAGCAGCATTGACAAAAGAAAATGGGGGAGCTTACCTTGCAAAACAGTCTGCACAAAACTGGTCTCTGCAGGAGTCTAAGAACAAAGAGAATTTGGAATCTAAGCAGATAGAACATCGTTGAAGCCAAAAGTTCATGTCGTCGCCACCCATGTATTCCGCGGTATCTTCGTCTCGAATGATGTTGGCTTCTGACATCTTTGCCCAGAGCTTTGATATCAGGAAGGACAGGGAACGAAAACATATGGCGGGTAATAGTAGGGCAGGGTAAAAGATGTAAAATAATGGTACACAATAAACGAGTAACAGGTTGAGGATATTGAACTTTTGCAGCAGTTGTAGTGAAGTTTCATCAAGATCAGGGAAAAACCATGATAATGGTTTACATATGTCTGACAACCGCTGTGAGTTGCTTTGTTTTGCAGGCATGATTGCTTTGAAGTGGGGAGAGAGAGAGAGAGGAACCTGGTAAGTAAAGAAAAAGGGAAGGGAAGAAAATGCGGAGTGAATTGCTTTGAAAATGATCATTCATGGGCGTCATATGATCTAAAGTCCGCTCAAGCAGGCCTGTCACTTTTCCCATCAAAGAGAGCCTCTATGATGAGATATCATGCAGCTTGGAAATATGCAGCTACTTTCTAGTGGCTTCATCTCATATTGAATACCATTCGTTCAATTTAATCATAACCAACTCACGTTTGAGAGAAAAAAGTTTAATGCTAGACCAGCGATGGCTTTTGTGCCAGACTCGGCCCGTTTCATACCATCACAGACACTGACTTTCAAACTATTTTTTTGGAAAATTTCAGTCCCTCAGTGCCTACGCGAAAAGATTGGGATTTTGTACACCACCATGACCGACAAGTATTCCAAGCTTAAAGTCAAGGAATTGCAGGGTAGGCAAACACTTTCATTCTAACTCGCATTCGGAAATTTACTCATCAACACGCGTAGAGTTGTTGCAGAAGCACGGCCTGCCACATTCGGGTAAGAAGGATGAGTTAATTGACCGATTGGTCAAACATGACGAGAAAAAGATGGATGATTTGGCATTGGAAGAGGAGTTCGGCAATTTGGAAGAATTCGACGAAGCGAAATTAGAGTGAGTATACTGTCATTGTGGGATCTTGCCATTTTTCACAACCCTGACCTGTTCCTTCAGAGAACTAGCACAGGATCCGGAATTTAAAGCTATGCAAGCCGTTGATACCGAAAAGCAGAACACAGCACCGAAAGTTGAAAAAACAGAGGAGATAAAAGAACCAGAGGTGCAAGTCAAGCCTGGCAGCGAGTTTAAATTCACCCCCATCAAGTTTGATGCTCCAGCCGACTCCACTGCCACTACCGACGCAGCCGCTAAATCAGAGGCTGAGAAACGGCTGGAAAGAGCTAAGCGATTTGGCGTACCAGTCAAGGACGAGGTCAAGAAAGAGCTTCGTGCACAAAAGTTTGGAGGCAACAACGCACCAGAAACTGAACAACCAAAATCGCCCTCTCCAGCTGCTGCCAAACCCGCTCAGGTAAGGATTCAACTATCCAATTTTTTTCCTAGATCTCAGCGACTAACGAGCGAACATTAGACGGATGAGGCTCTGAAAAAGAGAGCTGAGCGATTTGGTCTACCTACAAAGACTCAAAAACCTGCTGGCGGAAAGGTTGCTCAAAATAAACCTGCACCTGTGTTGGATCCAATTGAAGAAGAAAAGAAGCGAAAGCGCGCAGAGCGATTCGGTAGTAAACCTGAAGAGTCGGTACGTACCAAACTGAATGATTTAAAGTGTAACACGCCCTGAGTTTTTCACAATATTAATCATCATCCCCTTGTAACAGGTTAAAAAGACCAAGGTAGAATGATGATAAGGATGTTGTTTTTGAGCTCTAAAATTAAAAGGATCAAAGTATACAATGAAAGATGATGTAGTATGGTTTTTGAATAGTTATATTATATATAAAATGATGATACTATGGAATTCGTTGTTAATTTTCAACTCACATTTTTTTTTTGTCTTTTTTTTTCATACCGCTCACATTCCCAACCCATTGTCTTATGAGACTCAAGCTAGGTAATGCTGCGTACGCATAGTGACCACCAGCATGTTACAATTCCGGATCTAATGCTTTCACTCCAGCATGTTGCCAATTTGCGCCAACATGGCGTGAGCCACAACGCAATATGGAGCTTGCCGACCTTTTGCTAAAACGGTAGGCTGCGGTAGCTGCGTTTTAATAACCTTCAATAGCCTGACGCTCTACCTGCATATAGATATACCCCCGGCGACATGGATGTGTTGGTTTTGCCCGAGATGGCCTTTACAGGTCAGTTAGCTGCATCATCGGCTTCTGGATTGTGTGTCACTCCGGCTATTGTATTCGGTCCGTTATCTAACCTTTTCATTATCTTTTGTCTGATTCCGTAGGATACTGCTTTAAATCTGCAGAAGATATACATCCTTTTGCGGAAGATAGAACAATGGGAAAAACAGTACAATGGGCAGCAAAACAAGGTACGTTGAGTGGCTCAAAGATATGCAATGTTATTACACTTTTGCTCAGCCAAATTGGCCAAAGTGTGAAAGTAAACTTGCTATATTTCTGAGATACACAGGAGATTTCGCTAATTGAAACATGGCCCATCTGCTTTGCGTCCTTTAGCAATACGCCTCAATGCGTTCGTGATGGTTGGTTACCCTGAAGTCGTCTATGGTAAGTTCTCTGCCCTGTCATAACCCACGTCACGATTTAGGTTAACAATGCGTGAAAAGATGGTCCAGATGAGCCCCCAGTATACTATAATAGTGCGTGCTTGGTTGACAGACAAGGGAATGTGGTGACAACATATCAAAAGACCTTTTTATATGAAGTGGACGAGGCCTGGGCTCAGGAAGGTCCTGGATTCAAATCCATGTACATTGAAGGTTTAGGACAGGTAAGGAATGATTGGAACAAAATTTTTATATTCAAGACGTCTCATTGAGCATTCATTCATATACTATAGGTGGGACTTGGCATTTGTATGGATCTCAACCCTTATCAATTCAAGACAAGTTTTCATGACTACGAATTTGCAAAGTTCCATATGGAGCAGAACACCGAACTTCTGCTATGCTGTATGGCATGGGTAGGAAGCAAGAGTGAGGATGAGGAAAAGCACTTATCTACCATAGAATATTGGGCAATACGAATGTCGCCTATGCTTGACCGAAAACCTCTTACAAGGCAAGGTACTGTCTTCGTAGCCAGCAACCGGCATGGGCTTGAAGAAGGCAAGTTAGAACCATTTGCTACAGCGTTTCGGTCATGTTGATAACCAAACTCTCTAGGTGTTACATATGCTGGTGCAAGTTGTGTCATGCGCTTAGGTCCTCCACGACCTGTATTACTGGATTGTTTTGACAGCTCCGATACAGGTGTTCTTATTGTTGAGACTGATGTTGGAAACGAACAATAGCATACCATCATCTCCTCCTGTACATAGCTGAAAATAACACTATTGGAAGTTGTTCATATAATAAGGATATTATAGATAGGGATCTTGCTTCATAAAGGCATATTGTTAAGAAATGGTATTTTGACGAGCAGGTTTTTTTAAAAAAAAAATGGCAAGCAGAGAAAATAATTTTGGCGAAATTACCTGCAAAGCTAGTCGGGACAGGCAGGACCTCTGCGTTTTTGATCATGGAAGGTTCCACCATTACTTTGGATGGATCGATCGGCCTGGTGGTGGAGTTTTTCAGTGAGTTGTACTGCATGCATTTATGCCATAAGGTGAATGCCATGGTTAACCTTTTACCATAGACTATAGCGTGAACAGGTAAATTCAACGCACGCGTCCCAACCGCTGTTGCCAGGTTGACGACGTAAATTCATAATTAACTTTCAATCCTTCGTCTCGACCTCGACGTTCTTTTTCCTCGCCGCTTTAGTATTCTGTTCCAAAGAGCCGTTTATCCTCCAGAAGACTTCACGGTCAAGAAGAAATATGGACTCAATATTTTGGTGACCATCAACGACGAGCTTCAGCTGTACATGAAGCAAGTGTGTAGCCAGCTGGAAGGTATGCAAGCTGCTCATTGGTTTTAGATCTCCCACAATCACTAATATCAATCGTCGTTTTTCAGCGTGGTTGACGCCAGGCAAGATTAGCAAATTGGTTCTAGTCATTAAAGATAAAGACACAGCAGAGGTCGTGGAGCGATGGCAGTTTGATATCCACGTACATGATAAATCAGATCAAGCCGGGTATGTGTTGACAATGCCATGAGCCGACTATGCCTGCCATCAGCTAGATCGATTATTAACCCTCATATTATGGATTTAGGGCAATGACGATGACCACCACTAAGTCGCCAGAAGAGATCTATAAAGAAATACAAGCTATCATGCGACAAATTACCGCCAGTGTCACATTCTTGCCGATCCTTGAAGATAAATGTAAGAGAGGAGCAGCAATATTGTGAGGGCAATAACTACCATGACTGACTTCCACAAATGACAGGTACATTTAATATCCTGGTGTATGCCGATGAAGATGTGCAAGTCCCAACCACATGGGAAGATAGCGATCCCAATCTTATTGCTGGTGGTGGAGAGCACGTCAAGCTGCGATCATTCGATACATCAATGCACAAAATAGACGCTCTGGTTGCCTATCGCGTTATGGACGATGCCTAACCGTTGTCCAACCAACACCTGTAGAGTATATATACACACGACACAACCAAGACAAACAGGCCATATGATGTAAAAAAACGAAAAGCGAATAATAAAACAGACACACAAACACATGGGACGACATGAGGGAGAACAAGATAAAAGAGTGGGAAGAAAAAGAAAAGAGTCGTTATCTCCACGAGCGAATCTACTGTATAACACACATTCATGCAGTTCTGTGTACTTCATTAATTTGAATAAACCCTATTTAACCTTCTTGACCTGTAGTAAACAAAAGGAAGGTTAGTAAAAACAACGCCAAATGTGTGGAGATACCAAATGAAATTGATACATTACCAAAGTCGTTCGTAAACTTGGTATGCTGTTCAATGTCTTGTTCATTGACAGTCGGTCGAGCAGTTTGGACAGCTCGAATGAAATCTTGCAACACCAGATCAGGTTCAAGCAGTTCATCCGCCTTGATATCCATCCAAGACATCTCTACTGCGTCAGGGTCACCTGGCGAGCATGGGGTCCAATGAGGAGTATTCTCGTTGGGATCGGCTCTTGAGGGAGCAAGAAGCTATAAGCAAGCAAAATGTCAGCGGATTGTCATGTCACCTATAACGTTATCCTCTTCGTGGACTTACGCGCTTGAAATGTGTAGCGGTTTGCACCTTACGAACAGGTTGCATCAATGCATCACGGACAACGACAGCAATATCGGAACCAGAATAACTAGACAAACAAACCAATATCAATATAAATATAAATACATGCCAATAACCCACTCTACCTCCTGTACTTACCCATCTGTTCGGTCACCAAGATACTTGTAGTCATTTGCCGTTAAGGTACATGGCGTAGTACCAACGTTTAACTCAAACATTTTGGAGCGTGCGTGTGCTTCAGGTAATGGGATATATATACGTTTCTCGAATCTGAGCAGATGATGGATATAAGTAAATGGGAGTAACAAAATGGTTTATAGATATGGACTAACCTTCGTCTTATAGCGCTATCAAGCTGCCAGGGTATGTTGGATGCACCTAGGACTAGAACACCGTCGGTTTCATTTCCAACGCCATTCATTTGCACAAGGAATTCAGTCTTGATTCTTCGTGACGCTTCTGACTCGCCTTCTCCTCGTGTACCACAGAGTGAATCAACTTCGTCAATGAAAATAATGGCTGGTTTGTTTTCGCGAGCCATTTTGAACAATTGTTTGACAAGTCTGAGTAGAACGTGTTTAAGCTGATACAATTCATCGGTGGCTGGAACATAAAATGTTTCACTAACCTTTCACTCTCGCCCATCCATTTCGATACCAGATCAGAAGAGGATACAGAAAAGAAAGTACTGTCGGCTTCGGTGGCGACAGCCTTTGCCAAGTACGATTTACCCGTTCCGGGAGGTCCGTACAAGAGAATACCTCTCCAAGGTACACGTTTTCCAGTAAATAGATGAGGGAACTTAATGGGTAAGATGACAGCTTCCTTGAGAGCTTCTTTTGCTCCATCCAAACCAGCCACGTCTTCCCAGCGCACATTTGGTTTTTCCGACAAAATGGCACCTAAAGGGTAGGGAAACCATTGGTTAACCATGTTGAGAATGGAAAAAAAAAAAAAAACCAAATTTTGGTTTCAATCAATTATCATACCAGTCAAACCAGCACGCAGTTTCTTCAAATCGGCATCATCCTCATCCTCATCGCCTCCCTTTTTACCACTACTGCAAGGAAAAACAAAATAGGGTTCAGATAAGCAGATTGGTACATGTTGAAGATGTTTCTTTAAAAAATAGGTATACCTTTTGGTGGGGCTTCTGTCTCCTCCATTGGCACGCATAGGTTTCTTCTCCTTTTCTTCACCTTGCTTTCGGATAGCCTCCTTCAGTAGCTCAGCACGTTGCAAGTATTCAAAGAACCTCTTCTTCACAGTTTCTTTTGCCCTTGGGTTCTTTTCATCTTTAAAATGACCAATTGCATCAACAAAAAGCACTTTGTGTCCAATGTGGCAGCGCATACGTCTCTCATTGCGGCAAGCATGGGTCTGATGCTTTCCAGAATCCGACGCATTTCTGCGTCACTTTCCCGTTTGGTACCCCATGACGACGGACATGAACTCGATCCTCAGACAGATAGTACTTACATTTCAGGGCCAGTTGAAAGTGCTCAAGGGCACTGTGGTAGAGCTCGACGGCCTCAGGGTAATTCTGATTCTGATCGGCTTCCGTAGCAAGCTTGACGATTTCGAATCCTTTCTGTTATTGTAAGTTTACAGGAACGAGTACAGATAACAAGTCGTTAGTGACTCTCCATGGTATCTCTAAACACTATGATAAACTGAGCTTGGGCGGCCCTGAGGTGTGACGTAAAAACTCTTACCTCCCGGAAGTTGTTAGACATGCGATGAATGAATGAAGCTCAAAGCGGAGCCTGGTTGGGAGGAACCTGTGAGGAGGGGACGTTTCAAACACCGACCCTATGGGACACCTACGTCATTTCTCTGTTGGATTTCACAGATGCAATTCAAGAGTATGGGGCATTTTTGACGTGGTCGTGTTCTGGTGGCGGCTACCAACACGCGCTATTCTCTCACCCGCGTTAAAAAAATAAATATGAACGACTTTTTGCTTCATACCATATATTTTTACATTTGTATTTATCCAAATAAACGCAAGTTGCAACATCCTGCTTTCAGCAATATCATCACAACCTCTGACGCCATTGGCCGACACTGTCAATAGCGGACGATGAACTTGGGGCCCTTGGAATGGGAAGCGGGCGGGGATCGAGAATGAACTGCAAAGTGGCAAAAATGGCGCGCAATCGTATTTTTAGAGTAGTCCCGCTCCCTTCGCTTGTGACTACCAAACTGCTAGGAAGGCAGTGGCCATGAAACAAAAGCCTTCGTTGGACAACAGGTAAAACCATATCCGGACAGTGTGGATTCAACACAAACATTGCCGGAAAATCAACGATGCTTTGGTTTTTGTGTGAAAGCGAGGACAGCGGAACCAAACGATCTCGAAGGTTCTAATCTGTATTCTAGCGAAATCCAAGCGATGATGAAATGCTCGTGGGTGGAGTGCCATTAGCAGTATGGCTTCTAATCACTACGGGGGAATTGTGGCTCTAACTTGGCCATCTTACTGAATAAGGCAATGGCGGTCACAGCTGTTCAATCTCTGGCTTGGCAATCCTAGTGGAAAAGGAGGTTCAAATAGTTAAATTGCTTGGGCATCTGAAACAAATCAACTCACTTCTCCTTGGGAAATTATTAGGATGGCTTCTACGGTTTGGTTTCATAGAAAAGCGATGTGGCTGGAAACGGAGACCGAGGCAAAATATGGAGGTGGAAGAACGTGTTACAAGCAGTGGATATAGGAAGGCTGAAGGTGTAGTACCACCAAAATTTGCCAAATGCAGCAATAATGCATACATCCAATGACATAAGGTTCTATCGGCGTGGGCACCCACTCCCAACCCTTTGTTCAAAGTATAAAAGCCCGGCCATTCTGCACTTCATTTTATCCTCATCAATCACATTATATCAAACATGGGTCTTTTCGATACTTTCTCTCAACACCACGACGAAGTCTACAACACTGAAGGTCACAAGTCTAGCTGGAGCCACGAACTTATTGGTGGAGCCGCTGGTTTCGCTGCCATGAAGGCCTATGAAGCCAAGGAGGCCAGAGAAGGCAAGCCCCAGAGCCATGCTTTCGCCAAGGAGCTCATTGCTGGTATTGCTGCCGCTGAAGCTGACAAGCTCTTCGAGACCAAGGGTCTTAACTTCATTGACCGCGAGAAGGCCAAGCACGAAGCCAAGAACAATGCTATCAAGATGTACGAGGAGAAGTACGAGCAGTAAATTTACCCACCATACCACTGCTGTCCGTCCTAGCTATTCTCACTGTAAAATAGTTGTGAATATTATTCCATATCAAATATAAAAGGACACGATCTTTTTTGTAAAATTCAGACCAACGAGTGTGTGTGTGTGTTTATGAGTTTGGGTACGCGTCTTGATCCCCAAGAAAGACGTATGTCATGTGGCGGAGGAACGGCTAAAGGATTACAGATAAGTTGTGCTGATCCCCCTTAGTGTTTTTCACTGCCCTGGGACTCTGTACTCCGTAACCCCATATCATAAAATGGACCGAGAAAGAGAGCTTCGTCATGAAGGCTCCTCTCCTATGCTCTTGCGTCATGTTTCTGATCTTCACCAGTAAGCATCTCCAGTTTTTCAAACCCGTAACAAACAAATCGTAAGTCCTTCATCATTTTAACCAAATCATTGGCGAGCCCATAAACTAGTTCCTTGACTATGTTTCATGTTCTTCAGCACACTATGTCCGCCGATATGACGTTTTGGAATGATATAGGTCGTTGGAGTCATTCGAAAGGCAAGCCATAGGATAGAATGTATGCCCTGACGTTCACCTACTACTGCGGTCGTTGAGACATAGGTCTGCAATGAATACCTGTTAAAATGATCAGAAACCTCATGGCAAAGTATGTTTGGAAACAGATTATTCCCAGAATTTGCTCTGTGGTTTGAGACGATTTCCCCTTATTACTCTGCGACCCAAGTAATTTACTCTCCGACTTGCTGCCTCAGCAAATGTAACGGCGTTAAAATCCAACGTGATAGATATGGGATGATGACTCGAAACGGCCAAACGCTGGTAGTGTTAAGAGCGGAGGGGGCTATTGAAGATTTCATAGCGGTAGTCCCATGTCTAGTTGCGAATAACATGAAGGTGATAGTGATCTTTCAAAATGTCTATTGTATTCTTTAGCTGTCCGACCCTCCGAGTCTGTGCACATTACCGGCGTAACAGTGAGGTTGCTTGCTTCAGCAGGAGTTTGCTAGACGACTGAGATGTACAGTCTCCATCATTCGAATCCTGATCCACCCTGGTTCCAGATATCAGAAAGCCTGCACAGCTTCGCCTGTACGACATCTAATATCGCTCTATGCAAACATGAATAGACAGCCTCAATGCGATCAATGTGGAAGGCAGAAATAAGGAGGATGTTACGGTGACAAACCCTTTTTTGCACTGGCGGTGGAAATAGTTTTCAAGGGTAATAAACTGGGTGAAGCATCCAATAACGCTGGTCCACTGATATCACAGACCAAGAAATCAAACCAACACAAATGCAGTTAAAAAATGCGGGAAATACTTTGTTTGTGCTTTATTTGAGAAGTACAAGCATACGTGACACCATGGTTCAGTTAAGCACCGTCGCATCCTTCACTCGCGTAGACAGTCTTGGAGAAGTCTCCCTTTTTCACCAAACTGTCCTCATTCTCCCATTGCGCCTCTACTAGCGCTGCTCCTTTCTGCTTAAAAGGCATGCTTACTGCCACATGTGTGATTATGCTAACCGAAGCTTGGCGTAAACTGTTCCTTGCCCTGGAAAGCTTAACGTTTCTAAACTACCGACGCAAAAAGCTGGTTTTGCAGCAGGCTATTTTTGCCACTGTCTTATGAGAATTATCAATGTCGTCAAGCTCTTCAAGTCCGGCTTCTTAGATAGACCTTTACTATAACAATAAATTTTAAATGGAATCAAATACATTTCAAATGCAGGAGTGTGGTCATCATTTCCTAATGGGTTTCTTTGTACTTGCCTGTCGTTTGCTGATCCGACGCATCTTAAGCGTTCCAAACCAGGTTGCTCGAGCATGTCCTTTCCATGAATCAAAATGATGGGATCTTAACCAACACTGTAGTTTTATGTAGTATTTCATAATAAAAGATAGTTCCATTATCTTGGTTAATTCGTACCAAGAACCGCCAACCAGCCTAAAAAGGGATTTGTCACCCCATGTGTAATTGTTTTCATAGTCATGTCTCCAACCAACCGTTAAGGATTTTTGGTGCGCTTGTTACGATAAGAACAAAGACGCAAACTTGGTGAACTTCACTTCCACGCATGGACCTCCTTAGCCATGAAATGCAATATCTGGTTTATCACTCGAACTTGTTCTCCTGATTTTTCCGGGAGAACCTTTTATGGGTGTCAGATCGACTGCCAATGAGCCTTCACTGACCTCACTTGACCAGTCCTGCCTTGCCCTGCGTTTGCCTTCTCTGTGCATTTCCAAGCCTCGTCTCGAATTGCAATTTGTATGGCTCCCCTTTGCATGCAGCTGGTGGTGTCTTTCAATGGCTTGGCGCCAAAAGTTGTCAAGGTAACTTCTTGTGCCCTGAGTACATGCGGATGACATGGCGCTTCAGTAGTGGTGGCGGGCGGAGTTAGACCTGCTTTTGAAAAATAATGCAGTGAAAGTGAAATTTATGAGTCTCCTGGCTATTTTGGAAGAGAAAACAAGCTTGTAAAAAAAGGGATGATACGGAGACGTTTCTCATGGATGATCCATACTCGATGACACCGAATTCTATCCAGGAGTTGTTTCCTGACCCCGAGAAATAATAGTGCAAACGCCCATATTTTGGGATCGAATGAAAGTTGAGTGTTTTTATAATACCATTTGTGCAATGGTGCTACAACGCCAGCAGGCTAGAAATTCTCCAGGTGCCTCCGCCCAACTATTCTCCTTCTCTTTCTTCCCTCTTACACTTTCTTTACCATCGTAGTAAAGACATAGGGCGCACTACTCGCTTGGGTCAAAAGCAGGCATCTCGCATCATAAAAACAAAGAAAATCGTAAAAAAAGAGACTTTACAACAGGGAACAAAAACATCCAGCTTGATTATCCCTCTCAACTTACCCCCCACAACACCCTTCTAAAAAACTTTAAAAAAAGAAGATGCCTGCCCCCATCGAAGTGTCTTATAGCCGACGTCTAAGCTATGTCAAATACAACGATTTGAACTTGGAGTAAGTCTCACTATCTTGACAGGGCCATTGACCTCATCGGTCTTTTTAGACTAACCTCCCCCCCCCTTTCCCCCCAGTTTGCAGACAAGTTCTTTTGGACGAGAAGATGGCTTGGATAACTTTCCGTCACAAGACCTCGAGACAACATTCTGTCGAAATTTCTCATGCTGTGGTTTAGTTTTACAAGACTTACATGACCTTCTTCAGCATTATGAAGAATCGCATGTTCGATTTGAAGATGATGATAGCTCAGCCTTGTACTCAGATTCATGGTCCAACTCCGACTCGAGTGCTCCCAATAGTCCACAGCTGTTGAGTCGTCAACTTTCCATGGAAGCTGTCAAGAAGCGAGATGCAGATGACCTTACATCGGATGATGACATGGCTGCATTTGATACCTCTGTACTGCGGAACAACGATGAAGTGGTTGCTCAACTTTCGCCTTCCAAAAAGCTCAAACTGTCCATCCCTACTTCTTCGTTCGCCGACGTGCCCACTGTGGCCTTATCGGACGAAGATTTTCTTGCTCAAGCCAATGCCTTGTTTGCTTCTGCTGGTATGTTGTCAACGATTTAAAAAAAGTGGCTGGCCCGGGCATATCAAATATAATCTATGTGCCATTTTTGGGAAAAAAAGGTCCTGGCGTTCACATGCTAATATTTATAACACTTTTTAGCCAATCAATCAAATATTGATAAACCATACAAGTGCCCAGTTCAAGGATGTGATAAGGCTTACAAGAACCCAAATGGTCTCAAGTACCATAATCAACATGGTCATTGTAATGTTATCACTGAAGAGAGTGAGCAGCTGAGCTCCAAGCCCTATCAGTGTACCATCGGTGAATGTGGCAAGCGATACAAAAATCTGAATGGTTTGAAGTATCATATTGAACATTCCCATATGGCAGCTCTGAACAGTACGCTTGCTGCCGCAGCAGCTGTTAGCTTTGGCCCATCTCCTCTCATCACTCCAGAGACTTCTCCCCTCATGTCTTCTCTGTCTTCCATGAACTGAGTTTCATATCCGTATATCATTATTGCTTGGCTCCCACAGCAAGGTTTTTTTTTTCTATCTACCGTATTTTTTCTTTTATTCCCTCTCCCCCCATTTCTACTTCGTCGATATGTACATTTCATTTCATTCATACTCATCCGCTTATCCCATCCGACCGACCCGAAAAGTCCCCCAACCAGACATAGTTACTTCGCTCCTACTTTTCATCAACTTCTCCGCGTCCCCTCCCCCCCCCAAAAGCATGGACTAGCCCCACCCGCTGGCGAGCAAGGCAGTCGCGTCATTTTCAGCATTCCACGTCAAAAGCAATCCATTAGCCCATCCAAAAAAGTACCCGAAAATGTTACAGCTAAGACTGACATTCTGCAACCAAAACGCGCAAAAATCTCCAAAAAGATATTGAAAAAAGTAGTATTTCGTTATTTCCATACAGTAATAAATTCACAAAAGTACATTTCCTCTATTTTGTCCAATGTGAGAGAGCCTCCACCAAGATTCATTCATGTCTATTTGGTCTTCTTCGTTTCCTTGACTTCTCCCTCTTTGGCCTTTTCAACCTCTTCAGGTGCAACACCCACTTGGCCGTATTCATTGGCACGAGTGGGGTCGACCTTGTACGCCCAGCGTTGGTACAAGTAGACGAAGAAAACAACGTCGTCTCTCAAGCAAGCAAGTCTATGAAGTGTGGGCATCTTGATACAGAAAGCAAACAAGTCATCTGTGGGGGGGTAAGAATGAGTGATAGGAAGCTAGCCAGTTGGCATTGAACAAGGCTTACCGATAAAAGTGTTGAGTGACTTGTACATGAGAGTCTTCCATGGCATATGTGCGATCTTTGAGAAAACCGGTTCAATGTTAATTTTAAAAAAATCCATAACCCCCTTTCTCGCAGTTAAGGATAACAACTTACACTTTTCAACTTGTAGTTGATGAACAACTGAGGAGTCATGGTGATAAAACCAAACATGTAAACAAAACCGACCAAGGTCTTGAGGACGTATGAGTACCAGCTCTTGTGTTCATCATAGTACAACGAGTAAAGGGCGTAACCAGCAAGCAGAGGATAGGCGATCCAGCTGAGATAACGGTATGCCATTTCATCGTATTTCTTGGTCTCGCTCTCTTGCTCAGAAATCTCTTGAGCATCGGCTTGCAAGCGAATGCGAGGAATCATGGAACCAGGGATACGGTACACCTCATACTTGAGAGCCTTGAACACCTTCCAGACTTCAATCAGCAATCCAAAACCTTGTCCTATCAAAATCATCCACGATGTTTCCTGGTTGTTGTCCATGAGATAAAGGAAAATGACGATTTGGAAAAAGATGTTGACGACGATAGTTCGGACAGAGACACCGGCGCTATCCTGCTTTTGTCTCCAGAAAGAAATGTCTGCAAGAAAAACGGTGGGTGGTGATGAGTGCCTATCAGGACTATCTTTCACATTGTGTTGGTCCACTTACCACTCTTGAACGCCAAGAATTCGAAAAGACTGTGCAAAAGACTGACAAAGATAGTGGTTCCGAGCAAGATGGGATTGGTTTCAAGGAACATGCGCTTCATTTCGTCCATCTCAGAGGCAGTGCTTCCGCCCATAGGTCCAGATGTTTGCTTGTCCATGGCGTCCTCCAATACGGAGTAAAGTTGGAATTTAACCATGGAAATAGGTGCAAACTGGATGATAAGAGGCAAAGTGCTAATATAAACACAATAATCAGTCCAAACACAGGTTCAAAGAGTGCCTATAAACTGGTGCCATACCTGACTGACTCATTCACAGGGTAGGCATATTCGCGGAGGGACCAGAAGTCATTGGGGAAGATAGTAGGGCGGAAGAAACCAAATTTACCAGTCTTATCCAAGGCGTTATCGGCATCCAATTGGAAATCTAAAACAAACGTTTGTTGTTATTGAAAATGCTCAATAAACTGACCATCCATTTACTCGCTTTTCCCACTTACATTTCCACATTTGTGGGCTGACACTTCGCTTGGGAACGACGGTTTTAGCATCGCTAAGAACGGTAATGGTAACGTTGGGGTACCAGTAAGCAACCATAGGAGCTTTTCGGGTCCAGTTTCCAAGCAAACCGCCCATTCCAGCTTGCTGTTCAGTCTCATCGTAATGAACTGGCTCCTGTACCTCTTCTTCCTCTACAGCTCCTCCCTTAAGCAGATTCTTTTGCTTAATGATTGATTTCTTGGGATAGAACTTGGTCAAGGCTAATGCGAAAAATTAACAATAAGAACACAATCACACATCCATTTATCTCTGATAAGCTCTCACTTACTATGGCGATAGTACACAACACGGTTTTGAATGTAGTCGGGGTGATTGGGGTCGATGGGAGCGTCGTGATGTCTCAAGAAGATATGAGCGTAAACAGTTCCGTTGTTCTGAATAGTCTAATGGTACACGAACAGCCATTCCACAACACCAAATTAATCTGTGTACGCGTACATAATTCAAGCCGTGAAGCCTTAAAACTTACCTCGGTAGCAGGAATCTCAACCATTTGTTCACGCTTGTCATCATAGTCACCCCAAGAGATGTTCTCAGCGTTCCAAATAGGTTTAGCGTTGTAGTCGGTGAAATAAGCATTTTCAGAAGTGTAGACGGTAAGATCCATATGAAGACCAGCAGTCCACAAAGGTATAAACGTTTCAGGTAGATCGGCCACGCTAAGGTGAGCGGGAGTGGGGTTGTAAAAGACACCGTTGGGAAGGATAGGGAAGTAATCGGTCGCAACGGCCGCCTGTTGCTGTTCGAATGATGCGGAATTAGGAGAAGGCACATTGGGTTGAGCCTCCTTGGCCGGCTGTTGTTGAGCTGATTCACAGATGGGTTTAGCACTTTGAAGCGATCCTTATGTCTATCATACGTATTACTTACCACCGCCTCCAAACAAGTACCTTGAGACCATCCACATGGCTACCATTTGGAAGATGGTGCCGCCATACTTTTCGAAGAAGGATCGGTTATCTTCCCGTTGCTGGTTATCACCTGTAGCTCTAGTGGCTTCGGGCATTGTGGCAAGATGGATTCAACTAGAAGAACGGACACACTGCACAATAACTGACAGCTCATTGGTGAAACCAAACCTTGAATTGTGTGCACGAAAATGCTGGGACTGAATGTAGGGTCACAAAATCCAATATCTTCTTGGATCGAAAGCATCACTACTCTGTTCTGAATACGTTTTGCATGACTGACAAGTACATGGAAGAAGTCAATTTTCTTTTTATTCATTATTTTAAATTCTTATTTCTTCAAAGGAAGCCGCACGAAAACAAATGATCCAGATGATCAATTTTCTCACTTCTCATGGGAAATTTAACGCCTATCACGACTACGTTGACGTCTCGAATGACGATCACTACTGCGGTGACGGTGACGACTATCTCTGTCTCTTGAATCCCGATGTCGGCTTCGAGAGCTGCGTGATCTACTAGATGATCGTTCTCTGCTTCGTCTTTTACTGTCGTGTTCTTTTCTATCACGGTCCGAGGGAGCTGGAGCGGGTTCCTCGTCGAAAATAATCTCGTCCAACACACTTTCTACCACACTGTCTACTGGTTGTGCAACATCGTCTGTGTGTCGGGGCCCTGTGGGGGTTGGTGATCGCTTCTTGGAAGGGGAACGGGATCGCCTTTGTGAGACCGATCTTGAACGTCTTTCAGATGGGGATGGTGAACGTCTTCTAGATCTTGATCGTCTTTTCGATGAAGAGCGGTGAGTGTCGCGATCATGGTGACTATGCTTACTAGAGCTTCGGGAGTGATGTCGCTCTGAATAATGATGTCGATCATCCGATTCATGGCGTCTAGGAGATCGAGAACGACTGCTGTGCCGATTTCGAGACGATCGACGATCATGGCTTGAGGGCTTTTCATGTCGGTCCCGGTCAGCGCGGGGTCCAGTTGGTATATCCTCTATAGTGTTGTTGCCAGCTTTTTCTTCTTTATGCTCAGCTGTGCTAACTACATCTTGTCTTGTCGGTGTTGAAGGACTATTGTGGTTAGCTCCTTCGACACGTCGCGGTGGAGGTGGACCAGACGGTTTTGCTCCTCCTCGACCTCCTCCTCGGCCACCCCGTCCGCTAAATCCTCCACGACCAGCGCCAAGGTTCATATTTCCAGGGAATCCAAACATCTCCGGTGGAGGGAACGGCGGTGGAAATCCACCAGGTCCAGGAAAGAAGCCGGGGAACCCGCCGGGTGGAGGCATTCCCATACCCATCATGCCTGCCATCATGGCTGGATTCATTCCAGGTGGCATGCCCATCATGTTGGGAGGCATTCCCATCATACCCATCCAGCCCATATCGCCGCCACCTCCGTTGAAAAATTCGTTTTGTTCCATCATGCCTTGTTGTTGAGAAAAGTCGTTGTCGCCGTCATCTTGCTTATTATATGGTTTGTTTTTTTGTACACGTTCTTCAGACTGGAAAACTTGAATAGGCATGCCGGATGTCGGATACTGTCGAGTAGGTTGAGCATTTCGTTTCGGCGGGGACTGGATAAAATGAGGATACTTAAGGAAAAGTGGTCTTGACATTGCAGTAAACATCCACTGTAACTTACTTGAGGAACTTCGCTTGAAGCCTGGTTGTCATTTCTAGGTTTATTTTCAGTGCTGTCGGTTTCTACAGGAGTTGCTGGTTCCTCTATGATTGCACTGATGGGCTCTTGTGTCGGTGGAAGTTCGAGCGGTTGGTCATCTGGGTCGCCATGCTCATCCTTATACTTTTGAATGGAGTTTCTCAATGATTTGTTGGGAATAAGCCTGTTAGCATCGACGTCAGTGCTACCACATGAAGGGCAGTTCGGATTGCTTGCTAATGCCGCCTTGATACCTATGTGTAGTAATGAATTTTTTGTATGTTCAGAAAGATGATGAGCAATGCATTGAATGATTTATCACAGATGGCCCAAAAAAAAAAAAATAGGAAAAGAGAGGAACGGTAAAGAAAGCATAAACTTTGCAATATCCATATAAAGTAGATATGCAAAGATTATCATTTAAAAGCAAGTAAGTCGCATAAAAGATGTGGTCTCTATAGCAGTGCAATGTAGTGTACAAACGCTATGTTCCGCGCACAATTTGTCTGTGCCCCTTGGTTAGTGACATTTGGTTAACTCTGGTTTGTGAGTATCGTTCGGTAAAGACAAACAAACTTTCATCCAACGGCAGAGCATCCTTGGATGACATAACCTGTAATAAGTAATGAAGTACCCTTTGGGTTTTTCACGAGATTTTTTTCTCCTCCTCACCCACCATCACCCAAGTAACCTGCTATACGTGTACTGTGGTTTATCCTCGATGACCGTGAGAAAATGTCGCGTAGGAGAAAGTCAAGTATAGAGACAAATAATATGCTATAGGACCACATCTTTTGCGAAAAACGAAGAGAAAATAGAATAAAAAGAAGCGAAGAATCATCATGATAATACGTACATTCTCTACAAAAAGACTTGCCACAGCATGGCACCAACACCGCATCCTTCATCAACTTGTTATCGATCCTGCAGAGAAGTTCTAGTGGAACTCTGCTCACTTGTGAAGGCATGATGGCAGTTGCTTGCATTTGCTGAACGCCATTCGCAGGTGTGCTATCGAAGATGGTCAGCATACGCAGTTTTCCTATACGTATACTATGGATGAAAATAACACTTACGATCCGTTATTGGTTGCTCGCACATGCACTCCTTTTGGTACATTAGGGCAATAGTATATCCAGTGTCCTGTGTAAACATTCGTTAGCTCAACCGTGTTTACGTTGCATACGATGGAGAAAGCTGCACATACCCGGCTGGTTGCATTTGTAGCAAACATAACCTGCAGGAGGTAACTGTGATTCTGGTGGAAGTTGTCCAGGTTGTCTCATCCCAGGCTGCATGTTTTGGTTTCGAGACATTTGTTGCTGCTGCTGTTGTTGTTGCATCATGAACTGCTGCATCTGCATTTGTTGCTGGTATGACATCATGTTGGGACCATTCATTGCCATCATGGGGTTAAACATGTCTGGCGCCCCCATTCCATGATTCATATTGGACATTCCTGTCATTTGATTGTTACGTGGTGGGGGTGATCTGTGTTGCAAATAATGATCAGAGGAGGTGACCTACGCATGGTAGTTTTGCAAATGGATCAAGGATTCTATAACTTACGATTGCTGGAATTGATCTCGTGTAGGTGACCATGAGTCGTTCTGCTGAAGTATAGCCTGGATTCTCTCATCCTCAGTACGGTTGTCTTCTTCAGCCATTGGTCAAAAAAGAAATGAAAGGATCAATGTGACGGGAAGCGATTCTTTTTCTTCACCGCAGCTGTCAGAGATTTGAAGGCACACCAACGTCACCAAAACCCAAATTTTTTCATCCTGCAAATTTGGACTCACCCGCCTGTCCTCTCACCACTTTTACCGTGTTGGCCGAATCCCATTTATTTTCGCGCTACTTAACCATAGAACATAAGTATAATAGGCAAATATGTACATGTATATGTTTACCTATGTACTATCTGTATGAACCATATTTAAATAGATAGCGTAGCATAGATCTGAATACTTTGAATGAACTCAGGTGGCAATCTTTTCACTCCGGTTTTCTGGAGACAGGTGCATATGCGTCTTGATTGCATTCACTTGAAACGTGAAAACTAAAATTAAGGAACGTACGATGGATAATTCCAATCATGTGTCATTAAAAGCTGAGCAAGTTGATATTTTGATTTAAACCAAAGAATGTAAGTTGCAATGAAAAGCCCTGAGAACCCCAGTCTATTTTCATTTCGCATCTTCTTCTCTTATACTGACACTTGCTGTAAAGAATTTTCTTCTTCAGCAAAAATCTTGAAACTGACAGTTCGACATATCGGATTTTAATCCCGTTCAAATGGAGAACCGGGCTGTCCTCAATCTAATTGCATGCCTTGTCTTAATATTAAGTACGTCGGTGTTCATATTCCAGCTTGTCCAGATAGGATTGTACAATGATTACGCAAAGAAGGTACCAGCATTGTTATTTGTCGTTAACAATCGAGGTTTCGTGCCACTCATTTCCTTTCCTTTCTTCGCATCATAGGCGGCAATACCAGGATTCATACAAAGTGGTTATAAACCGGTACGTGCATGAAATAGATATCGTGATTGGCTTCTGTTGCCACACGCTGTAATCCTAACGAAAGTTCGCCTTTATCACCATTTAGTATTTTGTTTGGATTGCTACCTTTTGTATATCGTTCGTGAGCAGTGTCCTCGTCGGCCTTGCTTGTTGGTGCTGCTATTGTGGATGTTCCACCAAGTTCGTCATTCAGTCGACGAGACTGTTAAGTGGCATCAATTCCATGATGACTACTGCTGCACTCCTGTATGTCACATTAACAAGTGGAACAGAGCCCTATTCGGCAGGATTGGTGGACTTTACAAGACCTGCAAAAGGATACATTTCATACTGTTCTATGCTCAATCAAGAGAATGACAAGTATTACCCAGCATTATATCATAGGTAAAAGTCTTAACATATCATGCTAAGAATAGAGTAAAATGCAAGTTAACTAAAGTGTACATTGCCTAACTAAAAGGTGTTGGGTTTACAACCTGACATGGATCGGCAATATTGCCTTGGCAGCATCCTGGATAGTACTTTTGATAGTGGGAATGCTCAACACCGAACGGTCCCATCGACACAGCCCTACAAATGATTATGTTGCCAAATTCGAGCAGCATAATGAACACTTGGTCAACACCCAAAGAAGCTATCCATTGAGTAACAATAGCAGCTATAACCGACCACGGAAGTACTCTGAACAGTCATTCGCGACGCATAGTCGTGCTGGATCTATGCAAGCCTTAATGGAAAGACAGGGCCAGCAGACAATGCACCAGGCAGCACCGCCCCTCGTGAATTACGACTCAACAGTAAAAGATTTGAGTGACGTGGAAAATGAAGTCGATACACTTCTTCCTCCTATGCCGGAGCAGCCATACCATTCACATCCGGATTATTTTTCCACAACACTTCCGATACGTCCTCCTTCAACTCGCACACGGTCAATTCCTCTCACCATGACCACCATTCAAGAGCAACCTTACAGTCAAAAGTACCAAACTGCTTAAACATTGAAGTTGTTATCATGTACAATTATTTTCCCTGGCCGCAATACCGCTTGTACAATCACAATCTTGGTCCTCCAAACGCGACCTTTTTGACTTTCGACTAGAAAAAAAAATACCAATACATTATACCTTTTTCCTTACGCACAACCCACACTTTTTAAAAAAAGAAAATTAGAATACAAGTGATTTCGTAGAGATATGGCTATTGCACAAACAATCTAGAACTCTTGACGAAACAGAATAAAAACACTGTAAACTTGTGAAGGTGTGGCAAGTTCATAACTTGTGTTCTTACTTATGCTGAAAATCATGGAAAGCGGTTTCAAAAAAAAAAAAAAGAAAGTCCAGCTTTTTTCCTGTATACAGCACACCGTCCAACATTTACACTCACGAGGCCGTCTTTGTTTTTGCTGTAAAGACTAAATTCGATTGAATCCTTTGTCGTTTGTGAAGGTGGGCACGCTTTTCTTTTGAATCATGGTCCTGATGTGACTCATCGGAGCAACTGCATTGGCAATGCAACATGGACTTGAACAATTTTAATGATCCGCCAATTTCTCTGACTTCTTTTCTTGTTAAATTTCTTTGCACGACATTGGAACCCTCCAGATGAGCCCGGTTTCTACTTCCAACATGAAGCATTCCAAGTTGACCACCACGTCTGCCGTCAAACATACAAAGTCACCGCTCTCGATCTCCCACTTACCACCTACTTCCGATAATGACCCTCAGTTGAGTGATCATGTAGTCGTCATAGAGAGCACAGTCGCTGCCGAGACTAATGCTGACAAAAGCACGCCAAATAAATACAACCTATTGAAACGAGAAATAAAACAACTAGCGGAGGTTGGTATTGTCAATACGTGAGCTGAGGAAAATACATTGAGCATTCAAATTGATACTTGCTTTTCATTGTATAGCGAAACGGTAGTATGACTCGGAGCCTGGAAAGCGCTAGGAAGAGAATAAAGACATTGCGAAAGGAACGAAGGTATGCAATCGTATCAGAGATGTGGCAGCGATTGATAAAGCATGTGTTCATTCCAACCTGCTTTCAGTTCATTACTAGACAAAATAGCACGAGCGGAATCTATGATAGCTGCCTCAGACAGTGATGATAGTAGCGATCTTGCAGATGACCTTGGCTATGACGATGAGAGTGATGGTGATAGTAGCTTAGACTACGCACGATATGGTAGGAATATATAGATAGCTAACATCTTTAATGTAATGGCCTGACCATTAACCATACTTGGTTGCATCATTATAGGGTCTCAATCAGAAGAAGAAGAAGAAGATATCGATGCTGAAACTACTGACGGATTTTTGATACCTGGGTTGAGCAGTAATCGTGTTGCGTATATGACGCCTCAACGCATTAAACCACTTCCAGGATTACGCGAGTCAACGCCTACGCCGTCTTCATCATCGCGCAAGACGAGAAGAGTCATGTATGTTGAAAAGGACGAGGAAGGAAATTACCGCCTTCCTGTCCAGATTGGTGCTTTGACTCTCTTGTCACTTGGTCAAGTGGTGTGGGACAGAGAAGGCTTCCATAATGATCGCTATATATGGCCAATAGGATACAGTGTACAAAGGTAATTGATGTTCTTGTCGCTCAAATTCACATAGACTACCTAGTGTTAACTATTTTTTTTTTTTCAAAGATCATATATGAGCATGATAAACCCTGAATCCAATACGATATACACATGTACTATTGAAGATGGTGGAGATGCTCCACAGGTACGATTATGAGGCAACTGTATAAATTGAATTGACAGACTGATTCATATGTCAACATATTTTTTATGACAGTTTCGCATCACACCAGAAGATGCAAAGGAAGAAGAACTCGTGTCGGGTACTGCTACAGGCGTCTGGACTACGGTGGTTAAACGAGCAAATCAAATCCGTCATCGTGATGTGTCTAACTCCGTGTCCGGACCAGAATACTTTGGTTTCGCGCATCCAACCATAGCCAAAATGATCCAGGATCTACCTGGAGCGGAACGGTGTGGAAGATACAAATGGCAGGACCTTGTAGTCGTTATGCCATCCGGTCAAAATGGCTCCCGGTCTCGTAAAGGAGGCAACACTTCAGAATCCAAACAGCCGTCGGGAGAAGACCGAGCCAATTCAGCAACAGCGGAAGCTGCTGCAAGCCCCAGTGTGTCTGGCTTGAAATCTCCAACTCCTTCGAGCCCTGCAGCCTCTCTAGCGACCGACGAAGTGGAGTAAACAAACAGGCACTCCGAAACAAAGCGCGAAAAAACATAATAAATAATTTCTCCTTTATGCGATACAGTTTTTTGCTGTTTGCAGACGTTAATATCATGTCAAACATTCTTAACATGCGAGATATCTAACCGTCTAAGATGATGGTATGCTCTTTTACTCGTGTTTTAGATGCAGATGTACATTTTTTTTTTTCATATTAAATATATTTTCTGACCCCTACACGTCATATATCCCAAGTGATTTTCAGAATCTCGCGTTTGACAGTGTTTTTGCCTGATGTTTCAAAGACGCTCTGGTATTTGAGTTTATGGTTTTCCTTGTCCTTAGTAGCATCCACACAGGCACAGAACGGTAAGATACCTCCTCCTACACCGAAATACACGGTCTTACCAGCCACGTACCTAGCATGATGCAATGTTTAGATCATGAATATAGAGTTGGTAAAGAACATTTAAGAAAGATTAAGCTTTACTTACGCAACACCATCAGGCTTCTTGAGTGTGTTTTGCAAAACCTTAACTAAGCCAGGAATTGATTCTTCGGAATATACAGTTTCGGAAGTGACAATCATGTCATATTTGTTCAAGTTGTCGGAGAGGTTCATTGCGTTCTAAGAACAAAAGTGGCGTGTTAAACAAATAGGAAAATGGGTAAACGAGAATATCGCATAATTTAGGTTCAGGAAAGAAGAGTCTTGCTTTTTGGTGGGGTGAAATGACATCTCGGATGTTGGAAACGCAATACTTACGGTTAGCGACTGCCATTCTCCAAAATAACATTGACTTCTTTGGCTGAGTTTGCTGAGAATATCAGGTGCTTGTGTTTCCGAGATCTCTAGCTCTGCGTCTGCCGAGTCCATCTCCTCTTCATCGGCGTGCGGCTCGTCTTCGTCTTCGTCTTCGTCATCCTGGCCGTCATGGTCTAGAATATTGGCGTTATCCTGAGGTAAGCCATTATGTTCGATTCCAGGCTCTTCATCTTCAGCACTAGCTTCACTTGGAGCAACAACCGTATTAAGTATAATGTTGGGTATGGTGATGTATTGTAAAACCTGCTCGTTGTAATCTTGAAAGTCGACTTGGTTCGACTCGTGGCGCATCAATAGATAGATTCCGGGTAAGGCTGATCCACAGCCCAACTGTTGGAGGATCAATGTTCAGCTAGCGCCAAAACCATCAGGATATAATTTAGCCGACTTACCTCTAAAACCTTCTTATTTGTCAGTGAACTATCATCCATCTTGGTATGCATAAATTCCACTAAATCTATGGAGCATTCCCAGGTTTTGAAACCGCCTTCGTAAATTCCCTTGATCAAATCGGTGTTTCCAGCCATTTCTATCATTGGCGTTTGCTCCGCTTCGAGATCATCTTGCCTTGCAATTTGAAACTTGACGTCGGCAAGGGTGCGCTTGTACATGGTGTAAGCGATGGACGACATAGTAACACGATCTGCCTGTAAAGTATCTGGCAATTTCATAGCCTAAAGTAGAAGCAGGCGTGATTCATGAGCTTATTGAGAACCAGCGAAAAAAAGTTTTTCCTAACACAGGAATTTAAAGGTTCAATGGTAAAAACTAACCTCAATGTCAAACTTGGCAGCCTGCATTCTGTCGCTTTCTACGTGCTCAACTTCAGATTCCGTCTTCAGTGAAATGGCTTGAATGCCAGTATCCAATTGTTCGTCTTCATTATCAGAATCCGGGTTCTATCAAAGGGTGTGCAAAATGTTAGCGCATTGTAACTATTGCTTCTAAGGAAGGTAAGAGCATGCACGGGAAGCTTACAGAGAAGTTAAAGCGGAATGCCATAGTTTTCTCGTAACAATGTTAAGTTGCCAGTGTAATTTTTTTGCCTGAGCTCGCCCAAGAAAAAAAAAATTCTTAGGTCCGCCACAGATGAAGTGGCGATTTTGTGGCTGAGATATCCCGTCAAGAGTTCTTAGGAGAGGGGTACACACTCCTCAGATCCCGCATCTGAAGAACCGTAGCCACTTGTAACACAGATTGAATGAAGTGCATCAACCTTAAGCCATCGACGTACACAACGTCTTTCAAATTTGACAAAGAGGTTGCATCGACCCCAAAATAGTCGATGATTGAGCCGAATGCTAGGTCATTATAACCGAAATAAGTCAGAATGTTACCATCACTGTATTTGCCGTGTCATCCTCCAAAACAAGCTTTGGTAGATTATGGGAAGTCCCAGTGACGTCAAGTATAGCTTACACCAAACAAGGAAATAGACAGTTGAAAAGTCTCAGCGAATAGCGTCGGTGGCGTTGATAGAGGAATGTCAAGGAAACTAGGGGAGAGAGAAAGAAAAGTTATGCAAGACTCTTCTCTTCAAACAATAGTTCCATGATTTTCCATCTTCTCGAAACTGCAAGCCTTGTTGCCAAAAGTTGCGATTGAGCTATAGTCCGATATCCTGTAATAGAGATTCAGCCAACCAAATAGGAAGTGCTGGGGAACATCGAAGGAAGCAATTTCCCCAATTGGGACATTGGTATGATGTAATTTTTCATTCCTCTGCAGTCGATCATCAAGGCACACCAGCATTAATGCCCTCCTCATCATTCGATAAATCTAAATAAACGTTTCTTCTTTTTCTTCCCTTTTTCCTTTTCATTTCATAAGCATGTCAAAGGAAACCCACAATTCAAATCATGAAAGCAACCTATCCCAACCACTGAACGCGATGTCCATTCACGCTATTACGACGCATGATGATGAACGAAATCATGCTCACGCCAACACTTCTTCTCACAACAACACACTAGAGCCAGACAACATATACTCCCCTCGCCAAGTAGATGGCCACATGTCTACTATGTCAGATTCCCTACCACCATGGGACACCTCGGATGGATTCCGGCGGTATTCGTCAGCAGCAGAATCGTCCACGTCCAATCAGGACAACAGCCCAGCCTCGACTCCATCCGTCACACAAATGACTAGTAGTAGTCCTTCAGCAACACGGTATGCACAGGATATCCCATTATCTTTAGCTGAACGTCGACAGCGTAACAAAGCGGCTTCTGCCAAATATAGAGCGAAAAAGCATGCCGTCACGGCTCAAATGTCCAGCAAAATCGATGAACTTACTGCCAGTAATGCACAGCTTCAACGTGAACTGGACGATGCGCATATGGAGAATCGAAAATTAAAAGATCGGTGCGAAGACTTACGGCGACAGCTGGGAGCAAAATACCATGGGATGCTCGACTCACCTCAAGACGGTAAAAAGCGAAAAGGTCTGGAAGGCACAAGGACGACGTCAACAAGTGCTCCTCCCAATTTGCCTTCCAGGTCCAAGAGTATAAAAAGCAAATCAAAAAAATAGCATGGGAGAGGCAACCAGCTCTTTTTGCTGCCATCCATCTCATTCCCATCAAGGGTAGAACAGAAAAGAGCTTACAAGTGGAACCAGTTAAAAATATCATATCAAAATTCTGTTGTACATAATAATAGACGTCCGCAAAACAACCTGTAATTTAGAACCAGCCTGTTGATTCTTTTTGATGTGAATCAAATGAACAAAAAGAAAGCAGAGTTTTTGGTAACTCGTTTCCAATAAAATCTTTTTATACAAATTCCATGGAAAATAACAGCGCCGCTACTCATTTATCCTGCGTGCTGCTTGGAACTTGTCAGAGACTGAATGAGTCGTTTGAAAAGGGAAGCAATCGGCGTGCTTACACTTTTTCGGTTAGTGCGCCACAACTGTTTCGCTTGTGGTCTATGATGTTCTCTGGTTAAAAAATAGAAAATGCATATTACGATGGTGGAGTTTAAGCCGTTTAACCAACAGCATATGGTGGAGTGCCATTAACATTGACCATGTTCACCTTGCCCGCATCTCTCAATCCTGCCGATCAACCAAATATGATAACTGGGCCCTAGCACGTGACCATCCGGCGGCAACCTGTAAGCTATTTTGAAAAACGGCGTCTTTCTATGGACTTCTATAGCTTCTAAAATCGAAAACAGGAGCATAGAGATATTCAATTTCGATATTTCCATGACTTTGAACCTATAGAAGCTCAATGAATCGCATCAGAATTTGAAGGCGACGTCTTCTGACTGGGCATTTCAAATACATACAAAACAACCGCTCAATGTTGGCACACATCGACTGTTATAACATGAGGTTCTCTTCATGAAAAGTTGTATACGACATCGTGCTAAATCAAACGATAGAAGCATAGAGATAGGTTTGTTTTGGATGCATTTTGACTTACATTTCCATAGAAGCTCACTGAAATCCACGCTCGGAAAAGACCTCTCCTGGCCGAAAAATTCCCCAATTTCATTAAGAAAAAAGCCTCCACTCCAACGTATCTGTTTTTGTCCACCAAAACAATGGACAATGGTTTCCTTCTTATGTATATTCCAGAACTTGGTACATATTTCTATTTCTACATTTTTCTTTTGGGCTATCATGGAAGACTTCGGGTAGCAGATGACTGGTCCAACATCCGATTGTGACTGGTGGCTGACCTTTTCTCTCTTTTTTGTGTCCCGGTACCTGAATGTTTGCACTAGCTCTACAATAGCTGGGTCAGGGAATCATGTCCTTACAATCTCCAGCGAAGTCTGAGTCGCCGAATCTGCCCAATGTAAAGCATTCCATCGTTCCGACTCTTAAGGCTCCCATTTCGTCTGTGTTACCTACAACAGTTTACACCGATTCACTTGGAAAGCAAAAATTGCGAGAGAAAAAGCAAAAGGCGAAAGAAATCACTTCTGTTGGTACATCTACGGCATTTGCCAGAACAATCATAATGCAAAGTCTGTGGCTATTCTATCGAACGCCCATAAAGGTAACAAAAGAATTGCATGGAACCGAAAACTATATTTTTTTTCTATATAGCGGTTTTTTTCCCCAGCCCCACTATGGCCACGACTGACACGTTGTCACAATCTCTTATCCGCAGTTATTCAGACCGTTACGAGTGGACTATCTCGTCATGGCTCGAGCATTAATGCCAGTCAATGAAACGAGCAAGCGATTCTCTTTCAGATATACTTCCATCGGCATGATAACGAACGCTGTCAGAGCGCAAGGCTGGAAGTTTATTCCTCGCCATCTAATGCCACCCCTGATCGCCAATACCTTCATTGGTACAGTTCTCTATACCACCTACATTGGAACGTTACCGCTGTTTCACCCCGCCTCAAATTTCCAGTTGCATCGCACCTTTCCACCGCCTCCTTTCTCAGCGGTATTTATGGCCGGTATGAACACGCTTCATGATAATTTTGGGAGAGAGAGAGAGAGAGAGAGAGAAAAGAAAAAGAAGAGTGGGACAAGCGGAAAATAGATCCTCACCAAACTACATTGATTGATTAGGTGCACTGGCAGGAGCAGCACAATGTGTTGTGGCGACGCCGCTGGACAGCTTAAAAGTGAGATTTGAAGTGACCGATCTGTTGGAAGGAAAACACCGGTCAATGTATCAGTATGCCAAGTCAACATTGAAGGAATTGGGCTTATTCAGTGCCTATAGGGGTTTCACCTTAACATTAGCGAGGGTAAGGCATGGTTTTCACTACAAAAGGAAAATGTCAGGTTGCTTACCTAAAGTCCGCGCGAACTCACACTGTCCCCCAGGATTCACTAGCTTGTGGATTATTTTTTGCAACCTTCGAATGGGTCAAACAGCAGGGCTATTACAACTTTTTGGATGAGGTGTATGGTTATCAGATAGATTCATCGGAAGCGCTGACCAAAGTCGACAGTAGTTGGAACCATAGCGGTTTTTTAAAACACGATGACCAGGAGGAACGCGACCACGCATCCATCCAAGCCGCGGCCTTATCTTTGGCGGAAGATACGGTCAAAGAGAAACCACCCCTCTTGTTAGAGCCCATTTTTGTTATAACAGCTGGTGCTGCAGCTGCAGTGGTACGTGCAATCTATATATTTTTATGAAAACATATTGAGACCTCATGGAAAAAAACCCCCCACTAACGCCGAACGTCTACAGGCTTATCAAGCCATTGACCATCCACTATCCAAAATCCATAACGTTTTCTACGTTACTGAAGCGCAGTCCGAGTTTGCCAACCCAAGATGCCGAGAAACCACTCGAAAGCTGTATCGAGAAACATGGGAACGCTGTAAAATGCAGGTACGGCTGACTGGAGGAAGCTGGAGAAAATACTTGTATCAGGACTTTACAGGTGTTCTGGTCAAGGTAGCACCAGCGACTAGCTTGGGATTCCTTGTTTTTGAGTTGGCCAAACGAGAGATTGATTTTAGAAGTCAATAGAGACATAATAACCTTTCCTTCATCTGTACGATATTCCTTCCATCCCCTCATCATCTATAATATACCATGACCGCCTATCTATTCAGGGTGAGACTACCTTAGTTTAGAAGAAGTAGTTGCCTTTTCCAATTTGAGCCACGTTTCAACGTACACAAGAATCATTGATGCCCACGCGGACATGTATTTATTTGTGCACAGGGTAATCCCACTATTTCTTTACAGTGTAACCCTGGTCTTGCAATTGTTACGCGTGGCCACCTTGTTACTTTTCTCCGATAGAAAAATAAAGCCTCTTGAAAGCTTATACTACTTGTTCTTCCTCCTTTCACTACTCTTCTCAATGAAACCGATATTAGCAATACTATTGTTCATTGCCGTGGCAGCAAAAGCAGATTTATATTCCAACGGCCAGTATTTCGGTCCGGGAATCATAATCATAGATGCTCCCGCTCCCAATTCCACATACCAGGTCAACACCACCATGCCGATTGCAATCGACGTCAGCCTAGATGGTAAGATGCCCGAGAAAATCCTTTAGAACAGTCTGAATAGCCCGATACTGAATCAATATTGTCTTCGCATCGCCTCCTACAGGCAAGATAACAAAGGACGAAACTGGTGAGTCAAAAAGCCTAGACCACATTTAGGACACCAGACCCTTTTTTCTAACTAACCATTCTCATCCAGTGGATCGAGTTTCCATCTTCTTGACGAAACCTGGCTTCAATCTGACTGTGAAGAATCCATTGGATCTTCAGAGCGAACCAGGCTCAACCGTATTGCATCCAAACTATTTGATTAACAGCTGTGTCCCCGCTGGCAACTACAATGTAAGTCCGCCTTCCCCCTAAACCTTTTCTCAGGGACATTCAAAAAGACCTCGGAATCGTTTGAACTTAACTTAACAATTGTTTTATTGCTAGCTTTCGTTCTATGAATTAGACACCATCAATGGAAGTACAGTGTTCTCTGAGATCAATATTCCCGTCTCCGTCAATACTCCCGCTGGTTGGAGTCAACAGCCAGCATGCCAAAGTAATCTTCAAGCACCCAGCAGTGGTAGCAACAGCAATATCGGCACCATCAGCAGTATGGCCATTGCCAACAAATGCGGCTTATCGACAGCCGCTATTGTCATATTCAGCATTTGCTTCCTTTCTTAACTTCTCTACGAACGCCCGCTTTATGTCTGTTTTCTTTTCTTATGATGTCCTTCGCCTTATTCTTCCTTGGTTTCGAACTTTAATATCGAACGACTAGTCCCTTTAGATATTCCCCATCTCTTTGGTTTTAGCTCGTCATCCTGCCCTGGATAGGATATCTCTAGAGTTATCTCCAACTATACATAGACCACTCCTTCCCAGACCTTATTAGGATTTTTTATAACCTTCCTTTTTTTTTTTCTTTTTTTTTTCCTACTCTTCTTCATTATTGTTATTGGAACCCGCGCTCACTTTAGATTTATGTCGCCTTTTATAAAATCAACTATTAAAAATGTGCATCTAATCCAATTCAGTTCCTGTTGAACTTGGTCCAGTCACTCTCCTTGAGCCACCAGCATTGGCAGGAGCTGGTCCACCGAAAAGGTTGCTCATGAGATCTTGTAAAACGTTGCCCTGATTCCGTGGCTTTTGAATATTGAAAAACACTAGTCCAAAGTCGGAAAGCGCTTCATCAAAGTCAAATCCATTTTCCTTTGACCAAGCCGGGCTGTACTTAGACTTCAGGCTGCGGAAGTGATCGGCACCATCGCGTTGAGCAGTTAGGATCAACAATTGTGAGAAGTTGATCAAAGAATCCTTGTAAATGGGAATGTTGATATGGTCATCGGCCGGAGCTGGCTTATAAGGTACCGCGCCGATTTTCTCAGCTGCATCCAGGCGTTTCGCGAAAGCAGCGAAAGCAAGGTTGGCGTAATGGATATTCTTCATGGCAAGTAGTCTATAGTTGACACCAAGGTTCAGCATCATCAAATGAAAAAGTCAATGACCGAATATAATGGATGGGAGATAACTTACTGCATGACAGCACGAGCAATAAAGACACCCTTGGTTATGGATGTTTCTTTCACAGACCAGTCATATTCCAAGTCACCAAGCAACTGGGCGCTCTCTTCTGTACCAAATAGCAAATGCTTCTCTGCTTCACCGTAGTTACCCTCTAGATCACACAAGACTGTTTAACATTCGCTGTTTCTTCGACCGCTACATTGCCGTCCAATGCTTACCGTAGTACTGAATGGTACCGACAAAATTATGAAGTTCAGCATCCCCCATTTCATTATCTCCATTCTTTTGCGACCAACTGTGCCATACTGTCAGTACGTAGATAAGGGTACCATGGGTTAATCCTTGAATAATACTTACTTCATAGCATTGTTGATGAAAGGTTTACGTCCTGGCTCATCGCTAGGGTAAAGTTCTAAAAGTTCGGCCACTCGATCTAACAAGGTATGTAAGAGAGAGCAATCAGAACATGCTGTTAGTTCTTACTACTACTACAAATTAATGAGCACGTACCGAGCGACTCTTCCGTGACAGGGGTATTCGCGAGTTTATAGGTTTCGATCATATACATGGCTAAATCAGAGCCGGATCCACTTTGCTTTGCCTTCATAAGCGACACTGCTCCGGAATGTACCAATTCAATGACATCTCGATACTTTTCTTGCTTAGTGTAGCTGTTCATGGACGTTGCATTAGCAATGTGAGCAGGAATTGGGGGTTGGATGTTGCGAGCTCTTAGAATGGAACATTACCGTCTTGCCACCGTGCGGTACATTTGATGAGCTTCGTAATAGTTGCCATCTTCAACAGACTTCTTCAGCTTTTGAAGTGTCTTTTCAGTACCTTTGCTGCTCATTATTGGTTTGGTGAAAGCCTTCCAGGTGTCTAGGAAAGCGGGTCTCGAAATTTAATCGTAGGCGTGTGGACGGCCCACTGTGCTTTGGCGTAACGCGGCCATTTCACTACCTTTTCTTTTTCATTTGCCTATACAACTACACATTGAGAAACGAGATATGAATGAAAAAATATTGTAAAAAAAAAAGCAAGTGCGATACATTGAGATATGTTTGTTTGCTTGTAAACTGGCTGCTCAACAAACTCTTTTTAAAAAAAGGTACACCTGCACAGGGAGCCTATCGAGACCGATACAATACACTAACTACTATTAAGCTATGACATTATCATAAGAAATTCCCTTATGAAGGCCCCCTCGCATAGAAAGTCGTACATTCTGCTCAAAAGCACGTCGATTTGCTCTTAAATCTTCAGCAGCAGCTAAGCGATCGTATCCGCGTTAATCACTGCCATTGGAAGGGATTCATGGTGTCAGGAAAACTTACCCTTATTCAACGGGTCATCAGCATTTGGCTCTAAGAAAAGGTATTGCAAGCCAACTAGTACAGAATGAAGTGATAAAACAGGCTTCCAGTCTTCTCGCAATATATTAAGACAAATGTTGCCTTCCAAATCAATATTTGGATGGTATATCTATAGGAGTATCAGCACACATGTGTATGTTTTGATGAAAGAAGTAGGACTTTGCTATACCTTTTGTGTGCATCGTACTTTTGGAGGCTCGTGAGGGTAATTGGTGTTAATGTTAAAGGTGAAATGGAATTGACCGCCCTTGTAGAATCCTAGCGGGAGTAAAGGACAGGTTAGAGTGACTGGCGAATCTCAACATGATAGAAGTCAATGACTGCGGAACCCTTACCGTCATCGGGGCGAATGTTGACTTCAAAGTTGAGAATATCAGCTGGATCTGGGAAAGTCATTTCAATGGTGGATGGTATTTCCAGTTCGGCCAAATCTAAAAATGGCGCGATGGAATAGATTATGACGGTCAGACCCCAAACCAACAGCGATAATGGGAAAGGCAAAGTAAATGCCATGCCAACGACAGGATAGGACGTTTACCTTTTTGAACTCGGATTTGAGCCGCACTGGTTTTGGGCTTCTTCTTCTCGGCAGCGGCCTCTTTGGCCTTCATACTCCATATCTTGATCATTATGTCTGAAACAGACGAGCTGGTGGCAACAACGTCAGTCGACTGACTTCCTAAAGTCCTTTTGAATTGGCACTGTCAAAAGTCACGCGACCTGAGCCAATTTCGTATTCCAACAAATCCCCCTATTCCCTTTTCTACCGTATGGCCCGTAAACAACAACATGATATGCCTTTCTATTCCTTGAAGATGTTTCTTGCGCGAAATTTAAAAAGCCATTGTTTGTCACCGGCCGTTTAGTGGATTGTAACTCATGCTTTTTGCTACCATCGTAGCACTTGTTTATTTACGCAAACATGTCCTCTAATTCTACATCCTCTTTTTCTTCTACTTTTTCCATTTCTTCATCTTCTTCATCGTCCGTTAAAGGCTCTCCATCGATGTCAGACAGTGGTTCACCGTCAATATCGTCATCCATGGATTCGTCCTCTACACGGTTGGTATCTTGTTCAGTTTGAACTTCTTCTACAGACTCGCTTTCTGGTCTAACCTCAGCTGAATTCGTCACTTGTGGGTCCGAAGGTACGTCAGCTACACGAGGTTCTGTACCAGGTTGCATAAAGATGCTGTTATACTCTGCAATACGATGTTCAGGGAAAACAATCCAGTTGTTCCACACAGACAAAATATTGCTGATTTGGCGCTGTCGGCAATATGTGTTAATCTCGACTGACTGACCACTATTGTGCAAATGACATTCAACCTACCCGAACTTGCTCAGCTTTGAGTCGAGCTTGGATAGATCTATATATCTTGTTAAAGTGCTTGAAAACATCAGGTAGTTTTACTTCAAATCCGCTTCGGTACTTCCAAGCATTGGTGACATGGACACTGCTGTTGTGAAGGATGTCGGATACCAGATACAACCTGGCGATTTTTTGGGATAATGGCGTTTCGTCGGAGACCAAGGATTTGCACACGATATCAATAACCTATTGAAAAGAAATCAGCTTCCATCTAGCAAGTTCAAAAAACCATTCGGTACCTTACCTCGTCAGCTGCATCGGCATGGTTGATGGCAAATGCCATGGCCTTGGCAATCTTGCCTCGTTGGAAGTTCATTTTTCGTAGCATGATTTCCAGTCGACGCTTGGCTACCCGGCCTAGATTGCCTTTTGGAATATGACCACGTTGTCGTTCACGCTGCTCTTCATCCGAGGAGTTTGCGATTTCTTCTATTTCACCCTAAGTACATTGATATAAATGTCAAAATATGCCACGAGTGATTGTAGTGGCCGTTCAGCTTTCTTACATTATTGTCAAAAGGAACTTCGGGTGGGATCCACCAAGGACCTTCCGCAAACATCTGGAAAGGTTCTGATCGCCAATGGTATTTCGAGTCGCCTTGCAATAGGGAATATAATTTCCATCGATAATAGATGTGTTCATCGCACTGATAATGCTTTGTCAGTGTACACCATTACATTCATTTCAAACACCAAATTGTAACACCCACGTTGTTGTCCACAAGAAACTTGTAAATTGGATTGCTCCATTCTCGTTGGATGATAGAAGCCTAATTTTCATCGAAATGAACACCAAGAATCTTGCCAAATACGTGCCATCTTATGTAGCTCACCTCGAATTGCTCTCCATGTGTCAGCACACGCTCGATTGTACGATGTATGACTTTCAATTGTTGTTCATCTTTTGGCTTAACAACTTGCACTTCTGATCGTGGTTTAGAGACCTTATCAATCCCATTTGAAGCAAATGGTTGGTTAGCCAAATTCTTAACCGTTTGATGCGGCGGTATATAACCGTAAATAATGCTGGATTACCACTCCACTGCCAATGGTCGTTATCTGAGCATTAAATGGAAGTCCTGTGGGAGCTGCTCCTTTATCTCGCTCCAATGCTGAAAAAATACGCCATTAACAAGACTGAATGGCTGATGCCAATACTCAAATGAACACTTACCAAAGATTGGTTGTGCCGGAAGTGGGACAGCTTTTCCCCAACAAACTCGAAGGAGGTGACCATGTAGATCCTTCCCATCCATGGCTTTGAGAGCCTTCTCTGCATCGGGCCGTTTCATGAAACTTATGAAAGCAGAATTGCGATTTCGTTCTTTTTCTTCCTGGCTTCGGGGCCACATTATCTTTACCGATGCTATTGGGCCGAAAATAGCAAAGTCTCGACAAAGCGATGCCTCATTGATCTAAAAATCAACAGTAAGCTTCATATTCTTTCTATCAATAATTGTACCTGCTATCATCCAACATACCGTAGGACTGATATTGCCTAGATAAAGGTTCGTAGTAGTCAAATCGCCAAGGTCATGAGATCCAGGTCGATCTGCAAAGGCTATTGTGCCGTGTTAATCCCCAGATTTTGCCTAGACGGTTTGCTGTTTTCTGCCTTAGAATTACCTGCTTGAAGAGTCAAACTAGGGCCGGGTTCTGAAGACCCTGTGGCTGACCGGTCCGCGTACATCTTTGTTGTCCGCGTATTCCGAAGTCTCCCTTCTCTATCCTCTTGTTCTCTGCAGAAAACAGTTGAGCACTACATTTGACAATTTGGTAACATTAAAGGCTTAGAAGTCTCACCGTTTGATTTCCTCCAAGAATGTATCCAAATTTCGTTTCTTTTGCAGCTTTGATGCTTTCAATGCCTTCTCCTTTGGAATCAAAATGGCGTCAAATGACGTGAGCCAAACTGTTCTACAAGTGTATTGAAAGTACCTCTTCTTCCTTTGTATTTTCTTCCATAGAAGGTAGAACATTTGTCGGCAAGCTCTGTCCAGATTTAACGAAAGGCATTGGTTTGTATTTCGAGCCTCCGCTTGTCGTGTTCGAGTTGTTGGCAGCTTTTAATGTGGATGTCAGTACTTTTGCTTCCGTCGACGTTACTATAATGATGAATATGCTACCTTGTAACATGGTTGAGTTCGATTTTACAAATGAAGGACCTATGCCTCCACTTCGGTCGTTCTCAAAGGAGGCTACAAACTCTTCGTAAACTTTTGCGGCTTCTTCCGATTCTTTCTGTCAACGGTGGTCTTCAATGAGCGACGTGGTCTAGCGGTGCAAACGGCCTATATGGTACTTCAATAAAAGTACCTTCTTTTTCTGTTCCAACTCTTCTTTATGGCGTTGAAATGGAGTCTTTTTGTGGACACCTAGTGAAAATGCCTGCAACTTAGTGTGGGCTATAGGCTTTGCAGGCTGCATTGCATTGTTAATGGGATCATGCAGTTCCAATGTAGACTGTGAAGTGTGGGCATTACCCTTGGAGGAGGACTCTCATCACCCGACTGTGATCCACTGTCTTCTCTGTCGTTATCTGCATTCATTAGCGAGAAGAAAAACGCCTGTCAAGCGCAAAGTAGCAACTTCCAAGGAAGTACTCTAACCACAAATTGAAGTTCCGAATGAGCATAAGCCACTCTAGAGACGGTTGATTGCAGTGAATTACACGTTTTTCTTTTTATTTGAAGTGGGAGGTGCTTTTTAAAAAGTGAAAAACCTAATCAATAAGTCTCTTGCGCTTAAAGAAGCGGCGAAGGTACATGACTTGCCAAGTTCCCAAGCTGACGAGAGTCAATAAAGTGATGATGCTGAACCATTGAACGCGCTCATTGGTGGATTCTATATCAGAAGATCAAGCAAAAGGGTTGATTTTTAGTATACCTGAATACATACTATCGTATTAAGAGATAATGAACATTACCATTGGTGTCTCTCATCTTGGCTTCGCGTCTCTTGAGATATTCCATCTCATCCCAAATTTCCTGGACGACCTTTTCCAGCTTGCGAAGCTCAACCTCTAAAGGTTCAAGCTTCTCTGCCTTTGCAATCTTGCTGTAATCCAAAGCTTCGGCACCAATGTCATAATCAACATCAATTGTACGTCGGTAGTTGGGGCCAGGGTTGAAACCTTTATGCATATGGAAAGTAAGAGGCAACATAGTTAGCCAGGGGGTCAGATCAACCATATTGCCCACTTAAACATACCATCTGAGAGTGTGTTAGTGAAGCAAACAAAGATAGAAGCATCGGCATGAGTGCTGAAGGCAAGTCTTGCGCCCTGTTCACCGACATCCCGTCTGGTAGCATACTTGTTGATGCTCTCACTGTCGTCGAAAATCTAAAAGCATTGACGGATGAGTTCACTTTGAAGAGAATAAAGGTGTGCAAATCAGCATGGTAGACCTAATGCCGATATCTTACCTCTAGATCGACACGCTGATTGTAGCCTTCGCCAACCTTCACGGTGACGATGACCATGGTGTTGTCGCCAACATGTTGAGACAGGCACTTTCTGTGTGCGAAAGCAGTGGATGATGGGAGTGCTTCTAGGTCAAATTTTATTGCGCTCACAAGACATGCTACTAATGACAGCAGCAAAAATGCAGAGAATCGCAACATGTTAGAGTTTGAAAGCCGAATGCTTTGCTTGGACGACTGAGTATGCCTTTTCTGTATTGGTCCCTGCTATAGCAAAAAATGGCGCGCGCTCATTGGCCGAATTGCTAACCCGCTTTTCCATGCTGCACTTCCTTGTCAAAGCAATTACGCCGTCGGTGACCAGGAGGCTCCTATCAACTACTGCTATAGAGCAAGGAAAGAAAGCGGCTGCTTATAGAGCTGTTGACGATGTTGTTCATTCTTCTCTATCAGTCATTGGAATTGGCTCGGGATCCACCATTCGGTATGCGGTAGATCGGATCAAAGACCGCCAGGACCTGGCCCACGTTACATATATTCCGACAAGCTTTCAAAGTAGGATGCTGATACAAGAAGCCAATTTGAAACTCGGTAATTTGGAGCAGTATGTACTTAAGGCGTTATTGATTTTGATGGATATATCGTGGCCTATGCTAATACTATCTCTAGACATCCAGCTATAGATGTTACTATTGATGGTGCCGACGAAGTGGATAGTCAACTAAACTGTATCAAAGGGGGAGGTGCATGCCACCTGCAGGAGAAGGTATTAAATGATCCTTTTCTGAGCCGCCAAAATTCATGTAGAAATATAAACCATGGTCACTCCTGTTAGATCATTGCATCCGCTTCCAAGCGATTTATTATTATTGCTGGTACGCTACCAATCTAGTAGAAAATGCCGCAGGGTGCTTTTACCATGAAGTTGTATATTAATGTGGTACTGTAGACGACAGAAAAAAATCCGACACTTTAGGAGAGAATGTAAGTGGATCATGATCTTGTATATATAATTCTCCCACTCATTTACATGATTTATGGTCAGTGGACAAAGGGAGTGCCTATCGAAGTACTGCCAATGGCATTTTCCGTGATACTGTTGCATTTTAAAACATATTTTCCTTCAGCAACACCAAAACTTCGCATGGTATGTCTTTCTACATTTAATTCGGAATTTTTACCGTCGCATCGCTGACACGTTTGACTGCATGCTGTCAGGCTAGTGAAAAGGCAGGACCAGTTGTCACAGATAATGGAAACTTCATCATCGATGTGCATTTTGGTCCTATATCTTCTCCATCCGACCTAGAAAATAAGCTAATCAGAATACCTGGTGTTATCGAAGTCGGATTGTTTTGTAACCTGACTGATAGTGCTTACTTTGGATCCTCGGACGGAAGTATACATGTGGAAAACAGAGGATAAGTCAGTCTGCTCAAGTATTATGTTGTCTCCCCCCACACTAGTTTATTGTAAGGAAATATCGAGAGAGGAGAAGTAGGAAATACATTATATGAGTACTGCGAAAAATTGTAAACTGATTCATGCATAATTTTTTCAACTGCTTGTCCAATATAGTGTGCAATATTCTGATAAGTGAGAACAATTCGTCTAGAAATCATCATCATCTTCATCATAAAATGCACGCATTTTACGTGCTACCACTTCATCTTCTGCCATATGGGCTTCGTCTTCGTCGTCGTCGTCATCATCTTCTTGAATACCGTTTAGAGCACTCTTGTCAATGGCTTTACCATTCGCTGTTGGTACGTCTCCAGATTCTTCCACAACAGCGTAACCAGCATATTCATCGCCTTTGGTAGTTGTCTGGTGCAGCTGGCTACCACCATAAGCAGAGTCCTTTTGAGTGGCAAGCATAGAAGGCTCGGGGGTACTGGTACGAGATTTGAGTGTCGCCAAGCTGTCCTCATCTTCAAACAGTTCATTGAAAATCGTACGATTAATTTTCCTTGATATCTTCTTGGACGCAACGAGTTGCTTTGCTGCATCTGCAGGTGATGCTGCTGGCCCGGTCGCAGCCTTCTTCTTTCTCTGTAAAGGAAATAGACATGAGATGGGCAGTCTATAGGTCTTGTACTAGTTCCGAATAAGTCTCTTACCGAGCCGGTCTTCTTGTAGACACCGTTCTTTCTGTCCATAATCTCTTTCTCCATTTTGATTCGCTGTTCTTCCAAATACTCCTTATTGAATTCATACCAGACCTTTGTTTTGATCTCAATTTCTTCGTCGTTGAGCAGCATGGCGTCAATTTCGTCATCATCAACGTCAGTGAGGTCGGTCCCAAAAGGCTCCTTAAAGTCTTCAGATTCTGGAAGAAACGCGTAAAAGTTAGATACAGTTTATGTGATCATGATACACTTAATAGTCTTAGAGTACATACTGAAGTTTTCTGCCGCTTTCAGGAAAGCTTCGTCTTTCATAAAATCATTGATTTCATCATTCAGCTCGTTGTCTTCAGCATCAAGGGATTCGTCTTTGGCTGATTGTGTGCTGCCTGTTTTGTCGCTTCCATCGGCTGTAGCTAAGGATTCTTCCACTGGATCATCAGGGGTGGTGGTAGTGGCATTGTCGTTAGCTGTTGATCTGTCTACACCCTCTTCGGATTGTTCAGCAGCAACGTTACTCTGTCTCTTTCGTTTCTTGGGTGGAAGCATCAATTGTGCGTCTCGAGCGGCTTCAACATTCACGATGGCTTCGTCCTGCATCAATGGCAGAGATGCCATTTCTGCCTTGCTTGCTGCTTCTTCCTCAAGTTGGCCATGCTTATTACGCTTTCGGCCCTTGCTAAAAGCGGGTGGATCAGCCTCTGACTCGAGCCATAAAGCTTTGAAATCACGAACAGAGAGTTGTCCTGAAGGAGTGGCCTTGAATTCATTCAAACTGAAAAGATTGTTCAATATTCGATCAAATCAAACGTATAATGAATTGACAAAAAGAAAGAGAACTCACCGTTTTGTGATGGTAATATCAGCAACCTTCACTACATAAATCATCTCTCGCACCGTACGTCGGAAGCCGTTCATGCGTGCGGCAATCAAAAGGCAAGCGCCACAGATACCAGCTGGACGTCTACCTGTTCTAATCCAATCGCGATCCATTCTTTGTACGAGACGGATGGCATCGGAGGCTACGCGAGAGGTATATTCGCCAAATTCTAGGCCATTAGCGAAACGGGATATATAGATAGAGGGATCGACTAAAGGCAAATTTTTGATGCATATAACTTGTACAAACTTGAGGAAAACTGAGCCAAGTACAAATACATTGATCTTTGAGAAGAAGCATGTTAGTATGAAATCATGTGTAGATGATAAAAATTTCGATAGTAGTACACTCACCTGCAGCAAATCTGAAAAGTCAATTAACATCTGTGAGCTCTTTTCTTGACGGCAAACTACATAAAGGCAAACGGCCGCTACGACTTCCGTTCGTCGACCCTTAGTGAAGTTATTATTAAGTGCCAGATTATAATATCGCATAGCAGATTCTTGATAACGTTCAGGTAATTTCAAAGCGTGGGCCAAATGTTGTGTACGTCTTCGCCCTGAAAGCAGCAGTAGCAATATTAGCTTGGAACACTTTGTTAATGGGTTGAAATCATTGATTATAGCCATTACCATTCTCCATAGCTTGTTCACGACCTTCGTGGCCACTTCGGCCTCTACCATACGGACCTGTCGTTCCTAGTCGACCTATACGCAACCATGACAACGTTTAGTATGCGCTTCTGTTATGCTCGTGAACAAAGTATCTACTAACCTTTATCGGCGGAAACATAAGATCCTTGTAAGATTGCTTTACCACCAGCTGTCTCTCCGAAAGTGACTTCAGCTACAATGCTATTTTCTTCCAGAACCTGAAATGGTCATTAGGACTCGGAAGCGCAGTGATTATCATAAAATGTCAAACAAACGATGTACATACCAAACCGCATTGCACGCAGTAGGTTGATCCTCTTGTAGGATCGTGCTCTGTTTTCACGGATCCGCAAACGCAGGGCATTGCGAGAAGTTTTGTTCAAAGTATATTAGCGAAAAAAAGTTTGCAAAAACAATTTTTGGCCAGTGTTGATTTCCCATTGGTACCGTCGTTTCTGTACCATCTGAGACGTCGCCGGTTCAATTCCTACTCTGGCCATTGGTATATTGAATACCTTAACTCAACATGGCCAAAGCGTCTATCCACCAGTATCTACGTAAAATCATCAACATAATTTAACCTAAAGTCATTTAAGCATCAACATCTTAAAACTAAGCGATTGCAAAATGCTGCTCAAGTTTAAAGGTGTCTTTCAGCCATTACCGTGTCCAATAACCATATAATCATAGCAGTCACACCGATAACCGAGCAAATTTCATAAGCTGTTTGGGACGTGTTGAAATTTGTGTGCCTTGCCATGGAAGAATTCGATTCAATATCAGAGGTGCATAGAATCTTTCAGTTTCGTCGTCAAAAGAAGAAGGTGCTAACGATATCTCTTGATGCGATTATAGGGATGCTTTTTGGTGATGCCCAAGTCTGCTCGTGGCAGGCCGTCCTTGAAAAAGCGAAAGCGTTCATACAAAGGTACAATGTGAATTCTACAGCCGTGTGTAGGAACCTTCAATCTCGCTAATCAAGTCGTAAAACTTTAGCCATTAACGCCACGAATTCACGAAGCTCGAAAATGAAACTTGGAGATGCTGGATTTCAACGGCTTTTTGACGGTGACGAACCGGAAGCTTCGATGCAGCTTCGATCCGATAGTTACGACAATAGCTGGCGACAGATGAAAAAAGTACTAGACGTAAGTACTCATGGGTGTAAATATGCACTGTTCGAGAATATCTGTCTAATTAAGTACCAATAGGACGTACTGATTGAAACAAATCAATCCACGTTCGATCAAATTGAAGAGTTTGTTACCAATGCCCATATACCCACATACGCTTCAACAGGGTAAAGTATTCTTCTCCAGGTTTAAACACGGAAAGCAGCATGTTTCTAAAGTAATGCATACAATAGAACTATGTCCTTGCCATTCCATGAAATCCCTACCGCATTGGTATTCGCTGGTAATTAGCTTGTTATATCATGGTACGACTCGATGTACCAACGACTAACATGTATATTTGCTTACTAGGTATCAATACGCCTGACCACGACAACCTTTTCACACAAATTGCTTCTCGCCTCATCGGTTCATCTGCACAATCCGACATGAGCACTCCAAACTACGTTGCATTGTTGCAATCGAGAGATTGCTCTAACCTTCGTATCACTATGCGAAACATGATAGAACAGTTCTTAGCTGCTGATGTAGATTATGACCACAGCGATGAGGATGTTGAGGAGGAGGAAAACGAAGATGCAATGGAACTAGGAGAGGATGCAGATGGATCAAAAAAGCCAGCAAATGACCAATTCAATTTGAGCACTATGAGAGGAAGAAAAAGCCGCTTGCCAAACTACGACATGCAAATTCTTGACGGCTGGTACCGCCATGTTGTAGAAAAGCAATCCAACTCATTCTCTCTACCTAATCTGGTGGTTATGATACAAGATTTTGAGAGTTTTGATCCCACAATCTTAGAGGATTTGTTTGAGATATGCAGGTAAAGTAGCAGGAAATAGCATGCATTACTAGAGCGCCTTGGCTGAGTTGTTTATTTTTATTCAGTGAATATCGCTCTCGACTACCTATTGTCCTTTTAATTGGTATTGCAACTTCATCCAACGCGTTACATCAATCATTAAGTAAATCAGCACTTAGTCTGCTACGAACTGAAAAGTTCTGGTTGCAACAAAGCGATGTATGGTTCAACAAAGTCATCGACGAGGTAAGTGGCCCTTCTATTGCAACACAGGTGCTGTTATAGCGCGATATAATGTATTGAATCAATTACGCCAAACAATCAACTATTAGCTGTTCATTAAGCCAACACAAAGCATTAAGCTGGGACCTCGTCCATACAAATTTCTGTTGGATCACTTTTACTTGTTCGACTTCTCCATTGGTTCCGTCATGGCTAGTTTGCAGGTATGGATTTTATTCTGTTTCTTTTACTTGTAACAAGTTTTTCCCTAACACACCTATGCTATGCAGTTCACTCTCATGCACCATTACTACGCAAATCCTCTTTCGATTCTCTCGCCCATGAATGACACGCCGGTTAGCAAAGAAATGCTGGTCAAAATGCAGGAGGATGGCCTTCTGACGGCTGACCACGCAACGCATATCAGAATGCTAAGATCTTTCCGCACTCATATTGACGATATATGCGAAAAGGATCCAAATGAGGCTCTAAGGCTTTTGGATGATGATAACTATCTTATGACTGAGGCGGTACCACGATTTCTAGAAGACCTGAATCGTCATCATATGCTATCCTATGCCGTATTCGAAATCATGACTACCATTCAAGCATGTTTCCCGACATTTGCTGGTTTGAGACGGTCCAAGCGTATGCTCTATCTTGAACTGCTAGAGAATGAAGACGGCTTAGCTAACAGTGAGATTGTTCGATGGCTCGTCAGTCTCGTCCGAAAGATGGATTTGGAGGCGCTGACAGGGTTACTCAAGTCCCTCTCTGAACTACTATTGGATGATAATGAGAGTGATTCCTCATTATGGTCGGAAGGCGTAAGTGACGAACTAGACTACAAAAAGAAAGTGGTGGGCTGGATGGAACGTCTCGGTATGGAAGAAGTCGATGACGACCAAGAAGAGGAATCGCTAGGTGATGAAGTCAAGAAAACCAAGGAGGAAAAGCTACCTGATTTAGACCTGGGACGGCAGACTAAAACTGCCAAACGAGTCAAAATGTACATAATCAAAAAGAAAGGTGGTGAACCGGTCAAGGTATCTAATGAAATAGCGGACTGGATTCAGTTGATCTTCAGGTACGGAGTGTCTAAATATAAATGCAACAGTTTTAACCCGATTATTGCATTACACCTTAATGACCAAACGTTCTTGTACCACCTCATCAGTCGATACCTTGGGTCCTTTGTTGCTTGGCCATTACATGAGCTGGTTTATTACAGTAACATCAAGCTTCATGAGAAGGTGATTATCATCGCTTTGTTTCAAACCTCCTTTTGTTATTGTTGTTGTTGTTGTAATGCTAAATCTGTATACTTTGTTTCAGTCATTTACTCCACAACCACGGGCGTCCATTCAGACCGCGCTAGGCCAGGCACAGCATTATATCAACTGCTCGTGCTGCTCCTCCAAAGACGTGGGTAGTATTCAACCTACTGAACAAGATACCAGTATATTGTACAAATTGTACCTCGAGTGCGGGCGAATGATAAATCTGTACGACTGGTTTGTCGCTTTTGGTTGCGTCATCGAACGGGAAAAAGGGAACAAGAAGGTAGACGAGAATGAGGTACAGGCTAGATTTATTCGGTCAGTTGCCGAACTGCAATTTTTAGGGTTCATCAAGGCCACCCAGCGTAAAACAGACCATGTCGTGCGATTGACGTGGTCGCATACCTGATGTCATACCTTTGCAAGCACCTGCAGAAAATAAAATATGATAAAAAAAAAAAACCAACCAAGTTTTGAAGCAAGTTCAACTGAGTCATGATAGTATGTGTGTAAATAGTTTGGATGAGCAGGTTGGATTAACATGTCGTTACTCTGGTGAGCTTATTAGCGAAGAGTGAGCTCCCCAGTGTTTTCACTCCTCCTCCTGGGCAATCCCAAATGCGGAAAGCGGTAACCATAACAATTGGCAAATTTAAGAATTGACTTGCAAAGTTTCCTATAGCCGTTGCCTTTTTATTTTTCTCTTTGCTCCACTCGGGTGTTTTTACTTTTGCTTGTTTTCCTTCACATCCGTCAATATACCCTCATGGCCACTACTGCCTATGTTCCTTGGTTCGACGCCGTGAAATCCTTCGACCTGCATGCCATGTCCGAAGTGTTCACTACTACACCGTCAGTCACTATGTTCCTAACCACTGAAAGTTTGAAAGACTTGGATAATGTGTTCGGAAAGTCAGATAACTGTAGGATGAACGCCTTGCAATGGTGTCTTTGGCATAGCTCTGGAGAACACAGTATCAAGCGACAAGCGGTGATTAGCTGGCTTATTCAGGTAATTCCGGAGTAATAAGGAGTTTGCTAAAAACGTTGGTTGTACATGACATTAACCATGAAGACGGACAAAAGAAATCTACTCCTTCAGAGTTGAACGACCATCGATGGGCAAATGGAAATACTTCCTTGCACATTGCAGCCTACAAGAACGAAATCGATAATGTGCAGGTTCTGTTGGATCACGGCGCTTTACCACACCTTACCAATGGATTAAATTTCACCGCCAGTGATATGACCACCCAAGAAGATATCCGAAGCATATTAGGAGATGCTAATAGTAGACTCCTCGAGCACAGCAAGACTTTGGATGCTGCATTGTTCAGCAGAGAAAATGTTTATACCACTGTAGTCAGCCAAAGTCAGGCCCCCCTAGTGGCGGACGCCATTACCAGTCACGGCCATGAGGCTCTTCTTGCCACAAATACCCCTTTACTACGCTCCATTTTACGAACTACACCCATTAGTAACGCGGACTTAAATGGATCAGTAGTACGAAAAGACTCCCAGAAGAAAAATGTCACTTTCAACGAATCCGCTGAAATTCGCCAATATATTGAACTTTCATCCGATGAGGAGATACTGCCAAAGAGACGTAGACGCGGTTTCTTCATGATGATGAATTATGATGATGCTAGCGAGGAAGAGGAGGAAGAAGAAGAAGAAGATGACATTGCTGAGGAGGATATGCTAGAAGATGGTATGGAAGTCAAGATAGCAGATCCGTCTGACGAATTGGATATTTTAGCCCGTCTGCAGCAGGAAATGCATGCCTTTGAAGAATACCAAAATCCTTCGAATTACGACTGGGATCAGTTTGTCGAAGACGAGAATGATGAAGACCAAGACGAGTTATACCAAGACAGTGTCGTTACTGAGCTTTCTCCCATCAGCAAGCGAATGGACCTGGAAGAAGAAGTACCTGAAATGCAAATCAGTGCTGAAGATTTACTTCTCTTACAAACTCTGCAAACTGGACATTCGGAATCCGTAGACTCGTTACTGAAGGAGCTCATTTCGGCACCCGTTGAAGAAAGCGAAGCCGCAGTTGCCCTAGATGAATTGGTCGAAAGACAAGTCAAACTGGTAGATGAAGACCAACTGCAGCGTGACGATACCATTCATGAGAACATATTCTCTTTAGAATCCGTACCTTCAGAAGAGGAAATCGAGAACGTGCAAGAAGTACCTATCCTTTCAGAGCAAGCGGATAAGCAAGAAATTGAGTCTGTCGAGGGAAATGAAGTTCAGGAGCCTCTTAAATCCGCGGAGATCGATATGTATCACCAAAGTGAAGCAGAGGAACCGCCGGAACTTGCCTGCGAACAACATGTTTCCATGCCTATGGAAGAATCTTGTTTAACTGAAGAGACGCCTTTGAATGACAATGCAGATGCCTCAGGAGCTGCAACTGTCGTGGATGAAGATAAATTAGCTTCCTGTGTAATCAGCAACAACGGTGCCGAAGATGATAGCGTCCTTCCAGAAACCATGCATGAGAGCAACCAGCCCATAGCTAACAAAGTTCTACCAGCCAGCCCTGGATTGGTCGAGGCTCAAAGCGATTCTTCTAATCAAGAGCCAACCAGCTTAGAGACACAACCTATCAAGGTACTCAGTAGCGATAGTTTGCCAAGTGACAAGAGCTTTATTTCAAGCAGTTGTGATGAAGAAGATATGGATGAACACACCCATCGCACCCAAGCAGTGGGAGCTCAACGCGAAAGATGGGAGTCAGATATAATGTCACCCATTGATAACGAATCTCCAATGTCGTTTGCTGCCATTTTCGCTGCTCATCAAAACAAACCACAGCCAGAGTTGAGAATCCAACCGACAACTTATATCGATCTTGCTTTGGCAAAAGAAGCGCTCAAAGGTACTTTGACTGATGTACATACCCCATCCAGCCTATCTACCGACATCTCAGTGAAGCCTCTTCCCGCCATTCCTTCCGGTGAACACTCTACAACAAGACGTCTTTCCGGTCTATTCCAAAGGTTATCTGACAAAAAGAGAATTTCTCCAGCTGTGAATGGCTTGAAGCAAATTTCTATATCAAACCTGAAGCGGTTGTCACTCGAACAATCACTACTACGGAAATCATACCTTTCGACATCGGAAGACAAAGAACAGAATGATGCAAATGCAAAGTCTCAATCTACAGCAGACAATGCCGCTACCACAAATGGTGACAACACCAACATATTGTCTAGATCTGTGACAAATGCTGGGAGATTAACAAAGTATTTTGCCAAGAATCGCAAGGTGTCCGTCGATAGCGAAACTTCAGATAGCTCCAATGTGCTAGAAAATGATTCACAGTCTTCCGGAAGTCAGTATGATACCCCACCCTCTTCACCTTCTCCAACTGGCTCATTTGAAGATGAACAAAAGAGACTCTCGGCGGTGTCTCAGAAATCATCTGTAAGACGTCGTCAAAGTATGCCTAGCTTTACATCCAGCAGTACTCCTTTGAAGTCAGCAACACGTTATGAAAATATGTCTTCAGAAAAGCTTTCATCCTCTCCTGTGAATCAAAATGCCGTCTTTGGTGATGCGAGCAAGCGACATTCGTACGGCTCCGATACCGACCTAGCCTCAAAACGATTTACGTTGGATGTTGCTGATCGCAACCATGCTATTGCTTTTGCATCCACCATGCATGAATCTTTGGAACGAATCAGTGAGGGTCAAAAACCCAAGATGTACACAGAGAAATATCAGCAAGATGTGGTTCATCTTTCTAGCCCTAAGGACTATTCACCTAAAAGAGAAGGATCAGTATCACCGTCATGGAAAGCAGCACGAGAACAACAAAAAGGAGGAACTTTTACCAAGAGTAGACAACGATCAGCTTCTCATTCTACCAAAGCTCCTAAAGATATCCCTGGAAAGCTTTATGTTCGTCTTGTTGCCGTTCAAGATATTAACGTTCCTGTGCCCAGCGAACCAACTTACGTACGCTGCATTTTGAACGATGGTACCTATGAGCACCTGTCAAAGTATGTGATGCTGGGTCGCCACATGCAATTTGACCAAGAATTCAAGATTTCGGCCAACTCTCGCTTGGACTTTTCTCTTTCTCTACACGTTCGACCAGACAGCCATGTCAAACCAAAACTTCCCATTACTAGACTCTTGAATTCTCACAAAAAGGTTGCCCCAGAGCTTTCTCAATTCGTCAATCGACAAGACGGCGCTATCGGGTCCACCAGAATTTCATTCGGGGATATGATCGAAGAATGCCGTAGCAAGCTGTGCTCTGCTACCTTTCCCAGCCAAAACGATTGGGCCATCGATGTGTCTAGGACCATTGACAAATTGGAATCCACCAAAGTCAAACCCAAGACAGTTGGAAAACTGTTACTCCATATGGTGTACATACCAGGCTCTAAGGATCGCCATATGGTAGGTATTTTGTCTTGAAACTCTGTTACTGGACCACTGATATTAACTTTTTCTAAATTTTTTGAAAATATAGAAATACCCTAGAGATATTGATGAATGTATGCGAGGCTTTGACGCCCGCCGATGGCATGAAAATGAATGGCGAACAGGCTATATGTCGCAGATGGGAGGCGATGTTAATGTAAGCTCGATTTCCAATATCTGCCGCCATTAAACCCCAATTTGAATGCTCATTCATTCTTTGCTGTTCTTATCAGTTCTGGAGACGCCGGTACTACAAAGCCGTCGGAACACGCTTGCTTGCATACCATGATACCCACCTGGCCCCCCGTGCGGCAATCGATCTTACCCAGGCGGTCCGATTGACTTCCAACGGTAGGCTTATTCTCGGCACGCCACAAAGTCCTGACCAGAGCAGCCGTCATGAAATGTCTGAAGAAGATTGTGTCAAGAACAGCTTCCAATTTACATTTTCGAATGGCGAAAAAATTGACTTCTTTTGCGACACTGAACGTGAACGTGATGTGTGGGTGAATACTTTGCGTGCCGCCATTGGATCTATGCCTCAATGGCCTGAGTGGCTCATTGACGGCAAGGACGATATTCTCATCTGATGATCTATTTTTTTTCTCTTTATGCCGTTTTTACAAATCTAGTTCCTTTGTAGTATTCTCTTAATTCCTTTCCAAGCCTATCTCTTTTCAAATTTTGGGAAGCATAGTTCTCTGCTCTCATGTAAATATCAAAAAAATTTGTGTTGAAAACAATGAAATCTTTATAACTACATTGGTACATCAGTATATACCTATAATATTACATAGCTATGGAAACAGTTTGGCAAGTGCGAGTCCAACGCCTTGTGAATCATGCGTCATGATACTTCTGACTGAGCGCATGGCTCTGACGACGTTATCTTCCAAGGAGTTATTACCAGGCGTGATTGATAAATTTGAGTTTGCCGATGAAATAGACTGCGGGGTGGAAGGAGGTGAGGCGTCATTTGAGGAATCGGACGATGCTATAGCGGATGTATTAAAGGATGTATTTATCGACGGTCTTGAGGTCGGTATCAAGTTGCCATAGCTCGGTAATTCATTATCATGCCGCACATCCTCAATGACTACCTCATCCCCATCTGAACCGACGGCCGCTCGAGTCCACAGAATAGTTGGAGGGGCCAAATCTGCTAACGCCCTAGCAGAGACATCTTTAAACGGCAATGTTGAGACGACTACAGGGTAAGCCAGTGACATGGTTTGCTCCTTTCTGTCGACCCAATGAATATTAACTCGTAATCGATGGCATACTTCTATTAAAGGTGACCTGACGTCAGTGAAGAGAGGGGTTTTCGGAGATGTTGTTTGAATTTCTGCCACTAAAAGGAGGTTAAAACAATGAACCTAGTACCAACAGCGGAGATGAATACGCATTTACCTATTTCTTCCTCTATATCACCTGCGATGTTCTCAAAATCATACTGTCGCTCTAAACATAAATTCCAATTAGTCCAAAGATCCTTAGACCTCGACAATCAAAAAACAAATTTCTACCAACCAAACGCAACCGTATTTTCGACCACAGGTTTATCAAACAGTGGTCCCATGGAAGTTGGTCGTTTAGGGTCATTAGAGCACAGCCTACCAGACTCTCGATTAGTAATTGGGAGATATTTTTGGCTCCTTCCGTTCAAAAATCCTCACCTGTAGACTGTCAATTGCTCGAGACGCACAACAATCTTGTTAAAGCAACCAAGCACCTTCCCATGTACTACAATCGATCCACTTTCCTGGCATACCACCTTGGGCGCTTCAAACTCCGCCGCCATTTGTCGTCTTGTGCCTCTGCATCTGGAACTAGGCATGTAAGCTAATAAGTCAAGACCCGTGACAAAGCTTCTTCTAACAAGGATAGGCTTTTCAATGTATATGGGCTTCATGAGCTTATTAAGAGGGCTGCTGAGCATAATTTCTACCGAGAGAGTGTATGACGTTTGCCCTTGGGGTAACGAGCAGCTTGCCGGAATATCACCAGGAATTGAAAGCTCAAACGGAACATCTGTGAGTCCAGCGGTGAAGCGAGTAGGTTTTTCTATAACATTGAGACCAGAGTCGGCTACTTGAACTGTAGGGTATTGGTCGTCCAAGTCATCCATAATTTTAGTTTGTGTCTGTCCAGTGAATCTCATGTAGATACGGGCTATTCGCCGTGGTTTAGCCAGGAAGAGCCGAAGCTTGCCCCGAATTACAAAGGAATCGAGGTCGGCGGTAGGATCACCAAACAAATCAATCCCTTCGGATTCCAGTAGGATCTCGGAGGCAATCATGTCTGGCATGGCTCACTGTAAGGAAGAGAGAAGAGCAGCCTTCAGGTTTAAAATAAAAAAAAACTTGGAAAACTCGCAGTGGAGAAGCTTTTATCCCGATCGCGGGAACTGGGTGAATCTCCAAACTCGGCCTCGTCACCATTTTGTCTTATTCTTCCCGTAGAATGCAAGTACACAGCCTGCAATCTTATACAGACAATGCGGTCCCATTACTCTGTTCCAGGCTGATTGTCGGCATATTGTCTTGTCTCTGATAGTTCATACACGCCATGTTGTAACTGACACTACATTCTCTTATAGCATCGTCTAATGTTCAGCACGATATGATAATGACTTTGAGTGAAGTACACTTGGATTTTTTCATTTGTTGTCAAATAAGGCTTCATTTTATTTCAGAATGTTTGCAACCAGCATATTTGCTCAAGCTCACCCCATGAGACCAAACATTTGTCATCGTACCTCCTTATGTGAAGCAAGGCACGCCAAAATAATTGGTGTACCCCACTTCTCATTTACCCACGAGACAACTTGTACAGATCATATTTTTTTTTGGATATATTTTACTTTTCACGGTCATTGACATAGTGTTATTGAATGGTTACCGTCGCAGTTTTCTCTTTGCGAAAGCTAGAATTGATGAATTGGAAAAAACTAGTGCGCTTCCGATGAGTAACAGTATCCTTGTTCAAGCGTGCTTCCAGCATGCTTCTGATAATTAATAGTCTCTCCAATGCTTTCATTTGTGCTTCTGATTGCTTTTCATCTGCGTCTTTGTTTCGAAGCGTTACCTCTCTGCTCTCCGCTACCTTGATAGCTTGCTTGATGGCATCTTTGCTGACCGTTGTTTGAAGCATAATGGTAGCGCTCTCTAAACGGGTGTATTTGGTCGCCTGAGATAAAACAGTTCCAAGTCGTGTTTTTCCGGTTTTCTGATCCAGGAACTCTCCAGTGATGGTGGTATCTGCACCGCTGGCAAGCATCCATTGTACAATGACATGAAAGTCTCCATTAGCAAGGAGGCAAAACATGGGGGTTTTGTTGGACGCATCTGTCGCATTGATATTGGCTCCAGCTCCGACTAAAAGCATGATGGATTGCAACGGCTCGGGACAAAATCTTGCAGTGTAGTGTAAAGGCGTCCAGCCATCCCCATCCTTGGCGTTCGGCGTAGCGCCATACTTGAGCAATAATCGAATTGATTCTAGAGGTGTTGGACAATTTAAGCAAACACTATGTAGCGCTTGAACTCCATATATATTGCGCGCAGTTGGGTCGGCTCCATACTCCAGGAGAACCTGAAGTGCTTGGAATGGCTGGCGATTCTGCGAGCAAAGTATGTGCAGTAGTGTAGAATCCTGCTCATGGTCTCTTTGATTCACAAACTCGCGAGCGTTTTTCGAATGATAGAGATGATACCTTAATGCAGAGACGTCAGCTACCTTTGCTGCTTGCCATATATCGATTGAAGGCTCCGTCGTATGATCCGGGTGATCCATGATAGCTATGATGGGGGAGGGGTTTGAATAATAAGTATACTAGTGTGAGTGTCTGTCTACCTCCCTGTTCAAATAATTAAATGCCGCTATCCTCTCTAAAAGCAAGACGTTCCCTCTGTTTGATTTCGTACTGGAATGGCCTCATCATTACCCTGAAACTCTCCCGCTTCATGATCACATCTCCCTCCTTTTTTCCAACGGCGGGTCGATGCATGTCATTCATCCAACTGAAGCATATGATAACGAAGCTAGTGAAGCTACGTACCTGAGACTGGCGAAGGTACATCACTCGACAAGCGCATTCCTGTTGTTGCTCTTCGACTGTTTTTTGGTGAAATAGCTTCCAACTCATCTATTGGCGTATCTGCAAGATCGACGTCCACAAACTTCTTGGATTTTCCGCTGGTAGAGATCTACAACCACTCTTAGCTTGGTTGATATAAAACTATGATCCGTAGTGTCAAGTTACCTTGAAAGCAGCTTTATGCTTTATGATAGGACTACCAAACTCATCTAGTCGACTTGACTTTCGTGTGCTTCTTCGCTCATGCTTTGTAATGATGTTAGCCATTTTTATTGCTGCGTAAAGGTTAAACGAGTAGATAAACGAGCGTTTGAGAATTGTGGCTCAAGGGAAAGTATCCGTCAATTTCAATGAGAACTCCCCCTTATTGAGTTTATCCAATTTAGAAAACACGGCACTGAAAAATGAGACCCCTTTGCTTCGAACGTGGTCCTCAAGGCGTAAAACTTGTATCAAATAAAAAAAGACACGAAAAGATTCAACTACCATAGTAAACTGTGTATTGATAGACGATGTGTGTGTGCATAAAATATAATGGCACCATCTCCTACGAATATTCTTAAAACCAAAAGAGCTGCTTTGAATCACAACCAGAACCTTTGTTATTACAGTACATTCTGTATGCCAGGTATGCTTGTCTAAACGTGGTGGGTGACTAAACACACACTTAACCCTCTCCAGCCTCTATACCTAGTCTACTAAATGTAGGTACAGTCATATATCTTATCCAGACATTAATCTCACAACTAATCATATCAAACGGTAAACCGGTTTCTTGCCCTACCGACATGGCCTAGCGTAGCGTTCACTGCCTGTAATGCGGAAATCAATCCATTCACAGCTTGAAGTGACTGAAAAGTCACGTGCTAACAAGCAGTGCATAGGCAAAATTTATCCACTGGTCCAATTCAGCGCAGAAGAAAAAAACTTGCCTTTGCAGAGTTGCCATAATCTATAATACATGAGGTGAGCGTTTATTCGAGTAAGGTGATTTACCTACGATATGTCATGCTTACATTCATTCTCTTAGCAGCAACAATCAGCCTGCAGAGAATTCGGCTCCACCGACATCAGCAGCCACAACAGCGGCAAGTACAGACAAGCCCTCCACTCCAGCGTGGTCATTTGGCAACACTGGATCACAACCTCCTTCCTTCCAATTTATGGATCCAAGTCTTGTTAGTGGTTCGGCCTTTAATACAAGGTGAATGACGTGATGTCTTATGATCACAACTGCAATGATTTGGCCTACTCACACAGTTTATCTGTTTGCCTCTTAGCAATGCCCCTCCAACCTCTGCGACCTTTGCCCCAGCTGCTGCTAGCACTGGTTGGTCATTTGGCAGCACTGGATCAGAAACACCAAAGTTGAATTTCCTTAATGCCTCAGCTTTGAATCGTGACATTCCCGAAGCAAGCAACGCGTCTTCGAAGAAGAGACGCGAAGCTCCCGAGTCAGACGAAGAAGACCCTGATAGGGCTGAGCGTTCAAACAGACGGACAAGAGGAGCCGCCACACCTTATGAGAGAGCTGATACAGAACCTGCAGCCGCCAATACCGCTCCTGTTGACAAATCACATAGACAGATAAAGACACCTGTGTCAAGGTTGAAGAAATTACAGGAACAACGTAGGTTACGAGGTGTAGGTGCTTCTTCGTCCAGCGATATTGCTTCGCCCTCAATTCCCAGTCTCGGCACGGCTCCTCCTGTCTCTACACCTGGAAAGCAAGCAAACCCATTTGCAGGCTTTTCGTTTGCTTCATCAGGAGAAGGTTCCCCAGCCATGACAAGTTCGACCATTTCGTTTGCATCTCCTAAACCATCATCCGACATGCCAAAGGAGGATAGCCAAAAAGTCAGTAAGGACGGTGAAGGAGAAAAGACAAGCGAAGCAACCACAACAGCCCCCAAACCTGCATTTTCCTTTAACCTTGGCAGCCAGGCAAGCCCATCCACATCAGCTACATCCACACCAGCATTTTCCTTCAAACCCAGTACTGCTGCTGCTGCATCCAGTCCTTTCTCGTTTGCACCTGTTAGTAAACCTGCCACTTCATCCAGCTTCAGCTTTGGCTCACCTGCCACATCCGCCCAGCCTTCTGAGCCTACAGCAGCAGTGGTAACTGCTAAGCCATCGTTTGAGCTTCCAAAGCAAATTTCACAAACAACGCCATCTCCATTCTCCGTAAGTAAGCCAGCAGAGAATTCGTCGGATACCACAGCAAAGCCTGCAAACGCATTTTCAAGCTTTTCTTTTGGAGCATCAACAACAACCGCAAGCACAGCGCCAACAGGAAGTCCTTGGGCATTTGCATCTCCTAAACCCGCAACTGATGCTCCCAAGAATGATGGTGGTGATAAAGAGAGCGAAAAGACGACTGCAAGCGAGCCGTCAGTGGCTGCATCCGTGCCATCCTTCTCATTCAAACCTGTTAGTCAGGCAAGTGAATCGGAAAAGGCAACGCCTGCTCCTGCATTCAGTTTCAAGCCTACCAGCCAAACGAGCGAAGCAACACCACCTGCATCTACACCTGCGTTTTCTAGCAAGCCCGCTGCCTCTAACATACCCAACCCGTTCTCCTTTGCGCCTGTTAGCAAACCCGCTACTACTACCACTTCTTCGTTCAGCTTTGGAACACCAGCAACATCGACCGAGACTTCCGAACCTATGACAGCAGTTGTGACTTCCAAGCCAGCTTTTGATTTCTCAAAACCCCAAGCAGGATCATCTCCATTCTCACTTAGTAAGACCGCAGAGCAATCTTCAGATACTTCAGCCAAGCCTACCACGACTGGATTTGGTGCATTTGGAGGTGCCCCGGCTAACACCATGTTTGGTTTCAAGCCATCTACCTCGCCTTTGCCATCAGCACCTACTGTAGAGAAATCGGAGGGACCTACCACAACAACTTCTACTGTCACTAGCAGTATTCCCACCACAGCTTCTCCTTTTGGGACACCATCTGCCATGGGTTCAGCATTTGGCTCCAGCACCGGTGGATTCTCTTTCAAGTCGGCTGCCGCACAGGCAGCTGAAAAGGCTGCAGAAGCGTCAGAAAAAACATCCACAGCTACTGTAAGTACACCTGCCATTTCGTTTGGATCAGCTGCAGTTCCATCCTTTTCGTTTGGTTCATCAGCAGCCACCAGTCAGCCAACTTCAACCGCTGCAATCAGTGCTACATCTGCTGCTGATTCGAAACCGGCAGAGGTTACACCTACACCAGCTTTCCCAGCAGCATCAGGATTTTCGTTCAAAACTACTCCTGCACCTGAAGCTTCGAAAGCGTCTTCCACCCCCACAACCAAAGCAGATACAGCACCATCGCCGTTCGCATTCACTTTACCCACCTCGTCAACTGCTCAACCAAAGACCTCGGAAACTGCATCTGTACCTACCTTCGCAGCTTCTTCTGGTTTCTCTTTCAAGCCTCCTCCTGCTTCTGAGCCAACTACTTCGACATCGATCCCTAGCACGAAATCTGAGACTGCAGCGCCAGCATTTTCCTTCAGCTTGCCGTCGTCTTCAGCAGCACAGCCGAAAGCTTCGGAATCTACTCCTGCTTCTACAGCACCCGCGTTCTCCTTCAAAGCCACTGCACCTGCTACATCAGAGGCTACCAAGACGTCGTCCATCTCAACGCCTAAGTCGGATGCAGTAGCATCACCTGCGCCATCTTTCCAGTTCAATGCAGCACCGAAGACTTCCGAAACCACAACTGCTTCTACCCCATCTGTATCAGCTCCTGCTACAGTTGGCAAGCCAAACTCTGAATTCTCATTCGATAAAATAGCTGCATCCATAGCTACTACAGCCCCCTCAAGCAGCATTGCGTTGTCATTTAATGCCCCCACCACCACATCTACTGGCCCTACGTCTATTTTCGCGCCTCTTGCTGCACAACAGCAGTCTAGCTTGACAACTACTATAACCACAACGTTCAAACCTGACACCATCTTGAAATCCACTCGATATATGGAGTTACCGGATGATGCCAAACACGAGCTTGATGAGCTCGAACGTATGGTACAAGTGGAGGTACAGATTTGTGATTATATTAAGGCTCGCAAGGCTGCCATGGACGAAAATGTGATTACCGGTGTCAGGAAGGAAGCTGATGAGATGACCAAGGTATGGACTACTTTTGCCAAAATGGATTAAGTTTTACTTTGATCGTTGTTAACCCAGATTCTCTTCCTATAGAAACTGGACGCATTAAATAATCGCCTCAATGGTAACATGGAGAGGATCCAACGTCTCTTGGGAGCAGTTGACTATGAGATGAGAAGTGCCAGTGTTGCGAAGATTGTCGTAGATACTTACAAGAACCCTGCTTCGGGTGGCAAATGGCTTTCTGGCCATAATGTGCACAACGAGTAAGTATACGGTGTACGTTTCTATATCTGTATGTCTATCACTCACGTTCTTGTTATTTTTCGCTATCTAGGTACTTTAAGCGGTTGGCCCACAATTTTGAGATTCGGTTGGAAAGATATAGACAAAGTATAGCTGTAAGTACTGGAAAACCGTGATACCTTTGCGTGCGAGCAATTACTAACAACAATCTTCATCAGGAAATCGAAATGACTGTGTCTTCGCTGGCGAAGGGCACTCGACAATCGCCACATGGTAAGGTTCTATAAGGTAGAGCTAAGGGTGGCAACTTTTCATATCTAATTCATCTCAATCTTTCACCTCTAGCTATTGCCGAGATTATGAAATACCAGAACAAGAGCTTCATTGCTGTAGCTGGGAAAGTAGCTGCAATTCATGAAGAGATTGACAAGTTAAAAGAGCTTTACGTCGGATCTTATGGAAACAAGACCATCAAGTTGGCTGGTAAGTACTTTTGTATTTTTAAGCGGTACTTATCACACATCATGTTCTAACTTGTTGCCTTTAGCCAACAACACCGCTGGTTCCGCTAAAAAAGCTCCTTCAACGCTTAATATGATTGCCAGTACGACATTAAAGCCATTCTCAGAGACATTCAGATAGCTTCCCTTAACTTTTAGAAAACGTAGCCAGCTCGCTTGCCATCATTAAAGTACATTTCACAGTCAAGAAATTGCCAGTCACAATTTTATTTTTTTGTGAAATTTTGCTGAGGTTGTTTCCAATAACGAATCCATTCCAACTCACAATGACCAAACGAAAGCATAATGAAGACTCTTCAAGTCATCCTCAAATCCAAGTTGCCGACAGCAAGCATTCAGCAAGTGGACCTGCACTAGGTAAGCTACTTGGTCGTCACTTTGCTCGCTTATTCACTTGCTCAACCATGAACTTTTTTTTTCTTCCTCAGTCACCTTTCCTGGAACACAGCCAGCCGACGATACCTTGTTTGATACATACAAGCATCGATCATCTGGAGATGAGAAGAAGAAGCAGAGAATTATAGCAGGAGAAACACAGAAAATCGAATTTGTTGGAAAGAACTATGGCGCTGACAGCACCTCGGACCTTCCGTGCAGGTAGGCAACATGGTGTATTATTGTTTCAATCCTAAGGCATCGCCCTCAACGATTTGGTTGCATTAGATATCTTGTTGCGGTTTATGATAAGAAAGACAACACGGTCACACTTCAGGAAGCACCAGTGATCAATATGCATAGAACCGTCAAGGCTCTCAAGGGGATCAAGAGTCAAGTCACAGCACAGAACTCGTTCCTCGAAGCTAAAAATGCGTTGGGTGATACCTTCGGTACAAAGAAGGCACGACAACAGATTAAATCCATGGAACGTAATGAGGTCAAGGTTGAATCACTTGGTCAAGACGTCGTCAGTACCATGCAGAATGAAATCGATGTTGCAGCACAAGCTGTTCCTACTGTTGACATGATCAAAGAGGATCAAGAGAATCAACGACCCGTACCACCCTATGATGCAACTGCCACCGCTCCAGCTGATATTTACAACATGGATGACATTGTCAGTGCCGAAGAGCTCAATGCCGTTCCTATCAAGGATGTTCTTAAATGCACCAACCTTCAAGAGCTCAAAGAACAACTACCCTACACATTGTCCGAGTTTGTCAACACGCGAGTGCTTTCTATCATCAATTCTAAAGGAAAGATTGATCGTAAGCAAGTCCGTGTTCTTGTGTATATCAGCTATTTGATGGCATATTACCAGATGCGACCCGTCTTGGCGAATAAGCGCGACGAAATCAACACTACTTTGTACAACCCTCCATCTGCCATTGTTGACAGAATGTTGGAACGTTATACTACTGGTGGAAGGTAAGCTTTGAAAGCAGGATAAGCGAAAATTTTAATTGGATGTTGACCCATTCCCACAGACGAACACCGTTGATGGCTGATAAGCTTGTTTGTTATATGATGCTGTTGTGCTTGATGGCCAATAACTACACCGTTATTCCCGAAACATTGGCCAGCGATTTGTCCCTCAAGCCTACCAAGTAAGTAACCCGCGTGTAATCAAAGTAATTTATTTTGAGGAACTGGATTTCTAACTAATATCGTGATTTTACCTACCAATAGGACCGTTAACTTGCTCAAGAACGTTGGATGTAAGGTTGAAATGTTGACTGCCTCACAAGCCGCCGAATTCGGAATCAAGGGTAAGGTTCGACGAGCTAGTCTCATTGCACCTGTCACCTTCCCTGTGGCTCGCAAGATACCTGAACGCAAGTAGAAGAGGAACAACACCTACCAACAACAACAATGCATATAAAAAATACACACTTCATGGTGGATCTGCACAGTGCGATCATAGAAAATGTCTTTCTTCCATGACCTTTTTAGCTTTAACTGAGCCAACCAAAAAATTAAAAACTACTTTTTATGTTACGACAGGACTGTGTAGTCGATGCAATTTGGGTATAATGAAAAGATGAATGTATGCATAGTCTTTAGGGTATTCATATAGCCAGCCAACCAAGCGTATTCAGACAAATACTGAGTAATGTTGTACTTTAAGCTGGCTGAGCTGAGAGCACTTTTCATTCACGTGCTGACACTGTCATTTCCATAAGCGGCGCAAATGACCTGACACACTTGTAACCGATTCACTCAAACGTCCTTCAATGTCTCGCTCTCAATTCGACGTTGAAGCAGAAAAGATTGCTGAGCATGCTCCTCCGTCACCGATCGCTCCGCTCAAGCAATCAGGGTCATTCTCCTCTCCTCGTACATTCGCTACACTGGACAGCATTCCAACTCCTATTTTGCGCCTATTGACCCAACTGGCCCCACTTTTGCAACTATTAGCCTATGTCATAAAGCTGATCAATTGGGAAGCCAATAACGTATGCGAAACATTGTTACTTATTGCAGCTTACATATCGATCTGCTTATGGACTTCGTATATGATCATGTACGGCTTGCCGCTCGGGTTCATGGTGTATGGAGTGATCAGTTGGATGAACAACCGCAAGCGACAAAAGAAAACCAAGAACAAATCAAGTGAAGAAGGATCCCAAGCTTCTTTGGATGTCACGCTGGATAATATAAAGATTGTCAATGGCCAAATTGCCCAACTTCAATTATGGTATGCTGATCATCAATTAGACTGGCAGAACAACCCTAGTCAAGCTCGACGAAAGCTCCAAATCGGCTTTGTCTATGTTGCCCCCATATGGGTGGTGCTTTGCTTATTCTTCGGTCCATCCACTCTTTTGGCTGTTTTGGGTGTATCATGGGTTATCCTCCGTAGCCCATGGGGTAGAGTATCCGTATTTGCTATTCAGAAAACCGCCATTGTTCGACATATAGTGGCGACGTTGGTGGGTTATCTACTGGCCATCGAGATGGCTTTACGAGGAAAGAAGCGAGTTCGAACGGTACGAGAAATTATACGGAGAGCTCGTAAGGAACGGGGAAAGGCACTTGAAAAGGCGTCTACGCAAACTATGCCTGGAGACTCGTCGGAACTTGTGTTTAAATTTGAAATTTATGAGAACCAGGTAAAAGGCAGGCCGAAACTTTCGTCTCGCGCCATAATGTTTGAAAGCTAAACATGTCATGGTATTTCAGAGATGGTGGCTAGGTGTGGACTGGACTAGCAACATGATGCCTGGAGAGCGTACCCCATGGTAAGTCGCTATTTGTGTACAGTTTAAGAATATGCCGGCTCCTTCTAAATACACTGCAACAGGACGGATAGCCATAATGATCCCATACCCTCCAAATCTGCCTTCCACTTGCCCGAACCCACAACCACGGTCACCGAGCAAAATGATGAGCACATCATGACTGTCAAAGAATGGAAATGGGTTGAACCCGATTGGTGGGTAGATATGAAAGGTCTTAAGGAAGGACTCATTGACGAAGACGGATGGCAATATTCAAATAACGCATGGAAAGGTGCCACTGGAAAAGGCGGACTTAAACAATTTACGAGACGCCGCAAGTGGTGTAGAAATGCCAAACTTGTTGAAACTGTTTCGATGAAGCAATCAAACAACAGTACAGACCGAAAACGCTTGAATGCTACCAAGCAAGCAAGCGAAGAATCTTGAATAAATTAGCAAAATGTAAATTACCACCGACTTTTTTTAAAACGGGATGAATTGCACCGAAGGCATGTGTTTTGCGGATGATCATAGCCTTTTTATGCGTATTGACAGCATTGCGGGTTATCAAGCAAGACGGCTTGTGTGTGTCAGTGACTGTCTCAGCCAGTGTTGCTGAAAACAGGAGAGCCTTAAAGGGATTTGTCACAGGCACTTATTTCTCGCTTCTACCCAACTTGTTTCGTAATCTAGCCGTCACTGAATTGCCGCATAACTGTCACTTGCTGCACTTTCTTTGAATCCGATATTTTCAAGCAAATTGTAGCTGATCCTTTCCCCTCACTCAGCTCAAACTGACCGTTTCTATAAGATAGATCCTCCCCCACACTCTCCGCTTGCATTATAACAATGTCGAATGCAACGTTATCGCCCAGCTCCGCAACCACCAGTGCCAACTCGAGCGCCACATCCGAACCAGCTTTCCTGGATAGTATGAACAGCTCCGCCGGTTGGAGTGAAGCAGCTAGATGGGCTATTAATGCCGTGGTGATAGCAGTTGTCATAGTAGCGTCAGGCTTTTTCTACTACCGGTACCGAAAACTACGAAGGATGGCGATGGCCCGTGAACTCCCCCCTGAACTTGCAGCCGATGCCAGACGGCATACTGCAGCAGGAACCCTTTCAGAGGAAGATACATCTGTGTTAGATCATGAACAATTGGCCATCCTGCCAGTTTCCAAGTACGACCCAGATAAAGTTCGCAACTCAACTTGTCCGATATGTTTGGAAGATTTTGATATTTCACGGCATCACCGTAGGCGACATAGTAATCAAAGTATGTCCAGTAGTTTTACGGAAGCCGATATGGTTGATGCTATTGTATCCAAACCACCCAGTGTGTTATCTGTATCTCGATCCTTCAATCGTCCGCAAACGCTTGACGACACGAGTTCGACTGCTCAACGTCCCGCCAATAGGCTCATTCGGCGACTTCCCTGTGGTCATGGATTTTGTGTTGCCTGTATAGGTATGCTCTTTCGGATTGAATTGAAATGATATAATTTTTATTGAAATTGACCTGGCCATCGGCTTTTTATCACAAAAGATCCATGGCTGATGCAGAGATCCCGAAACTGCCCAATTTGTAAAAGAGATTGCACAACGTTGTTTTTACCAACCAGAGCAAAATCTGAATATTCGTATGAAGACTCACGAACCAGAAGATGTGCGTCACCTACACATTCTCCGTCCATGCTTAGCTACAGCTATTATCGATATGGGCGACCGCAAGACGACTCGTCGCATTTATCCATTCAAATGGATTCCATTGCTCCTCGTCCCGACAGTGTGATAAGCAGTCAACTTCTGAATGATGAATCCGCTAGCTTGGGACGGCCACAGTCTGTTGCACGACCGGATACTGCAAGCGAGCGAGCCAGTGAATCTCAACACCGACGATCGGAAAGCGATACATCCTTTCCCGTTCCCAATAGCATAAGGAGTCCCCCCGAATCATCCCAAGATATTCACTAACAACACACCCACTATTTTCTTACTCACTCGCACTATTTTTCTTCACATCATCTCCTCCCCTTGCCGCGCGCATTCCACAGTTACCCCTTTCTGCATATTGTCTTTAATACAAACCTCGGTTTAGCCATATCTGAGCTCGTATGTCGTACAGTTTCAATGCATTTGTATAATAAGAAAATATTACCAAAGTAGTCCAAGCCTTATTGTAACGGGACCCATTCCAATCTCGATATGAACAATTCTACATGGTATTGTATATGCACATACCGGCCATTCTTGCGTAGAATAAAGTTACGGATATTGGAAGTGGGCTCGCGATGACCTGGTATTGGTATCGTCAATACTTTGTTCAGGGACCGACCCTGGTGCTTTCAAAGGAATCAATGCGATTGATAGAGCGATAACAGTTATCTGAACCTACAGAGCGCTTCTCAAAACAAGATCATGACAACAAATCGGATGGAGCATATATGGTAAATGAGTTTCCACATTGTGAGTGGAAATAGGTATGAAACATCAGGTGGAATTGACGCTGTCAGGCACCAGAGCCAACAACTTTCCATCCCATCACAGACTGCAATCCATGGAACATAGTGGATAACGTAACCTTTTATATGTTTCAAACAAAAAATTATGGTCATCTAGAGTTTTTCGCGAAATAGAATAGAATGCTGGCAGAATCTCTTGGGCCCTCGTTCATTAGGTGTGGAGGTTTGAACTAGAGATTTGACCATGCTATATAGATATATATAATTATGATTCCATGACCCATATGGGATTGTTTATTTGGAGGGGTACTTGACAGTTCCAGAGCAAGTGGAGCCGGTAGTGTTAACAGGGACGTAGGTGCTGGTTCCCTTGACATTGAAGTTGATTTCAATATCGGTCAATGTACCGGAGCTACAGTCGATCTTGGCAGTGACACCGAAGGCAGCCTTGATGGCATTTTGCATGGCGGTGTAAGTGTAGGAGCCGCCTGGGGTGATTTTGGCATTGGCCAAGGCAGTGTACAAATCGTATTGAGCGCGTAGGGCAAGGACCTTGGTGAGATAATCAATCACATCTTCATACTGAGTGTAAGAAGAACCGTAGCACGTAGGAGCCAGAGTGGAAACACATGTTCCTATGCAAAGGATGATTGGTATGATGTACGTGCTATGACGGGAGAGGGTTACACTTACCGTGCTTGGACCATTCGTGAGACCAGAAGTCGTTATTGGATCTGCATGGGGCGGTTTAGAATAGAGCACGTTTCAAGTGCACGTGTAGGGGACTTACTCGGCATCCGATGGCCAATATGTCTGCATGTCGGAGTACAAGCTGCTTGGACCATACGATTCAACGATGCTCTCCACATTGGTGTAGACGCGGGAAGAGTCGCATCCACTGGAGGGAGCATAGGCACCACTGCACGCATCTGGCCACAGACCGTGCAACGTGAAGGCGTCACTTGGTCCGTAACCTGGAACCCACTAAAAAAGGCAAAATTATACCCAAAATTAATTTTTATCACGTAGAGCGAAACGAGCTTGGCCTTTTGCCATTCAATGATGCAGTGGAACATAATAGGCATCTTGTATGACGTACGGAACGAAATTAAAAAATACAGTACCTGCTGGACCAGAACGACGAGACCATACTTGGGGGAGCAGCAAGTGTTGGTGCTAGCGCTGCTGGAGCACGACAAGGCAGTTGCTGAGAAGAATGTATTGGTTACCCATTTGGTGCCGCTGGGAGATAAATATGAGACATCACTTACTACTGCAAGCAGCATCCACCAGAGGAGTAGCGAGCATCATGGCAGCAGCCACGGAGAGCAAGATAGATTTGAACATGGATGGAAGAGAGAATGTAAGTTTCGGCTAGACAGAGCAGGAATCGATATTTATACGGGGATGATTTTGTTATGTTACAGTGAATGGATCTTAACAAAATTAGGCACTTTATTCCGAATTTGCATGCTCCCGGATTTATCCATGAACGAGTTTTATGAAAATCAATATCATGACGCTTTACTTTAAACAATCAAGTCCCATTGTTACACTTGCATGGTAGAATCATAAAAGGTTTTGTGGTTTGACTGAATCGGTGGGATGGACGATCCGCTAAATGAACACTGTTTGTGTTAAATTTCAGTTCAAATGGGTGTGCCAAACTAACTAGAAAGCAAAAACTGGCATATTTTTGCCCTGGATAAGGTTGACGATCGAGATAAATGCCGCGGAAATTACCTGTGGCTTTGGGCGGGCGGAGCGAACGGGAATCTTGGTCATCGTGAAAGCAGTCAGTCTCAGACGGTTCAGCACAGGTTTATAGAAGTAAAATATATTACGGGGTGTATCACCATTTTGATTGGTACGTAGACCAAATCGAACCATGGCACCTCTGTGATTCAAAAACTGTGATACTAAGCGTTGGATGATTTCATCGAGGTACAAAATTTATGTGTGCGCCATACCATTGGAGCCTATGGATTTTTAGATATACATTATATAAAAAAAGGGTAAAACAAGCAACAGCATGTTAAAATTGGTCACTTGAACAAGACATGACTTTGAGGCACTTTCTTATTGTATGATCTACTAACGGTATGTTTGACAATTTTCCAAGTTACCGCAAGACCAACATGGTCAGCGGGGAAACGCTGGCCGACATTCACTTCTCCAACCTCAGATAAAAAAATTTTCAACCATCTTTGTACCTATCCACGATAATCCCATTTGTTTCTGCAGTGTTCTATTTATTTCTGCTGAGCGTTGTGCTGACCAAACGCTGTACCTACATAGCATTTTGGGGGGAACACCCTAGTCATTATATGAATATTGAAGATGGTGTTGTCTCATTTTCTAAAGTCAACTTATAGCTAAAAGAGTTCCTGAATAACCTTGTTTGCCACAACTTGCCTTCTACTAACCTACCACTCTCTATGTTGTGCAGGTAGAATCCTGTTATTCAGTGTGCTGACCATTCAAGACCCAGCAGATTGGCTTGTTTCAATCCCTGTTGAATTGAATAGGATACGTCAGAACAATGAGTTTAAAAGGAACCGAAACATTTGTCTCAAATAACTTTTACAAACGAATTACTGTGGCTCTAAATTTCAGCCTCAGCGCCAATTGGACTGTGGGAATGTTTGGTTGTGTACGGCCTAAAAGAAACAGGGATTGACTCTTTTGCTTATTTTTCCTGTTTTCTTTTTTTCATTCCAACCCATCTTATTCTCATCTGCTCGTCTACATTGACTGCATGTCGTCGCAGCTATCAGCGAATTACTTTCAGTATAACCAATCCGAAGACTATATTCAGCAGCTGGCCGGTAACTCTCCCCTTTACTCGCCTTTGCCCACCTGTGGCGACGATGGTTTAGCCCTTATGTTACCAGACTCTTACCGAACAGCAAAGTCTTCTCCCTACCTTGTCAATCTGTTCACTACTCATGACATGTCTTCCTATCTTGCCCATGTCTCTTTTACAGATGACATATTCGGTTTGCCCATGCAACTTCAAAAGCTCTTGAACGAGGCCAAAGAAGAGGTCATATTTGCGCAATCGTCACCTGGCCACTCGCCTGAACACCGCGCCCTCGACCGCCTCAACATGGTGAGAGATCATGTACTTCATGTTTCTTGTGGTGATGTGTCTGTGATGGCAGAGAATATCAACAAGGTCGTTTCCGATGATCTGCTGGAACAGCTCTGTGGAATCTAAAACATTTATCACCCTCATACCTGATGAGCAAACGTACTTGTCATTCTGTATACTTCCCTTTTTTTGTTTCTCTCTTTTGCTTCTTTGTCTTTCGACGAAAAGTACTCCAATATCGTACTTTTTGTTTTTTATTTTTTTTTGTTTGGTTGAATCAAACACGTCTTCGTACGTCCACACACCTGACAGTCATTGGTTCAGTCCTGATATGGTAAACCCTTGCTGGAGATTATGTTCATTGTCATTATCCATTTGCATTTTTTTTTTATAGCTTTCAACCAAACATCTAGTCCTAATAAAAAGAATGAACATACATTGACAACTAAAAATCAACTACATCAACGACAAATATTATTTAACGTCGTTTCCCATACGGAAAGAAAGCATTGGCTAATTTCCAAGCAGTCCGGAAATTCAGCCCATAAGCCTTTTCTTCTTGCTGTGCTCTACGTTCTGCATCTCTACGAGTCCGGTCAGAGACTTCAAATATACCTTCTTTTACAACCCAGTCTTCCAAGCTCTCATAGTTCCATAAATTGGCTTTGTAGAATGTGTCTGCCACTCGTCCTCCAATAGGAATCATGCCAATAAAAGTGTCTGTGACAATTGTATCAGCATTACAACGTTTTGACGGCACCACCCAAGAAATTTTTATATTCCGCTCTAACACCTACCGATGATGATATTAATGAGCATTCGTCCTAATAGCCATAGTGGAATACCAAACAAGCACGAGAGGTAGACTTGATAAAGAGCTGCAAACATGCCGGCAAAATCACCTAGTACTGGTATGAATCCCTGCAAACCGGTTTGTTGGTTAGATAAGCCGGTGCGCAAATCAAACCAAATCAAAAATTCCCACTCACGGCAACGGTGTCCAAACCGATAGGAATAGGACTGTATGGGACGGCATTGTCTAACCAGTTTGCGACGGTGTGTACTTTCTTCAAAAGCTTTTGTGCTTCGGGTACCGTCATGCTTTGCGCCGGCGTACGTCGCTCCAAGAACGGGAAATTCTCTTCGAACTCAGTCTTGTGTTTCTGAACGCGAGGTATCTTGAACTCTTTCTGTGTTGTGTTGTTAGTGTTTCGAAACGCCATGGTTGGTTGGGTAATAAAGATAAAGAAGAAGTAGTCGCGAAGTTGGATAGAAATAGACAAAAAAAAAAAAGATGACGAGAGAAACCCTTCACCAAAAACGTCATGAAAGCAAGGATATTTTTGGCACCCAGCTCAGTTCAGCCCAACCTCAAATCAAGCACAATACGTGGCCATCATTACCACTTTCTCTGGGACACTTCGTTGTTGCCTTAAGGAAATAGAATATATCTATAGAGAATACCTAGGATGATCAAGTGCAATTGTCTGCTTTGAGAGAGAGATGACATGGGTCAAACAGTTCGCTTTCACGTGCACATGGATGCAAAACCATGGCTATGGTGATGGATTATACTAGATGCATCCATTCCTTCCCATTTGGTGAGTCAACCATAGGTGTGTGCTGGATGTATAGTTAATGAAGACTGGTTGGCAGCTTGCTGTTAAACTCAAGCTCCGCCTGCCTGCTTTCAAAAAAATCGGTTCGCGTCCACAACCGCGACTCTCCCTCCTTCGGCACGCTATGAATGCCATTCATCCGCTTGCAAAGGAGACGGTCCGATTCCTCAACAGCGGGCAGGTTATAACTGATCTCTCTACCATTGTGAAAGAGCTAGTCGAGTAAGCATATCTGTTACTTATACATATACGTCGGAAACCTCAGCAACTACCTAATGGCATTGCAACTATGAATTCAACCCATGTAATTAATCCTGTAATAAACTTCGACGCCTTTGCTTCATTAGAAATGCTCTTGATGCTAATGCTAGTTCCATCGAAGTCAAGTTGGTTGACTATGGTCTTTCTGCTATAACTGTAAGTACCCTTGGATACCAAACGGTTGTCAACGCTACACCTCCTCGTGTCCGCCAATTAAAAATTATTTCCCCCCTATCGCAGGTCAAGGATAATGGATCAGGTATCCCAGAGTCCGACCGCAAGCAGATGGCCAAACGATTCTGTACCTCCAAGCTAGAATCGTTTGAAAGCTTAAACTCGGTATTGAGTTATGGATTTCGAGGTACGAGGTTATACACTAGCATGTTCCTCTAGACAGCTGAAATTAAATGACTGTTGATTCTGCAGGTGAGGCGTTGAACTCAATATGTGCTGTTTCCAAAGAAACACAAATCGTTACCAAAACGAAGGAGGATGCTGTAGCCAAGCTGTATGAATTGGATGTCACCGGTTCCATCGTTAGGTACATGAACAACCGAGCTGTGTCGCATTCCTTAGTGAGATAAAGCTAACTACTTACTTTTCCTTCTCTTCTAGCGAAAAATCAAATGTAGGAGGCATAGGGACGACCGTCACTGCAAAGAAACCTTTCTACAATATCCCTGTTCGTCGACAACTGGCACAAAAGAATGCTCCTCAAACCGCGTCAAAGATACAGGATCTTTTGATCGCTTATGGCCTAGTTCATCCCAAAGTTCGTTTTGTGCTTCTTCATACACAGGAAACAGTTGGAAACAAGAAAAAACCGCAAAATTGGATCAAGCCTGCTGTAGCGGATCAAATGGAGGATGTCAAAGTCATCTTTGGCAAAACTTTAGCTGATATGCTCGATCACGTCTCCATTGAGGAAGCATACAATACGGGCGATATTGATAATCCGCAGGAAGAAGCAGAAAATTTGGACGATGAAGCTATCCGGTTGGATGCTGTGCTTCCGATTAAAGGTTCAGGTAAGAATCGAGATCCGTCTTTACATGTGAGCAGAAATATGGGGACTGAAGGTGCCACTTTAGATCCCATCATTGTTTGCAAAGGCGACCATGTTTATATCTACATCAACAGTCGACCAATACAAGCTTCCAAGTCTGACCTGAAAGAGCTGTTATCACTAGTACGGCACATATTTCATAATGCCTCTGATGAAGGTGCACTTTTTTTATAATATCTTTGCAGGCGGAGTAAATGCTCTTACTAATACTGTCAGTGTGCATAGACAATTCCCGCAAAACACCATTCATTATGCTTAACATATGTCTGCCACCGAACCAATACGATGGTAAGTAGTTTAAAAGAGAACCCTGCAAGAGCGTATGTCTGACTTAGTGGCGTTTTTTTTAGTGAACGTTGAACCTAGCAAGAATGCCGTCCTACTGCATCAAAAGCAAAGAGTGTTAAATCTTGTAGAGTCTCTACTCGATCGTACATACTCCAATACCTCTAAACAACCAGACCTTGCGGAAGAGCAGCAACTTTCGTCCGATATAAATGCAACACCAACAGAGCCCAACAGCAACAACACCGCAATTACAGACACTTTTACTACTTCAGAGACAGATCCAACATCGAATGCAACGCTTAGTACCACCATGACAAGCATACTGTCGAACCAACAAGCGAACGAAAGTTCAATGTTGACTGGTGTAACAACCATTATCGATTCCGATGATATTGGATTATTGCGCACTTTGTCAAGACCGCATGATGCACCTCAGAAAGCTACTTCTGACACTCACATGCAGCAAGTGAGATCTCCGCGTGTGGATTCTACGCCATTGGTTGCAGCAAGGGATTCATCCACCAACACGAGGTTGCAAGAATGGAAATTTAAGGGAGGCAATAAACAAACCAGTGGCGGCGGCACTGACATGGAGCAAGAGCACGAGGAACCTCTGTTCCCATCGCGGAAGAGGCTACGTACGGAAGAAGCATTGACAAATTCATCCATTCCTCTAACGTCCACCAATGAGCCATTGCCCAAACATGCAGTCTCGGCTAGAAGGAGGCCAAGCCATGAGGACCATTCCACAAGCGCCTTCAACAGCTTTGATATCCTTATGACGTCTCGTGAGCGACTAACACGTCGACCTGGCGGAGTAGAGCATACTGTCATCGAAGGACCGAGACAAAGCTCTCTATCGTCGTATATCAATACAAGTGACAAGCGTACTGAAGCGTTGCCATTGGAAAATAGACCAGTCTCTATTGAACGACCCTTGGTACGACCCAGTACGCCAATACAAAATGTATTACAAACACCCGCTAGACGAAGGAGGCAACATTTAACACTTATGGACGTTGACCATGAGCTTGTAGAAACTTTGAATCAGACCATGACGCTGGACGTCAATGTATCTCGCATTCACCAACGTTATCGATTGCATCAGACTAGAATGACTAAGCTTTACCGGACCCCGTTAGGCGAATACAAGTCTCTCAGTTCTCAAGATTCGACAACCCCTGAAATATGTCGCTATGTTACATCACTTGAACATGATTTGGAAATCTATGTTTCTCAATCCTGCGAGCCGAGCTTAGGAACCATAGTCGGCAAAGTAGCGGTGGTAGACTCCGAAAGGTAAGGGCAAACATGCAATGGCAATCTCACGTGTATAACTGACATTGTTTGTCAACCCGCTCTTCTCAGTGCGAAATGCGAATTACAATACCAGCATCTAATGGCTACAAAGGACCTCTCCAACAGCCTATCAGGAACCGAGGAGCCTTGTAATCTCCTTTTGAGGTTAGTGAGATGTATTTAATTGATTGTCAGTAAACGCACGAATGGTCTGATGTTTAGAGTTCCTTTCTCATGGTACCAGCGATCAAGAACAACAGACGTTGAACAGTATGGCTCAGTCCGACGACGGTATTATTACAGATGCACGACTTACTATGAACGGTATTCTAGTCCAGTTGCCAAAACAAGGTATGCACGCCGTCCAAAAGTTCAGTGTGGTAGAGAAAAAAAAACACCATGGGAGAGTGTCGATGATCATAACTAAGCCTGGCATATCCTCAATTTCTGTTTATAACAGCCACCGACCCAACTATAGCGAGATTTTCAAGTCTGACTGGTGTTGAAGAGTTGCAAGAAATCTTGTGGCTGATTCAAAAAGGAGAGAGAGACGTGTGCGGGTGCCGACCAGGAAAAGTGCTCCAGAACTTTAGGGACACGGCCAAGCAACAGCCCTGGAACAAGCCATTCTCCATTGAAGTATTTGGCATCGAGCCCCGAGCTGTGTTGATGTTACCGTGGTGATCGTAACCATATTGTTGTGTCCTCGTGTAATGTGAGTGACTCTCCATGCAACCTACCCTATGGAAAAAACCCTGTCCATGAATTTCCTGTCAACCGCGCGAAAAGGGACTGTAGATAACTTGGGTTAATTAAACTACCAAACACTCATTAAAGAGACCGCCAAGCATAAAAGAAGGGTGAAAAGAAGCGGTCGGTGCTGCACACGTTGTGGTTATATCGGGGATGTACAAACAAGTTCTTTCGTGGCGTTTCTCGATGTAAAAAATTTCAAGTTTGATGCCACAAACAGCAACACACGCTTGCTCAATGGTTGAATTCAAATAAAAATATTGGGCATTTTCCTTCCATCCTGTTCTCTTCTTCTCTGTTCACGCACTTTTTCCTCCACAATGTCCGTCCCTCTAACAAATGACATGCTCGGCATGGAATGGGACGAGATATTTTCACAAATCATCTCGTTAATTTGTATCAGCGTCTTATCCATCTTATTCGGCGCCAAATCCACCATAGAAAGACTTCGACATTTGACGTACGCTCGTTTGCTAGTGCTGTTGATTTACATTGCTAGTTGGGCGTTTACGACTGCGAGCACGATATTGGTGGCGACAAATAATTTCAACCAAATATCATGCACCCTGTCCATCCTCACCTGCGACGTATTCTACGCAGGCAGTAAAATTCTCATCTACGCATGGTACCGATTTTCTTCTCTTGCATAAACATCGAATGCTGCAGCAGCCCATTAATGTCGCTCTTTTTCAGGCTCATCGAACGTATTTGGGTCGTAGAAGCCGTGAAGACCAGACGTTTGAAAACCCCACTCTATCGATTCCACATCGTTTTACTCATGCCATACTTTGTCATTTTTTCACTGATGGTAAGGTATCTGGCGTGGTGTCGATCGATGCCATTGTCATCTAACCTTTTTGGTCGTCTCGACAGGTTGTCTACCGTGAAAGTTATCTGGAAGAAAATGGTGCCTGCACCATTGGCTTGCAACCTCCTGCTGCTGTTCCCTTGATGGTAAGTAGAACCCTGTAACGAAGCCGAGTTCCACCGATTTTCTAAACCGACTTATGTCACCATTAGGTATACGACTTTGTAAGTTGTTCCCCTTTATCATATGTTTGCAGTATCACGCATGAAAAAATTGCGTCCCAGCATTACACAAGTCAAACTTATCCATCGGTTGTATCACTTTACTTACAAACTTTATATTTTTGCGATTGTGTTCTAGATCTTCAATTTATACATGACGGGATTGTTCATTCGACCCTTGATGCAACATAGTGTTCAACGAGGATTCGCGAGTGAAACCCAGCTTGAACGATGCGAGTTGCGCGTGCTCGCCAAGCGCACCCTTGTCGCCTCAGTTGTGTGTTTGTTGGTGTCTCTAGCCAACATTTTGATTTTGGCCATTCTTAAACGCGAACGCGGCCTCATTTGTCTTACCTGCTGTACATTCGATGTCACAGTCAACGCTGTCACCATTCACTTTGTGACAAACCGTAGCAGCCCTGTGCGTCAAGACATCTTCGTCCAACCTTATCGCGATACCCACATCTCCGACCGAGACACCGACATCTTTGCTATGGTCGACGAACACGATTCAAGTACCAAAGCCTCTCAGCATACCATGCACACCAATGACGGCGAACGTCTTAATGAAACGTTTGCATATAACTCGGATATCCAGGATGTAAAATACTAGCCCAGATTGTGTCAATCTGTACCCTACCCACTTATTATATTTCATTTTTTGTCAATATCTGTAGTTTTTTCTCCCTCACAGTGCCTGTGGTTTTTGCTTTTGTACTCCTCCCCTCACCTGGTTTTTTTTTTTTACACTCCATCTCTAGTCCTTGTTTCGCTATACATTTGTACTTGCTCAACAGGCAGGCAAACAAACCCATTTCCTACTTTACGTGTGATTTATTACAAAAATTTCTTTATAAATTGAAACAAGACTATCCAATTTTTCCGGGGGCGGGGCGAAATTTTTTCCATGCATTGTAGCATTTTACTGCTTCCAGACCTTGTGCTCAAGCATCATGTCGTTGGTGGGGGCAAGACCAACGCAGGCACGGAAGATGTTCTCCATAGCAGTACGCTGCTTAGCCAAGGCGTTGACAACAGGGGTACCGGGGCTAACAAGGGGAGCCTTGAGCATATCTAATAGCAAGGTCAAAATTAGGTTGGAACTCGCGTGAGGGAATGGTAGTGGGGTGGATCACTTACAGCTAAGAATAGAGAGGACACTGTGGAAGGGAGAGAACTTGGTCATATCACCCGTCTTGTACTCAACACGGGTCATAAGTTCAGTGACAGTAATGAGATCAATGATGAGAGGAGTGGCGAGCAAGGAGTCTTCGCAGATGTTGTAGATGGAGATGCTTTGACGGCCACCCATGAAAATATCGCACTCATACTCATCCAAGGCACGCTTGGAGTCACCGACGCAAGGCACGTACTTGATGACAACGGTATGGTCGGGATGCTCATTTTCAGCATACAAGATCTTGTTGGCAGCCACCATATCATCGACAACAGTGGACTTGGAGATTTCCTTGGAGCGGAATTGCTTGTGGGACGACAAGTTCTTGCCATCATTGTTACCCAAATGGTTGTAGGAGGTGATACCAACGGGCTTGATACCAGCATTCACTAAAAAGTCAACAATGGCAGACTTGAACTTGGTCTGACCAGATTTGAAATCGTCACCACCAATGTAGGTTTGTTCACGTTCAGCGAGTTCCATCACACCGGGAACAAAGGTGTTTTGAGGAGAACCGTTGATGAAAGGAACATGTTCTTGAATACAAGCAAGAGCGAAGACGGAGGAAGGAGAAACTTCGTCATGGGAAGCCTTGACAGCAGCCAAAATGTTATCAGCAGTGTCATTGACGCCTTCGATGATCTAGGGTAAGGTCAGAGTCAGTCATGAGATGTCACCCTAGGCACCCCCCCCCCCACACTATGAAACCTACCTCAGCATAACGCTCAGTGTTAGCAGTCCAGATAACAATGACCTTATCGAGCTGGTTGGCAGCCTTGAAGTCACGGATATCCTTACGGATTTGCTCAAGATGAGCTTGCTTATCATTACCAGCCATCAAGTTGTCAGCACGGTCAGACTGGTTGGCAGCAATGAAGTCAGGGTAGTAAATAGAGGGAAGAGGAGTCAACTTGTCCATTTCAGAACGAACTTGACGTTGGAGATCGTATTCAAGGACTTGAGCACGCTCCATAGCTTCACCCAAGTTCTTGGAGGAAATATCCCAACCACCCAAAACAAGGTCGTTAGGTTCAACCATAGGCAAGACCTTGGAGAAAGGAATGTAAACATCGTTGCCTTCAGCATCGACACCGAGCTTCACGGTAGAAGCTTGAGTGACGGAGCCAAAGTAGTTAGGGTGATGAACACCACGCTTGGACCGCCAGCTAATGTTGTTCTTATTAGCCAGGATAGAAGCAGTGACGGTGGAACCATTGTTACCACCCCATCCGACCATCATGAGACTGAGGGGGAAAAAAGACAATGAAAACAGGGTTAGGGCAGTCCACCCAAAAAAAAAAAATCATGCCATGTTCCCATTTAAAAACTTACCCGAGCTTAGGGATACGAGTATCGGTCTTGAAATGGTAGACAGAGTTCTTAGGCTCGACGTTGAGGGAACCGTCTTCGGCCTTAGTAACAAGGGTGTTGGTGTAGGTGTATTCGGCGAGGATATGGTCATCAGTGTACTGCACATTGGGAGCGTGTACTTTGAACAAAGATGAGGAGGGAGCAACACCGACAGGTGCGGGAGTAGTATCATGAGGAGGAGCCATTGCGAATTGATTGGTAGTTTTTAAACGATCTTTTTGGGTCGGTCTGAGCACCTTCTATAACCTCTATGCGGGTTATGAGTTGAAGATAAGAGATTGGCAAACTACATGAGGAGAACCCGAAAGATGAGTATTGGAATGTTAGGATCGACCCCTTGCAAAACCCCAAAGCACTTACCGTTTTGACAAAGTTTGAGGAAAGTAAACTTTCTATAGAAGCAAGCGACTGAAGAAAGATGAGATGAGAGAGAGATGGAAAAAGTCCTTGGCACCCTTTCCCCAGCAAGTATTTGACGGTTTCTTGAATTTGTGTTTCGATGTTTAAATCGCCGCCCCACCGGACCTCTACACAGAGAGCGTGGCTTATCGCTCTATGAATGAACAAACTTTAAGGCACACCAATTGATTTCCAACACGAGGTTTTATGCAAAAATAAATTATAGATGAACACAAATGGGTTAAGAGAAATAGCAGAAAAATAATTCAAAAGGAGATTCGATTGGGGATTGTGGGTGGGATACAAAAGCATAGAAATGACAGACGGCAAGTCTGGGAGACACATGGGTTTTTTCTTGATTTTCTTCAGGTGGGGTTTTCGGTTAAATGAATGAGATGGAGCTTCAAAAAAAAAAAAAATGGTAAAGAAACAACCGAATATCAAATCCGGCCTTTGTCATTGGTTGTGATGTCGACGACGGGGTACACAGACGAACGAAGTTTGTGATAGTGTGGAACAATCTGAAAATCAAAATGCTGAATAAACCTCGATATATATAAAATAAAATAGGAGGAAAGAAAGAAGAAGGGAAAAAAAATTGGGTGGGGTGTGCTTGTTGTGTATACAAAATAAAAAAGAAGAAAAGGGAAAAGTGGTGAAGAGGCAAGAAGTACATTGAGGGTGGGGGTGTGGGTTTCGCTTCGGTATACAAGTCCAACGTCGTCCGTCCTATACTCTTTGGTTTTTTTTGGGGGAAGAGGGGTTTTTATGACAGCTGTGGGTCGAAGCTATAGCTTTCACGTCTGTCAGAGAAAGAAAAGCCTCCAACCATAGGATTGAATCCAAAGCTATTATGTTGATTGTTGTTACTACCGTTCATCATGGAAATGGGAATACCGTTGTTGCTAGATATATTGCTAGTGCTGTTGATGCTGTTAATAATGTTGCTGGTTGTGATTGTGCTACTGGTGTTATTGCTGGTTGAGGTGCTGCTGTTATTGCTGTTATTATTGCTATTGCTAGTTGGATTTTGACGTACGCCCTGGTCAAAAATGAATAATAAAGTTTAGTAAAAAAGGTACGCAATATGGATTAGCTCGTTCGTTATATTACTACTGCGCATCCTCCCCCCAAAAATGAAAAATAGTCATCAACTTACCAAAGGATTCTTGCTGTAGGAGAGTCGGATGCCTCCCTTAACAGAATTGCTAAGAGGGTTGCCATAAAGATCATTCAGCGCCTGCGCTGCACAGGCGACATCCTCGAATTCAACAAAGCACATTGGGCCATTGGGCTTGTTGCGAAATGATAAGCGTTTATATCCAACGCATCTTGAGAACAACGCCTTGAGTTCATCTTCACTGGTATTAGGAGGTAAATTACCTACATACAAAGTATTGCAAGGTGGGTTTTGATCAGCGGGATTTTGAGCTGGGATCATAGTCACCCCACGATACCCAGGCGAGCTAAGACCAGGTGAAGGCAACCCATTGGTTCCTGCCGTGGATGAAGAATTGGTGTTGCCTGCATTTTGGACGCCCGGGCTAGTGTTAATGCTGAGAGACCCAAATCGGGCGGTGGGAGGCTGTTGTGGCGTCTCACGTTGACTCGTCTGCCCTGCTTGTGGATTGGGTGAAGCTTCGTCCAAGACACTACTAATGCTTTGCTGTGGAGCACCATTCAATCCATTGGTCAAAGCTGAGCTGCCGAACAAAGCAATACTGCTAAATCCACGATCACTTTGAACCGGCGTAGACTTGGATAAATAACTGAGAGGATGGGTAGGATCATTTTCCAAATCAATCAACCCTTTGGAGAATCGATGACCGGGATTAAACCCAATAGGAGTACGGGCCGAAGAGGATGACACCAGGCCTCCATTTCCATTAGAAGTGTTGTTCAATCCGCCAAGAGTATCGGTTGCCGCAGAAGAGGATCGAGCATCAAATGACTGGGCACGTGAGACAAACGACGGATCGTTGAATGCAGAAGCAGTAGGGGTACTGGGGGAAAATACGTCCGAGTAAAAGTCATACGGATATTCGTTGGGTGACAGTAAGTCACTAGGCAGTGCCGGCACCGAATAAAATGCTTCGTAAGCCGACGACGGGTTTCCTGGGAATCGCTTTTGAGGATGAATGGCCTGTGGAGCCATTGGGAAACCAGCACTGGGTGGATTCGCTGTCGCAGTTGCTTGTTGTTGATCGCTGGAAAGACCACGTTTGGTATGCAAATTCTTTTTAGCCATTTCTGCTTTTAAAACCGACCCTTTCTCGGCATCGACTTTGCGTCCACTCAAAATGTCCTTCGCTTCCAACGCTTCGACTCGAGTACGAAATTTCGCAAATCCAATCTAAAGAGAAGCAAAATAAGAAGTTGGTTAAAAAAATTGTCTATTGATTTCGCATTTGCCCTTACTGCTGAGCCGCTCGTGCGAAGACCTCTTTTTTTTTTGTTATCATGACTAAAACCAAAAAAAAAGCCATTTCGGACCACAATTCTCCAGCCCCATACTTACAATTTGTTTGCGAGCATTGTTGTTAGCAGCCGTTGAAGGGGTCGTAGGTGTAGTTACGCTCAAGACAGTATTGGTAGTTGGGGTGTTCAAGCCCATCTCTTCTTCTTGGTCTTTGCTCGGGACTTTGAGAGTAGCCGCCTCGAAACCTGGCGAGAAGATGAACATGTTCTGGAATTCCCGTTCCTGCATGTCATCAGGAAACCCTACGACAAAAATAGTAGAAATTTCTTCATTGGACTGAGGAGTTTGGCTATTGTTTTGATTCATCATTACGTTGTACAGACTACTTGTCAGCGGAGAGACAGTTGGCAACGAGCCTGGGGACATTGGCGTGTGTCGCAAGTCAGAAAACGTGGGAGAAGTGGGAGGTGGTACCGGGTTGAAAGATGCCAGGATGAAGTGCTGTAGATGGCAATTAATGAAGTGGTGGGGGAGGGTATTTGAAAAAACAAAATGCAGACAGAGGGAGAATGAGAGAAAAACCCTTTGGCCTACGTCGCTTTTTTAAAATTTGTGATGACCCGACCAACGGAAAGAGTCACGACCAAAATTTTTTTTTTTTTTTTTTGCCAACTGCTTTGTGTTCGAGTTCAGTCCAGCGATCGGTTTCTGGTGGAGGTGAAGTGGCAAGCATAGCAACCGCCTATCATCCGTAACTACCCATTGCCTTCAATTCATTGTCTAATTTTCATCTTTGTCATGTAGCCGCTATTGCGTATCACTGATGTTTCATCAACGTCTTTTCTCGGTTTTATTCAGTCATGGTCTTGTGAGATGTTGAAGCGTTTAATTTTACCGAATGAAACACATGATGTCACCATGGGGTCAGACTCTGGGGTAGACTGGTTGCAAAGCCACCACATTAAAAAAAAAAGTGGGAAATCGCATGCGCACTAGCTTTTTCAAAAGGCGGGCCACATAAAAGCGAGTAGTGAGCGAGAGATAACCTTTATGAAGATAATCTCTCGCCACCACCTTGACCACCTGTAGCTGGAGCTAAATTCCACAGCTGAGCTCTGTTAGTTGGATGCCATTATAGGGCAAGCCAGCGTGCCACATGAATTTCCCGGTGTTGGCTTTATCCGCGGAGGGGCACACAAATAGGAAAAAAATGAAAACACGGGTATTTTGGCAAGTTCAACACACTTGGTTTTTTTACTTGATAGCCCAAAAAATGAATACAAAAACTATAAACAGTACGGAAAAATGGTGTGCTTTTTACATCAGATTAATAGTTGCCAGATTGTTGTCTGTCGCCTTCTTGATATCTGTCAGGGTTGTTACCCAATTTACCAGCAAGCTTCTTTAAGCCTCCCTTGATTTGGTCACCGGTTGATGCCTGGCCCGACTGCTGGTTGAAGTCGGTATTGTTATCATTGTAAGAGCCAGAGGTGTCTGTGCGTGCGTTGGGGTCATCCCATGCGCTTTGAGTCTGTCCTCCTTGCATGCTGGAGTCATAATTGGATGATTGAGTCATGGAAGGATCTTGTGTGCTGGAAGAAAAGCCTCCAGAGGTAGTGTTATCGCCATAGGATTGGTTGCCAGAGCCAAAGTTATCACCGGAAGATCCCAGGTTGCTAGATCCTAGCTGCTGGTTGTCTGATGAACCAAAACCAGTATTTGAGCCAGACATTTGGTTTCCGCTATCCCAGCCACCACGAGTTCCTCCAGCCATACCAGAGGTATCAGACGACTGAGTGTTGTAGGTTCCTTGGTTGTCCTGGTTATCCATAGAAGAGTCAAGTCCTTGGTTGTTGCCAGACTTGAGAGTGCTACCAATGCCTGAATCACCCTGATTGTTATAACCAGTATCTTGAGATTGATCGAGACGGGTAATATCCTGTTGATCTCCAAATCCTGCTTGGCCAAATCCTCCTTGCTGCTGGCCGTATCCAGTATCTTGCTGCTGGTTACCGTAGTCAGGGTTGTTTTGTTGATCGTAGTTCATTGTGAGGTGAAGTGTAAAGAATGGCGTACATTTATGCGTTTGTATTTATACTTTTTGCCTTTAATTTTGCAACTCCCTTCCACTCTCGTTCAAGCTTGTTTGTCTTAAGGTATAAATTTCATCCAGCGTGGCACTTTTTTCGTCATGGTGACCCAGTCCCAGGTTTGAATGGAGAAGTTTCATAACAAGCTCCTTGAATCATCATATCATTGACGTGATCTACCAACATTTTGAAATAGTGTAGGATGTATGGCTTCATGCACGTCGTTGTCGATATCCTTGTCATTTTACGTGAAAATGAAATCTTACAAGGTCGACACCTCGCTGGCAGATGTCCAAATAGCCAGCGTTAGGTATTAGGAGGCTATATGTTGGAAATTTTTTGCTTCAATACGCCCGCTGGGACGCCGTCGTGGGAGAGACCAAATTGAAACATACAATGCATTAAAATGAATGTATTCTTGGCAAACGTGACTGGGTACAAATTGATCATGAGCTTTTGAACATTTTATGGCCCGATGGAACCCCCAATTGATGAGCAAGTTATAGTGTAAGGGTGGTCCATAACAGGTAGTATAACCTGATAGTGCGTTTTATTTTTCTATGCAGAGTATGAATATGGGCAAATGATCCAGAAAAATAGCCCAGCAATGAGATGGTGTCATTCATCTTGTGTACGATATGTCATTGGGAATATTTTGCCTCACGGTGTATTGTACCCCAAGGAAGCTAGAACGCAATGGGGGTTCACTGAATCGCTCCCAATAACTCTTCTACACCACGATCAAGCTACCCGTCCCGAAACTCCCCGCAGCTCACCCATGTAATACCTTATTCAATCCCCTAAACACGTATCAGAACATATCGCCGCTACGGTGTCATAAGCATCCCATATCTCGCGCGCGCTTTAATCATATCGTACTTAAATATAGTCTATAGTATATGCCGCACCCAATTCAACTGGTCGCCTAGCTAGGCGGAAGATGGAGTGGCTTGTTTGTCTTCAGGGTGCTTCATATCGTGACCTTCTTGGAATTTGTCAGGATCATCCGCTACTTTGCCTTCAAATTCCTTCCAAGTGCCTCTAATTTTGTCGTATGTTGAGACAGGTTGCGAAACATTATCAGACGGAGCTGACTCTCCCGCCTCAGATGAAGGTTGAGAGATGTGATGATGATTATGGTGGTGGTGGTGGGTCATCACGGTATGTGCAAAGAAAAAGTAGTGGAAGAAAAAATAAGTGCTTCGCGCCCAACAAGGTCGTAGCATATAATTTATTTTGCATTAGCTCTCAGCCCCAAACCTGACAGGCCAAGCCATTCGACTTGTGGACATCTACACGTGTTCGCTAACCACCTTAAGAGAATTGAGTGTTGTGAGTTCAGCCTTTAACAGCTTTGGTAAAATTACCTTGTTCATTGGCTTGGAAGTGAAAGTAGTGAAAACACTAAATACCCCCAAAGTTTTATGCTTTTCGATAACTTTTTAATCGATTGTTACAGGTAGATTTTGGTGGGTGAATTCAAAAAAGAATAAAAAAGAAAAAAATGGTGTATTTAATCTAAGCCATCTAGGACTCTTTAAACATCTAGACTCTACAGTTTGTAAATGCCATGAGCAAAATATCAGTTGCTCCAGCTGCACTCAACGCATCCATTATTTCGCCCTGTCGCTTCTTTTCAATCATTGACTGAACAGCAACCCATCCTTCGTGCGAATCCAAAGAGGACACAGTGGGAGCTTGACGACCTGGTGTGATGGTGACGGCGCTAGACAAGTTCTTTCGCTCAATGTTATAGGTGCAAAGGACATATCGGCCAGCAGTGATGACACCACGAATACGTGAAGCAATCTTATCGCACAATTCTCTATGGGTGGTCTTCTTGTTGGTGATCAAAACAGCTTGAGATTCCATGATGGTGTGGATATCGTGCAGACCAGCAGCACGCATGGTATCGCCAGATTCTATTTCACCAAACAACAAAAAGAGTCAGTACCGCCATCTAATATCAATTCTCCAATAACTCATCGCTCTACTCACCAACCAAATCAACTACACAACACAAAGGTACAAGGGTTAAGCTGTGTTAATGATGCGTCATTTTGTGTAGCCAAAACGCATGGTCGGAAAAACTTACTAATACCATCAGCGAGACCCAGTGCGCAGGCTGCTTCAACTGAACCGGCTACGTAACTGATTTTGGTGGTCTTTCCAGCAGCCTTGTCCAGAGGTTCAAAGACGCTCTTTGCCAAAACTTCGAAACTGGTAACTACTCGACGACCGACCAAAGATTCGACAGTCTGGTTTGCACCAGCAAGGGGAACTTGAACGCACAAGCTGCATTTTCCGAATCCAAGTTCAAGAATTTCCTCAACCTCATCAATGGATTCGTTTTCAGCGACCATATCTTGACCGGTGATACCCATATCGATGTTACCTTCAGCCACATATTTTGGAATATCGGCAGCGGGCAGGAAAATGAGAGCGACGGGAAGGTTGGTAACAAGAGCAATATCCAATCGATTCTTGCGGTGGAACTGCAAATCAGATCCGTGGAGCAAGGTAAGACATTGCTCATAGAGACGTCCTTTCTTTGGTATAGCAAACAAAAGGCGATTGTCGAGATCTTTGACGAAATCCATTGAAATTAGTTGTGAGTCGGTGACAAGGAGATTTGGATGGTCGGGCTCTAGAAAAATTATGACAATTTTTTTGACATAATATTATCTCAGATCAGATCCGTCACGTGGGCCGAATAACAGGATTGAGTAGCCACGGTGATTGGATGATAATGTCCAATCCCCCCTTTTATATGATGGACATGTTAGACATTTGACTGCAATATGTGAGGAGATAAGATGCTAGAAAGCCTATAGAGCAATTGCACCTATGTATTTGTCTAATTTGAAACGACTTTAGTGTTACACTGCGATGCAGCGGATACATTTAGTATATCAAAAATCAACGCGCATGCCAGGTGTAAGGTTAGCAACACCCATTGTTAAATCCTGCACGCTTTTTCAGCACTGCAAAAAGGTATTCTCTGGTTGACATTTCATCTGTATTCTGTCAAAAACAAGAGTAGTTGCCTCACGGTGGTTTCTTTACTGGCGTCGTAAGCTCTTGAACAGACTGATAATACACTCAGCTAGCACTTTAAAATGTACAGAATCAATCTTGGTTTTAAAGTGCTTGGATAGTTTCTATGGTGTTAGGACAGTACGAAAAATGAAGTTGAATAGCTGGCCAGCCTGACACTCAAAGTGGCTATTCTATTATGTCTTAGGTCATACTCCATGCAGAAACATATATGCACTGTACACCAAAGTATTTTCGCCTCTCCTTTAGTTTTTGCCGTTCTTTATAAATTTTACTGAGGTACTTAGCAAGTTGTACCGATGCCATCCATTTACGCGACTGCGCCAACCTACGGGCTCAGCGTCCTTTTCAATTTTGCTGAGCGAGTGCACGTGACGTATGAATTCCACAGAAGACGTATCCGTGGCAAGTCTGAATTCGCAAACCCATTTACAACTTAAAAGGTCTCGAATCTACTTTCTGCCTTTCCAATACCACTATTTGGTAATAATTATCCTACTTGTCCATCAAAAGACGCTCTGTGCCACCTTATATTCTCTAAATCGTAGCAATCTCATGTCGTCTTGGCAATCGTCACAAGCAGTTAATCCAGGGCAAGCTCAAGATCGGTTCTCCACAAACCAAGTTGAAAACGACTATGTACTCAATAGCGACGATGATGAAGCAGTCTCATTGTCCGTCGATATGGAACACTATCATCATCATATGAGCTCCGCCACTTATCCAGTTGTCGCTCCATTGCGGGAGCCGACACCGCAAAGGCCGCCGTCTCCACCCAAGGATGCGGGGCCAACGATCATATTGCGGACCCAAGAGGGAACGGAAATGGCCATAGATGGAGCATTGGCTATACATTGTACACGTCTCTCGCGAAAACTGCGACTATTGGATGCTTACGATAGCCTGACGGTAACGGTTCCCTTCCGTAATGAAATTGTCGGCATGACCCTGGAGTTCTGTGCTCACCTTCGACAGAAAATGCTACAAAGAGCCACTACCTCGAACTCCATTATGCCTTCCAATGCAGTTTTGGTTGAAGATATTGGGTCGGGCGATTCTAGCGATGTGTGCGATGACTGGGAATTTTCATATATCGCTCAAGAAGCCGACGGTCGATTGGTGGTGGAATTGAACGCAGCTGCCCACTTCTTAGAAATCGCCCATTTACGGGATCTCACGACGATGAAGATTATGGTCATGAGCGCTAACAAATCGCCCGCAGAAATAGAGGCTACCTTTGGGTTTAGTGGGGCTCAATCTGGTGAAGACGTTGTATCTGCCTTAACCAAAACAATGGAAGACTTGAAATGGTGAATTTTATCATCGGAGATTTCTTTGACCTCCCCACCCCCTCCCCCCTTCTCCTCCAACTTGCCTAAATCACCGTCTCATGTCGTTATTACGGACAGTCTTCAACTATTATGTTGTTTAAATTCTTTAGATGTTCCCCGTAAAACCTTATAACGCAAAGAAAGAAATGTAAATACTCTCCATAATTTGTCAAAATACAAACCTATATGTTAATCAACATTTTTACAAACAGTGATTGTCATCCCCTATCCCACCGTATGTCTGCACTGGATCGCTCAGGGGAGAATGTAGTTTTGTCACAGCTTCTTTTTCTTTTCAGGGCAGTGCATCTAGAAACAACTCCCGTACGTCAAGATTCCTTCATCAAATTGGAAGCGACAAAATCTAAATGTGGCAAGGTCTAGAGTGTATGAACTTTTTGATCAGCCGAGTACGGACCACTTACTCCTTTCTTCCTGCAACAAGTTGACAGCTTTCAAAAGTATGCGTACTACAGCATAAACTTGGCCATATAAAAGCTGACTACAACGCTAATTTAAACGTATGATCCACCCGATGATCAGCACGGCATTCACTCCGTTTGGGACCATGTCCCTGGAGAACCAAATGTTTTCGAGTTTGGTCTGTCCTCACCTTTGATTGGGTATATTATTAGATTTGCTCCTGATCTCGGTGGGGACGCAGGCAATCAGGAATGGTAAGTTAACTAGTAACTTACCTGCAGCACTCGCCCGACTAATGGCAAAAGACCCTACTGCAAAAGTAGGGACGCTATTTTCTTTTCATACATGTATAAGCATTTTCACATCTACGTCGGATTGCTTGGCATGATCGATGCTCCTCGGCGTGATGTGAGCGATTTTCCCCCTTGCATGGGCACGTCACCCAACGTTGGGATGAGCGAGGGATACTATCACGCTGTAGACACACGATGCTGGCATGATATCGCCGATGCTCTCTAACACGAGGAAGAAACCCAAAGACAAAATGGCAGGCATTGGCCATCTCTAAGGCAAGGGGATTTTTCCAGATGTGCTTCGCAATGGCAAAATTTCCAAAATGCATAGATCGACTGGTGGTACACTGTGCATATCAACTGAGGGATTGCCCATTCTGGCTACGGGATTGGATCAACAAAATGGTTGAATAGCTTTCACTATTTTTACTCTTTCATCATTTGCAACACCTTTCACATCAGCTTTGATACCATTCGATCGATCCTTTTCTATAAGATTCTGATTATGGGGTACACCACTAAAAGCTTGTGGTTGGCGTAAGATGGCGTGCATCGTATGATAATACGGAGCAAGTGGAATCACGGCTATATACGGAACGCGTTCTAGATAATTTTATTAAACAAGGCCCTCGAAACCATAATGGTCCAGATTGCTGCACCTATCCGATTTTACACTGCTACGTTTATTAACCCGCGCAACAAAAAGTTGCTACGAAATAAACTTTTTTTACTGGGAAGCAATAAAATCAAAACAAAACAAAAGCCTTTTGAATCAGTGCCTTGATTTTTGTGCAGCGCTTTTGCTGCTAATTGCATAAACTAACCTGCATTGTTATTGGACGACAAACATATTGAACTGGGTGCCTTAAAGTCACACGTCTCAGAAAAATGCAGAATTAGGTAAATCTGTAAAATGGCAACGATCTGCAGGGTGAATGTGCAATGAGCCTCGGCTGGGTTGGGAATGAATGTCGAGGTCCTTGGCATGTTCCATAAGCTAAGGCATTCCACAATTTTCGATAAACTGTCCACTAAACCCACATGGCGACTTTTGTTTGTGCATCACGCGCACATTGGAAGACCAGGGGAAGTCTGGGTAGCAAGCAAATAACAGTTCCCGAGTGAACAAGTAAGCGCGCAGCTTCAAAACAGGTGATTACCATCCTTCAGTAGAGCCTTCACTCAATTGGTACAAATGCAAATCATCTAATTTTAATTTCAGGAATTGAATACAATTCAATATTGCTTTCTGCCTATTACTCTACAAGACTATCCTCCATGGTATAGAATTATACTCGATACAGAATGAATGGAAAACATAAAATGCAAAAAAGTAGGCTGATCGATGGGATGGGGACGTAAAGATTTACAACAACAATGATGCTCAAGCATTTACGCCCGGGCCGTGCATTTTCAGTCACGGCGTCGGTTGCTCAGCATAATAAATGTTGCCTGTATGCGATAAGACCCAAAAATAACATACATTACCCTTATTCTACGTCAAGTCCGAGGGGGCGCGTAACTGTTAGGAGCCCAGGCGTATAGTAAAATAGAATAACTCCGTGCTGACAAAGTTGGGGTTTCGTACGATCGTATTCCGCATGAATTGCTCGGCCGATCGATTAATCTTCGAAGCACTGTCAATTTAACGTTACGTGTTCGCAATATTTTCGAGGTTAGCCACCAAGGCAATGACCAAGAAACGTGTACCATTAGGGGACGTAGCCAGCCCTCAGGTGATTTTTCAGCTTTGGTGGAGTCAATGACAATGTGAGCACATCATCCGCTGTGTTATAATATACTTGAATTGTTACTCTTAAGTCGAGGAGGTCACGCAGGGTCAGAGAGTAGCGCCAATTGTCAATCGCAACCTTATACGGACATGGTTCTTATGCTGGGATGCCTCATTTTTTGACACCACAGTATCTCCTTGGGTGAGGCGGATGAAAAAAAATTTTTTTTTTATTTCTTTGGCAATTATATAAACCCTCACCTTCCATTAGAACATTGCACTATAATCGGTCCATCCTCTCCTTTACACTTTTATATATATTATTTCATATACATATCATTTTTACTTTCATATCGTTTATCGTTTTGTATACAACATGATGACGACTCACGCACCGTTACATCAACCCAAAGCTGGCTGGCTCTCAAAGATACGACACTACTCATTTGGAAACTTAGGCTGGTCCTGTCGGTTTTTCGTATTGCTTGGTAGTGAATTACGGTACTATAAGAATGAAGTAAGCTGGTGTTACGTTTGATTGCTTTTTGGGTCATGCTAGTGTACTAACCACGAGTTTCTTAGTACGCTGATACACCTTCCCGTGTGATCAATTTACGATCCATCAAAAGTGTGAGCTATTGTCCAACGTCGAACAATCCATATGCATTCCGGCTAGAGCCAATGGATCCCACGCCAGCGTCTCCTATGACCCGGTCAGCTAACAAAATGTTAGTCTTGCGTGCAGATTCAGAGTACGATATGCAATCTTGGGTGGAAGCCATTCGATCCCGACTGCCTCATCTACAAGGAGAAGGAGAACAGACATACTATTTGAACGCTATGAAATGCTGCTTTGAATTGGTCACTCCACCATTATCTCCTACTACTGGTCCTCCCAAGCGTCCCCATCTCGGTGTAAAGATATCCTCGGCCTCGGTTGTGAGCATCACATCCGAGTCTAGCATGGCGTCTGACATCTCGTCGATTCATGAATCTGACGTAAAAACGCCGCTATGTGCTCGCAGAGGTATATTCCTCGCTCCCATCCATGTCCACCGTCCAAATACTGTGAATACCGATTGGGTTCCCATTGAAGAAGATATCCGATCGGCTGAAGACAACTGTGACTCCCCTACATTTGCACTCTATAAGGAGCGCTTCGGCCTATGAATTAGCATATTACATATATATATCCCAATCCCTTCCTTCGCAAACCCAATCTTATGTACTATCCCTCTATGTTTACATCATCTTCTAAGCTGTTTCTTTTGCTTTATCATGTCCGTGTGTGCTTCACATTCTATATCATCCTATCAGCATCCTTCCATCATCCCTATGTTTTCATCATCTTCCCCTGTACAAACACATTTGCTCGTCCGTTTGAAATGGATGGTAACCCATGTTGTCGGTTAGAAACAGACAGCATGGCTCATCTTTTGATGTAGAAATAGCTTGCTCTTTCGCACTCGTCTTCACATATATCTACTTTACTCTTTTTTTTCGTAATACCACTCATTCTCAATCAAACAAAAAAAAAGAAAAACAAAACAAAACAAAAAAAATCACAATAATAAAAGTACTTGGTTTTGAGATTCTCAATTGCTCTGTTCATAACCTTTTTGTGAAACTACCGCTTCTGATAACTGCCATGTTCAATATCCAAGGTCATGACAAAGGCGACCTTGCAGGTTCTATTCAACACGATTGATTCTGGAAGTTTTTTGTTGTATTTGGGAAAGAATAAAACGTCAAAAAACAATACATCATTCGACTCTAGTTCTCCCAAACGCTATCTATATCATCGATTTAGTGGTGTTCCACGTTCTTGTGGTGCTCTGTAATGAAGGAAAGTAGGATAGATTAGCACCCGCATCAAACTGCAATTTGCAACAGCATTACATTCGTAGTACGTACTAAGATGGAAGTGGTAGTCAATGGCATAAGAGATACCACCGATGAGGAGAATAGCGTGAACGACAGGGGTAGCAGAAGAGTTTTCACCGTCGAAGTACTTGGCCTTGTATCTGCCAACCAATCCAGAAGGCTTGACCTGGGGAGCAGTACCCTTGGGCAAGTTCTTGTAGAAGCTGACGAGCTCACCCATGCGGGCGGCATCTTTCTTGGCACCACCAGCGGCTCTGCTGGCAGCGAGATTTGGTGGGATCAAGGCCTTGGTGGCGTAAGCGCGACGTAAAATGGTGCTCATGTTGTGTTGCTATCAAAGGTGTCAGTATCCCAACCCCAGCCACTGTATATGATGGAAAGAAAGAAATGATGACGACAACATTTTTTTCTGGGCCTGGCTGGAAGCCGACCACTCAGACGCGGGCATGAAAAAAAAAAAAAAAAAGTCCCCCCCCCGTCTGAATATGGCATGAAAGCTGGACGGTAGACACGTTGCTGCTGTAATCATTCACCATGCCTCTACCAACTACATTGGCGCGCTCATGCATACGATCTTTGCGCTTGAGCAATTCAGCTAGATTATCCACTTCGTTGAGACGATTCAATTCCACATTCAATCCAGGTACAAAAACGTGCTACCAATAGACGCTACTTAACCTTTTGTAGCCACTGACTCCATTGGTTTCTATTAGATCCTCCCCACCATGCAGACGAATATCAACGCAATAATAAAAAACTCTACGAGACACATATACCAATATCCAATGCTGAAAGAGTTATACTCGCAGCAGGCTCGGCAGTAACCGCTCTATTGGATCCTTATCGAGGAGGTTAGTCACATATCAAATATGAGATATGTAAGTTCTGTGATTTGGATATGGTTGAACATCGAACTAAGCAAACGTTCAATTCGGAACTCGTAGATATGATAGCCACCTTGGGCGAAACAACAGGTCAACGGTATCTTGAGTCAATTCGAGACCAGATGCTTCAAGACCGAACAGGTCGACGTATCTTACGCGAACGGCCTGTCATCAATTCCAAATCACTCGACCTGGACAGACTACGAAGTCTGCCGAGCGATACATTCGGCAGAGAATATGTAGGGTGGTTGGACAAAGAAGGTGTGACACCAGACACGCGAGCCGCTGTAAGTTTTATGCCAGTTGAACCGTGCTGATACAAGAGATGTTGACATGGTTTATTTTTAGGTGCAATTCGTGGATGATGAGGAGCTAGCTTATGTTATGAAACGATACAGAGAGTGCCATGATTTCTTTCACACATTGACTGGACTCGGTGTCACAGTTGAAGAGGAGCTTGCATTGAAGTGGTTCGAATGGGTGCAAACCGGGTTACCAATGACTATGTTGTCATCGCTCTTTGGCCATCTGCGGCTGACGTCGACGGAGCGAAGCCGACTGTTTCAAAATTATGTACCATGGGCTATTCAGTGTGGTGTTTCATCCAAACCATTGATGAATGTATATTTTGAAGAGCTATTAGATAAGCCATTAACATCTGTTCGAAAGGAACTGGGTATTTTTCTGCCACCTTCCATAGAATCTCACATTGTATAAAAAAAATTACAAATTCAAAAGCAAGCCAATGACAAAATTGCTCATGTGACCTAGCAAACCCACGGCCCAGTCAGTCATGCGACGACTCCCCCAATATCTGCGTTGGTTTCTTCACTTACTTTTTTCTACCGCTTGCCTTGACTTCACTTTATGCCTTTGTTGCCAGCAGAAGTCGCTATTCACATTTTGACTTTTGTCCCACTCAGCTCGTACTCAGCGCTTTATCAAGTGTTTCCGCAAGAGTTGGTGGATGAAGCACTGAAGTACAAAGTTCGGCAACAACCGCACATCATAGAGCTGGTCTCAACCAACTTGCACGAGTTGATGGCAGCATGTACTCCATCGGCGTCTAAGATGAGAAACGAGTCGGGGCTAGCTATGGAGTTTCTGGCCTATGACACTACGCACAGAATGCTGTGGTTTACACCCGACTTTACCTGCCCCAATCAATTTTTTAAAGTCAAGGATGGTTATGTCAGTCACGGTAAGCTGCTGATTCGAGCCGATAAGGACTCTCCTTCAAAGGTTGTCATGTCGTTGTGGGATATAAGGAAGAAACTGCCACCGAAGCGGAGTGGCACATTGTCGGGAGCCAGTCAAGTCGATTGTAGGGAATATAACGAAGAGCTCAGCGTCCGGGATAATGACTTTTTATTAGACGGCTACATATCGACTTGTAAGGCAGATGGTCCAATCAAGCGGGCCAATCGTTCAATCACTGGCCTCTTATCACCACCACCCACCGCCTATGCTCGAGCCATACCACCTCTCCACCAATTGACAGTAGGGTCACCTTGGGAGAGGCATTTTCCCAATCCAACCTGTGGGGTATTTCTAGTTGAGAGTGTAGCCTTGACTGTGCCTGCATTTCTGGATCTGTTCATCTAGTGTTTGTATTATATTCCATACTCTGTTTCCATAGCCCAACTTCGTTTGTTCATAGTTTTTTATAGACATAAATTCCATACATAAAGCATATCTTTTACGCATCTCGACATCTTTTTGTGAGGTATTCTGAATTATTTATCATCCTTGTTTTTGTATGTAAAAAGTAATGACATTTACTAGGGATAAAAATGCTTATGCAAGAATGGAACAATGGTTGGTTGGAGTGAGGTCAAAGCGGGAGAGACATTCAAGAAATTTCAAGGTACGACGACAAAGCCAACCCGATTCCAACTGTTGCTTTTAACGTCTTTCAAAATGGACGACCTTTCAGATCTGGTTTGGTCCCAACCTGAAAAGAAGAAGAGTCCACCTCAGCTTCCCAAGAAACCGGCAAACTTGTCTTCTAACACAACGCCTAAATCGACAAAGGATGATGTTTTTGGCAATCTCGTAGATTTCCGAGGTCAGAGCCAGCCGGACATATCTAAATTGTCCTTGGCAGAACAACAACAACAAAGTAGCAAGATGTCGACATCGTTCACTCCATCCATGAGCCCGGCAGCCACACTTTCACCGCAACTTGCTCAATATTCTTCATCACCACGGTCATCAGGCTACAATTCCGATGTGCAACGTGTGCTTGAACCGACTGTTCAACGTCCAACCACACATAACAAACCCACCGGTGACGCTTTTGATAGCCTTTTAGACCCACTGGGAGAGTTTGGGAGAAGCTCTGGATCCAAAAGCCCTTCAAATTCTCTCAATGCCATGTAAGTTTAAGAAAGAAAGGCGGTTTATGCAACCACATATCCACTATTATCATCTTACACAATGTATTCTCGCAGGCGATCACAGTCATCTACCCCTTCTAATCTTTCTGAACGAGGCCAAGGAAAAGAGAATCAATGGAATTTGGATTTATTCGATCAAACCTACATGAAAAGCCCTGAAAGAAGTGTAAGCTAACAGCCGTTGTCACTGTCAACTTTCTTTATTCTGACAAGCTGCTTTTTATAGAACTCAGCATCTCCTGCCCCTCCGGCATCCTTAGATCCATTTGACATGGACCCTTTCGAACCCTCCAATTTGAGTCAAACAGCAGCAACGGCGAACACAATCGAGACTGTGGATGACAGCGATAACCCTCTTGGCATTCTAGCTGGCCCTCCAGTTAAAGCCCAGGTTAGTCTACCGATTTGGGTTATTTTCCCACAATGAGAAGGGATCGCTCAATTTTTGTTTGCATATCAGAAGTCACCATTGCCTCGTGCCAATACTCCTCCACCCCCTTCGCCACCCGCCATGGCTTCGAGAGACCACTTAGTCAAACAAGTTGTGGAAATGGGGTTCACTCGTGAGCAAGCACTGAATGCTTTAGACGCGACCGAGAACGGTACAGATGTCAGTCTTGCCATTGACTTACTGTTACAAGATAGAGAAGCAAGTGCGCCGCCATCGCAGCAGCGCCCACCGCGCTCTGAACGGTCGCCATCATCAAAGCAAAGATCGGGTACCAACGAAGCGGCTCGTCAAATGTTATGGGGTGACGATCCTTCCCCACGTTCCAGTGGATCAAGTAGAAAAGCCAGTCCTCGAATACGACAACAGCAAGAAGAAGACGAAGAAGTGAGGCATCATTCGCCGCAGGATAAAAATGCGGCATTCCAACATCAAAAAGAGAAGATTGTCTCTCAAGCCAGTGAACTGGGTGGGTTTCTCTACAAGAATGCAAGTTTATTTGTCAAGAGCAGCCGAGAAAAGGTCGAGAAATACATGAATGAGATGCAAACCGAAGGCGACCGATCTAAAGTTCGGGGGACTGGGGGTGGCCCATCTCGACCAAAGTGGATGACGGATGCTCCCGACGATCACTTGCAATATGATGTGGAGAGAGAGCAGCAACGTGGTAAATTTGAAAAGTATGCGGATGAAAGCTCGGATGAAGACCCTGAAGAGGAAAAACGAAAGGAAGAAGAATTCCGACTTGAACGTGAACGACAAAGGAAGAGATATGTTGCTGAACAAAAGGCGAGCAAAGCGAAACAGCAGCAACTGCTAGATACCAGTGATAATTATGTTTCACCCTCTCGACGTCGTAACCCCACTCCATCCGGACGTTCATCTGGTAGAAGCACACCTCAATCTCCCAATCCGAACATCCCCCAGGCTGTCTCTCCAAAGCCGGCCACACCTACTAAACAACGAGCAAAGCGAAGGGTCGTGGAAGCTAGCAGAGGTCAAGTTGATAGTGCAAATGACCATAAGCAACGGGGCAATGATTTCTTCAAATTGGGCCAGTACTCTGAGGCGGAGCAAGCTTATTCGCAAGCCATCATGCAATTGCCTGAACGACATGACCACCTTATTATTTTACACAACAACCGAGCGGCAGCATTTTTCAAAAATGGCGAATATAAGCGTGCTGTGGAAGATTCCAATATTGTAGTCCAATTGATTGGAAACGATCATGTGGATGACACTTCTGTTCATAACATCCAAGGGGCTAGTATCTCGATGCGCGATCAAGCTGTCAAGGCACTTCTTCGAAAGGCTCAGGCGCTGGAGAATATGGAGAAATTTGCGGATGCCATTACCGAATACAATATGCTGACCAAAATAGACGGCGGTAAAAACACAAGCCAAATCCATCAAGGCCTTGCTCGATGTCGCAAATCGATCAGCGGTGCACACAAAGCGGAAACTGAATCTAGACAGAAGGCACCTGTCAGCAATGGACACTCCACCACATCCAATCCTTTCAGCGTTGATTTCGATCCCATCAGTGCAACAGCCGCCCCGGTCAGTGCCAAAGCATCCAAAGTGGATGTGGACAAATCGGAGGCAGTCAAACAGATGCGTGCCAAAGCAGCTCTACAAGATGCTGAGGAAGAACAAAGACTCAAGGTGGTGGACGATGTTGATAGACGACTGGTTGCTTGGAAGAGTGGAAAAGAGAAGAACTTGAGAGCTCTGTTAGCCAGTCTTGACACTGTCTTGTGGCCCGAAGCAACTTGGAAAGGAGCTAATATGAGCGAGCTTATTGATCCTAAGCGATGTAAGATAACGTACATGAAGGCCATTGCCAAAGTGCATCCAGACAAGGTAAATGAAAGAAAAAAGCGGCGGGCAGTATGGCAATACGATGATTGGTTTATGTGACTTATTAACACTCCCATTTTTTTAAAAATTTCTCCAGCTTGGCTCAACTGTGACAGTAGAACAAAAAATGCTAGCAAGTGGCATCTTTGGTACTCTAAACGAAGCTTGGGATATGTTCAAGACTCAAAATGGATTGTAAATCAGATAATAAAAGATGCTATTTTTATGGAATCCAGTACTTGTTGATCCATCCAATGCTAACGGACCACAGCGTTAACATCGTTTTTATGACCATATTCAATGTACTAGTGGTGACTGCTTGCGGGAACCTGTAAAAATATTTTTTTTGGTAGCTCGCTGGGCCACTGTATTAGCTTCGAATCAAATGGTAACTATTGAATCATAAAACTGCCTGATGTCTCTGCTATCCTGCTAACCTGAACCTCGTAATCAGCCTCAAAACGAGTATATCGAAGAACATATCAAACGTCATGGACGACGTCTGGATTATGCCGAGCGCAAGTATGTATAGTTAAAAACTAATGCTATGGGCGGCCATTTCCCATTTACTGATGATTTTCCTCTGTTCTGTTCAATAGGCGAAAGAGAGAAGCTCGTGAAGTTCACAAGAACTCTCAATATGCTCAGAAGGTGCATGGTCTGAAGGCCAAGTTGCTCAACAAGAAGCGTCACTCTGAAAAGATTCAGATGAAGAAAACGTAAGAAACCCCTTTCTCCTAATCTGTATATTTCTCCATTTTATATTAACTTGCCACACTCTAGTATCAAGCAGCATGAAGAAAAGAATGCTAAGCAGAAGGCAGCTGATGCTGTACCTGAAGGAGCCGTTCCTACTTATCTGTTGGATCGTGAGGGTGAACAACGTGCCAAGATCTTGTCCAACATGGTCAAGCAGAAGCGCAAGGAAAAGGCTGGCAAGTGGAATGTGCCTTTGCCCAAGGTCCGTGGTATTGCTGAAGATGAAATGTTCAAGGTCGTGAAGACTGGTAAGAATAAGACAAAGTCATGGAAGCGATTGGTTACCAAAGCTACCTTCGTCGGTGAGGGTTTTACCCGTAAGCCACCGAAGTACGAACGTTTTGTTCGCCCTATGGGTCTCCGTTACAAGAAGGCACATGTTACCCATCCTGAGTTGAAGGCTACTTTCCAATTGCCCATCATCTCTGTCAAGAAAAACCCTCAAAACCCTCTTTACACTCAATTGGGTGTTATCACCAAGGGTACCGTCATTGAAGTGAATGGTAAGTCTAGCATTGGAGGGGTTGATCATGCCATGCAGGGTTACTAACAGCAGTCGATCGCTTAGTTTCCGAGTTAGGTCTTGTCACTACAGGAGGCAAGGTTGTGTGGGGCAAATACGCACAGGTCACCAACAATCCAGAGAACGATGGCTGCATCAACGCTGTTCTTCTTGTATAGATAGATAAACCTCCAACATTACCTTCTTTTTTATTTGTTCTCACTGCCATTTCAAAACCATTCCATTTCCTTCATTCTTCGTTTTCCTTCATGCTGTGTAAATAATAATGGTATCAAAATCCCATTTGTCTTGTCATTCACTTTCGTTTACGCATGGTATTCGCATGGCAAAGAGTAGGTAGTTAGAGGGGAAAGGCAATTAATTTAAACCTATGACTATTTTGTTTAAATCAATGCTTTCCTTGGTACTAGAAAGGGGGGGGCCGCGTCATGGAAATTTGAGACTATTTTCTTCCGTGGGTTAATTAGTCGCGAACATTTGCATCGTCCATTGCGCGTTATTGACTTTCCAAACACTAACATGAGCCATTCCGAAAGTTCATGGTGGCACATTCGCTGGGGCCACCGCGTATTCCTTCCATGATGTTCATTTAAACATTTTCGTGTACACGAAACACGAACTCTGATTGGCTGAACACCATGTGCCCCATGAAAAATCTTAGCACACAGCCGCCCAAATTTGTTTTTTTTTTCTCGTCCTTTTATTTTCCTCCTCTTCTCCTCCTCCCCTCCGCTTTTCACCCATCATACCGTTAAAATGCAGTGTCCAAATTCTCCGTCCATGCGGTCAACATCTCGTTCCAACTTTGAACCTCGCACACCTTCCACGTTAATGTCTCGACTCGTCATTCATTCACCAGATGCTGTGCGTCAAAGATTCAATAATGCCGACAGACCATCCACCGATTTACAAAAACGCCTGTTGCACTGCTCGTCTAGCCCCAAGCCTTCTCACCCCAATCTCAACATGTTCTTGAGCAATGAATCTAAAAGAATTCGCATGGTATGAATTTCAAAGAAAAACGCGCGCTGTTGTCTATTTTTTCTTCTCTCAACGTTAACTTTATTATATGCAGGAGCGTAACACTTCCGGTGATAATGTTCCCAAACGTTCACCACCTTCCTTGGACGCTTTATTTTCATCTCGCTCACCTTCACCGTTAATGGCATCCTCTTCCGAGTCACCAGAGTCTTATACTGACTTATTCCATGGTAGCTCTTCAGATGAAATGTATAGCTCAGACACCGAACAAGATACACTTGACCATAAGAACGATTCACCAGTACCCGAAAGCACTTTCACTATATGGGAAGATGGTTGGTCTTCGGACGAACTGACTGACCCTACGAGCGACGATGCACACGATGATGTACAAGTGAACCACGACGATGCTGAGAATACCCCACCTTCTAAACAAGTTACGCAGCAAACCAGAACCGATAATTATGAACGGCAATCACGAGACCGAGCCAAGACGCGTCGATTGCGTCGTTCATTTGGCGTTTCAACCTCTGTCAGCCCTGACGAAGAGGAATCGTCTTCATCACCGTCCACATCACCCGTCCGTTCACCTCTTGGAGAACTTTCTTTGGAAGACTTTTATGAGATGGATGACCTGTATGGGCTAGAATTGACCCACAAGTCCAAGCAAGCATCATCCAAGTCAGTACGTTTTGAACCAGAAACCCCAAGATCACAACTCAAACACGTCGCATACCCCATGACTCCCCAGTCCACCCCGCAAAGAGGCCGTAGTCGTCTTAGTCAAAATGTTCAATGGACCCCTACGCGTAAAACTAAGTTTATGAGATCACTTTCACCGCCCCGTACGCCACACGGTCCTTCTACCAGCCATGAATCCAAGACTTCTCCTGTCCTTGACTCGCATGAAGGCAATCCTTTCCTGGCTGTGATGGGCTGAATGAAGAACAGTTTACCACCCCTTTCATGAACTTTTTGTAAAATAATGTCGTTCGTACGTCAACATGTTAGCGTGACTACGTCGCACCTCACTACCGCCTCATTTGCCAGCTCCTCCCCTTGGTCTCCTTCCGATCACCTTCTACGTTTTGTTTGTTTTTCCTCCCCTCACATATTGCTCGCATAATTTTATTATTTTCTTCTCTTGTCGTACATAATCTCTTCTATGATCTTTCAGTGTTGCTTTTTCCCCCTCGCCTGTCTTTTTTTTTTTTTAAACAATCACAAAGAAAATACATGCATATATATATATATCAGTATAATCTCGCGCTCAGCTTAACTTTTCATAATGTCAATCCATATGCAAACGTAAATCTCACAGTTTCCGCATTTTATTTTTTTACCGTTGGCCTAGATCTGTCGCTGTAGTGACGCCAGAACTGAATGCGGTGGTTGAAGACACCGATGTCGCATCTGCACTGATAGGATTGGGTGCCGGTCAGAGCACAGCCCCTACCTACGTTTCGCCAGGTCGTGCGTTGCATGCTGTCTAACGAGAAGAAGATCAGCACAACATAAACATTGGTATGCTGGAAGCAAAAGATCAAAGGATCGACAGCAGCTACACTGCCGATGGGTCATGGAAAACACGTGTTGCCGATGACAGACACCATGGTTACAATGATCCCAGGGTCAGGACTCCCTGGGTTCGAGATGCAGGCCATGCAGCATGATCCATCACCGCCAAACTCACGCTACTCACATAATTGTTTTTGTGATCTCACTATTGGTTTGTCGGCATCAACGCTTACACAGATCGGCCATCCATCTGAAGGAGGACATAACTCTTCTTCATACCGTATGTTCAGACTGTTCCGTTCCAACTACCTAGGCTTGTACCAGCAATGCTATTTTAGATTTAAATCCGGCCTCTGATAACCATCTATCGATGAGATTTGCCAGGGGGAAAATGGCCGGTTGACAAGGTTCGTGTTAGAGGTTACTCAAGGTTAATATGAAGGCGCTGTTGCACTACATACGTTTAATATTGGTATACAAGGCAAATTGTTCATTTACAGATGGGCGACCTTCTCTTTCAAACACCTGTCAACTCATGGATGGGCATGTGGGCATATTGTACCTATTGGAGTATACTGCGCATGCGACCCCAACTGCGGAGATAGCTGGGCACATCCCTGGGGGTGGGTGAGTGGGTTTTCCTATTTTCTATCGTCGTCCGATTTCCTTTAATCCATTTAACCGGCGGGGTTGCTTGCTTTAGTAGGGTAGGATAGGCCAGCCGAGCGGTCCACGGCATGGTTTTGACATGTTGCATACGGCAACACGGATGCAGTTGGATCTTCCGTTTGTTTACAGCTTTGGATCTTCTATCCTCCCCTTTCTAAAAGACCATGACACGGAACTCTGAGTTTGTATTGCGTTGTGAGATCATATTAAAGTTGAGAAGCCGTCCCGTTTGTACACCTTCTGCAAAAGGTTACTTCCTGCATGTGCATGGGAGTTTTCAGGACACGCCATTTTTTTTTTATCAAAAACGTCTTATAGGAACTGACGTGCGTGTAACATATGAGACAATTTGCTATTCTACATTATACAAGTTGTGCCGCGCGTGATTGGTCTATTGGGTTTATTATGACGAGTGGTTATAAAAAACAACCCACCTATGTAAAAGATAACAAAGAATAAATAGTAAATGAAATGATGAAGAAGAAAAAAAGCACTAATACTGACAGAGAAGAAGAAATAATGTCCATTATTACAAAAATTTGAAGCGGTTCAAACAACAGATAAGGATGTCCGTAGATGGTGAAAAGAGTGGCGGTGGTGGGATATTTTTTTTTTTTTGGACCAAAAAAAAAATTAAAAGGTAACATCAAGAGGTATTATCGTACAAGAGGAGGTAGATTCTCAGAGACCGCCCATGTATTCGCGCTCCTCATTTCGTTGCTGCCTCCGCTGATCTTGCTTTCCGGGAGGCTTCATTTCCACCCAACCGCCCATACCATCCTCTTCGTCATCTTCCACGTCATGAAAGGTGGTATAAGGGTCGTGCGTATGAGCCTTGGGAGGGTATTTCATCATGGCATTGGTGGATAGAGTAGGATGAGGGGCGCCTTCGTCATCCAGTTTTGGTGAATTGTACATCTTCGGAGTGGCCGGCACACTAGTCGTCGACGATTCCTTCATCATGAAAAAAGTGGACGAGGTACCATTTTGGCGTTGAGTGGAAGTCATCAAAAACCGTCGTACGAACCACGGCATGAAACCCCGCTGGGGTGGCTGGCTGCTCTGAGGTCGGGCATTAGGCACATGTCTATCAGGACCATTGGCGGTCGAAGTGATCATAAAAGTAGATCGTGTGGTGATATCCTGGTGTGGTTCAGGGTATGCTTCACCACAATATTTGATGATGAGGTTTCTGTTAAGAAGATAGATTAGTAAAAAAGGTCTTGTCGCCGCCGCCCGCCACCACCATGCAGACTATCGTTCATCGTAAAAGGGAACGGTGCTATAATAGTCATAGAGTCGATCAATTTGTACGTACTTTTTAATGGCCGCCAGCGCATTGTAGATGGCGGGATCGATCATAAACGCCAGTAGATTGAAGAATCCGGGCAGAGCCTTAAGAGGGACACCCCACAAATTGATGGCATAACTGGGTCGCATGTGGATATACATGTCAATTTCACTAACAATGAATCCAGCTATGAAAAAGGATGGGAAAAAGTCCCCCAATGATTATCAGTAAGCAGTGTGATAGGTGGGAAGCTGGGTCTTTCTTTTCCCTCTTCTTTTGAATGCCAGCCTAGCCTTTTGATAAAGAAATTTTTTTTTAAAACTCACTTTGGGTAAGAATTGGAACCACAGGATAGAGCAAGATTCTTCGCACCACTCGATTGATGGCCTTTTGCGTCTTGCGTCTTCGAACATCGACTTCGGTTCGCTCGCCCGTTCCTGAATGAGCAATCTGACGCTCCAGTCTCATGGAGTCCATTTTCAATTTGACGGCCACAGCGACGACGACCACCAAACAGTAAGTTCCACATATAAGCTGAGGTCCAATGTAGGTAGCATATTCGTATATATTTGATTCCGTGGTCCATGAGGCTGAGATATAATTAGCGTGGGATAATTAATATATAAAAAACCAAGACATGATCTATTACGTACGAGAGTACCAGCAGTAGCCTTGAGCAGGATCTAATCCTAAACGATGTGCAGCCAATGGTATAACAGCTGTAAGCGCTGCGATTCCGACAGAGAGAATATAGTACCTGGTGTTGAAAATGAGGTGTAAGTCTTCGGTCTTCTAACTGAGTTTAGTCAAAAAGCGAGAGAAGCGGGCGCTAGTGGGATCCCAAAAAAAAAAAAGATGCGATGAAAGAAATCTCAATTCATTAATCGGAAATACAAACCATTTCTCGAAATTAGGATTATAATATCGTTGATGCAAAAACAAGTGTTGAAGATTGAAGGCAATAGCCTGCATAACAAATGGTAGGTGAAACAGATTTGCGTTAATGAAACCACAATTCGTACAGGACATCACGCGGTGGCTGATATCAAGATAAGTAGGGTGGAAACCACTTTCTTACCGTGGTCAAGAACAAGAAGAGGTTGGTCAAGAAGATGATGAGAAATGGCGATAGCTGACAAGCTCCTCCTTCAGCCGTAACGTAGGTGTAGATGAGCAATGCTGCCGAGGAGATGACATCCGTCACACTGATGGCAGCGCTTAATCGAAGTGAAACACGATCGACGAGTTTTTTGTCGTACATTCGTAAACCAAAGATGATAGCTAAAACGATCATACCGGAAACAACGGATATACTGTTGCAGACGACATTGATGACATTCAGCAAGTCATTTTCCCATTCGAACTCGAACTGAAGATTGGGTACGTCTTCGGGGTTATAGTCGCTCATGTTGGCCAGCCACAAGAGTGAAAGGTAGAAAGAGAATGCAAGGTGGGTCCACCTGCAATAATTCAGTCAATTAAGTCCCCAATAAAGATTACGCTTGGTGCTCCGATGGCGATTGGGATTCCCCTCGTGAGCTCGCTGAGATGAATGTCTGTGCTTATGGCGATTTAACCAATCAATGGTCGCAGTCACATCTACGGAATCCCTCTTTTCGAGCTCTTGCCGCTGACATGTCCACGCAAGTTGAATCCAGGGCTCCTTCTGTCAGTAATGCGAGCCTCGACGACAAATCTTTCGCAAATCGCGCAAGAGGTTTTGCTGCTGGTGTGGCGTCCGGTATTACAAAATTAGCCGTTGGTCATCCATTTGGTAATGTCACCTATCCCCCCTTTCGATCTGCTTTTGGCAAAATATGACTGATTCGGTGCTTCATTCTAGATACTATTAAGGTGCGAATGCAAACGTCTGGTTCAGCTGACGGTCGTTTCAAAGGTCCATTGGACTGCTTTCTGTCGACCGTTCGCAAAGAAGGTGTGCGAGCCTTATACAAAGGCGCGACTCCGCCCTTGGTGGGGTGGATGTTCATGGACAGTATTATGTAAGGTTCAAATGTGTGGCTGTTGAATGTGTTCCGCACAGTGGGCTGATAGGCGTTTTCTTTTTTTTTTCCTTGGAAAAAAAAAATCTATCGTGTTTAGGCTGGGAACCGTGCACAATACAAGGATGATGCTTAAATCATATAATGGCGACCGTCCACTGAGTGTGTTTCAACATGGTCTAGCAGGTCTAGCGGGTGGATTGACGGTTTCATTTGTTGCCACACCTGTTGAGCAAATCAAATCAAGGCTTCAAGTTCAGTACAGCGATGGTGCTGCTCGTATTTACAGTGGTCCCATCGACTGCGCACGCAAAATTGCCAAGAACAACGGAGTTTTCAAAGGATTATGGAAGGGATTGTTGCCCACCATGGCCTTTAGATCATGGTTCTTTGTGTTCTGGGCCTCCTATGAGGTAAATAGCTGTCGTAAGCCATCATACGCATGTGGGACAGAGACAAATTGTACTCATGGCATTTTTTTTCCACATCACTTAGGTATATTCTAGGGAACTGAGAAAGCGTGGATACTCAGATAGCACGGTTACTTTTATTGCTGGTGGTCTCAGTGCCAATACTTTCTGGCTTGGATGTTTCCCTACAGGTACGCTTTTTTGGCTGGTCTAATCTGCCTTATGCCACAATGACATTTCTCACCAACATTATATCTCAAAAAGATGTCGTCAAGAATAGATATATGACCCAACCAGATGTGAATCCACCACGGTTCCCTACTGTTCGAAGTGTGGCGAGATTCGTTTACCAAACTGAAGGCTTGAAGGGATTTTACAGAGGTAACACCTTTTGACCTATGCCCATGTCACTCACCACTTCTAACCCTCACCTCAGGTTTCCTTCCCTCCTTCTTGCGAGCATTCCCCACTAACGCCTCGGCCGTCCTGGCCTTTGAAACGGTCATGAAGTTGCTTCACGAATAGACACTCCCTTAGATAACATAGACTAACCTTGTTAATATCTATACCTGCTTTGAATAAAGCTAACCCACTTCAGTTCATGAAAATATCCTTTTTCTTTTCTTTTAATATCACGTTTGACCCTATAATACAATATTGTGGAAAGGAAGTAAAAAGAAATGCAGAAAGATCTAGTAATGAAACACAAAAAGAAAGATGAAACAAGTGTGTGTAGGCTCAAAATCCTGGAAATAAATGTCTATATGGGTCTAAATCGCCATTCTGGTTCTGATCCGGTTCTGGATCAGCATATTTCTCAAAGTTAGAAGTATCGCCTGGGTGTTGATAAGGTGGGACAATCGGTGCCTAATGGAAAACAAGGGTGTAAATGACGGGTTGAACGTTTTGATGATCCCACATACTACTGACCTGCACAGTCTTGTTTAAAAGTCCTTGCCAATCTACGCCTCGGAACCATTTATGTTTTTTGATATCGTCAGCTCCTCCCTTGAGATTGCCGAGACGTTTGCTTCTATCCGACGTCAGTAATTTCTTAACTAGATCCTTTGCAGTAGGATCAAAGTGGGATGGGAACCGGAGCTTGCCTCCAAGAATTTTTTCATAGATACCAAAAGGATTATCATCGAAAAAGGGAGGGTATCTAAATATACGAGTTTTTTAAACGGTTAGTCAGTATGTTGCCTTTCCCTATGAATGACCCTGGAGGTGCCAAAGCAGTGCTGTGTATTTTATTTTTCTGTAAAGGCTCCTGTTTGTGTGCATGTACTTACCCTGCCAACATTTCAAAGATCAAAATACCCAGAGCCCACCAGTCGACGGCTTTAGAATGACCTTTACTCGTAATAATCTCAGGCGCAAGGTACTCTGGTGTACCACATAGAGTCCAAGTTCTACGGGGGGAGGGGACAGGTTAGCGTTAGGATAGATTTAAATACCCGCTTGGGGGACTCCGTCGGCTAAACAGGTAGGTTGAAATTTACCTATCGTCTACTTTCTTTGCAAAACCAAAGTCTGTAATTTTAATGTGTCCATTGGAGTCCAATAAGAGATTTTCAGGCTTTAGGTCTCGATATATCATGTCTTTTGCATGGAGATACTCTATGGCCAGCAAGATCTCGGATGCGTAGAACCTAGTCATTTCGTTGGTAAACCTTCCTGCCTTTCTTAAATGTGAAAAGAGTTCTCCACCTATGACGTATTCCTGAAGCATGTATAGATTATTTGCGTCTTGGTATGTGCAGTAACTACAGAATCAAGACATAGGTGAGCCAGGCCCTGCAAGGGGTCCATGAAACGAACGGCGAGGCGAGGCCCCAAAAGAACAAAATTATGGAGTCCCACTTACAGATCGACGATAAATGGAAAATTCACTTTGGAGAGAACAAGTCGCTCGGAATTGATATGTTCAACTTGCTTCATTCGAACGATTTCAGTCTTTTTTAGGACCTTGATGGCATAATACTGATCATTTCTTCCACATTTAGCTAAATACACTCGACCAAAAGTTCCTGTGCCTAACAAATAAAGGGTTCTAAATTAGCCATGTAAAGGCATTGGTGCTGCTAGTGCACAAGATCATAAAACTCAATGCCTGATACATTACCTACTGTATCCAACATATCGAATTCTTCTAGGCAGTATTCCGGCGTTTCTCTATAGACTAAAGGCCGGCTATGCCAGTATTGTAACATCTCTTTTGAATCGCTGAATTGACTGTCGCAAGGGCAGCTCATGGACGAAGAGGATTTGCCATGGCTGAAGCCTGCAATGCTAACAGTATTGGTGAAAGTGACTGAGCTGGCTGAGGACGACGGTCGGTCATTGCATGTTACACTTTTTGGAGATTGTGGGACGTCGGATGTTGGAGATTTGGGTCGTTTTGAGAAGAAGCCTGAGACAAGGGTCAGTGGAGAGGTCAGCACCTTGAGCGGCATAACTTCCCGCCACAGTTAAAGATTGTTAGAACACTGAAGTATAGTGTGGAAAGGGACCAAAGCTCTGGAGAACCCAAAAACCAGCCCAAAAAAAAAAGATCAATTTCCCCCAATGGGATCTGGCCCTTGGCTTCCCTCTAAAGTGGGAAATAAAGACGCCCTATTTTACTCATAGAAAATCATAGGTTTGCCTTTCTCCAGAACCAATCGGATCTGACACAGACCTCGGTGACCGTCGGTTTCAAAGACGTCTTTGGCTAAGGATAGTTTAATTCTTCGCATGATGTTCCAATAGCCAACATAAGCAAGGTCAAGTAAGACCAAAAAAAAAAAAAAAGTTGGTAGAAGAAAGGGATCAGTGCACTGCTAAGGTAAGTCATTCGTCTTTCATCAACAGCAAGCGCAATTGAACCCTAAAGATATCAGTCCGTAATGCTACCTCAGAAAACAGAATAGAGAACACAATTGAAGCCATTGAAAGTTTGCTTTAGGCTTCTACTGAGGTGCACGCTGTCAGTGTTGTGTATGTTGGGAAAAAAAAAAAGGGTCCTATGTCACCAATGAAACCGTCTTGTCTGATAATTCTACGTTTAAAAAAACATGAGATTGCAAAAAGCACCTATTTTACATTGCTCATAATATCCAAGAACTATAAAATGGAAGTACAGTGATTGATTGCTTTCATCATTTAAGTGACAGGCTTCAATTATCTATTCGGCCAACATTTACAATAGCCGAAATCAAAGAGTTTGACTGAAGCAAGATCCTTTGAAACTATATGGTTGATGACGAACAGTTTGAGATGACTGCAATTGAACATGAATTTCACCACATTCATTTCACAAATGTTTAATAATTAAAAAGCGAGGCTATGTCAGAATTGATGTGAAATACACCGTTTGCGGAATGGTTTCTGGAGTCTTTTTTTGTCACATATTACTGTTTATTCATATCAATCTGTCCCCATCCTATGATGACAGATTATCTATAATAATGAAATATAAAAGAAAACAATAGCATACGAGAGAGGATGGCCTGGGAATTTTTTCAATTCTCACAGTCATTAGTAAGTCGAATATAGGTAAGAGAAACTGAATAATTTGTCACTTTCCTGTGATGGCTGATACTCAACTCGATGTTTTTATCCAATATTACCTTTATAATGATAACATATAACATCTATCAATAAATGACGGCCCGAAGTGCATCACTTTCACAGTTGGATGAGTCGTTTGGATTAGTACATGAATGGCTGCTTGCGAGGCGATATATGCACGTACATAAAGTATTATAAAGCAATGACTTTTGCATTTGTTTGACTTTCATAACGGAGTGGCATCCACTGATTTTATTTGCTGACACCGACGGACGGAAAAAAAATCAGCGCTTGAATACGCCATCATCTTGAAATGCTGCCTTAAACCTACAGCTATCAATAAAAAAGACGCGGCCGTGACCTCAAATGCAACATCTCTGATTTTCAAAGAGGACGCTCGATAGAAATATGTCGTTGCGATTTCTCTGCTTGATAAAAATTGTGGTAAATGTATTTGATATTTTTCCGAGACTTATTTAACATTCAATACCGTACTCAGTACATCATCATGCTGATCTGTCACATTTATTATATATCCGCGAGATTTAAGCAATACGTACGGTTGGTTCTGTATTTGTATACCATGGGCAAATACAATAATGTCGATGCAAAATTTATATTTCAGGGGAGTTTGATATAACTCTTCTGAAAAATTCTGATATATGCTCATAAAGACACCAACACAAAGAGCCTCGAAAAGGTTAGATTTTCATCAGAGTCTACAACAAGACTAGACGCTGTATGTCGCTAATAGCCGCTCTAAGATAAGCAACTACAAACGAATTTTAGCTAGTGGTGGGCCGGAACACGAACAAACAGTCGAGAACAGGTATGAATGTTTTCATTTTTTTATTTCCAATGGAAAAAAGGTTCTATATAGATGGGATGATTTCTTCTTTAAGCAGAAAAAGGTAAACAAGGAAGAAAGAGTTCAAGAGCAGGGCGATTTAGGCTAGGGCGGACCTCTTGATGGGGCATTCACAAGAAGTTATGGAGTTTGCGAAAAAAATAGAAAGAGTGTGCTCAAACCATTTAAGCAGTGAGCTTCTTGATGACAGCATCGGTGTACTGAGTGTTGGTAGAGTGACCACCCAAATCTCCAGTGAGAGTCTTACCCTCAGCGATGGTGGTCAAGACAGCCTTCTCGATGGCATCAGCTTGAGAGTACAAACGCATGTGTCTCAACATCATGATACCAGAGAGCAACAAGGCAGTAGGGTTGGCCTTATCCAATCCAGCGATATCAGGGGCAGTACCGTGAACGGCCTCGAAGATGGAAGCGTCACGACCAATGTTACCAGAGGGAGTCAAACCAAGACCTCCAATGAGACCAGCGCACATATCGGAAAGAATATCACCATACAAGTTGGGCATGACCATGACGGTATCAGCGTAGATGTTAGGGTCTTGAGTAATCTGGGGGTGGGGAGCGAGTCGTGTTAATCGACATATATAGATTTAAAACAAATGGTATGAAGAGGATACTTTACGTGGAGGCAGGCACGGTCGAGAAGAACGTCGTTGAACTTGATGCTGGGGAATTCCTTGGCGACTTGCTTGCAGACATCCAAGAACAAACCGTCAGCGAGTTTCCTAAAAAGACATACAAGATGAGCGCGCATCCTATCACAACTATTTCTTCCTTTCAAATTCCCAAATGTCTTACATGATGTTAGCCTTGTGGACGGCAGTGACGCGATCACGACCAACCTGTTGGGCGTAGGTGAAAGCATAACGAGCGCAACGCTCAGAGGCATCCTTGGTGATCAACTTGATGGACTGGACAACGCCATCAATAACTTCGTGTTCAATACCAGAGTATTCACCTTCGGTGTTCTCACGGATAAGAACGGTGTTGACGTTCTCATAAGGAGTCTTGTAGCCAACAATAGACCGGCAGGGACGAACGTTGGCATAAAGGTTGAAAGTACGACGAAGAGTCAAGTTAAGAGAAACGTGACCCTTGCCAATGGGGGTGGCAAGGGGACCCTTCAAAGCGACGGTGTTCTTGCGGACAGACTCAATAGCGTCATCAGGGATGGCAGTCTTACCGTCCTTGATAACAGGAGTGACATCGACTTCCTCCCACTCGATGGGTACCTTGGCAGCAGAGAAAATACGCTTAACAGAGGCGGAAATCTCGGGACCAATACCTATTTTCCAATGTCCATATTAGTACAATATTACCAGATCACTTTCGACCGTCTAACCCACACATACCGTCACCGGGAATGAGGGTAACCTCATAGTTGCCCTATAAACAGTGATAAAGGAATGGAAGGAATTGGCGATGGTGAGGTTGAGACACTTTTAAGAAAAAATGCTTTGTTATTGCAGGGATCTTCAGCATACCTTAGCGTTCTTCTGAGCACTGAAAGCCTGGGTGATGCTGGGAGTGGCGGTGGTGATAGAACGAGCAGCATTGAGCTACAGGAGAGCAAAAAGCGTCATCAGCTACATTGTAAATGCGACACGTATCAATGGTTCAGTTTTACCTTGACAGCAGAGAATGCTGCTGACTTAAGAGCAACGGAAGTCTTGGACAAGAACATTGGAGATGGAAATGGGAGAAGAGGACGGAAAACTGGGAAGTAAAAAAAATTTCTGTAAGTTGTTGCTGTTAGTGTATATACGATACTGTAAATTTTGCGTTCACTGCAATGTTGCAGGGTTCAATGGTTGATTGTCCGATTGCTATTTTTCCCGACTCTACCGAATACCTTGGACATCTTGGACGTCCTATTGAAGCCTTAGAAGCATCGAGAAGGTAGTTATTCACCGATTTCTTAAAGATTATATTGATTGGACGATCGAAAAATAAAAAACAAACTTCCCACTGTGAAATGAGGGGTTATCTGGTAGCAAGACGAGGACTCAGTCGAACCAGTATTTCGGCTATACTGCTGTCCCGTATTAAAACGTAGCTTGGACATCCCGACATTTTAAAAATCTTGCTTTGGATAATGCTTGCTATCATGGCTTTGTAATGAGATCAACTCTTTGTAAGCACTTCATGGCATCATTCATATTACGATATACATATCGTTTTCATTGGAAAAATAACATCGTAAAACCTCCTAACCCAATATCTTCACCCTAGCAATGAACGAAAGACACTCTTATATTCACCTCGCTGAAACTAGGCTGCAAACAATTAGGTAACAAAATCATCAATAATTAGATCCATCATTCTACTTTGCAACTTCTTTACGATTTATTATTAGCAATGACTATAGTGTTACCTTGGCCCAAGAGCGGGCACAATGCAAGTCACGCGACGACCACCTCGTCCACTTCCAGCTCCTTGTGCTCATCATCTCGCCTTTCATCATCAACAGCTCCCTCCTCGGCCATGGAGCAAAACGCTCCAATACAAACTTTAAAGCCCTTACCGGCTTTGGACATGGCAGATCCTACTCTACATTCCATCATACCATCATCGCCGGCCACTCCGCTTCCCATCACAGCTCGCTCTGTTTCATTGAGCCGACGAAATCATTCAGCTGATAATCATCAGCACACCCTTTCCGGCCGCAGCACTCCAGACGAGACTATACAACGAAAACCAAGAAAAGTCTTGGGAAACTATACCCTTAGTAAAACACTAGGTGCCGGAAGTATGGGCAAAGTTAAGCTTGCTGTCCATGGAATTACTGGCCACAAGGTATTACCATGCTTATTTTATGATGGATCATTTCTTAACTTGTGCACGTTGAATACTCATGTCTATGCTTTTTTAGTTGGCGGTCAAGATTATTCCAAGGGCCAATATTCAAGCCATTATGGAACGGAGTAAAGATATTGAAAAAGCCAAAAAGGAACTTGAACGAGAGGAAAATCGTGAGATGAGGACAATTCGGGAAGCCAGTATCATGCTCTTGCTTCATCACCCATACATTGTCAGTTTGGAGGAAATGATGTTGATAGAACCCTATTACTACATGCTCATGGAGTATGTGAATGGGGGGCAATTGCTTGACTACATTATTGCTCACGGTAGACTGAAAGAGAAGAATGCCCGCCGATTTGCCAGACAAATTATCAGTGCTTTAGGTGAGTCAAGTTGAACCCGATCCGCATCTGACAGACACCCAGCCCAACGCAATATATTTATCAAATTTTGGCTCTTTCCTTTTCCAGATTATTGCCACAGGAATTCCATCGTCCATAGAGGTATTGTACTCCCTGCCAAGCCAACTGACCATCTCACAAGTTTCTAACTGATGTTTGCTGAACAGACTTGAAGATCGAAAACATTCTGATATCAAGATCTGGAAACATTAAGATTATCGACTTTGGCTTGTCCAATCTTTTTTCGCCTCTCTCTCACCTTTCCACGTTTTGTGGTTCCCTGTATTTTGCTGCGCCAGAACTGCTCCATGCTAAACTTTACACTGGTCCCGAGGTGGATGTATGGAGTTTTGGTATTGTACTCTATGTCCTTGTTTGTGGCAAAGTTCCCTTTGACGATCAAAGCATGCCAGCTCTTCATGCGAAGATTAAGCGCGGCGTTGTAGATTATCCAGGTTTTCTTAGTACAGGTAAGGCATTGTGGGGAAAAAAAAAATTCTGGTAGATCACATATGTAACGGTTGCTATCTTCATAATATGTAACTTGTCTTGTTTCCTGTAGATTGTAAAAACTTGTTATCTCGCATGCTAGTCACCAACCCTAGTCATCGCGCAACCGTCTCTGAGATAGTCATGCACCCTTGGATGAACAAAGGCTACGATGCTCCAGTCAATAACTTTTTACCATCACGCACTCCGCTCACCTTGCCGCTTGATATGGACGTGGTCCGAGCTATGACTGGTTTTGAGTTTGGTTCCGTCGAAGAAATCAAGGAAAAACTGGAGGCCATTGTATCATCTGAATCGTATCAAAAGGCAGCCAATGCTTTGATGGTGGCATCAAAACAATATCAAGAGCATCTCGATCGGCAACAAAAACATGCAGCCATCAATCGGCGGATGACCTCTAGCTTTGTCATACCCAATGATGATCCCCAGTCTATTCCGTCCGCATACGAGCCACTTGTGTCAATTTACTATCTTGCGAAAGAGAAAATGGAACGCGAGCGAGCTTCGTCGTCTACACCACTCCGCAAAAAATTCTCAGATAGTCAACTTATAGAGCGTGCCTACGATAATGAGCTCCCATCAACATCTAACCATATACCCGGTGAATCTCACTTCACGACGATACCACAAGACCAACGTCCAACATTTGCGCGAAAGCATAGCAGTAGCGCATTGGCTAACTTTGGCAGAAGATCCAAACCGAAAGTCCGATTAGACGATGACGGTAACGTTATTGGATTCGAGAACACCAATGCTTCAACAGACGAACCAAGCGGCTTTGGTAGACTGTTCAATCGTGGTCGAAAGAGCGTTGACTCCACTCGCAGCGATATTTCTGCTAAAGACGAAAAGAAAGGAACCGGAGTCTTCCGACGATTGAGCCTTGCCCTAAATCGCAATTCCTTGGATGGTAAACGAGAACGAGGCCATGCGCGAGTTCAAAGTGCCAGTGGCGTTGTGCCTAGTACCAGCAGCAATGCAAGAAGTAAAATGGGGGCACGACAATTATCCTCTGCTTCACAGTTGTCCAAGACTTGCATTACGGCCAATCAACTGCAACAAACCATACCTATTGCACCTAACCAGGATCAACCCGTACCCGTGTCGCCCTCCATCTCAGCGCCTCAGCCTTCAGCGAGCAAACGAGCTTCAGGACAGTTCACTGGGACGTCGCCTATCAAGGATTTGGGGGGTAAGTTTACAACCTTGTTACAGCGAGCAACCTCCATCAATGACCGTAGAAGAGCAAGAAAGCAATCCACGAGTAGCCATCTGTCATCACCATACGATCCCATGTCACCACCTCCTACTCCACCCAAAACATCAGAGGCAACACGATCTTACCAAGCGGCCACCATCTCTTCTCATCAAAGGTCTGCTTCGCATGGTGGTTCTAGAACACCTCAAACATCTTCTGTAAATGCAACCGTAAACCACCATAACCAACCTTCCACATCCTCTAGTGGAAATGCGGATCAAAGTATCCGCCCGGTATTTGTAAAGGGACTCTTTTCAGTAGCAACCACATCTACAAAAGAACCTTCTGTGATTCGTGCCGACTTGATACGAGTGCTGGATCAACTTGATGTCAAGTGGCGTGAAGGTCAAGGCCGATTTGAATGTGTACACATGCCAAGCATTGAAATTGGCAAGATATCCGAAAAGCGTCTTCCTCCTCTGCCAAATGGAGATTCGGCTTCTTCACCTGAAGCTCCTATTCCTGCCGCCCAGGTACCAGACATGGTTGTACGGTTTGAAATCAACATCGTAAAAGTGCCTTGGTTATTGGGCATGCATGGTATCCAATTCCGTCGCGTAGGCGGCCACCCATGGCAGTATAAAAACATGTGTTCTAAAATCCTTAGTGAAGTCAAATTGTAACACTTTTTTGAAGCACCTATTTTCCCCAATCACATTTTGCAATATAACTTAATAACCTGCGTGTCTCTTTACATTACATTCACAGACGTATCCCATTTTTGGTTCTCAATACATTTAACAGAGAAACATTTCAAAACTACTTATAGAAGTTCTCCTGCACTGTTACATTTCCTAAACACTGTATATGCCACTATTTTTTTTAATGTTGCCGCTAAAATGCCGACGTGATGGTGGATTGAACAAACTCCTTATGGAGAAAACATAGACCCGGACAAGCTATTGAGGATAGTGTGCTCCATGTCCGTATTTTCGTTCTACCGATGCTATCAGTAAGCGTGAGCTCTAAGTGCAGTCAGTCAACGCTTCAAAGTGGAAGCCTCCGAAAAATTCCGAATGGGCCGTGCTTGCCACTTAGTGATCATATAGCGCTTTTCGATCCACATTACATAAAAGCCTTGTATTTTCGATTTTCTACATGATCGGAGAACCAATTCAACACGGGCGGGATAAACTTGTAAAACCCCGTTTCTGGGCAAAACATTTAAGATGTTTTGCCGACTAGTAATACGATATACCCGCAGCTGTAGCGATGTTTGCATTGTTCGATAAACGAGCAAATTTCCAGCTTCCCGTTTTCTCTTAAATGGCGGCGGCCTCTAAATGCCCCTTAGTTACGGTAGAAGTTTTACTTGTCTATGTCTTCATTCAGTTGTTTATACAATATTTAGTAGAACCGTCATCATTGACTTAAAAAAAGTCCTGCCAATCCAGTTTGTTCTCATCGAGTGCTCGCCTAACGAAGCGGAAGTGGGTTTCCGCACAGCCAGGAAAAAGTGCAAAGTATTGAATAGTTGGGTGGCACATTTGCAGCCTTAATTTCTTCTGCTACTCATGATTTTCATCCATGCTGATCCACTCCAGCTTAGCCATACGATCTAAATATTTCGCTCACTTTTTTGTTACGTTGTTGACGTTGGAACGCCATCCACCAAATTCGAAATCTTGGAATCGACGTTAGCGGCTAAGTCGCGTGTGACAAAGCCCAAATTGAACCACCGTCATGGGACGTTTCCACGGTAGTTAAAGTATCTAGGCCATGAGAGTGACATATAATGTCATGTTCAGACGGAAAGAGTGTTGGATGAATGCCATTATAATTAGTACAGTTGGAGTACGCTGCGGTGGGGTGCGGTACAAGAGCCACATAAGGTCCGGTCTCTGATTCGAAAGCCGGAGAAATTAATGTTCATTCGTCATGAATAAGCAGGCAGCTTACTGCGAACTCCGGGAAATATAGAATGCACTGGTATGAAATGGACCACATCTGTAGGTATTCTGCACTGATTTTGGTCAGTCAGCTTGGAACATTATGTGAGTGCGCATACGAAATTAGGCTCATACGTTTAATCTGCGACAATGGCAGTGTTAGTAACGAGTGCAGACGACAGAAATTGTGTGATAAACTACACAGATTCATTTGTGGTTACACGAGATCTTTTCTTTTTTGGATGTTTCTCTATTGGCACTTTGAATTCCACATTCAGTGATATTCAATTCGTAAGCCAGGAAATAATTGGTTCCATAGACACCGAAACAAAGCCTTGCATTTTGATTGGGCCTTGGCATTAGGTACAGAGCCGGTGGTCCGACTAATTTGTTAGGTGAGTCTGTGGTTAAACTATAACCCCGGTTACCGGAGTATCCTGACTTTCCCAATTGACAGCAAGCGGGCGGAAACAAGGCTTTTCGGCAGTACTTGACTTCCGTTAGAAATGACTATTAAAGCCTACACAGTTTATCCATTCAAAATCGTACAACCTCTTTTTTTTTTTTCTCCTTCTTCTTCCTCTCGCTCCATACATTTTTCGTCACTCATCTGTCATGAACAAAAACAACCGCCCATTAAGAGACAAGAGCAAGTCAACTGATCCAGACGACTGCCTAAGACGACCAGCTTCACGACCGTGCTTCAAAAATCAATGGCAGCGACAGCGAGAAGAGCAGGATAAAGCAGCTTACCAACGACATTGCGCAGAACGACTTGCCTCAGTCTACAATGGCAATACTACCCAAGCTATCTTGTTTTTGAAGGCCATAAAGGCCAACAACCGTGAACCTATGCAGCCTTTTACTATACGTAAGCATAAAGACATTCCAAATTTCTCTTGTAATTTTTTTTTTTTTTTTTTTTCCATTTCTCATCTCTTACAAATACCTCCTCTGCAGCATCCCTTGCAGCTGATATTTTGAAAAACTGGGAAGGCGAAGAACCCAACAGCAGCCGAACTGCTCAGCTTGCAGAAACAATCAACAATTTGCTCACTACCACTGCCATCAAGGGAGTCACCGACTTAGATGCAGCCATAGTGAAAACTTGCGCCAACAGGTCAGCCATGCCTGTAGCTTGCCCTACTACGACTATGATGGTCGCCATATGCTATATCCAACGGCTAAAACGAAAGTATCAAAACGTAAAAGGCGCTCGTGGTTGTAGTCAGCGACTTTTGCTAGTCGCTTACATGATCAGCGCAAAATACATCCACGCTTGCTTGCGAACCATTGTTGATTCTTCACAGCATCGCCAGGCTGAGCCGCAACAAATGAAGGAACCTGTCAGTGTTTCAATCATGCCCTCTACTACTGTAGTCGAACCTGTTTCTCCTCAAGCACCTAAGGCTGTTCCAGTTCTTGGATCCGCTAGAGAACCAGATTCCCCACCTGCCTCACCGCCAATGACCAGCGCAAAACCACCACAACCCACTGCTGCCCAACTTTACCGTATGGAATTGGAGTTCCTTCACTTCCTGGACTACGACCTTTTGGTCCCCAATCCATGCGCTCTCATCGACTGGTGGTATCGCTGTGTTCGCGACCATGATGCTTCCGCTCTTGAATATAAGCCTGATGCCGTTCAAGATGAAAAAATATAACCAAATCCCATAATGTAATTTCCTTACCTCTTTTTTCCATATAGTTTTTCTTACTCCATTATCTGTATATAATCACAGCCCCAGCAAAACCAGTTTTCTGAACATACGCCATATCTTGGGGTCACTGTTCTCACTTCCATTCTTTCCTTATTGCAATGACAGATTTCTCTATGAAATTTACCCCTCCCTAATAGCATTAAAAACCATAGCCTGACCCCATTTTATTCTAAAGGGATTTTTGATGAGCTGTTAGGACGGCAAATTGGGATATTTACTAAAGTTTAGCCGGCGTCCCACCAAGATGATCTCCTGTGGTACTTCTTCTCCAACAAGCTTTCACCCCAGTGCTATCAAACCATGTCGCGTTTGATCTCTTTGGCTACTATGTGCTCTCCTAAACAGGAGACGCATCCTCGCTAAATTTTCTAATACGACACAGTCTTTATGAGATACTGTTATGGTTGCTTTGCACGCACGTCATCGTCGAGCTGGGTAGCGCACTTGAGCCATTCTACTTTATTTGGCACGGTCAGCCAACCTGTACCATTCAGAAAAAGAAAAAGTCCATGGAGGCTGGATATTCTGTAGTCAGTGATGGCATGGACCAGAGTTAATTTTTTTGGCTGACTCAGTAAAATAACTTTGGTCTTTTGGATTGGTCATTGGATGCACGTCCGGCCCCCTCCTTTGGCATAAATTTAGACGGCTTTCGGCATTGTAAGGGCAATTCATGAAGGCGGAGATTCTGTTGGCCCGCAATTGAGATTCGGTCCAGCACGCCGTGGGTCTCCGCGAGCAAAAAAAATTTTCTGGCGAAAACAAATTGTACAAGCTTCTGTTCCAAATGAGATGTGCCAGGCATATCAGAAATATGGTACTCACAAAAACTTAAAAATGCAAAGACGATAGAATCGGAGTGTTTATTACAATGACAATCCGATTGAAAAGAGTTTATCGATAAAGTAGGTGATAATGCATTTCCAAACGTCAATGGCAGCTCAATGCTAAGTGGATAAACGCAAACAAAAAAAGGAATATATATTGAGTACTATTCCCAAAGTAAAGGGAATTATTAATTTCTGAATGGCCTATTTTTTTAACAAGTACAGAAGGAATGGGATATTTAATTGAAAGAATGCGTACTTCATCGCGATGCGTCATATCCAAGGCACACGGCACTGACGATGCCGTAATGCGGTACAAGGTACTTTGCGTAAGCCGTAGCTTACCAATAAACGTTCTAATCCCACACGGATGATAAACCCCCCCCCCTATATCAGCATCATGCCATGTTTTATCCGAGAAACGATGGGTTTACGTTGGCACAGCTTTATCTCTTCCATACAGGCAGCGTAAGCTATAGCGGAAGAAATTCTTCCGGGTGGCAACCCGTAAATAGGAGGACTGCTTTTCTAGGATGCGTCAATTTTTGCCGAAGCTGCCATCTCTGTTTTTGATAAAACGGAAGGGATCAAAAAGTAATCTTTGTAACCAATGTCTGTACGAATAATACCTCAAGCTTTACGAAAAGCCGCCTTCATTTCCATAAGGCATAACCCCACTGCATATGGCGTTATTGTTCGACAATCTCGCAATCTACATTTCACACGATCTCCTCCAGCACTGAACCTCCGGCTGAGTCAATGGACAGGGCAGCGCATGCTGACCACTTCTACCAAGCCAAACGGATCCGCAACTACAGCTATTCATAATACCGCAGTTATACAAGAGAAACAACCGGGAAAACTTCGGCAATTGATGAAGCAATATGGTATACCTGGTATTGCTGTCTATCTGACCCTCGGAATGGTGGACCTGGGAGCCACTTATTTCACCATACAAATGGTGGGTGCTGAAAAGGTCAAGGAGTTGGAAAACTGGGTTAAGAGCTCATTTGGTCGATTTGGTGTTTGGAACAAGCAGAATCCTGATGAACCAGATACAACAGCAACCACCCTTGGGGTTGGCGGTGTCCTAGGCGAATTAGAAGCTGAAGTTACTGCAGAAGGAGCAAAACCATCCATGGCATCCATTTTCATTTTGGCATATGGAATTCACAAAACCGTCTTCCTTCCATTCCGTCTAGGTGTCACTGCCGCAATCACTCCATGGGTAGTTCGACGATTAGGGGCCATGGGTTGGATTGGCCGAAAGGCACTGTAGATTATGATACCGTTAATAGTTTTTAAAATAAAAAATCAAATAGAATAGAGAATCCTGCCGCGAGATGGATTGATTGAATTAACATTTACGCTATATTGGCAATTGAGTTTTCGTTATGTACTTATAGGTAATACCGCGATTTACATTCCAGTCAGTCTGTGTTGGCAAATATCCATTAATATAAATGGAGAGGATTGACCTTAAGCATATAATATGAGAGCGTATTTGAATTCATGCTTCAACCTTAAATAAACCGGCCTAATACTGAGTCTTGGATCAGCAAGACTGAAGCATAGGCATAAAATCGTGTTTCTAGATATAGATGTGGCCATCCCTGTTGAGGTTTTCCCAGGATACTATGCGTTGCAACTCTCGCTACGCTAATCAAAGTGGTAGCTCTGCGTACAACGCTCTCGTCAAAAATCAACTGATTCTTTATCAGCATGCCACTTTTTCTAAATGGGAATGCCACATTCGGTATGAAAGCTGACACGTGGATGTCTCTTGGTGTGACGGCCATTGTTGCGATGATCTCAAAATTGCATAAAAGTATCTATCTGTCCCCATCGTATTGCTCTTTACTCTCCATAACGTTTAAAAATCTATGATCCATATTACAGATATAATTTATCTAATTGCTGAAAAACTGCTCCAACAAGAAGATTCCTACCAAGGCGTCTTGGACGTCATAGCATTGTCAAAAGCACATCCTTCTTGGCAGCCTGTGCTTGGCAAATTGGATTTCAGTCATCTTTTGAACAATGAAAACGAGCAACCATGTTCCAAGGGATACAACTATGCCGAATACATAATCAAGATGTCAGAATTTTTCACGAACGGATCTCATCGCAAACCGCTACATTTACAGCCAAAGGAGCTTCTTATCAATGTGCATGCTCTGTACGATAGCCAAGCAAGCGAAGACAAGCTGGCCGAATTCAACTTTGCCGTCTCGCAGCTCCTGCAACGCTGTCCCAATATCAATCACATCACGTTGCTTTTTGGGGTTAGTGAACAGCACGACGATCATCATCATTTGGCGGCCACGTTTCAAACATTATCGATCTGGAAATCGCAGCTTGAATTGCTCACTCTGCGGTACAATGGCTCAGAAAAGTTTAGTTTGTTTGACGATGCCCAAAAGTTCATTGAGCGTATCAAGGTGCCTGAAATCGAATTGGATGGCCCGTTTGGGCCCGACATCAACCTTTTCAGTGCCATCGATCGAAACCCTTATGTTCACAATCTGGCTATTCGTAACTCGGATATTTCGACTCTGCTTCATCTGGGAATGCTATGGCACAAGCTCAAGAAAATCAATGTGGACGCTTTGGAGCCCACAGCTTTGCTTTGGGTCCCATTCATTGTCATGGTAGGGTCCACGCCATCGGAGCTCACGGAATTGTCATATCAAGAACTTACGGATAACGATTTGCCAACCGTCAAATCTAGCTTTGAAAACTTACAATATATGCCAAAACTTCACCCAAACTTGAATGTTTTGAAGATCCATAACATCCATTTTCTGGGAGACGAATTTTTATGGTCAGCGTGGAACCATCTTTCACAACTCGAACATCTTAATATCACCTATTCTGATGCCCTGACCGGCGATATCTCTTTTCTTGATAAGGAGAAAGGTTGGAAGAAGCTCAAGACCCTCAATCTAACCGGATGTCACCATTTGGGAACCAGCTTCCCACTTTTGGTGATCGACATGACACAGTGTCGCGACTTCACTTTGACGTTGCCTTCCCATGTGAAGATTGCTCAACACCTTATTTCACGCGGATTCTTGTCTCGACCTCCCAAGTCTTCCTCAGAACAGGAATGGTTTCGTCTCGGCCAATGAAAGCCGTGGTTATATGATGATAGCACTTTTCATTCGCTCATTATACCTTATCCACCACCTACAATACAATACAAAGCCATTAGAGAAGATACTTAGAACATACCCTACTGTTCTTTTACAAATAATCCAGCCACCCGCGCTCTTTGCCATCATCTTACAATCCTTATACCTTATTTCTCCCCATCCAATTAATTCCTAATGTTGAAGAAAAATAAATATATGACGTTTTCAAAAAGCAACTCATGGCATTGGACTTTGAGTCATACGATATGCCAAGAGTCTGGAATGTCGCTATCGCTCTGTTAAAAGGAAGTTGCAATACCATACAAAGGCTAATGAAGAAATAGATGCAGTATTATTTGTTTATGATTAATGCATACGTGAATTACCCGAACCTGTTTTCAAACATTGATTGTATTCGGATACGTCAACTTCTATGGCGACGTTTCCAAAAGAACAGTTAGGCAAAATTCAGCAGCAGTGATTGGTCAATTTCGCACCTACCCGATGGCTCCCCTGCCATAATTTCTAACACTAGATCTTTTCCACGCTAATTGTCTCCAAATGCTTCGCAGTGCCTTTTGCCAGAGCTCTCGCCTTATCCGATTGTCAAAACCATGCATGCGCATCAACCAAAGAGCATTTCAACATGTCTCGTTGGTCCTTAAGGAACATTCAGGCGATCCATTCCCCTACCTCCAAGATCGCCATTCCAAGCAAGTGCAGGTTGAAGATCCCTACCCCAGGCTAGATCCCATACCTAGACCTAACGAATCACTCGAGACAAAGCGATCTAGACTTGTGTACCAGTCAAGGAAAAGAGGAATTTTGGAAACGGACTTGTTGCTCTCCACCTTTGCTAAGAAGTTCCTACCCAACTTTGACATGGAGCAATTGCTTCAATACGACGCTTTGTTGGATGAGGCTGACTGGGATATCTTCTACTATGCTACGTTCAAGAAGGACGTTCCAGAGCACCTCCAGTCCAATCAAGCGCTTCAAATGCTCCAGCAGCATGCTAAGAATGAAGGCAAGGTGATCCTCCAGATGCCCAGCCTGAGTGTATAATCGAATTACTGGGACTATCTTGTTTTCTTCTTCACATCAAAAACGTACAAACATTGTTTTGGTAAAATAGTGTCGTAGCATCAAACTGTTGAACAGCCAAAGAATACCATTGTCAAACTCTTTATAAAAAGTTGTAAATTAAAAGGATCTGGATGTTATCATTGCTTTTTTTTGTTTTTAAAGCATTGCATTTTGTTTACATTATCTACATTGCCTTGCTTCCATGCCATGGATTTACAATTGCTGAGCTCTCCAGTCATCGTCACTATCGCTTTCATCCTCATCTTCGTCCATGAAATCAATAGGCTGTTTCCGTGCTGCAGTTTTCTTCTGATAGGCTAGTTTTAATTGATCTCGGACACTGCTCTTCAGCTCCCGGCTGCTGGTATCGTCTTCGCCAAATTGCGTCGTTTTAGGGGCGGCAACGGGTAGAGGAGCCCGACTGCCTTCGAGTCTGATCCGTTTGAGATCACTAACGCGAGCCACCAATTCCTCTTGCTGCCTTTCCAGGTCCTCATCTCTATCGCGCCATAGTTCTTCTTCATCAATTTCTTCATTGATAGCTGCTGCCTGCTCATCTTCAGCCACCGCGTTTTTGAAGAGTTCGTATTCATGATCTAGATCAGCTTCCAGTTGTTCGGCTGGAGCTGGCGCATTCCGTGCTTTGGCGTCCGCTTCCGGATCATCGAAGAATCCAGCTGGTAACTTTGAGTCGGTTTCCGCGGTAGGTTGTTCTTCTTCAACAGGCGCATCGAAAAACCCTTCAGGTAAAGCAGACGTCGGTTTTTCGTCCGTCTCCATATCTTCATCGCTGTCTGACTCTTCTTCCTCCTTCTCTACCCGTTGTCGTTTTGCAGGTTGCGCACCTGCTTCGTCTTCGCTATCGTCATTCGAATCATCGGAACCATATCCAACCAACGTATCACGTTGGGACGCAGTTCTAGCCTGGACTTTATTTTCTCTCTGCGTTGTCTGAGGAGCTTCCTTCATTTGCCGAAGTTTAGCCAGAGTCTGTTTATGGGAAGCACTTGAAAGGTGGGATGGCCAAACAACCTCATTCTTTACAGGAATGGCGCAAATCAAGCAAGTCAAGCGTCCCTGGGTATCATACTTGGCTAAAGGGTGTTGCACTTGCTTTGCTGATTTCCTCTCTGTGCGTGATTTATTTAACAAGCTGCGAACATCAGGTTTGGGAGGCATGGCGAATGGGTGCAAAAGCAAGCAGGAAGGAACGAGCTGTGACTGGCAAAACCGAGGAGTACATTTATTCTTTTTTTTTTTTTTTTCCTTGCACTGAAATCTACCTACGATCCTCCGCCAGGTGCGAAATACAAGATGTCAAAAGACGACGACAGTTTCGATGTCATGGAGGCATTCTCCAGTGCTCCCGTTCCCGAAGAGCTAACTATGCAGGACCAACGCAAAAAGCGCAAAGCCGAGAAAGCCAAGGCGAAGGCGCAAGACAAGTAAGTCCCAGACACAGTTGAAAGAAAAATTATAACCGTATGTACGGTGATTAATCGATTTGACTATCAGACTGGAGAAAAACCGTGAAAACCGAGAGAAGAAGAAAAAGAAGAAGGATAAGATGAAGAAGCGCAAGGTTAGTTTTTTACACTGCATTTGATCCCCTCGATCATCCATTGTACTTTATTGACCGTCCACTTGCCTATCGTAGAGAGGAGAAGATGTCAGTGATGATAGTGATGCTGAAGACGAAGAAGGATCTTCAAAGGAAGAAGGTGCTGCCAACGATGAAGAAGGAGGTGATTCCAAAGATAAACCAGCCAAGAAAGCAAAGACCGAGAAACCAGTTAAAGAATCTAAAAAGGCTCCAGGTGTTTGGATCGGTAACTTGTCATTCTCCACCACCGAAGCTGATTTGAAGGCTTATTTCTCAAAGTGTGGAGAGATTACCCGTATCAAATGTCCCCCTGGCAGAAACGCTCGTCAAAACAATCAAGGGTAAGTTCAATCATTGACTTTTAGTAAACTATGTCAGCGCAGTGGATGACTAACAACCATCATATTGTTCCAGATTTGCCTTTATTGACTTCGCCACTGAAGAAGCTGTAGCTGCAGCAGTCGCAAAATCCGAGAGCGATTTGAACGGTCGTGCCCTTTTGATCAAGGATAGCAAAAATTACGAAAAGACTGGGCGACCAAAGAGAGAACCAGTTGAAGGAGAAGCAGTAGCGGATGGAGGCAAAGCTGGAGATAGGATCGCGAAAAAGCAAAAGAACCCTCCCAGTCCCACCGTCTTTGTAGGAAATCTTAGCTTCAATACCACTCGTGAAGCCATTCAACAACAATTTGAACCATGTGGGAGAATTAGAAAGGTTCGATTGGCCACTTTCCAAGACACTGGAAAGTGCAAAGGGTAATGATCTTTTTGTACAATGTCACCGCCCCATCATCTAGGCTTCGAACTAACAAATGCATCACACAGATTCGCATACATTGATTTTTTCGATGTTGACTCCGCAACAAAAGCCCTTCGTGCACCCGACAAGCACACACTGGATAATCGCAAGATTAGATTAGAGTATGCTAGTGAGGAGGCAACAAAGAAGGCTACACCTTGGGTATACCGACAAGAGCGAAAGGACGCTGAAGCTGCGACGGAAGAGCCGCAAGCCAGCCCTGCTCAAGAAGAGCGCCCTGCCATTACTACAAATGAAAAGGCAAAGGAAGAGCGAATAGCAAAGAAATTAGAACGTGAATTGAAACGCAAGGATGGACCATCTAGAGAAGGTAGAAGCAATGCCACTTCTGGAGCTATTCTGGCCAATGTACAGAGACAAAAAGTCACAGCTCAGCCATTCCAAGGCACCAAAATCACCTTTGATTGATAGAAAGCTCTTTATTACATACACCTACAATTGTTGTTTCGTTCTCATTATTTTCCCATGCACTATTGTATTTTCGCAAAAACAAAAAACACACACCAGTTCTTGTAAACATTGATCTCCATTGATTCATATGTTATCTGTCTCCCATAAGTTTTGACGGGCTGTCATCCAAGATTCAATATCAGGTTTCAATTGCTCATTCAAATTGTACGTCCTCATCATGCGATAAAACGCTTTGCGTATCTCTTTTGACTTTTCAGGGTTTCTGGCAAAAACTCGAATGTTGATTTCTTGAAATTGGGATGGCACAAGGGACGATACTTGTTGCTTGGGAATGGTGAAAGACCCTAAGGGAAACAGCAGGGCAAGAGTTACAGACTTGAAATACGGTTTGCTGGTGATGCTGAAACTACGTACCTTGGTCTTGATGCCGCTTACTGAAGAACCGAACAGAGTCCATTGGATTACGGTCCTTCATAGCATAATTAATCACCAGCCATTCAATAATCACATCCTCCTCCACCAAGCCACTGTTATCCGACTGGTAGCTGACCAATTCTCGGGCAGAAATCTTGTCCTAAAGATGCTAATGAGCAGTTGCTTTATTGCGTTGTGAGAACTTTTGGAAGTACTTACTTTTGTAATATGCGACTCCATGCCAGCCGGAATAAGAAATTCATCCACAAATCGATAGAGTTTACGTGTGCGTAGTCTTTTGATAATTTGACGTGCATCCTTTAGCTCATCATCCTCTGAATGCTCAATTGTCTTCAAAATACCATCTGTGAGCTTCCAAAATTTCTTAGGGTCTTCCACTGATTCCGATATCTTGAGAAAAGGATCTGTGGTCATAGAACGTTAGGGCTGCTGATTATATCATTCATGCCAATACATAGTTTATCGCTTACCGGCGGCAACTAAGATATCAGTGATCATGCACTCGACAGCCTTAGCTGAAATATGAAATGCGTTTTAACATTTTGTTATGTGCAATGTAGCTAAACCTGATTTCGTTCACATACCTTTTCGGTGGGTATACATTTGCTTGAAGAGGCTATATCGAGTATGAAAGATTTCATACAAATTGTACACCTCTTTCTCATGGTAGCATATCTGATTGTCGATAACTCGAGAGAACCACATCAGTCGTTTGGCGTCGTAGGAAGACTTGGCACCTAGATTGTAGCAGTCCCGTTCAATGTAGTCAAATTTGTCCACATCTAAACTGTTGCGCTTGTTGGCGACTATGTCGAACAAAAATGCTCTATCATTCGCTTGACTAAATTGATGCGAGTGTTACCATTTTACTGGTCAGCCTACGGTGTAGTCAACACTAATGACAAGGGACCATGAACATACCTGGTTGATTTGGGGACTCCAGCAATCAAGTCTTTGATAAAATTGATTTGGTGTCTATCAATATCAATGTAGTTGTCGTCTATCAAATACTCTAACATCATCTCTGATGCCTCTTCATGAGTCCATCGTTTGTGAGGTCGGGCAAGTGGCATAAATTCATTGTCGAATAAATGTGAATAGGGACCATGACCAAGGTCATGGCACAATCTGTTAAAGTTTCAAACAAATGCATGATTAGCATGGCCTTTTTGCAAGTCGCCAGTTTACCCTTTGTCGTACCCTGCTATCTTGACACTATCAATTTCGTCCTGTGTGATATGTAACTCCGGTTGATTCTCTTTGAAATGCTCAATCACGCCAGCAGCCAAGTATGAAACTCCTGTGAACGTTATTCAGCCCACAACAGCATAAATATTGACAAGCATTCTGGGGTTTATAGCTTACCAAGCGAATGCTCAAACCGATTATGGCTGGCGCCCTGTAGATCCATAAAGGGGTGAATGATAAGTTATAGTTGATTGTTCAAACCACCGATGTATTCAAGAAGATTCAAATATTACGTACTGGGAAGACATAGTAACAAGCGCCTAACTATTTTGCGCGACGCCAACAGTGTTAGCAACAATGAGCAGTATTTTGTTATGTTAGCGTCAAGTACCTGTTTTAACTCGCGGAGCCGTTGAAACTGGACGGTATCGGCGAATTGCATCTGAACATCATCCAGGCTTTAAAAAACAAGTCAAAAACGTATATCAGTAGAAACAGCCTGAGTAGAAGCATATCGGAACCACAGGAGTACATACCGTATATGACCCTTGATGCGATACCGGGTAAATGACGTGTTAGAGCTCAAATTGGTGTTGTGTCTCGTATTCATGTCAGTACTTACATGTATGGGGTCGTTAAATATTTTTCCATAGTTCAAGTGATCGTAAGAAAGGTTTCCTGGTATATTGTGGTTAAAGGTCAAGCCGGACATAGCGGTAACAGTGCAAAGAAGGTAGTGCAAAGAGTAACAGCGTGGAAAAAGATCACAGTTGAGCAGACATCGCGGTCCGAAACTTTTGGACCCACTCCAATGAAAGACAGTCACACTTTCAGCCAGCGGATTCTGAGCACTCAAGAAGAGCTCGTCGACGCATCCTATTGAACCTTCTTTTTAAAACGATGGCTGCCGTCTCTCAGATTAGCAAGAAGAGAAAGGTATGGCCTTCTGATTCAATTTGATTATGGATGATGGATGATATCTGGATGATACAGATACATCTCGACATGCCTCAATTGTGCCATTAACAATGATACTAATTTCTGACATTTGCCCATATTTTTCCAATTCTCAATTTCATCCTAATGTCTACACTCTCGCCCTGGACAATCTTCCTCTACACCAAAACAACATTGTATTCCGATCCATCTTACGACCCAATTCACTCAACTACACTATAGTTCGTAAGTGAACGGCTTCTCGTTGAATGACAAAAAGACACATCTCGACCCTTTTCATTGACCGGAATTATTATATGTTGTAGGTTGCTGATGGTGTTTTCTACGCCGAATTGAACGAGTTCTTCACCCGTGAGCTCTCCGAGGATGGTTACTCTGGTGTCGAAGTTCGCGTCACTCCCGCTCGCACTGAGTGAGTACTTTATTACAACATGGCTACCGTCCCTCTGGCATCTTTCTAAACCCTGAATTTTTTGTTATCGTTGTATAGGGTCATCATCCGTGCCACCCACACCCAAAACGTCCTTGGTGAGAAGGGTCGCCGCATCCGCGAGTTGACCTCCCTCGTCCAGAAGCGTTTCAAGTTCCCCGAGAACACCGTTGAGCTTTACGCTGAGCGTGTTCAAAACCGTGGTCTTTGCGCTATTGCTCAGTGCGAGTCTGTTAAGTTCAAGCTTCTCAACGGTTTGGCTGTCCGTCGGTTAGTACAATTTCATAGGGTGTGTGCATGTGAAGCTCCCTGAAGCATAGATCTAATACGGCGAACTTTTTTTTTTAACTTTCAGCGCTTGCTATGGTGTCCTTCGTTTCATCATGGAATCTGGTGCTAAGGGTTGCGAAGTTGTTGTCTCTGGTAAGCTCCGTGCTGCTCGTGCCAAGTCCATGAAGTTCACCGATGGTTTCATGATCCACTCTGGTCAGCCCACTCGTGATTTCATCGACACTGCTGTTCGTCACGTCCTTCTCCGTCAAGGTGTCCTTGGTATCAAGGTCAAGATCATGTTGGAGTACGACCCCACTGGCAGAGCCGGTCCCAGAAACAACCTTCCCGATATTGTCACCATTTTGGAACCCAAGGAGGAAACTCCCGTCACTGAGCCCGTCTCCCAGGACTTCAGCAAGCCCGCTGCTCCCGCTGCTGCCCCCGCTGCTGAAGCTGCTCCCCAGACCGTTGCATAAATTCCACTTTTCCACTGGCAGTCATCTGTGATCGCACATGCGGTTTTTTTCTTAATAAAACAGATCTAACTTTAAAACGAATGTCATTGAATAAGTGTTGGGGGTTTCATTGGATTTCATATAACGATGCAATTGCATCATTTTCTTTATTACATTTTTTCACAATCAATCAATATTTTGGTTCATTTCAATTCATTGCCGAGTTTGACCTCATTTTAATAGTTGGCAGGAACTAGTTCCCAACGCTGGTTGCTGGCAACACCACCAGCACGTCTTTCATAGAGAATGACGGAGGCACCAGCTCTGTCCTCGGCACCCTTGATATCGAGCACAAGGTTAGGATCAGCAGTGGAGTGAATGTAGCCTTCATGGTCAATTTCCCATCTCTGGTTGCTTTCGGTTTCATATTCAGGCTTTTGGTTGTATTGGATGATATGAGCTGTTGCAGGGCAAGCGTGTCAGTCATAGCATCAGTTGAACAATACATAGTAGCATAAAATGGCTCAGCTTACCATCAGGACGAATGTTACCACCCTTGATATCTAGGACTTTACCGCTGTTGACGTTGACAAAAGCCCCATTGCGGTATTCCCAAAGCCTGTTTGCAAATGACCAAACAAATGTATTAGAAATAAGCAGACCGTGAAATTCATTAACAGTGCAGTTATTAGCTTACTGGTTCTGGGCTTCGGTTCCCTTTTGGTCCCAGACAATGATGGGAGCGTTGTCGTTGACGGAACCACCTTCGACATCAATGACACGGCCATTATACTGTATGAAAAACGGTCAGAACAGTCCCGTATATGCCAAAGCATCCAAGTACAGTCAGACATATTACCTGGCTGCGAATATAGAAAGGTCCTCTGGGAATGTGTGCCATAGTGTAAGATAGTAGATGCTTGATCTGATTGATATTCTGTAGCGAGAGTGGGGGTTCGTTTTTATACTTTCGAGTTTCCGCGGCGTAACTAGGGGCGCCTGCCTTGGTCGCTTTGCTATGGCAGATCGAGCGTCATCCTCGGCTTCCGCCACCCAAAATGGTCTTAACATCAATAAGCCCATTCCATGCATACTGATTTTTTTTTGAAACTCAATGTGGGGGGAGGGAGGGTTTGCTCCTGGTCGTGGTGGCAATGTATGGTGTGGAAGCTTACGTCTTCTATGCCAGATACCAAGCAAACAATCCTCTAGTTACGCAATTATTTACACTGTGTGAAAATACCTATGAACCCTCAAGCAAACTATGAGCCGCGTCTTGTGATGGCTTAACATATGAGCTAATATTGAGAAAAGAGTATGCCTCTTGCCAATGACTAGCTTCAAGAAGGAATTCTTGGCCATCGTATGACGAAACATGGTTTGTTCTCAGCATGAGAAGCTGGACTAACGTTTGGAAGTTTCGGAAGCCATGTATCCGTAGTGACCCCCTTGAACCCCCTCCTTTTCAGCTTTATGATTTGCAGCTGGAAGTCCAAACTAAAATGCATCACGGCATCGCGTATTCCCATTACGACAATGATCTGTGCCTCATCTAGTACACACATGGTGTGATCTATACCAGCGCTTGCTTTGATATAAAAAAAGAGAGAAAAAATTATTTTACATGTTTCGAGACAAGTGAAGCAGGACCTATGTTACAACATTTTGTATTCTGCGATTTCGAGGTTATATGGCGAATATTCAAGGGCTTAGCACAACGCGACACCTTGACTAGATGAGACCTCGATCCATTGCAGGGGTGAAGGAACGGCACTTTACGTGTTTACAAATATCTAGAGGTGTGCGCTTGAATTTATCGTTGCTCCTATTAAGTCATCTTAACGATGTAATTCTATCACTGTTAGTTGAAATCGACGCGCAAATATTAGCTAAGCATTTGATACTTGATTGTGATATAAATAATAGAAGCGTAGCCCCTATGCTCAGAATTGCTTTTAAAATAGTAAAAAGTGTCCCGCTAGGAGGTGCTGTACTGTAGAAACGTATCATCCCATTGAGGCTGCTTGACCGGCGTCCATATATTAAGGGGGTTTAGTTTTGTGCCAGACCAAAAGTTTGATGCTTTCGATGAAATCCAATTAGAAGATGTGTATAAGTGAAAGTACTCTAATGAAATGAATGCTCTTTTTCATCACTACGTTGAATACTCTTCTTTGTGAGCTTTAGAATAGAAGGTTGTAATTGGTTGTCGAATAAATGCTATAAAATAAATTTTAGTCATAAAATTGATGACGGCCGGCTATAATCCCAGCCCAGTGATTTACTCTTCAGTACAACAGGAATTAAGCGACTCTTCAGCGAGAACTAGTTCAACATGTCAGAGTCAACACTCTTCCGTTCGGAAGAGATGTCACTCGTTCAGCTGTACATTCCAAGTGAAATTGCGCAGCCAACAGTGACCGAACTTGGCGAGCTTGGCCTTGTACAATTCCGAGATGTAAGGGATTGCTTCTCTAACGCTGTTGCCACACCACCGTCTTCCAACATTGCTAACAATATACTTGATTCCACAGTTGAATCCTGATGTCAACGCATTCCAACGCTCTTTTGTATCTGAAATTAGAAGACTGGATGAGATGGAACGTCAATGCCGCAAGTATTCTATATCACAATGTCACCTAATAGCTTAAGCAATGCCAACTGACACGGATATATTTTTCTAGGTTTCTTTGAGAAACAACTGGAAAAATCAGAGATAAATACACGTGCATTGACGACCGCAACCTATTACGCTCGTGCTCGGTCTGCCCAAGAAATCGACGACTTGGAGGAGCGATTGCGTGAACATGAAGTCCGCATTCTGCAGATGAACAACTCTCACGAGAAACTGCAACGAAAGTACTTGCAGCTTACAGAGCTGCGTCATGTTCTTAGAGAAACTGCTGTATTTTTTGAACAGGTTTGGATCAACGCTGTAACGGATATATTTTATAAACACCAGCTCTTGTCTGACACGTTATTGCTTTAGGCTGAATCGCGCCAAGATTCGATTAGAAACCTGTTCGATAACCAGGAAACTGATACTGCTCCTCTTCTTGAACGCGACGTTGAACAAGCTAACTTTGATGGAACCGGTTTGAACCTTGGCTATGTCACTGGTGTCATTTCAAAGGACCGCCTACCAACGTTCGAGCGGGTGCTTTGGCGATCACTCCGTGGAAACTTGTACATGAATTCAGCCGAAATAGATGAGCCTATTACAGATCCTGTTACTGACGAAGTCTTGGAAAAGAATGTATTTATCATCTTTGCTCACGGACGGGAAATTATCAGCAAAATCAAGAAGATTTCTGAAAGTCTTGGAGGCACCATTTACTCTGTTGACGAATCACCAGACAAGCGACGGGATGAACTTTTGGAAGTCACATCTCGCATAGAAGATCTTCACAACGTTTTATCCAACACCAATCAAACTAGACGCGCCGAGCTTCTCAAGATTGCAGAGAACCTCACCGCATGGTTCACCATTGTTAAGAAGGAGAAGGCTATATACCATGCTATGAACTTGTTCAACTATGATGCCACGCGCAAGTGCCTGATTGCAGAGGGATGGTGCGCTACACGCGATATCCCTGTTATTCAGAACGCTTTGCGAACTGCTACAGTAAGTCTATCTGCACATTGTGTTCGCTAGTATCTCTGCTGAAAGAACCGTAAATTCACCTTCAATATCATTAGGAATCGACTGGATCCAATGTCTCATCGATTCTAACGGAGCTACGAACTCGCAAGAAGCCTCCAACCTTCCATCGCACTAACAAGTTCACTGAAGGTTTTCAAAGTATCATCGATGCCTATGGTATTGCTCGATACCGTGAGGTCAATCCTGGTCTTTTCACTCTCATTACGTTCCCTTTCTTGTTCGCTGTCATGTTTGGCGATACTGGTCACGGTTTCTTGATGTTGATCTTTGCTTTGTACCTGGTTCTGAACGAAAAGAAGTTGGCAAGACAAGAGCAAGATGAGGTATGTTATACAGCATTGATTGTAATTACAACGAAGTATTAACTTTTTTTTTTTCTTTTCATCACTATCGCCAGATTTTCAGCATGTTCTTCTATGGTCGATATATCATTCTCCTCATGGCTATCTTCTCTCTCTACACTGGTGCATTGTACAATGATGTCTTTTCACAATCATTGACCCTCTTCAAGACTGGCTTTGCTTGGCCATCCAACTTTACTACCGGACAAACAGTTGAAGCTATTTCTTTGAATCAAACCTATCCTTTCGGTCTCGACCCTGTAAGTTCTATTTGATAATTACCTTTTGTTGTTATTACCTCTCGCTCATACGTTATTTTCAGACATGGCATGGTGCCGACAATGCATTGCTGTTCACCAATTCATACAAGATGAAACAAGCTATTATTATTGGTGTCGTACATGTAAGTGGAATAGTTCCCATCAGAATTGGTATATTGAATGTCTCTAACTAACGAGTACAATTTCTACAGATGACCTTTGCTATCTGCTTGAACATCTTCAACCATATCTATTACGGTAACAAGATGTTTGTCTGGCTTGAATTCCTTCCTCAAATCCTCTTCATGGAGTCTATCTTCGGCTACCTCATTTGCCTGATTCTTTACAAGTGGAGTGTCAACTGGTGGGAATTGGATGCTAGTGGCAACCACATTCGAAACTCTCCACCTAGTTTGTTGAATACGCTCATTTACATGTTCTTGCAACCGGGTTATGTCGATCCCAAGGACCAATTGTTCCCTGGTCAAGTAAGTGCCTGCAAGTTTTCTTTCAAGCGAAGTAATGTCCTCGTAGTTCGTATACTAATGACACAAAATCTTTTCTCAGGGCCCACTTCAAATGTTCTTGATTCTTATTGCCGTTGTCTGTGTCCCATGGATGCTGTTGGGCAAGCCTTACTATTTGAAGGCGCGACATAGCAAGCATCAGTACGAAACTGTTGCTGGCGACGAAGATGTTGCTTTCGATCATGAAGAAGAGCAGGATGGCCACACCGCCGCTAACGAGCATCATGCCATTGATGATGAAGAAGAGGAAGAGGTACAGATAATCCACTTTGAGATGTAGAACATGATGTATTGCACGTCAAGATTTACTTATATCTGGTTTTCATGCATTTAGTTCGAGTTCAGCGAAGAGATGATCCATCAATCCATTCACACCATCGAGTTCTGCCTCAATTGTATATCCAACACGGCTTCGTACCTTCGTCTTTGGGCTCTTTCCCTTGCCCACGCTCGTAAGTTCACATACTAGGACACTGGCTGCGACATGACTCTGCAAGCAAAATGGTTGACTTCATTTTCATTTCCTAGAATTGTCCACTGTCCTTTGGGAAATGACTCTTAAAATTTGGTTTTATTACACCGGCGCTTTGGCCGTTGTTGGACTTGTCTTTGGGTTTTCGCTTTGGTTCGTGTTGACCTGCGCGTAAGTATCCATTTTCATGCCACGGAAGGAGCTTTAAGGTGGTCAGCCGTTGATCTCATTGTTGTGTTTCCAGAATTCTTTTAGGTATGGAAGGTCTTAGTGCTTTCTTGCACGCCCTTCGTTTGCATTGGTAAGTGACACATTATAATAGAACGCAATCAAAAGGTTTCGATTGGGGCTAATATGTCTTGTTTCATATCATAGGGTCGAATTCGCTGGCAAACATTATCTCGGAGATGGATACAAGTTTGAGCCTTTCTCATTTGCCCAAGCATTGTCTACCCAATAACTAAACATTGTAGACATCTGTTTTTCATTTCATTTCTTATTTCTGCAAAAACCATCACAATAAAACGTTTGACTATGTGATTATGTCAAAACATGCGAGTATTTACAAATTGCACAGGTCTGATTCATCATCCATCCCACACAGGAAAATGTGACGTAGTTGGAGGAATAATTTCACCGTCCGCTTGGCGATATTCCTTGGCTGTGACAGCTCGGCATGGCGTCTTTACTCTTGTTCCATCTCTTTCATCATGGTTGTCGATAACATGCTGACTATCTCTGGAGGATTCTTCTCCTTGGTCCTTCTCATCCTTGATTTCATTGCCATCTTTGAGATTCTCAACTCCACTCGCACTACTGTCAACAAGGTTCTGTGGAGTTTGTTCGTCTTCTTCTTCCCTGTTCTCGGCTTGCTTTGCTACTTGTAAGTATTGGCCCATGATGGAGCTGCCCCTAAACGTTTTTGCACTGTTTTCTGATTCAATTCCCTTCTAGCATTTTCGGTGACCGTGAGCGCCATAACCAGAGCTACCAAGCATTGCCATGAAACAGGCTACAATGTTATTTTTTTAACTCGAGTTCGATGGCCGCCCGCTTGCACGATGTACCACTCCGGTTATTTCCTTATTGATTGCTTTTTGCCTGAAATAAACTTTGGCCTTCGCGCAGTAAACTAAACTTTGAGGAGACAAAATGGTTTATTTTAAATGATATGAGATGTAAAGAGATGGGTAATTCTCCTTCGGAACACCAGGGATGGGGGGGATTAATTATCTTGATCTATCCTTCAAGAATGGTCGAGGGTATGTCATGCGACTAGCTGGATATAAGGTTATTCTACAGTCCGCGGTGCAATTCGGATTGCAGTTGATGAATAAGTCTATGAGAAAAACAGTGAGTTTCACGTAATGCTGCAAGGGTAGTTCTATTACACGTATCTTACTTCGTGTCCGATAGAGATAAAATATAGGTAGGTACTTACTTAAGCATCTGATCGTTCTCATCACGGATGCCTTGGCTTTGCCTGGTAAGAGTAGCAATCTTCTCAGCGTCTCGCTTGCGTTCTTCCAGGAGAGCGGCCAGTCGTGCCTAAAAGAGATGCAATGGAACAAAAAAAGAAAGGATACAACAAATAATGTAAACGATGCAAGAATAAGACAAGGATGGAAGTGTGCAAGTGGGTATAGATGATGTCGAAATCAGATGCGGGATAGAAATAAACATATCATAGGTATGGTATGGTATAGAGTGATTGGGTATAAGAAAAGTGAGGGAAAGTTATATCATCAGAGTCAGGTACTGTTCGATATGATCACCATTGTCAAAGTCAAATGAACAAAAGGAAAAGGTTGCAAAGGTAGAAGGGGTACAGATAACACCAATTTTGTTTCTTTTAACATTTCTCATTCGCCACGCCCCCACCAGTAAAAAAGAATCAAGATATACATACCTCGTAGCCTTCAATGTGTCGTTGTTGTTCCGAATCATTTGAAGAGTGATGAGGTGTAGACTGAGCACGTTCTCGTACCTCACTGAGTTCCTTATCCTTGAGGGCAAGAATTTGCTCAAATTGAGTTTGCAAAATCTTGAAGGACTCACTGTGCTGCTCTTCGAGCTGCTTGGTCTTTTGCTGGTTCTCAACCTGTATGAGACATAAGGCACTTAATCATACACGCACATTAAACCTTTCCATGGGTGATATCAATTTACCTCAACTTCCTTACGAACAGATTCCTGAAGTGCTTCCAATTCACGCTTGTGCTTTTCAGCGAGTGTCTGTTCCTGGTTAGCAGATTGCTCGGCAATCTCCTGAAGCTTAGCATTCAAAACTTGTTGCTCTTTACTTCTTTCCTCTGTCAAAGTAGCATACGATGCATTCAATTCGGCAAACTCCTTTTGGTATTGCTCATTGCTGGCATAAAGGGGTGCCATGTCTTCAAGACGGTTGGTGGCGGTCTCCAAGGCATTCTGCAAAGATTCTGTTTGAACAGTCAAAGATTCAAGCTCTTCGCGGAGTCGGTCAACGTCATTGTCCTTGCTTGCAGAGGCGGCTCTAGCTTCTTCCAAACTCTGGTTATGTTCAGTGTGGACGGTTGCTAGCGCCTCTTCGTGATGGCGGACCAAATCTTCCATCTCCTTCTTCACACCTTCAAATTCTGCTTGAGCCTTACGACGTTGTTCGGCCCAGGTCTCGGCCGCATCATTGTTATTGGTGTTGAGTTGCTGAATTTCATCTCGAAGTTGTTGTTCAAGCTTATGGCGCTTAGCCTCCTCTGACTGCAACTGTTGTTGCAACTCCTTAATTTGAACAGCAGCATTGGATGCATTGGCAGACTTGAATTCCTCCATGCTCTCCTCTTGCTCCTTGTTCTTCGCTTCGAGCTCCTCAACCAAAGTTTTCATGGATGCCAATTGACTGGTAAGATCGCCATTTTGAGTTTCAGTAATCTGACTTTCACTCTTGAGAGCTTCGAGCTGGTTACTCAAGTTTTCAATTTCAGACTGCAATTTCTGGGCTGTTTCATCATGGCTTGCCATAACGTCCTTCAGCTGTTGCTCAGCAGAAATCTTTTGCTCATTGAGCTCGAGGAGAGTCTGTTGCTGAAGAGACTTTTGGTCTTCGGCTTCCTTCTGGGCGGCAGTCAATTGTTCCTGTAGCTCCTGAACTGCAGCATTGCTCTTCTCTTGAATTTCCAAAATTTCAACCTCACGGGCTTTTTGGATGGCATCAAGGTCAGCTTCAGCTTTCTTCAGTGTTACATCCAAGTCAGAGACAATGGAAGCGTGGTCAGATTGCAGCTTTTCGGCATGTTCATTGTGCTTGGATTCAAAATCAGTGGTAAGTTGCTGCTTGAGTTGTTCCAACGCATCTTGGTGGTTTTGCTTGAGGGCATCAATAGCACTGGCATGTTCGGCAGAGAGAGTTTCTTCAACCCCTTTGCTTGCTACTTGGACGGTTTCCAGATCAGCAGTCAGCTTAGCAATCTGCTCTTGTAGTTTTGCAGTCGCTTCTTCCAGTGCAGCCGAGTGTTCAGTACCCAAAATTTCAATTCGGCTAGCATGCTCTTCTTGAATACTCTTTTCACGACCTTCCAGGTCAGACAAATTTTGCTTGAGAATTTGCAATTCCTGTTCGTGAGCAGCTTTCAAAGCTTCCACAACTGCATCATGTTCTGACTGCAATGTCTTATGGCAAAAAAAAAAAATTGGGTAAGTACAGAACCACCAATGTTTAAACAGCCTAGCTAGTATATCATAAATCCATGCTTACCTCGATTGCTGAAGTTTCGTTAGCCTTTTTCTCATCCTCATTAGTCAAGGCATCAGATCGAATCTTCTCAATCTCACTGGCATGAAGGCTGTTGATCTCTTCCAGTTGAGCGGTATGCTGTTCACTCAGCTGCTTTGTCAGTTCAGCAACTCTGTTTTGTTGAGCTGTGTGCATTTCTTGAATTTCTCCTCGCAAAGTATCCACTTCAGCACGAAGATCGGAGGCTTCTTTTTGACTGTCTTGAAGCAATTGATTCAAGTCATCGATCTGGCTTTGCTTTTCTTGCTCAATGCTGGCAATACTGGCTTCAATTTTGGCTTCGAGCTTGGAGCGCGTTTCCAGCAATTCTGCAACTTCAGATCTGTGCTCCTCAACTTGATGAGCAGCAGTCTCCTTCAATTCCTGAATTTCCTTGTTAAGCTCTTCAATACGTTGCTTAGTTTCTTCGAGAGCTTGAGTTGTCTCAATTTGAGCGGTTTCATCAGCCTCATCAATGGGTGCGTCTGCTACTTCAGATGACTCGCCTTCAGGCACTGGGGTAAGAGGTGCTTCATCAAGGACGATAGATTCCTCAGCCTTGTCTTCGGTAGCACTTTCAGCGATCGTTAGCTTTTCAACGGCTTCCTTCAAATCCGCAATTTCTTTCTCTTTCTCCTCCAAAAGTGTTTGCTTCTCATACAGATTTGTCTCCATTTCCTTCGTCTGCATTACCATTAGTACAACGAAATATTTATGCCATGTCACCTACAGTTTCACTGTCGTACCTTAAGTTTCAGATTTCTGAGTTCTTCAGAAGCGGAGCTTTTGGAGAGACCATTTGCAGGCAAGGAGGCTCTCTTTGAAGCAACAGTCGATCCGTTGATCGAAGTTCTCTTGCTATCAATTGGAGAAATGGTTCCTGTTCCAGCAGCTCGGCGAGGAGTGCTACTGGAGGTGGCAGGTGCACCTCGTGTTGTGGTGGTTCCTGAGCCTACAGTGGTTCTACGTGACAGACCAGCTCCTGTCGAACGTCCAACAGTGCTTGCACGCGCAGCACTTGTAGGTGTGCGGGGTGATGCCGGGGTCACTGGCAGCTTTGCACCACCGGCCGTAGTGCGCTTAGCTGGGAGGGTCTTCGCTTGCGATGACACATTGGTAAGAGATGTTGGTCTGGTCTTTGTAGGAGCGGCAACGGGTTGCTGAGGCTTGATACCCAGTTCCTCCAGAAGGGATTTTCGTTCACGAGGTTTTGCTGTCGACATGATGAGGAAGACGAAATGGCAAGCAAGGTATGTTACACGACTCAGAACTGCTTTTCGAGACTGGCTTTTTTTTTTCTTTCGACATCGCATCAAATTATTATCAACACATGGTCACCCTGACTCTCTTTATTACAGCCTGCAATGAAATATGATGTTGGTGCTATATTGTATTATGAATAAGTTTATGTTTTGCGGGCCGGTTGTCTACTGCAGTTTGGTCATTTGATGCCTACGACACACCATTTCCTTTGCTATTCCAAGCCAATGTATGGCTACAAAAAGCGCTATATTCCGAAGATCCGTAATGACTTACTGCTCACACTCTGTTCCAAAGTATGGCCTCACGAGGACTCGCGTAACCGTCTCCGCATGAATCATACTGGTTGTCGTTATTCCAGGTTAATGTAGTGATCAGACTTTGCTTTGTGTGTTCACGTTCATAATTGAGCATAAACAAGCCGCCCCTATCCAGTGTAAAAGTATAGACTGCTATGGTGTGTTGCTTTGGGACGCGGGGCTGTTTGAAAGGTGGCCGAGACTCCTGAATAACAACGCAAAGGATTGAAAGTCAGTAGATATTCAGGCAACTCCGGTGGTTGGCATATCTCTGACAGGCCCTGCTTACAACACCCTTTAACTGAGGAAATACAAATTTAACAGTGACAAGTTACCCATAAGCGTAGTGTCATTTGCAAAAGTACTTCTATTTTAACTGTTTTTCTAATGACGGAGCTGTTTGATGACCAAACATTTGGTACTTCAAGGCTAACTTTAGCGCGTAAAAAAAGAACCAAACGTAAATAGCTATTTCGTAGCTCAGCTTTTCATTTCATTTCATTATCTGTATTTAATATTTCTGGGCTCTTCAGGCTTTTGACACTTTCAATTTGCTCTGACGCTAGGCACTCTGTATTCTAAAGTAAAAATTGACTCGGAAGATGGATTCAGTCCTCGTGAAGATAAGAACAGGTTGACCGTCGAATGGGCATCCAGCACATATGATCTTTTTATTTAACGGTAATGGGGTTTAGCTGTAGTGAATACATGAATAGCTTCTCTTATTTTTTGTCTTGCTCTCTTAAACAGCGTAGTAAACAATATAAAATAGGTACGCGTTTTGCCCACATTGTTTCTTCTCCCTGTTCCAGGACGAGTCACATGACTTACCGATTTCCAATATAAAAATCAATCCTCCTGGAGCTCAGTGCGTCATCAAAGAACGCGAGGACAGTACACGTCTTCATAGTACGAAGTTACCGCAGAGTGTAATAACCTTTTGTAACTATAACACCAATACAATGTCGGGCGATTACTCGTTCAGTCTTACAACCTTCAGCCCTTCAGGAAAACTTGTATGTTACTTCTTCCAATCGCCCTAGCTTTACCAACTATATGCCTGCCTTGACTTGTGAAAGCTGACTTTTTGGTTGTTCCTGTAACCACATTTAGGGCCAAATCGAACATGCGTTGAATGCTGTGAATCGAGGTGTAACCAGCATTGGTATCAAAGGTAAGGTCTACTAAAAGAGTGAAGGACGTTCACTGTGGAAAGCTATCTGTGCGAAAGTTGAAACGCTGACCGGGATCTCTCCTCTCTTTCGCCTATGCCGATTCATAACCTTTCATTTGCCTTCAACTTGAAACAAAATAGCAACCAACGGTGTTGTCATCGCCACAGAAAAGAAGTCAGCCTCAACGCTCATCGATGACGAGTCAACAGAAAAGGTCGCTGTGATCTGCGATAGCATCGGCATGGTATACTCAGGCATGGGACCAGACTTCAGACTTCTCGTCAGTCGTGCGAGAAAGTATGCTCAGCAATATAAACAATTGTACATGGAGAACCCACCAACACGAATCTTAGTAGAGCAAATTGCTCGCGTCATGCAAGACTACACTCACAGAGGGTAAGAACGTGACTGCATACGATAGGCAAATCCTAACCATCATAACTAATGCAGCCTGACATTGCAGAGGTGTTCGTCCATTTGGTGTGTCCCTTCTCATTGTTGGATACGACGAGGTCAATGGTCCTTCCCTTTACCAAGTTGATCCATCTGGTTCATACTGGGCTTGGAAGGCTAGTGCTATTGGCAAGAACATGATCAACGCGAAAACCTTTTTGGAGAAGCGGTAAGTATGGTCGAAATACGAGGCTGGATGAAAGATTATATATTAATCCTCATCTTCGTCACCTGCTGTAGATACAATGACGAAATCGAGTTGGAAGACGCTGTACACACCGCTATCCTTACGGTAAGCACATGAAACGTTTTGATACCATTGCTGCCAATCGTGCTGACATGTCGATTGTCATCTATAGCTGAAAGAAGGGTTTGAAGGACAAATTACGGAAACTAGTCTAGAAATAGGTATTATTGGTACAAGCACTATTGGTGTAGCTGGTAAAGACAGAGAAGAGTTCCCATTGTTCCGAAAGCTGTCACCTAGCGAAGTCAAGGATTACCTCGCCAATATTGCTTGAGGATTATCATAATTCCATGTAATCTTTTTACCCCCATTAAAGATCTTAAATAACCAAAAAAAATCATCTGAGAAAGAATAAAAAATTCAAGAAATGGCAAGTGTATTATAATTTACGTAAGTACTATTATATTATGTGAGTTGAAAGGACACCTTTGGCCGTTTTGCACGGTGCGGTTCCTCTTGATGCAAAGTAGTAGATGGCAAAGGTGGATCTTCAATGGTAACCGATGGTGGAGGATTCAAGCCAGTAGCTACTTGTTCGACTTTATCGTCCGGCTTTACTAGAGCAACAGTTTCGTAGAATGGATCAATGTCTTGTTGGACGATCAAGTCTTCTCCTACACGAGTCTCACATGCTGTTCGAGGAAGAGGAACAAATGAGGCGTGATTTAAAATTTCCTGCATCTTCCTATCATTATAAAACTCTTTGCTAGAAGCAGCTTTTCCGTCTGAAATACAAAATTAGAAATGAACTTCGAATCACCATAAGCGTTAGCATGGCAATACTTACTGTGCTGCTTCTCAGCTTTAATGGCTAACATGGCTCGTCTCTTTAGCATGTTTTCTTCAATCGAAGAACGAATGACTATAGTTTCGACGTATACAGGCTTGGTTTGGCCAATGCGGTGGGCACGTTTGATTGCTTGCTGCTCCATGGCCGTTTGCCACACTGGACTGACGAAATACACACGGGATGCCGAAGATAAGTCAATACCATAAGCAGCGACCTGCACTGACATGATAATGACATTGACTTTGTCTGATGTGTTGAAGGTAAGGATTGTTTGCGATCTTTCAGTGTTACTCTAAAATGCAAAATGGGTCGCTTCAGTGAAATGATTCCATGGTTGCTTGAGAATATGAAAAGATATGACTTACCATTTTGCTGTCTAGATACATCATGGAACGAACTCTAACAAGTCGTAGAGCTGTATATATTTCTTGTATTTCATTCCAATGTTGGGAGAAGATAATGCATTTTTCCGTTTCGTGAAATTGTTTGACCTGATTCACAAGATAATTGATTTTGCTGCTTGTTGTACTGTACACGTTCGCATTGTACAAGTCTGATTTTCCAATGAACGCGAGTGGCCGTGGGACCGGCTCTTGCACTTCGACTTCATTCCCCCCGGACACGTGTGGTAATTTTCGTTTGCGATTGTGCTGTGCCATCGTTTCAAGACTATCTTCGGTCTCATCGTATACCCATAGATTATCTGTGGCTTGATGGCTATTGATCACTTCTGCTGTGATATCCGTAACTGTTTCGCCACTGACAATAGCGTGGCGAGCCGGTACTCCATTTTCAACGTATATACCTGGATGACCGTTCAACCAGCCCCATTTACGCTTTGGGATATCCGGTAAATTCGATATCAAATAGGATGGAGAATGCGTTGTCATCATGGCCAAAAACAGCTTGTCATTCAAAGCTCGTAATAACACATCTCGTATCTCCTTGAGCGCTTTGTTGTCCTCTTCACCATACGTTGTAACTCCTTTGTCGATATCATCAATCTTCTCTACGCAGTTATCATAAGCCGGTTGCAGCCATTGTGGATCGATCGAATGCCAAAGGCAGCTTTGCCACAAGTTGTGAATAGTTTCTCTTAACGCTTTTTGATTTCCTCTTGAAAACAGGTAGTCCTGTCCTTCCCGCCTCGATAAAATAGCATTTAGAGCTACCATTGCCACTTGACAATTATGTGCCTAATAGAGACTTTAGTTTCACACTTATCATGTATTGCCTAGAATTTTCAAGAGTATCTACTTACCATCCATTGGTAGTAATCAAAATCTAAAAAGACAAGCTTTTTGTTCAGTTCTGGGAGAGTTACATCCTTCGATATGTCCTCTCGCCGATTTCTAATCATAACCCGGTGCATGAGCTTTGCAACAGCGATAGAAGCCCGTGGATTACTATGCATGAAAGGGTTCAAAAGAATTGTGTTCCAGGATCTCTTTTTGGAAGCAAATGGCTCCATGTTCAATACGTTGGACACCAGGATTCCCAGCCTACATTGTAAATGCGTTGGTGAAATTCTGCCATGAATGATCAAGTTTGCATTCAAAAAAATGTGATTTATGTATACCTTTTCAGATCATCCGCTTGAGCTTGCTTACGGGTCAATGCAACCGGAGACTCTGTCAAGTTCTGCGTTGGTGTACCAGTACATACCCACTTCCAAGTGACAAAGAGTTTTGCAGACAGTTGAGATGAGCGATTACTGTCAGCCAAAGAATGACCTTCGTCTAATGAAAGGAGGATAGTCAGTCAGTGAACTTTTGTCAGTAAGCATGAACATAAAAGTACCCTGTTGAAAACGCGAGCTCTTACCAACTATCAGCCGTTTCCAATGCACTTGAAGCAGTGGTGATATATATCGTTTAGACGGATCATCTATCGTCCGACAACTACAATCTCGTTTACGTGTAGCCCCAATGTAAGGACAATCACATTTTCGTGATATACCTGTAAAATTGTAATAAGAAAGACTGCAACGAAAAGAAAAGCTAGCAGTCATATTGGTCAATGCCCTTACCAACGATCTCCAATCCTCCAGAATCACTTTCCAGTCCAAATCGAGAATGGCTGATTACGACCATATCGTAATTCAGAAGCTGTGTGGCAGGTGGTATCGGCTGTTTTTTGTTATCAAGTACTAAAAAGTCCAACTCGCCATCTTGAATGTGTTTATAAACCTCTCCAGTCCACTGCGCTATCAAATTATCTGGGACTATATTTCCCATTGTTGTTAATGATAAACCTTAAAGACGTTCAAGAAAAGGAGATCAATAACCTACCTACAACCAGTGTAGCAGAAGCCATATAAACTTTCAGAGTTCTTTGAGGAATATTGACTCGACGAGGTCGATCTACCAAGACTGACATAGGATACTCGACTCTATCATAGTATGCAGGATTGTCTCGCATCAATTTAAGGATATGATCTGGTAGGTAAGGTTGACATAATTTCCAAGTACCATCGCGCAAAATCTGTGCGATGGCAAGATTTGTTAGGCTGGGAACACCTTCTTTGCCATTGATGTCGCATTTCACTCCTTTGCCATCACTTGGTATTTTCATATGCTTGGATTGCAGAATAGTGGATAGACAAATGCACGTTTTCCCAGTACCCTAGAGGATCATGTATTAGATGAGGATCGCAAATTCACATTACTCTTCGACGATAACTCACCATATCTTCGCAAATGATTCCTCCTCGTACATCTCTGTGCTTATCAGGTTGTGTTTGAATTTGGCACGTCAGCAGATTGATGTAGTAAGGACGACCATCCACTGCTTGGCATTTAGCAGAAGTCAATCCGCTGATTGGCTGAGGAGCAAGTTCTCGCTGCAATATTTTCCACAACGATCTCTTCTGGTATGGGTACAAAGTTGTCTTCATTCCAGGAGGCGAGTCCTGCTCGAGAACAATGTTTAAAAGGTCCAAAACATCAGGGTCTGCTACTTGCAACGTGTCATAATTTGTTGATGGCGACGGCATATGTATGAAAATATCCAGTAAATCCTTCGGTGTCTATCATGTCAATCAATACAAGTGTCTCGCAGTATCATTGAAGTTCCCCTTTCTAACTCACCATGTTGCACAAAGTCGGTTGGCGGAGAACTGCATCTGACTTGAAGCTAGCTCCGTTAAACTTTTCAGGACAGAGATCCAGCTTATCCACAAGTTGAATGAGGTTCTGCGCATGGAGCATTGGAGCATGTGGCATCAGAGTTGTCTTGTTCAACAAAAACACTCGAATGCGTAATGTGTGGCCCTCAATGTGGCAACAGGAAGCTCGAATGCGTTCAGCTTTGACTAAGGAATCCAGCAGTAAAATGCTCGACCTGAATTCCTCGCTGACAAACTCTATGACAGAGTGGACCTGGTACTGACACCAATTTTCACCGATATATTCCGGTATGGTTAGGCATTGAATATCAAGGCTTCCTGCTGGAAGGTCATGCACGATCATGAATGAATTCTTTCAACAACTGCAGCCCTTTTTTTTTTTTCTGCGGCTAACACTATATTTCAAAACTGGCCAATCACGTACAGTTCATTGTTCGCTGCGGTAAAAAAAATTGGTTTCAGTGCTTCGCCGATCGTTTTCATGTTTAGTCATTCGTTGAAACTACCATCTTGTATTCGTTTTGCATTATCCTTTTCATGTTATTTCTTTTTAATCACAGTTGTATTGTAATTAAGTAATTTCTGTAATATCAATTCTATGGCCAAGTAGGGGAGGGGGATACAGTTCCTAGTCTAAATTCTCCTGTTGCAGCACAGCACGAAGCACTTGTTCATTTTCCTTCTTTCCATTTGTTTGTTCGCTTTGGAAAAAGTCTGACAGTTCAAGGGGACGAATGTGGACGTTCTGCAAAAGATGAGAAACAGATTGAGTAAATAATGCAAATTCTTTTGGGGGGACTGCCATGTGAATTTACCTCCATATCGATCCCAAGCAAGTCATTGCTAGCTTCGCCGTCGTGGTTCTTTGGCTCAACACTTCGAACATATTCTCGAACAGGTATCATAGCTGCGTTTCGGCAAATTTCCTTCAGGTCACTTCCAGAGAAACCTGCGGTTGCCTCGATAAGCTTTTCCATATCAAAATCAGGGGATAACTTTGTTGTTTTCAACATCTGCAAAGAAGAACGCATCAATAAATCTCATTCACTCAATCAAATTCATCTTCTCCTTCACAAGATACATACAATATCCAAAATATTTCGTCTTTGTTGATCGGTTGGAAGTCGCACAGAGAAGCGCTTTGGCATTCTTCTCAAAATGGCGGTATCGATATCATTAGGACGATTAGTAGCTCCCAAAACGACAATTCTGTAATCCTCTCCAGTCGTCAATCCATCCCAAAGACTCATGAACTCTGCTTTCATCATGCCTGTCGTTTCATGATCATTACTTCTTCTTTCACGGAGGAAGGAGTCGATTTCATCAATGAAGATGATAGCAGGCTGCAACTTTCTTGCCAATGAGAATAGTGCTGACACAAGTTTGTTGGATTCACCATAATACTTGTCGGTCAAAGTGGAAACATGCAAATTGATGAATGTTGCATTGGACTCTTTAGCGAGGGCCTTGGCAAGCATGGTTTTACCGCAACCTGGGGGTCCATAGAGCAGGACACCTTTGGGAGCACCCAACAATCCTGAAGCTGATGTGAACAGCTGTGGATAGCAGAGGGGGTAGATGACGCTTTCACGCAAATCTTGCACAATATGATCTAAACCTCCAATTTCTGAAATAGTCATCATATATTAATGGCTAGAAGCGGATAAGGGTAGAATGAATTGCAAAGACGTACGTTTGAAGTTGACATGAATCTCATCAGCGTGAATGACTTCTGTTGCAATTATCTCTTCATACTCGGAAAGTTTGATATCCTTGATCTGTCACAATGAACAAGGTAAAATGAGTCTCAATTGACCATGTGTGCCAAGAGATGATTTTAGATCAAAACGTACCCCAAGTTTCGCCAGTGATTTGGCACTCTTCGATTTGGCCTCTTGTTTTTTTGCTTTAAGAGGATCGAGTGATCCTATTATATACTTGAATGCGAAATAAAATGCTACTTGCGAAAGTGCAAAAACAGCAACTATGAAGGGGTAGTGGACAATGCATGGGTCAGAGTGATGGTAATTTCGAGAGAACATCGAGTTGGTTTCTTACTATCTGCTGCATATTTCTTTGTTTCCGGTCGTTGCAAGAAGGATTTCATAATTTCAAGGATGGCAGGCAGCAATCTCTTGGGATTTTAGGCCGAGCGGTTGAGTTGACCAAATTGGCATTAGAAATTTCACGTGCAGTATGAAAAGCTCACGGCAGCCAATTTCGTGACTTTTGAGTCATTTGGCCGTACCGTATTCTTACAGCTATCAGAAGCATACTGAAAAAGATGGACATGGCTATGCTAGTTCATTTCAAAGTCAAGTGGCTTTGAATGAAGAAATAACACGCTAGAGCACACTGCCTTGAGAAAAAATATGCAAGCGACCCCAGTAAAAGATGAGATGAATAATAGGCTTGGTATGGTGCGACTACAGCTCTTGTTCATGTCCTCTTTACGGAAACCATCGTGACTCAAGAGACCAGAACCATACCTGTGAGGGTAATTATACCTTTTATTTTTATGTACCATTTTCATTGGCTAACCATACCTTACGACCCATATACCCCAACCCTGCTTGCCTGCTAAACGCCGGACTTTCAACATTAATAAACGTAATGTGATTGGTTGCTAAATCCGGGTGAGGCTCATTGAAGATCCATCAATCGTTTCCTTTCCTTTAAATATAAAGCCCATTCTTCTGTCCACAATTACACACCTATTCTTCTTTTCCCACATATGACATTGACTTGCTCAAAGCGAAAGCGTTCAATGGAAGACAATCAATTACCAACCCCTACAAAGACCGTTAGATTCAGCACCGAGAAGGAGGAAGTCATCTACACCTACTCACCCACCGACTACGATCGTTCAGGCATACATTGTGTTCCTGTTCTTTATACTGTCAACCCCGTTATATTTGAGTCGCGAAGGAAACTAAGTGTCTCTATACCGGAAAAAGACTGCTCTTCCGTCTCATCACCTACAGAATCAGATGTTTCCTCACCTGAATACGACGCTCGGGAAACTTTCACTCGTATCAAGAAAGGCCCAAAGCTAAGGATAGACACAAGTATTTGTCAAGGACCATTATTTTTCACCAAACTTTCTACGAATCCTGCAAAGTCAAGTCTACCAGCGCTAGACGACGATGACAACCACTTCTTAGTGCCACTGTACAGTTAAAAAAATGATATCAACCGCCCTCACTTCTACCTTGCCTCGCCCACAAACTAAACAACATGACACCCACACTATTTTAAAGTAATAACATAATACCTCATCTCGCATGACCTATTGCGAGAAACATCTATCGCTCACCTTCGTCTGTACTTGTTCAAATTAGTATTGGACAGTTGAAGAAGGCTCTCACAGAAGCCCTTACGGCTCATTTTGCATAGACATTTTACTTCCCTCTCTCTGATGAAAAAAAAAATCCCTCCCCCCCACCTGTAATTCCCAGCCTTCTTTACAAAACATCACATTTTAGCTTTCTAAACCAAAGCAATCCATTAAAAAAACAAAGCTTGCCATTCCAGTGCGGAGCGTATTGCAACACCTAATTTTGCATTTTTTTCACCACCACACCATCCAAAAATAGTGACATTTTTTTTGATCGGGGCAAGGGGACGCGCGCCTTGTTTTTATTTTATTTTGTTTTATTTTTACCTTTTGCCTGCTGCAAATGGGCAAAACGTTATTTTATCACTGTACCCAACCAAGCATAGGGCGGGACTAGAGTCGTTCACTGGCTCAAAGTAAAATATCAAATGGTGTAAACGGAAATTGTTCTGGCGTGATGCAAAATTAAATCGGTACGACGCACGGCTGTAGTGTACCTGACCAGTGCTCTCTAGCATACCGTAACAAAAGGGCATTGACATCATCGCATACCATCATCTATTTATAACGATCAGGTTTTTATATACATGCGATAAGGTTAAGGCGGTCGATTCCACCACCATGTTACTGAAACTATTGTCGTAATTACAGCCTGGACTCGCTGTAGCCCGACTGAGCAAGAAACCGTCGTGGTAACACGGAAGTACTGGACCATCTTTCGGGGTCAAAAAATTTGCCTGTGTGATCTTCATAGTAGAAGTAAGGGGAGTTTCAATGCTCAACTAATTCACTTCACGCTTCCGCACTTTTTTTTTTTATTATTATTACAAAAGAGTTCTACTGGGGATAGGGGATGCTTGCCCTTCACGAGTTTTCTTTCGCGCCGGCGATCCAGGTATATTATCCATGTCACTGTCAGTGTCTTGCGAGAGGAGTTGATCGCGTTTTCGTTGGGCCAATTTAATGTTACGCACACTAGGTGAAAAGAGTGATGGTGTAGGTTCCTGGAACGCCAGTTGACTTGAAAGGGAGGAGTTCGATGATGAAAATATCCTATAAATAAAGGCTAATTGTTAGTATGATGGGAACAGTAAGGTTCAGTCATTCTATATTTGATTTCTTACCGTGGTCCTTGATTTAATGTCTGACTCTCGAACGACGATGTCAAGTCGTCATTAATAGACGACATAAATTTAGTCTATAAGCAAACAGTCAGTAGGGAATTTAAACAAATGAAACACCCCACCCACACTTTACCTCTTTAATTTGATTAAATCGTTCAGCCAAAGCGGGCATTCGGTGGTGCGTAGCTATCTTTACGGCAGCATCCAATGAACGAGAGAGATGCAATGATTTTGCAATATCAATAGCTCTTTGGGATTTTTCCGCTTTACATGCAAACTGGAAAACGAACGATATAGCAGATTGGGGTCAGCATAGCCACCTTTTGCAAAAGGTCTTATCTAAGCCATTACGCGTCGTACCTGTATCAACCTTAGTAGTGTCTTGTCCATTTCAACGTCAGCATTGCTGAGTATTTTGTGGAATTCATCTTCTTGTGAAGTAGCGGTAGCTTCGTCTCGCTCGTGTGTAGACATGATGTTCGTTCGAACATAGCTATGGGAAAAGTAAACATGATCTGTCAATCCATATGCACGCACCATCATTGCGGTGAATGAATGCCGACTGTGTTACCTTTCTTCTAGCTTGGTGGTCTCTGTGTCCATGTGTAAGAACGGCATTTGAAGTATAATGTTGCTTATGACTGGACGAGGGAATGCTGGATACTGGTTGGTCTTGCCCTGCACGATTTTTTTTTTTTTGAATGAGATGAACAATTCTGCCCTAGAGCTGAAACGTATGTCTTACCTTCAACACTAGACACATTATTTGATCACGTAGTAACCCAACAGGCCAATAATGTTCATCCAAGCCTCTTTCTTGAGCAACCTTGCTGCCATCAAACACCGGTACCCACGTAGCTTGATCGGGCCGTCTTTGCTTGAAAAGGACGCTTAGAATACCGTTTGAGTCACAAGACGCTGGAAGCTACAACCAAAAGAATGTTATCACCCGAGTCCTCCTGATCTCAATAAGCCCCTGACTTACCGATGTTTCTGAAAAGCCAATCCATTGAATGGTGGCTCCCGGGCTTGTCACCATAACATTTCTTTGTATTGTTTCCATTTTGTCAGTATTGTAAACCAAACACTCCAACTTTGGTTCACCTACAATCATTACGTCAATAACCAAACACAACTGCAAATGTCACGTCTGTTTTCGATGCTCACCTTTCACACCAATTCCTCCATGATACACCAATAGGGCAAGATCAGCAGCTGCAGCAATAGCCACCATGTTGGAAAGGTTAAAGATATGGACTTGAAGTCCAGACAGAGTGAAAATGCGAATGTAGTTGGCAGATGTCGCCACTATCACTGAAACATCATTGACAGCAAGTGCTAACGGTGATGAAAGAATAGATATTAGTGTCTGCTCTTCAATTGGCGTGCATGGTCACCAAACAATACGCACCAATGACTTCCTCTCCGTCAGGTAATCGCATGCTCCATTCAGCATTATCCGCAAGGCCGCCGAGGGCACGATAGTAGATTCTGGATGGGTTCCTACCAGGCTGCTCTTCGCCTTCATCATTTTCCCTTTGCACAGAATCACTAGCTTCTACAGCGAAAACCGCTCCCTTTTTGCCAAGTGCTGCCATTGAATAGTTGAAGTAATCTTGGAAATGAAAGTTTCGGTTTTGTGACTTGTCATGGAATTCAACATTGATGACAGAATGAGTTCCTTGGAAAATGGTATAGATCACGCCAACCATATTGAAAGCCAAATATCGTCTTTCCCCCTCCAATGGCTCTCCTCTATCATTGGTATGCTTGTAAGGCGTTGAGCCTGATTGGAACGGCTGTTGTGGAGCAGAGAGCAATTGTTGTATGACAGACGTGCTAGCATTCGCACCATTAGTCGACCGGGGTTGGTGTTGTCTGATAGCACCAATATCGGCATCTTCATCGTCGATGACAAAGTCATCAAGGTCGGACATATTGTCCTCTCCGTCATCTCGATCCATATCATCGATACCTCGCTGTCTTCGACTGCCATTTGGTTCTCGTCGTTCACCAAAAAGTTCATCAACTTCCTCATGTGAGATAGTAGCGTGGGCCAGAGCTGGATGAGGTAGTGTCTTTTCTTGCATTGGGACAACGTCCTCCCACGTGGTCATTTGGCCATATCTATCAGTCTATTATATACAATTAGTATCTGTGAGAACTGAGTTTCTTATGCAGGCCAAAATACATACGAAAGCCAGCACATTTCCAGTGGGGTGCCATGATAGTCCTGAAACTTCAATTGCATTTTGATACTTGGCCACAATCTCTTTCTCAGAGATATCCCATATACACACTTGACCAGATGTTGTAGCAGTTGCCAAATAGTTGCCATTAGGTGACCAATCGAGGGTTGTAATATTCTACTCATCCATGTTATTATGTGCTAAATAGAATCAGTAAAACGTTGTAATCGGCACCAACCTCATCATGACCATCCTTGAGTACAGCTATGGGTTGCCATGTCCCTCTACCAATCAATTGAACATCTAAAATATACGCCTTTAGTAAACCATCTGAATCCATCTGGTATCGGAATTTACGAATATCAATATACCTTTGTTCTTTCCTGGGACTGCAAAGGCAGCGCCATTTGGTCTCCAAGAAACTGTTGCCCTGATATTAGAATCTTGATCCGTTGATGGTGCGATCGATGGTAATGTAGCTACACACGAGACGCCGCCTTCCGCACTGTCCAAATCCCACACGCGCACTTCACCATCACAGGCAGAAGATATCTAACGAAGATGTTCAGCTCAAATACAGGTACGGAAGTATAAAAAGCCGTATTTTGAATCTCACCAAGAAGTCGCCTTTAGGATCGAACTCTACACATTTTACGAATTTCTTGTGTCCTTTGATAGGAATGACAATTGAAATATCGTTCACATTGAACATTCTAATAGTCTCTTCACTGTGAAAAAAAAAAAACGGCGCTGGTGAGCCTTGACATATCATAACGTCTACCACCATTTCATCCATACTTACTCGGATGCCACAGCAATTTTGGATCCAGTTGGGCTGTAGCTAATCATGCGAACGGCAGATATGCTTCTTACCAACATCTTTTCGAAATCAAGAGTGCTGTTGCCAAAGACGCAGACAATACCGTCATCACCGGCAGTGGCAAAGCTAGAGCGCTACAAGAGCTAACTGTCAGCGTGAGGCAAACGAGTTGAAGGGAGTCACAGGTAATCTTACATGAACGGCAATGCTTTGTATGGCTTCAGAATGCTTGTCTATGGTTGTAGCTGCTGCATCTCGTTCATCTTTAGCAGTTTTGAAAACTCGAATCAAAGAATCGCTGCCAGCAGTGATAATTGCACTACATGAAAAGGGGGAAATGTCAAGCCATGCATAGAGGAAGGATCTCCACATCAGAACATAACAATCACCTTCCGTCTACTGTATATTTTACGACAGTATGCCCTTCCGCATGAGCATAACGCTGATTGAGCGATGGTTTCATGGTGGTAACTATGGTTCTTGAGTACCTGTTGAAATAAGACGCGTCCCAAAAATTTTGTTCGCGTTCAGGTTTTGGACGCCAAAAAATTAAACCAGCGGGTACGGCTGTGACGGTTGGATGATTTGGTAGGCTTTTGAGTTTATTGATGCAAAGGTGATTGAAAATATGCAATGACAAAAACGAGCTTTCTATATCCTTGCCCAGTTCTTCTCAGCAACTCTAAATACATGTTGTCCCATAAGTTTTATGATCAATTCTCCCATCGTTTCCTGTTCTACCACAACCTGTACTGGTCCAGCAGCATATGACTGCCAATACATCTGACTCTCCCCATAAGGTAGAGCTCCAGATATGGCCGGCTTCGAAGTGGCATTTGAAATGTCCTCCACATCCTCCTCTTCAAGGGTCTGTCCTTTCTGTAATTGCAGCCAAATATCCGCTAGATGCTCTTGCAGGTGCTGTCTAGCCACTTCAGCAGAAGGAAGTGAAGCTGGTAACGCAGCCTTGTTGCGCAATGATCCTGCAAGCGTAAAAAGGTATAGATGGACAGCGGCAGCCTTTGCAAATATGAAAGAATGAATATTTGCTCAAGTTAAAAGTATATACCATATACAATATCGCTCACCATCTCTCTTCGATACGGATTGATTTGAGTCATGATTTTATCCCTAATTCCTTCAGATATAAATGTCTTTGGGTGGACAAGGGTATTAGTCAATGGATTGCCTACCATGAATCAACTTGATACGATACTGAATGTATGTTAAAGGGTATACTCACTTGAGATCGCTTCATATGAGATATCCAAAATAAGATGTTTCGTTCGTGGTCGATGATAGAAGCGTAAATATCGCGTGGAAATGGTGCTTTTGTTAATCGAGGTTCACTTGCACTCAAATTAAAGAGCTCTCCAACTGTATCTAGTCGCTTTCGAAGATTTTTTGAAGCTATTTCCGTTTCTTCGAAGGTTATTTGCCATCTTTTCGATGTCGTATTGTCATGGCAAGCTAAAGAAGCAACTTGGAAGTAATAGATACCGGTATCCATGATCAGCACGGCCAATTGCTTGCGCATTTCTTCTCGCGCCCACATCGGCCAGAAAAGATAATTGATGATCATGACCACGAACACAGCGACGATGGCGGTAACGGTTCGTTTCCAGACAACTTCAAATGTTGACTCGTTGTAGGGGTCTGAATAACCAGTATTGACAACGACAACCAATGTGAGAAGAGATATTAATCCAATTCTCGGATATTTGCTTCCCAGAAAAATAAACCAGAATGGACCAGCAAAGATGAGAACCATAACAGACAAAACGTATGGATTGGTTCGATCTGCTGCTAGAAGAGCTATAAAACCCCATACAGCACCGATGATAGTAGCGACTGTTCGATAGAAAGACTGAACTAGCGTGGATCCTATGGTGAAATTGCTAATGACCATACCGGAAAGTAAAGCCCATTGTCCATGATTATAGTTGTACCATGCGTTAAGGCCAGGAATTGGTAACCAAGCTGGAAGAGCAAGTATTTCCATGGAAATAGCAAACTTCATTGCATATTGTGTTGGACCATACTGAAACCATCTAGTTAGCGACAACATGGCTCTATTCCACCAGTATCGTCCAGGGGCATTTTGGAGAGGTACTTCATAAACAGTTTCAACGTCGTCCAGATCATCATCTTTCTCTGTAATCACAGTCTCTGGATCTTGGCGCATCCGGGATGCTGTTCGTCGCATATCTGGTAATACGACGATGTCTTGATTTTCCATGATGGCTTGCGTGGCAGGAGACGTACTTCCTTTGGCAAGTCGGCTGGTTTTAGTTAATAGCTTCTTAAACGTAACTTTAGGCATCCAGATCCTTGGATACTTTGTTCTTTTTGAAACCAGCTCCTTCGTGTATTGATCCAGTTTCAATATTTCGTGACCACATTCCAACAGAGTAAATACCAAGGTATACACCAGGTAATGCTCTTCCCTGGGGTGAGTGTTATGTTTGTCTATGCCGTCTTGGATGATAGCTTCAACTTTTTTGAATTCGTCCAGCGCTGTCGACATCAACTGTTGAAGACCATTCGAAGTACATGATGATAGTGATTGATCGTCCTCGACATAATCCATAAGCTCTGCATGAGACGAGAATACTTTTCTTTTGGTCATCCGATATTGAATGGCGCAGAAGCATTTGCAGCACACTAACAAGAAGGCATTGATGTGAGGGCTAATCGACTGTTGAATAACAGGGAGAAGCTTGTAATCTATTCTCTGCACTGTCGAGTACGGCGAATTGGAATGTGTCAAGTACTCTCTACTTGCTGCAGATCGACGACGCCGAAGATGTTGCTCACGTAGTGGATCTTCGGAATCTATTGTTAAAATCGTAGCTGGAACTCCTAGATGTCTGTCATTCGAGCGAGCAGCACCGAGTTGAGAGGCAATTTTGCTAGTAACAATTAATTTTCTTTCTTGTTCCACAGCTAGAGTTGTGCTAGCCAGAATAGAGGCTATTTTTTCCAGTGATTCCGTTGTGGATTTGTACCATGCAGCCGAATAATGGGACACCACCAACTCGTATTTCGCCTCCGATGCGGCTTTCCGAAGACTACTCATATCGCCTTGCAATTTGACTTTTGCTTCCTTCATAGCGGTGATACCTGAAGAGGTGTTTTCTGAAACTTCCTCAAGCATAAACTCTTGTTGAATCGAAGTTAAAGCCGTCCTCGTTGAGTAGAAGGCATTGTACAGCGACTCCCTAGAATACAAAGTCAGCCAAAAAACGTTTCGTGTTGCGGTCAAGTCAAAATTGTCTTGCGAGGACTTACTCAAAGGCCTTTGCTGCTGTTTCCGGCCAGATGAAGAGATTGACAACTAACGCAATTACGCCTCCAAGTAGTGTGGGATATATGATGGTGAATAGCATCATAATGTTATAAGAGGTGGCATCTAGCTGTTTTGTCAAGGTGAAGAAGACCAATACGAATGCTTGTAGTGAAGGCGTAAACAATCTCGGGTACTTGAGACGATAGTATGCTATGACAAAAATAGCTGTGAAGTATGCGATAGCTGCTATAACAGAACCACCATTATCGTATAGTGGAACACCGTAGATTATTCGAGCCCGATTGTACAAGGTAATCAAATACCCTATGATGCCACACCATAGGGCAGACATCACCATCATGCAAAAGTTCAACCAGATCTGTTCTATCTGACATCCTATGGTGGTGCCCGCATGGAAGAATAGCGAGCCCAGAGGAAGCAGATACGAGACGGCGCCCATAGCTGCTGAAACTTTCGGGATAAGACATAGGATACTGCAGATTTCATAACCTAAGGTTGCTTTGAAGACTTTTTTCCATAAAGATCTATTTTGAATGAACCATTCCTTGTAAATGGCCTTCAATTTTGAGTTCATTAGGAGACGGGGGGCCTTTCCGTTCGGGTTTGGCCGAAGAGCGCCTTTTAACCAAGATAAAAATTCCGCTGTTTGGTGAACCGACGCATGAACGTGAAACCCGGTCAAAGCTTGCTAATGAAGCGTTCCTTCCTTCAAGGCTATAGAAGTCCACCGAATAACTTTATTGCACATTAGCTTTACCCAAGTTTTTTCAACAAACACATGTTATAATTTTGACAAACTGTCTCTTTCAATCCGTCGTATATATACACTGTATTTTATATTTTTTCGGCGATTGAACATCGGACCCTCTCCATTATTGGCTATCTACTGTTGTGCTTGTGACAGGCTGCAATCTGACTCGCACTCCGAGGTACGGTTCATGTTAAGCAGTGATTGGAACAGCAACACTGGCGCACTAAGAACTCAGTGCATGAAATACCGTCACAATCAATGTTCGGCATATACCATAGCCGAAGTCTCGTCTTTAGGAAGGACCATTACCCGAAGTTGGAAGAAAGTAACAGGCATTCCCAGGGGAGTTACATTTTTGGCACTTTTTGTGGGTGGTTTTGCACTTCGGCACAGGGGATTTTCGCTGTGTAGCTACGTGCCTACCTGCACATGTTTATGAGGATCCACGTCGCATTTCTCTAGTTCTTACGTACACAGCGTTGCTCAAAAGCGCTCCGCTCGCAATCTTAAATGAGGCCAAAGCAAATTGTAGTGCTTTGGACGGCACGTGTCCGGAGCTCAAATGCACAGCCCATAGACGCACTGGCATTTCCGGATAAAACAAACTCAGTTTGGGACAAGCAAAGGCAGCATACTTTAACATGACGACATTTGGTACCGATCTGAAGGTAAGGCGTCTAATGATATGACTCGCGTAGCCATTCAGTACCTATATCGCTAACGTGAACAACTTGTATTGATGCAGGATCAAGTGCCTCTAATCGCTGATCATGTAGGGGATGGCATAGCATTTCTAGACGAATTCCGCAGCTTTACAAAAGATAGATTACAATTAGAAAAGGAATATGCTCAGAAGTTGGAGGGTTTATGCCGCAAGTATAACTCAAAAAGGCAAAAGGTCACCACAAGGTCTTCATCGGCACAACCGGCGCGACAAGACGATGAATGGGACTGGACAGACAAATCCAGGTATGTTACGCACACACGTGTACACTTGGATCGCTTGGATAACTTATGGATGCTTCCACTTAGTACAACATCCAATGCCTGGACTTCGTTATTGCAACAAACTGAAGTAGTTGCAAGAACGCGTCAGCAACTCTCTGAAGACATGTCCTCTGGTATTGTCGATGTGCTTAAAGCCGTAGCAACGAAGAAGGAGGAAGCTAGAAAAAAGGTAATAAATGCATTCAAATACATTTTTCAAGAGCTTGTTACCCGGTACTGACCAGACAACGCATATACTAGCACGTCGCCTTTTACCAAAAACTCAGGATGGACCGTGACAAGGCATATGGGGAAAAAGATAAGGCAAAACAAGCTTATGATGATGCTTGTGCGGAAGTAGAGAACCTAAGAGCTAAAATAGATCGCGGCACTGGCGATCAAGACAAGGTAACGGTTTGATGCATCCAGGGTGCTCCTCTAATTATTATGGATTAATCTCATGGATTTCTTTAGCTCCACCGACAATTTGAACAAGCCATTGCCGACTGCCACAACGCAAAGGTACATGAGATTGGCATTGGACTTCAGTGACCAACACAAAACTTACGAAGCTCTCTTAGAATATTTATATCCTTTCAATTGGGGTTGCAAATGCTGCAAAAGAAAAATATTTTGATACCGACATACCCGGCCTATCCAACGTAGGTACAATGTGTTTAGACATATCTTCATAGAATGTACATTGGTGGCTTATATCTTTATGTTTCAGCGTCTTCAAGAGTTGAATGAAACACGCATTTTGACTGGACAACAGCTACTTCAAAATTATATCTCGTTAGACATCAAGGCACTTAGTGCTTCAATAGATCATGTCAAAAGTGCTTCAGATGTGGTGAGCAAGGTTGATCCAGAGGTCGACGCTGCCGTGTTTGTGCGAAAAGCTATCGAAAGGGCTCATTTTGACAAGGATTCGCAAGCGCATTTCACATTTATGCCTTGGAACGGCGGAGGCAATCCATCTGTGATTATAGATCGAGTGAGGAACTTTTATAATTGCCTTCCCCGGTCATGACAGTCCTACATAATGAATACTAACAATAAAGGTCTTTTAGGACGAGACGATGCAAGTCGATGATACCGCAGCCATTTTCCTGAACAACACTCTTGTCAAAAACACGAGAAAGTTGAATGAAGTGAACAGTGAATTGAAGAAAAAGATGCAAGAAGTCACTGTTCTCAAGGAGAAAGTGGCCTCATTCGCACAAGCGCCAAAATATGGAGCCTATGATGAGGTTAATGAGGTACAGATGCTGTATAGAACGGGCGAGTCTTGTATAACATTTGTAACGAAAGTCACTGAACGCATATCAATATTTCCAACAACAGGTACTTTCGGATGTACAGCGGCATGTGTCAGTGATAGCAACCTACCAGGCAAAGTACAAAGCGGAAATAGCACTGATTACAGCGAGCATAGGAGGTAGGTATTTTAAGATTACGAAATGAAACTATTACTACTAAAAAGTATATCCCCTAATTGATAACTACTTGATAGATGCTGGTTTGCAAGCCAAAGCACACGAGTTCAAGCCGACATCATTCACAATACCTACAACGTGCGACTATTGCGAAACTACGGTGTGGGGTCTCGCTAAGCAGGATGTGACATGCAAAGGTATGTATTAAGGTGGCAAATGCTTCTTAATGTATAGAGTAGCGCTAACCAAGCGGCGACAGCATGTGGATATAACTGCCACGCGAAGTGTGAGATGAAAGTACCGCCTAATTGTACCAGAGTGAAAGGTAAAATTGATCGACAAAAATCTATGAGTCGCCGTGAAAGCTTTAGGTCACAATCTGCTGGACCAGATAGACCGTCGCCGGACTCAACGCCGTCTCTGGCCGTATCATCTAACCCAGCATCACTTGGCCGCGCATATGCGATTTACGACTACGATGCAGTCAATGAGGATGAAATCAGTATACGAGAAGGCAATGAAGTTACGATTGTTGAAGGTGACGGTAAGTGCTTGAGCACGAATTGGTATTATGCATAAGAAAGCAAATGACTCAAACTGCTGCTAATGGACGTAGATGGTTCTGGTTGGATAAAGGTAAACATATTACCATTCAGTGAAGTAGGTATATCAATTTTTTTAATCAATCGTACTTTTTATTAGATACGCCTTAATTCCAATCAAGGACTAGTTCCAGCAAACTACATTGAAACAACAACAGCAGACAAAGTGTCGCTGGATGCCGTAGAGGATGAAGTAAACTATGATACCCATGATATGACCCCACTTCCAAATGACAACGAAACGGCGCCTCTCGCAGACAATAATGAATATGGTAAATGCACTACAAATATGAGAATAGTAAAGAGTCTTAACCATATATTGAATCGTGGCTCTACACAGTCATAGCCCTCTATGACTTTGAAGCACAGTCAGCCGAAGAACTCTCATTGAAGGAAGGAGATCGCATTATTTTATTAAGCAGAGATGAAGGCGGATGGTGGCATGGTAAGCTATAGGACCGTTTAGGAAATGAACTACAGCTGGTCGTGTAGTATACCTGTCTTCAGTTGACTGAGAAAACTTTTTGAAATTTTCAGGTAATTTAAATGGGAATATCGGCATTTTTCCTTCCAACTATGTCGAATAAAGAGATATGTAATATTTCTAATCAAATAAAGCTCACAATCCTTTGGATCACAAAGCTGAGTATCCCCTATGAATCAAACGATAATCAAAAGTGGGGCGATGGATTTAGAGCGGAGGAACAATTTTTCCGTCTGCAAAGGAGTCGCGGTACAGCACACAGCTTTCCAGAGTGACGTTCAAGAAATCGGACTCGGAATTATAAACCGTATAAAAAAAAAAAAACCGAAATTTTGCTATTTCAGTCAAAACAGGGTACCTTTTTCTAAGAAAAAAAAATCTCATCACTTCAAAGATGGATACCGTACTGGAAATTTTGGACCCACTTGTGTTTGATTCTATTTACGCAAAGATTCTCCCAGCACCCGTTTTGGCCAATGCAACTTCCAGTGTAGCCATCACTTCCGCATTGTCTCGCGACAACGACTTCAGAATCGCTCTGAGCATCTTCACACTCGTCACTCTCGGCGGATGGTTCTTCTACTTGGCTGCTGCTAGCTTTTCCTACTTTTTCTTGTTCGATCATGAAATAATGAAGCATCCAAAGTTCTTGAAGAACCAAGTCAGTCTGGAAATTGATTGCGCTGTCAAGGCAGTTCCGGGCTTCGTTTGTAAGTGACTTTTTTGCAAAGAAGATACTTGTCGAGCCATCAACGTATAGAATATTAATTGGGCTTTTCCATCGTTAGTGTTCACTGTCCCATGGTTCTGGGGTGAAGTCAAGGGTTATTCCAAGCTTTATAGTGACCCCCAAGCCTATGGAGGTATCCCCTATATGCTTTTCAGCATTGTTGCCTTCCTTGTGTTTACCGATTTTGGCATCTACTGGATCCATCGTTGGCTCCACCATCCTGTTCTTTACAAGCGTCTTCACAAGGTACAAACAATCTCTCTTTGTTTATGATTTTCCTATCACATTAGGATTTGTTAATTGTATATCCATGATGCTGACGTATTATACCGTAGCCCCATCACAAATGGATCGTCCCGACTCCTTTCGCTTCCCATGCTTTCCATCCTCTTGATGGTTATGCGCAATCGGTTCCATACCATTTGTTTGTATACGTTGTTCCCATGCAAAAGTGGCTCTATATCGCCGTTTTCATGTTCGTCAACGTCTGGACAGTCATGATTCATGATGGTAAGGCAATCAGTTTGTACTACCGTAGGCTCGGACTTTCATATCGGATAAACCACTGACACTGAATTGTTATTTAGGCAACTATATGCTTCGTTCCAAGATCATTAACTCCAGCGCTCATCATTCTGTCCATCATTTGTACTTTAACTACAACTATGGTCAATACTTCACCTTCTGGGATCGTGCATTTGGATCCCACCGTCAACCCACTGAAGAGCAATACAATAGCATGCTCCGCAACGATCAAAAGGTGTGGGCCAAGCAAGCTGTTGATGCTGAAAACATTGAGAAGGAAAGTTTGCAGGCCAACAAGGTGAAGGCCAATTAAGCATTACCAAGAAATCATTTCTATTCCATTTTTGTGATCTACATCGTACTCATTAATATCCCATATTCCGATTTATTTATCATATGTTGGCTGCGGCTACACATGACTTACACTCCCCACTCGTCTGAACGATACCAACCGCCGTAAGGCAGTGTTGGGAATTTTTGTTTCAATCGATCCGATCGCGATCAATCTTTTCATTTATTCTTCTTGTTAAGGAAACACTGATAGGCCTTATGACTAGTGCTTGTTTCCAATGAAAGATCGTGTTAATTTCTTCCCTTTGTCCTAATTTATTAAGCGCTTGCTTTTTCATTAATACTAGACGCAAGTGTTGTAATGATTGGTAAAGGAACCCATCCAAATAAATGTTCAGATTCACCTAATATGGACGATAATAAAATGGTATCCGGGCCTGTTTGACAGTACAAGCATTTGTAGATCATTGGTAAATTATCTGAAAAGGTATACATTGGTGGCAGCCATGTGTTTAGCCAATACATCAGCAGTCAGGTTTATTATTACTTCCATGTATCAGACCGTCTTTGTCACAACTATGTGATGCGCACGCCGTACACCCCCACAAATGCATTTGCTTTACTTCAAAATTCATACGAAATAACCATTTGTCCACTCCGCCACCGACTTACGTGTACAAGGAGTGGAGTTCAGCTGGGGTGTGGCGGACCAGCAACTCCGCCAGCCAACGACGCTATAACCTCATTGTCACGAGCTATTTAAGGAAGAATTTCCATTACTTCTCGTCACTAGTTACTTCTTTCCGATACTACAACTCCATATTACATATTATGGATTTCAATTCTTACCTCGATAAAGCCAACGATCTTTTGTCCAAGGACATTGTCGTTGATGGGCGCGTCATACCTGTCAAATATGTGGCTGGTGCTGCTGGCGCTGTCGTGGGCTTATCTGCTTTGAAGGTAAATCAACAGAATAGTAAAGGCATCGATAGTTTTGGGAAACGTTTTGTCCTAAAGCCTACCGAAACCAGACATACTTCAACGGTGCAACAAATACCAGCAAAAAAAGACTTGATGGCAAAACCGCTCTCATTACAGGTTAGTCAAGTTAGAATGCCTTTTGTCAAAAGACCGTGGTATACTCAATGATAAAATGGTTAGGTGCAAATGACGGTATCGGAAAGGAAACCGCCATTGACTTGGCAAAGCGTGGAGCCACTGTGATTATCGCATGTCGTTCATCTGAAAAGTCCAACAAGGCCTTGGCTGATATTCGTCGAGCTAGCAACAACAACAATGTTTTCTTGGAATCGATCGACCTTTCTGACTTGGACACCGTCAAAGCCTTTGCTAACCATTATCTCGAATCCGGAAGACCCATTCATATTCTCATCAACAATGCTGGTATCATGGCTCTGCCTGTTCGAAAGGAGTCCAAACAAGGTTACGAATTGCAGGTGGGTGGGGATCGGAGAAACAGTGCTACCGACATTCGTAATCCCCAGATATTAACACTTGCGTAACCGGCCGTTTTTTTCCAGTTTGCCACCAACCATTTGGCCCATTTCTTGCTCACGGAACTTTTGCTTCCGGTCGTCAAGAAGTCCGCCCCTGCTCGTATCATTAACCTCTCCAGTAGAGCCATGTACAATGGTGTCATCCACTTTGACGATATCCAGTTGAAGAAGAATTACCAAAGTTGGAAGTCTTATCATCAGAGCAAGTTGGCTAATGTCTTGTATAGTGGCTACTTGGCCCGCCAGCTGAAGGGCACAGGTGTCTTCGTTGCTGTAAGTACAGTCGATTGTTGAATCGATACAGAAGCTTCATTTTTCTAACTGGGTCGATTTTTACTTCGGGTTTAGGCTGTTCACCCTGGTGTGGTAAGAACCAGCTTGTCAAGATACATGACTGAAGGTTTCATGTACAAGGTAGCTGCCGTCGCCATCTATCCACCACTATACCTCGTCACCAAAAGTCCTAAGCAGGGTGCTCAAACCACCTTGTACGTGGCTACCTCTAATAATGTCAACGATTCCAATTCTGGCGAATATTGGGCTGACTGCAGAGTTGTCCATGGCAAAAACAAGTACCAACACGACAAGGCCGTTGAGGATAATTTGATTGCTGTCAGCAAGGAGCTCGTGGCCAAATGGCTTTGAGCCCTCCCCCAAATTGCTATAGAACGAAAGCCGCTCTACCGTGTTGTATTGCATGAATGATAGCTAAAAAAGATCAAAACCAATGTAGCATGCCATTAAAATAACCATGATTGTAATTTATAACGATTTGTAACACATCCTCCGTTCGCGTTTCGTAGTTTATACGCGCGTTTTGACAAAGAATATTCAGTCAGAAAAGCGGAGCCATAAGCTGGACTTTTGTTCCTTTGAATTTTCGCCGTCCAACTCTCAAAAATTTTTCAGAGAGCTGTATAAGAATCGCTAGAATTTTTCCCAATTTCTTCTCCTTTGCATCGACTATCCATCCATCCATTCATCCATCCAAAACGTAAGTTGACACATCTCTTTTACTCTGTTACCTCGTAGATGATAATGATGCCTTGCAAAATGGGAATCTCTCTGACGAAAATAACTCATGTGGATAACTTGTTTATTTTGCTCTGAATATCATTCTACCGTCATCAACCACTTTTTGGTTCCTTATACTTCTTACTAACAACATTGTTTAGTGGTTTGTTTTTTCAGATGGTCTACCTCCCTTCCTTATCTACGAATAGAATATGGTATGTATTTTTTTTCTTGGCTACCGGATGGTCCCATGGCCAGGTATGGAGCAAAGGAATTGGGATCAAGCAATGATTACATGGATTCATGCATGCACCACGCTGAATCAAAACCTCTTCCGGAGGCTATTGATGAGAAACAACCCATACTTCAGTCTTCAAAATGAGCGTATCCCTATCCTTGCTTCTATACCTGTCATCCTATCCATACTGTTTCAGTACGTATAATTCGTCGTACTAACCTATTATACCCTCTATAGATGTAAGTTGGCGTAGTAAGGTTTTGGTATAGAAGTCACTAGATGGTCCACATGAGAAATAAACAACTTGAAAATTACAATATTTGGTCAATGTGGGCGGGCGTGCCTGCGAACGTCATAGTCTTCTGACTGAAAGTGCGGATGTAAACATCATGGGTAAATGCAAATATCTGAGACATGCAAGCCAATGGGCATGCAGAATATAACAAGGCACCGGTAAGCTGTATAGACATGGTCTCTAACGTCATGAAGAAATCACCCGGTATACGTCGAAATGACCGCCCTACCCAAGCTAAGATCTCGATGTGATATCATGCTCTTCATTACAAGAATGATACCACTACACTACCCATCTCGATTGCAGACCTCAGTAGGCACCTCGTTTCTGACAGGCGACTAGCAGCGGATCTACAAATTGAAACTCTAGCTGACCCCAGCCCACCCGAGGTATAGACATCGCAGAAGGTGGGCGCACCATGGACTGTTTCCCATACTACGTTATCTTGGAGAACAGCCATCATACGCTTTATATCGAGTCTAGCTCATACCACTGGATCTAGCCTACCGAAAGGTCTCCTTCCTTTTTTTTTTTTTTTTTTTGTATTCATTCATTTCTGAATATGTTAATCTTTAGTGGCAAGGGTGAAACAACAAGAGTGTGCAAAACGTTCGCTGTTTGACATATATGACGCCACATTTTGAGTACAGACTGCTCAGGTAGGCAAACAACAATGTAGACAAGTCTTTGGGTTCAGATGTTTGGTCTAAATGCGAAAGGGTTTTCCAATTTTTTTTATTTCACTTGGTTTATTATGGGGCAATCGTTTAAAAGTGCGAATGGCGGTTTCAAGAGGGCTAGGATATTACCGTTTTATGACTGGGAGCCCAGGCAAAGGGGACGAGAAGGGAGCGACCATACGACACAGTACGATGAGTTCCGTGCCGCGGTACAGAAGGGTAGGCGAAAAGCTCCATAGAGTTCAGCCTCGAGTAGGGGACGGACGTCTGAGATGGACGTAGATCAATATATGGCTGAAAAGCAAGCAAAAACAATTTGATTGAACCTCAATCGATATGAAAGCAACTTACGACTTACGAAGGCATGCGACCGGTAGGTACATGCTTATTGAGACGTACCAAGCCAAACAAATGCCTTCATATTAGCCAGTCTAATAATGAAAGGTCAATCGATAGACTGTATGTGTATAGTTAAAATAGTGTTTGAAAGATTCAGTTTGAATTCGGAAGTTAGGGCTACATACCGGAGGTGCTTGAGGCAACTCTTTTTTTTTTTGGAAGATGCTAGATTATAATTTTTTTATCGATCTTTTATAGGTGTAAGACATCGTCATGATTTCGAAATGATCCTTCTGTGCTGTTTATCTATTCGTCCGTGGATGAGTGTTGGGGGTTGGTGGTCACGTCGACGTCATCGTGTCCCTTCGCCATGGTACTTGCGTCTTGCTACCTTTGCATGAATTTTTTCCTTCCAAAAAAAAAAAAAAAAAGGGCAAAGAAGGCAATGATGCATAATGCAGTGTGTTTAATCTATATTGACCACATCGCTCACAATGTAATGTTCAACGCATTTATTTACGGTATTCATGATGAGAGAAACCGAGAAAAAAAAAAAAAATATATAGACTGTCGCAAAACACATGTTACCTTTGCTCAATGTCTCAGGCCCTCTCTTTCTTCTTAACTTTTTTATCTTTCTCATCGTATTGTACTGCCCAATGTATAAAGCGGCAACGTTGCACCACTCATCTCACTAACCTCCCCGAAACCATCACCGTATATTCTTCAACCTGTTGTTTTCATGGTATGATCCCCATATTAGCCTATGCCATGGTTAATCAGGGTCATCATGCCTATACCAAGACTCATAATGATCTGAGGCATATAGCTGTGGCGGCATGCACATATTGAATCTCATCGGAACTGTCAAAATATGGATGTATATGGGCAAGTGGCTATCGATCCAAGTGGGTTTAGGTATCTCCGTTTAAATATGAGATGTATAGATGAAATACGGATACCAGAGCTATAATTATGGTAGAATGATGAGGTTTGCATGGTTCGATATGTGAAAACGTATAGGATGACATAGGCTACATTTTTATAGCGCGAAAGGCAACGGTTGAAAGAAGGGGCAAGCGGTCGGCCGGGACTCCAAACCACCCTGGGAAACTTTAGGCGGAGTCAAGCTGTCAAGTGCCATAACTGGCGGCTCGTTTCCCACTGTGAAAGGTGCGTCAAGGCCATGTGACTGGGCCTCGCATTTTATTGAAAAAAAAGAATATAAACAGCTCATTTTATTATTATTCTAACTTGTTTCCTTATTATAATTCTCCACAAACATGGTATCTTCTGCTTCTTCAAAGGGTTCTCTCTCTACCAGCGACGTTATCTCCTTTGAACATAACTATGGTGCTCACAAGTAAGTGCTTTGATCTCATGTCATCCATCCATTGAAACAGTGTGGACGCTGACGCTTGCCATGCAGCTATCACCCTCTTCCTGTTGTCTTCTCCAAGGCTCAAGGTATTTGGGTTTGGGATCCTGAAGGTAACAAGTACATGGATTTCCTCTCTGCCTACTCTGCTGTGAACCAGGGCCACTGCCACCCAAAGATTGTGCAAGCCTTGTGTGACCAGGCTCAGAAGCTTACCTTATCTTCGCGTGCGTTCTACAACGATGTGTTTGGCAAGTACGCCAAGTATGTGACTGAGTACTTTGGCTACGATATGGTACTTCCCATGAACACGGGTGCTGAAGCCGTTGAGACTGCCATCAAGCTTGCCCGCAAGTGGGGTTATGTTAAGAAGGGTATTCCAGAGAACCAAGCCATTGTTCTCAGTTGCCAGGACAACTTCCACGGTCGTACTGTTGGTATCATCAGTATGAGCAATGATCCTGATGCTACCAAGGACTTTGGTCCCTATTTGCCATTGGTGGGTCCCGTTTGTCCCACCACTGGCCGTGAGATTAGATACAACAACTATGAAGATCTTGAAGCTGTCATTGAAGCTAACTCTGACAGAGTTGCTGCTTTCTTGGTTGAACCCATTCAAGGAGAGGCTGGGTAAGTGCTTGGCTGGCTGGAAAGAAATCTGTTCAAACTCAGCCTAACAATGTCCACCTTTCGCAATGTAGTATCATGGTGCCTGACGAAGGATATCTCAAGAAGTGCTATGACCTCTGCAAGAAGCATAATGTCCTTTTCATTGGTGATGAAATCCAAACTGGTCTTGCCCGTACTGGAAAGATGCTTTGCGTTGAGCACGACGGTGTTCGTCCCGACATTGTCTTGTTGGGTAAGGCTCTTTCCGGTGGCGTATATCCCGTTTCTGCCGTTTTGGCCGATCGCGAGGTGATGCTGTGCATTCAACCTGGTGAGCACGGTTCTACTTACGGTGGTAACCCACTTGGTGCTGCTGTCTCCATGGCTGCCCTTGAAGTCATCAAGGAAGAAAACTTGGTAGAGAAGAGCCAGGTCCTCGGTGAGAAGTTCCGTGAAATGCTCAGCAGCATCAAGAGCCCTCTGTTGAAGACTGGTAAGTTGACACCCGGTTGAATTTTAACTGCGACGTTGTTTCTGATCCGTTGTTTATCTTTAGTTCGTGGACGTGGTCTGCTGAATGCTATTGTCATTGATGACAGCAAATCGGACAAGTCCGCCTGGCAATTGTGTTTGCTTCTCAAGTCCCGTGGTCTCCTTGCCAAACCCACTCATGTCAATATCATTCGTCTCGCTCCCCCTCTTTGCATCACCGAGGAAGAGTTGCTCAACGGTGCTAACATCATTGAACAAGCCCTTACTGACATTGTTGACATGAGCCATGAAGAACTCAACGCTTTGGATATTGGCAACGCCGCCCATTAAATAAGTTCCCACCGGCTATACATAATATTAAACATAGGAATGTAGCATAACACTTTGCTCCATATGTATCATACTTTCCATCCTTTTTATTAAACCTCGCAACACCTTTGTGTATTGTATCGTCTGAAATTTTACCTGTTGTCTAAAGTGTGGGCATTCCAATTACGGACAGGCCAGCTGATTGCAAGTCACTTATCTTATGCTGTCGCTCCACTCGAATCCCCATTGCTTTTCTTCTTTTGCATTGCATTGCAATTACATTCAATGGTAACTGTTGTTGATGAACGTCAAAGCGATTGGGAAAAAGCACCATTGAGCCAGAGGGAATCTTCCGCAAGGGACGGCCGCCGTCGGCTTGGCACGACTGCGGCACCTAAGCTGTCGATGCGATTACCTACTTTCTTACTACTTATCTTTGCAACCTTTCTAATTGGAAGAATGACAGTTCGGTGCAGTCGTTCATGCTCGAATGTAGAGGTCGTCAACGACACTGTACTCAAGGGGAAATGCAAAGTTTGGATACAACATCGATCACATGCCGAAGCAAAGCGCTTAACGCTTGGTTGTGAGAAAACGTGGGCTACAGTCAAGCCTGTGATTAAAGAATCCTTGAAGATGCCTCCCATTGAAAAGGATCATTCTTCCGCTGCTAACTTAATTCTACTGCATCCTGCTCATGGAAAAGTCGACCTTCACCTTCCGGTTGGTAGTCCGCGATTTCAATCTCATATCAAACAGCCTCTCTTTGCATTTTTCGACGATCCAGGTAAAACGCAATGTCCCATCTTATCAGCGTTTTTGAATTTTTTTGTTTGTTCATTTCTCCCCTATCTACATCGAAAAACAGAGACTCGCATCTTGCTGAAACAGCGCACGAGTATTCCAGTCAAGCTAACGACGGAACTGTGCTTTCGACGAGACCAGAAATCAGGTCAGTTTCAATATGTATGAGGGGTTAGTGTCAAACAGATTTTAACATGACTCTGGCGCTTTTAGACGACCCATATGTGATTTTGTATCGCATCCTCTCCAACCAGTTTACTAAGGAAGACGTCAATTCTATGCGACGTAGCCTTTGTCAATCAAGTTTCGAGGTATCGAGCTGGCAGGAATCACCTAACAATCATGATCGCCTCGCCTCCGCCTATAGCTTTGTATTCAAACGCCGAGGCTAAGTAAGGGAGGGGAGGGTGGTTTGATTGTCTATCCTTTTGAGCTGGCTCATGTACAATTGTAACACATTAAATTCGTACAACCTATGGTATACAGAACTCTTTCTTAACGTGATGTTTCCCTTTTTTACAAAGAAATGTGACGAAATAAATATAAAAAAAAAAAAAGAAGAGGAAGAAGTCCTTTTATTGTCCGCCCCCAGTTATTTGGTTCGAAAAATGACGAGAGAGAAAGATTCCCAAACCCCACTTCCCTTTCTCGGAGACTGCTCATAACATGCCGTTTCATGGCGAGGAATCCAATGAGATTACGCCGCTCATTCGGTATTCGGAAGACACGTTGCCCAAGAACGACGAAGTGAGTGGAGCCATACAGCGTTTGCTGCTATTGGTGACCATGCGACTTCCCAAGTTTGCTATTGTTGAGCGAGACGACTTGGAGGACGCTGTGGTCACCGACGCCTTTGCTGACATAGCCAAGAAAGCCTGTCATATTCATCAGGATTCATTGATCTTTGTCACCTTGAAAGCCATGGAGCGTTTTCAGATCCAAGCCCAAGGGTCCCCGCGCTGGAGTGAACTTCTGGAAACAAGAGCCAGCATTTGCGAAAGTCTCGCCCATAAATTGTAAGTGACCGGTGGGGCAGCCACTTGGTCTGTGCTTTGCATCACACAGCATTGTTCTGACCTGGGGGCTTTTTCATTTCAGTATCCGTCTATATGAGAGAGAGCGCACAGAGCGGTTTGTGGCTGCCATCATGCAGAAGCATGATTTGAAGTTCGCCTCGGATCAGAGTGGTAATTTTGAATGCTAGACACGGATAATCAATGGGCCGTATCTGTTATTAAATGTTTGATTTCAGCGATTGAGTTGGCTGTCAAGTTACATGCAACCAAATTTTTGTTAGAGCCCAAGGTCCAGAAGGTGATCCATGACGTTTGGAATGGCTATTTACTTCCCCATGAAGAGAAAGACGGCCGAGTCTCATTCAGGTCGAATGCGTACATCAAGAGAGTCAAAACTGAGTTCTTCGATACACACAAAATTCTGGTACCAAAGTAAGTAGTGGGTTACGGTCTTGGGAGGACACGGTCCATATGGGCGGGAGGGGGTGTTTACACCGCCTGCACTTTGACACTCATATTGTGCACAGGTATCAAAATGCAATAGAAACAGTGGTCACTATCCTGTTTTTGATTCTGTACTCCATCGTTATCAATTCCCGACGAGCGGACGTACCTTCCGTGCTGGAATGGGTGCTGTATAGTTTCGTACTGGCATATGTCATTGACGATATTCGTGATGTAAGTGTTGCCATCCATCTATCCATTGAAAAAGCTGCCAGCCGTCTCACATCACCCTTTCAATGGCAAATTTTAGATATACAACTCGGGAACATTTCATTACTACAGCTTTTGGGCTTGGACAAATACTTTGACCCATTTAGTGTTCATTGGTTCGTTTTGTTTGCGTATTGCCGCAATGACAAAGACCGGCGATACAAGGGATATGTTAAACAATACGTCCATTGATGTCCTGTCTGTGGTATCGATTCTTTTATGGTAAGCTGGTTAGTTGGACTTGCGAATATGCTAGCAACGCAATGGTTATTGACAGTGTTAATTTTTCTCAGGTTCCGTGTGCTCAGCGTTGTATGCAATACATGGAGATATTTTGGATCCTATACTATCATTGTGCAAAGCATGTTGAGTGACTCTCTCATGTTCTTCTTCCTTTTGATTTGGGTTATTCTCGGATTCTTCCAAGCCTTCATTGCTTTACGAACCGAAGACACAGCAAGCGACAATGACTTTTCAGAAATCACCGCCTTGCTGCTCCGAGGTTACTTGATGTAAGAAAGATCAGCTGTTGGTGGTAGTGCTGAAAATGTACTAAACTTTGATTCTCTCTTCAGGTCTCCTGACTTTGAAAAGGCCAATGTGTTCCATGATATCATTGGCGAACCATTGTTTTATGCCTATATCTTTTTGGTATCTGTCGTTCTCCAGTCATTCTTGACATCTGTGTTTTCGGACTCATTCAGTAGGATTTCTGAGGATGCAAAGGTGAGATGTTTGATGAAAACGTGTGTGTCTGTATAGAAGCAGCCCATGATGAGAAAGCTAATATAGGTTGCATTCATTAGGCCCAATATCTTGCTAACTTTGCATACCGCGTTATCGTTGCTGTTGATACGCGACACTCACTACCACCACCTTTCAATCTTGCTGATCTTTTGCTGCTGCGCCTACCATCTCTATGCATGAGCAAACAGTTCTATGATAAGTTCCGGTACTATGTCCTTTCCGTGATTTTCTTCCTCCCTCTCCTTATTGTCTCCTTCCATGAGAAAGTGCTACTTCGTCTGGATAATGCAAGAAGTGATGATTCATTGAGTGATGACGAGGGTACTATGAACGAGGAGCAGGACTTTATGACCACGGATGATGACGAAGTGCGAGATCTGAAGGCCGTAGTGGGTGAACCCGATTTAGACAAGATCCAGAAGCTAGCTGAAAAGACAGTTCAGAAGAGCAAAGAAGATGAAACGACTTCCATCTCGCCAAATGAAATACTCCATGCCGATATCAAGCGTGTAGTACGTATGCTCGATATGATCGATCAGCGACTCGGACGATTGGAAGCAAACACCGCTCAGGATGTCGCCAAGTAGTTTCTCTGTAAAAAACAGCTTAGTGCCGTGTCTCTTTTGCATTGTATGACGCGCAATCCATTTTTTTCTTATTATCTTATAAGCTATTGTATCCATCCAAATTACACAAATGCATAAAGTCACTGATCACCGCCGCATGATTAACACTCTGCACTGCTATGCAGGGCATATAATTTATTTATTTTTACTCTTGGTTGATGGAGTTGCCATTATAAGTTTGTTTCGGGTCTTCATCATCGTCGCGTAGAGAGTCGAGGGTGGTAATTTTGCTCTTATTTCTCCTACAAAGGTCCATGAATGTCAAAGGATGCCGTGCAGGATGAATTCGTGTTATGAGTTTAACTTACCTTGCAGCAGCAGCAGCTTTGGAGTCTGACGACGATGTTCCTTGCTGCTCTTCGTCACCAAATTCACTTTGGGCACCCAGGGTGGTACCTCCAGTAATGCCTCCGGAAGCAGGCAATAAGGTGGCCAGAACATTATTGACCAGGCTCCAAGAGGCTCCGGCAGCACTATAAGCCAAATCTACAGCAGAGTATGCGTAGCCCCAGAGACCAGGTGCCGTAGGAGTATAGGCAGATGTCACTTTGCGAGGAGGTTTCATGATCAAAGCACTGCTGGGGACCAATTCCAGTTCCCTGAGGGATTTGCTCTCATCTCCCATTGAAAACTGACGGGTGGGAAACTGAGCGAGGAGCATGAACGGTGCATCGCCGTCTGTGCGCTCCTTTGATCAAAAAGAGTGTCAGACCCACATATTCGACGCATGGTGACAAGTTTTGCCGTCAACTTACCGCATCGATCCATTTCATCACATCATCCAAGGTATCGGTAGCATTGAACTGCTTGCGAATTTGAGAACCGTCCATTTGCCGAACACTAAGATTGCATACTGTGGATGTCGATCTAAATAGAAATTTTCTGTTAGTTACTTGGAGTGGGTCAAAAGATCCTTTTCATCTGTGAAACATGACTCACTGGGCAGCAGACGACGAGGTAGATTCTGTACCGGACAATGGAGTGGTATTGCCCTTTTGTCTCTCCTCAATCTCCCGTTGTCGCTGAGCAGCCCGTTCTCGTTTATCGCTCTCAATTTGCTCACGCAGCTTGCGTCGATGTTCCTCCTCAGCTTTGCGCTCCTTTTTAACTTCTTCAGCGTATTTCCGTCGTTGTTTCTCATCATGCGACTCCTGAGCTGCTTGTATTTCCTGCCCCGTTCGACGGCGTTGCATTTCCTTCTCGCGTTGGTTCTACATAGATAATGAATTTTCTATACCACCTGTCTGTATCGTAGAACACCTCACTGTACCTTTTCCTCCTCTTCAGCTCGCTTTTTACGAGCAAGTTCCAGCTTCTTTTTTAAACTAATTTTCACACGAAAGGTTCCATAATAGCATGGTGAGTGCGGGAACAAAAAAATGCTCAACATAGTATACGTGGCAACTTACGCTTCTTTCTTTTCTGCTGTGCTGGGCGGTGTTTGTGCGGAGGCAGATGTATTGGTGGACGGAGATGAAACGCCTGTAGGCAGTGGAGCCGATGGCGCATTGGTCGGTCCAGCCGGTCGAGCGACTGGTTGGGGTGCCGGTGGTTGTGTATGGGCTACTGCTTTGTCGAATTTACTAGCAATCTCTTCAGAGGAAGTATCGGATCCGGTAATGACCTCCACAATGACGCCGGCTCTACACAATTGAATCTCAACGTTAACGTGTGAAAATCAACTACAGCAGACTTGAGTGAGCGAGGCTTACTTTAGTAGAAAGAGGGAGGGATATCTATGAACGGGATCTGGTTGAAAGGGGTTCGAATCAAAAGATTAGCTGTAACGGTCATGGTGGGTCTCTCGCATTCGTTCGACGGAAACTCACATAGTTGGCCAAACAGGTTGGCGTTGTCGGTATCTTTTTCAAGAGTGATAGCAATAGCTTGTTCGCGCAATCGTTGTACGATGGATTCAGCTTCGAGTGTGGCCGACATGGCATCACTTTCGTGCGATTCATCTGAAGGGTCGGTGACATGTTAGAGCACGAGCCAATGGATGGAATCCCAGACTAAAAGTAAAGCATACCGCGTGCAAAAACAACAAAGACACAGCCCTTGGCATTGACTTGAGTCACTGCCTCGGCTACAGGTCCTTGGAACCAAACGGTTGATGAAGTAGTCATGGCAGAGATCTACAGTTGTAACTCACAGCAGCGCAAAAAGTTCAGTTTGAAATGGACGGTGGAACCAATAAAACGGGCGATCGCTTAATTTTATTCATTTTCTGTGACTGGCTCAGCAGCAGCCCCATCTATGGCTTGCCTCGATGGTTTCGTCTTTTGAAAAGCAAACGCTAGATAGACCCTTGCTGCTTCCCACTCCTCCTCACTCAATCCTGGGTCGTAGCCACCGACGACTTTCATTCGCTTCAATAACATGTTGTGATCTGCTTCATGAGCAGCCGACACAAAGAAATCATGGAAGTTTTGTTTAAATTTAAGTTCCAAACCATATTCCTCTGCAAGGCTGCTCTGGCATTTTAGCATTCCATTTTCTAATTCTGTATTTTACACCATGTGCTGTGGAAAACCTACCTTTGAAATATAGTGAAAGGTACAATGTATTCCGGACAGTCGACGGCATCGGTTAAATGAAACCAATACTTGCAACCAAATGGCGTAAAGCCAACCTTGTTCCCATCGTCCGTGTCCTTGATATCTTCGAATTTGATACTATATACATGATTGCCGATTTCATGTTGGCCCTTCGGCATAGTTCTAAGCTTTTTGATAATCCAATTGGCATCTGGTATAGTGCCAATGAACCACCCTCCTTCCGCCAGATTCGCCGTTACATTCTCCAACATGGTGCGAGCCTTCTTTTCCGATTCAAACGAGTAATGCATGCAAAACTGCATTGACACGAGGTCAAACCGCATATCTGGAGCTAAATGTGGTGCGAGAAGTTCCTAAACGGCCAAGAGATTATGAGAGATCAGATTACGTTGGTCGCGCAGTGGTTACAAGTGCCATACCGAATAACAATCAAGGGGAATGAACTCTGCTTTGAATCGAGCATTTCGCATGGTGTCATAGCGCTCTTTCATCTGGCTAAGGGATACTTCGGCAATATCTAAAGGAAGGGTGAGTATGAAGTCCCCGCATTAGGCATTGAGCTAAAGGTGTGCGTCCTACCTGTACCAACGAGATATCCGATGCCGCCACGCGCCCATTTCTGTAAATCTCCACCTTTGCCACATCCCATGTCCAGCACGGTAGCGTTTCGGCGCACGTGTCGAGAGATCAAGACACTTTTGATCCAATTGTTGAAACTTCGCAGTCGAATGATGGAGGATTGCTGTCGTTTTTCCACGCCGACTTCAGGACGTGCATTATAGTGTTGTGCAACTAAGTGAGCCTGTGATGCGGCGTCGGATTCTTTCTGATCTCGCGCAACTTTGCGGACGTACTCGAAGTCGTCGGATAATCTTCTTTTGCTCATGGGCTGGGATGACTGTGTTCAAGCGAAAATTTCACTCACTGCAGAGAAAATTGCAGAGCCGCGGCTTTAAAAAAGAAACTGGCCCTCTCGCAACGTAGGATCCGCGCTCTATACTTCAAGATATTCTGAAAATGACCCTTGAGCTTGATGGAAAGCAACAATGCCATCATGATGATGTGAAATGAGTGGTAAAAAGTAAAATGGCCCTTGACCATCGACCATCGACTGCTAGTTCTGTAAGGTGTGCCGCAACCCGGCAATCTGTCGGTGCAAACAGCGTATGAGCCAAGTTGCGCGGTGAGCCCTCGATCTAGATCGCACTCTAGCAAAGGTAGGAACATAAAGCAAAAAGTCATTTGTGCTTGGCTGGTTTATTTATTTTTTAAAAGAAAAAAAAAAAGAAAGACAAAATATCAATGTCCTTCTATAAAATTTAACGACGATCTCATCTACCATAAATCTTGACTCTTGCTGGTCCATAGTACAACCATGATAGCAGAGCTAGGGAGGATGAAACTAAAGTGATTCATAAACTCTACCATTTCTAAAACCACCTTCGAATAAACATGTGGTTTGGTTCATTCTCGTGGCTGCATAAATGAAACGTCGTATCAGCCAACAATGCCACTAAAGCGCGGAAAAAGGATTAATTCAAGTTATATCGGAGGTTCAGAAGAAGTCTTTCAATATGGGCCATGGACACATGTTTTTGAACCAACTATCCTTTTCTTTTTGGTAAAAATGCATTGACTAGAGTTTATTGCTAACGCGCGGTTTCTGACATGATAGTGTGTCTATTAGGACATTGTTATAAAAATACAGCAACTATAGTTGAGAGAATGACAGCCATCGCCTTTCAAGGATAAAAGAAAAGAAACACAAAAAATAACCGCCACCTTTAAAAGGAGGTTTAGGAGAAAACTTGCGTTCCAGAGGGAAGAACACAACTGAAAACGCCTTTCAAACACCAAGCCAGGATCCATTCTTCTTCGTAAAGGCTATCGCATTAACTAACAACTAAATAAAAGGGAAAAAAGTTTAGTTAGTCCAGGATTCAATAGCCGACTTGCCATAGTACCACCAGCATTAATTACTTACAGTTCTTCCAAGGCACAGCACAAACAGCACGCAGCCAAGCTAGTTTCAAAATATAATCATAAGTATCATGAACTCCGCTGTACCACATGTTCAATGAACTTACCATCCCCAACAGCAAGCATCATTGTCCTGACGCTGAGGCTGTTGTTGAATGTACACAGTCTGAGGAGGAGGAGTGGGCTGGTAATACCCCTGAGGTTGTTGCTGGTAGTAACCTTGTTGAGGTGGTGGTTGGTAATATTGGTTTTGAGCCTGGTAGGATTGGGGAGGGGGAGGGTATGAGTAGCCTTTGTTTTCCATGGTGCGAGATTGGTAGCGGTTTGAATGTGGAAAGAAGAAACGCAGGCGGTCCAGGGCTTGCAGAAACCAAATTTCAGATTCTTGCTGTGACGGTCTTTTCTTATTCTATTTTTTCCGTTTGCCAAGAGCCCAGTAACTGCGGATACTCAATACAGCTGGCTGGCTTGTGTGGCACATGTCTCAAGGCTGACCACGCACTTCAAAGCATTTCTTTTCATTATGGGTTGGTGGGTTAAATTATTACAAAATAATAATTATCAGATGAAAAAAGTGTTATGTCTTGTAATTGGTATCTATGATGGATGTATATGCATCTACGGCATCAAGGTAAGCTTGGCCCAGGGCTAAGGGCTCCATATCATCTCGTTCAAGGACTTTCTTGAGTCGCCAGTCGTGGGGGCTTTGTGTGAGGGGCTTGGGTGTGAGTGGAGTAATGGGAGCAAGAGCGTTGGGAGAGTCATAAAAATCAGAGCCTGTCATGTTGGACAGTTGGGAAGCTCGAGACCCTGCAAAAGAGGTAATTTTGCTGCTGCTTTCACCTCGATCTCTCTCGCGCAAGGAAGGGATTTGAATAGGGCTCAAGCCACCCGGCGATAGTTGAATGGGGGAGGCAGGATTGATAGTGGCTTGTTGAGCATTCCACCTTTGTTTGTTGTTGGCCACAGCCCGCATAATATCTTCCACCACCTTGCCAATTTGTGCACGATCCCGCTCTGTTGCCTGTCTTGCCGTGGTTTGAACTTCAAACTGCGATTTGGCTTTTCTTGCATCCGCACCAGTGCTATAGACTAGCAAGAATTGAGATTCACTTTGACTTTCAATAAGGGCCTGAGCAAGCGCATCCAGTCGCTTTTGCTCTCTTCTTAAGTCAAGGTTTGGCCTAGGTAGGAAAATGATGGAACCACTGCCGGTGACGAGTTTTTGGATGGCTATGAACGCCTCAATATTAAGCTGAAAAAAATACGATAAGTGTCTGTTTGACAAAGCAAGGTTCCATAAAGCGTTCAAACTTACGTTGTTTTGGTCAATGTGAAGCTCTTGTATCGTTCGGTTGTTGATAAGGCACTTTTGAAGCTCAATGACGCCTGCAGGACCCATTTGAAGATTACCGAGTCGCAAGCATCGTAGTCGGGTATTGGTGGTCAGACCAATGAATGCACCAGCCAGCGCTGGTCCAAGTCCACGTGTGTTCTCGCCGCCACCTAGGTCGAGATCCTCGATGACACGATTTTGTTCAAACAGTCCCGCCAGGGCATGGATGGTTTCATTGGAAACGGCCGTTGTCATGCTGATACCGGAAAGATCCAGCGTTTTGATAGTACGGTTGTGTGTAAGACTGGTAAACAGCTCATGCAACACAGCATCCTCCCATTCGGTATTGGCCAGCGACAGAGCTACGGGACCGTTGGGGACAGCCAGGGCGGTCCATAACAACCCTAGAGAGCTGGGTTCAGACATGTAAGGATTGGCACCAGCGACAAGATCAACTTCTCGATTGTTGGATTGGCCGATCGCTTGGAAAATAGCACTGATTTGGCGACTTTTCAACCCACAATTGTCTACGCCAAGGCGTCTGACCTTGTCAAAAGAAGGTGACTGAATCCAACTGCACAAGGTGCCCACTTGATGGTCGGATAGGCCAATGCGACCGACATCCAAAGATTGGATATGTAGCTGTGACAAGGTATTGAAGTCGGTTATGACATTGCATTTTCTCATTTTGAGAGTGCTCAAGTGAGCACATCGTCTGAGCAAGTTGCTCAGAAGTTCTTCGCTGAAGTAAGTGTAATTATGAGACAAATCGAGGTGTCTCAAATGAGCCGGCATAGCACTAAGAATGCATTCTACGATACGTTCCAGTTGGTTGCGAGAAAGTCCACAGTAGGCCACCGATAATTCTTTCAATGCCTTTCGATTGGCCTTCACACCAGCCAATAAGGCATCAATATCGGTATCAGTTATTTGGTTCTTGCCAATATGAATGGCGTTAATTCCGATTTGCCGACTCTCCATAGTCTTGCCAATAACGTGAATAGCTGATTTTGAGCCACCACACTTGCCTATACCGCAATTAGTGAAGTCAATCTTGCGTAGTTTTTTGTTGTGCATGAACAAAGACCACATTTCACTGGACAAAACGTTGTCGATAGCAGCTCCTCCTTCCAAAGAATTTGTCCAGCCATCTTCGATACGAGCTGGCCACTGCTCCAAGGGGTGGAGGTTCACATTCGAAAAGTCGATATCGCGGAAAGTAACCTGAACCAACCAAATTTGTCAGTTTCCCTAAACTACGTGTGGGTTTTTAAAATGACGACGAAAAATATGTCAAACTCACGTTGTGTCGAAGGGCGCGGAACAGAGCTAAAAGCTCGTATTTACTATATACCGCAGGAGACTCGTTGATTTCGTTAGGAGAATGTACATTAATATGACGTGCTCCAGGCATATCAGGTATACTGGAAATGGTGAATGCAAAACGACGTTTGTCGAGGTTCATAGCTGCGCAGTATCCCTCCAAAAGAGCATCGAAACCACGATCGCCTAATTTGCTGATATCAATGGTAGGCTCAACACGAGTAGATTGTAGAGCGTCAACGACATCCAAGGTATAGGGAGGGATGGGATAAAAAGGCACTAGATTGCTGATAGAGACACGAAGTTGCCGGATGATTTCTTCGCAATGACAAGAAACAAAGAGAAGCTTTTGCGAATCCTTGGCAACATTTCGAACCGTGAGTTCAAAAGAATCGTCTCTACCGGAAAATGATATATGTTGGATGGTCAATAAACCATGTCTGTCTCTGAATATGACTTTTTTGTATTCATCATCGGCGAAACCGTGGGGCAGGACATAAAAACTACTTTTTCCGATAGCAAACATAACAGGCACAATAATCTCCTTGGATGCATGAGGGTTATCTGACGTTGGTTTTTGACGTTGATGCTTCAGTACAATTTGCTTGACCAGGATGTCGTCCACTGGATCGGTGGTATCCCGTTGTTTTTGCATGCGCTCAATAGCCATGCTTCGCTCAGCAGAAGTGACCGGACTGATGTGGGAAAGGTTATCTTGAGCGAGGCGGCGGAGTGCATTCACCCAACCTATAGCGTCTTGTTGCAACGAAGTGAATATACAGATGGAAGAGATGACCTTGGTCAGTGGGTCGACATGTTCGATACGAAACGTGGTGTTACTCTGAGGAACATAATGTACTCCAATGATGCCTTCTTTAGATAGCATGTGGTGGCTTTTGGACACCTTGACATTGGGTCGCTTTTTCATAAGTGTGAAGTCGAAAATCTGATTGGCTTTTTGAGACGATTTGAACCGGAGAAGTTCATCGTGCGTAAGCACACAGTATTCTTTCTTTGATTTCGAAAACATAGTGGTATCGAAGGTATGTGTAACTGCTCCCATATGCATGATGGCGTTGCTATCTGATTGCCTGCTAGACATACTTAGGGATCGTTGTGGGATGCTAGAGTTGGATGATGATACAGAGCTGGTTCGAGTAAATCCAGATATACTCGCACCGGATGACATGGGATGATAGTCCATCGATCTTGAAGGCACTGGCGTTCTTTGACGTTCTGGTATTACCATGTGAGCCATATGGTTTTGCGGAACGCCATATGTTTTCACTCGAGAGTGATCGACCATCATTTTTACAGATAGTGTTGGGCGATCTCTGCTGTTGTTTGAAGTGAAAAGAGAAGAAAAAGGGCGCGCGTGCAGTATCAGTAAGGACTTTTAAATTATCAGGTTTATCACGCCCTCTCTATTACTCTCCGCCTTGCACTGTAAACTTGTCCTTCCTTATCCCAAACTATTGTGAAACCAGCCCTCTAAAGATGTGCACGGCCGTTTTGTGGCATAGGAAAACGCAGCCAATCATATATTCTCTCTCAGAAGCATGTTGCTATCAAGTCATTTGGTTCGATATGCACTATTCACCTCATCGGGTCAACCTTCTAGCATCCACACAATATGAGAGAGAACTTGCTTGCACGTGGGTAGTAAATGGTTACTAATTATTATTTCTTCTACATGGTATCCATCGGGGATCAAGGGTGACTATTTAATCTAGTCTCGATGAGTGATTTAAGTCATTGGCCTGAGCACCCAGTGCATCAGCATTTAAACACAGGTATGAAAGACTTCAAGCTATCTTCTTCTTTCCTCTGTCCCCCTTCATCGAACACTGCATATATTTGCGGGTGCTTAAAATTAAAATAAAATTTTCTGTGAGGATGGGGTCTTCAAATTTTAAATACCCAATAGGAACACATTATGAGGGTCACAGCTGGGACCGGTCATGGGCGCGCAGCTTCAGCCTCCGTTCCAGAATTGCAACAGCGTGTAGCTACAAAGCGTCCACGAGAGTGTGCACCACGTTTCAGTTTACCGATGATGGGTGGTGGTCAAAGCAATAAAAATTTCATTTAATGGGTGGAAATAGTTATGTTTTTGGAAATGAAACTGAAACAGCACTCATTTTCATTATTAATTGTAAACAGCAAGGGCACCGATCATAACAAAAAGCATAGTAACATAGCCTGCAGCGTGAACAGTAGCGGCCGAAGTCGCTGCTGTGCTGGTGGAAGGCTTGCTGGAGGCGGAAGATGAAACTATGCTGGGACGGGAGGAGGTGGAAATAAGAGTTGGTACAACAGATGCAGCGGTTGCCATCGATGACATGCTAGACACCATAGGAGTGGAGGATGAAGCCATGATAGTCGCTGGTACAGAAGCAGTGTCAGTGGGAGCATCGCTGGAAGTATCCGTAGGAACATCAGTAGAAGTATCAGTAGGGTCATCAAGGCTAGTATCAGTAGTAGCATCGGCAGTAGGATCGTCACTACCAGAATCGCTAGGGTCATCGACACCAGCGTCGGTAGCACTAGGGTCTGCCGCACTGTCAGTTGGATCTGCAGAGCCTTCAAAAAAACCAAACGAATATAAATATCATTCCTACTTTTGCTTATGCCACGTTCGTTGCTGTTACTTACCTGAATCTGTCAGCGAATCAGAGGGATCTAAATACCAGTCATGGGTCAGAATAGGGAAGGACTTTTACCAGGTCGCGTGAGGACCATTCCATCTGAACTTACCATCCTGTGCCATAACGGATGCGTTCAATAGCGCTAAGACGACAAAGAGTAGAAGGAGGAAACGAGTTGCTGATAGCTTTGCCATGGTTGATTGATTTGCACCAGTAAACAGGAATGTATGGGGGAGGCCTTTTTATACTTTGCTGAAGCTCTTTTTTTAGATAATTGGTCTCTGATCATGTTCCCAGGCAGGCCATTTCGCGGCAAGTCGCATGTCTGCGCCTCCTCAGTCACTTATAAAAAACATGGGTGCCAAGACACTGCCTCCTGTTGATCTAATTTTGGGTGCAGGCATGTATAAAATTTCCCGGTATTTGTTGTTGCTCATAACTCGTTATGGGCGCTTCATGCACCAAAGATCGACAAGCCGATCGGCCAGGCACCACCGCCACCAACAGTGAATGTCATTATTTTTTAAAAATTGATATCTTGGATTTGCGTTGAAAATGATTGCAAGCTCTATTTTGTCATCATTTGCGGATTCGTGGAAGATTCTAATAACCACTTATTACAGAAATAGCGCTCGACCGCCATTCAAGCTTTTTTCTTTTTATGAAAATGGGAAGGGGGAAGCAGAAAAAAAAAATTTATAAAACACCTCGTCTTTTGTTTTTTTTCGACCAACTTAGAATCTGTAAATAGTTAAGAAAAGGCGTTAATAAGCTTTCACAATTTGAGATAGTCTAACAAACATTTCTCTTTACCTGTTGTAGGACATGAAGCCACGGACTCTGAGGAAGTCAGTCAAACCTTCAACAGGACCATGACCAACCACAGCAACTTCCTTGTCCCAGAGGGTGTTGTTAGCAACGCGGTGGACGTCAGCAACGGTGACCTTTGAGATGGCTTGTTCAATCTCTTGAGCAGACAAACGCTTGCCAGTAGCAAGGACTTGGGTAGCAATATCTTGAGCAACAGCATTGGAGCCATCAAGACCAAGAAGAAGGCTTCCCTTCAAGATCTGCTTAGCACGCTCAACTTCACCCTCGGTGACAGTTTGAGAAAGACGAGCCCATTCCTTTTGTGTGAAGTGGACAAAGTCGTCAATTTGGGTTACGTTAGAGGTGGCAAAGTAAATACCGAAGAGACCAGTATCCTTGTAAGAGGTGTTGAAGGAGAAGTAGTTGTTGGCGAGGTGGTGCTTGTCAACAACGGTGGAGAGACGAGATCCAAGGAGGCTGCTACCGCCAAGGCTGGCATCCCATGCACCAATGATGGATTGCATGACAAGGGAAGTATAGTAGTCAGGTGATGCCAAACTGGGAGCCTCAACGGCGAGGGCGATGTGGGCTTCAGGAAGAGTATCATCACGAAGACGGATTTCAGATCCAGTGAACTTGGGCTTTTGAGCCAACTTGGCAGACAAGGATCCAGAAGACAAAGAACCGAACTTCTGCTCAGCCAACTTGCAAAGTTCCTCGTGGTTGACGTTACCAGCACCAACAAGGACCATACGGTCACCGGCGTAGTTGTTCTTAATGAAGTTGGAGAGGTCATCGCGAGAGATGGCTTGAACAGACTCGGGAGTACCAGCAATGGGACGACCAAGACCTTCACCTTGGAAAGCAGTGGCGTGCAAGTGATCGAAGACAATCTGCTCACCATTGTTGGCAGCCTTCTGTTGCTCCTTCAAGATAGCTTCGCGAGCTTCATCAATGGCGCTAAGGTTGGGGTTCTGGACAGCTTCAGACAAGATATCGACAGTCTGAGCAACATTGTTGTTGAAAGTCTGGGCAAGGAAGGCGGAATGTTCGCGAGTAGTGTAAGCATCGAAGTTTCCACCCAAGCTCTCAATTTGTGAAGGCTTGGAACCCTATCATCACAAAAAAAAATTATGTTAAAACCTCTAATATAAAACACTTTTTTCCGTACAATTGCCCACACCAACCTTGAAAGCCAAGTGCTCCAAGAAGTAGGCAGCACCGTTGGTCTCAGCAGATTCAACACGGGAACCGGCATCGATCCAGACGCCAACAGTAGCAGTCTGGGAGGAGGGGTTCTCCTCAGTAGCTACTGTCAAGCCGTTGGAGAGGGTGGTAGTGCGGGTGGCAACATTGGCAGAAGTAGCAAGAGGGCGAACAAACTGAATAATGGCAATTGTGTAGGGGATTGGATTAGTTAGATGTCAACAACAGTTGATGGATGAGAATGTCCGGGTATGAACAGTAGGGAATCGCAATGAATGTGATGGTTGTAGGAATTATGTAGTAGGTGCTGTAATATGTAGCTAGCTGTTATAGCTGTCGATAATATCCAAGTGCCATGAGCACGATAAAGTCTCTGAGCATAAAGTCGACCATATGGTGTGCTTTGGAAATGTAACCAAAACGACAATGTGCTGCGGGTATATGGTCAAAAATACAACGATAATCACCTGCTTAGCCATTCCCACGCGGGACTTGACGGCGGTAGAAAGAAGTCGTGAAGCCATGAGACCAGTCAATCAAAAAAGTGGGGAGAGGGAATTGTCTTTGAGTGTACAAGTTTTTGTTTCTTGTTTGTCGAGGGCAATGAAGGGCTTACGTGACGTCACCCAAACCACGCACGTGACTTTCGTGAGTGAGATGAACTGGTTGCTTGGAGGACTGACATTGGCTTGTCATAAATCCATCCCCGACAGGCCTGCCACCGCGAAAGCCTACCGGTTCAGTCCACTTTCGCCAAGGAGGTAAGTTAAAAAAAGTCTTGACTGACTGACCTAGAGCAGCTCATAGTAATCTACTGATTGACTGACGTAGCATACCTTTATTGCTTATCCCACATCTCGTCCATTACTGTAATACACGACCTTCATCACAAAGCCGACCTCATTCTCAAAGCATGACGGACCAGCAATTAGCCTTGATCGCCAATTCCTTTGGAGTCCTTACAATGGTGCTCATTGTTGTATACCACTACCTTTCTATCAATAGCGACAAACGAATCAAGCCAAACTGATAGCCTTTCGGCCAATACAGCCTCACTCCGGAGTCTATACACCTTGAAAAATAAAAAAAGCACACCCATAGCCTTTGGGATATCATCTTTGAATAGAATCGGTGGGTGGGAAGAAACATATCTAATTGGACCTATTTTATGATGTGGAAGTTCAAGATAAGACAGCATGATCTTGTTTAAGCATCATGTATTATTAGGGGTTGTTACCCCTCATCTACGGCGAGAAAAAATGTGGGATTTAACATCAGAGGATGTTCAGCATCACATTATTGTTGTCAATGGGCTATTGTAAAATGTGTTTTACAGTAAAGAAGTGTTCAGTAAAGGAGACCCTCACAGGCGTGAAAGGTGAGGGAAGATTATTTTTTGCCTGGTAAACCCAAACCAATTAGGCTCTCTAGATCACAAGTGCAAAGAGGAGGAGGAGGCAGCCACATCAAAATCCCAATAAACCCGTTATTCCAAATGTATAATATTTACGCCTCCCTGGGGTTTACCTGTACTCTTAATGGATTAGCACTTTTCCTGGTTCATAATGGAAGACACATTTCATCCATTGGTAAAAACTCCTGACACTTGCAACGATCGAGATCCCGACCACCAACAAGTGCTACCGTCGTGCTTACCCAATCAGTCACGAACTCGGCGATTTTCTACCTCAGCATTGCCTTCGGATGGGGATCAGAAGTTGCCTACCAAAAGAGCAAGCGATGACTTTGTGCGGCGGGTTAGTTTTGACACTATGACACATCAAGACATGCCAGACTACTCGTTCACGCTCCAGGAGAAGAGCCAAGGCTGGGAACGTTCGATATCAAGTAGAGTATTTATGCTAGCCACTGATCTAGAGAGCCATTCCAATGAAGCACTCAAATATGCTGTGGAGGTAAAGTTTCAGAAGGCTCATTATGATGACACGCCATGGAATTTCTGTATTTCGGAGATTTGACTGTCCGTTACCCGTTCAGGAATTATTAGAGGATGGGGATGAAATTGTGGTTGTTCGTGTGGCGGATGTCCAAGTGAACCGTTAGTATTGGAGAGAAATACACCCAATTATCAGCCTTGTGAGCTAACTTGATGCTGAAACTCAGGTCATATTTTGGGATCCTCTCGTCAAAACCTACAGGAACATGCCGTTCTGGCACGTCAACACGCAGAGCTATTGTTACAGCGGATAAAGGAATCACATGGAGGCATTAAGGTAGGTAAAAGAAGAGAGATTCATTTCGAAAGGCAATAGTGTTGCTCACAACAGCACATATAGATCAGTATCGTTCTTGAGTTTGTGATTGGGAGGACGCAAACATGTTTACGAGACATGGTAAGTCTATCTGGAATACACAAAAGGTTTCATAGCTGTACTGAAAGAATATTCCATGTTTAGCTTCAGATGTATCACCCATCTGCCCTGATAGTAGGCACTCAAGGGAAGCCGTCCTCTCTCAAGACCATGTTCCCTGGTAACAGCATTTCCCAATTCTGTCTGCGTCTTTCTCCGGTTCCTGTTATTGTGGTAAAGGAATTTAAACCCTCTGACGCCTCACGCCGTTCAAGCTCAAACTCTAGCAATGAGAACAATGATTGTCATGATCCTTCCACAGCATCCAAGTGGATTCGTAAGCTTAGTTTGAATAACCGGCTATCCAAGTCTGCACAGCATTAAATCCCCTCATCAAGTATTTATTATTACAAATTGGAAAACAACGGCCTCCCGCGGGCTTAAGATTGGAACCAAATTAATACATTATTCACCCATATGCAACAACATTTTCTGGAACACCCTTTATGCGATAGGATCTTATATGTAGCGTCATGGACTGTAACATAATACCATTGGGTTTTCTTCTATTCTCTGTATATTGTCAATAAATTGTCATGGTTGGACGCTTATCATTGGGAAGGAAGGATGGTGGAAAAAAGGAAAGTGAGCACAGACAAAAAAGGGTCGGCCATCATGGGTTAAAGCGGTAACGGTAGCCAAAAAAAATGTCCCACGTGATTTAAAACAAAGTTAAACTTGGGAGCCATTCCGTTTTCAAAGGGCCCTTTCGCCGTTTTCCTTGTGCTTCCATCTTGCAACCATTCTCCCCTGTAAACATTACTTGTTGGTTTCCATCAAGCGTTGGATCCAACCTTTTGATTACTCGCATTTGACTCTCGGGGAGCTCCACCTTGTATACACTCGGGAATCTCGGTGATAGGACTTTTTATTGCCTGACTCATTCAACCTTGCCGCCAAGCATTTTGTAAACTATTCAATCAACAACACTCTTATGGAAGATATTCAAACACTATTGAACAACGCCAAACAGCTAACAGAAGATGGAAACATAAAGGTAAGCAAATTGAAAAATAGACATTGTTTCACCGCAAGCCCATACTCATTCTCGGTTGGGACCTTCCATTGTATAACAGGAGGGGTATTTGTCCAATGTAGCATTGATGGAGATGGTGCTGAAGCAGATGCACGATGTTAAATTCGTACATCACTGTAAGTGTCTACGTAATATTATGGTGGATGGTCACAACTGTAATTGCATTTTAATCCTATCGTCTTTTTTGTCATCCAGCCATCGTTTCCAAGCCGGCTCAATACAATACCATGTTATCGGTAATGCGAGCCTGTTTGACAAACGCAGAGGAAATTGTCAATAAGCACTCTCACTCTGCCGCATCATCTACCCCGCCGGCGTCCCGTCGAAGTTCAGTCTTGGGAAGTACTACCACCGGTAGTACAAAGCCGAGAGCATCGCCTTCAATTGACGTTTCTGTTCGATCACCAACGCCCACCTTTGAAGAAGACGAATTGGTTGTTTCGTCTACATCGACTGACCGGCTTGGCAAACCTGCCCCGCCGCTGCCTCCGAAACCTTCAAGGATGCAAAATAAGCCCGTTGTTCCACCAAAGCCCGCTAGGTCTGGCCAATCTTCCAAACCCACCTCCCCCGTGGTCACCCCCAATCACACAGGCTCTACCATCAGCGGCCATTCAAGTCAACCAGATTATGTACCGCCAACCATCGTCACGGAAGGTAAGGTTTTTTTTTTTTTGAATTGAATGAAAGGCGCATCAGAACATTGCCAAAAGCAGAAAGTAAATGACTGACACAATCCATAAACAAACAATGTGCAGGCGCAAAGCTCGAGATAACCCGACCAAAAATACCAATCGCCACACCGCAAATACCGCCACGAGCAAGACCCCAAACCATGCCCGATCCCTCATCCCTCAAGCCGTTGCATATAGCAAGACCTATGTCCGTCTCCTCGGAAACATTAAATGATGCTACCTTACTGAGAGTGGTAGGAGAGGGAGAGATCGATCCAACCAATTTAGCACCTGCGCAAACCAATAGCGGAGACAGCTTAACACCATCTTCACGACAAGCGACCGACCATGTGCCTAATATTCCCGTACCCCCGCTCCTCACCGCGTATCGACATATTCAAGCTAGGCATGACAAGTTGGACACGGAACTCAAGCTGTTGAAGGAGAAAAAGAGGCATTTGCTGTCTGGATCTCATCCGGACGACGTGACGGAAAGTGATCTCAATAGCGCTATCATGACCTATACCTCGTTGACAGCAGACGCCAAACTAACGTTAAACAAGGTCCGCACCATCTACATGAGCGCAGCCACCATTCCCAGTGTACTTCAATTTCAGCCTTATCTTGTGGCCTATCAAATCACATTAATTGAAGCCGCCATCTTTATCGAGATTCCGGTGGAATGTCTCCTAATTCATTCTGCCCGCACTCCTCAGCCACGCATTGTGGCTTCCACCGATTTCTTCAACTATACCACTCGACTGATTGAGCATTCCATTCTCCTACCTCAAGAAGCATCTCATCGTGCTCAGCATATCAATCATTGGATCAAGGTGGCTGCCAAGTGCCAAGATCTGAACAATTATCAATCTTTGAAAGCCATTGTATCTGCGCTTGGAACGCCACCCGTGCAACGGCTGAAGCGGACTTGGGCATGTATTCCTAAGAAGAGCATGCTGAAGCTTGAAGCCATGAATGAATTGATGTCGGAGGCCGACAATTACGGTCGTTACCGGGAGTGTATGGGTATGGTGAATGTCGGTATGATCAATGGACGCAGTGTTGCACAAATTAAGGCGGAGCATGCTGCACGACCCACGGTTCCATTCCTTGGCACCTTCATCCAAGACATTACTTATCTATTGGCTGCTGCCAAATCACAAAATCTTGCCAAACCTACCGATGATCCACGTATCCAAGAGGTGCTTTCCACCATGGAAAAGTTCCAACGAGGTCCAAGATACCCGCCCGTCCCCAATACAGCCTATATCAAGTCATCGACTTCCAGATCAAGCTTCCGACCCACGTCCTTGACCAGTGCCCTCCATCGCAGTACTTCTTCCAAGAAAGATCGGTTGAGTACTAGCAGTTTGTTCAGCAGCGTGGATGATGACGATGAAGAGATTAGAGATATGGAAGAACAACAACAGTTGATAACCCAGTACTTGTTGATGCGTCCATGGGTCAATGAAGAAACGGTAGATGAATTAAGCAGTTTGCGGGAACCTCCCAGTCATCGTGGCATCTCTTCCCCCAGCTCTCGCAGCAGTGGTGGTGCAGGCAGTGGCAACTATACCAGTTCGATTATGAGCAATACCAGTTCGACCTTTGTACGCATGAGTGCGGGAAATGGTAGCGGAACCGACAGTCGACCTACGAGCATGGACGAATACCCGGATGGAGGAGGACGCAGTAGTCTGGCCAGCGAGGATGCGGAGTCGCTCAAGAGAGGGTTTTGGCCATTCAGCAGGCGAAGTCACGATGGTCATCGCCCTACTTCATTGATCAACAGCGATCGTGCTAGCATTCACTCTCTGCGAAGAAGCACAAGTGAAATCAATGTGGGCCATGACGAGGAGGACGAAGACGATGAACAATTTGGCTGGACCAATCATTCTTCTCCTGAACCAAAACAAAATGACCACTTTAAACAAAGTCTTGCCCATCGTCTTGCTGGTGAAATTGAACGTCGCCAACATTGAACTCTTGACAGCTAGCTTGTTGTATTAAATAGTTTATGATTCCCCTCTCTTCCTAGTTCACTTTCTTCCACAGATTGTACATAGTATTCTCCAATGTTTCTGTATGTGTACTTTTTTGTTTTCTCATCACCGTGTTTTCGCATTTTTTTTCTTACCTTGCTACGAACATCATTGCAATAGACCTTTTCCATACCATTTATCGTGATGAGGAGTGTATTGTGCTTTTTGAGCGCTAGCATTGGAAATATTATCGCAGACGAGCCTTGGTGTGACACTTTTTTACCGGCCAGTATTCTTCACTTTCACCCTCTTTTTTGATCTAAAATGTTCCTCAATTCTTCTTCCAACTTTACCGATTTGCATGTGGCATCTTCTGGTATTTTTGTGTAAACTATGAGACAATGCATGGTCTTCTCCTGATCTCACCTAGTTAAAGAATGACTGAAAATAAATATTTCTTCCATGACACTAGAATAATAAGAAAAAAAACCAAGACATCGTATAATCCTCCCTTTTACCAACTGCAGTTTACCACATGCCATTTCGTCTATTCTTGTATGAATAAAAATAATATAATTTATAGAGGTATGGTATAGAATAAAATGGTATAACATACAGGAGATTACAATATTACATATATGTGTTTATATTTACATTCATTCGTTGGTCAGTCATCTTCTCATTGCGAACTGTTGATAATGTTGCTAGAAAATCAAATCAAATCAAATCAATTGATATTCTATATTGAGGGAAAGAGCGCTGAAAATACCAGACACTAGATAATTATCTCCGTAAACCGCTTCTATGCATTGTTAAAATCTGCACAGCCGCTAAACTCGTTGCTTTGCAGGCTGACTAGCAACTGCATGGCTTGGAATGGAGGAATTTGGAGTGACTTAGGATTTGGTTGATTGCGTATCTGAGACAAGTTGCTTGCGCTTGAAGAATGGTATATTGGGTGGTTCCTGTCTTTTTACCACAAAACAAAATAAAGTAAAACGAGATGAAAGAAAGTGGTGCTTAGTACTGGCTACGTCTGATCCCTTGGTTTAATGGGCTCTTTTATATGCCCATATGTTGCTTGGCTGCGCCTCTCTGGAAAACCCCAAGCTGTACTCATTGTGTATACATTTCAAGTCTTCACTTCATAAAACACACTCACCACGATGCAATGTGGCGGCCATGTCAATGTGAGTCGCTTTCAGGCTTCATTGTAGAGTGTGTCATGACTGAAAGCTACAGGTACTCACACCGAGTCATATTCACTGCTATATACACGGATGGAGACGAATCAACATATTAAGAAGAAATACTATTCTGAGTGATACCTCAATGTCGTGTATGTGTTATTCCACTTCATTGGTAAGATCTTGAATTAACGCCGCTACAACATTACCTCCAATGTTAAGGATGTGTAAATAACGAGGAGCCAACTCCGCTGTTGACTAACTGGTGTTACCTTGGAGTACGAGCAAGACAAAAGGTACAGAATGAAAGCAGTAAAATAATAATAGAACAGGGCAGAATTTTTCCGAGTGACAAAAAAAATCGACGATGAAACACAGCCATGCAAACATGGTTCCAGTAAAGGCGTCTCAAGGTGTTTCGGAAATGCTAAGGCGTATTCCGATACACCGGCCCAAATAACCGTCACCTTCTACTTTGCACGTCCAGGCACCTTTGCACTCGGTCAGTGCCGACCCATCTCCATCTTCACGTAAGGTTTACGCCAGCGGTCATAAAGTGTATCCAAAGAAGTAATCCCGCGGCAGTGCAATTTTGAGAGCTTGGAATTGAGTTGCCGATGGGCAAAAAGTGAACGCCTGTCCTAAGCACACATATATGGCCCATGGTCAAGTAACTAGTCCCAAAACCACTCTAGTTCCTCTTTTAAAAAGGATACTCCAAAAAGCGGAGCGCAGCGTACGAGAATTGCATAAAACTGCTATTATATAGAAAAGAAAACGATGGTGCCAAATAGCCTATCTTGTCGACCCTCTTAACCGCGCAGTCATTACAACAGCGGGTCCCCTCCCCCCTTTTTTTTCAGTACCGTACGTGAATGGAAACTCTTCATCCGGTCCTCGCATACCTGGACTAACTCGATATAAGCAACACGTTTCTGACCCAGTTTTTTAAACTTCATAAGATACGCAGTGTAACGATTCTTCTTATCCCAACCCACCGTTGACAGAACACGAAACCTTATCGAAGTATTGGAAGCAAAAAAGAACATCGCTGTTCAAGCCCGATGGCAATCTACATCTCGGAAAAATACCTATTAGATGGCCTTGAAACCGAAACGATAAAAATGAGGTGATTTTGACGAAAAAATTTCGGGGTATTTGTTTCATGGCCTGAAATGTGTTTGAAAGCCATATGTTTCAAATGATAATGTAATTGTGGAAAAACCTTTTCACCTGGGCGAGCTTTCATGCAGCCGGTAAACTTGCGCGCCAAAAAAAATAAGGGCGGGGGGAACGATCCTTTTTATTGGCAATTCACGCGTGGATTTGCCTCATGAAACAAAAAGGGGGGGGGACAGTCAACGAATCAAATAAATAACGACTGATTTTTATGTAAAGTTATTAAGAGTTTACTGGAGTTATGTGTTGTTGCTTAATGGGTAAAGTGATTGGTATATATTCCCCATTTTCCTTTAAAGCTTATATCTGAAGCTACCATTAGGCAAAGTTTCACCAGCAGCAGCACGCTCATCAAGCTTTCTGTTCTCGCGCTTAAGAGCAAATCGAAGACCTACAGCAAGGATGACAGAGACAATTTGGAGACAGAAATTGATCATGTGGGAGTTAAAGTAGTAAGGAGCATCCTTGTAGATTTGGCCAGCAGCAACGCCAGACAAGTTTCCACCCATGATCATGAGACCGGTAGCGAAAGCGGATTTGGTGGTACCGACAACGTTATCGTTGTTCCAAGCCATCAAAGAAGGAGCACTGGCGAAGCAGAAAGTTCCAAGCATAGTAGCGAAATAAAGAACACCGGGAGTCTTGCTGGCAAGAAGAATGATGAAACCAATGATACAGAAAACTTCGGCAACAATATTGTGGATTAAGCGGTCCTTGTAACGATCTGTGCTCCATGCGGCGACAATGACAAAGAAGAGACCAAAGAAGTAGACAGGTACTGTCAAAGCCTGTGTGACGGCAACGGAGGTGGAGATGTGCATATTGGCAATAATAGTAGGCAAGAAGAAGGAGAAACTGTAGATGGGCAGAGATTGACTGAAGAAGATGAAGGTATACAACCAGATCTTGTAGTCAGTGAGACCCTCGATAAGTTGCTTCCAGTGAATCTTTTGGTCCTTAGAATCGGTGTGATCAATGCGCATGCGCTCAACCAAGAAGTTCATTTCCTCTTCGGTGAAGTACTTTAGGGAGTTCTTGGCACCAGGGAAATCTGGCAAGAAGAAGAAGACAATGATACCCATGCAGACGGAGGGAATACCTTCGATGATGAAGATCCATTGCCTGATGTGGACCAACGAGGGGGAATTGATTAGCCGAAGGGCTTGTATGCGAACGATTGTTGTAAGATAGACAACTTACCAAGCAGCATGACCAAGGGCGCCGTTCATGTACTGAATTCCAGTAGCCAACAGACCACCAATGGCTATAGTTTGCCAATAGAAAATAATAATAAAAAAATTTTTTTTTGTTGTTAGTCTGGTAAAAATTCTGTTCTTGGACGTCCATGCATGAGTGTTTTTTTTAGTATCTACTTACCACCAGCCAGGGTAACAGCACAGACGATCGCTCCGGATCTCTTTCCCATTTCGCTTCTCTTATACCAGAATGAAAGATAGTACAAGATACCGCAAAGCATACCAGATTCGACACATCCAAGAAGGAAACGACAGACCAAAAGACCAGCATAGCTCGTGCAAGCAGCCATGCACATGACAATAGTACCCCAAGTGCACATAATGGTGGGAATCCATCGAGAAGGACGAACCCTAAGCGAATAGTCAGTATAGCTGATTGATCAGCATGAAAAAAAAAGTCGGCTGACAAGGACTTACTTCTTCATGATGATGTTGCTAGGAATTTCACAGAGAATATAACTACAAGAGAAAATTGTCACGCGTTAGGCAAACGAAGGCGAATAGTATCCCTAAGATGACCACCGAAACGTACCCAAAGAAGAAGATGGACAAAACCCATCCGAACTGATAGTTGTTCAGAGCCAAATCAGTGGACAAACCAGCAATTTTGGCATTGGCTAGATGGTGATACAGCAGATGGTTATTATTAAATGAAAAAAGTTAATTGTGATGTGCATGAATAACTTACAGATGTTAATGCGGTCCAAGAAGTTAAAGACTTGGCAGAAACCAAGAATAGGCAAGATGATAAAATCCATCTTTCTCAAGAGCTTCTTCTCGTCAACATTAGGGTAGTTAGCATAAAGGGCGATTTCGGAGTCCTTTTCGCTGACAATGGTTTCAGCCAGGTCAATATGGGGCTCGTCAACATGTTTCTCTGACATGGCTAGTGAAGGGATAGAAAAGGAGGGGAAGAAGAGAGAGAGGAGAAAAGGGCGAGTTTGAAAAAAAGGAAATAGAGAAATCCAATGTAATCCAAGGAAGGGAGGGCGAGATCAACCTGAGCATGGCCGGCCAGTTAAGTAAAGTGCTCGTGGTGCAAATGGGCAAGGCAGTGCAACACAACTGTCATACAGCATGTAACTCAGAAAAATGGGACATCGATACGCTGAGAAAAAAAAAATATCAAAAAAAAAAATATCAAAAAAAAAAAAAAAGTTTACACAAAGACTCTGAGATCGCGCGCAATCACCTATCTATTTGGCCAAGGCAGTGATGATCCCAAGGAGAGAGCCAGCAACATTTAACGTGGCAGCAGTGTCGAAATAGGTGTCAGTTCGGGTTTTTCTATTTCCATCTTGTTCTGTCACTGTGGCCTGATCTACTTTGATTCAAACCAATATGTTTCACTTCCCTCTAACGCACACCTTGACTTTACGGAGCTTTATCCCATAATTTGGTTAGGTCCCTTTTGACTCACTGCTTTCTCCTTTTACTTCTTTTCTTCAACGCACGTCCCAGTCGGAGGAAGATGGGTCATTGATTGTTCCTTAGCACTAGCGACACTCTAATAAAATGCCTCTCTATGCAAGGTAACATGGCTACAGCATTTCATTCATTCATTAAAATTGCCATTTTTAATAAAGGTTGCACCCTGGAACTTAGTGGTCTCAAAGCATGGTAGTAGCGGTGGTTTAAGTGCGACTCTCCCCCCAAAACATAGATTTTCTAGCGTGTCATGCTACAACGCAGCGTAACACAATGATACGTTCTGAGTTGGTTCCAAAGATAAATTTTATGCACTGCCCCTCCAACGTTTTACAGCATATTCAATTCTGTTTCTGTGTCATCCCGTTAATTTTTTATATATAATTTGTCGCATCCTATCTGACACATATACTCTCCTTTTCGTCTTTGGAAGCAAAGTTTTTCATCTTTGACTACTTTATAGACATCTTTGTTAGCCTTGAAGGCTTCAACAACCTTTTTTCATTACTTCTTTGTATTCTGACACATCGCTCTACATGTCCACTACAAGCCCCACCTCCAGTGGCATTTCCATCAATTCCTCGGATGCTGAATCAAAGGCCTTCTTCAACTTGCTGACAGAAATTCTGGACAGTATTTCAATTGCAGTGGGAGCCTTTGTCATTATCGCCGTTGTGTTAATTCGCATCTATCGACCCGCCCTTGGCCGAACAATTACAGTACGACTATCGGGATGGATTGCATTCGCCGATATTCTTGTTTGCAGTATTCAGTATGCCAACTGTCCTTTTTTTGTGATTGACGAATGGCCATCCGCCCTTACATGATTTTCTAACACCTTCCTCTAGAATTATTTATATTCACGGCAATGAATTATTCACCAATGTATCGCCACTTGCGCTTGGATTCGTTTTAACTTCCTTGCAAACATCATCATTGTTTTTTGTCTACCTCACTGTAAGTCCATGCCATCATCGCTCATAACGAATGGAACTTGAGTAGCTAATGTATCCCTTTTTTTTCAGGTCTGCATCGCTATCAACTTGCACTTGACTATCTTGACATCGAAATATAGGTAAACAACAGCTTTCCCACACGAATTGTTTCCGGACGCATAGCACCGTGACTGATCCCATCATTTCCTTTTTTCGCTCGTTATGATGCAGAAATGTTGCTGATAAAATCGACCCTTGGATGGTGCCAGTGTCCTTTATTTGGGCAAATGTAACGACGATCCCCTTTCATATCTGGTTTCAGGCAGAATGGTAAAGCAAATGCTTACGACATGCAACGCTTTGTTGTTCATATCTAACGACACGTTGGTTTTTCACAGGAATCCTCAAATTGGAGGGTTTGTTAAAACTCCCACTTGGGCTGCTCCATACTACATGTGGGCGTAAGTAGAAGTTTTTTTTTTCCACATCCCCGAGTTAAGCTCATGCGAAAAGATACTGTCACTAACAACACGATATAGATCACAATATGTCTGGCAATTGCTTGGAGAATTATACTGTGCCAGTGTCATTGTTATGGTTCTCGTTAAACTTTACAATATGAGAAAGTATCAAGAAAAGCAATCCTCTGCGCAGAACCGCAACCAAATTGAAAGTTCAGATCAGCACGGAAGATCATCCAAGCGAATTACCTTTGTAATGGTATGTGGAAGACGATCGCTATTGATGGTAGAGCGAAGCTTGGCGATTTCATACTAAACAAACCAACCCACAGCTCCGTATCGTGTGGTATCCTGTTATTCCTATCATCACGCAAACATGGCTGATTGTGATGAACTCGATCCCAGCGCCCCACAACTTACCCTATATCAACATTAACAACAGTAAGTTCTTTGAAAATGAACCAAAAACAAAAAAAAAAAAAACGAAAAACAAAAATCGGTGACTGATCCATTGTCTCTTACAGTTATGAGTGCCCTGCAAGGCATTTTGAATGGCATTGTTTTCTGCTTGAACCCTGCAACCTACGCTCTATGGCAAGAGTGGCGTAATAAACCTGAAATCCCTTTTTCTCCCAAAGCGTCTAGAAACACTCGGCACAGCTTCGACGATGGCGCCACTTGGATAAAGCTTCAGGAACCTGCCATGTCTACCGTCTCTGAAAACTATGAAATGTATAAGCCAAACAAGCCTGGTATACCTTCCGACTGGTAATTTTTCACCAATATACTTTTGGTGCAGAACATCCCCCCCCGAGATTTTTTGGGCTTGCCCATACGTCTATCATACACTCCTTTTAATTTTATACCAGCGTTTACTATTCCCTCTTGCCCTTAAACCACTAAGCCATGTACACTAGTTACTTCCCTTTCCTCTATTTTTTTTTTTCTAATAATGCATGATATTCTTGATTCGCTCATGCAACGAAACTTCTCAGATATGCACATAGCCTTCCATTTTAACGCTTAGTGTAATGTTTCGATATTCTGTGATACGAAACGAATTGAGAATTTATGATATATCCAGCATTATTTCCTCGTATGCCGGGTTACACTGCAATGGCTAACGGTCCGACATAACAGTCACTCGCATTGGTAGTAGTGGTACGAAAATACCGTTTTGTCATGCCCATGCTGGAAGGCGGGTTATTAAGTAATTAGGGTAGCCATCGGATAAACGTTTCACAGCCCAGGTTAAGAAAAGTCAAAGAATAAGAGATGTTCTCAGATGTTGTGATAGCGTAACATCAAATGTTAATTGCAGCATTTGTGGCTCTGACAGAGGCTCGGCTAGTTGTGAGGGATTTAAGCCATGTAACTGAGTGTATAGAAGCTGATCTTATGAGTGATCATTTTCTACACAGCGATAGGTCTCACACCAATTTACATTATATTCATGAATACATGTGATTACCGTCTAGATCACATTTTTCCTGAGATGAAAGGCCGTTTTGTCGGGCATCACCAGCAGCTGTCATCGAAAAATCGCCTTTATCCCGGGATGACCAACCCCATACAATGCCAGCCAGATCCATTACAGAAGAAATGCAATATAGCGTAGAAGAGTCTATTCGCGAGATTATGTTTCATTGACGCTTGTTTATGGTATAGTATCGCCAGTGCACTGCTGCTCTAGCGCGGCTAGAGCCGATCAATGCGTCCTTTTCTACGTTAACCAACTAGTGCTTAAAAGGAAAGTATACAGGTGGGCTCCGCATCAACAAACAGTCCAAAGGGAATGACTCAGGTTCAAACGATGTAAAAAAAAAAAAAAGCATCAGAGAAAGCAGAGTTACAATTGTTGAATACAAATGTCATGGAAATCGACTTGTACTCCAGTTTCACTTTTAGGGGAACAGAGCATGACGCCTATCTCAATTTTGTCAGATTGGCCGGTATGCCCATTTACAGTCCGAAGAGGCAACGTGGCCACTTCCTTCGTTGAGTCTCCTTCGCCGACCAAAGCATATCGAATAACGATGTCACCCGCTTTCCTCTCCATCACCATGTAGACATGATCTTGTTCTGCTGTTAGATCTACCTTGGCCACCGACCAGTCGGAGTAAGGGTCGGTCACAACGCAGCTACAGAATGGAAAAAATGTCTTTAAAACTCCTGGTATGTTACCTTGCAACAACGACGATGCTTACCTTGCAAAAATGGTGTCTTCATCCAATTCAATCCCAGTCTTAATCCATTTCCGATCATTGATTCTGCACATCAGCCCAGCTTGGTCGTACTGGGTGATCCATTTACCATGAAACGTGCACGAGAGACGAAAGTCTCCTTCCATAGTGGTATAGTAGAAGTGCCCCGAGTCACGATGAGTTTGTGGGGGTTTGCGCCAAAAATCAGTTTGGGGTAGGCTGGTAGCTTGTACCAATTTGATCTTGTACCCATCATTGGTTTTTTCGATGGGAGCTGCTTTCTGCGAAGCAGGCTCGTTAAACCATGAAAAAGGTCCGCTCATGTTTAGGCACGTTTGATACTGTGAGAAGAGAAAAAAACGTAAATAACGCACCGGCGGTCGGTGTCTACGATTTTTTTGCAGGACTGCTGCATTGTCAGCATGTACGTGTGCAAAAAGCATTTGCGATCGGAGCTCAAATGTTAGATGCATGCACCGCTAGAGCAACGGTTTAAAAAAATATAAACCAAACTCGTTGATCTAAATTAAAGAGAAGCTCAGATATCGCCCACTTCGTCAGATAATCTTGGAGGTGGGGAATAAATGACGGTATTGCGTAAATCACGAGACGATGTATCTTTTAAGCAGTTGAACACAAACAGACCCAAATGGATGATGTTGAGGAAAGTTAGCGTAACATAATTTTGAGAATGGGTTATGCAATTAGGCTGCATAATAATTGCACCATTAATTATTTTTTTACAAATATTAGCAGTCTACTCAATGACTATTCAACCCATTTGCTAAACGATCCATGACATTTTCTAACCGATAACGATATCAGCTGATAACATTCAGAAAGGCATATCAATATACTCTATTAACATTGTAATGTAACACTATAAGCAAATAGCTCATTTTAAAAGGTACGGTACTGCTTATGGTACCTGAGTACCGGTAGATGCGCTCCAAATTTCCGTCCACTGCTGACGATCAAGTACCAGCCTAACTGATTTAGCTGCGGTCAAGATCCGATCCAGCGAGGTGGTTCCAATTACAGGGCAAATCTTAGCGGGGTGCATCATTATCCATGCATAGCAAACTTGATCAATGGTGACATCTGGACCCAAGTCAGCAGCAGTTTGTTCCAATATCGCTCTGAGGCGACGTGTTTGTTCGTCTGGATTCTTGGAAAATAGTCTTCCTGATCCAAGTGGAGAGTAAGCCATAGTGGCGATTCGTTTGCGTTGGAAATAATCAAGTCGATCATCGGTTAGTGCAGACATCTCATATGGAGAAAATTCGAATTGGTTAGACACGAGCGGGAAGGGTAATCTGGACTGGAGCAATTTAAAGTGCTGAATGGTAAAATTGGATCCACCAAAATGCAGAACTTTGCCTTCACTGTGCAAAAGTTTGAAAGCCTCTGCGACCTATATCATACAATCACGCGTTAATATAAAAAAATCCTCTTATCCTGTTATTTGATTTTCTGGAGTTGCATTATGTACTTACTTCGTCCGCATCCATTAACATGTCTTGTCTGTGAAGCAGAAGCAGGTCAATGTGCTTAACACCCAACATTTCAAGAGAGCGATTAACTTGCTGGAGAATGTATTCTCGACTTGTATTGTAGTGCTTGATGCGACATTTGGGAATCGCCTCACATGGCTTCACAATGTCTGTCTTTGTGATACTGGTCATGAAATTGATTAGCCAGTCGTAACGACGGTTCATGGTAACAGAAAACTTACATCTGGATTTGGTCTTTGATTTCTGGTTCCAATTTCAAAGCTTCTCCAAACAGAGCTTCAAATTGATAAAATCCATACAAGTCGCTGAGGTCAAAAGTGGTGATGCCTGCAGCCAAACAAGCCTTTATGCGACTAAGAATATTTTCGGGTGCTGATAGAGTATGTTCATTATTCTGATCGACTCCAGTCATGTGCCAAGTACCGTATATGATACGAGACACGGATGGTCCATTTTCAGACAGCTTGATTTGAGGTACTATGGTAGACATTGCTATGATGGAAGAGATGATGAGAGCAATTCAAACTAATGCTATTAACTATGTGCTATATTCCGCGGATTCTTGTTAATGCTGAGGGATGATTATGCAAGCATCGCACCCAATCAGAGTCCGCCCTCTTTATAACCACTGATTTTGAAATGAAACCGTTTATTCTTTGTTCCTGGGTTTACAAGTAGGTCGCGGAGCCATACCAAGTCGGGGTAGACTGATATTGGGGGATGTAGGGAGAAAAAGTAAAATAGAATGTCGAGGAAAAAGCGGGATACGGTAGAAAGAAAAAGCTCTTGTTTACCTAGTAATCCTACTACGACAGATTAAGGTGATTAAAGAAAATCCACTGGTGAAAGGCTGCTCAAACTTTAGGTGTGACATAGTACACGGCCCGTGATCCTTGAACTTGTCGCATCGTCAATGTTTCCAATGTTCTATCTCAAAATATCACTGAGGTTATGTAGTATTTGCACCATGTGATATATAGCTTGGCCGGAATGGGCGATCCCGTCGACCACAGCGTGTTTAAATTTGGAACGAAGTTGGTTTTGACCAACTAACACTTGAGTGAACCGAGATTATTGGCAATGTCCCTTAATCAACCTGTTCAGCTTGACGATTCCACTTCAGAGCAAATACTATCCAGTGTACCTTGGCGCTATGGAATCACTCCGTCCGGTAAACCTGCTCCTTATCCGTGCTTCGTCTTGTCCGCCATGCCCGAAATCATCACTATACATCAACAACCTCACCGCACGTTTATTGTTACTCAGAGCGACTGGACGGCAAATTTAGTTTCTTCCTGCGTAGTGTGGAGTACTTTTGAATATACCACTCTTCAAGCCCTCTCAGATTGTCAGTTATTATTTGAAAACTACTCGAGCATCAATACCGAAAGAAAGACGTTGCATCTTTTACAGCTTGACGCCAGGGCATGGTTCTCAACCGCTAATATTTTGCGACCCACCATGAAACTCAGACAGCAACTGGAATCCGCCCTTTCGTTATGGCCAAAGGATAAAAACCGAGCTTGGGTGGCACTACAGCGTGTCTGGTCAGATTTTGGCTACTTTTGGCCACGAAAAATACAACTAGGTCATCGCCTTCATGTGCCATGGCCGTTTGAAGTTCCTTATGACCTTCCAGATAAGTTGTATCCGCTTCGATTGGCCAAAGACGAAGCATCCACTCGCATTGAGTATACAATCAATAGTGGTAAGCTTGATGGTGTCTATTTATCTGGCATTTCATTGAGCCAAGCCAAGCCATAACATCATCATTGATCATGTGCTCCTCTTTGCTTTCATTTCATACCTAGGGTATCAGGACATCCATGACGAGCACACTGCAAATCAACCGCAAAAGTGGACCATCATCAAAAGGAATGATTTAGAACCAATTCATAATTTTTTACCCGCCTTTTTGCGAGATCGGATAGTGGACATCGTACAGCATAAAGCGAGCAGAATACTCGTCAATCGGCCGTTTAAACTACGCAATTGTTATACTGAAGGCTATTTGTCTTGGAGGTTATTACAACAAAGGATAACGGATCCGCCAGTGGTTCGGTTCGCATCCATACCAAAGGAGATGGTATCGAATGGAAAACACAACGCTTTATGGCGATTTGTATGGAGTGCTGATCATTCGCGCATGGCTAGTCCAACCTTGGATATGAATAATATAAAGAAGATTACCGATAAACATTCCATCAAAGGTGGTAGCCAAGTCTACCTTCAACCTGCTTTGATGAACACCACTAGCAACGCTCAATACTTACCTACAAACCGTCTGATCCTTTCACGAATTTTGACCGATATGCAGCCGTCTATAATCGGTGGAGTTGAGTTTATTGACTCTCTGTCATCAATGGATATACCAATTCCTGAAGGGGAAGAAGATCCAAGACGTTGGACGCTAGAGTTACCTGGTCTCGACCTTGCTAGTACGGATGAAGATTTAAACATAGACATCAAACTACTCAAGATGAAACCAATACAAAAAAATGAACTACTAGCTCTCCGGCAAGTTCTGTATCTTTGTTCTGAACCAAATGGAGCGGAAGTGCCCATCGTGGGTGCAAACGGACTAACAGTAAGAAGGAATTCTCAAAAAGCGCGAAAAAGTGGACCTTGGAAGACCGGATCTCCCAATAGTGATCTTTGCAGTGTCATGGTGAAGGAATGGGATATGGTCAAGAACCCATTGGAAATGACTTGGGTGATAGAACCTGTCCAAGAAGAAAAGGTGACAGTTGTTCCAAAAGCAAGCACGGTTCCCAGAGTGCTTTCAAAGCGAGGTGCGCGTCATTCCAAATCAACCCCCAATTTGAGAATACCCACGGGTGGGCAAAGTGCCAGTGTACCTGATCTCAGCACCCCCAATAACAACAGCAGAGCGCAGAGCTATGAAGACTTGCTACAAACGGCGGTTGGACAAACCATAGGCGAAGTGGAACATTCCAATCACTTTTCAGATAGTGACCCAGATAACGATGGTTCAGACGATGATGACCGCTCAGGCTATGCTGCACACAAGTTATCCGTACGAGACAGGAAAGAAAGCCCGTACAGAGAACTTCTTGTAAAAGAGCGAAAACGCAAAACTTGGTCTAATATGATCCGGAATTCCAGTTTGAGAAAGCTTTCAACGTTAATCGCGCCTGCTGCTACTCATAAGTAGAACTGATTATTCTTCCTTAGCGCAATTGATTTTATGCCTCTTCCTCCTGTATATAACGGACCTGTTAATTGTAGTGTATACAAATAGTGTCCCAAACGACGCACATTATCCAAAATCGCACGAATAATCTGTTATTATATCTTCTTTTTTTTTGGCTCTTTATTATTATTTTTGTACTATTCCTCGTCTTCATCATCGTGTTCACGGAAACGTGGGTTTTGACGTCGTCGTTCGTCTTCATCGTCATCGTCTTCGTCGTCTCTAGCACGCTTGGCTTTACCTGATGATGTACATATTCCAATGTTAATCATCCGACATGCTATGTAAGCCATGTTTCCAGACTTTAAAATCTGTACACGTTTGGAAAGCACCTACCTGCATTGTTAACTCTACTTTTGTATTCTTCAGCACCGGTTGGCACATCAGAAGCCTCGTAATTAGCCTTGACAGCCATTTCACGTTCTCGCTCTATCTTGATTCTCTGGAGATGTCCCCAGCCACCACGACCAGCATCATAATCCGGTCGATATTCATCACGCACTTGACCGCCGCTTTTACCTCGGCCAAACTGTCGTCCTTCTCTGAACCCTGGGTCCAAATCTGTTCGAATGATTCGCTCATCCAATTTAGTACTATTGACATATTTCATGCAATCTAGCGCGTCGTCGCGATGGTAATATCTATAGAACAAGCGTGATAAGTGGGACAGCAAGCGTGAAAATGTGGCGATGGAAACACAACTTACTCTACAAAGCAAAACCCACAAGGCGTTTTCTGATTTCGGTCGAGGCCCATAATGATTCTTTTGATCTCTCCAACTTTCGAAAAAAGTTCATAAATTTGTTCTTCGCTCGTATAAAACGATAGATTGCCGACGTATAACGTTGTACTCGATGACAGATCTTGAACCATTTGATTTGAAGTACCCTACGTGTTGTAACAACAATTAAAAAAGGCTGGATCAAAGAGGCATGGTCAATGCACGTTTACATACTCGATACTGCTGATCGCGGTAGCTTGAGGGCACATCCAAGTGAGAAATTATGCTGGCCATTGGATAGAAAAAAAAAAAAGATATGCAGCTTGAGCAATTGAAGCAAATCCGATTTTGCTTGCCTTTGGGTGTGAATTGGGATTCTACACGTGACTCTGGAAAGGACCGACGAGAGTTGGGATTTTTGTGAATCTCAAGCCATTTCGTTGCCTCGACACTTGAAGTTTACTGCAGCTTTTTAGACATTGATACTTTGACTTTCAGATCAAAGTAAAACACCAAGCTGTTTATACTTCGATCCAATTGTTGATTATCTTAGTTCTGTTGGAATCCATTTGATTTCGGCCCTACTTCTTTTTCCACAGCAGCCGAATCAGCTGGTTTGAGACATGACAGCGTCTCCGGAAACTGACGCCATGCTGGCGTCTACATCATACCCACCAGCGTCAAAGTCTCCTGACCAACTCACGTATCAAGAACAGCTCCTGAGGATTGCTCGTCATCTGCCCTGTGATGAATGCAATGCCGGAGATTGTACAGGTTGGCGACCAGAAATTTCTTCATTCACTTTGGATAACATGGGAGGACAATGTGAGTGTGGACACGCTATCTCGAGTCACGTCGATGGAGAGCAAGATATGGAACGACGCCTTAGAGTAGCCACCAGAATTGATGAATTATTGGAGGTATATATATTAACGTACCAAAGCTTGAATTTCGAGCTGCCAATCAATATTCACGACCTATTCGATTTTTAGGAAAAGGATAAACTAGATGATTTCGACTATGTAGATGAGGATATATTATCTTTAAGAAAGTAAGACTAGGAGAAAAATGGCTAAAATACCGGCTTGCAGTTGGCTAATTGACAACTTAATAGACAAATGGTGCATAATGCCGAACGCGCTCCATCAGTGGACTCTTTGTCCTCTGCTTCCACACCCTCTTCCATCGAAGGAGGTAAGTATCCGTTGTCCAATTTTTAGTCATTTGTGTGGTGGATATTACCTTCGTTTCAAGTCCATTGACACCATTTTCATCGCAGGCGACGACAGTCCCATTGCAGATAGGGCTGACGACATAGACGAGCGACCATCAAAGCGACGGCGGTCTAGTCATGAAGATGCTGAAGAAGATGCATCACATGATGAGGATGAAGACGAAGAAGAGGAGGAAGAAGAAGAAGAAGAAGAGGATGACGATGATGAAGAAGACGAAGAAGAAGAAGAGGATGAAGAAACCGCAGGTCAAGAGCAGGCTGACGAAGAAGAGGATGATGACGACGATGAGGAAGAAGATGAAGAAGAGCAAGAAGTACATGAAGCCACTCATAAGGATGACGAAGACGCAGCGGACAGCGATGAACACATGCCTCAAGCCGAGACCGCTGAAGACGAATCACACTGGGATGACGATACCACTGAAAAGGTGGAATCGACCAATGACCGCCATAACGACTCAAGGATGGACATAGACTCTCCTAACACAGACAATGAACCAAATCACGAAAAAGGTTTAGAAAATGGCTACGATGATGACGATCATGAAGTTAATGGCGATGCCACAACGGTAAATCATATAAAAGTCGAAAACATGGAGAATGATCGATTACTGGACAACGATGAAGATCACAAAGTGAATGGAGTCGATGCAGACGAGAATGAAAGTGTAAATGAGGACAATAGCAGCCAGTCAATTGAAGACAGTAAGGTAAGTCATGACGATATCACATTCCTCGGCATCTCTTACAGTCGCTAAATAACATTTCTCTTCTCATGTACAGGCTGCTGCTGATAGAAAAGAAAGTATATCTGTCATAGAGGAACGACGAGGAGAGATAGAGTTCCGAGTGGTGAAGAACGATGGTGCGCCTGAAAGTATGATACTCTTGACTGGTCTCAAGAATATTTTCCAGAAACAGCTTCCCAAGATGCCCAAAGAGTATATCGCGCGTCTTGTTTATGACCGGTACGATAGAGTCCTTTTTTTGGGGGGGGGGGGTTCCAATGTACATTGACGACTAACATTCTATTTTTCAGTAATCATTTAAGCATGGCATTAGTAAGAAAGCCTCTGAAGGTCATTGGTGGCATTTGTTATCGTCCTTTTGATAAACAAGAGTTTGCTGAAATTGTGTTCTGTGCTATATCATCCACTGAACAAGTCAAGGTATGTCACATGTCGTTTTGAGCTTAGGCATTCCGCCAGTATGCTAATTGCTGTTGAACTTGAACCTTAGGGATATGGCGCGCATTTGATGAATCACCTCAAGGATTATATATCTGCCAATACCAACATGCGACATTTTTTGACATACGCTGATAATTATGCTACGGGCTATTTTCGAAAACAGGCAAGTAAGGCGAGTGAACGAGCGTATACTATCAGGTGGACTGACACTATAAGTCCATGTTTAGGGTTTTACGACGGAAATCACTCTTGATCGTCATAAGTGGGTTGGATACATCAAGGATTATGAAGGCGGTACTATCATGCAGGTAAAGTCAAGGCGCTACATCTTTTCGGCCGTATTGAATGATGTACTGACTCTCCCCACTTAGTGCACGATGGTACCACGAGTAAAGTATTTAAAGGTGTTTGAAATCTTGTCAGCACAGAGAAAAGCAGTTCTGGAGAAAACGAAACAATATTCAACATCTCATATTGTGCACCCTGGTATCAAGATTCCATTGCACGAAGATGGAACTAGGTCAATAGATCCATTAAAAGTTCCCGGAATACGTAAGCAGATGCTTTCATACTTGTTTGACTGGATGTTTGTATTCTACGCATTATATTTATTAACATGATATGTAACCTGGCAGCCGAATCCGGATGGACCCCAGAAATGGATATCATGTAAGTAGTAATTTTAAATGAAGGATACCTTGCGCTTACCTCGGCTGGATTTGCTAATCTTGCTTGCTTCTACAGTCCTAGTCGTCCACAGCGACCCCCTCACTTTAATCAAATGCGACATTTGGTCACTGAATTATCAACGCATCGCGATGCTTGGCCATTCCAACAGCCTGTCAATGGCGATGAAGTTACTGACTATTACGAGGTTATCAAAGAGCCTATGGGTAAGACCACCGTGTTCATATGTGCCAATTTCCACCTACCACCATTGACAAATTGTTCCTGTCCTCATGCAGATTTATCTGCCTTGGAAGCTAATGTTGAAAACGATGTCTACTCTACTATGGATATGTTTATCAAGGATGCCCAAAAGATTTTTGATAATTGCAGAACTTATAATGCGGAAACTACGAGCTATGCAAAATGTGCCACCCGATTGGAACGTTATTTCAAGGAACGTGTCAAAGTTTGGTGCAATACTGAATGAGTAGTAGCACACAAAGGATATGTTCATACCATTTTTCTTTATTTCCTTCTTGTACAGCACCATCACCATCTCCTTTTCTTTTTTTTAATATATAAACTCGTGCAAATACATTACTTTATATATCAAAACACTTCACTCCCTGAGTGATAACTTCGCCGCAAGTTATATGCTGGATTGAATGTGCAGAAAAGTACACATAGACTGCTCTTCTTCACACTAATTGGTTACCTACTGACGTTCCCTCCATTTACTTGCTGTCATCCTTTGAAATCTTACCTACACACCTTTTTTATCATGACTGTTTAGACGCTCCCTGCGCGTGTATACTTCATACGTCCTCAGTGTTGAGATCTCTGTGATTCCTCACATATCCCCTTCGCAAGCTAGAAAAGTCCTTTAAAGTATTTGAGGTTTCGCTAAAATTCAAGGCGTAGGAACGAGCAAAACGAACCATTTTCGTTACTTTTAGGTGTTTTAGTCTCCCGTATATGAGTGTCCATGCCAGCTAGCATTCTGCTTGTCTAATAGGTTGCTGAGGCAAAACTGCTCATCTCGGCTGCTAGGCTGCCCACCAGCTGCCAAAATACTCGTCGAGAAGTAAGAGCCGCCACCAGCATAAATAAAACATAGAGTCTGGAGGACCAAAAGAAACTTTCAACAACGGATAACTTCGCGCGACAACAAGTCACTTTTCATTCTTAGCATACAATGTCAGTGACTTTCATCAGCAGTTCGACGATACTGAACCACTTGAACGAACGGTACTGTTGCCCACTCAGTACCCACCAGCCCAATTATCATTCGCCATCGGTAATGTCCCAAAAGAAACCACGCTATCACAATTTATAGAGGTAGAGGTACATGAGAGATGCAGTTGACTATGACAGGTAAAATTACAAAGTAGAACCATAACAACAAGATCAAAGAAAGAGAATTAAGAGAGGAAAAAGGAAAGAAAATGAACGGAATGAGAAAGGACAAGCCTGTCCTCGAAAAATCTATCTAGAGAAATAAGAATATCGGGAGGAAATCAAAGGAGGGAAAAGAGGATTGATTACACAGCTTGACGGCTGTACAAACAGCAAAGGTAGCCGAGTTTAATGATCAGCATCTGGCTGATCTGACATGACTTGCGCTGTATTTGGATACAGTTCATTGGGTCTCAAAGAGGAACGAGGGGAAGAGAGTCTTCTGGTAACAAATTCACGGATGGATTGTCGAGTTTTTGCTTCTTCCTCTGGATTATTCATGACGTTAGACATCTTACTCTTTCCAGCAGTGCCGGATCGTACCGCTTCTGTATTAGGGGCTGGAGCAGATTCACTGCGAGATAACGGTGCAAAGTGCAGGGAAATCCAATCGTCATCGGGAGTAGAAGAGTCTCTTCTTTGACGTGCTTCGGCTGCCTTCACATTGACCATTTCCACGTCTTGATGGGGGAGATTAGGCTGAGAAGCAGCTGCTTGACTGTTTCTTCGATAAACTGATTGGCGAATGGTGTCGTATGGGGAGGAGTCGTCAGCAGAAAATGCGAAACCGGTGAAGGATGCTCTTTTGCCGGATTGTAGGTAAAGAATTCGATCACTTTTGATGGATGTCAGGGAAGGTTGACGATGATGCCGTGTGATCATGGCTCTAGGAGGAGTAGTCAAACTGGTTCGGGTACTTGGTCGTCTTAGACGAGCGCCACCACCACTGTGAGCAGTATCTTCATCACTCGATGAATCATCTGATGCATATTCAGTTGTGGTTCTACGGGTAGCTCGCGAAATAAGACGGGAGACGGACTCACCGTGGCTGTTAAGAGTCCTCATCATATTAGGATCTTCTGAGGCGCTTGAAACGCGGCGATTGCCTCGTTTGCTGGGCAGTAATTCAATTTCACGGATAATTTCGTTATCATAGGGATGATATTGATGTAGGTAATGCATAGCCGCAACACGGGGAAGGAAGCAAGCCACGATCGTGACGATGAGCACGAGCCAGAAGTAGCCAAGACCGAACAAATCAACTTGACCAGCGAACGTGAAGACATTGAATTGAGAGTAGATGGCTACCCAAAGAAAGTATGTCAGGGTAGATAAAGTAATGATCAAAACCTGAATCCAAGTCCATGCGTGCAAAGTAAGACCAACGAAAAGGTTGACAACGAAGACAGAAATGCCGGAAACAATGGTTCCAAGTTCGAAGACACCGTTGATATCCTTGCCTTGAGGGTCCACTGAGCCACCAATAAGTAACAGGTAAGGGAAGAAGAAGCAGACCACCGACTGATATATAGCGTCAAAGACGGTTAGCCAGAATCGCCAAGTTTTGAAGACATCATTTCGCAGACCCATTAGATATAACTCCGGATATTTGAGGGACCGAGTCGCATCCAGGTCTTGATCCCAGATACCATAGAAGATACATGGAAGAGATGTGAACACCAAGTTGTATAGAGTCACAAGAGAGTAGTCAAACATCATGGTACCGCTGAATCTAATATGGATGCAAAGGGTTATGGCGAGTTCAAAATGAGTTCTCACTGCATGTATGTCATTATTACTTACTGACAAAAGATTTGGTACCAGAAAAGCACAAAGGTCCAAACGATGTTTTTGTAAAAGAAGGTGAAAATCATGTTAGCGGTACGAAGATACGACCAGCGTCCATGAACCAACACAAGTTTTTTCAAGAAGCGGAACTGAGCAATGGCATAATCGGAAGCCATGACAGCTTGTCGTCCTTCCACACCAGAGATACCAACACCAACGTTGGCAGCTTGGATCATGGAGACGTCGTTAGCGCCATCACCAATAGCCAAAGTCATGACATTCAATCCTTTCTTGACCAAGGAGACAACTTGAGCCTTTTGCATGGGACTGACACGACAGCAAACCACACTAGCGCAGCGAGTTCCAAGTTCGAGAAGAAGATCTTTTGAGTGAGCTTCGAGGGCATACTTGAGAGTACTACCATCAATGACTAGGGCACGCTTCTGTACACCGTTTTCATTATCAGCTGTTTCCATCTTCTCAATAGCCTCTCGCAGTTGCTCGTTGGTACTATCCCGAGTAGTGGCTTTGATAACAATGAGCATCATGTCGTTTGTAAGGAGATTACAGGCAAACCCAATATTGATGGCTGTTTCAGTCTTGTCACCAGTCAACACCCAAATCTTGATACCAGCATGTGACAGCTCTGCAATTGTATCGGGGACACCATCTTGCAATCTATCTTCGATAGCAGTACCACCGAGTAAAATAAGGGAGTGCTCAATCTCTTCACAAGCTTCTTCGAGCTTTTCTTCGCGGTTGCTGATGCTATTGGCGGCTTCTTGATATTCCTTGTGCCATTCGGCGTACTCCTCCTCAGAAATAAAGCGGAAAGCAAGACAAAGTGTACGAAGACCTAAAAAATGATGGATGAATGAACTGTTTAGACATTCATAGACAAAAGCGAATGATTTGTACCTTGATTAGCAAACTCTTCCAGGTCACGAGTGGTTGCTTCTTGTAAACCCTTTTGAGATTTTTCGAGATCAGGTTGATCCTTAAAGTCAGTTTCCAAATGCTCATATATAACGGAATCGGCACCCTTGCAGAGTAGAATGATGCGGTCGCTATCCTGCGCTCTGACAATGACACTCATGCGCTTACGACTGGAGTTGAATTCGAGAACATTGAGTAGTTCAAACTCTTTGCGTTCACCCATGACATCAAGAAAGATGGTATCTTTCTCTCGTCCGATGAAAGCAAACCCAAGGTCACGAGCAGTGGCGACTAAAGCAGCTTCATCAGGACTTTGAGCCTTGTATTCAAGGAAATTCTCATTGTCGGGGTCAGGTCGCTCAACAATGACGGTATGGCAGAGGGCAAGAGATGAAAAGAAGTGGACAATAGCATTGGATTGCTGATTGTTGGCGGCCAGGTCATCAAACAGCTTTGGATCAACGAACGAGGGATTGGGCCCTAAAAATTTGTTGTCAAACAATTCAGCCTGCTTCTTATACATGATGCGAGATGCCTTTTCCAGGTCAGGCGAGTAGTCATCATCATCATCATCGTCGTCGTCGTTGTCACTGATTTTTTTATCGTCAGTCATAGGTTCTGGCACGGCATTCGTGTCGTGCTGGTCTCGTTTTTTGGCACCTTGTTCGGCTTCGGTGGTACCTAAACCATAGGACACACCGTTAATTGTACAACGTCGGTATTCCATAACGTTTTGTGTCAATGTTCCTGTCTTGTCGGAAAAGATGTATTCGATTTGGCCCAAATCGTCAGAGATATTCCAAGTTTTTGGTATACATGGTTGATCAGTTTCTTCATTATACATGTCGATATCAGCAAAAATAAAATAGGCCTGATCATGACAAGTAAAGAGCCAATTAGTGGGTCTGCTGCAAGCATTTGTTCGGGAAACAATCAAAAAAAAAAAAAGAACTTACAGCCAATGTCTTTACAATCTCAACAGAGATATACAAGGAGATAGGAATAATATTTTGATACAGAATAAGTGTCACCCTATTGAGAAAAACGATTTAGTATTCTACGGGCTTTCATAGCTTCCTTAAAGCTCGACTTACCAAAATGTCAAAAATCCAGAAAAGGCAGCGGTACCACCATCCGTTCCGTAACCAAAGTAGGGTGAGGAACCACCTTGGCGGTACTCTATACTATTGACGACCGAGCTCACAATACATAGAATGGCCAGCAAGGCGAAATTAGCCACAACCTGGAATAACGGAAGATATATTTAGACGTGGACTCGTCTTTACTATTTTTAATCACTTTGAACTTACGTGTGGATTGGTGCCTTTGGCCATCTTACTGCGTTTACTTGGCGTTTTGCCAGTATTGAGCATAATTTTGGTCTCATTACCGCAGAACATAACCATACCAATAAGCCATTTAGTGTTTCGAAGCACACAGCCGCGGAGTAGAATGTTGTTGTAAGTGACGGCTTCGGTCTTCTGATGGGACACTCCAGTAGCAAAATCATCAGAGTCATTGTCATTGCTAACTTGCCAACGTAAAACACCATTGTACTGATACAGGTTAGCATGTGGGGGTTCGCTTTCAATATAAAAGCTGGCTCTCTCACAGTCGTGAACACTGTAAATTTCTCCGGTGGCTTGCAGTGACCTTCGCATTTTGAGATTGGTTTCACCATCTAAATTTTTGGTTTCGACGTAGCAAACACCATCAGGCTCCGATGATGAAAGAATAATAACATCGGCAGGAACAGGCTCATCGTTCTTCAGCAACACATAATCGCCAGCCTTGACATCCTGCCAAAGTGTCTCGTTCCATTTGACACGGCAATCGGGAGTTAAAGGTTCATGCCCGATCTGCTGATCAGCAGCATACACCGAGCTGAGGTCCATACTATGTCTATTGGATGACTGTGCACCCGTATCATGAGTAGCGGTTCGGTGTAGGACATTGTGTGGAATGATACCAGGTCGATAAGGTGTGCGATTTTTGGGTTTAAAGATGTTGCTTAGCTCGGCACGAAATGAGCCAGAGCGAGTTCTCATTGTGCTCAGCAGGCGTTTGTTTTGGGGAGATAGAGCAGCTGGCGTTCCGTTTTCCTGCGGGGTTTCGCCATTGGTAGTGTAGTCTGGAGTATCAACGGGTTTTTGAATGCTGATATTTGGGTAGCTTCTCAATTGCTGCGATTGGGTGTACTCCAGCTGTTGCTTTTTCTGAAATGATACGCAGGTAGGAACCCCGGTTGAGCTTTCTGCGTCATGGCCACCGCGAGCTTGTCTATAGGCGTTTGTGCACTCGTTTTCAAGGCCAGCCAACATGGTAAACAGGCCGCAAAAGATTTTTAAACGATGCCAGCGGCCGGTTGTAAGGTCTGGGATATTGACATTCGTCCAGTGACTTAACGTCATGGTTTTGGCAGTGTTGAGGCGCCGGTCACTCTGGTTTCGTTTCCAGTCTTCAAATGCGTCTTTGATACCAGTAATAACCAGAATGGCCACAAGTGGCATTGCAGACAATACAGGACTTGTAACGCCGAATGTGGGTATACACTGAAGAATGACCAAGAATAAAAAGTACAAGTTGGCAACATTGCGAAATTGTTCAAACAGATTTTTGGGTATGAATGTGAGAGGGGTGTATTTTGCTGTGCGCACTCGATTGCTGACCCAGGATTGTTCGCTTGGGTCAGCCGTGTCGGAAGAACTTTTCATGTTGATATATAGCCTTCGTCGTTTGGACGTTTGTGATGCTGTGGATTCAGTTCGTCGTAATGACTGGTTAGGGTCTTCGGAATCTTCATCTTTTGCTCGGGCGAGATGTAGCCGTACGAGCCAGCGTCTCAGCCCTTTTCGTTGAGATGACATAGTGTAGGATATTGGTGGTTGGAGCCCACGAATTGAACAACCAGCGGTAGTAATGGAGATCTAAACAGTGAGAGCGGTAAGTTACTCTGCGGGGGAAACCAGAATGGAACTAAAGATGTCAGATGCTCTAGACGAATGTCTCAAATTAACCCGCACCTATTGGAAAAAAAAAAAGAGCGAGCCTTGGAAAAAGTTGGTATGACACGTGCCCAGTAGATTGCAAGGAATTACCGAGTTGACTCCTTTATACGCAAACAATACCCTTAATAAAAAAAAAGGCGGGATAACCGATGTCAGTGGAGTGTTGAACTTGCAGTAAAGAAGTATTTCCAAACTGTTATTAATCAGACCCTCTTCTTTTTTTTTTCAACTTTAATTTGTAGTTCAGACAACGAACCCAGTGCGAGGCGAGCGCGGCAAATCATTTATCATTCGCCCGGAAGATCGTGAATTCCCTACTGGCTATTGTCTTCCCGCTATTCCGCTCCAAAGGGTAAATTTTCGGTGCTGATACCGCTGCCTAAATGAAAAACCAGTATATCCTACGTGCAACAGCTTCCGAACGACCCTGCTTTGTTTGTTCAAAGTTTTCATCGGTAGTTCTTACGTCGGCCGATAACTCCAACGAAGATTGGTTTTACGTTTGCAAATCTCATCTTAATGACGCTAATTTTTGCTCAAGGAATGGCGGAGCCTCACCACGACCGGCATCGCCAGCTTCTCCAAAACCCCCCGTAGCCAAAAATACCGATGCCAAGCCAGAATCCAATAGCGTTTCAGACCTCTTATCTGGCATAGGAACTGGCATATGGAACACATGGAAAGGCAATACAAAGTCAGACGACGAACAAGCCAAGGAAAAAGACAAGCAGAATGAGGATGCTAAGAAGACAACTTCTGCACAGCCGGATTCTCCAACCCCGCCTCCTGCAGCGTCAACCCCACCTTTGAAACCCACTCCTGTGACCTACATATTGCATCGGGACTTTTATTACCTACGAGAGCGAGAAGTGCAGAAGAGGAAGGCGAAGAAGGATGCCGCTGCTAGACTGCAAAGTATGCAATTTCCAGAGGTTCCCAAAACCATACCAGGATCCCTCGCCAAACCCAACTAATTCGCTCTACATAGCTGCTCGCCATGACTTATTATGACTCGCACCATCTAAATAAATACTAGCGACACTGCCATTATTAATTCAGCGTTTTTCTATTTTTCATTTCTTAACATGTTCAATTCACGCTTAGCACAACGGTTGAACCTACGATATCCCATTATCCAAGCACCTTGTGCTCCTTACTCCATTGAAGCCGTAGTCGCTGAAGTGTCTAATGCAGGTGGCCTTGGTAGTTTGTCCGCCGCGCTATTTTCACCGGCCAAGATTCGCGATTCCATTCGCGAAATCAAGCGTCTGACCAACAACCCGTTTGCTGTCAATCTGTTTGCCCCCCCTGCCATTTCCCCTGTCCCCGATGACTTTACAAATAAGAAACGCTATATAAGCGATAAGGTTCTCGATACTTTCCGAGGCGAACTTGGCATTGAAACGCCTGATCGTTATACGCCACGTTCATACCCATTTGAGGACCAGTTGAGCGTGCTATTGGAAGAAGGTTGCCCAGTGTTTTCATTTACCTTTGGAGAAATGCCTGATGGCGTAATCGCCAAGTTGAAAGGGGCTGGCACTTTCGTCATTGGAACAGCCACAACTGTGCATGAAGCATCAGTTTTGGTAAATAGGCCAAATCAACAAGATGCTGTCGATGCCATTATTGCTCAAGGATACGAGGTGGGTGTGCCATACTATGTTGATGGGATTCAGCTAAGCAGGAAAAACAAAACTCATGGTTTGCCTCATAGGCTGGTGGCCATCGAGGTAAGTTTGATAGTACAAAAATAGAATCTCAGCTTGGTACCATGTCGCTGTTACCTCAAGTCGTGGACGCTGTTGGACACAAAGTGCCCGTCATTGCTGCTGGTGGTATTTCAGATCCAAGATCTGTGCTGGCCAGTTTTATGCTTGGAGCCGATGCTGCCGCATTGGGCACGTTGTTTATGCTTTCCAAAAGCACCATCTTACCAAGCTACCACAGGGAAGCGTTGATGAACTCTCAACCAGAGGCTACTCAATTGACACGTGCTTTCACTGGTCGATATGCTAGAGGCATTACAAACCGCTTTATTGAAAAAATACATGAAGCATGCACGGGTGAAGATGATATACCGAGTTATGACATTCACTCAGCCCGTACCATGGACATTTCTGCAAAGGCCAAGGAGGATGGAAAGGGTGGTGATTATGCCTCTATGTGGTCCGGTCAAAGCTTCGCCGTGGCTAAAGCCTTCACTGAAAATGGCACACTCACAGCGACCGAAACACTCGAAAAGCTTGTATCAGGCGTCGAAGAACTTAAGAAGAAGTTTGTCAGCACTGCGTGAATGCTGAGTGATATGGGACGCCGGCTGTATTTCATCTCAACACAATTTCTCTTACTTTTTTACCGCATTATCGTATCCTCTGTAGCTTAGTCTAGCACAAAATTCCTTAGTTACTTCAAAAATGATGGAATTAAGCGTAGGTGCAAATGAGGAAGATGTTTAATTCGATTTTTTTATAGGAAGTGTTGATTTCGAAAACTAAAAAAAAGTTTCTATCTAGAATATAGAAATGTAGCTTGAAATTCTGTCCTTTTGGTTTTGAGATATACACTCGGAAATCCATACAATGTTACGAATTTCCTGCTCCTTCAATTTAACATACGCATAGAAGGTTCCAAAGTGGAACTGTTGTTGCCATGCGAGGCGGTTCAAGAATACTTCATGTGCGAAAAACTTGTCTTCCATAGTCGATTCGCTGACGGCTTGATCAAAGAAAACTCGGTATTCCTGAAGAAAACAGGACGTTAGTCCATTTGTGTGCTGTCCATCAACTACACATCTGAATACATTTCTAGGTAACTTACCGAAAAGACTTCGCAAGCTGTCTTTACTTGATCAATATCATCAGCTGTTGCAAGGGCAGCATTTCCTTCTGGGAACAATCTACCAATGTTGGGATATAGTTTTTTTCGATCCTCTTTGGGAAGCTCAGTACCGAAAGAGTTGATTGTGATGTTGATAGTGCGTCGATCGGCTTCAAACTGCATGGTAGTAAAGTTAGCAAACCTTTGATTATACTGAGACGTGTCAATCGGCTGTTATTCACAAACCTGAAGGATGTCACCCATAATCTCAGCTGTGGGGCCACCGATCTTTTGGCAAAAATCATAGAAATCTTCAAGATAGGCTTTATACAATGTGTTGCGAATGATTTCAATGTTCAATTCGTCCAAATCCTGAGCACTGAGGCAGTTGGCAAAGTAGGGTGCTATTGATGCATCATTAGAGTGTGTTCTACGTGTTTGGTAACTAAACCTGCTAAGAGACTTACCCAAAGGGGTTTCGATCAAGACGGTGTTGTAGAGTTCAGACACGGTAGTTGCTACACAAAGTGCTGGCATAGTGTCAAACACGCCAAGAGGATGGCAACGATCCAAAAGTTCGTGAGTATCGCGCTCATGCAAAGTTCCGGTGATCAGCAACACGACATTATCGATCATATAAGAATAGCTGGAAGCGACAGGTAAGTCAGCGTTAGCAGATGCATTGGATACCTACTAATACAATCGTTCTACATCATTCTTTGAAATGAACAACTTACGTTATATAATCTAAAAACTTGGCCAAAGGTTGGACAGCTTGGGTTCTGAGGAAGTCAAATTCGGCGACCAATTTCTGTGTAAGCTTTTCTGAGATCGTGGACGTAGATATTGGCGAAGGCTCGTTTTGTAGAAAGTTGCCATAGTCAGTAGCACTAAGCTGAAGTCGAACGTCTATAGTTTAAAAAAGTATCGCGATGTTAAGAGATTTTCCAGTATGAACATATTTTCAATTAAGTCAGCTCAACCGCACTCGAATGTTCTTCATACCTTCAACCGTTTCGCACTGTGTCAGATTGAGATAGTGGGAGGAATTAAGGATTCCAGACTTGTATCCTCTCAGAATTCCGTCCACGAAGCCGTTGTCTGCATTCCAAACTGCAGCAGATGCCATTGTGTCTATACTGGATGTAAAAAGCAGAGGATGCGGTTTTGGAAGTCCCTTGTTGGTTGGAACAGAAAGTGAAGTCAAAATGGCCCAAAAAACATAACTTTACTCACAAAAACAAAGATTGCTCCATGTGTCGGGAATTGGATCAGCTGCTAAATTCCTCAACTCTCGAGCAATAGCTGGCTGCCCTCAACGAATGTCTCGGTTACGATTGCGACCATTGCTAATTTCTCCTTGACAACTTCTAATCTGGATACTGCTCTGATTTGAAATTGATATTACAGACTGAAGTACGAAAGCGCTCTTGTTCAAAACGTTTTAAAAGAACTCAAACTGACTGTGACGTAGTTTCCTCAGTTACCTATTCTTGGCCGTTTTCCTCCAACTTTCGATAAAACTTGCATACGACATTCGACAAATAACATACCATGAGTGGAGGAGGAAATGTCAAAGTTGTGGTACGATGTAGACCATTGAACCAAAGAGGTATTGAGAGCAAATCAAAACTGTGCCTTAAGTATCGTCGTCCCAGCCGTTGACATCAATATTGCCACTTGTAGAAATTACGAGGAACTCCTCCGTGCTTGTTCGCATGGATGGAAACCAGACGATTTTAACGAGATCAGTGACTGACGACAAAGCGGTCAAAGAAGACGACAAAAAAGCCTTCACTTTTGATAAATCGTTCTGGTCCGTCGACCCTGCTGACCCGCACTTTGCAGACCAAGAGGCAGTCTATAAGGACTTGGGCGAAGATCTTATGGGCCATGCATTTGATGGTTACAATTGCTGTATATTTGCATGTAAGTAAGAGCATGAATATCAGGCGTGCCGATGAAGAGGAAATGAAACCGGTTATTTAAAACTAACGGAATGCATTCTCGTAGATGGCCAGACTGGGTCTGGAAAATCATACTCCATGGTACATACTAATTTTATTGGATACTGATTATTCATTTAACATTGTTATTTACTCGCTTTTGAAGATGGGTTATGGAGAGGACAAGGGTATTATTCCTCGAGCGTGCCAAGAATTGTTCGACCGCATAGCCAATGCTTCCGACCAGTATCTCACATACAGAGTCGAAGTTACATACATTGAAATCTATAATGAAAAGGTTCGAGATCTTTTGAACCCGAAGAACAAAGATAATTTGAGAGTCAGAGAACACCCGCGCTTTGGTCCTTATGTCGAAGACTTATCCCGGCTTGTTGTAAACTCTTACGACGACATCTCCCATTTGATGGACGAGGGTAATAAAGTAAGCTGTGTCCATTTTCTAGTACTTTACAACTTGCAATTCCATGGCAATTTTAATCGTTGTGTAAACTTTGAAATTGACAGGCGCGAACCGTTGCTGCTACGAATATGAATGAAACGTCATCGCGTTCACATGCAGTATTTACCATCTTCCTTACTCAAAGAAGGCACGATACTATGACCAAACTAGACACGGAAAAAGTGGCGAGAGTTAGTTTGGTGGATCTTGCGGGAAGTGAGCGTGCTAACAGTTCAGGTGCTACGGGTCAACGTTTGAAAGAAGGAGCGAACATCAATCGATCGCTGACAACGTTGGGAAAAGTCATCGCTGCTCTCGCAGAGCAATCTCAGCATGAAGGAAAACGAGGGCGCAAAAAGGAAACTTTCATCCCCTATCGTGATTCGGTGAGTATCAAATATTTGGTGCCTTTGTTACTGTTCGGACATAAATACTAAAATGCATGATGAAATGCTTAGACTTTGACTTGGCTCTTGAAGGATTCGTTAGGTGGAAATTCAAAAACCACCATGATTGCAACGATATCACCAGCCTCTGAGAATTATGAAGAGACTTTGAGTACGTTGCGATATGCTGATCAAGCCAAGAAGATCAAGAACAAGGCTATCGTAAACGAGGATCCTAATGCTAAATTGATTCGCGAACTCAAAGCGGAGCTGGAGTTCCTCAAGGATAAACTCATGTTGTATGCACCGGAAGAAGTCCGACAACTGGCGGCATCTAGTGCGTACCTGCGTGAAAGCGGAAAACACGGCGCAGCTGCAAAAGTGGCAGCAGCAGCTATACCAGCTTCACAGGAAATTACATTTACCGACCAGGATGGCAACGTTCGCAAAATGACGAAGGAGGAAATAGTGGAACAAATGTTGTCTTCTGAAAAACTCTTCAACGAACTCAATGAAACTTGGGAGGAGAAACTGAAGCGGACCGAAGCTGTACAGATCGAACGTGAACAAGCACTGGCTGAAATTGGCGTTACCGTAGCAAAGAATCGAGTGGGTGTGTATACGCCGAAAAAGATGCCACATCTGGTCAATCTGAACGAAGATCCACTTATGTCGGAATGTCTCATGTATCAGATTAAGCCTGGTCGAACACTTGTTGGGCGTCAAGAAAGCGATGTACATGCTGATATTCGACTAAGTGGCCCTAACATCCTCGATGAACATTGCTACTTTGAAAACATTAACGGTATTGTAACCTTGTATCCCAGCGAAGGCTCCATGACGATGGTAAATGGTACTCGTATTTCCGAGCCTCGAAAGCTTTCAAGTGGCTGCCGTATTATCCTAGGAGACTACCACATCTTTCGCTTGAATCACCCAGAAGAAGTTCGCAGAGAGCGAAATTTACACAAATCAGTGGTGACAACCCATGCTACAGCCATGTCCGCCGGTCATGACAAAGATGATCAATTTCGTCGCCCTGAATCCCCTACTTTTAATGAACAAGCTGACTGGAAGTTCGCCAAACGAGAAGCTGTCCTGAATGAGTCTCATTTTGGGGATATGGATGATGAAGAGCTCGAAAAGTTGTTTGACGACATATCCAAAGTACGAAACCTCAGACGATCCCGTCCTGAAAGTAGAATGGATGACGATGCTTCTACTTATTCTGGTTCATCGACCGGAGCAGTATTGGTGCCTACTACAATTTCTAACTTTAATGACGCTCAAGACGAGAGTGACGAAAGCGCAACTAGAGTATCGACTACGGACGTGGAAGAGAAACTTCGGTTAGCTAAAGAGGAGATGCAGAGGCAACTAGAAATGCAGAAAAATGAGTACGAAGAAAAGATCAAGGTTGTGGAAGCGTCTACTTTACCTGCAGATGAGATCCAGATTGAGCGAGATGAAATGCACAGAAAGCTACAGCAAGTTCAAGAGCAGATGGAGCAAGTTCTACAGCAGCAAAGGCAGGAGTATGAATCACGAATCAAAAGAATCTCGCAGCAAGTACCAGAGCCTCTCCAGAATGGATATACCGCCACGCAATGGAGGCTGATGCGAAAAGTTGTACAAAAGTGGAAGAAGCATAAGGATATCTTGATGGCAGAAGCAATAATGCTGAACTCTGTTATACTGAAGGAAGCCAATGTGATTGCAAAGGAACTTGGCAAATCCATCTTGTATCAGTTTTGTGTTCTGACGGATGAGTACACCATCAACCCTGTCTCATTTTGGGAGAATGGCTCTTCGCCTGCAGTATCGTCGGAAGAGGAGACCACCACCGTCCCTGGCAAAACCCCTTGCATAGGCATTCGAGCAATGGATTCAAAACACAACGTTATCTACTATTGGTCCCTGGAAAAGCTGAAACAGCGACTGCAACGCATGCGAAATTTATACAACTTCATCGATCGGCCAATGTACAGAAAGCATTTCAACTGGGAGGACCCATTTTATGAAACACCTATACCTCGATTCACCTGTGTTGGCAAAGCAACCTTACCTGTACGAAATTTAGCCTTGCAACAACCTTTACAGAGTCAAGTTCAAATCATATGCCCGATAACTGGAAAGTCAAAAGGTCTCCTCACTGTACTGGTCTCCCCATTAGCTCGCTCACCAGCGCAATCTCGATCAGAGGACAATTCTACTGAAAGCAACCATCAAAGTGCACCCGATGTTGATTATTCAAACAGCCTTATCAAAGTCGGAGAGCAGCTTTTGGTTGAAATTCAGGTCCTCGGTGCTGAAGGTATCAACGAGTCTGATTGTACACAAGTCCATGCGCAGTTCAGGTTGTCGGAATTTGGAACAGTACCTCCATATTCAGCGAAGGACAAGATATTCAGTTCAGATTTCATCACAGACTTTGGTACCTCTCCTATAGACTTTGGTTTCAGCCAAACTGTGTCGCTCATAACTACGCCGAAAACGGTTCAAATTTTCAATCATGGCTTCATCACGATTGAAGTCTTTGCACACTTACAATCCGGCATGATTGAACATTTTCGACAATGGGACGAGGAACAGGAGCAAAAACATGTACTTGTCAAAGAGAAACCGTCTTCTATGTCAACAGAAGTTCGTAGAGACTCTCGTGATGATCCCTTGTATGCGGAACAATTGGATGTTTTTGCATCTATCCAGCTATCGGAACTCGCATTGGATGGAGAGTATATTCCAACCCAAGTTTTGCTGAATGGTTCAACTGGAACAGGGGTTTTTCTCCTCAGACAAGGTATTCAGCGTCGCGTTGTATTTAGCTTGACACATTCGTCAGGTCGCCAATTCCCATGGCAGCGAGTTATCAAAGCTACATTTGGAAACGTTCGTCTAGTTGACGCAAAAGGGCAGATCGTCGATGAGATGCTTCACGAACCGGTGCCTATCAATTTACTGTCTCAACAACAGGTAGACTATCGTCAAGACGGTACAAGCACCATAGACGCGCAAGGTGCTTGGGACAGTTCATTGCATGAAGCAGCTTTTCTCAACCAAATAACTGCAGCAGGTCATCAAGTTCAACTTTCCTTGTCCTGGGAAGTGGAGGCTGATAAATGCGATAAACCATTGCAGTTTTCTACGGATGTATTTGTACAAATTCAGGGCCGAGACGCTTCCAACCCATCCAAATTTAGAACATTGATAACCCCCACACGCATCACTACCAAGATTACATCGGTGTACGTGGTGCAATTGCGACCGCCACAATCACGAAAGATTGATGATTTATGGAGAACCAATACTTCAAAAGGATATGTTCGTGGAGAGGAGTTTTTGGGAAACTGGAAACCACGCAGTATCTCCATTGTACGAGAATTTCAAACAATGAGCAATTCCCAGAAGCATATGCAAGACGTTGTTGCAACGAGGCAAATGCTTTATTTACAAGGGGGTGTAGAAGACCATGCGGGCGCCAGACTTGATTCGCTACCGCGACTTCCTGAGGCGAAAGGGTATCTTCTCAAGCACATTGTGGACCTCTGGATAGCAGCTTGTAAACACCATTCAGGAGTAAGTATTCCATTGAATTAGCAATGTGAACGGATGGCGGTTCTAAAAGGCTGTATATTCTTTACAGTTGGATATCATACAAGCAAGGCGAAAAGCGGCTGCAAAGCAAGATCCTGAACCGTGGAAATTGAAAGTGCCCACTAAACTGGTCCCATATGTCAAACCAGTTATACCAACGTAAGATAAAATTGCTGAAATTGATGTAGCTGGAAGCAGTCCAGACACGCTCATACGTATTCTGATCATACAGGGATGTTGTGACCAAGAAAGGATACCTCAGTTTTCCGGAAAACGCTGACGAGGTTTGGGTCAAGCGATGGATTGTATTCAAAAGGTGACTGAAATTTTCAGCTAGTTTACATCGATTACCAGGATGATATCTAATTTAAAAACTCGTACGATCTTCGGTATCCAGACCGTATCTGCATATTTATTTAAGCCAGTCCGACTATGAACAGCAAGGCATCATTAATCTCAGCCAAGTAAAGATTGATTACAAAAAGGACTTGGAGAAGATGCTAGAGGTGAGCATTCACAGACACTTCATTCATGTACAATTTGGTACTAATTTTGTTTTGATATCAAAAGCGTGATAACGTGTTTGCAGTTTATACAAGCAATAATGCGTACCTGTTCCAAGCTGGCAATCGTTCAGAGATGATTGACTGGATAGCTAAGATAGATCAATTCTACCCGGTGCAAGCCCTCCGGGATGAAAGAACCTAATTATATTGTATTATTTATTAACTCACTATTTCCACCTAATCTCTATTATGTATACTATTATTTTCACGAAGGTGATAAAGGCTAAAAGTGAATTTTTCGACCCTATGGAATTTTGTATTGGCTGGGACTGTGTGCGGGGAAATTTTCCAAAGGGCTCCTACTGATTGACTTGGGGGACCTGCGAACTTCGTTGATGATCTGACATGGACGATTCCACCGCCCCTGTTACGCCCACTAGCCTGGCAAGGCAAATCAAAAACCCACTATCTATTCGATTATCACATATATACAACACAGTACTTCACAACAGCGACAAAACCAAGAATGCTTTGACCACCTTGTCCCAAATACCCAATCTTCAGCATCAAGATTTGGACAAGAATCTACGCGGTGTCCTTGAGCGGAACGCTCTCGAAGCCAATCAACGATTCCTTCTAGCTTTCTCCAAGCTTGACGAGGTAACTTGAACTGACGGTTGAAGCCCGAGATTCACGGAACCCTCACCAATAACACCTCATTCCTATAGCATCTGCTTATCCTGGAGAACGACGTTAACGAAATGCAAGCCAGCAACGACGCTATGACTCAACAACTGACGGAGGTGAACAAAGATTCGTCACTGCTCATTGAACAAGTGACGAGCTTGCAAAATAGAAGGTAATGATTCGGGGTGAGTTGAGTTTTTCAAGGTACGTGCCATTAACCTTTTGGTGGTGTAGATCTGCGTGTGATATACAGCGTATCATCATCGATTCATTCTTGAGCACGTTTATGCTCACAGATCAAGAGATTGAGATCTTGTGCTCACCCTCTGCGCCGGTCGATGCCCAGTTCTTCAAAGCATTAGACCACTTGCAGCAAGTTCATTCAGATTGTCGCTTGCTGCTTATGACCGAGCACCAACAAGCAGGGTAAGCATTATCATGGCCGGTTACTCGCATCTTTTGTCCATGACCTAATGCGTTTCATTCTATGTCTTGTTTTGGTGATATAAAGTTTAGATATCCTGGAATCGCTCGCTGGACACCAGGAAACAGCGTACGAAAAGCTATACAAATGGACTCAGCGGGAGTGCCAATCGTCATTCAACAGAGAATTTCTAGAAATCAGCTCTTTGATGAAAAGGGCAACCAAAGCATTGAAGCATAAGCCAGTTCTATTCCAGTACGTACAAACTTTTGCCCAATGCCTTTCTCGATGTACTGTAAAGCATCATACTCACACGCGCGCCTTATAGAGCTTGCTTGGAAGACATGGCCAATATCCGGAGAAACTCAGTCACACGAGCCTTTATAGATGCCTTGACTCGAGGTGGCCCTGGTGGAACTCCACGACCCATTGAATTGCAAGCTCATGATCCCATTCGTTATATCGGTGACATGCTGGCTTGGGTCCATCAAGCTGCAGCAAGTGAACGAGAAATTCTTGAAGGCCTTTTCGATGTTGAAGGACAGCGAGGTTACAGTACGTGTGTCGAGAAGGGAAAATTCATCTATATCTTTTCTATGCTTTTGCTGATATGTTTAATTAGAACGTAGCGTTAGTCAAGGAGACATTAAGTCATCTACCGATGGACCCAACAATTTGGCAGTGGACCAACATATTGATGAAACTATCACTGGATTGTTGGGTCGCATCATGGATGGAACATGTAGGCCATTGAAGGTAGGGTTTTTATATTCGTTTGTGGCGCACGCAACCAATTGTACAAAACGTTAAGTATCATGCAGTCAAGGATAGAACAAGTCTTGATTTCTCAACCTGGAGCCATCACATCGTACAAGATAGCGAATATCATTCAATTTTATACCATCACCATTGGAAAACTATTCTCAAGTAGCGCGAGTTTACCGGAATTACTTCATAGGTAAGCGGACGTGGATATTTTTTAGGTAATGCAAATATTAGGCGAACAAATGTTGACGTGTGTTATACAGTATCACAGATGTTGCTTTTAAAACTTTCTATGGAATCCTCAACGCACAAGCAAACAAATTGCTTCGATTTTCAGAGAAACCTGGAAATGACCTTATGCCACCTTCTTCTTTCAAAGAAGTTGTCTTGCAATTGGTAAGAGTTGTTCTGAACACGTTTAGGCTCATACTCGATCATTTATACCTCTACTTCATTATTACAGAAAGAGATTATGGCGTCGTACGATTCTTCTCTGATCATCGTATCTGGTGCAACTGCAGTAGCAGGAACAGATTTCCGCGAGACTTTGGACGCCATGATCGACCCACTTCTACAGATATGCGACATTGGTGCTGAAAAGCTGTCAGATTACGATCGTTTAGTGTATAAGGCAAACTGCCTTCAGTATGTCAGGGTAAGATTGGAGACTGTTGGTTACATTCATTACGGTGCAAGTACACGATTTTTGACAATCTCTCGGTATCGTTTTTTATAGTCGGCATTGATACTGTACGCTTTTACAGAGATCAAGCGACAATCACTAGAAAAACATATTAATGAGCTTCTGGAATCGCTTACAGACAAAGAAGTAAGTTTTTCTCTCGCTTCTACTTGTAATGTTCGAAATTATCAGAATTGTATGTTAAGTTGTGCCTGGTTTGCTTCCCCCTCCAGTATCAATTGCTCCTCCAACAATCCGGATTAGATGCAGTAGACTCCGCTATAAAGTCAAAGGATATTAATGTAGGTGACTTATCCAACACCAATGCTGGAGTACTTGATTTACTTATTAAGGTTTGCCACACTAGGTGCCTTTGTCAAGTTTGGAGGGTATGGATGCTCGTGCTTTGGGAGAGTCTATGGCTCATCTCGATCGATTTTTGACCACCATTGATGGCGATATACCATCTCGGCTGACCAAGCTGTCTTCTTCACGACTTGCACGGCAAGTTCATGGCAACGCTATCAAACAATTTATTGACGCGTATAGACATATTATTCAAGCTGTCAGCGACCCATCGAATGGATATGAATTCCCTGCTTCGATTTTACCTCGCACAGTAGAAGAAATAGAAACCATCTTTTCCTTCGCAACAGAATGAAAGGTTCCTGACTTTCGATGTACATCCAATTTAGTAAATTTACATCCCCTAATGTATTTATATCTCTAACGTGATTGCTCTGTTTGAGACCATGTTTGCTGTGAGGACGGTCAAGGCTGTCTGATGTACGATCAAAAGATCAAATCAAGTGTGTGATCTATACTTGTGTTCCAACCTCCGACAATAACAGAATTGCAATCCAATCGTTAGGCAAAAACTGCTCACATTAATGCATATAAGGCCATACGTATTTTAAGGGCTAACGCGCTACTTTTATTGCTTATCTTTTACAATATCTTCAGTTTCTTCAATTCCTTCTTTAACTTCATGGCTATTGGATGATTGCTCTAAACATCCTGTGTCTCCAAGATTATAAATCGCCAAACACGGCGGCAGGCAGAAAAACTTCGACATTTCTCACTCTGTCTTGCGCGAAAACATCGAGATGGCTATTTCTCACATGTATCAAGCGCTACTAATGAGTAATTGTAATAATGAATTCACACTATCCTTTAGTTTCATAACATAGGCTTTACCATCACCCAAATGACGACATTTCCCACTATACTAATACCATCTGCCATACGACGCTCTTTCAAATCCGGATATTGCTATGCTCTCGTTGATACATCCCCTAGCAGTGTAGATAAATAATATATGCAGTCAAATGAGTAGGTAAGCAGTAACCGTTAACTGCCTTATGTGATTACATTCAGAATTGGTCTTTTGCCAACCTCTGCGTTCAGGGGGGTAAGCAGGACTTTACCTTTAACATCTTCAAACTAGCAACTTGGATCATCACAACATAGCTTCAAAGATATATCCTGAACATTGTATGCAACTGCCTAATGCACTAGCAGACGGAAAGCTATCTGCTTAATTGACTATTTCTGACAGAAAGAAAGTAAAACTAAATTGCCTTCAGAACTCATAAACCCTCTGAACGACAATGAATCCTAGCACTTTTATGAAATGCTCGAATGAAAAGTCGCTCTTGTGTGTAGCAAAAAGACGAGCCTATGTGAACAACCAGGACATGCAACGTAACTTGATGCCAAAACCGGAACTACGCTGTTCTGGCGACTACTGAAAAAACTCAAATAGCAAACCCCAAGACACCTATGTAGAATACCCGGCGAAAGCCCACGTAGCCGCCATGCTGCATCTGCTTGTGTCCACAGCACCCACTATCATGCAATGCATGCTTGACGTATGCTCGTCTATGCAGGGTTGTTATGTTACCAGAAAGAAACAGGAGAGAATCCAAATGTTTAATAGGCATGGCTGAATAGAGACAGAGAAACGACGATCACCGACATTCATGGTTACAAACATCAATACAATTTGCTCCAAAAATCTCATAGTTAAAGCGCTCTCTATGCCATGAGGTAAAGTAGCCATGCTTGATGTTGGATAGCTTTGTCCGGAGTAGTCTAGTACTATTGGTCCGCGACTCTGTCCAGAGTCTGACTACTTTGAGATCGTAACTAACGAGCCAAACAGCTGATCAATGGCTTTTGCAAAGAGGGTTTATTTTGGCACAAAAACATCCTCTAAAGCGCGAAAAAAACAAATATTATATTAACTCATTACAAATTTTTGGTAACACGCAACGGCTCCGGTGAAGAACTATTGCAAAAGTAGCCAAAAAAAAAAAAAAAATAGATGTGTTGAAACCCCCCAAGTCGGACTTGGAGATGGCATGTGAGGATCAGATAACCCGTACTCCATCCAACTGAAACCATCTGTCAGCGCCATTGTTCAAGATCTGATTATTCCATTCGAACACAACGGAGTGGAATGCTTTGGACAACCGCTCTAAACTCGTATGCAAAAACTTGGTCACTGCATATCAGATCCAAGTCGGGCGGCAACCAAAGAAAAGAAACAATAGTCAACTTTTTTTTTCTATGTCGACAGTCACTATGTTGGCTTCATGTGATGAGAGATTGCCCCCCTCGTCCAAGACAACAGAGCAGCATGACCGAAGAAAACCTTGACCTGAACAACAGGCCACCATTTTGGCTCATCCCTTTGGCCATCATCACCCCATCCGACTAGACTGGATCCAGCCAAGGAGTCAGAGTAGTACAGATGAAAACAACGATCATCTGGCTTATAATGCCACACGGCACAGATCGGGGAACGTGTGGAAAGGAACGGTGAGTGAGCTCTGTTATGTGGGCGGGCGGAATACGAATGAGAATCTCAGATAGCCTGGGTAACATACTGTTCAGTATCTTAGTCATTCCACATTAGCTCTCTGAGGTACAGACATTGGAATCGTTGCCATACTAGCAAGAAGCCTCGTGATGATCGGGAGAGATCATCATAAAGGGCAAGCATACCAAACATTAAAAAAAAAAGGTTTCGGGTAGCGTTAAGCTTGCCGTTATCAGATTTTTCACACAACTTTAACGACAGCCTGCCGCCAACTGCGATTGAAACAAAGTCACCCAGTAGATCCAACTTAGTGTAAACAGGCCCAAAAAAAAAAATGATGGGGGAGGGATATGAAACTGTGTAGACATGCAACGGTAGGGAACACCATGGAAATTTGAGAATTCACTTATTATGGCAAAACAAAAAAAAAAAAACCTTTGCACCCAGCGAAATGCCTAAGCCGACTGGGTGTAGTCGCACGACTTTGGTGACAACTACAGTGTTCTTAGACCATCAGCATCTCCGATTCCGATCAAAGCTGCAATACGGAAAATCTGATAAACCAACAAAGTGGAGAGCTACAGCGTCATCCTCCCGAGAAACCCACTTTTTTTTTTTTGTGTGCGTTTTTTTTTTCGGCTGCAGCAAGTGTTTCTGGCACGACTTTGGTCACAACTCCGGTATGGAAGAGAGATCTCCCGAACCATCAGCAATTCACAAGTTATTTGGCGTAAGATCGGCAAGTGACCAAGTTTTTCAAATCACAAAGTGCCTGGTCAGCAACACAAGTTCAGGCAAGTAATCATGCAAATGACTTTCAGAATATCTGGAAGTGCGTGTTTAGCTACACAAGATCCATTGATCAACCAGGCAAAAAAGTCTTCAAGATATTTCAAAGTTTGAGCTTTGATACAACATTCAAAGTAAAATCAGACTTTCATAAAATGTGAAAGTGCGTGCTTAGACACAAAAAGGTTCAACTGAGCAATCAATCATTCTAGTGTCTTTCTTGATAGATAGTTTTAATTTAAATGTTTATTCGAGATGAATCGGGAGAGAGGTAGTACAATTAAAGAAAAGGCTGAGAGTTGGGAATGAGAATACAGGGATGATGGAGGATATGCAATATAGATGTATGTACAAGTACAATTTTTTTAATAGAAAGGTTCGTATTCATTATACTTTACGATCAGTGTCAATTTCGACGGTCTCATCTTGTTCTCTCTCTTTGGCACTGATGATAGCAGCAGCCTTTTGGATGGCCAAGTCAGGGTTGATTTTTTCTTCATGAGCTTCACGAGCTTCGTCGCGCTTCTCCTTGAAGTGAAGATAGACCAAAGTAGCCGATACGAGAACCCAATAACCACAGTAAGTGACAATAGATCCAATAGTAGCAGTGTTATTCCAGCCCAAGATGGCATTGAAGATTTGCCAACCACCATTGTCACTCGTATTAAGTTCTGGGTTACCCCAGCTAGTGTGCCAAACAGCGGTGGTGACCTTGTAGTCGATAACATCACCTCCTTCTTCGGCAGATTCACCACCAATCACTTGGTTCCATGCATTTTGTTCAAAATAACCAACGGCCTTGGACAGCAGACCAGCTGCGATGAGATAGAGAATGCAGGTAGAGATGACGAAGAACCAGTGAAGTTTGACGAGGGATCCACCACGGTAAAGTAGATAACCTACCAAACAACCGCAGATGATACCCATGATGGCAGCAATAGGAATGGCTTTGGCTTGTTCACCGAGAGAAACACCACCCAGGAACACAATGGCTTCAAGACCTTCACGGAGGACGGTAATGAAGGGCAAAATGAAGAAAGCATAACGTTGCGATTTAGTGCGGAGGTCCTGCTTGCCAGCTTGAGCCTCCATGGACTTGGCCAACTTAATCTTCCACTTGTCTTGCATTTTTTCGGTTCGAAGCATAGCAATACCCATGACGGTAATCAAAAGACTGGCGACCAAGGAGAAGCAACCTTCCCAAATATCCTCACTGTTGGCCCAGAGATCGGATGCAACGGTGTACCAGACAGCAATGAAAGCAGCACCGATGGCTAAGCAAATGACAAGGCCAGCAATGGAGCCAAACCACACTTGCTTGCAAAGTCGTCTGTAGATAGTTCGATCATCAGCGAATACTTGCTTCAAGAAAGACAGCAAGACAGACACAATGATAGCAGCTTCGGTTGTTTCTCTGAACAAGATGAAGAAGATAGGCACAGAAAACAAGTCTTCAGCAGCCATAGTGATAGAGAAGCTTGGGATGGAAAAGAGAAGGAAGTTGAAGGCCACGGGCAAATAAGAAAATGTTAAATATTGAAGCGAATCGCACGCTGAAAAAAAAAATGCTATATACTAGATTATTATAAAGTGCCCAAGTACAGGCTTTGAAAGTCAGTTATCAGATCAGACCAGACCCGAGTAATCTGATCTCGACTCGGGAACGCGTTTAGAGAGACCCCCCAATTTTATCTGATGAACAGCGGACACTGTAATTTTTTTTTATATACAGCGTGTTACTCTAACGCGAAAATCTGATAAACCCCGAGTCGCTTTCAAACACCTCCCCACCCATAAATTTTTTTCTTTTATATTTTATTTCCTGTGCTCTTCTCTTCTTCTCTCTTTATCCCTTCGTAGAATCATGAAAGCCGTTAACAGATGCTTGCTTGCAGTCGCGGCTCTAGCTGCCTGCTCTAGCGCTGCCGATGTCACCTTGGACTGGGACATCACCTATACAACCGCCAATCCTGATGGTCTCTTCGAAAGAAGAGTCATTGGTGTGAATGGCGCCTTTCCGTAAGTTTGGATGTGGGGCATGAACATACTGGGCAAGTCGGTTAACCTTCTTCTCTCGCTCATAGTCCACCGGCCATCAATGTGACGATAAACGACACCCTCATCATCAATACTGTACGTATAAATGAAATGAGTCGTACGGTCTACTTGCTTTGAACTGACGCATGCTCCTATATAGCACAACTCCTTGGACGTCCCTACCTCCCTACACGCACACGGCATGTTCCAAAACGGAACGGCTTATTATGATGGGCCCGTTGGTGTGACCGAGTGGTATGTATAGGGTCTCGAAATTTTCAAAGCCATACTGGTTGGTGGCTCACCATTTGATTTTTTTGCAACAGTGGTATTCCTCCCGGTGGAAATTTCACCTACGCTATCCCCATCACTCAAGTGGGTACTTACTGGATTCACAGTCACTACCGAGGTCAATATATGGATGGTTTAAGAGCTCCTTTGATTCTGAATGATCCCACTCCCCCTTATCACTACGATGAGGACATTACTGTCAGCTTGAACGATTGGTATCATGACCAATCCGAAACTGGCCTTGCTACCTTTATGAACGTCAATAACCCCACTGGCGCTGAACCTGTTCCCCGTACGTTTTTCTCATGATGGACTTACATCGCACTGTACAGTTCAACGCTTACCCTTTTTCCATAGAATCCGGTCTGATCAACAACAACGCAAACGCGACCTTCAACTTTGTGCCTGGCAAGACCTACCGTGTTCGTCTCATCAATATGTCAGCTTTGGCCATGTTTATCTTCTCCATTGACAACCACACCATGGACATTATTGAAGTGGAGGGTGTATGTATTTTCGACCCAACGTTTCTCCCCGCCCACCCGCACTTGAATTGGCCTTCTCACCTTTCTATGATTACAGGTTTACACACAACGCAAGACAGTTGACAACATCTTCTTGACCGCTGCTCAGCGCTACTCTGTTCTTATTACCGCCAAGAACGACACTAGCATGAACTACCTCATGCATGCTGACATGAATCCTGACATGTTTGATTCCGTTCCTGACGATCTTAACCTGAGTAAGTCGCTAGCCGTTTAGCCCCCGCGGCAACTCCGAGAATTTTGAATTTTTTTTCAGCCAATATTAATCGTTTGCCCACGCACGCTCAGATGTCACTGCCCCCGTCATTTACAATCAGAATGCTCCCTTCGCTGCTGCCATGAACACAGATGATTCCGTTACCAACTTTGTTGACACTGAACTCGTTCCACTTCAAGCTGAGGCCGTTGCTCCTGCTGATATCTCTTACCCATTGTCATTTGATTTCCAAGTCTACTCCGATGGTATCAACCGTGGTGCTTTCAATGGCGTCCCCTATCTCATGCCCAAGACTCCTTCTTTGTTGACAGCGCTTACTATCGGTGCTGAATATGCCAATAACTCTGCAGTGTATGGTCCTCAAGGCAACGGTCTCATTGCTCCTCATTTGAAGAATATTCAGTTGGTTGTCAACAACTTGGATGCTGGTCTTCATCCTTTCCATCTTCACGGTCACGTCTTCCAAGTCGTAGCCCGAGGTGATGGCATTTTCAATGAATCGGTCAACATCATCAATGAAACCCAATTGAACCCTGTTCGTCGTGACACTGTCCATATTCCTGCCGAATCCTTTGCCGTCATTCGTTTCCGTGCCGATAACCCTGCTGTTTGGTTTTTCCATTGTCACATTGAATGGCATTTGGAGAGTGGACTTGCCGTTCAAATTATCGAGGGCCCTGAAGTCATGGCTGATCGTGTCAAGCCACCGCAGCAAATGATCGACAACTGTGCCGCTTTGGGCTGGAGTACAACGGGTAATGCTGCCGGTAAGCAAGGCTTGGATCTCAGCGGTGCTCCCGCCCACGTTGATTTGATCTACGACGGCTTCACTGCCAAGGGCAAGGGTGCTATGGCTGCTTGTATTATCTCTGCTCTTCTCGGTATGGGTACCATTGTATGGTATGCCCAAGGCCAAGTCACTCCTCCAGCTGCTGCCGCAAAGGAAGAGGAAAAGCCAGAAGTTCAGGAGCCTACCCAGTAAAAAAAAAAAAAACAACAACCAACTCGCGCCACTCTAATATATTTCGTTTTTGAAAATATTCTTTTATTTGTACTTTACCTTGTACATTTCATTCCAAAAAACCCCTCCTCATTTATTTCACACTCACTGTAATTTCATGTTTTTTGCCCCCACTCTTATTCGATATAAAATATAACACGAATCGCAATATCATATATACGAACCGCTGCATGACGTTGTCATTAGGAAGATACATGATGGAATGTGTGTACAGGTTTCGAAGGTGGATTTTGGCAAAACAGACGCCGCCCATGAATCTATCTCGATAGCGACCAACTAGGTTTCAAAACATATGCATGATTGGGTTCTTTTCATTTTTATGAGGTTCAGAAGAACAAGGTCTGCCTGGCAGAAAAGAAAAAAAAAAACAGTATATATAAAACAAAACTTCAGTGAAAGAAGGAATTAAAAAAAAAAAAATAGGCTACGTCCACTTAAAAGTACTGGTAGTTCTTCATACCATCCTCATCCTCTTTAGTCCAGGCATCTTGAGGGACGATGGAAGGTGTGTGGGTTCGGAAGGGATTATGAGAAGGTGGAGGAAGTGTTTGGTTAGGCATCACCACTCTGGCAGATGCATGAGAAACCGCTGGAGAAAAGATAGGGTCGGCCACGCTCTCGTCGTCACCTATGCCGACATGATGGTGGCCAGAACCAAATGTCGTAGAGGACATACGATTGGAGCCCCGTCGCTCAGCGTCTACAAAGCCCGACCGCGGTGGACTAATAAGAGCTTCCCAATTACTTCCATTGACAGAACTCAAGCCTGAATTTCGCACCGACGATGCTATGGACGGAGAGGACTTGGCCAGCGGGCTGGCAGCTGTTTGAATGGGGTGACGGTTGGCAAGAGCATTTTGAAGGAAATCGAATTTCGACGATCGGGGGGCATGCTTGTACGTAGCCAATGGGACACTGGCCATCATGACCGGCTGGGAACTGGTATACGATGTGGCGTCGCCGTCTTCAAAGGGGGACATGGTCCCTGACAAGCTGTGGAGTTGGTTATCTTTGTAGTAGACGGCGGATTGTCGTCCAATAGGCGACATGCTCATCGACATACTGCTCAGGGACTCCAGCGCCGCCTGCTCGCTGGTAAAAGAGTAATCTGATTTGTGTCGCTCGGCGTTGTTCATCCGTTTGAAACTTCCCATGTTTTTATCGTTCAGGTGTCCATTGAGTGCCATGGACGGCGTGAACCCTCGCATCCGCTGTATTTGATGGTTTCGATTACGCCTTCGTACGCACAACAGCACCCCTACGGCACATCCTACACCCCCTACAGAGCCTAGCACAATACCAGCGATTTTTCCAGCAGAATTTTGTCCAGATGATGAAGAGGATGGCCCGCAAATCGAATCACTGCACGTCCCGGATAAGCACATATTACCGCTGGAACATGCAGTTCCATCAGCTAGCATCACTTGGCATGTTTGATTGCTTGCATTGCAGTATTGCCCTGTGGGACACGTGGCATTATTGGCAGAGCAACTTGCAGTAGTAGGGAGTGGTTGCATAACGGATGTAGATGCCGCTGATGCAATGACACTCGATGATATTAAAGTCATAGAACTTGACGGAATGAAAACAGATGATATACTGGATGGCTGTGATGCTATCACACTGGTAACGTGGACAACTACATCGGTCGTGGTAAATGGAGCAGGATTACTGGGGGTTGTTTGTGGGGATTGCGTGACAGTTGGAGAAGGTTCTTCTGTGGTAGTTTCAGTGGTAGGTGCGTCTGTTGTTGTGGTCGTAGTAGTAGGCTCTTGGGTTGTTGTGGTAGTTGTGGTAGTCGACTGAGGGGTCGGTGAACTGGTACCTGGATCTGGTGTGGCTGAAGTTGGATCATCCGTTGATGTACTGTCCGTAGCGCCAGAATCGCTGGAACTCCCGTCTGTTTGCGATATATTCTGATCTGATGGAGTCGTTGAATCTGTAAAACGAATTGTTAGTGCACGATACCCCAAGTGTGAATTGATCCATAAAGGCATGCTGCTGAATTACCTATACTGGATTGTGCGACTTTATAAAAAAAAAAGGATCAACGGTCAGATTACATTTAGTATACGGGTCGGATATGACTACTTGTCAATGTTTCAATCGTACTCACCAACACCAATTGAAAGAAAAACGAGTAATAGGATGATAAAAAGAGGGCTAAACTTGGTCATATCGACATGCGTAGACGGAAAAAGGAGTGGAAGGGAGAGAAAGGAGTAAACCAAGCAAGCTAGGCATAAGAAATCATATCATGCAAATTCTAACCAAGGAAGTACTCGTGCGTTACACATAGACTTTGCCTCGATTGACTTAACGTCTCTTCTACTTCTTAATTGCTAAAATCAAGAAAAATGGGGCGGCATGGAGGTGGAAATTTCTTTCTATCTTGCTAATTGAATTACAAGAAGCCGTGGCTAGTGTACGCAGGGAGAATACACCATGATGTGAGATCAATTTCCGTATTATGGCTCATGGAGTAAAAAAGACATATAGCTCTCGCAAGTGGTGGATTGGGTTAGCGGAAGGACAAAAGCCATAGGCACTAACGATTTTCTTAGTAGACTGCTTCAAGGTGTGACCTGAGCTCCAAAATATCATGAGCTTACTGGGTAGGCAAAATTGACTATTAACTTGATATGGTGGGCTATCACGAAATAGCACCTTGATCATTTCTCTACTACTCAGCATGTGTTTTTATATGGCTTAAGTGACTGTAATTTCTTTTGATGTCGATATTATCGTTACAAAAATAATCAGTGCTGTCGAAGAAAAATCCATCACGTGCAATTGAAGCAGACAGCGGGTCAGCCGAAAGTAATGACGAAAGCTTTATTATTTTTTTTGGGGAAAAGAAAGAGTTAAACGCATTCTCCGTGAGTCGGAGATGTGTCTCCCTTTGCTCGAACGTTAGCATTGAATTAAAAGTAGTGATTCATTCAGGCACAGTGCTGAAAAAACTCTCACTTTGGATGACATAATAAATGAATGTGCCCTTGTTAAGGCAACCGAGTCATTCGCACCTGGTATCACCATAAGGACATACGTCAAGTATAGCAACGGCAGCATCATCTTGATAAACGACTATATCAAATAATCATCTCACAGTGAGTACCAAAGGTGTGTGTGCCCATGATGCAATTTAATCCAGCAAGTAAATTCTCACAGGAAAGAGTACAAATGAAGGATAGAACGGGAAGTGAATATGGTCATTAATTCAACTATTGCAATGATACGGCTCTAATGTAGCACAAAACGAAATCGAATATAGAAAACACTGGCGATGATGCTCCATCCTACCATTTTGCTCTGCATCAATTTCCAGTTTTTGTCAGTAGTTCCTATTAAAACAAAATGGTTAGTCATATTGACATAATAGTACCTAACGTTACCCCATCTTAACCCTTCACAGGTTACGACTTGATCGTGCGTGTATGAGCCGCAACGACCAGTCAAATTTAGTCTAGGGTAAGTAAGTGCACGACAATGCTCACAGGATGTTTCCGCGGTATCCCACGTTAGTCTACATTATTCCAAATGTGATTAGTTCATTGTCGCTTGATTCTTTGGGTCCTGTCCTCCACCAGGACCCTGTGGAGTTGCCATGCCAGTTGCGTAATATAACGGAGAGGGAAGACGAACGGAAATAGGTAATACGTGGCTGGAAACATAAACATTTCATTAGGTTATGCATAGTATGAGATGGAAGAATTTTCTCAAAAAAAAAAAAAAATGATTCCAACCAATAATAAAAGTCATGGTCAAAACACATTAAGCTAGTCATTCAGACAGGTTCGAATAGTCATGCTAAATCATTACCTCTATGATTTTGTGATGGTAAACTTGAATATTGGCTTTGACCAAACATTTCAATTCATACATTAAATTGCCTGTGAATATGCGGGACGCTGCACCGTCTGCTTACCCAATCAAACGGGAAGACTTGGGACCAGCTATTCCGTCAATACACCGCAGATGAAGCATGTGTACAGTGCGTAAAAACAACATGGTCCATGTTCTTCAAGTATAAAAGACGACCTAATGTGCACCTCAAATATCATTATCAGGAATATTCCTACTGCCACCCCATCCATCCAAGAAAATGCGCTCCTCTCTAATTCTCGCTGTCTCCACCGCCCTCCTCTTGGACTTGGCTGCTGCCAAAAATCTGGTGTTGAAGAACAATTGTGCCAAACCCATCGAAGCTGGTGTTCTCCAAAATGGCCAATCCACTCCTACCTACTACACCATTGGCACCGGTTCCTCTCAAACAGCCTCTGTGGCTGCCAACTGGGCTGGTCGCACTTGGGCTCGCATTGATTGCGATCAATCTAGCGAACAATCAAACAACACACAGTGCGGTGTCCCGGGAACCCCCAACCCTGCCAGTTTGGCCGAATTCACTTTTGAAGGCTCTGGCAATCAAGACTTCTACGATTTGTCTATGGTGGATGGCTACAACTTGGGTATCAGCATTGCCCCTATCGGTGCCTCTCAAGGATCCACCAAGTATCAATGCGGATCTCCTGCCTGCTCCGCATTGCCCACTTGTCCCAGTGACTTATCCGTCCGAACCACCACCGGAGATCTCTTGTCTTGTCAGAGCGATTGCTCTCACTACAACGAACCTCAGTATTGTTGTACCGGTGCTTACGGCTCTGCTGCTACTTGCAACGGTGGTCCTTATGCTCCCATGATCAAATCTGCCTGCCCTGATGCATACAGTAAGTAAAGTGAAATGTGGGATGATCGATAGCGATCATAGTTACTAACATATCTCATGATGATAGGTTTTGCATATGATGATAGCACCAGTACTTATACTTGTGACTCTGGAACTGCCACTGGATACACCATTACCTGGTGCCCTTAAACGCATGACTAGGTTTTTGAATTTATAACAATCGGTCGGTACTTGTCATTATATACCAAGCTTTCTCTGAACAAAATCGCAATCTTTTTGATCAAAGAACATCTTTTGTACTGTCTGGAATAAATATATGCTTTCATGCATGAACCATCATAGCCACATTGGGGTATTTTGAGCGATTGGTTGACATGAAAATATCGTAAGTCGAGTATGATAAAGCTAGATAACATACACTTGGTCACAACAGATTACATTAGAGATTAAAAAAAAATCTTTGCGTGCACACCGTATGTATACATAGGTGTGGCTTCCAGCATGCTTTTGCCGCTAGCGTGGTTCTGCCATGCGGCAAACGGTAAAAAAAAATTGTTGCAAGTAAATAAAGTGTGATCACACAGGCCGGTGCGCTTCATGCTTGGCCAAAGATAACACCGGTATGTCTGATACTAATTACCAAGAAGGTCATTGTAAACCGTGGCTTTTAAAATTGCACTGCGGAACTGTATACTTTTAATGCATGATAACTACTATACATCAAGCTATGCGCTGGATATGTAATCCTCACTTACGAGGTGCTGGGTAAAGCCGACAAACTTTCATAATAGAGCGTGTAGTCTACTGTATGATACCTAGATAGCATGTATCTCTTGGCCTAATCTTATCGAGGAAGGATGATATACTTTTCTTTGCCTGTGCAGCCTGTTGATCTAGCCTGGGAGCATCAATGTTTTTCCAAAACTCTATTTTTTTTATTTGTTTTTGGTCACCTACTAAGGACGCTGTTCGCACAAGAGCTAAGCACAAAGGAAAGTAACACAGACTTGCGTATGAGCCACACTTACCAGGATGAAATGGTACGAACGATCATTTTGGAACATTCCATTCGCAGAGCATTTCATTACTTTACAGAATGGAACCTTATCAGTATGATTCAAATGCAGCGGATGCTTATTGGATATCGTTGCTATACGGTGACTGGGCGACGTTGGAAAAAAAGCCATGCAAAGAAGAAGTCGGGCTAGTTTTGTCGTTTGCCAAAAAAATCGATGGCCCCGCCTTGGTTGCAATATCAGAGCTTCGAACTGTCATAACCAGCCAGAACAGTGACAGGTCGAATGGCCGTTTGGGTAGCTTAGACGAGGTACTTGCGTTGGACAGAGAGTTTTGGCCATCTAGGACTGGTCAGAACCAGGCGTGGAGCCAGGCCAGCGTTCCCAGTAAAGTGGAACGCTTACGAGCGCAAGTACTGAAGTTTTATGCCGGCAGCGACATCAGCCGACAGAATGACGATGAAACGCTTAACACATTATGTACCAATACGCTTTTTGAATTTGTCGTGGGGTTGTTCAAAGGCACCGTCTCCTTACCCATGTTCCGACTCTACTACACGTCGCTTCCTCGGTACAAAAGTATCATGCAAGAACTTTACAAAAGCTCATATGGGATTGACCGAGATCGGGAATGGTTTGTCCGACCATTGGAATTCAATCATTATTTCGATGATACCACAGTGGACTGGAATTTTTTTCGCGGAGAAGTCAGCTTGCTTCCCAAACTGAATGATATCGTACGCGTGCTTTCGTTGAGTGTCAAGGAGAAGGGCAGTCGATCTTCGGTTGCACCGGGCAGTATTATTTTCATCAAAGGGTATCTGCGACAATGGCGTATTTTTAAGAAGCAACTGGAAAGAGATCGGCAAATGCTATCGTACTATGGAGCGTGGCTCTACATTTGGGACGCTCTTGTGGTCAAAGAGCAAGATTTTCAAATGGCTGTCAAACATGGACTTTTGGACAATCGGGACGCTTTTGGAACCGGCTATTATACTTATGACAATTTCGAACGGCTCGTAAGGTCGTACCGCACTAGGCCAGATGCTGTGGAAGAATCCATCTATCAATTTGTCCGTAACTTGAATGAAGAATATTACATTGCTAACAAGTTTCTTCAAAAGCCTAATCTCGAAGATGAAGTCTGGTTTTCCAAAATTGGCATCTTTCATCCTTCGATCCATATGAACGATCGCCGGCGAAAAGAGAGTATTGAGAGAGCACAGTGGGCTTACTCAGTTGCATCGATGCATTCCAATAACAAATTTGCACTCCCGTTTATTGGATCCGTCATCAATCGAGGCAACGCCGATGGAGGGCTAGAGCAGTTCTTGAATCCCGTTCAGCGATTCCAAGCAGCTATCATACTATGCGAGAGAAACTATCCTAACACCATTCAAGCGATTCAGAACTGTCATAGTGCTCTAAAGTCCAACAACAGCAAAGATGCTGTCAAATATGCCGATGACTGCCTGACGGGTTTGTTGGACTCGTTCAAGGTAATTTACGACAATCACTCCTCGCCCGGAGAGAGTGTGATTGAATGGGAAGAACTTAATCACACCACCAATAAGACGTACATGACGCTCAAGATGCCTACAGTCTACAAGCTAAAGAAGGCCGACTTCTTCATCTCTGCGCAGTTTCCAACTGATTATAACATTCGTGAACCGGTTATGATCAACGTGGACGAGATCTCCATGTTCCCTTTACGTCGAGAGGCATTACAGTGGTGTTCCATGCATTTGGAAGGCAATATGTACTTTGAGCACCTGAAACAACTGTACCTTCATATGATTCCGGACAAGGAGTCGTTCACAATCGCCGATGACGATTTAATTCTTCAAGGCTTTACGTGGGATCAATGGCGGTCACTGTTGACTGAAAAGGAGTCAACCATGCAAGTGCCGTTGTATGTGCTCCACAACTGCGAAAAGGTGCTAAGAAGCTTTCACAGTTTCTGGGGCAATCTGAAGCGAGATATGAGTACGAAGCAAATTTACGATCCTGCTACGCTCTACATCGGTATCTTCGGAGCCATCCTTGCTACCACGCAAATGTTTTCCATGATCATCGCTATCATTCAAGTTTTGCAAGCTAGCAATATTATCCATCCCGTGTCTCCTGCCGCAGCCTCATAATGGGGATCGAATTATATAAAAAAAATTCTTGAGGAAAATAAAATAATGAATCCTTAATCAGTCAAGCGACAACCACATTTATCCATAAGCACTGTGACATGGATCACATGTAACCAAGAATGTTTGATTTGCTCGGCATAAAACCAAGTAGGATAGAGAGTATCTGTTTGCGTTCGTCCGTGGAAACTTCAACCCATCATATTGTATCTCCTTGGAAAATTTTTCATACCGGGCCGTATGATGGTTTGAAAGCGAACCATTGGGTTGTTGATGGTCAGGGTGTAATAATGTAAACATGTGCTCATCATGAAGGGGGGTCGACATGTTTATGCATCCAGCTTGCTAATTAGTCAAAGTACCTGCAACGGGGATCGACATATTCAGATCGAAATAATAACATTGGTAACTACACTATAATTTGAAGACCGGTGCGACATTTGCGGCGTTGATGTTAGGTTACGCGCAAATGGCCTTTAGTCTCAGAGCCATTACGGTACCCGCTTTCGCTCTTTCAAACAAACAATTTCTTTCAATGTTTTGTTGCTTGGTCATGATGACCCAGCTGCTATACTTTTACGCTTTTAGCCTCAAAGAATAGTTCCTTTGTATATCGAACCTAACCTCTTTGGTCTAAATAAATGCGAAAGTAGTAACCCCACCCCCCCAAAAAAAAAACGGCGATAGGCTTAATGCTTGCATCAAGCCAGCTTTTGTGGACGGTATGACAAATGATATATGGCTGTACGAGATAAATTGTGCTGAGCGGGACAGAAACAATGACTGAGGATAGTGCTTTATTGACCAATTTAACGTGCATGGAAGATAGGCTCCTCTTATCGACCGACCAGAAATCGGGTAACTTCGTTCTGTAGAACTTGAAAGCTATAAGTACACCAGTTTACCTTTCCTTTTGAGCTCTAGCGGAGAAATCTCAAGATTTTTTTTTTTTTTTTGGACATGCGCTTAACCGTACTAATGCTTTTCGGCTTGTGTCTTGAAGTGACGGTTGCCAGCAAGAAGTTAGACTTTCACAACAAGTGCAAACAAACCGTTACGGCTGGTTTGCTTGGCAGTAGTACCCACGGCGTCCAACTCTACAACCTCCAGCATGATCAGTCTCACACTTTGGTGCTCCCTAACAACTGGTCAGGCAGGGCTTGGGGTCGTTACCAGTGTTACGACACCAAACAACGCTCTAACGCAACTCAGTGTGGAGCGCCAGGAACACCTAACCCGGCAAGTTTGGCCGAGTTTGCGTTCGGAGCCTATGCAGGGTTAGACTTTTATGATTTGTCAATGGTCGACGGCTATAATTTGCCGATAAAAATTACCCCCATAGGCGCGAAGCAAGGATCTAACAAATACGACTGCGGATCTCCTATCTGTTCGAATCTACCTCAGTGTCCTAGCTCACTTACTGTCAAAGGTTCAGATGGCAAACTACTTGGATGTCAGAGCGACTGTTCCAAGTATGGCGGTGATAAATTTTGCTGCGGTGGTAAATATGGAGCAAAAAATTGTGGGGGGCCATATGCACCAATGATCAAGAAGAAATGCCCAACGGCGTATAGTAAGTCGACAATTGTCCATAGAACAAAATATTTTCATGGAAGGGGACCGAAAAAAAAATGCTAATTCATTCGATTTTATTCTATGCTACTTTTCACTTCGTTGGGGGGGGTACAGGTTTTGCTTCAGACGACCCAACAAGCACCTTTACATGCAAGACCAGTCACGGGTATACAATCACCTTCTGTCCATGATAAAACGGCTCTCATTATTAAAAAATGGAATGAATAATAGATTACATGCAAAGTGTGAAACGGAGATGAGAAACTCATTAGAATGGTCGGGATGAAGCGGGATGTTAAAAAATGAGAAAAAACGTTATTCGACAAATTCGAGCTCTTTTATCCGATCCTTTGCATAGATGTCCTTGTAACGATCATAGAGATCCTGTTTGATTGAAGGGTTCAGATGTTTGACGGATGGGTTGGTTGTTTCATGTGGGGCGTGTCAGCTTACCTGCACGGCATGCATGTACGAGTCATGTAGTTCTTTTATAATCTCATCCTTTGACTGTCCTTCTTTGACGCTAGGTACGGAGATGGGCTTTCCGACTAAGTTGGGGGGGGGGGAGAATGGTCAGTATGGCGAGCAGCAAAACGTGTTGTTGAGCAAAAAATCGTTATCCTACCAATCGTGTAGATAGGATGGCGGTGGGGGAGCAAGCCAAAGTCATCTAAAACACCACAAATATGTGCATTGCATGGAATGGGAACGAAAGACATGTTAGGCCGCCGCATATCACAATGCAAAAAGGATGCCAATAACTTACAATTAAATACACCACGGCCATGAAAGAGCGGCATAGTAAAACCAAGGGCATGCTGGATCTTCTTTTGCCATCTATGCAACCTCGAGTTTCCATCACTTTCAACCTGTTCGTACAACTCGTTTTCACCAAAACTGATAGTGGGCACTAGACTTGCACCGGTTTGAACAGCAATCTTGATAAAACCAAAGCGTCTCTTCAGCACAAGGTCCATTACTCCGGGTTTCGCATTCAGGGACTCGGAAGCACCTCCCACAACGATGGCAATGGAACGGCCCGGACCACCTTTTGTTAAAATATTTTGACAGGATGTTTTTGAGACGGAGCAAAGTCCGCACGCCATCAAATAATCACGGTAAATTGGAATATTAAAATTAGATGTTAATGTCAAAAGCGAAGGCTGGATGCCTGGGAACAAATCATCGAAGCCCGTAGCATTGGTACTAAAAGTACAGAATGAACCCATGGATATAATCCCATGGGGATGATAACTAAAAGAGATGAGGAAAGAACCCAGTTAATCACCCGTACACCAAAGCATGCGTGAGGTTTTCTTGCCATGTACCCAAAGATATAGTTCTTGGATGGATCTAAATCAGCTTCCTATTGTTTTTGTTTTATGAACAGATGGTTAGGTTTTCCCCTCCTTATTTGTTATGTACACGGGGGGTGGGTTGAGTTTACCTTGACGATATGTGCGGGAAAATACCCTGCGAACAGCTTCCACCACGCAGCATTGCGTAGCCAGCGTATAGGTCTTCCACCATTCTCTGGAGCCTTATCCCACACCAAGATCCAGGTCAAATAAAGGATAATGGGGAGCCAAAGGAGGACAGGAATGGAGCATAAAAAGAAGAATATGAACATGCATATTGGCATCATAGAACACCATAGTAAAACCGCCAATGTTTGTAATCTCCGTCTCAATGGCACTCGCAATGGAGCATAGCGAGGGGAGGGGATAGCTTCCAGCGTGTGCTTGACTTTCTGCTGCAATTGCTGATCCTTGGTGGGCATGGCTGGCTTGCTTGCTGACTGAAAGTGTGACTTTGCAAGGACGGCAAAACTGCAGTGGTCGCGAGGCAAATTTTTGGGGGGAAATTTTTTTACTTTTTGCGGCCGGCAAAAACTTCAGGATGTTCTCTTGGCCAAGCAAAAATCATGCAAGGAACACGAAGGAACTCGTTAGTTCGTATATTGCTTGGTGTGAAGTCATAATGGCTAATGAGATTAGTTTACCTGCTACCACCATGGTTCCTCGTAAGCCAAACCATGACAAAGAAAGCAACTTCGCTCTTCTCGATTTAAGCTACTTGCGGATAGCCAGGGCCTCTCTTGGCGATTGGTGCTCCCCCCCCAACCATCGTTATGCCCGCCACTCCGGTGACCTGCGCCTGGACTAGGCAATGGGGGGTGACTCAAGATGGGCGTTTATTGAAATGTTCAGTCACAGAATCAGGATTTGTGCAATAATTCCCACTCATTGGTGAGAATTGTCGATTTTTCGCAACATGGGATTTTTTTCAAAAGTCTCCTGGTTCCCTGGGCTTATGCAGAAAATTCTCTATAAAGGCTTGGCCACACTTTTTTTTCTTCCCATTTCTTCTGCTTCTTCCGCTTTCTCACTGTGTCCGAGTTCACTTACCCAACGCTCGCACTTTCATCCACACTGGACTACTTTTCTTGTATTAGAACTACTTCGCATCTCCAAACTTCGTCTATGGAGAGTGTTTGTAAGCAAACCGTCTTATCAACCGATGCCAACGTCGAGGAAACCACCATGGCTTTCAATAGCTTAAACATCACACCAGAAGAAGAAAACCCTGGAATGACACCCGATACGGAGTCACCAGAGTCGTTACCGCCCACTCCACCAGGCTCGCCTTCTTACGCTACGCCCATTTATTCCGCTCTGCTCCGTCGTCGTATCGACTCGCTAAGAGACGTGCCTGAGCTGATTCACCCACCTATTCGCCTACCCAAAGCCTTCTCTTTGGTACCCAACACAGAATGTTTGCGAGTTTTACTGGTGGATGACAACGATGTCAATCTACGCATCCTAGAACGACTGTTGAAGAAACACCTCAGTCATATCATTCACACCGTGCATGTCGCTCAAGGAGCCGACCAAGCACTGCAACTATTGTCCACAATCAAGTTTGACTTGGTGATGATGGATATTGAAATGCCTGGTATGAGTGGAGTGGAAGCTGCTGCTCGGATAAGAGCTGGTATGGCCGGTGAGCGACACCGGCTCATTCCGATAGTGGCCGTTACCACCAAATATTCTCCTTACTGGCGAAGCTTGTATTTAGAGAATGGCATGGTAAGTTTCTCAAAACTTTTAGAAGGGACAACCCATGCAATAGCCTCTAACCCACTACTTTTTATTTAGAATGGCTGCATCTCCAAACCCATCGTATTGGATACCTTGCTCGATACTGTGAATGACATTCTATGTCGAGACAGCATTGAGTCTTTACTCTCTCCCACGTTATCCGACGTTGCGCCGCTGGTCACCACATAAGCCATCCAAAGAACAGGAAAAAAAAACCAAACCAAACCAAAACAAAATAGAAAGAATTGTGTATATACTGCCATCGCATCTCATCCCCAAAATCTTTTCATCAACACGACCTTGTCCCCTCCTCCTTTTCCTCCCCCCTTACTCTCCTGTAAATACCATCGTCACAATCTTTGTATAACTGTAACTCTTCAATCCTCCTGTTACCCCAACCATAATTTAACTCTATGCCATCCATGGCGGGTGCGTAGTTGAAGATACCAATACATTATTAATAAGCTATGAAATTAAATTTTTGTCAATTTACCATCACCATGTTGGGTATATACACAGGGAATGTGATTGGTTCCCCCTTGAAAATAACAATAAGTAGTCTCACCAATCACACCTATACTGTGAAATTTTTTAAAGTTGAGGCTGGCTCCATCGCGTGGGTTGCATAGCCGGACGCATAAAGATTTATGCCGCAGTGCGCGGTTTCCAGTCCGATAAGCGGAGCCAAGCATTTCCACCGAACCAAAAAAAAAACTTAAACTTGGATAAACTTAGCATTGAGAACGTCTTGGAACACATCGGCTTGCTTAATTTTCCATACCACCCTCCTATTAATAATGAAACGCTTTTTTATTAACACACGCGCGTAAAATGTGTGTGTTCGTGTGGAATTATATAAATAGTGGAGTGGAGATGCTTGTGGCCTGGCCATATATACAATTATTTACAAAGTGTATGCCAAGCTATATCTCTTACATAAGATACATGAAAGTTGGTGGTGGTTGCCTGTACATGATATGTGGGATCGCACAAAGTCCGGTCGCCCCCCCCGTCCAGGCCCGCCGCCCCTATGAGACAAAACCCGCAGCCTCCCACGGGAAGCAAGAAATCCTGGATTTCCATTACACGGCGTAACTCCAGTACTTGATAATAGGCGATAGCGTAGTATGTGAGTCTATTTGCACTTTGTAAGAGTGCGTGGTTTCCGCCGAGGTGGCTATGTTGCCACGTTGGAGGTAGCAGCGTCGGCCCAACCTGGACTTTGTCCATCCGCAGACACTGCCCGGCAAAACGTTATAGACTTGATCACTAATCTCCGTCACGGTGGAGGTGGTACACTCCAGCAACTTCATTAGGCTGGGTAAGGTGGTTTCCACGGACAGGACCCCCGTCACATTAAGGTAGTGTAGATTGGGAGACCGTTTGAGTAATGCAAGGATAGCATTCAATGATACATTTCGGCAATAGGCAATGGAGAGTTTTTCCAAATTCTGGGTGTTCTTCATAGCAGCTAAATGGTCATCGTTCAATTCCAAAGAGCCCGATATATCCAAAGTGGTCAAACAGGGTGAGAGATGGCTCATAATATGGAGCAAGCAAGTTTCACAAAATCGCGAGCCTCCAAGGTTGGGGTTCATGGCCAGGTTAAGGTATTCCAAGTCAGTGAAACGGGCCAGGACATAGGGCAATCCAGCATTGCAGCAGGTCAAGCCACGGCAATATCGCAAAGAGAGCTCTTTCAAATTGACAGGCTGAATATTCCAGAGAGTGGCTGTCGTTATTTTGGTATGGGAAAGGTCGATATGAGTTAAAGTAGGTAGGCGGGACAATAGAGGGGAGAGTACCAGCGACTCGGATAAAGATGAGCACATATGCAATGACAGACTTTCAAGGTCAGGCAAAGCAACTACAGGCCGAATTTCAATATCGCTGTCCAATGATGATGGTATGCAGTCCAATGAATTCCTTCTGGACAAGCCAGAGCATACTGATGCGTTGGAGTCGTCCTCAGCGACAAGGTCTGTGGGTAGGGCTTGGTTGAAGGCACGTGGTTCAGAGGAAAAATTTTCGGCCACGGGTTCTAAATTTCCCATCGTGAGCGAAAAGGACTGAGCAAAAGATGGGTTGGAGCACGCCATCATATCGACACCGCGTAAGAGAGGACGAGAAAAAATGGCATTTAAGACTGCATCGTTAATAACATTCCCTAGACCATCGCCCAATAGAACTTGTTCTAAACGACTGCATGAACGAATCATCATAGACAATGATTCTGCATGAACCACAGTCATGGCTTTAGCATCCGTCCATCCACTGCCCATGGTGGTATAAGCAGATAAATCCAAACACTTGACAAGCGACATGTTGTACAATTGTTGCATCAACCGAGTGTAGCGCTGAGGGCTCGATACACTGACGGTATGAAACAGCTTGGGTGTGAGATGGGCATAGTATGTATGACATACCAATCTGCCACGAGTGATGGAATGGCTTGAATTATTAGAATCAAGCAAATAAAGGTGATCAAGGACGAGTAATTGTAATTCGACTGGGAGCATGCGATGAGAAGAAAAGAGAGAGAGACAGAGAGTGTGTTGGCGAGAGAAATTTTCAGAAATATAAGTCAAGAGACGAATGTTTCTCACGATGACTGTATCTTATCGTTTTACAATACAGATGTGTATATTGTAACATGTATCTGATCATTACCATTTTGGAACTAATCTCCAGCGTGACCAAAAGCGTTCGAACAAACATTCGCAATAATAATGTAAGCTGGAATCGATATTTGCAAAAGAGTTGCATCTTACAGTGGAGAAGGGGGCCTAAGGTCTCTGAAACTGATGCAGAACCTATCCCTGGAAACCACTGAAACCAAAGCCGCTGTTAATTGTCCAAGCTGAGCCAAATCTCCCATCTTGGGAGAGGTGAGCGAGAGCCCGCTCAAAATGGCCACATGCATCCATGACTGGTCGTATAGCCAACATCTCCAAACTATCTTGCTACCAGCATCCACACCAAAAACGTGCAGATTGTAATTTCTTCATCATGGCCGAATCAATAGAAGTATTCCACGCATGATGTTTGTTATGTATCCCTGTTTTAATATACTAGGAGTTTTAGCTGTTTTGTAGCGCAGTAAAATCCCTAGCGTGTGAGTGAGTGGAGCAGGGTGAATGGGGGAATCATGTGTCCTTCACTACAGACGCTATTGGCATTGACGTGGGGCACCATTGGAAATAGCCGTCTCAAAAAAAAAGAAAAAACTCCGCACGTCTGGCAGAGTTTGTAGGCTGCCAGCCTCGATCTTCTACCTCACTTCGCCTTGCCTTGCTTCGACTCGCCTTTATGACCCCAGAAGAGGTAGTCCTGCAGCTTAAGAAGAAGGGTACTTTTGACGAGCTCCGAAAGCAAGCTCTTCAAGAGTTCCAAGCCAACGTAATTTACTTGCAAGTCATGCAGCCATTTTTACATCAGCTAATCAAAAAACGGATCCACCTTCTAGGAATCCGGCCAAACCTTTATCAATGACCTTCAAGAAATCATGCAAAAATTAGAAACTGAGGATCCATCCCTGTTTACCAAAGACAAGTCTCACGTTCATAACATTGTTTTAGATCGTTTGGAAAAGTAAGTTCTCAGCCTCACAAATCTTGCGTTAATCGCCGTTCGTCTGACTTCTCTGTAGCCATGCAGTGTACAATGATGCTCGACAAAAGATGCTGGACCATTACCTACATTCAGAGGCCGTCTCAACTAGAATAGACAAGGAAATACGAGCCATTGTACCCGATGAGACCGTCACCCACTCCCCTAGAGACGTGTCTCCTACTCCCAGACAGCGAGAGAGGTCGTCATCAAAAGAATCAGGCGAAGCCGACGACTAAACGCAATAGCTTCTCATCACTATGTATAGTGATGCATACCCCCAGAAGTATCTTATCCTATCTGCTGGACAGATTCAATAATGCACACAAAAAAGATAATAAACAAAAAGTATATTTTTATGCAAAACAGTATTGTAAACACCTTTTTTCGAGGCATTATCATAAAGATTTTGGGTTTTATTTTTTATTTTTTACATACATATCTGGCATGGCGAGATGCTACAAATTTACAGAGAGCGGTCAACCTTGACAACTTGCTTGCCAAAGTTGTTGCCCTTGAGGACATCGAAGAGGGCTTGAGGAGTGGTTTCAATGCCTTCGGAAATGGTCTCACGGTACTGGAACTTGCCTTCCTTGAGCAAGGCAATGACCTTGGTAAGGAACTCGGGTTCCAAATCATTATGATCGCTGACGATGAAGCCTTGGAATCGGAGTCGTCTGCCGACGATCAAAATCAAGTTCTTGACACCGTATTGCTCTTGAGTGTTGTATTGACTGATCATACCGCAAGCAACAATGCGACCAAAGGTGTTCATGTGGCTGATGACGGTTTCCAGAGTCTCACCACCAACGTTCTCGAAGTACACATCGATACCCTTGGGACAGGTTCTGGTAAGGGCTTCGTTCATGTTTTCAGTCTTGTAGTTGAAAGCGTCATCGAAACCAATGGACTTGAGGTATTCAACCTTTTCATCAGAACCGGCGGTACCAACAACGTGAAGACCGAAATCCTTGCCAAGCTGACCAACAAGTTGACCGACTGCACCAGAGGCAGCACTGATGAACAAAGTCTCACCCTTCTTGGGCTGGCCGATAGCAAAAAGACTAAGAAGGCATCGGTGTTAATAATTACGTTACACTGAGATCAGAACTTGTCAAGTAGAACTTACCCTGCATAAGCGGTCAAACCAGGCATACCCAAAACACCAACAAAGTAGGAAACAGGGAGTCCAGAATCACGGGCTTCGTTGCGAACGACGAATCGGCCAGCCTCAGCGGCGCGGACATGGGTATATTCTTGGAATGGACCGTTGCCATACACATAATCGCCTTGCTTGAACTTGGCGTTGTTGGACTTGATCACCTCAGCAACTACGTGGCCGTTCATGGGCTCACCAACAAGGAAAGGAGGGCTGTAAGACTTGGTTTCGGGAGATCTCATACGTCCACGCATATAGGGATCAACGGAAAGGACGAGAGTCTTAACGATGAAATCGCCTTCAGCCAAGGGAGCATCGAGGTCGACGGTTGACTTGGCAACTGTCATATGCTCGCCGGGCTGAGGGAAGGTGGTGGGAATTTTGTTGAAGATAACCTGAGTGTTGCTGGTCATGGTGTGAAATATGTGGGGACTATGAAGAGCCATCGGCTGCTCTTATATACGGTGATTGCATCATACCGTGTTTCGGACCCTCAAGTTTCAATTAATAATTCTCTGTTAACAGAAGATATCTTGGCCGTGAGCTTTGTTTACGAGCTTAACTCTTCACGACATCACACGAGCTGTGTTAAAGAGGTGCACAGAATCGAGCCTGTAATCCATTACTTCCCTCCACCTTAAACTGAGGTGATATTATAGTCAAACAATATAGAATAACCCGCTTGCAGGCCTTACTAAACGATAGTTCTGGAAAGATTTGGAAAAAATAAAAAACCTGTCCAGCGATATGGCATTAGTGATGGGTTTTGTCAAAAAGTCCGCTCATTATGACATTTTCAAAGTCAACCTCGATTTCCCAGCCATTTATCCTTTAGTTAACACACAAGAGCTACGATGGCCCATTCTATTGAAATTTGAAGAGATAAATAGTGGTTCATGATCTTTTTGAAATCTAGTATGCTGTTCGTTACGGCTTTTGTATGGTGTTGTGAAAGATACTACGCATAATAATGGGGTTTTTTCATCTTCGATCCCTACCAACGTGACTGTCTATGGCACTGCTGGTCAGTTACCTACCATTGCTTCGTCAGCAAGGAAAGTGCATCGTCTGTGGATATAGCCAAATATTATGTTACAGTACACGTAATGGTTAGATCGACGCCAGCCTTACCAGATATGTCATCATGAAACCATTTCTAGCCCTCTATGATCTCGCTTTTGTCTGCCGTGAAGTCAGTCGGCATTCGTGTGGATGAGCTTCACAATAAAGCCTGTCAAATGCAAGAACCTTTTCGGCCACTGATGTTCGTGGAGTCTAAATGTATTGACTTGGTAACGGGAATTCGGGGCTCGGGCCGAAGAAATTCCCAAGTATATCAGCCTATGGTATTGGGTCTGAAGGCAGAAAGGAGGTTGAAAATCAAAAATACTTTTACCAACTTGGTGTAATACCGAAATAAAAAACAGGATTGGCACCACAACAGGTCAATCATTATGTCCAAAAAGACAATATTTTATTCTTGGTGCTCGCTACTTCTTTGACTCTTTTAATGCTAAGTGGGTTAGGAAGTGGTGTGCTATACAATGCGGTGAGGGAAAAAAGAGTTTGCGTCGTGCTGGTCAAAGTTGCTATTATTGTTGAGGGCAACCGACGGCGGCGGCAGCAGGTTTTGAGACCCGCTCAATATCTTCATAATTGTTCATATCAGTGCGATGCACTTGTCGACTTTTATCTTCCTGGCTACGGAGAGCTTCAAAGTTGACGTCCAAAAGACTGCAATCATCTACCACCATATCCTTTTCCTGAGTCACTTCTTCGCTTGGACCGGGCAATAAGCCTCGAATGGCATCAATGTTACCAGCACTGGTCCACATATCGGCAGGAAAGTCAACCAGGAATTGAATGTACATGTTGCCCTTGTCTTCTGTTCTGCGATATGTTGGCATACCCTCGTTCATGATGGTCTTGAACGATCCAGGTTGGATCACTGATCCTGCAGTATGTTTAACTCGAATTCCGCGACCATCCATGTGCTTGAATAGGATTTTGTCAAATCCACATAGCGCTTCTTGAAGGGTGATATGAATTTTGGTGTAAAGATTCTTTCCACGAACCTCAAATCTATCATGAGATTCCAACTTCAAGATAAATATGACATCACCGGGTATAACTCCTGGCTGTTGAAGAGAGAAATTTGTTAAATACATTGAAGGGGAAACGAAGTTCAATGATGAGCGCTTCCGCTACATACCTCTTGATCACTCTCTTGACCAAATAATAATTTTTGTCCATTCTTAGCACCTTTCTCTACGTGAACTTCTAGGACCTTTCGTTCGTTTACGATGCCTTTGCCCTTACAGACTTTGCAGCCATTGTTTCGGTAATCGCCAGATCCATTGCATTTCTTGCAAACACTGCGTACTTGCCGGACCGTGTTATAGCCTCGAGAATTATAGGTCAAGTAGCCAGTTCCATGGCAATGTTTACACGTTGCTGTCTTGAGACTTTCAGTTGGAGCGCAGCCAACACACAGAACCGACCTGTTCAGGTTGATCTGCTTAGTAGCTCCCATATAGAGATCCTCAAGAGTGACCGAGAGTTCGTGGACTATATCATCACCTCGTTCTTTTTTGCGGCGCCCTGAACATGACGGGTTAGTAAAAAGTGCGAAGCAGTAATACCAGATGAATTGGTTTTTCTCTTTTATAACATCACCACCACTTACGTTTGTTACCAACGTCGACATGTACTTCTTCGTATCCAAAGTGAAAACTACTTCCCATCCCGTGAAACAAATCATTAAAAAGCTCCTCTGCGTTCACATGGGCTCTTCCAGAGTGATTGTCATACGCAGCGTCATCTACACCAGCAGCATCGTATTTCTCCCGTTTTTCAGGATCCGACAGGATGGCGTAGGCATGGGATATCTCCTTGAACTTGTCACCAGCGTTAGGGTTCTTATCAGGATGATACTTGATGGCCTGCAAGAGTAATTCTAATGAGTGATATCTTGTTTAATTAATTGTCTACTTCTAGCTACTTACAAGCTTTCGATATGCCTTTTTTGTTTATAGTGGAAAATAAGGTAGGCAATAGCAAGGAGGGAATGTCAGGAATTGAGCTTTAAGGTTGTGAAAAAGCACTTTGCAAGTATATCAACTTACCTTCTTTATTTCAAGCTCTGAAGAGCTTTCTTTCACGCCGAGGGTGTCGTAAAGTTTAGTGTCTCTGACCATTCACTAATGGAATTCAGAATTTTGGAACAAGAAGTATAAGAAGGCGCAGGGCAAATAGAAGTGGATGGAAAAAATAATGTTGATTTGAATCACCGACCGCGTTTGGCTGGTTCTTAGAAAAATCTGCAAAAATTGCCTATGTTATTTTTTTTTTCCCTATCATGGCGGCTCCTGAATAACTATGGGCATTTCGACTCTTTTTGCCTCGGTCCAGATCATTTGGCGTCTTGAATTTCCCTTTATTTTTCAAGTCAGCCATAGAATAACATAGAAAGTGGTAACAGTTGTGCTGAAAGAAGCAACTTTTTGTCTCCTCTCTATCCAACGCTTGCCATCGCGTAGCCCATCTCAGTATCAAAAATATGGATCCTTTTGTGCTACACAATATGAAAGATGGGAAAAAAAGATCGACAAAATGGAATCCATTCCATTGTCTTCTCTTGGGATCTACTAATAATCACGTAATTTGATTGTATGAAGTTACAGGTAAAATAGTGAGCAGTACCTACGTACGTTTGACTAGGCCGGCCGATCTGTGCGCCGCTGGCTGATTCGCTCGTTATGACCTACGGAGGAGACAACGGAGTCGATAGATGGCCATGGAAGGTATTTCACACCAAAATACCAAGGTCATATATCAACTACCATCTCAATGTTCTTCTGGCAACGCTCTTTATCTTCAATAATAAATCCCTTCCTCATTTTATTTCCACCAATGGGATTTTCCTACACCTAATAATTTTTCCTTGTCGAAGGAAGCTTGTACCTCTTCAAATGACCAAATCTGACTAACTCGATCATCGTCACGTTCATTAATGATGACTTCCACACCTTCGTCTGAGGCTTTGTCGGCAACATCTAGTACAAGGTGGGGTTTCGCCTGGCAATATATTCTACCTTCATCAAAAGCGAAAAGTTGATTATGTGCCTCCTCCTTCTCTTTGCGATTGTATTGTATGATCTTGGCGGTATCGAGATCATTAGGACTGAGAGCTACATTGAGAAAAAAAATATAGGAGCATTAAGGATATGTCATCATTCAAAGAAATAACGTGGTCCCCTTTGAAGGCTATGAAATCACTTAGTCAACTTACAGCCTCGAATGTCCAATACAAGTCTAGAATTGACATTGACTACAAATCCCTCATGATACAGCCACAGCTGGTTTTGAGTTTGTATTCCATCCTTCTTTTGTGACCAAAGAACAATTTGCGTATCTGCTTTCTTTGACCCCCCACGAACATCAAGCACCTATGGAGCAGTAACAGGATGGGTAAGCTGGGTGCTTGGCGGAGACTGAAAAACGTCATTCCCGCTTACCTTGTGTGATAGCACTGACCGTATGTAAAAGAGGCCGTTTGGAAAGTCTGCGACCTCGGTATCTTTTGCTACGACATCATGAGTTTCTTCCTCTTCCCTGTAGTCTATGTCTACTTTGCTTTCGGGACGTTGTCCAAGGCTGAAGTCGGGTAATTGTGCGCGGGTGGGATCAGCCCACGGGTCGAACATGTCGAGGTCTTGTGAAATGTGCTCCAAGGGTGGTGAGTCTGGCTTCCTTTGCAATACGTTGATTTCCGCGGCCGTGGCAGTAGGTGCCCACGGATTGTCGTCCAAGCCTCCAGTGAAATCCATGTGGAATGCCAAGCTACGAACCCGGCCTCTTGCGACGCTGCTTTCAGCCCCCCCCCCACATTCGTCGCAGTCACAGTCTGTGCGGATGTTTTGGTTGCTGCAAATGTTGAAAGCACAGCATCGATAGCACTTCTTCTGGTGGATCTTTCCCATCTATCATTCATGAAAGATATAGTGTCTTGTTTCATTTTTCATAGAGTTTTGGCAAGGAACTCATCCTTTACTAATTTTCACTCTTTACATAAAAGTGTTGAAGCATATAGCACACATTATTGATGCGAACTACTGACTTTCGTAGTGGTTGTTGCTCAAACCAGATACCAAAACATCAACCCGGCCGGATTATTAACGCATTTTATTTACGTGTTGTGTGAAAATTCATGAGGCATTTTATATTTGTTTTTGTACAATACAGTACACATCAGGTAAATATCAGGATAGATTTCTTCACCAAGTTTGTTGCTACTGCAACACTTTCTATCAACATTTAAACACTCTATAACTATCCTGATGAAATTCTTTACTGAAGTGGCTGGATGGTGGTGCTCGATGGAGAATCGCGGGACATGGTATGCAATATCATTGTTTGTGGCCAAGTATCAAATGGATTGCGTATAGGGCATATGTTCTCTGTTGAATATTGTTCATTCATAGACCAGTCTTGATACGCACTCTGAAACTTCTTGAGATATCGTCCATTCCAAAATTCGCTCACATGGTACGGTATGCGGAGGTCCTGTCGCAGACCAATACCTTTCAGATTTGGGAACAAGGAGAAGTAGGAGATCCATTCGTCAGGAGAAAGATCTTGTTCCAAGGATACAATGAACCCAAGGTACTCGACGTTAGGAAAGGCTTCAGGCAATTTGTAGAGAATATCTTTTGTCACCACCGCATTAACAATGTCAAACGATCGAATTCTTGGCCATGGACTAGAGGTTAACAGCTCCCATAATCCTTCAATGGGTTTAAAGGCACTTGGGATGTATGTGTGACCTTCCCATTTATTTGACAAATGCTCAAGGCGTTGACGATAGAGGTCAGCAATGACATTAATAAGACTTGGGCCGGGAGCCAGTGTCGTTTGCAAGCTACGCAGATTTACGCATGGAGCCAGGAGTGCTTTTGTCAAAGGTCTTCCAGAGCCTTCATTATATCCAAGAGCCTCCAGCGTTCTACCGTTCGCGTCCAAGACTTGCTGTATGGTTGATTGGGAAATGAAAGTGTAATTGAGAAAAAGTCGCTTTAGGTTCCTGAGATTTTCAACCGCCGTCACGGTGACCTTGGCGCACAGGCAGTAGAGCTGAAGTTCAACCAGGGTGGTGGGAAACTGATACACTTCTAACGACTCTCCGGTCTGACAGTCTAAAGCAAGTCTTTTGAGCTTGGGTACGTTTTGTAAGATTTGGTTGATGCTTGCTGATGCAAATACGGACTCGATACTGAGTCGATAACGCCATATGATGGCTAGCGATTGTAAAGAGTTGGAGCAAGCTGCCACTAGCTGGCGTACCACAGTGAAACCAGACATGTCCATGACCTGAAGCTTGAGGTCTGTGAGCGATGGAAATGTCATGTGGACTGACGTTGGCCAAAATCGATAACAGAATATTGTGTTGAGGACCTGGAGGTTTTGTCGAATCTTTACGGCGTTGGTGCTTTCTAAGCACCTTGATGTCAGGAACCCACATCCGGAGAGGTTGATGTGGATTAGATGTGGGCATCTCTTTAATATCTCAGCCACCCATTTATCTCGTAGATCGTGGCTATTCCGAATGTTCAGTATTTCCAAGTTGTGGCAGTGGGTTGCTAGTCGAGTTAACTTGTATTCATCCAGGACCATGTTGGAACCATCGTATGACAGGTCCACGCATTTCACATATGCCCCATAGTTTCTGCCTGAATATTCGCTTTGTTGCCCTGGAGAGTTTCTTTTCAGTGCGGTCTGATCCATCATATCCAAGCAGGCGTTCAACGTTCGTGTATTGGCAAGGCGCAGGTTTCGATACAAGAAGTAGGCACAAGCAACATAATTCCAATTTCTGTTTATATACACGCAATTCAATATGTCACCATTGTTTAAATGGGACATGATCTTGGTCAAGAGCTCATGGGGGAAAGTGGCCAGTTGACTCATGAGATAGAACGGTGAGCTAAAGACAAAAAAATAAAAAAAGTATAACCAGAATCGGCATTATATAACCCTACGTCAGGCATGGCACTGCCCTGTTTGGGGCATCGGTGCGACCTTAAAAGCAAAGCCGCATAATGGAGATCGTCAAAGTTGCATAATAATAGTGTATCCTGGAACGCTCTGAAGTGATAATCAACAACGCATTGGGGGAGGGGAGCAGATGGCTAGTATTTGTGGTAACGAGTATTCATTTTCATAGCATACGTTGGGTAAAATCGGTGATTTGAGTGCTGATTTCTTATTTATTAAGCTTCAGCACTTTAATCTCATTCGTCTACGACAGCTTGCTTTTACCTCAGCATCAATGTACCTTGCATAGCAAATAATATAAAGAATTCTTCATGCCAGTGATATGCAACGATACGGAGCGTCATGCATTTGGAGAAAGCTTTTTCGAATTCATTCAAGTCGTGTTTAGGCGTTGATACAGAGTTTGGACATGGTGAGTAAGCTGAATAATCAAACAAAGACTGTTTTCTTGTACGACTGGCTGTAGCAAAGCAAGTTTATCAGGAGGCACTGCTGCAGTCCCTGACTGATGGAGTGACGTCCAAGTGAGCTTAGGTTTCAAAAGAGTTTCAATATGCCAAATGGATAATTTTACCTGACTGCACTATTGAAAGCAAAATACAGTATTCGACTTTGACCCTGTAACTTTTGCTATGCCAACGTCTTAATTGCTCCAATGCACCGTTCAGCCAACCATTTACCCCATGAATTGCTAATCGGCATTTTCTTGCAATTGGGTCGAAAGGACCAGTTTAACTGCATGTTCGTGAACCAGAATTGGTACCATGTCGTTTGCTCTTACATTATATACCCACATATCACACTACTACGAGAGAAAGATATGGCCAGCCTCATGACACTATTGGAACAAACAGCTCTAAATCGTCAAGATCCTAACCGCCGGAGCTTCTATTCGCGTACGGATTATGGCTCCCTTATCAGACGACTGGATTTACCATGGACTAAACACTCACAGATCCAATTGAGTACATCGAAACTGAGGCGGCTAGTAATACGATGCAAAAATATTGAGGCTATTTCCTTGAATGACCATTGGAATCTATCGGATGAGCAATTGATAGAAGTCTTCAGGCACTGCCCTAAGATAACGCATTTGAATTTAGGCGGTGCATTTTACACTACCATCAATGCTTTCCTTCGAAAAGACACCAAGCATGTATGCCATCAAATCAAATCTCTGGATGTTCGGTACACTCTGGATTTCTGGGCGTCTAACAGAGATGTATGGCTTCCATCTCTTTTGGATTTAAGAGTTGACGTGGGGAGAGAAGACGACTTCATCCGATTACAAGACATATTGTCCCACTGCAAAGATACGCTACGAACACTTGTCATCAACGTTAAGTCGACAGATCATGGACATGGGTTTGCTTATCTCAGCCATGCATTGAGAGAAATGGAGAACCTGAATAAATTGGCCATCAGCTTCATAGGACGGCCGAGAGTCACCACAACCTTTGAATTAGGAGCGCAAATGCACGATTTTGAAATATCTGGCCATTGTCCACCCGATGTCCTCAGCTCGCTTTTGTCAACGACCCACCTCAAGCGACTGGTACTTTGGAACAGTCGGATATCGAACCGTGATATCAATGCTATTGTGTACAAAAATCGAGCCACCTTAGAGACTTTTTTTCACACCGATACATCTGTGCCATCGCCTCAATTTGCTGATATCAAATCTCCTATTGACCTGTCCGTACTATCTAAACTAAAATGTGTCCTGGCCACTGTATCACATCATCCCAGTACTGGGACCTGGCTATGCGACACATATCGCCACCAACTTGAACATTTGTATATAGCATGGGATGGGGATGACGAACCATCCACCACGAATTGGTTCTCACGACTGGCAGCATCTTCCTGGCCCAAAGTGAAGTGTGTCATCCTTTCCAACAAAGTTCGATTATCAGAAGATGAGGCTTGTCGATTTCTTGACATATTCGAAGATCTAGAGTATACATATTTCCTGTTAACGGAAACAGAAAATTTGGAGGGCAAATTTTTGGACCGACTAACGCAATTGCCCTATCTCAAAGGCGCTGGTGGATTCTCGTCACAAATGCTACCTGCAGATACCTTGAGTCGCTCATTGAAGCAGCGCTTGGAGTATTTGGAGATAGCTTATGGGGAATGGGCGAAAGGATCACAACTACTGGGGAATAATGAATACCCTATACAGAGCTCTTTCTATTCTTTGCCAGGAAATTTAAACTGAATGTAGCTGTTCGCAAAGTAACGCATATAGGCATTTTTGAGAGGAGGCTGAGTGTCACGCCAGCTGTTCATGATACCCAATAGATCTTAACATCAGTCTATGACTATGGAGTCAATATGTACAGACGGTGTCTTAAACAATAAAAGGCAGTTCTTTTGTCCCCATGTCAAAATTCTTACTTCGACGGATTGTGTGCCATGTAAATCATTTTTATTGGACGTCTTCTTTTTTCATCTACACTTATTTCATTGCCAGTGCTAAAATGTCCTCTGCTAAACCCCTTTCTGTTCATTTTTGTTTCCTTCAAATTCTCTCAGCCATCTAACGTCTTGTCAATGCAGATGCAACAGTTTCGTTCAAGTACATATTGCAAATTGGCAATGAATATCTGATACATTACCCTTCCATTATTTGACAGACAAATTTTATAATAAATGTAATTGCTCTCCAAAGTTCCGAGTGTTAAGTATTATGCAAGGTCAACCCATTCAATTATGTACATGTTGTACCATTGTATGATTATGACAACTACCCCACAAATTATGCTTTCTAAAATACAATATATACAATTTTCCAAGATGATTGCCATCAATGTTGCTCTTTCTAGCATTCTTCAGTTAATTTAGCGGTAAATAGCCAAGTGCGGTTGTTACGCGCAAATTTGAAAGTAGTTTTGAACTCTAGGCAACCATGGCTGTAGCCACGCAAACAACACGATAACTGTAGATATTGGACTGCGGCACTATTGCCTTGCAAATTGTGAATCATGGTGCTGCTTTATTTAGCCCTTATAGCGATGTTTTCCAATTTCATCCATTAGCCATGGAGTGAGTCATCAGCGATTCACAGTGGCGGGATTTAAAAAGACTAGAGGATATTTTTTGCGCTGCCTTCCCCTTTTTATTTTTTTTAGGCTTTTCAAACACAACTCTTTTCATAAAAGCAAATCATGTCAACTTCAGACAATGGATGGCCCACATCGCGTGTGAGAGCCACATTCATCGAATTCTTCGAGAAGAAGGGTCACACGTTTTTCTCTTCATCTTCAACCATTCCCCATGATGATCCCACCCTTCTCTTTGCTAATGCTGGTATGAACCAGGTATGAACTGCCAATACTCACATTTGCATTCTCGAGTAATCCGATCTAACTCGTCTTTGTCTTTTCAGTATAAGCCAATTTTCCTCGGAATTGCTGATGACAACACTGATCTTGGCAAATTGACTCGTGCTGTCAACAGCCAAAAGTGTATTCGTGCTGGTAAGTCTTTGTTGAGTGACGGCCTTGAACGGGCTAATGTGGCTTAACTAAAAGACGTGATATTCGATCGACATAGGTGGAAAGCATAACGATTTGGATGATGTCGGTATGGACACTTACCATCACACCTTTTTCGAGATGTTGGGTAATTGGTCCTTTGGCGACTACTTCAAGGCTGAAGCCATTGCTTACGCTTGGGAACTTTTGACCGAAGTTTATGGCTTGGAGAAGGACCGTCTCTACGTTACTTACTTTGGTGGTGATGAAAAGCAAAAGCTCCCTGCTGATCTCGAAGCCAAGCAACTTTGGCGCGATATTGGTGTTGCTGAGGATCATCTTTTGCCTGGCGATTTGAAGGATAACTTTTGGGGTACGTCATTATGAAAAGGAATGGGCAACTAAGTGGGAGAAAAAAAAATTAAAAAAACCTTTTGTTTTAGAAATGGGTGAGACTGGTCCTTGCGGTCCTTGCTCTGAAATCCATTACGATCGCATTGGTGGACGTAACGCTGCCGATCTCGTCAACCAAGATGATCCCAACGTTCTTGAAATTTGGAACCTTGTGTTCATGCAGTTTAACCGTGAAGTTGGTGGAAGCTTGCGACCACTTCCCAGCAAGCACATTGATACTGGAATGGGTCTTGAACGTCTGGTTTCCATCCTCCAAAACAAAATGTCCAACTATGATACTGATGTCTTCACTCCTCTCTTCGACACTATTCAAGAAATGACCAGTGCTCGTCCCTATGCTGGAAAACTTGGAAAGGAAGATACCGATGGTATTGATACCGCTTATCGCGTTGTTGCTGATCACATTAGAACCCTCACCTTTGCCATCACTGATGGTGGTGTCCCCAGCAACGAGGGCCGTGGCTATGTCTTGCGTCGCATTTTGAGACGTGGTGCTCGTTATGTCCGCAAGTACTTCAACGTTCCCATCGGTGCTTTCTTTTCTGGTCTTGTTGGCACCTTGGTTGCCCAAATGGTATGTGCCTTCGATCATCGGCTCAACAAGGCTATATATGTATTCACTCTTTTCTTTTTATTGACTGTCATTACCATAGAGCGATGCATTCCCAGAATTGAAGAACAAGATCAACGAAGTCATCGAAATCCTCAACGAAGAAGAGGAATCTTTCTCTCGTACTCTTGATCGTGGCGAGAAGATGTTCGATTCCTTCTTGAACAAGACTCTCAAGGAAGGTAGCAAGACCCTTTCAGGTGACGATGTCTGGCGTCTTTATGACACCTATGGTTTCCCCGTCGATTTGACTCGCATTATGGCCGAGGAAAATGGCGTGACTGTCGATGAGAAGCAATTCGAAGCTGCTCAAGAAGCTGCTCGTAACTTGTCTCGTAATGCTAGAGGTGGAAAGGGTGGCCAGGAAGCTGTCGCCTTGGACGTTCATGATTTGGGCGCCTTGGAGAAGAACGATGCTGTTCCTAAGACGGATGACTCTGCCAAATACCGTACGTACATTGATTACAGATGGAATGAACCTCTATATATTTGAATACTAATTGACCGTGTTTCCATTTCTTTCCATTTCTTGTCTCTCCATCAGTCAATGGCAACCTTCAAGCCACCGTCAAGGCTGTCTATTTCCAGCACGAATTCCCTGCTACCACTGAGAACATTCCCACTGAAGCCTCTTTTGGTATCTTGCTTGACAAGACCAACTTCTATTCCGAACAGGGTGGTCAGGAATACGATATTGGTAACATCATGACTTTGGATGGTGAAAACGAATTTGTTGTCGAAAACTGTCAGTCCTTTGGTGGATACGTTTTGCACATTGGTTTCATGAAGTATGGTAAACTTAATGTTAACGACACAGTTGAAGTTTCATACGATCAGGTAAGCATTAGCTTCTATGGTGATAAACCGTGATCTCTTGTTAACATGACCGCAATTACAGCTTCGTCGCTGGCCCTTGAGAAACAACCACACTTCTACCCATATTCTCAACTATGCTCTTCGTGAAGTTGTTGGTGAACACTGCGACCAGAAGGGATCTTTGGTTACCCCCGAGAAGCTCCGATTTGACTTTTCCAACAAGGGAGGCTTGACTATTGAACAATTGAAGAAGATGGAGGAAATCTGCAGTGACTTCATCAAGAAGAACCTCAAGGTCTACTCTACCCCTGTTCCTCTTCCAGTTGCCAAGGCCATCCACGGTCTGAGAGCCGTTTTCGGTGAAACTTACCCCGACCCTGTCCGTGTCGTTTCTATTGGATTCGATGTCGATGAAATCGTGAAGGATGTTTCCAACCCTCAATGGAAGACCTCTTCTATTGAATTCTGCGGTGGTACTCACGTTGCTAAGACTGGTGATATCAAGCAATTTGCCATCATTGAAGAGAGTGGTATTGCTAAGGGTATCCGTCGTATTGTCGCTGTCACTGGTGATGAGGCTGTCCAAGCTCACCGTGTTGCTGCCGAATACAAGAAGAAGATGGATAGCTTGGAAAGATTGCAAGGCGATAAGCTCGAAACCGAGATTAAGCTTGTATCCAAGGAATTGGATACTCTCCCTATCTCTGCTGTCAACAAGGCTGAGCTCCGAAATCAATTCGAAAAGATCAAGAAGGCTCATGTTGAGGCAGAAAAGGTCCGTTCTGCTGCTCAACAGAAGGAAATCATAGAATCCTTGGACAAGTACTTTGAGGAAAACCCTTCTGCTGGTTTCATTGTCAAGAACATTGACGTCGGTAGCAACAACAAGGCTATCGGCGCTGCTATAAATCATATCAAGTTCAACCACAAGGAAAAGTCTGTCTACTTGCTCAGTGTTGCTAACGGACGTGTTATGCATCAATGCCTTGTTCCCAAGGACCAAGTCGCCAAGGGTCTCAAGGCTGCTGACTGGGCTGGTGTTGTATCCGAAAAGGTCGGTGGTAAAAAGGGAGGCAAGGACGAGTCTGCTCAAGGATCCGGCGATAAGCCCGAATCCATTGATGAGGCCATCGAAGCTGCTTCAGAATTCGCTAAACTTAAGATTGGAGCTTAGATTAGTTTATATCCATAAACTAGCTTTTTTACATGTTTTGTACTCTTTCTCATTATTTTTCTTCTTTACCAAAATCTCGTTCATCGTTCGATCCTATGCTTGACACGTTATGTACAGCCAATCTACAAGCCCTTATTTTACCATTTCCAAATAAAACAGATGGTTCCATTACAAAACTTTCCGGTTGCCTCCTTTATGAGCTATCAGCTAACGTTTTTAAACTGAGGATCGTTAATTGAGATTTTTGTTTCATCTTTTCTTATCCAAACATGGCCGCTGACGAGCCTCAAACTATTTGCGTCAATCATGGTTCAATCACCGAATGCAAGGTCAAAGGCGAGACTTGGGAATCGTTGGACCCGATAGAACGTGGGCAAGGTACAAAGGAGGTGGAGGTTCCACATACCAGAATATGGACAAAATGGTTTTTCTTTCTAGGCTTTCTTTGCCCTATTCTGTGGGTTATAGGTAGCAAATTATCGCTCAACGACTACAACGCTCAGAACGGGTTTATCTGGAAGAAGCGCTGCCGAATTGCCGTTACTATAATGCTGACTTTAGGGATCGTAGGATCCGTATTAGTCATGATATTTAACCCGCAAGCCTTTGGACTTCGCAAGAATACTTCGGTTGGGCCACAGACATCGTCAAACAGCAACGCAGCTCTTCGTCCAGATGTACCTGTGAACGGAACGTCTACGACGGGTGATATTATTGCGGGTATTATTATCGCGGGTCAAGGCAGTTAGATAATGAACTCAAAACGGCATATAGTAGGGCCGAAGTGATGTTTTGCCAGACCGGCGAAATATTTTTCCCATTCTCTCACCTGTTTTTCAACTCTTTTCTTTCTTTCCATATGCAATGAATCCAAACTTTCCATATAATGCACAAGTAAACCAGCCCATGTACCCACCTCGAGATCAGCCTGTGCCTTCATTGCCACAAGCACAGCATCCGTCTGCAATTGATCAGTCACAAAATCGTCGATCGCGTGTTAGTAGAGCATGTACGTTGAGTTAAAACCGTTGATTGATCCCAGGTTATGAGCTGTATGGCTTTGTGCAACGCTTTGTACCATGGTTTTATGTATAACTGAATGTTCATTAACAAAACTTCTTTGACACCTCTCTACAGGCGATATATGTCGGCGTAAAAAAATTCGGTAAATAATTACGATCTGGCTTCGGTTCCTCACTATGCTGGTAAACTGACAAAGTTGAATTGTGTAACAGGTGTGATGTGGACGTCAATTTCCCTTGTTCGACGTGTGTACAGAGCAGTTGGGAATGTACTTTTAAAGAGCAAGCTCGTAAAAGAGGCCCTCCAAAGGGATATATCGGTAACCTCGAGAATCGTTTGAAGAAAATGGAGAAACTATTGGAGACATTGTCAGGCACTTCACAGCCTCCGAATTTTGACGATGAAGATGATGATGACGAAGAAGAAATCAAAGAAGAGGAGGAAGAACAACAGATAATAGAAAGGAAACGTCCCAAAAAATCTCATCCTTCCACACATCCCTCCGTATCACCACCCACAGAAGAAATAACCATCAATATACCGACCTCAAAGATGGCTACGAATGCTACTGTGAATGAAGACAATAATAGGAAGAGCAGATTGAAAGTCATGGAACCCAAAATTGCCCGTTACATCGGTAGCTCTTCTGGACTTTATCTCATGTCGAAGACTAGGGATGAGGAGACCATGCGAAAAAGCTTATTGTTTAAGGATGAGATCGGAACCTATCGATTCGGTGCTGCTAGCGATGCAAGTGACGACATGATGGTTCTGCGAGACCAAATTGCGTCAGAACAAGCAGGGGATGAAGATCGCGAAGAGGCGAGAGTAAGCCTGGATGTATTGTCATACCTCGTAGACTCGTAAGTGACCACTGCTGTACAGATATGCGCTTGGTAGGAAGAGTAAAAAAGAAGCTAATGTAGAACTTGCTTTCTTCCCAGCTACTTTTCAGGTGCCCACCAATTGTTGCCGATCATTGACAAAAAGACATTTATGGAGGAATTCAAAAAACATAAGGACGGGGAGCCACTTTTTTCAACGGCGCTGCTATATTCAGTGTGCTCTGTGGGTTGCAGACTCTTATATATATCAGATCCTATCTTTCAGAAATGTAAGATGAGCAAGGACCAATTGCTTCTGATGGTCATGGATAAAGCAACCGCCGCTGTTAGCCGCAATTACCTTAATACAAAGATGGAGATTATTCAAGCCTTGGTTTTGCTCGCAAGTCAACCCAATTTCGCTGCTAACGCTTACACGGCATGGATGTTCAGTGGCATGGGTGTTCGTATGGTAAGGCTTAAGGTTCTACTTGTAGATTAATCTCGAACATCAAAACCACTTGACTTATATAATCCATTCAGGCACAAGATTTAGGATTACATCGAAATATACCAACATGGAAGATGAACGAACGCGAGTCAGAGCAACGGAAACGCATATGGTTCAGTGTGTACATTGTTGATAGATGGTGTTGTGCAGCGGTTGGTCGACCGTTGGCCATATCTGAAGCAGATTGCGATATTGAACTTCCTGAGCTGATTCAGGAGGACGCCTTTGACAATACTACCACGCGACACCAAAAGTTATTCCGTTATATGATATCCCTTTCAACTATCCTTGGCTATATACTTCGACAGCTCTATTCTCCAAAGGTCAAAGCTATGGGTTTGACCAGCCCCGGTGTTGCTTCTGTTGTATTCGAACTAGAGGAGCGACTGAAGAACTGGCTAGATGATCTTCCACCTGAATGCAAATTGTCTGAAAGTGACTTGAATCGATTGAAACAGATACGCCAGTTCCCACTCCAGCGATCTGAACTTGAATTGAAAGACAAGTTGGAGACAGCAGGTAATAAGAAAGGGTTGAAAGGAGAGAGAATTCGATGTGAGACTTTGTTTTCTAATGATCATCTTTAGGCATTTTAACCTTGTGCCAGCAAACCCTCGTCATCCTCTTAAATCGACCCTTCATCACGACCAGTAAAGATATTGCTATCAACTCTAGATTACTAAAGGCTGGCGATAACTGCCGCAATGCCGCGAAAATAATTGCCGATGTAGCTTCGGCTTTGAGGATGAGTGGAATCAATTCTAGCTTTGAATGGGTTTTCACATCCTACGCTGTCTATCAAGCCACTCTTATACATCTCTTCGATTGTGCTGCGGATTCGGAAGAAGCCGCCCTCCAAGCTCGAGAATATGTTCGGATATGCGTGGATGAATGTTTAAAGCCAGTCTTTGACTCTATTCCACATGGTTGGAGGATGATCCATTTCATCCGCAATGTCCTCGCTGGTATACCGACGTTTGAAGAGCGGCAAAAGATGAAAGCCAGTGACAGCACCGTCCCTAGCACCCTCAGCAAAGGAAAACCTCTCGATGGACCTGTCAAACAGACCGAAGCCCCGGTTAATGCCACTACCAATTCAAGCAATCTCCATCCAGGAACGCTAAACCAAATGGTTACTTCATTCTCAGACGGAGTCACCACGCCTGATCCATCAACGTATGCCACTGGTTCTTATCCCTCTAGCCTTGGATATCCTGGCGGCCACGTAGCTGAATTAAATACCGCTGCTCCATTTTGGGGTGCCTCTAGTGCCTTTGGATTCGACTGGCAAGGTAAGGTTTCAGAAGGCATTAAAATAAGCTTTGTTAAATGACAATCAGTAATGCTTATTCTATGATAGATTGGGACACGGTCCTGGCACCACAGGCCAACAACATTCAGAACATCAACCAAGGTGGCAGTAATCAAGTACCCAACCCACCTTCATTTATATCATAACAGCTTCTTCTTGTAGACAACAGCATCCTCATTTATCTATAAATTATATTCTTCTTTGAAAACAATCATAATGAATTCTTACGTAGCAGGAAATTCTCAATGGTGTACCAATGTGAGCTTAAGCGGTATGATGCCGATATCCCAATTTTTTTTACATTTTCGACTAATATTTACTATTTTTATTTGCTTGGAAGTAGGTAAAACAAACAAAATGATGATGCATTTATAGGCAACGGTTTCGATTTACAAATGATGAAGTTCGATCTAGAACATCTAAGAACGGGGTTATAGGCAAATCAAAGTTTACTGAGCTGATGTAAGGGATGTGACATATTGATCCCAATCGTTCCATATCATAGAAGACGGTGCTTCCCATATAGCGATTTCGGAATTCAGTAAGGAAAGAGACGGGTCATTGCTGTCATCTCCATTTGCACCTTGTACACGTGGGTTTTGGAACAACTGCTGGATGATATCTTGAGGTTGTTCAGAATCAGGTTCAGGCGCATGCAATTCACTCATGTAGGCAAAGTTGGGTAGCTGTATCTGCACATTGTTCGCATCAGAATTGTATGTAGCGGTCGGATTGGATGGGCTTTGCGTTCTAGGGGTCGGTGAGTTGATAGAAAGAAGACCTTCCATAAGTGCATACGAATCACTTGTATCTAATTCTGTCCCACAGAGAAGTTGGCTTTCATTCGGTGTCATGGCAACGGTTGATTGATTATATCCTCTTGATGCCGGTGAAAGCTGTTGTTGTGGTTGGAGAATAGGCATTTGTAAACTTTGATTGAAGTCGTTGGTGGGATCAATTGGATGACTGTCAGCCGTTTCGCTGGCGTCCAACATATCCATCAATAAATTGGCATTCCAATCCTTTGCTCTCGGGCGCTTACTCTGACCATGCTGTGTTACTGATGCAGCGCGCTTTACTTTCTCCCTTCCGATGTTGAGATCAGATAGGCCAACAGTGGGAATGATGTTCATCTCATCAACTTCAGCGGCAAAGCTACGGGCTATTTCATCATCTTCTTGAGCGGTCAGTAAATGTGTTACAACTTCGTTTCGGTCCAAGGCCATGGCGACCAAGGAAAATAAGAAGTTGACCAATTTGTCAGGTGCGCTGCAGCGAAATTCAGTTCGTTTGAAAAGCCTGACACATCGCAGCAAGCTGTTGAAACCACATTGCTTTAACTGAATGTTGTCTCCTTTGGAAAGGTGCAAAAAAATGAGGGATGCCTGCACAATTGTACTAAAGAGAATCATGTTTTTGGTTAAAAATCAAAGTGGCCAATATCAATGAGCGGTGGAAGGACACAGTGAACTTACTACATGGTGATACTCCACGGAGATTGTGTAAAATCCTCGGGTTTAAGATTTTCAGCAATACTGAGAATATTATGGGCTGCGTTTGTGCAGATGGTTAATGACTGAAACGCCGTGTCTGATTTCTCAATTCTATCAGTGCTAGCTGGTCGATGCAATAAGAGCAGTACAAGATTATAGCACATTTGAATATATCCTACAAACGATGGGATGTCAACTTTGCTGATCAAATAAAATGAGGGAAATCGTTGGTGTAGTCTCACCTCTGGTTGAACAAGCTGGGACGGATGTGTTAAACTCCAATTCGGGTGATAGGTTTAACTTCCATCTAACAAGGGCACCGTCCAAAAAGCGGACAAGTGACTCGTTACGACGACCTACAGCTCTCGCGCGCGGTGTATGCAGATTCTGTAAAACTTGACCCAAAATTTGAGTCAATCTAATCATATGGATGAAGCCTTTGAATTTAGGTTTCCGGTTTGCGTTGTGGTCGTCAGACTCAAGTGTAGCCTCGCTACTGGACTGTGCGCCGCACAATGACGGAGGTAATTCGAGCTCATATTCTGTAGGTAATTCAACATCAAAGTCATGGTCCAAAAGAGTTACAGGTCGACCGAGTTCTGCTGAAACCTATATTCGAGGTGGTAAAAGAAATATTCATACAATTATGACAAAATGTTTAGAAACATGTACACAGCTAATAGCTAACAAAGTAGATCAAGTAAAACGTACCCAGCGATCCATTAGATAGGTAGCGTACCAAAGTCTCCTTCGAAGCTCAATTTCATATTTGGGTATATTCCAGCGAGTAGGGCTTAAGTGTAAGCCTAGATCTTGAGCCTAAAAAATTTCTGATTTAGAGGCGTGCTTACAAATAATGGAGCTTAGGTTAAATAGTTGACAAATCTTACCATCCGGATAGCCTGAACAATGAAAAATAGAACACATGCGTTAGTGATCTGGCTGTTAAAAAGACCAAGTAATCCTCCAACCTACCACGCCAGCGATGAACCATCGAGCACTTGTTTCTTCAGGGTCGTGACTATGTTCAAAGTACATTGTGATCAACAATAGAGTCTGTAAAGTGCTGATACGAGATCTCTTGAATGCAATGTCTACGAGGGTGTTGGCTTTATGCTCAAAGAACTTGACAATATCCGGGGATTTGCGTCTAACTATGTCGAATCCATTTCCATCTTGCCGTGGCGTAGCATAAACAATATCTTCAGGCAAAAATCGAGCGCCAATACTGCAAATAGCTGCCAAAAGATATTCGTCACGCGAACCTGAGCATTCTGGATTGTGGTAAACGTGTAAAAATTGTGCTTTGTTGATAAAGGGTGCATGAATGTAAATATTTTCGAAGAATCTACATGCATCACGAACAAGCGATATCAATAATAAACAATCAGCTGAATGGCTATGGCGGTACCTTGTTGAAAGCAACATGACTTACAAATCAACCAATCGATCAGTCAGAGTTTTGTCATACAGCAAGTTTTCATCGTCATCCTGTACAGTCAATGAAGATGTCGTCGATTGAGTATATCCTTGCAAATCCTCTGGTGTGTATACTTCGGTTTTGACAATGATATTTTCAGCTTCGTCATCATTAACTTTCTGAACAAATGTTAGCTTTTCGCCGGGAAGTCGCATTTTTTTGCCCTTTAGAAAATGTCGGTCAATCAGACCAATTCCAGAACTGGACCCCATGTAACACACGCTTCCATAGTCCTGGATTTGTAAGCCTTTCATTTGCGCTTCCACTTTAATACTGTGGTCAGGGCTATCGGGTTGTGGGGATTCGCTGATTGATTCCATACGATCAACAAATGCCTCGCCTGGATCACCAATCGATGTACTGCTGGCTTCGTCTGTCGACGGTGGCGGTGTTATTTCATCGCTTGAATGAATCGAAGGTTCATCATTCGAAGGCTCATCTGGTGCTCCATTTGCTTTGGCCAAATTTTCAATCAAGGATTCCATTCTCTTTAGCCGAGTTTCGAGCATTTCTACATAACTAATTTTGATTTAATTGCGTTGGACACAAAGTGTTAATTTTTTTTTTTTTTTTGAAACATGGTGTGATAACGCAAAAAGCTCAATGTAATAAGATAAAATACATGCCCTGTACTGGGACCACGCTTCTTCTGCTCGACAAGGAATACGCATTCTGTTTTCCAATTTTTACAGTTGGTGCAAGGTCGATTGACTTCAGCGTCGCATTTGCTCTTCTTCTTGCGACACATGTCACAACTTCTTTTTGCTCGAGTTCGCTTTCGCCGTGGTGAATCGTCATTTGGCGCAACACTAGGTACCGAACCCGATGGTGCTGGAAGGATATCCACAGGCGGTCGATTGAAGCCTTGATAAGGGTTCATGTCCAAGTGCGGAATTGAACGCCGAGTCGTTTGTCTGCAAGTTAAAAGAACTATCGAGCAAAATTCCGGCGCATGTTGCCGGAGACCTCGTCAGCAAAAAAAAAAGCAGTCTCTAACACTCAACTTTAACATTGTCTCAGTTTGCGTGCAAGCTGAGAACTTAACGCTAAGCTTGGATTTTATTGGGATTTGCAATATGTAGACTAGCTCCAAATCAAGAGAATAGTGTCTTATTGAATATTTGAGAAGTTCCTTTACAGAAAGTTTTGTGTGAGAACACAGTTCTGTAAGAGGGCATTCTACGGCGGCTTCCGCTATCACTTCTCGTCTTTTCTTTGGATGACACATAATAGTCACTTCTCAGCCGTACGATATGAAGACAGTAGTTAGAATCATTGACATCACGTTTTTCGAATTCAATAGTTCACACTAAAGCAATAACCTCATTATAAGTAGATGCCTCAAGTATGATAACACCCCGGATTTTAACGTTTTTTTTAGAACGCAAAACAAAGGAAATTTCACCGCTTGATTAGATAGATACCAACTTTTCTGTATACGAAATATTTCAAATTTTACATGCATAAATTGAGCAGCGTCAATTGAACAATATCAAATGATATATGTTAAAGCATACTCGTTTTTGATTAACTGGTCGTTAACCACTGACTTGGTTTGTTTTCGTTGAATGAACCAGAGGGACAAGAATTGAAAGGAAACTTTAGCATGTTTTTATAAGAAGGATATCATTTCCCTAACTTTCCGCATTCGAAAACTCAAAGGAAGATCATCTATGGTGATGCATGGGACATAGGTTCATTGTAATTAGATTAACAGTGTATGACTCTAGGCACTTGTTGGGCCAATGTTCGATTGGCAGATGGAAGGGGTAGGTATAACAGTTTCCCCGGCTCCGAATGAAAATTTTCTGGGGGGGGGCCGCCGGAAACACGGGCTTGTCGAGTGCTTGGTCATTGAATCTCCTTGTTGATGCATTGCTTGCCTGGCAGCTTTTCAGTACAAAATGAGCTTACCACCCTATAATCCAAACTCCCAAAGCTCTGCATACCCGAACATTCTTCCACCGGATAGAAATCACCCTCAATTTCAAGAACAACCTCAACCACATTCCTACCAATTTCCTTCTAATCAGAATCAACCCTACCCTCCAGCTCAGTATGGTGTGCCAATGACGAGACCGGCTGCTGTTGACGATAAATCCAACAAAAGAGTTAGAGTCAGCAGAGCTTGGTAAGATTACTCACAAAGCTATATGTTCCGTTACAGCCAATGTCTGATTCCATTTCTATTATTTCCACCAGTGACTTTTGTCGAAGGAAGAAAGTCAAGTGCGATGCTCAAGGTCCTGGAAGCATATGTACGAACTGCAAAACCTACAATAGCGAATGCCACTTCAACGATAGGTATGCAATCTATACGATATGTAATGTGTGCGCGAAACATGTCATTCTTATCTTGTATTCATTTCCAGTGCCAAAAAACGTGGACCGCCAAAAGGTTATATCGAGACATTAGAAAACCGTTTGAAACGTATGGAACGAATATTAGGCAGTCTTGCAGATACTTCTGAAGGAAGTAAAGAGCATGCTGGTAGCGATCCGAATGACAGTGAACCCGATAAAAGCAGCCGCGAGTCTTCTCAAGATCGACAAGTAGAAGAACCTTCAGCGAAACCAGCGTCAATACAGCCGTCTCCAGAAGTAGACGTCGCACCACAGCCAGTACAAAAAGCAGAAGAACGACGAGGCAGTAAAGATTATATTCCTTATGCCGAATACGAGCGAGCAAAATACATTGGCGATGTCTCTGCCATCCATATGTTAACCAAGAAATACAACATGGATGATCGATTATTCGGTAACGATATAGGTGCCAAATTTCATCGGTTTGGAGAAGACATTGTTCTCGTCAACGATAATATTGGTGGCGATAAAGGATTTGATCTATCGACCTTGATTAAGCATGGAAATGTCAAACCAGAAGAAAAGATTCATACTGTTGCAGACTGGATAAGAATTGTTGCTGGTCTAGACATGGCTATGAGCGATAGATTGATGAAAGTGTAGGTATATTCAACATTCGAATTGGGTCTCTACAAACTTTTGCATTGACCGCTATTATCTACATTTCTTACACAGGTATTTCATTTACATCCACCCAATCCTACCTGTCGTCAACAAGATTATGTTTTTGAAGCAGTACCGTGGGCAAATTAAGCCATTTCCATCTGCACCACTTTTATTAGCGATGTATGGTGCCGCTGCTCGGTATTTAGAAGTAGCTAGGCGTCAGGATATCAACAAATTGATAGACATTGATGAAGATTGGCAACCTCCTGAAAATTGGTCCGAAAGCCTTTTCGACGAATTGCGCAAATTCTTGGTGGGCCATTACACGCCATCTATGTCTACCGTTCAAGCATTGCTCATCGCTCAAAATCATCGTGCCAGCCTTGACTCAAGATCTACCATTGTTTGGCTGATTTGTGGTCTTGTAAGCTTATACCGATTAGAAGCTATCAAATCTTTCTTTGCTTCCTTACTAATTTTTATTTTGTTATTTTATTTTGCTACTACCTTAATGAACAGGATATCCGCATGGTATGATTTCTAGTATTTGCAAACCTCAAATAACGTGCATACGCTAATTCTCTAAATTATGGTTTGATTAGGCACAAGATTTGGGTCTAAATCGTTCGTCAGATAAATGGTTATTGCCTCAAAACGAGATTGAAACAAGAAAGCGAGTCTGGTGGTCTATATATATTGCCGACAAGTGGAATTCTGCGGCGACAGGCAAGCCGGTTGCTATCTTTGATGAGGTAAACTTTCGGTTTATAGCATGATCTCACGTTTCAACATTTAACCAACCTAATGGTTAGGATTGTGACGTTGGATACCCCGATGAATATGCGGATTGGGATGAGATTATGGATACTTGGCAAGAAGGAGATCCTGATGGTCCTCGATTTCCCTCCATACCACCAACTTCGACAACTAGCAAGAACGTGAAGCAACCGTTGTATCAGCCATTTGTACAACTTGCCAAGCTGTCCGAAATCCTTGGTCGTATCCTTCGTGGACTTTACACGCCTAAAGCTAAGAAAGTCAGCATGAAGTACGGAAGTGATGCTATTGTCACTCTGTTGGATCACGCCTTGACAGATTGGCGACAAAATTTGCCTTCATCACTGTCCCTCTTCAGACATGAACGTAAAGCAGATGTCAATGCTCGTCATTCAGTAAGCTTTATGCCTGGTAAGTGGAAATGTTCACTTTTCCAAATACACAGCTAAATCTAGATAAGTTAACGTATTTGGTTTAGGCATGATTGCATTATGTTATTATACAGTTCTGCAGCTACTACACAGGCCTTTCATTGAGCGCAATGGTCATGGTCAGAACAATGCGAAATCGTCACTTTCTTCTCTCAGTATCTGTACGTCGGCAGCTATACGATGTATCAGCATTGCGGAAAAAATGAATTTCCGTGAATCTATGCTCTTTTCTTGGAATTTTGTTGTCTATCCTGTCTTCTCATCTTCCATTATTCACGTCTACAATGCCAACAGTGACGATGAAAAAGTACGAGAAACAGCCAAGATTAATCTTAAAAAGTCCACTAACGTGTTTAAACGACTACAAACCATTACCGCCAATGCAGAAGTTATCTATAACATTTTTGTGAAAGTTCTCAACATTCAAGAGATCGATATCAGCAACGTGCAAGAAGATCAGCAGAAGAGTTCATCCAAAAAACCAATTGCAGCAGCTAACACGGATGGCAACCGACAAAATAGAAAAGAATCTATGGAGAACATGAACTCTGGGCGAATGGCAAATCTTTCCGATGTTGGTAGAGGGCAAACACCTCGAAGAGATAAACGATCTGGAAGTATTGCTTCTGTTTCTTCGCCCGACCATGACAGACTCTCACCTGTAGCATCGGCCGAGATAGCTGGCACCGGGCGACCCAAAGCAGTCATGACCATGCAGAGCAGCAATGCTAGTAATGGTGGCGAGAATTCAGGTATGACAACCAAAGTCTTTGATATGCTTAGACATTTTTTTTTCCAATCACGCTGACCATGCCTTGCCTTCTATTTTCATTAGCTGCATCCTCTCCTTCATCCCCCTCTAGCAATGAGGCGTATTCGTTACGACAATTTGGATTGACCATGGATCAATTATTCGATCACATTCAACAAAACAATAGTGGACAAGGGCCATCCATGTTTGTTCCTGAGTCATCGTCGGGGCTTATACCGAATAATAACGGAAACTCTTACGTTGCCCAAGCTAATGAGCTTGTCAACCTCATCAACACCCCGTTTTCTGATTCGGATCTCATGTTCGGTCCATCCGTCTCGTTTTTTCCTTCACTTAACCCTACTACTACGGCGCCAACGCCGGCTCCTCAACCACAACAGCCTGCACTATCAAATCAGCCTGACCAGCAGCAGATGGCAGATCAAAGCATGTTTCGACATCGACCAGAAAATCCTTTCTGGTCTGTACCAACTAGTTTAGACTTTGATGCCTGGAATACATACTATCAGCAACGACAAAGCGAATCAGGCTCTTTGCAGATGATGAATTCAAACAATAACGACTCTAATATGTGGCAATAAGGCCATTCTAAAAATATTTCTATTGTGTAAATACGACCAGTATTGACTCCCGTCTCTATTAAACCTTTAGTAATTGGGTTCATTTTTGCTATTCTTCAAATTCAATTTTTAATGTGAGTATCCAAGTTAAAGAGCGAAAGCGAGAAGACAAAAAGTATGCAAACAGTATTTGGGTTGATTGTCTGTAAAGGCCACGATGGGCCATACTTTTTTACTTTTCTTTTTGCCAAAAAAAAAAGAAGTGGTGTGTATGTAATCTTGGGTAAGCCAAGTGATTGTAATATGGTTTAGGTTTAGAATTTCTGATAGAATGTCAGTTAGTGACAAGAGAGCAAACCATCAGCGGACAAAGCAACAATGTCCCAACTTACCCAATCGTCATCTACTTCCATAGCCCATTGGAACTTGTCGCGCAATGTCTTGCTGAAGACTTTCTCAACAGGCACATTATGCTTTTTGCACCATAGGGCAGATATTCTTGGGTCAATGTAGTTGAGTTTAGAAGTACTCAAAGCGGTTTCTTTGCCTTCTTCCTTGTCTAGGGCTTGATTCTTAGTAGCTTTGATGCGCTCATCTAATTTAGTGATTTGGGCTAATAACTTATCGATCGACGCATTTGGCTTCAATTCAATTTTGCCAGTTTGCTTCTCTTTCTTCATTTCCTTCTCCATCTCATCTACAGCCTTGAGTTTCTCTTTGAGTTCCTTTTCTGGTAATGCTGCCTGTCCTTCGCTGACAAGTTTTTCGTTGTTCTTTTCAAACTTAGTGGTTATCTTCTCTCGTTCCTTGACCAAAAGATCTTTTTGGTGTTCCTCGATCCATTCGTCCTCCAAGTCTGACTCAGCTTGCATCTCCTCCATCTTGCTTTTCTTCATCTTTGGGTCAAGCTGAATGATCTGTCTTCTAAGTCTCTTTCGCTGATACTTCATTGCGCGAATCTAAACGAGCCATACGTATTTAGACATAACCATTTTTTAATCCCAGGAAGAAGTAAAGTATCCCAACCAACCTTGTCCTCAATCTTTGCAATCATTTGACCATGGTTCTTAGAGACGGACCGCTGATGGTTACAGAGAATGGCAACCTCACGATTGGCCCGATTGTACGACAACAGTTTATCGTGGACCGAATCGCTCTCACGAGTCAATTTGTCTAGTTGCTCTTGGAAGGTATGAGAAGCGTTGTAGGTACGGAATACCTTAGCGGTAAGGCCCTTCATATAACTGCCCAAATGCTTGTTCAAACTCATGGTCTGTGTGTCGAATCATGAGTATCATGTAACGTGAAAAAAAAAAAAAACATCAAAACAACAACATACCGTTAAGCGATCAAAGATCATATTGTCAGGACCCACTTGTTTCTTGAAGATTTTAATGTTCTTGAAAACTTGGGGATCCACAGTCACTGAGTTGTGATAGCGAATGGAGTCTTTACCCAAAAAGTCAAAGACCAAAGTATTGGGTGGTTCGAGCGTGACGTGCTCGTACCGAAGGGAACAACAGCCGACGGTATCAGCTTCATCATCGCCTTTCTCATTACCAGCTCTGAGAGCAAGAACATCAATCAAATACATGGCAGTTGCCCGCTGTCGGGTTTCCATAAGCTTGTCGTTGAGCTGTTGACGATAATCCTTACGAATCCTGTTGACATGTTTCTACATGGAAAGTATTCAGATTAATTTTGAGATTCAAAACTACCACAAACAACGATGTCACATACTTTCAACTCTCTTGCTTTTTCAAACTTTTGCATATCACTTTGCCCTTTCCAAGATGAGGTGGCGGCCAAAAAGACATATTTGATGGTGCCATTGATGTTCTCCTTCCATGAAGCTAACCATGTTGCCTCATGAATATGCACAACACCACCCCATTTGTGTCCGGGTAGCGGCTTTGGAATAGGTGCGTTCTCGCCGAGATTGAGAGTAACTTGCTCCGGCATGACTCGATGCTGCGGCAATCACAAGTTAGTCTTGATCTTTCACTGATGGTAGACATAATGCATTCAAGCCTGTACCTTCAGACGACCGGTCTTTGGGTGATCGCCACGACCTCTGAACAAACCGGGAGGTTCAATACGGAAGTTACCAACTTTTTCCTTGCGACCATCCACAATGGCGTAAAGGTATGGCTCTTCCACTTTGGTTTTTTCCTCCTTGATTTGCTGCATGCAAAGGAATGAGATAGGGGTTCAATTTGTAGCATCTATTGAAGGGTGAGGTGCATATGAACATACCTGCTTTTCAGCCTTGGTTAACTGCTTTTTCCGTTCCTTTTCTAGCTCAAAATGCTCAAACATGGGCCGAAAATCGCATTTCTCAAAGTCGGTGATTTTAGGATTCTGACGCGATGTGACGGCGGTTAAATTACGACGGAACCCACGAGCCATGATAGAAAAAATAACCTATTAGCGAGGACAGCACATACCTTGTCATCCTTCTTCAAAATTTCCTGCCAATCCGCAAAGAAGTTTTTCTGAAAGACTGGATTTTTGCCGTGGTCTGTTTCAATCAAAGCAGCAAAGAAACTTGCCACTTCTTCAGCTTCAGGCGACAACGAAATTGGCTTTCCATCATATTTCATCTTGATGCCATGTGGCTCATATGCAGGTGGGAATAGCACGCCATTGTGCTCTAATTCATTCCATTTCGTTGAGCCATCGTCGTCGTTTCCTTGTTCCCACCACTTGTACTGAGCCTCTGCCTCATCTTCCTCCACTTTTTCGGTTTGCTTCTTGACGACCTTTTTCTCGTCTTCGGCCTTGACCTTGGGAACTTTCTTAATGTCCTTTCTCACTTTTGCAAGCGGCTTTTCGTCATCAGAGGAATTTTCAACCTTGGGAGCAGGACGCTTTTTCGTCTGCAAAAAAAGAAATTTCTATGAGTATGCAAAACTCGCATAACAAAACCTTATTACGACCTACGACTTACTGGTTTTTTCTCCAGTTTAACTTTCTTTGCCTAAGTTTTTTTTTTTCATTAGATGTGTTAAAGTACAGTTCTTAATTGTTGAAGCACGCAAAGACGGCTTCCAATGACTTACCAAAGGAACATTATCGTCGTCACTGCTATCTTCGCTCTTAATATGCTTTCCATTCGTCTTGGAATTTGCGCGTTTCGCCAAAGGCATTTCTTCGTCGGAACTTTCGTCTTCGCCAATCACGGATTTCGATCGAACTTGCGTCGGATCTGGGGTTTGTTCAGCAGATCTAGGACTGTAAGACCTTCCATTGTGTTCTAAGGTACGCAGAAGGGTTAAGTTTTTTTTTTGTTTGGGTCGTATGCTGACAGGATTAGCAATAAGAAAGCCTATATACCGTTTTTGACTTGGTTTTTGCGCTTCATAAGCGGTATGTCGTCTTCAGAACTTGAGGATGCCATCGTCTGTTTAATGTGTGGAAAACAAGGAAAAGAAGTGAGAAAGTGTCTTGCACAGACGCCCAACCGAAATTTGACTAAGTCATAGATCATGTGACCTCTCATGGGCCACTCAGGCGTTTGCACACTGCATGAAGTTTTTGCTATAGGTTCGTTGAAACTAGGTCTCGTTTTATCCACTGCAGAGCGGAATATATTTACTGTTGCAAAGTGCAAGAAAGTACCAATTATTCTACACACTTCATAATTCTTTTAAAGAGAAAAAAAAATAAAAGAAAACCCATCAAAACTAAACGAAATATTTTGAGAATGATAATCTGTGAAGGTCGACAAAGTAAACAAAAAATAGACAGTTACATAGAAACTATAAGAAAAAAAATTTCAAGCAATAAGAATTTGCAAATTTCAAAAAAGAAAACCAAAATAAGGGAAGCTTCGTATATGTATATGTGTTTCAGAGTGGTCCATTGAAGCCATAAGTAGGGTCAAACGGTGGGTTAGGTGGTTGCCATCTGGCATCCATCATCACCGTATTGCTTTGAGTATTCGTTGGGTATGAAAACATGTTATTCGCGTACAGCATAGAAGCATCACCCTGAAAGGGCGAAAATGTTTCCAAATTGTGCAAGTCCATGAAATCACCCACTGGCTGAGATGTTCCATTGAACACCACGGGAAAGGCAAAGGATGAAGGGTAAACTTGCGAGTCTTGGCCAACCGGCGATTCCGTCTTAACGCTTGGGGTTGTTGTGAGGGATTGGGATTTATCCCGTCCCATTCCATTGATTTGACTTGGTGATGAACCGGTACTCGATGCACTGGAAGGTGACCGTACCACGGCGGCGACTTGTATATTCGCTATTCCCCCAGGTGGTATCGTGCGTTCTGGTAAAGAATTGGTCGGGCTGGAAAGCTGAATGTTATTAGGAGTACGTTCACTAGTTCCTGCATAACCAAGTTTTGTGGATTTTTTTCGACGTAACTTTGTCTGATTCAAACTGGTTGCTGCAGCAATGTTGCCTTTACGTTTTGCTTCTGTTGGTGTTGGCATCTTCATTTTTTTGCCAGACGATGACAGCGATAATGATGGTGTAGGTGGCAGGTTTTGTTCTGCTCGCTTTTGAATGTTAAAGATATTGTTCATGGCATGTAGAGTGTCCATAATCCACAATTTTCCTGCTTCTTCAGCTATCCTCTGTAACACGTTTGCGCTTTGAACAAACTTTTTTCGTCCCTCTGTCGTTAGTTTCGTATCCGATGACATGGCACACATCAAGTGGATCCGAATGGCTATGAGAAGTGAATGGCTGGTGTAAGGGCATTGCGAGGTCATAATGGGGTATTCTTGTTGCATGACAAAGGTTATATGGGTAATGAGAGTCGCTGCGTAAATACAAAGATCTAAGGAGGGTTGTGAGGCGACGGTTTGTTGAGAAGCATCCGTCTTGTCACTATCGGATATATATGGAGAATGCAAAAGTATCAAACAGGTATGTGCAATGAGATGAAGAAGGCGAGCAAACAGGGACTTTGGAGGATGCTGCAGCGTAAGGGAGATGTCCAGCTCTGTTCGAGGTCTTGCCACAACAGTGGATGGATCATAACGCAAATGCTGAGGTAATTCCAAGATATAGCTAGTAAGCCATGAATCGAGGGTTGCAAGCATCGTATCTAGTTTCCTGGAGGTGATAGATGTCAGCGACGTCTCAAATGGAATAGATGCTTCTCATAACTTACCAAGATGTTCGCATGTCTTCAGATTTGGTGGTATAAGAGTGATTGCAAATCCTGCCCACAATTTTGCCAAGCTTGACATAGTAATGAAAGTCTTGCATAACGACTACCATTTTCTCATCTGAGGCATAATCCTCTACCACAGGAGGTTGGATATCAATGTGTTTCTCGTCCCAAGTGAGTGGGTATCCATTGTTCATTGAGAAAAGTCTGTCTAACACAAAAAGTACCCAAAACACTCGACACCTGTCCCGCTGTACAGCCGAAGACTCGGTGGAGGGCTTTATATTTCGATGCAAGCCCATGATTCGAGCCATTGTATTGGATTCTGATGCCAGCATGGCTGATAACATCTTGGAACTTTGCCCGTTGGAGGTGGTTTCTGGACAGCAACTTGATAAGAGCGCCAGCGCACATATCGTGCTCATACGTGGTCTGTCCATGTACAAGTGCTTGATTTCCAGGCAATAGTCAAAGAATAGTCTGGTTGAGAACTCGATATTGGTTGGCATCATTTTTGCTCCAGCAGCAAAAATAGCATACAGGAACAAGGTTGAGAGAGAGTTTGGCTGACCACTGGCTCGAGCTTGAAGTTGAATAGCCAGGCATTTTTCTGATATAAAAGGGTATCGAGGGTGGACGTGCGTGAAGTATGAATCCAGCAAATGCGTTTGGTTATAGGATGAGACCACAGGAGGGGAAATGGTAACCTGCGGTAAATTAAATTCATTGGTAGTTGAGATGTTCCTGTTTGCAGATGTCAGTAATCCAGAAGTTTCTCCGTGGAAGTGGCCCATGCTATCAATATGATGTGCCTTTAAGATGCCCGAATTCATTTTCAATGGAACAGATAAATGGCTGGTATTTGCGGAGGAAGATCGGCTTCCTTCCTCTTTTACCATATTTGCAAGGCGCTCCAAAGCTTGATCTCTACCATAACGCTCAACAGATTGCTGCCATACCAGACGGAGTTTATCGGGATCAGTGTAGTGACATAAGGTTGAACTAGTGATGCAGATTGAGCAGGGCTGGATGATGTTGCAAACCCTTCCAGCTCCTTCACAGGTATGACACATGTTTGGTGGTCAATAAACAGAGAGGTACCAGTTGTGAGTCCACAGTTGTTTAGCCAATATGACGTCCTTTTGGGCCTCCCCTCCAACACCCAGTGCCAATCGTAGGCCGGTATAAAATGCGGAGATCTATTTTTTTGTGTGTTCATTGGATCAACACAAAGCACACGGTGGTTGAAGGGGTGACATGATGCAGCTAGGAATGTGCTTCCAACCGCTTGGCGTTTACTGACTTGACAGGGGGAGGTATACCCAATCATGATACCGCCATTGGTGATCTTCGGCTCCCGGTTTACATGCATTGTGGCCTTTCAGGGAGCTCTGAGGAGTTCGAAAAAGAGACTTCTAGCTTTTTTCCTTTAACTGTACTACGCACGTTTGGGTTACAAAGACGTGTGTGTTGTACATCGCATGTAAACAAAAAAACAAAAAAAAACTCTACACGAAATAAAGTATAGAAAAAGGACAACTTGTACATAAAGTGGATGGCATAGCGAGTGTCCAAGTAAATCAAAATTGCTACTGTCGCTTTTTCTCCTGAAAAATAGCGACCCCTCCTAAATTACTTTGTCGGTTTTATAACTTCCTGCTAGCGCGATGGCGTCGTTTGCCAAAAGGAAAAACCTTAATGCTCTGCCGCTTCAACGTGTAGGAAATTCTTTCCATAATTATGGCATGTCTCCGGCACCTTCACACTTTCACCTCAAATCCACCTTTCCTAATGAATTGTACTTTTTCTTTTAGACTTTAATAGCGGGGGATTGTATTCTGCATCAAGCCAACGGAATCAAAGCTACTTTTTGTTTGTTTTAAATGTTGAAGAGTGATAACGAAAAAAATGTGAAAGGTTCAATCATTTAAGCAACCTCAACGTTGGCAGGGAATTCAAAAACGACCTCCTTGCCAGTCAACTTGCGGTAGACGGAAGAGAAGGTGTCGAGCTTGTATTCCAAAGAGGTGGCATCCTTGGTATCCAAGAAACTAAAAATATTCACAAATTCATTAGATACACGCACAAATGGTTTCTAGGATTCAAATTATCCCTCAAATGATTTACTTACACCTTGATGGTCTTGGAACCGTCGACCTTGACGCGGGTTCTCTTACCAACAATCTCAGTGGGGTAGACGAGGTCATCCAAGATCTTCTCGTGGACAGCAGTCAAAGTGCGAGATCTGGGACGGGCCTGCTTCTGGCGAGAGTGGCGAGTGGGCTTGGGCATGATGCGACGCTGAGCAATGAAAAGGATGTGGCGGTCAGAGAACTTCTTCTCGAGCTCGCGGGTAAGTCTCTGTTGGACCTTGTGGAAGGACTTCAACTGAGGAACAGGGACGAAGACGACGATAGCCTTCTTACCACCACCGAGTTCAACCTGCAATAATACAATCAAAGTTTTAGCCAGTGTAATCGTAGCCATTCTGGCCATCGACCAAAAGTTTGACAGTGATATATTACCTCCTTGGCAGAAGAGATTTGAAGAGGTCTAAGCTCCTTCTTGAGCTCGGGAACATTGTTCTCAAGGTCCAAGAGAGCTTGAGCAACGCTCAATTCAACTTCATCAGCGGGAGCAGCACCAGCGGGCTTGGCGATTTTGTGAGAAGCCATGTTGGGACTGATGTGTAAGAGATTTCGAAAATGTCAGATTGGAAATTTTGTGAATGGTTGGTGAATGGTGAATAAATGGTGAAGGTATATAGACAGAAAGAGAATGATTAGCATTTCAGTATATTACACGTATTATCCATGATGGTTTGCTTATGTGTATGTCGGTTTGATCGATTCATCTGGCCACTCATCCATCCATCCATCCATCCATCGATGGAATGGATTCAAAGCGAACATCCACAGTCGTTCATTTTCATCCATCCATGGCAAAGTTCGTGTTGGCGTATCGTACGGTTGTATAGTATCGCTATCTGACTCATTTATCTCTTCCATCCCCCAGATGCATAATGAATAGGACACTCACAGGCGAGAAAGGAGGGAAACAGCAATCGGCAGGCCCACAGAGGGTATTTCAAAAATGTGAGTCCGCAATTTGGGGGGGGGAATTTCGATTTGGGGGGAGGGCTTTCGTAGCCACACAACGCCACAGGCCAAACCAAGCTTGCCAAGTAGTTCGTTCACCACATAGACATCATGATGACTGGAGCCATTGTACTTTCCTGGAAGCTTCAAATAACTCTTTGATGTTAATATTCTTGTATAGTTGTTTTTATTCTCACAAATAAATATCCTTCAGTATGCTCTATACTTCATTAGTGTACATGGTTACATCATCTGCTCCGTTTATGTTTTCTTAGGGCTCGAATTTAATGCCACGGCACGACCAGAGGCAGCTCCAGCTGCCGCTGCACCACATAGAACAAGTGAAATTCTTCCTAGTAGCTCTCCAGCAACTTTTAGAGAGGCAATTCTTAGATCTGATGTTGGTGCAACTTTGGCGAAAAATAACCTGTGTCTAGTTTGCGATGTGAAGGCGTATTTCGAAAACATTCCAGCAGTTACAATCGATACTGTGGTTGCTGTCAAGTATGAAGTGGAGGACGCTGTTACAAGACGCTATCAGTCAGTATTTCATCAATGCTATGTTTGAGCATCCGCTTCGGTCAAATGTCTTACATGATTCAGTTCCTTGAGGAGCAATAAGTCGGGTTGTCTCTTTGTCAACAGTGTCAAAAACTTTGTAAGTAGCATAACACACGGGAGCACCGCCAATCACTAACAATGGTAGAAACACGGCCATTGCAATGTAGTCTAAAGTGAAAAGTGACGTGAATGTGAAGGAGCTATGGTAAAACAAATAGCCCTAATACCGAGCGAGATTGGCAAGTGAGGTATTTTTTTTTTCTTGTATTGAAAAAAAAAAAAAAAAATGAAAAAGCTAACATTACTATTAATTGCGCTGACTGCAATATGCTACTTACAAAGGTATATATCTTTGCTCAACGGTTTTAACAGTATGCATCTGCGCCAGCATAGCACGGAAAAAATCAATTTAACAGGAAAAAAAATCTACAGATGAAGTGAGCGAAACAAGTGTTGAATGAAAAAGTACGTGGATTGAAATGCAAATTTCAGATTAATGCAAGGAAGAAGTGAGGGATACTTGATTGAAAACATTTTGATTAAGCGGCAGGTGCGCAGTGACCATTCATCCATTCTGTAGAGAAATTTCCTTTAATCAAAGTCGAGAAGTTACCGGTGTCAGATTCGAAACAAACTCGGATCAAAAGCCGTCGTAAACGCTCGTGCGAGCTTCTACAGCCTGCCAAAGCAGCGCGTTCGAACCACATGGTGGCTTCTTGAAGATTGACTTCAGTGCCCAAACCTTTTTCTAAGCAATTGGCAAGGTGGAACTGAGCGGCAATGTGGTCTTGCTGAGCTGCATATCGAAAATATTGCGCGGCGCAAGTCAGATCTCGTGTAACTCCTAGACCGTGTTGAAGGTGCAGACCTAATTTGTCCTGCGCGCGTGCATGGTTCTGGTCGGCGGCTTTTCTATACCAGTGCACCGCTTTGTTATTGTTTTGTGGAACGCCGATGCCATTAGCAAAGCAAAAGCCCAGATTGCATTGCGCCCAGGGGTTGTTTTGCTTTGCACTTTTGTAATACCAGTACACAGCACGTTTGGAATCTCTGTCTATACCCAAGCCTTCTTCATAGCAATAGCCCAATGAATTTTGAGCCAGTGCATTGCCTTGTTCAGCTGACCTCAGGAACCACTTTACGGCTTCTTGTTCATTTTTGGGGACTCCGATTCCGTTACGATAGCAATACCCAAGAGAAAGTTGGGCTGGCGCATGGTTTTCTTCAGCGCTGAGATAGTACCAGTACACTGCTTCTTGTTCATTGACAGTGACACCAATACCATTTTGGTAGCAATATCCAAGGGAATGATAGGCAAATATATTACCTCGCTCAGCTGATTTAATGTACCACTTGACAGCCTCGGTCGTGGAGCGAGAGATTCCTATACCATTTTGATAACAAAATCCAAGATTATGCTGAGCTCGTGCATGACCCTGTAATGCTGCCTTTCGATACCAATAAGCACCTTGTTCATCATCTTTTGGGGTGCCAATGCCATTCTGATAACAGTAGCCAAGGTTGCATTCCGCCCAAGGGTAGCCTTGTTCTGCGCTTTTCTTATACCAAGCAGCTGCCTTGACATAATCCTGGTTGACACCAATGCCATCTTCATAACAGTACCCAAGTGAGTTTTGGGCAAATGCGTTGCCTTGTTCAGCCGATCGTAAATACCATTTCACAGCTTCATAAACATTTTTTTCTACACCAATGCCATCTTCATAACAATAGCCTACGTTGTAGATAGCGACTGTTTCGCCTTGCTCCGCAGCTAGTTTGTACCATCGCATAGCTTCCGCTTCATCTTTTTCTACACCAAATCCTTCTCCGTAGCAGTAGCCTAGGATACCTTGGCCTCGAGCATTGCCTTGTTCAGCACTCTTCTTGTACCATTTGAATGCCTCTTGCTCATTTTTACTCACGCCTATGCCATCATGAAAACAGACGCCAAGACAGTATTGAGCTGAAGGATGATTATCTTGCGTTGCTGCACGAATGATCCATGAAACAGCAGAGACCCCTTGCTTTCTCATTTTCTCGGTCCATTCCTCTGCCTCTGTTCTATCGATGCGTACCCCTGGACGTCCGTATTTCCGGAAAAATGCCAAGCGAGCCATTGCTAACCCTTCGCCCTTTTCGGCAGCACTGAGATAGTGATGCTCTGACATGGACAAGTCTCGATCAACACCTAAACCAAATTCATAACAAAAACCAAGCACGGCTTCGGCTTGGGTATGTCCTTGTTCGTGTGCCTGTCTGTAATAGGAAATGGCCATAGTCTCATTTTTGGGGGTTCCGTTGCGGCCAAATAGATGGTTATCTGCCATATAAAAGAAGTGATTGGAGGGCTTGTCTGCATGTAACTGCGGTGTAGCTTCAAAAGAAGACTTAGATTTTGTTGACGGAGGACGTTGATGAGTTCTAGGTGTATTTCGTTCAAATTGAACTGGAGGAAGCTGTGGCTGAGTCATAGAACGTCGACGATGAAATTTTGACAGAAGCACCCTCTTTGATCGATGTAAAATATGAGAAAGATGCAGAGGACCTGTTGTCATTACTGCAAAAAATGGATGTGGGAAAGGGAAGTGGTAGGTCAAGAGGCAAAGGGGAAAGAGAGAGAGAAAGAAACAACAAAAAATATACACACACACAAAATAAAAAAAGAGGGAAGGAAAAAGGGAATCAAGCAGGAGAACGAGTTATCTCCCTCCTCTCCTGCCTAAACGCACATTTTTTCATAACAAGCAAAACTGGAACAAATTTGCAGCATCACTACCATCATCTGGTGTGTCCACATGTGGGGAGAAATATCACCATTTAAGTACTCTCCGTTTTACAACTGATTCATACCAAGTCATCAACATCTTTTGATAGAAGTTGTGAAGGAAGAAAGGTATACTCTGCTATGACGACACTGGCTGGTGCGTGACAATCTGCCCCTCTCTGTACTGCTTTGGATAAAGGGACAGTCGTACAACTGAAGCCGACCAGTCACCAGATGGGGTTTGCCACGATCCAAGGTGCATTGTGGACGATCGCCTAGTAGTGGCGTGATTTGCTAAAGTGTCAGACTTTGGTGAAATCGACACTACATTCATTCAGCTATAAAGAAATACATTTCCTTGCTTCAATTCGTTCTTCTTATTTTTTTTTTGTAGCGTGAATCATTTGAAGCAAGTGGGCTCAAAAGGTGTTGGCCGCCTTGATTCATCTTTCTGTCTCGAAGCAATTGGTTCTCTGAGATTAAATATGGATGGTCCCTCTATGGCCAGTCTGACGCTATAATTTTTTTTTTTTTTTTTTTTTTTCGTGCCAGCCTTATCCACTCTGAAATGACATCCACACAATGTTCTACTACATCGTTGGCTACACTTCCACACAAAACACATAGCCAACAGTGCTTATTGCCACCGACTCGACTCAAGCATTGCGACTCGGATTTCGAGTATTCCATTCACTCACCGCCGCCTCGATTCCAGCGTGAATTGACATACATCTTCCCGGCAATGAGACGGCAAGAATTGAAGCGGATACTTGTCGTTCCCGTTATTCAAAGATGCGATAATGACATGGTGGGAGTTACAATGGCCGCCAATGCAGAACGAGATGTCAGATTAGAACTGGTATGTAGTTTTTCTTTATTACTCCACTTTGTTCGCCTTCAGCCATAATAATCTTATCCGATATGTTCAGTTCGTCGAGTGGGGAAAGCTTGTAGTCGATCGCCTGCGGTCAGTCGGTATGTGGGCCGATATCATGGACCCTGCCTCAGGTTATCCCGTAAGCAGAATGATTGATTTTATTACGGCGTCCAATCGACAAGAATTTACTAATACTTTCGTCTAGATCTATGGCGCCCCAGGTGCTAGCCCATATCCAGATGTACAAGGCACCCAAGCACTCTTGAAATACGACATTCAGAATACCGGTTGCTGCCACGTACTCCTTCACCCTACTTGGGGCAGTAAAATTTACCCATCCACCATGTTCACCACCGCCCCAGCCGATATCCTCGCCCGAGTTATTGAAGAGATACAGCGCTCTCACCCAGCCGACAAATAATCTTTCTCTATTGAACCTCTATTTGTGGATCTATTCAACATAGAATTTACGTTTCTATTTTCCTTCGTTTTGCACTACATTCACACATTTCAAAGCCTAATTCAACCACGTTTTGTAAATATAGCATCAGATTCTCTCAACTAGAATCAAACAGACATTAGATCATATTAAAGATTTTTTCCTTGTAAAATTGGATATTGTGTTTATTGCTTATTTCTTTCCAGACTTCTTGATACCGCCAGAGACTGTAAATGATTGAAAGTAGGTAAAGGTTTAGTATATTACGTTTCCATTCAGCATTTGCGTCTTGTGAACAAAAAAAAAAAAAATAAGTATATAAAAAAAATAGTGTACATACCAAGAGGACCCTTGCCAGCAGCCTTAGTTGCCATCTCCTTGAGCTTCTTGGCCTCCTCTTGTTGCTTCTTCTTGAAAGCAAGATCCTCCTGAAAGAATCAAGCGACTTGAATGAGTACATGTCTAGACTGGTGGTAAAGTCATGTACACTAATCACTTACTTCGTCAAGATCACCTCCCTTCTTCTTGGCTGCCTTCAAAGGCTTAAGTTTTCCACCTACATACCAAACTTTGTTGAGAAACCAGTATCTTATGCAAGTTATTTACTGGGCAAAGTATGCTTCTTACCTTGGCGTCCGGACATGTTCAACAAAAAAACCGATATGGAGGGAAAGGCTACCACTGAATGAATTTTTTTTCTTTCACCTCCCAGAGACGATTCACGTGATTTCATCCAACCCATTTTGGATGCGTTTATTCACGTTCAGGACCCTGAGACGGTTCATGTCGAGGAAAATCATTATTCAGTATCGGTGTATGCTAGAAGTCTCTTGAATGGACATACGAAAAGTTGTTAATCTTGCTCAAAGTATGAATGAATTTATAAAGTATTAGTACCAAACGGACAAATCTAGTATACTTTATCAGTTCAGGCGGCATTTACTACCGAAAGTGTGATATTTAATCTGAAAGCTTTATTTACATTATCAACGTTTAATTGTTATGACCGATGCTTCAACTCCTTCCACAATGCAATTACTTTGTCTTCTCGCCAGTCTCCCCAAATCTCATAGATTCCAAGGATATCTTGCACAATTTCCACAATGGCGGCCATATCAACATTGAGGTCAGCAAACCACTGTCGCATATCTAACTTGTCACCAACCGATCCAGGTGCGAAGTCGGCGTGTTTAAGCACCACCGTTATGTAGATGGCGGCTAGGGCAATCATGTGTGGAGGGTATAAAAGGCAAACATCAGTGCGATACGAGTCGTTGACGATGAACCATGCGTATTGTAAGCCTGCTTCTCGTATACCGAGCTCCGTGGCAAAATGAGTAAGAGAGCGATATGGGTGCCACACAATAAGATAAAATTCCAATTCCTCCAAAAGATAGAACTCAAATTCAGCAACGCTAGAACTGTCGTATCGGAAACCTCCAATGTCTAGTGGACAGACACCCATCTATCAGCTGTCTGGTGCATTGAATTGGCAAATACTGTATGAAAAACCAAATTTACCTTGCAAGACATGTTTTGTTTCTTGGACAATCATCTTGATATGATGTGGGCATTCCTCGATTTTGCAGGCCAAATACACACACGTTGCCATGACCAGCATTGGATCCGTGCTTCGATAGCTATTTCTGTAAATGAATCAATGGTGAGTAAAAACGTCATATCTTGTAACTTATTTTCAGTGTAGGCATACTTGGTGTAAAACCGCTTGAAATAAACAAATGCAGTGGCCACAACTTGCTGTCGCAGTTGAAGCCGCTTTGCCAGTTTCTGGATCACTGTCGATTACAAGCATTTATGTTGAGAGTTAGATGCAAATGGTACATCCGGGGTGTTCTGCACTATCAATCAAGACTTACAGTTACAGAACCAAATGTTCAGCTTGACAATGTCAACCTCAGAGACATACTTTAAATCTTCTTGCCGACTTTGGACTATAGTCCATCGATCAAGCAACCAATGTTGGCTGTATACGGGGCAGAATCAGTTACTATGCAAATTAGAACCGCAGTTATGATATTTGAAATGGTAATTACCTGTGTGATGATGTCCAAAAGTTGGCAGCCATAAAACAGTGTGGTGAAAGAAAACAGGAGCGCTTCTTCAAGCGAAAGACTGGCTTTTTGGCCGAGAGAAATTTGGGCTTTTACCCCATTCAAAATTGATTGTGCTTTTTATTCAAGTATTTACATTTAAAACTCATTGTATTAATTCTCAAGATAGCCGTAATGATGATTAAACGAGCATCTTAGACATATAGGGACCTATAAAAATAAACATTTGGTAAGAGACATGAAGTGCAAAGTTGACCAAAATATCTGTGTTCCAACTCACCATCAAGATAATAGCCCAGCTTAGCGTAGTAGTGTCTCACGCCAACGCCAGAAATGACACTTAGTTTGACACTGCCATGTTCCTCTCGAGCAATACGTTCTGCCTCTTCCATAAGGAGGGTTCCAAAACCTTGATGCTGGAATTTGGTTGGGTCGCGGTTGTGCATGGGGACTACTGAGCCATAGACGTGCAATTCTCGAACAATCGATGTTTGACCAGCACTGGTAAGTTCAGGCCGGAAAGTTTGGGGTGAACACTTTCGCAATCTCAACAATCCGATCAAAATATCTTGGTGGGGGTCTTCATAAGACAAGAATGTCTCCCAGCCGCCGTTAGCAACATAGTCTCGGCGAATCAACTCCACTTGATCAGGCTTGATCTTGTTATGAATTTCAGTAATACCAACTTCTCTGGTTCGAACATCGCGACATTCAGTACCCAGATCCTTCATTCGGTTGAGAGCGAGTTCTCTCAAGTTACCATTCTCCACACCGGATGTAACAAGTGGCATTGGGATATCTCGCTGCACTCGGTAAATTCGAGTCCACGGGGGTACCAGGGCCAAAATGCGTGCGACAAGATCAATCAAGGCGTTTGGAGTATAGTTCTTGTAGCGACCAGTACGCCAGAGTTCATAAAGACCGGTACCGCGAATGACAAGGGTTGGGTAAATTTTTAGACCGTCAGATCGGAAAGCTGGATTTTCAAAGTATTCCTTGAATTGCTCAATATCACGTTCCATACCAACGTTGGGCAAATCAGGCATCATATGAGAAACCACTTTGTAGCCAGCATCTTTTGCCAACTGGAATGATTCACTAACGGCCTTGACAGTGTGGCCGCGGTTGGTATCTCGAGCGACATCCTCATATACACTTTGTACACCAATTTCCAAACGAGTACAACCGTATCGAAGCATTTGACTTAAATGGGGTTTCAAGCAGTAATCAGGTCGAGTTTCGATGGTAATACCGATACATTTAGTTTGACTCTGCTGAGAAAATCTAATGAAAGTCGCGAATTATTCATACTGCTTTGTTCGGATGGAATTCTGGTTCATTTAAACAAACATACCTGACTGCTTCATCCACGTCATTGCTAGAATGTCCAGAGAGGGCGTCATGCAAATTGGAGATAAACCAATTTCTATAGTCCTCAGGCATGGACATAAAAGTACCACCCATGATGATATATTCTACCTTGTCAACAGAATGACCCAAGCTCTTGAGTTGATCTACACGTCCTCGAGATTGTTCAAATGGATGATAGCGAGCTCTAATGGCTCTCATAGATGTTGGTTCATAGCCAGTATAGGACTGAGTGGAGTATTCAAAGTCAGAATCAGGTCCTCCTGGGCAGTAACTGAGGGATGATAATTTAGTGCTTGAGCTATTCGTAAGGCACAGTTTGACGTTGTCAAACTTACACGCAGATATTTCCTGTCATAGCAATGTGTGGGCATCTGTGGGGTTTGCACATGACAGCGACGACGGCAATCTTTTCAACAGAGTTGATTAGGAGGTGATGAAGGCATATGTTCGATGAATAGATCTATCGCTTACACCAGAGGCTGTTCGAACAGGCTTAGCCTTGAGTTGAGGAAGTAGCATTGCCTTTTGGTGCTCGGGAATAGCAGAGATAATGTCGACCAATTTTGGTTGTTTCTGTAGTTTGTTTTTACGAGAAATTCTCGATTTGAGAGCATTCAAGTTGACATCCTTCTTGCCTTCCATGGCAGACATCATTTCGGCAACAATTTCGCCGCATGCCTTTACCAAAAGTTCGGTCTATCGTAGTAAAAAAAATTGGTTAATGATCGTCTATTGCTTTAACCGTTGATGATTTCCGACATCTGACCTGCGAAGGACCTAAGTGGAAGGAGAAGTGTAAGTAATCATGCCTCATTCAATACTTCATTGCCATGGTTGATTCAATGTACCTTTCTTTTTTGTAGGTGCCACCATAGTGAAAGCTTTCGTTTGTTAAGAGCTGATCTCGGTTTTTTTTTTCGTTGGGTTGCTGGCTCACAAAAAAATGTGTGACTGCGGCTGAACACCAGGAGGGGTGGAGAGTACTTCTCAGTCCCACATCTCACCTTTGACTTCGCCCGCCTTATACCGATCATTACTCAGCATGGCTACTGACGAAAAGCAAGATTCAACAGGACAAGATCAATCTCAAGGAGAACATTCTTCTGTCATCATATCATTACACATCAAATCACTGGAGAGAACCACGCATTCCGTCCGCTTACCTCGCAACTCCACTGTCCTGCAATTAAAGGAACATATTCAAGCCGTTTCACAAGTAGACAGCCAACGACAGCGCCTCATATTTCAAGGGCGAGTTCTTAAAGACGACAAAAACTTGCTGGATTATGGTAAATGACACTATGACTTTCGTAGCTGATTATGCGTTGACTTGGTGGAGCAATGCAGCATGACGAAATAAGACTAACGTTTCCATTTCAGCCAATCTAGATGACGGAAAAGTTGTCCATTTGGTTGTGCGCCCTACTGGCGCTCCTCATAACCCAGACAATGGTAAGTTGATGACAAGATCAGGGTTAGAAAAGAATAACAGACATTGCTGCCCTTTCCTCTTTTTCTTCTCACTGCTCTCCTATTTACAAAAATCTAAAAATTTGTTGCCTTTAGATGACCCACATAGCGCAAGAGATCCTCATCCACGGGGCCTCCCTAGGCCGCGCCACCCATTTGGCGGCTCTAGGTTCCCGCCCATGGAAGGGTATGCTTTCATTACGCTAGATACTACTGTTGGTGAAATGGCCGACCCTGGCTCGGTAAGTCTGACAATCAAAATTTCATCCGGTTTTCTCTTGGTTTCTAGAAATGACTAATTTCTTTTTTAGATATTTTTTAACCTTTTGAACGGGCTTTCTGCAAATAATAATGGCCTCAACAACCCGGATACCGATTCCAACGCCAACAACAGTGCAGGCAATACTGCTGCTGGTGATAACAATAATACATCTCGTGTATGGGTAAGTCGATGTTTAGACATATCCATCTATGACCGATATGTGATATTTACCTTTTCTGTGTCATGGGGACTAAACAGCACCGCATCTCCCGCCCTATTCCTGGACCACCGCCTACAAACCCTCGCACCAACTCCAATTTGCGTAATCGAACCCATTCGGATGACTCAATAGGAAGTGAGCAGAGCAGAACAAGCGCGGCGTCATCCGGACCCGGGACTCCGTTTACTGTAAGCTACTTTATGTGAATTTGGCAGTAAATGCAGATGCTTATCCGATTTTTTTTCTTTTTCGCATCAGTCCAACATTGAATACAGGCTCTCTCGAACCATGTCTTCCATCGGAAACGTGCGCCAACTACTGGATACTCCCGTCGATGAAGGTAAGTTGAAGAGCTGTGGTTTTTCTTTCGGAGAGTCCTTACTAATGCTGTAGTGTCCGATCAACTAATTGGCCAATGATTTCCTTAGAAATTCGTCCAAATCCATCGGCAGCTTTCCCTAACCCTAGTTATGTGGAAGAAATTCGTAGACGATTGCGGACCAGTGGAGATTCGCCAACGGCTCAAGTTGGAGTAGTGGTGGATGAGCTAGCTGATCTTCTGGCCGACACCATTCCAAGGCTACGAGAATTGAGCCGAGGATTGAGAAACGAGACAGACGACACGACTCGACAGGTACAGTTATTTATAACAACACCACCACCTTTTTAATATAACGTTTCACTAACGTTTCACTAACGTTCCGCTATTGCAGGAACAGGAACGATTGCAGTTAATGGCGTTACGGTCGGCAAGAATTACCCAGGGATTAAGCTTAATTAACCACTTTTTGGGTTCAGTTCTTGGCAGTGCGGAATTAGAAGACCGGCCTCAGGATTCTCATGTACGCTTATCTGGCCGAGGAGCATTAGACTCTTGGCTATCGTATGTGCGCAGTGGAAATAGTGGCAGTGCTGGATTATCTCAGCCATCATCACAAAACTCGGACACAAGCTCTCGCAATCCGATCACACCCCTTCGCGCTACATCATCCATACAAAACAGTGCAGCAAGCAATGAAACCATTCGACGTGCCCTTCGAGCTGCCGGCATTGATGAGGCTTCCATCCAAAGATTACTGACACCACCGAGTGCAACGTCAGATACACCCAGCGCACCACCCACGCCAAGCACCGACACTGAAAATCGGAAACGAAAACAACGAGAAGACGAAGAAGCTACGACCGAACAAGGTGAAAGTAGCCATGGCAGTAGCCGGAGTGACAACAAAAAGGTCAAACCTGAGGAAGAAGCTAGCAAAGGAAAGAAGAAGACGGACTGAAAACGAATAAGAGGAACGGCATAAAAAGAAAGCAGAAGGGACAACAGCTAAAAGAAATAATCTTGGTTTATAGACATCTTGGCCTCTTCTTATTCATTCATACCTACGCATATACATTTGGTTTTTTTCTTTTAACCATCTCATTGTAATTCTTCCTCATTATCTCCTCCAAGGTCATCTTTGACGGTCTTTTATATTGTTTCTATTGTACACAACTTTTTTCTTCTAGTTTTATGTCTATGCGCCCTCCATTATTGACCATCGAGAAAATTTATACGCCAGGCTGGCAGGTAGTGCATTCTTCTCCTTTCGATGCTTGCCTATAGCAAGAAATAAAAAAACAATAATCGCCTTGAATATTCGTGGTTTCTTTTTTTGTTGTGATTCTGGCATGGCCCACACTTACTTTGCTCGGCGACATTGTTCTTGGAATTCATTCCATTCCTTCATACATTTGGAACGATCGTTGTTGTTCTTCTTCAGACACTCTTGTAGTGGCTTATGGTCGCAGCTCTGTACTTTATTGCTGGAGGTTGTTGAGGATTCCATTACTAATACCGTTGTGTTGGGTGCAGTTTGAAAAAAAGGCAAAGGGAAAGCTGACCTACAAATTATGGAAATTACGAAACAGTTTGTTCCTGACTCGATTGAATCGTACTGGCAAGAATTTTTCTAATCCGTGGCATTTATAAAAACGGAACGAAATACAACAAACAAAAAGAACAAATGAATGAATGATAAGAAAACAATAATGAAGCTATGTACAGTCATTTTCAATTATTTGAAGACAGATGTATGACCAAGAAAGATGAAATAATAACGCTTGGAAGTGCAAAGTATGTGTGTGTTATAGTGGTATGATTGCTTTCAAATGAAAGGAAAGAGCAATAAGTGGAACGGGCGACGGACTCTGGTGTGTGCAATGTTCTGCTGGATAGAGCATTACTAGTACCGGTTCATTTGTTCCTCAGTTCCAGACGGCGGGTCACCTGCTCCCATAACATCAGCATACATTTGCAATGCTCGTAAGATATGAGACGGATCCACTTCAATGGCCTCTCCCAATTTCTCGAGGACCCTTGTGAACCGTCCCATTTTTTGAAGGTACATCATCGACGCTGCGTTCTGAAGAATGAAAGAATCCATAAATACCCAAGTCGGAAAATTGGCATAGCGTAGGCACAAAACGATACTTTACCTCTATACGAGTAACGAGATTTTCAACCAGATGCAAAATTTGCTCATCGGAAGCAGCAGAGTTGATATTGACTTCCAGCAGAGAGTTTTGAAAGGTTGGTTGCAGTATGTTGCCGGAGGCAACACCTTCAAGACGGAGGGCAAGCCGAACGAGTGAGCGTATGTGATTGGATTCTAAAAGTCGTGAGAAGGTGTGCGATGGAGCAACATGATCTCCAACCGGCGAACCTGACGAATTGCCAGTTTCAGTGATATTAATGGCGGGTGTTCCAATGAGAGGCGGAGGGGTGATGTTGGCGGGTGGCACGACTCCACCATGCGACAATAGTTCCATCTTGTCAAGCTCCATACGAGCAGCAAGTTGCTTGGGGTATACCATACTGAGCAACTCTGGCGTTTCCAATCCTTTCAAGCGTCGCTCACCAAGCTCCATAACGTGGAATCCTAAACGTCTTAGCTGCACGATATCTTTACTGATGGATCGTCCGCTTCCAGCTATGACAGATGTGAGATCATCTCCAGCCAGAGAAGACTCAGGGCTTTGGGTTTCATCGCCTTCCAAAACGCCAGGGAAGCTTCGTAAGGCAGCAATAACGTCTGATGATACACAGATTTGCCCACCGTCCGCCGCGGTACAAATACGTCCTGCCTTGTTGACAACAGGTCCAAAGTAATCCATGCGATCAGTGATAGGGTTACGTTCAAATACAGGAGATCCCCAATGGATACCCATGCGGACAGAAAGTCCCTTGTAAATGACCACGCCGTCCTTTTCGATTTCTCGACCATCTTCAGTATCCAAGATTCCAGCCGGCCAGTCAGCTTCCAGTAGTTGCAATTGTACAGTGAAACACCACAGAAGCGCAGATGTAATATTTTGGAAACAGACCATGAAAGCGTCACCTTCCGTTTTGACTTCGTAACCTCCAACACTTCGCAGAGTTCTACGCATGACGGAATCGTGTATTTTGATAGCGGATCGCATTCCTTCAGGCTGAGTTTCCCAAAGCAGAGTGGAGTTCTTGATATCTGTGAAGACGAGAGCCACTTGATTGATGGGAGGTGGAACCTCACGGTCCAAACGAGCCAATGTAGAATCACCCGGACCGCCTTCTTTTCCACGACGCTTATTCTTACCAACCAATGAAAGAGGGCCAGGCGTAGTAGATCCGTCTTCAAGGAGAATGCCACCACCATCGGTTGCGCTGCCTGCTCTTCCGCCAGGAAGATTACCCCCTCTATTTACACGATATCGTTTGTCACGCTTGTCAAACATATCGCCCACTCCGATGACCATGACCATGATATTATCGTCAGCTCCATACGTAATGGCAAAATCACGCAACTTTTGCGCAGCTAACATCAGGTCTTCTTTTTCAGTTCGAGCAATGTCGACGGCACTTTGATACGACATGCGCTCCCAAAGTCCTTTCGAAGCCATGATCACGAATTCGTCCTCTTCAGTGAGATCAATAGTGGAGACATATGGATTGGCGTTCACAACGGGGATCAATCTAAAATGACCAAAACTTCTGGAAACGTGAAGTTCATTGTTCAATGTGTCCGAGTTCGAAATGTAGCCGCCAGCGGCTCGAATTCTTGAGATTTCGCTAGGATTCAATGGAATGTGCTTTTGCGTGATTTCATACGCTTGGCCATTGTTGCGGGAGATGACGGCGAGAGCGTCGCCAACGTTAGCAACGTACAACTTCGTGCCAGAAATGTAGCACACTACCGCTGACGCACCCAGGGATTTATCATCGCTAACAGTAGAACCAAGTTCCTTCTCCAAGGACAAGAACGTTCGACGAAGTGCCGCTACGGTTGTATCGTCATTTTTGACCTTCTTAAGTTCGGTTGTAAAGTGGATAGTGAACGCGTCGTTAAGGTATTTGGTGATTTTGCAACCTGATTTGGTGGTCTTTCGTCCATCGTAAAGTCCAAAGAGACACTCATCATCGCGCATTCGGAATCGTGGCATAACCAGATCCCAAGTGGCCAAATGATCATTGGGACCTAGCCAGTCTGCAACACCGTACGCCATGCTGTTGACTTCCGAAGGGGAGGTTCTAATTCGGCGATCATTAGTTTCTTCAGGAACAGAAACAAGAATTGTGACGTCCATTAAACCCAAGGCGCGTAGTCTTGACAATGCGCTAAAGTCTTCTATGTCTTTATGAACTTTGATCTCCAATCGCTTATTACCGGAAAGATTGAGATATTTAAGACCCAGGTTATGATTCCTACAAAGTCAAGAGAATGAATAAAAACACTTCATCAAACAAGAAGGAAGTAATCAACAAACTTACCAATTCCAATCGTATTCTAAATTGGCAATGTTGTACTTCAAGACATTGCTTCCTACATCCAGTACAAGTAGCTTTCGTAGCTTCTTGATTTCAGCGGGTAGAGTTTGGAGCTTGTTTCCATTTACAGCAAGAACACGTAGATAGCTAAGCTTTTCGATATCATCCGCCGGCAGGGAAGCCAATTGATTTCCAGAGAGATACAATTCGTATAAATGTTGATGACAAAGGCACTCAGAAGGTATATCGTACAAGTCATTAAAGCTCAAGTTGAGAGTGCGGAGTTCAAGGAACAATGATAGCGGCGACCACACATCATCTGTTAAACCATTGTCACCCAAGAATAGCTGTCGCAGCGATAGCGAGAGTGGTGGAGGATGGTTACGTGGGCTAGCGAAGAAAGATGGTGGATTGAAGTTAGGTGGAGCATGTGGTGAAGTCACACCACTTGGATTATTTTGTGTGGAGATACTTGACGTGTTGCTCGACCGTCGCTCATTGGTATTGTTTGGTAAAGAGTCTGTTCGAGGAAGGTAATCTGCAGGCAAAGGTGGATTTTTGGCAGAACTGTCAAACATTTGAATATGGGTATTATTGGCATTTGGATTGATCAAATGAAGTGGCATGTTGGTAGATTGCAATGGAACCATGCCTTGGCCTGCATTACTTCCTAGTGCGGTGCCTTGCGGAAGATCGGAAGCAGCATTGGCCATGACGGTGGGAGTAACAACAGTTTGTGCTTGCGGACCGAGTGCCAAGTGCAGAGCTACGCCTGGAGCAGAGTAAGGTTCAGGGAACGTTTCAAGCAAATTGGACGAACAATTCAACATTTGAAGAGCAGAGCATAACCAAATTTCCTTTGGCAAAGTTTTCAAATTGTTCTTTTGCAGGTCCAAGCTCTTGAGTTGACCGAGTTTTGCAATCTCGACAGGAACACTAGACAACAGGTTGTTTTGCACTGATAGCTTGCTGAGCATTCGCAATTCGCCGATGCTAGACGGCAATGAGTTCAAAGTATTGTTGTCTAGAACTAAGATCTCGATAGCTGTCACTTGCGAAAACATGTCTTCCGGCAAAGAAGAGAGTTTGCAGCTCGAAATATTCAGCTCAGTTAGCACTGATCCTGTCATACCAGGGAATCCTTCAATCTGCCTAGGTATACCAGTCGTATCTTCAGTGGTGGGTTGATTGGGAGGACTCAAGTTGAACTGTGTGAGGTGGTTCTTGCACATTTTGAGTTGTCGCAGGTTTTTGAATTCGTTGTTAACGATGCTCACGGCATTGTAATCAACAAATAGAATCTCCAAACTTGGTAAGCAGCTCAAGACCTCCATATCAGTGATCAAATTTTGCCGTATATCCAGCTCTTTCAAGCGTGCCAAAAATCGAAAGCTTTGAGGCAGTTGGCCAGTCAATTGATTTGCCACCGCCCACATACGAACTAAATTGACTAAAGATCCAATCTCGGATGGGAAATCGGTGATTTTGTTGAAGCTGACGTCTAAATCCAACAAGCTTGTGATTTGGCAAATGATAGTTGGAAATTCGGTGAAGGAATTGTTAGAGATGTTGAGGGTAGTCAAGTGCTTGAAGTTGGCAAACGACGGTGGCAGAGAGTCCAGACAATTGTTAAAGGCAGTCAAGGACGTCAAATGTTCCAATTGTTCCAACTGAGCATGTTGTAATTCGCGTAGTCGGTTACTGGATATATTGAGTTGCTCCAACGATCGGATGTATCGAACCGAAGGCGGGATCATAACATAGTCGTTGTTTATCAGCCGAAGAACCCGCAAACTGGTGCACATTTGAACAAAATCGATGGGTATTTCGATCAAAAGGTTTTTGCTAACATCCAGTTGCTCAATGCGAGCAGCATGACGGTAGAGGAAAATAGGAATGGCTGGTAGATTGCATGCTTGTAGATCCACGTGTTGATAGTTGCCAAAATCGAGCTCTTCTTCTTGTAATGTATGAGCGACGATAGGTCCAAATGTAAACCGTACCAAGTAAGAATTGTCCTCTCTGCCAACATCCTCTATTCTATCTAGATCAGTATACCCAATCTGCTCCAACAACTGCTTTTGAATCTGCAAGGGTCGCTCATTTGGAGCCAAGATACGTTCTGAACAAAATGTAAGGTAAGCGATCTAGGGTGGTTTTTAAACGATATGATTTTTCTAAGCTTACCTAGTTTATGCCGACGCATGCGAAGGCCATATTTACTAATGTCGGGCAAAAAGAACTTTCCAGCCAGTCGGGTGACAAGCTCGCTTGCTTGTGTATGCAAAGGCACTTGCAACGTTGTGAACGTCCCATCTGGTCTAAAAATTCGAATACAGTACTAAGGGAGAGAGAAATGGATCAGTACATATGAACGTGGGCCGTTCAAACATAACATATCAACTCACATTTTTACGACTATGCTCCCATTTCTCTTGGTCGACGGTTGAGAAGCCTTCCTCATCTTCCGGCTCTTTGTCGTAAGACTCAATAGGTGTGCTTGTACCAGGATACCGCGTGGAAAAGGACGGAGCGGGTTGGACTGCCCAACTGTCAGGAGGTAACCATGCTTCTGTATCACTGCTATAGACTGAGCTGGCGAAAAATGATTCTGGGTGCTAAAGAAATGAGAGCAGCATTTAGTTAAAGACATGATCGCCCCAATGCTTCTGAAACACTGGGGAATTGAATAAGGCAATTTTACTCACCAAAGTTGATTGGCTGCCTTGATTTGAATGATACTCAGTGTTGACTATGCCTTCCATGCTATCAAAATTCTGATCCACTGTATCCACAATGTTAGTATATTATGCTGCATGCAATGTTCGAGATTTAAACTTCAAACACCAGCTATGGCTGTCATCCTTACATTCGGTTTCCTATCAAAAGACAATGGTGAGTCAACATGAAGCAAGATCAGATATTCGCTCTATGATAAAAATCTTACTCTTCCATCCTTGAAAGCTGGTATATCTCCTTTTTCAGATCGTCTTTTGCTAGCAGCCGTACCTTGATTGCGTTTTGGTGGAACCGCATAGAAATGAGGGCCCCATTGCGGCGCAAAGTAGGCTTCATCATTGGGTGTGAAACTAGATATGGAATGAAATGTATCGGAAGAGCCATCGGATCGTTTGCGGTTCGCAGTAGGTGGTGGATTAGGCGTAGATGAGCCTGATGAGAATAACGGGATCGATGCACTGGAAGAGTTTGGTGTCATCATCATCGTATTCAAATTTGAATGACCTTTGATAGAGAGAATAAGGAAACCACCAAAAGTTTTCAGTGGGTGGGATTCATGAGCACTCATCCACCACCAGAGTAAGCTTACTTTTCTTTTTGCCAAATCGACCAAACAAATGTCGCTTCTTATGAGGAGCGTGTGTTTCTGTGAAAAGTAATAACCGAGATTAGATAAAGCAAATGGTGATAGCTCAATGCGGGGGGCAGCAGAACAGGAGAAGCTAGAAAAAGAGGGGCGGGCGGGAGAATTCAGATAATAAGGATAGAGAAAGAATAAGTAACGAACCGGTAGGCTGCTCAATCTGCCGATGTTCACCAGAATTGCTTCTGCTCAAAGGTTTTGGTGGTTCTGCACCAATTTGTCGACCTCCCCTGGGATACTGTACTTCTTGTTTCCTGGTAGGGCTGGATGAACGTGATTGTGGATTGACCATTTCTGCTGGATTATCCAAAGATCTTCTCCGTGGCAAATGTTGATGACGGGCAAAAGGGTTCCGGAGATGGGAATGCGTAGATACAGATGGAGTTGGGTGGACTGTTGGATGATTACAATTATGATGAGCGGGTTAAGATCTCGAAATGACGTTGGACCTTTCACAGTGTGGTATTTTTACCTTGTGGAGCAAGCAGCGTGTGGTTGGTCGGAGTGCGTGTGGATTTACTCTGGGTTGGGACTTCATTAGGCGATGCTGATAGATCCCAGGACATACTACTAGTATGCTTCCTCCCCATTTTACCAGCCGACGTATCAGTCATTGCAAGGTGGAAGAAAGGATAGGGAACGTGTTTAACGAAGCTGGGGGGGAGAAGGGAAGTTTATTTTTTTTTTTTTATGCGTGAAAAACGGTTTTGCTGTAAAAAAAAATTTGGGCTGATGGAAAAAAATATAATTGAGATGAAAATGCTCACCTATTGTCATTATTATTATTATTATTATTATTATTATGAAGAACGGTGTGGTAAAAGAATATTACATGAACGCGTAGGTTATCGTCTGTTGCTATCCTGCGCTATAGAATGTCTAAACGTGACCCATTACTACTGAGAAGCGTAAAGCTGTCGGTGTTTGCATGCCAGGTGCATTGCGTGTCATCTCCGCATCAGGGCTCACTCCTTGATGGTCGTCTACAGTGGATGGCCGGTCACTGTACAGACTGGTGCTCTTCCAGCCCTAAAGATGTAATATATAATTTAGTCTCAATTACATCTATTTAAAAAAACAAAACAAGGTCCACTTACCCAGCTTTGAGAGACCTTGAATTCATCCGGACAACTTTGGAATAAGGTCAAGGCTTGCTTTGGTCCTCGTGCAGGACAGAATATTTTAAACCAAGTACGAACACATTTACGTCTGTCACTGTAGCCGGCAGAGTTCGCCGAAGACGAATCGCTTCTCACTCGTGCATGCTCAGCATTGCCGCCTTGCTCACCTACCGCTGCTCCGGTATGGCCGCCAAATCCCGTAGTCAAAGGAATAGACTGGCGGTGCAGATAGATGCCTAAAAGTGGACCTTTTCGCTGAGATTTGTGCTTTTGAATATACATGTTCCAGTTGGACCTAAGAAATAGCTTGTTAATATCGTCATGATGATAACTAAACTCCGGCGCTGTTCTGTTATCTTCTATTTCATTGTCCTCTTGCTTACCCGGCATAAAACACATTTTTAGAATAGACCTTGACATTGGGCTTAAGCTGGGCAACATCATTAAATTCAACACTGAAGCGAAAGGGGGGATATTTTGAATAGCTTTTTGCAAAGGTTTCGGTGGGATTGGTGGCAATGCTGAAAGTTGATGGGTTTGGCATAGGCTTTAGGCTGGATGACATTGACTTCTGGCCAATAGCCTGTGATAAGGCGGACTCTCCTGTGGAGTTCGTCGTGTCGTCACTAGGGATAGCGTATCGAACTTTTGTATGATCGTCCATGGTTTCGTGATGGCTAGAACTAGTTACCCCGAGATCGGTATCCCTTTCATTCGCAGATTCAATGCGGGATCGCAACTCTATTTGCTGCCACAGGGCATCCTTGAGAACATGGTCTGGTACATATCGTTGTCCTGTGATTTCATCTCTGTCTTTTCTTATTTTTTCCAGTTGGTCAAAATTCATATGGGTATAAAAGATCGAATTAGAAAATATATCTTCATAAACAGCTTCATGTTCCTCGTTCAAGTAATCGATGGCAGCTGGACTCATTCCCTTTGAATGCATCTCCGAGGCTGACTTGTCGCTTAGGCCACTTTGTCGACGACTTCGAGAATACGACATACTGGATATGGAATGTTCAAGATTTTCTCGTGATGGAGCCCACGACCTTGTCTTTTCTTGTTGTTGTTGGCTATAGAGCCTACGCTGTTCAGAAATGACCTGAATGGCAAATCTATACCGATCGAATTCACTAGAAAAAAAAACACAAAAACAAACAGATATTGAGATACGATGATCTTCAACACAATGAAGCAAGTATTTGAAGCCCAAGCTAACCTGGGTACCCAGAAAGCGTCACTTTCAATCAACTTTTGAAGCCAGTCCACTGGCATTTGGGCGATAGACAGGCGATCCATATTCCAGGCTTCCCTGCACAGGAACGTGAGCACAGCTTCCAGAATCCTGCTGCTGCCGTGCAACGCATACTGATCAGCGAATATGAGATAATCAACGACGTTATTTTCTTGTAGATCGCTCGTGATGAAATGATAACAATGGTCGCATAGTTGTTCTAATTGAAGATAGGAACATGTAGCCAAAATATGGCGGACATTACTGTGATTGATATCCGGGTCATTCATTTTGCCATAGAGTCGGGCCAAGACAAATTCAAATGAATCAGCTGTAATATAGGCATTGGATTCGTCAAAATGAAGTGTAACAATGCCTGAAGAAGCTTCACGAAAATTGCCATTCAACAAGGTGGAGAAATATGGATTTTGATCCAGAATTAAACGGTGAAGCTTATAATGTTTTTTCCATGCCGGCACAGATACAGTAACATCACTTCCAACGCCGTCGATGAATCCCCTTGAAAAGATATGCATACATAAATTCAGGGACTGCTGGTGCCAGTCGTAACCGGTTACTGAGGACCCAGTTGCTGGTGTATTAGCACTGCTGTCTGGAGTAGTGGAAGAACTTGCTGTGTCAGTTATTTTATGCGTCCGTTCCAGTGGAGCATCCACTGAAGCATTTGAGATAAGTCTTCTTGTTGTGGTTGCTGCGCTGGGCATCAATGGTAGCATTGGGGGATTCGATTCCGTCCTGCGTCGTGAGGACGGAGTAGGCGGTGGCGATGTATCCATGGCATCATTAGAGGAGCTGGACGAATCAGGTCGGCTAAGCGATAGCTCGGAGACCAAGGTTTCTATGGAAGATAAGCTTGCTCTAGCGGCCATGACTAGGACCCTGAGGTTGTATTCGGGAATAGGTCAAAACAACAGAAGTGTGACAAAAGAGGTGACGTTCTCCGTTATGCTAAAAAAAAAAATAAAAAAAATAACAATCTCCAAAGACCAATCTAAGAAACCACTCTCACCACCTTGAATTACAGCATATCTTCTCCTTTGATTCGATATAATTGAAAAAATATCTTTGGTTTCATCGCGGTGCTAATAATGCTTTCGAAAAGTTAGGAAGTGGGAACCGCTCTGGCAAACATCTAATTTTGGAAATGGCCCGGACAAACATTGCCGTCTGACTGACCCACGTTTGATGTCTGTTATGCGACATAAGACAACGATAAAGATATTGAATATGTAAAGAAGTGCTGTAACAGCTTTAAGACACCTTTCTTTCATGCTGCGTTCCCTGCCGCTAAGCATATTTTTATTCGCGGGTCTATGAGTTGTGGCGCGATTCAGGCACCGCCGGGCTTTTAGTTGCCACAGCCTCGCCTCTCAACAAAACTGTGCTTCCCTTCCATTTTCCTCATCATTAACCGATCACCGTCATGAGCTCCAATTCATCCACATCGCCGTTTACTGGCGGTGCTGATACCAGTGGATCTCTTTATAAGGTCATTGGTGTGTCCCTGGCTATAGCTTCTGGTACGTGGATAAAGTCACCTGAGTGGGTCTCGGCTGCCTCTAAACTGACTGGAAAATTTTATCCACAGGTGTATTTATTGGATCTAGCTTTGTTTTCAAGAAGAAGGGTCTGATTAGTTCAACCGAAAAATCGGGTAAGATATAAAAGAACATGGAGCGGTCAGTGGACATCATTCTAAACGCAGAGTGCATTATGTAGGCGGTGTAGCAGGAGAAGGTCACAGTTATCTCAAATCTCCTATGTGGTGGACGGGAATGATACTCAGTAAGCTATATGTTCGAGAAACTGCATAGGATGGGCTGAGCAAGCTAGGTCTCACATATTTTTGTACTTTTTTTTTCCAGTGATTATTGGAGAACTGTGCAATTTCATTGCCTATGCCTTTACCATCGCCATCCTAGTTACACCTCTTGGCGCGCTGAGTGTTGTGATTAGGTAGGTCAAAAATATCAAAATGGAAGACTAAATTTAAATGGCCGATGCTAAACCAAAATCAAATTTCCTCTCAGTGCGGTTCTTTCATCGATCTTTTTAAAGGAACGGTTGTCATTTCAGGGCAAAGTGGGTTGCTTTCAATGCATTATAGGTGCCGTTGTGATTGTGCTACATGCCCCACAACAAAGCTCTTCGGATACAGGCATCGATGCCTTTCAAAAACAATTTTTGTCTGTCGCATTTCTCGTATACTTTGGTCTATGTATCCTCATATCCGGTATTTTAGTCTTCTGGGCTGGTCCTAGGTGGGGAAAGAAGAATATGTTGGTATACATTACGGTGTGTTCTCTCATTGGATCTATTTCTGTGGTCTGCACTCAAGGTCTCGGGGCTGCCATTATTCACTCTATCACAATCGAGAATGAATTCAATCGACCGTTCTTATATATACTAATGGCCATCGTTGTCGTTACTCTGCTTACTGAGATCAACTACCTGAACAAAGCCCTTAACTTATTCAACACCGCACTAGTAACTCCTACGTACTATGTCACCTTCACCACCCTCACCATTGTCAGCTCAGCCGTATTGTATGGAGGCTTTCAAGCCTCGGGTGCGGATATCGCCACCGTTGTGATGGGATTCCTTATTATCTGCTCTGGAGTTGCATTACTTCACCATTCAAAGAGTCAGCCTACTCAAACGGCCGTGGTAGATAGTGAAGGAAACGTTCTGGAAATCATCAAGGATGAAAAGTATTTGGAAGAGGATGATGAAGATGATGATGACGATGCGGTTCCCGGTACTCAAACCCATCGATTCCGTTCGGCTCGTACAGCCCCACCTGGCCATTATGACCCTGGTCCAGCTGATCTTTTCCCTGCACCTTTTGTTGGCATCCAGCGGTATGCCACCACTACGCAACGAAACCGAGCATTGTCTACGAAATCAACAAAAGAGAAAAATGAAGATCGTCTGAAACGACATATTAGTCGACGGTATTCAACCAGAGTTACCTCACCAAATTCAGGAGCTGCTGTGGAGTTCTCTCATACTATATCTATGGGCAATACCAATTCGGGTGAGGATGGCATTAGCAGAGAGAGGCGATGGATGCAAAACTTCCCGAACCGCAAATCTTCGACGTGGGATGATGAGGAGCAAACAAAGATACCACTTGAAAAGCTAGATGATCAGATGGGTAAGTTTGGGTTTCGAGGTAAAGGAATCTTGAAAACAATCTGACCATATTAACCAAACCCATTTTACCTTTTTACTAGTGCGCCACCAGCTTACTGATAGCCCTGTTCCTCCACCTCATGGCGCTGAAACCCTCATTCCCATTGATACACCGTATTCTACTGCTGGCCACCGAGACCAAGACAAGATAGGACCAATTGCTTCCATGAAAAAGAAGATATCCAAGGAGTCTGATGGTGACCGTCAGGGTCTCGTATCCAAAGAATTTAGTGACGACGAAGATTCACCGTTTGATTATACGCGCGAATATATGGATGACAACGATGACGAAGTGACCGGTCTCCGTCGCGGGCTGTAGAATAAGGGACTTCCTTTCCCTTCATATCTCTCTAACTCCCTTTTTTTTTTTCAACTTGTACCATTATCTATAAGTTGCATGCACTCCATTGTAAGCATATACCATGTAGCAACAAATAAAACAACGCGCCTGATTGTATAGTCAAAACATGGAATTTAGTGTCGAAGAAAAAAAAAAGTGCTGAAAATTATATGGCCTATTAAATAAGGCAGCTATGAAGTCAAAAGCATATCGTTCTAGATCAAACTACTCTCTGTTTTCTTGTCCATTGATGTATTTATGGATAACTACTGTAGGCTCAAAAGGCGATACCAGCCGCCTTCTTAAGTGCGGTCACTAGCAGATCCGCTTCCTGCTTGCTTTCAACAAACATGTGGTAATAGCTATTTTGGAGGCGAATTTCAACAGCGTTGGGAATACTGATATCGTGGTCTCCAATGAGGTGGCGAATTTGTGTTGTCTGGGGTGACAGTGGCAACACTTGAGCATTTCGCTGGTCCTAAAGATTGGATAGTTAATACATAGATCATGGAGCTAAATAGTTATTCTCATGTTCTTACCCCTTCGACACGATACAGTAGCATGTTGGAGCTTCCGATAGAAAAGAACCGGCGCTTCCAGAACTGCAAAAAGACACCGGTTAAATATAAGGACTCAGGAAGCTAATCAGCATCATTCTGGTATGGGACAACTTACTGGGCAGTTTTCATTCAATACCGAGACATAACCGGTCAAAAGAGTCTGTAAATGTATAACAAGGTTAGCTATTAATGATTTAATTGTAGAATAGAGGTAGTGCTAATGACTTACGTTTCCGTTGCGCTCAGCTTCTTCAAGTTGGCGCTTAAGAGCTGCTTGTGCTCGCTTTGCTTCTTCCTCTCTGGCTCTCTTCTCAGCTTCTTCCTGAGCAGCTTTTCGTTCCTGTTCTTCAATCTCCTGGCGCTTCTGCTCTTCAGCCAAGGCAAAGGCTCTTTTCTCTTCTTCTTCCTGTTCATGACGGATCCTCTCCTCCTCAAGCAATTGCTCCTGTCGTTCTCTTTCTTCTTGCTGCTGTTTCAACTCTTCTTGATAACGCTCCTCGGCTTGGGTGGCATCCTCATGCTCGATGATTTCTGGCTCTTCACTGATGCCACTTTCGGGTGATGGTTGAGCATTTTCGGACGGTACGGGAGAAGAAGGTGTAAAACCAGCTGCACCACTCTGGATTCTCATTGAATTGCGCTTCGACATGGATTGTGGTCGAGAATTCGATTTTCCTGGAACTCTATTTTCGCCAACTTTCAGTTTAGTGTAAATGTTGGTGTCGCTGAGCTCACTGGGCAATGTTGCTGTCATTTGTGCGTTATGGACAGGCATCAGGGTTGCCACGGCCCGACCATGAACTAAGGCGCGGGCTACAATAAATAATAAAGCATTAATGTGAATCACTGCCACGATGAGTGCTGGGACAGGATGTCTCACCTCTGCGAACTCCACTGTAAAATTAGATCAGTTCATGTAGTTAGTTCCAGTTATTCGGATTAACCGTAGCTCATGTATAGAGAAGAATATATACCTGACTTGTTCTGATATATAGGTAATCAAAATGAATCGATCATCCAATCTAAGGAATCCAAAGAGAACCTCTTCCCTCAAATGGTCCCTGAATTCACTAATATATTTTTGAGCCAGTTATTGGCCTACAACTTTAATAAATTTTGCTACAACATATTTCTTATTGACAAAACTTCTTACCTCAATCCATTGGTACCTTTATCGTACAATGAAATTACATCTCGAGTATCATTGTAACCTAGGATGAGCCTTTTTTTGAGGAAATGGTGAATTAGGCACTATGGAGGACAGATGAAGGCACATAGGAAGTCAAAAATTACCAGTCGGTTGGCTCATAGTCGATAATCTCGCTGTAAGCTTCCAGTATCTTTGGATCCTGAAGATTGCAAGACATTTCAAGAGTATATTAAGTTGGAGAGGTGCAAGCTAAAGCTGATCTTTGGTTGCACAAGCTTCGATATTCAGTCGTACTGGCTCTCAAATTGCACAAGAATTTGCTTGTCACACCGTCGAAGTCTGAAAGACAACAGTCTCCTCTCCTAACTGACCCTGATATTTAAAGTACAATGAATCAATTTATGCAGTCTGGTATTGCGAGACATTTAGAACCTGATATTAGTATTGAAATGATGAAAATTTGATAGAATGTAGGCAAAAGAGACGAAATAAATATGTAGATGTATCCTCAGTGAATTGCCGCAGTAGACAACATTTGTTCTCGCAGTATGAAGAGCAAACATTATGAGAGCGAATTACTAATTTCAGTTTACTCTCTCGAAAAGTATAAATTGCCCTTTTTCCGACCTCTGCAGCTCATTCATCACTTCTATAATTACTTATAACCATATGTCAGCCATCGCGAAATTCATCAAGTCTTTCAAAAACAAGACCGACCCCAATTCTTCTGGCCAGATGAAAGATACCAAAAAAGAAGTTAAAAAGGAGGCCCCTAAGCGAGTCAGGACTGGCCATTTGAAATTTCGTTAGCTCCATCAAGTTTCGCAACTTGTCAATGACCCTATGCCATTTCAACTGTATCATAAAGAAATATACCATAATATGAAATAAAATGCAACTATGGATTTATTTATATATGTCTATTTATGATGTTCTTCGTTTCTTATGCGATCAAAGCATTTCTTGACCTCTTTCTCGTAGTCGCAGACGGCGATGATCGTCCATTCCAAAATGCCGACGAGGAAGAGTGCAACACACTGACCAACCCACAGTCCTGCAAGACCATAGTCTTGGCGGAATGCAAGATAAATGCCGAGAGGTAACGCAATGATATAGTAGCTTACTAAATTCACCACAGCCCCTAGGTGTTGGTTACCCATACCACGCAGAGATCCACCGCAACTTCCAGCCACGCCATCAGCGATCTGGAAAGCCGCTACCCAAGGCATGACTTCGCTAGTCAGCGTTACTACATTTTCTTCGTCCGAGAACAAGTAACCAAATTGCTTGCGGAATATCATCATGAGGGTCATGACAACGATGCCAATACTTGCTGCCAAGGCTGCGCTAAGATTGGCAGAATTTCTGGCCCCGCGAGCATTTCCACTGCCAAGCAAGTTGCCAATGCGGTTACTGGTGGCAATAGAAATACCAAATGGAATGGTGTTCAAAACTTGATCGGTTGTCATGATGACACTTTGCGAAGCCAGAGCAACGGTGCCTAGTCGTCCTGCGGCTAGGGCTACAATCTCGAATGCCCACCATTCGGTTCCAACCATGAGAATACCAGTCGATGCCAGTTTCATAAAGTCGCCAAGGTTATGGAAGGCCAGTCTTGAAAAACCGCCCCAGCCAGCGGAGCCTTCGACTCGCCAAATATATAGGACTAGGAGAGCAAACATGAGCCAGTACGTGATGGAGGTGGCGATAGGAGCACCGATAAATCCAAGACCAAACGACTCATTCCAAACCAATAGGTAATTGAGTACCATATTGACAGGCGACGCAATGAAAAGAACATAAGTGCCAGCATGCATGATACCTTGTGCTTGCAAAAACTTCTTGGTTGCTTCGAATAGAATATAACCAGGGGCTCCAATAAGGAGATAGCGCAGGAACAGAGCAGACATGCGACTTAATTCAGGCTCTTGTCCTAAGTAGAGAAGCACTTGTTCGACATTCCACCATAAGAAACCAATAGGAATAAACATTAACCCAAGCAGAATGTATGCTCTTTGAAGCAAAACACCAATGTCGTGTGGGTTATCTGATCCAGTCCATGCTTGAGAGCATAGGGTATCTGATAGATTTTTTAGATAAATCAATATCATTTCATCCATTTTATCCGTCACCAAATATTTTCTACTCACCTAAAGCTGTACTTCCTCCGAGTGCCATGACCCAAGCGGTTACCATTGCAAACATAAAGGCAAATGCTGAAGCAGCAAGCTCTTCGGCACCCTGTACGTCGTTAAGGAAGGCGCTGTTAGAGACAAAATGATTTTAAAATAATGATGCCCGCCCGCCAAAGGAAAAACTGAACGCAAAAAAAAGGAAGGAACTGTCTTCATACCATACGTCCAACAATCAATACACAAGCGGTTTGCAGACTGTTTTGTAGCATATAGGCAAATATAACAGGGATTGATGTTTTGCATAATACCCATATTTCAGCTGTGTACGATATGTCATTGGGTTTTGCTTTTTGTAAGAGAGGAGTGGTCTCTTCAAGGTGTTCTTCCAAGTACTGGTTATCATTCTGTGTATGAGTTTCTTGCATACTTTGTGAATGCAATGTATCTGACGTTGACAAGGAGCTATATATCAGAGCAGGACAGAAAGGATATTTCAACATCTTGCGAGAATCGGTTATCAATTTTATTTGATCGCTCTTATTTTTTTTTGCTAAGAGATTGAGGAAGATTTAACATTGCTTTCCTTCTGTTTACGTAAATTTTAGAAATAATAACACACAGTATCTTACATGTTGCTAGTTACGTAAAAAGTTCATTGGCCTAGCCCACTTATATGAACAGAATTCGTTTGATATACTAGTTGATTTCAATAAAATATATAGACAGGGACATGCATGGCGGTAGAACATCTTTCAACTTGAAATCAAATATATATTTACACTGGTGATTGATGATGCCAACGACTCGCCGTCCGATTAAGCATCGTTCCACGGATCAACGGGAAGGAGGGAAGATCAATCTGTCACATGGTGTATGATTGCTTAAATCGGCATTTCAATCGGTAATCTCCAGGTCGGAAGAGAAAATCACCATTTATCTGTGCTTCTTTCAATTTTTTACGTTATGATTTATAGCTGATAACGCTTTGTTCAACACCATAGGCTTTTCACTTCAACTTTGCATAACTTTGAATGTTATCTGTCATTGACAGCATCACTTTTCATTACTCTAAAAAAGATCATCCTTTATCTCGACTTTCTCGAATATAATAGACCACACATTCTTTGCTATCCCCCAGTTTTTCACCATCTGTCACATCTCTTTCATCGATCCTTGCACCAGCCAAACAAAAAACCCTTTCAAACATTCAACAAACATGAAAGATTTTGAACAAGGAAACGTTGATGCCTTCGATGAGGACGCAAAGCAGTTGCGATCCATGGGTTATAAGCAGGTAATGTTCAATATCCTGTTGGAATTATTCGCATATTATCTTGTCTAATCTCAAAGTTCATAGGAATTCAAACGAGAGTTCAATGCCGTTTCCATATTTTGTTTTTCATTCTCTATTATGGGCGTCTTGGCCTCTGTATCTTCAACAATCAATTTCCCCATGCTTTCCGGAGGTCCAGGTAAGGCTCTAAAAAAAAGTTTTTTATGGTTGGTTACACCATCTCTTTGTTTTAAGGTTCTAAATCATTTTCGTTATCAAAGTTGCCATGGTATACGGCTGGATTCTAGGCTCATGTATGGTAATGTGTGTCGCGCTTTGCATGGCTGAACTTGTCAGTGCTTGGCCATCCTCTGGAGGACTTTATTTTTTCGCTGCACGGCTATCTCAGCATCATAATAACGGCAAATGGACACCTATTGTCACTTGGATGACAGGTTGGTTCAACATCATTGGCAATATGGCTCTCGTAGCGTCTATCGATTATACACTTTCCACCATGATAGTTGCTGAAGTGGCTATCGCAACCGACTTTACCTATTCCCCGACTTTCGCCCATACCTACGGTATCTATGCTGCAATCTTGTTTCTACACGGCTTGATGGGTAGTCTACCCACTCGATGGCTTGCACGCGTCAACAAAGTATATGTCTATTTCAACATGGCAAGCACGCTGGTTGTGATCGTCTGCCTTTTCGTTATGGCGCCACAGAGGAACTCTGCAGAATGGGTATTTACCCACTTCGATGCTGACACAGTTGGATGGCCAGCTGGCATGGCCTTCCTGCTAGGTCTCATTGATGTTATGTGGACTTTGACTGGGTACGATTGCGCCGCTCATCTTTCAGAAGAATGTAAAAACGCTTCTACAGCGGCACCAAGAGCCATTGTTCAATCTGTCAGCAGCGTTGCTATTACAGGATGGGTACTGATTTTGGCCATAGCTTTTACTGTTCCAAGCATTGATGATGCCCTCGCCTCTGCAACTGGTATGCCCATGGCTCAAATCCTCTATGTCAACTGCGGAAAGTCAGCCACTCTCGTTCTTTGGTTTTGCGTTATGCTGGTTCAATTTTTCAGTAAGTTACGTTTCTAAATTTCCCAAAAAAAAAAATGCAAGTTTTCTTATATTTGTTCGTTACAGCTGGTTCTGCCACAGTCGTTGCTGCTTCGAGAGTCATCTTTGCCTTTGCTCGTGACAATGCTCTTCCTTTCAGCAAATATTGGAAAAAAATCAACACATATACCCATACTCCTATTAATGCTGTTTGGGCGTTAGTCACCTGCTCTGCAGCCTTAGGTTGTCTCGGATTCATCAATTTGTCTGCACTGAATGCCGTTTTCAACGTCGCTTCCATTGGCCTCTATATCTCTTATTCTATTCCAATCTTTTGCCGAATCACCATTGGCCGAAAAACGTTTGTACCTGGCTCATTCAGCCTTGGAAGATGGGCCGTTCCCATTGGTACCGTGGCTTGCTTATGGGTCACTTTTATCAGCGTGATTTTCTTATTGTAAGTATCACGACCATGAACAAATTATAAATGGCAGACGTTGAACTGACTTTTTATCTTCTCACTACTAGTCCTTTTGCACTTCCGGTTACCCCTCTTACCATGAACTATGCTGTGGTGGTCATAGGAATCATCGTGCTTGGAGCTGGTCTCTGGTTTGTGATTGATGCACGAAAATGGTTCCATGGCCCAGTCATCAACGTGGATGACAGCTCAATGTCATCAGAAGCAGATAGCATCGATGAAAAGCATGAGCAACATGTCGATAAGGTTGAGGAAGCCAATTGATACCATCGCTTCGGCCTACTTCCATCCATTCTATGATGTACATGCTTCACGCATTCCTGATTGCTCGGCAAATGACACACTCTGGCAGCATATTCGTTCCTGGATGCTCATGCTTGACCTATACAACTTTACATGTCTAAACGCTATTTAAGATTTATCAATTGCGTTTACACAACTGATAATCTCCAGTCAAGGCATCACGTCTGTGCAACTTACTTTCTTATCAACCCTTCAGTATATATTCACTTCTTGTTCTTGTAACATAAAAAATAAAATTAATGTATAAAGCGTAAACTACCTCTCATCTTACTGTGTTACCAATTTATGAGGAACGGAACTGCATCCGATTGTACGGGAGTTTATATTCGTTACACTCCACCTCACGATGTGTTGTGCTGTAGGATTTTAGCCAGAGAGGCTTTAATTTCTACAATTTCACTCGTTCAAGTAGAGGCTGCTACAGAAAAAGTGTCCGACTGGAATACAGATTGGATGGCAAGAAGTGAATTGGATGGAATTACATTCCTACGTATCCAAAGCATATAACAGAGAAATGGCTTGTCAATTCCCATTGGTGCAATTGAGAAATCAAACGGAGTAAGGTTATACCTTGCTACCTCTGATATTGGGTGTGTAGTCTCGCCAATGCACTTTTGCAATGCTCGCACTGACTTATAAACGTATATGCGCATAGGCACCTAAATAATTACTAAATTGCTAGCTTGGATGCTTTCAATATTGCCTTCACAATTTCTAAAACGTGATCTATGTAGATTAAATGAATTCGTATTCCGAGGTAGGGGACATGGCAGTTTAGTAGCTTTAGTTGTCCACGGAATTTGACGCGTGTGTAAGTTCAACATGTACAGCGGTAGAAGTTCCGGTAACAGCAGCAGGTGTGGTTGAATCTTTATAACTCTCATCCTGCATAGGTTCTGGCAAAATTTAAAGCTTCGTAAAGTAAGTCTCTATAATATCACCCGTTAGATCGAAATTTGTCTAATAGTGTCGTAATAGGCTGCAGTATGGAGCACACTACTATCCATTGTTTATGTTTTTTGGTTCTCGGAATTTCAACAGGCTGTTATCATATCTCGCAAGTGTTGTGGAGATAGTGACACAAATGTTCGTATCTCAACGAGATAAGGAGTTACCGTTGTCGGACTTGAATGGTGAGGGAACCTGATTACTGGAGTCATCTTCATCTACAAATACTCTTGTAACGGATCATTACAAACTTTCATCCTTCTCTCTTTTACTCTTACCTTTGTTAAAACCTGTGTTGAAAATACAAAATGTCTCCTATTCGACGTACCTCTCCAGAGCCCTATGACGACATCCCGTCGTCCCCAGAACCCAAACGCAAACAAGGTGGTCGCCATCGTCTGTTCTCCAACGAACAACGCAAGGACCGTAATCGATTAGCGCAGGCAGCTTTCCGAGAGCGAAGGTCTCAGTACACTAAAACGTTGGAGTGTACCATCGAGAAACTTGAAACCATTATATGTGAGCTTCAAGATAGCAATAGGGCTACAAGCCAGCAATTGGATGATACTAAGGAAGAATCAGACAAGCTGCGGCAACTATTACTTACTGTGATAACCGAGAACCATAACTTGCGAAGGAAGATCAAGTCAATGAATACCACTCAGAAGGAACAAGTTGTACAATATGGTGCGCATACTTTCGCCATTTTTGTTTTTACGCCATCCATCTTCGCTGACTGAACGCTCATTTTTCTTATCTAGCTTCCCGTCAACTCCCATGTTCACCGGTATTGTCTATGACAGAAGATAGCAGTGATTCTCTTAGTGTATCATCGGAGAACTCGAACGCAGTGGACAACTCCTTTCTACAGTTTTTGATGGGCTTACCATCATCCTCAGCAGCGTTGACATCGGCTACGCAACCATCACAAGGCGAGTTTCTTTCATTTTACTTCCACAGCTGTTCTTCCTCTTTCAAAGAACATTCGATCCTAGTTGTGATATGTTGGTTTCTTTGCAGATATGACGCCAAGTCAAAATACATCCTATCAAGATGAACAGCCCATATTCTACCCTCTCTAGGCAAGTGCTTTTCAAAAATTTTAGACACTGATGTTTAGACACTATGATCCTAGTTGTTCCATTGCCCCCCAACAGAATCAAACCTAGCACCATCTCGTCACCACTTGACAAAAAAAACCAAAAACTAGAAAACTGAATGGGTGGGCAACTCTCCTCTTTTCTTTGACTATCTTTGTTGATCTTTACCCAAAGCCCATTTTACGATGATTGGCATGATGGTTGGTGTTAACGAATAGTTGTACATATAGTGCAACAGCATATGTTGTAGATGTGAATATAAATTGCATGATGAAATAAATTTTTTGACTTCAGTATTGAGAATCTATAACGTTTTGGCACTGATAAGGCATTAACATATGCTCAACGGTCTTTGGTGCCGCAATCTTATGTTTGCCTCCCAGGAAAATGGACACAGTTGAGGTATTTGTGAAAATGAAACAAAATTTATATACCTAAATGCAGGCGCGCGCATTTGGGCAGTGAATTCTAAATGATAAGTAGAGATGTGGGATATGTATGCAACGCTAGACTGAGATAATATAACATAAAAAACAACCAAGTCTATATATGATGATGATACTTGATCTAAAAATGTGTTCATTCTAGGGCTTGGGCGGCATAAACAGCATCATCGACCGCCTGAGGTGTGAGCTGATTCTCTCTAGCTGCTTCACGCTCATCGTAGGCTTCAAACATGGCAACAATAAATTCTGTGAGAGGCTTGACAATCCATCTTGTAGGTGACCAATTTCCTTCAAACCAACCAAGATGTCCACCGTGCTGAGTGGTGGCTAGGACGACGTTGGGGTTGATTTTAATTTCATCGTATGGTATAGATTCTGCAGGTGAGATAGGGTCATCCATGGCATTGAAGCATAGTAATGGGACGCGCACTTTTTTAACTTTCACACTGGAGCTGGCGTCCCGATAGTAGTCATTAACGGTATCATAGCCGCCCATTGGACGGGTAACAAGGTCATCGAATTCTCGAATAGTTTGGGCATTTTGGACCTTTTCTGCATCCACTGATGGATCCTTGGATAGCATTGTAGCATGGCTGAGGTACACCATGAGTATATGAACCGTCACGTTGGGCGAATAATTACAAAGAAACGTACCGATTGAATGCTCGTTTGAGATTGCCTGCCATAGTTCCAGAATAGATTGTCTTGCGGAACCAAGATCTTTCCAAGTGCATGCTCGAGCTAATAAACGTATGCCGTGAGCAAAAAAGTTTGTGCAAGAAGACCATCAATCGCTCAAAGAAAATCATGATACCTACTTTAAAAAGTCAAAGGGATTGCCAACAGACACACCAGCAATCAGTGGCGTCTTATCTCCTTCTTCGCCCAAATACTATCAAACAAAAAAAAAAAACTAAATATCTTATATCTTTCCACACACCTGGAAAGAAAACACTTACCTTGACAAGAATATTTGAACCAAGCGAAAATCCAATACCAACAAGGGGCGTTGAGGTACCAAGCTTTTCTTGAACGGCGATCAAGGCCGTACGTAAATCATCGGTCCTTGCACCATTGAACAATCTAGGTGTTTTAAGCTCAGAGTTAGCACATCCACGAGCATTGAAGACAACTGCCCGATAGTTGAATGGTGCTTTGGTAACCTACACGTTTCGGTTAGCAAATGTTACATTGGTCAGAGGTAAAAGAAAGAGTCACTTACAACAGCCAGTAAGCTTCGAATATAGGATTCATGACTTCCACCGGTCAACCCGTGCAGCACTACAAGTGTAGGAGTGTTGTCGACAGGCATTTCGCTGAATGGTGGTGCCCAGTCGAGAGTGAATGTACCTCCGTCTTCAGTGGCGACATGTTGCCTATGACATGGTGGATGTCAGCAATGTCATAAGTAGACACTTTGGGAGTCTATGACTATTTATTATACATACCTTTCGTATTCTACCTTGTTGTGAGTTTCAGTTGCGTTATAGTAGGCTGCCCAAAAAGTTTGCAAGTGACCATTGGGAAGGAATAGGGTTGGTCGAAAGAATGCGTTGGGGCCAACGAGCGATGGACACTTTTTGGCCAAATAGTCTACAAGCGATATTTCGGCTCCTGTATTGACTGGCTTAATACTCACAGGATGGTCGCTGTGATGCAATTGTACGCTGGACATGGATGTGCAAGTGTAATAAAGTGAATGGCGACAGCGGACACTTAAATTTGCCAAGCTCTACAGTAATTGATGCACAATTACTGCTTACAAAGAAGCACAATCAAATTTCCAAATGTTCGATGGTTTCATGCTTAGCAGTCCCACCTACAGTATGTATTCAAGCTATTATCTTTCTTTACTAAGAGTATAGTCAACACGCACAAATGGAAGAAGAATAACGATAACGAAGGAGATATGGTACACACTCAAGGTCATAGGAAATAAGAATAGAAGCCGTCACGATTCTTTAAACAAGTGCCGAGAGCAGCGAGAAAGACGAAATGAGCAGAGATCATTATTGGTAGACCTAATGCGATCCAGGTTGAGACGGGAATCATCTTGTTACCGGCGATGGCATCTGTTCCCTTTTAACTATTTTTCATATTTTTTGTGAAATTTTTTCATTGACTTTTTGTATTTTTACTCTTTCTTTTCAGCGGTCATCCCGGATGAAAAGGAGTAGGAAACGGGTTGAAGTTGGTATCTACATTTTGGCTTTAATCACTGCTGCTGCCAGAGTCATCAGAATCGGATCCAGATGACGAGCTATCACTATTGCTTGACGAGTCGTGACCTGCGCAACAACAACGAGTGAGTACGATTGCAAACGGTAATGTAAAAAACGAAGAATGACTCATACCAAACTCTTCAGGCTTTGCGTTGAACTTTTGAAGAGTCTTCTCAAGTTCTAGTATCTTGCGATCGGCATCCTCCTCGGAATATTGCATGCGTGGCTTCTTTGCCGTTTGCTTCTTTCGTTGTGGAGATTGAACAAGGCTGTGGCCAGTAACAAATTCATGCAACCGGTGGAGCGTTCTTCGATCCAAAGAATCAATATCTAGCTCGATTTCTTCTTGTCCTTGCTATAAATTTTATAAAAAAAAGGGAAAATTGGTAAATACACAATATCCATATGAGTATTCAGAGCATTCAAAAAAATTGCGAAAACATACCCCATCGAGGTTAGGCATTGAACTTTGAATAATTTGAACCACCGTGTTGAGTTGATTGCCATCCAAGTTATTAATGCTTTCACTCAAATCCTTCTTTTGCTCGAAAGTGAACTCTGGCAAAAGGTCGTCTTCTGACTTGCTCTTGACAGGCCTCTTTCGCTTCTCACCAGACGATTTTGAGGGTCGTGAATACTTTGAAGAAGACTTTTCCTTTGTTCCAACAGCGGGCTTGGTCATCTTTGAAGAACTTGATCGAGACATCTGTCGTTCAGCCTTTCGCTTCTTTGAAGATTTCATAGACGCAAGTTGCTGGGAAACGATGGCCAAATGTCGCTCCAATTCTGCAATTTGATCATCACGCGGGTCTGCGGAAAAATAGCATGTTAAATAACAATGAATGCATGTCCTGAGCATTGCTTGTATACATACCATCACTATCATACTCCACTTCCTCATCCTCTGAGGCTATGTACAATTCTGGTTCGGCAACCGGTGGGGCTGGCTTGTCCTTCCACTTTTCATCAAAGACCTTCTCCAATTGCTTACCCATGTTGTGTACAGGTAGTGCAGGAGGATTATAGGTGTAACAATTGTTGAACATGAGGCGTATATCAGCTTCAAATTCTTCAGGGGTAGTATAATCCCCTTCGTTAAGTTTCTTCTCGATAGTAGAGAGGTCCATAGGGTGCTTGATTATTTTGGGATAGTCAGGAATATTGAGAGCAACGTAATCCACAGGCTGAAGGAATGGGAAGTTGATATCCTTATACTTTGACTTTTTCAGCTCGCGCAAGGTCTGCATACAAAACTTCATCTGTATATCATTTTTGCGAGGGTTTCGTTTGAAAGCGGTCATTGGCTCAGGATAATCTTTTGATGGCGGCGGATGAATTTCTCGTCTTGGTCGACCATCTTCAGATATGCGTCGGATAGTAGGCGGTGGTGTAGATGTCTTTCGAGCTGGGGCTTTCTTACGTTTACCATCTCCATCGTAGGACACAGGAGATATTCTAGGTGGTGTAGGCTACACGAGGTGAAAATAGCAACATGAGTTCACATGCCCCATGGATGCTTATAGACTTTATAAGAATGGAAACTTACCTCTTTTGAAGGCGGCATTTGTCTGAGACCCTTCTCGAAAGCAGATTCAACATTTTGGCACAACATAGATATCATAGACTCCGGACCGTTAAACTTGTAACAATTGTTGAAAACAAGACGAACATCGTATACAAAGTCTTCCACATTTTCGTATTCGCAAGCGTTCAACTTTCGGTCGACTGTTGTCAAATCCATCGGCTGCGTAATTATTTCGTTATAATGGGGTATGTTGAGCTTTACAGTATCGACTGGATGAAGGAATGGTCCAACATCACGGTGTTTTTTCAAGTTTCTCATAATGGCCCCACTATATTTTAGCTGATCCTTTGTCATGTTGGTGTGACGGAGAGGAGCTGGGGACGAAGAGAAGGCAGCTGGGGATGCAGTTCGAGACGCCTAGAAATAACAAATGGGCGTGTGAGTTCACATTACCAAGTGCAATTTGAAAACTCTTGTACCTACCTGTTTCTTCGTAGCTGTTGGAGATTGAGCCTGCGGTAAGGTACTAGGGGTTGCCGCTGTAGGAGTAATCTCAGCAAAAGCTTCTGGAGCAGATGGTCGCTGCGTCTCTGGCTCTTCCTTCATACTTTCGGAAGTCGATTCAACTGGTTGTTGATCATTAGGTTGGGTCTGTACTGTCTCCGCGGCCGCAACTTCAGGACCAGAAGTCTCCTCAGTGATATGTGAAACGGTCTGTGATGATGGTGACACAATGGCAGTAGCTGCATCCTGAGGTCCGATGTGGCCATTTGTGGTCGGTGGCGGCGTAGGCATACTGTTTTCTTGTTTCACGGGTTCTGCAATGGGCTTGGCAGCACCAGTTTCAGTGGAAAACAGGGAATCACCTTCTTCTCCCTTGACACTGGTCGGTGTACTGTCTGTGGCAAAGGCCTTCTCTTGGCTACAAGCGATAGTAGTCATCAAGTGAAGTAAAGAGAAAAAAACAAACAAAGAAAACAGTTAGCAAAACTGAACATAAATAACACACAGTTTGGCCATATCATAAAACCGCTTGCAAACGAAATCTCTTTGGAAGCTGTAACATTCACGGAAAATCCACAATTGGCCACGATTCTCGTGTGTACAGTTGTTCGAGATTGTTCACTATTGACAAAGAGGTCAAACAAACAGATTGGAGGGGGTATACATACCCATTCTGATCGCTGAGAACTTGCTCCAAAGTTGGATTAACCTCCAAGCCGTTTGCCATTATAAAACTCGTTGATGTGAGAAGATCGGTATTGTACAGACGCGGTAGAAGCGTGAAATTTCAGTTCCTCTTATTAATAGGTAGAAAATCTACGGTGATGTAACAGCGGAAATTGGTGGTGTAAAGGATGGCAGGTAGCGCGTATAAGAGATTCAGTTAAAGTCGCGCGTGTAGATGCGAAATTGGAAGGATTAAAAAGCAAAAAACAACAAGATGAGAAAATGGGAGATGCAAAATAAAATTAGAATTGCGGTTTAGAATGTTGAGTTGGCAGAGTCACACAAGGACTCTACTAAGCAGATGAAAGTGAAATATCAGTACCCACGAAGGATGAACGGCCGAAAATTCAAATGGATGAAAGATACGGTCGAATTGACGTGTTTTTAATCCAGATTCTTTCAAAACACTGATAACGCAAGGTGGATGCGCGTACTGTCGTGCTGGAAGATGGGTGGATGGATGAATGGATGGATAGGAATTGAAGGAGGGAAGAGGATGGGAGCTGGGAAATTGGTTTTCTTCTTGAATTCTAGTATGACGTAATCATCACCTGATGACTAAGCCACTCAAACCTTGCAAATGGGCTCTTTTTACTTGGCACAGTTTCACTGGTCAAGCGATCAGTGTTGAGGATTTATGAGGACAATTTGACGTTTACTGCGTTTTCATCATAACTCGAAATTTTGTAGATAGTTGGATATCCTTTCAAACCACTGGCACACGCGAAAAAAATGAGTCACTTTTCCGTCGGGGTTTGGTATGTCGAAAATTTTTTCGTGAGAAGCTGATAAAAGCGGCTGTCATAGCATTACCTTTTCCCTTTACCCTTCTTTCAAAACAAAAGGTAATTATTTTTGAAATATCTTCGTGCTTTTAAGCATGTCTGTTATATGATGTTTGTAATTTGCGTTCGAATGATCTGTTACGCGCACTTTCGCCGGTGCATTATGCGGGCAGAATCGACTTGTGACCAACTTTTTCCTGATATACAATCGCGCTTTTTTCAATGCTCCAACTGCATTTGTGTAGAGACAGAGTGCTAACGACCCTCCATTTGTGTTTTTATAGGATTGCTATACCGAGGTTCAGAGAGGCTGTCATCAAATGTAAGTAGATTTGGTAGTTTGCATCGGTCTCCTGTTTGCAAGAGGTGTTTCACTATGATTATACCCTTCGCTCCTGATTCTTAAATGAGGATCTTCTTATTATCACCAAGATCTATGAGTTTTGAAACCTCTTGCAGCATCAGACTATGATCAGACTTTAGACCCGAAAGCACCTTTTTGCTAACATATCGTTCATCTTAGGACATTGAAGGTGTAAGCATTCAAAGTTGCAGTTATGATGTAGGTATGTGTGTCACAAATAGATGCCTGTATAGTATGTGCCAGAGCATATAGACCTATAGCATTTTTTCAATGGAAGTTGGGGAACTGCAAAGAGCATAATATTAAATAAATTAATCGTGAAAATTTACAAGCCACATTTATCGTTGTGAGGAAGCCTTCCAACATCCAGTTGGTTGTTAATCTATTAGAGGACAATATTTTATTTTGTCAAATATGCTTTGCCGTTAGAAGCAGGTGAACGGTTGTCCTATGGCAACCTAGAGAGAGTAATTACGAATGAACTTATTTTTTTCGCATAAATTGACAGTTACACGCCGCTGTGCAAATGGAAATACTGTGTCAAGTGTAGAACTTATGCGTAAGATGAAAGCCATATTTATCAACAGAATGTATAGCATCCTTCTCACCGTTACTGCTTTTGTTGATTATTGAATTTCTTATGCTATTTCGAGCTGCAATCACTTGAAGCTACATTCTGAAAGTGAAATGATATTTCTATTTGACACGATTGTCTGCTGTGAACGACGGCTGTGATGAACAGGAAACACTTGATAAAATAATAGGAACTTTGCTAATAAATTATGGTAAATTGATGCATCGTATTATCGGTGTAAATGAGAGGGACAACTCTGCGATGCCGACAGCGACGGCGGTAATGCATCTGTAGGCACTACGACGCGTTTCCTCTTTGTCCACCCAAGACCTCCTTGCTTCACATTTGGAGCCTCTGCGCCGGATCTCAGGACGTATGGTGGTTGCGACAGAGAGATACTGGTTGAAGGTGATAATGGCATTACATCATCTGCGCCCTTGGATGATTCATCGTCATCGACATCCAATCCTCTATCTAAGTAGTTGTGTGTTAAAAGTGCACGCAATCCACTATTAGTCGTGGCAGACTTGGGTATTCTTGCATTTTCGTCGTATTCTAACGTATTTCGACGACTCTCTCTTAGTGATATTCGGGTATCTACAGTTGTTCTGCTGGATGTGGTGTATGTCGTATCAACACTTCTGATGGAAGCACTGTCGATACTGTCAGAACGTGACATGGTTTTGTGCTTGCGGCGTTCATGGCCTTTCCTAGCGAAGAGGCCAGGTATCGCTTTCATTAAGGTATCCTTTGCAACCTGACCAGCACTGCGTTCATGGTGGTCCTTAGCCAGATGAATAAGTTCGTCTCTAGGCACCAAGTACCCAACTTTTAGTAGGTTGAGCTCGTACTCTACCACCTGAATTGTATTCTACGAACGCGATTTCCGTCAGTTTCATATCACTAATATCAAATGCCACCATAAACACTCTGGCTTGAGTTAGCAAACTCACTTCAATATTGGACTTTAGATTTTCCGTATGCTCCGTTGTCTCGCTCGCTGAAGATATAGCATACTGATGAGCATCCTGTAATAATTGCACTTGTTAGTAATCGTCACCAATGGTTGTCCGATCTCCAGCACTGTTCTTTATAAAACAGACCTTGATGTACTTCATTTCTTCGGCGGTCGCACCATATTCCCTAAACTCAGGTGTATCAATCGGAATTGTCGCTATACAAATTGTTAGTTTGTTATATCATGCGTTGCAATGGGGTGAAACCATCTTACCTGGCTCTATATTATGATATGAGAGCTGGGCTCTAAACGCTTCATTTTCTGATAACAATCGTTGTAACTCTTCGGAGATTTCCTCAATTTTGGCTTTGTGTACCTCTACAGAGGCAGTCAGTTCCAAAAGAAAGCCTTCTTGCAACCGCTTCACATTTTCTAGCGAATAATGACATCAGTAAAATAGATGATGAAGGTAGGAGGGTAGCATATGAATTTTGTACCTTCCGCATGTGCGGCTTGCTTCTTCGAATCATTCTCTAGAGCATGGTATTTGTGCTTCCAATCCAACATTTCCTTCACAATTTGTTGTGTATCTGACTTCTACTTGATGGTTTCTATTGATTTAGACATTCAGTTTCACCGTCGACAGGTATGTTTCAGTTTTTCCTACCTTTTCAGTCCCAGATACCTCATCCGTTTTCTCTTCCAATTCACTATTTGCTGTGGAAATTTTTCAGAAATAAAATTCTCAAACAAACATCCATTTCTAAACATCATGCTAGCACTCACCATCATTCGAATCGTGATGACTGCATGGAAGGTCTTTCGTACTCGTGTTCGTCAAAGTGTTAGTTGTAGTTTCTGTTGCCAGAAAATGTGAAATTTCTTGTAAGCTGTCGGTAATGCTAGGTCGTTGAATTACGGGATCCGGATCAATACGTGTCGGAAGATATTGCATGTTGACCTGTTTTCGGCGCATGTTACAAGAAAATGATAAGCTACAGCAGAAATTATTTGAAGGGAAATGGGAAGAAGAAAGGAAAGTGGATAAACAAAAGTATATCTACGCTTTCTGATCTGAAAACGCCAAACATCTTTCAGACTGTAAGTTTTGAACGAAACCGGGGTAGGTAGCTGATTTTATTCATCCCGAAGGGCTGTTAAAAAGGATGAATGAAAGGAAACCTGTTAGCACAGACCAGAGTATACCGGTTATTAAATGCGTATGCACGCTTGCCTCATAGCGATATTCATTAGGCAGAATCCGACTGTTGGGATTGCTCATATCTCGAGTTTTGGTTGGCTAGGACGAAGATATGGAACAAGCTAGGGTATTGGAACCAAAAAAGCTGTACCCAAGTTCTTCAGCCATGACCCGTGATTAATTTTTTTTTCTTGCCTTTCATTCGCCTTTTTTGTTTGTATTTCACACCGTTCAATTGGACAGTCTTTCTCTTCTCTCTTTCCATGGAGATCCAAGCGTCGCTATTGACATATCCGCCTTCTACTTCCAATATCAACGTCGCTCGAAATACTGACGACAATAGCATCAAAGCAGAAAACTCTGGGTCCTCTCCGTTGCTCACTCCTTCAAGCATGGCCGGGATGTTCACTCCTTCTGCGTTTCCAGACTATGTTTCCCTGTACGAAGATCAAAAAGTGGCGAGCAATACACCTAGCGCAGACTTGACGCCACAATCAACCTCATACCCCCCAGCAGAGAGTACCAATTCACCCATCGTCAACTCTGCCTTACACCTTTTACCCAAATACGAGAAACGCAAAAGTAGTCCTGCTGCTCTAGAATCAACCTTAGGATATGATGAACAACCACCGAACTTTAATGAGCCACGAAACTCCATTGAAGCCGCTATGCTACTCGCAAACTTCACCCGTTCACCCGCTTTTTTGAGTCGAACTCCAAGCGACAAAGATATTTTTGGCAATAAAGGTATTGATCGACACAATACTGGTTAGTTTTTGCAACGTTCCTTATCTAATTAATCTGCCGCTAGTTACTTCTTGGAACGACGGCTTCTCTACTCCACCGCCTCTACCAACTGATCAGCGTGCTTCTGACGTTACTCCCGATAATGGCTACAAACAACCAACATCTCGAGTGCCGACTCCACAAACTCAAATGCCAAATGACCCATGGCGCCCTTTGTCAACGAACCCTTACATGAGCGATGAACCTACCATCGACTTAATGAGAAGACACTCCTACGACGTGAGTACTACCTGGCGTAATAATCAGCCCGCAGTCGATAGAGCTACCCTTTTACAGATGGCTGGTGGTACGAGTGATCAGACCACTAGTGCTTTTACACCTGTCACTAGGGAGCCGCCACAATCTCGGCAAGAATCAACTCCTGTCCAAACTGTTTTCACGTTCACTTCCGATGATGGAACACGACTAAGTTGGATGCCTAGTGTTTCTTTTGAGCAAGCATCTGGTCCTACAACTTCCTTTTTGTCCCAGCCGTCTCCAAGTGTTGACAGCTCACAAGATGTGATGCTTCCAAACGCCGATATGAATAACATGAAGCGCTCAGCTACACCGGCAGATTCGAAGTTCGAACTTGGATATATCTACAATGATCGAGGATCCCAAACTCCACATCACCCACTCGTACCTAATACTCCGGACGAAAAAGCACCCAAGCCCAAGAAGGCGCGTGCAAAATCTCCAGCAAGCGAAGGTATCGCTGATGACATGAATGCGGAAGTCGACAGTGATAACTGGCCAGATATGGCACCAAAAGATGTAGAAGCTGCCCTTACAGATCCAGAAGCTCGACCACGCCAACAAAAGCTTAGATATGCTGGAGACCAGTATACTCCAAAGTGGGTACGTTACAACGGTCAGGCAAAGGAAGGTTTATGCGACACTTGTACACCCGGCAAGTGGCTTCAGCTCAAAAACAGTGCATTCTGGTAAGCTTTTTCTTTTCATTTTCGACGTATACCACTTACAACACAATTCTAACACCAATATTTTCCATTCACAAAAGGTATCATAAACAGTTTTTCCATGGTATTTCCTCAGTCTCAGGTAAAGAGTTTACCGAACCTATAGAAACTCGTTGGGTCGACCAGGATGTAAAAGAAGGACTTTGTCATCAATGTCACCAGTGGGTGCCCGTCAGTAATGTGAAGAGAAAGAATACCGTGCTGTGGTACCGCCACGCTCACAAGGTAAGGCTTGTATTGATACCTGACTGGTATTTCAATTTGGTTCTCAACCTCTTCCTTTGCAGTGCCACGTATATCACAAGCCAAAGGCGCCAGCTAAAAGACACTGAGGTTCCAATAATGTACATACTCCAAAAACTTTTTCCCTAATCGATTCCTTTCTCTTCACCCTCCCCAAAAAAATTAAAAAGAATAACAAACTCTGCATCTTGATATTTTATTGCACATCCCTTTTTGTAGAAACTTTCATTCGCTTCATTTTTGTAAATGCTCCCACAAATTTCTTCTTCCTTCCCTGTATAAATGCTTTATAAAAGTTTCTGTGAATATGGTTTCGAACTCCTGCAAGAAACAAAACCTTGGCCTGATTCCAAGGTGGCGAAAACACTAGTCACAAACCGCATTGAAGATGATTGTTAAGGGAAGACGCCGGCGCAAGCATTCATGCATCAGTAGCTCACCTCAGCTCTCATCAAACGAGTTTGCAAAAAACTTACGATTTTACGGAATTATTGACCAAATGTACCCTGTACCCTTTAATCTGTGAGTTGGCGCCAGCGTTGAGACATGCATAGTGAAAAGCCTTTGGGAAAATACGACTGTGCTTTCAAACCCTTACAGTTGTAAATCAAGATATTCTCACAGACATCAATTAAATTGACTGCAAGACATCGTAGGCTCCGGAGGAATAAACCTTTAACAGGTTCGAACCGTAGGCTTGCATACCATCCGTAGACGCCCGAGAGTCATACAGACTCATAAACAGGTTCTCCCCACGGCGGTAATTTTCTCATGGTCGTGTTCTGATAGATAGACAACTTCAACGATGTTCTTTGATGTTCGATAAAGCTGGGTAACATCAAATTGTATGAATTGGAGAGATTCCAGAAGTGTACATTAACGATTACAGGTATCCATCTCTCAAGTAGGTGCCATTTTCTTGAAACAAAAATGTCTGCCAGAGTGTAATTGGCTTTTGGAAGACAAATTTTAAAATCTCTTTTTAAGCGACCAAAGCAGCAGAAGCATTTTTTTATTCTTGCAAAAGATGGAATAATGAACTGCAGTAATTAAAGATGTTAGGTTAGTACAGCAATTCGAATCCTTGTCTTTGTTGATATCATATTTTATCGAGAATTTTCGACAATTGTACACTTTATTAGAGCTTATATAAAGTTCTATTCAAATTATCTTATGTTAGAGTGAATTGAATCTCACTTTACTGATGAATTTCATATAGGCACAAGTAGTTATATAAGCAACAAGTAGTCATCGCTATGCTCAGTAACACAGCTTCCGAGAGCAAAGCGAACGGTCTCTGCTCATCCCACTTTTCGCTGGCCGCCAACATTAGATTTCAAGGTCACGTGGCTCAGGGATGGCCATGAAAATGGCCGCTGTCTGCAATTTTGTAAAGGTCCTCTTCCCCAATCTGTAAGTATCGATATGCCATCCGTCATGTAGGATAGTCAATAGGAAGGTCACCCATCGATGGATGCGCAGACGAATGGATGGATACGATAATTACGGAAAAAATTGATGTTTGCTACTTGAGATTGTTATCGGCATTCGCAACAATCTCCAAAATTCAACGACACTGTCACTCAGCAATCAACTTTTAAGAAAGCAAACGAAATGAAATTCTGAATTGTCCAATAGCATCAGTAGTTACGACAGCATTATCCAAATTCCGGAAAACAAAAGCGTCCTGTGCCATTATCGAAATTACACAGCTGTACTAGATCATTTTCACCATTGAACGTTATAGCTAACCATTTATTATTTTTTCTTCTTTTTACCAACCTTAGCTTGATATAAAAAATGGGTCGCGTCATTCGTGCTCAGAGAAAGTCTGGAGGAATCTTCAAGTCCCACACCACTCACCGTAAGGGTGCCGCCAAATTGAGATCCCTCGACTATGCCGAACGCAACGGTTACGTTCGTGGTATCGTCAAGGAAATCATCCACGACCCCGGTCGTGGTGCTCCCCTCGCCAAGGTTGTTTTCCGTGACCAATACAAGTACCGTCTCCGTACCCAAATCTTCATTGCCACTGAAGGTATGTACACCGGTCAGTTCATCTACTGCGGAAAGAAGGCTTCCCTCTCCGTTGGCAACGTCCTTCCCGTCGGCTCCATGCCCGAAGGTACCATCATCTGCAACGTTGAGGAGAGAGATGGTGACCGTGGTGCGCTTGCCCGTACCTCTGGTAACTATGCCACCGTCATCGGTCACGGTGACGACGGTAAGACCCGTATCAAGCTTCCCTCTGGTTCCAAGAAGGTCGTTTCCTCCGGTGCCCGTGCTGCCATCGGTATTGTCGCTGGTGGTGGTCGTATTGACAAGCCTTTGCTCAAGGCTGGTCGTGCTTTCCACAAGTACAAGGCTAAGCGTAACAGCTGGCCCAGAACCCGTGGTGTTGCCATGAACCCCGTTGACCATCCTCACGGTGGTGGTAACCACCAACATATTGGTAAGGCTTCCACTATTCCTCGCGATGCTTCCGCTGGTCAAAAGGTTGGTTTGATTGCCGCCAGAAGGTTAGTATCATTTTTTCTGCATCTTCTGTCAAATCCATATTACATTTATTGATTTCATTTTCCTCTTTCAGAACCGGTTTGTTGCGCGGTAGCAAGAAGCTCAAGGAGTAAATTGAGCGACATGATTACCATAATAGCCACGAATAAAAATTTTCTTTACACGCATATTGTATCGATCATGAAAAAGAGGATTAGGATAGCACTGTAGATGTGTTACCGTCATGGGAGTTTGCCCAGCTTAAGATGGAGCTAGGGCGGGATGGAAATATGGGGAATTAATGGATCTTTGACCAAGACACAATTTGAAAATGTATTGTAGTGTGATTTTTACAAATGTGTTGACTACGTCCGTGTATATCTCTAGAACTGACATGAGTCTGCCAGATTTAACTATACGGAATGTTCAGTTGGCGGTATTTGACATTACTGCCTCTGCGTATGTTTTTGGTAGCGATTGTCTAACATTGGAGGGGTATATGGTTCGATCATTGTACACTGTCAGCAATACTTTGTAACAGCTCGTCTCTTTGCCTCTTCAAATAGTCCTGAATAAGATTGATAATCGTTCAGCAACAATGAATCTACCTACATAACTTCAAATGTCAAATCTTACCAGAGTATCATACAACGACCGAAGCTTGCCAGCAGCAATCTTAATATCCTGTTACAATTTTAGTATGAAGATATCAATTATTGGTCAACAATAGATTCAACTAATTACCAACGGCAAATCAAGGAATTGAGCCAATTCTTGCTGTTTAACCTCCATTATTTTTTCCAGGGTTTCGACTTCTTGCTGAAATTCTTTAAGCTTGGAAAAGAGGAGACCGTTATCGTCCAGTCCTTGTGTCGCATACTCGTCCTGATGAAGCAGTTAAAATCATAGGTTAAGAAGCAATGAAGGAAACTTTAATGGCGTTTATACCTGTAACGTCGTAACTCGATTACGATACTCTTCCGATTTTCGATCCAACAAAGTTATCTCTGTCTTCCAGTTGCTGATTTCGTGCTTATGAACAGTCTCGTAACGCTCATTTAAGCTCGATAATGCTCTATAACTTGGTTTAGCTCCTGTTCAGCTTCAAGCACGACTAGTATCCGTTTACTATACTGACCTGCTCATTACATCAAATATCTGCTTCGTCTGACTAATTTTTTCTTTAAACCTCATACGCTGATCCTGGACCTCATCTTTCTCTAGGTTGAGTGCCATGCATTCCATGTTCATTCTTGCCAACGCTGCTTGTATACTAAGAGCTTATCAATCAATGGAAACTAATGATCAAGTCTATAGATCCATAGTCATTTCAACTTTACTTACTTTGAAAAAGTCGGGTCTTGGACATCTAAGGCACAAGCTATGTTGGCTGTCGATCTACAAACTGAGCGTCCAATTGCCGAGAGTTGCTCCTTATCAATGTTTAAAAGATCCATCTGCTTTTTCAACTGTTTTTCTATACGAAGATTTAGTGTCCACTGAAGGCGATGAAGCATTGTTCAAGATAGCTTACCCTTTCTTGAATACGAAAGCTGTTGTTGATCTTCGAAAGCACTAACGACAGAGTTGATAGCTGTATGTTCCAAGTATCGCACCTTTAAGCGCTTCAAGCTCTCCAAAAATCGAGGATCTCGAGACGCAGGAAGAACTAAGTGAGGTGCAACTTGCTTTACCCACTGCTCTAACTTGGATAATAGTTAGTACACGAACAAGCAATGGCAGGGATCGTGATCAAAGTACCTCTTCCCATTGGCCTTCATCTTGAGGCTGGAGCTCATTCAGGCCGAAATGCTGCTGCCAAACCACAGCAGATGCATCCAGATCTGCTTCGTGACCAACATGACTAGGCACCATTTTGACGGTGACGATGCAATTAGGTTAAATGTTGTTGGCGTCTGGTTTTGTATTCAGTCCCAAAAAAATACAAAGGAAAGCGCGACGTGACGCGCCAATTGAATACACAACATTTCTCAATGCAAATTCAGATATTCTATCTTTCGAACGCCTTCAGACGGCCAGTTGTAGGATTTTTGGGATTTCTGGTTCAAATACGCAGAGCTAAATTAAAAGATTCTCTATGAAAGGATCATCTATAGCAAGTTAAAAATAAAGCTTTCCGTTACTGTTCCATTTACGCCCTGTCATATTTTCTACCCACGTCGGTAGTCATACTGTTGTATAGCATCCTTACTGGAGAAGTGTTCAATGTCGATAACCTATCATTCTGTCTGGAAGATTTTTCTTTTGTACACCTCTTCAGATAGTGACTAAAATTGGTAACTGCGAATGATATGAATTCATTGAAATTAAACAGTAACAATACTGGCTACAGATGTTGTGCATATTTTTATTACATTTCCTCCAATTCATCATCAGTATTGAAAAGATCTTCTTCTGGAAAATCACCAACAGTGACTTTGGTTGGTCTTACAAAAGCACCATAATTAGGGCCACATTTGAAGTATTCAACTCCTTGGACAGTTCCATTGTTCTTGCCCAGTGGCTCATCATATTCTATACCTATCCAAATACCAGGTTGGAACTCGGTGGAGCCTAGTAATATTAAGTAAGACAATATTTCCACAATGTGACCTGAATCACGCCCTTTCTTGTAGGAACTTACCAATAAATCTAACGCTGCCCCTCTTTCGCAAGGTAGCATCGTCGGTAAGCTGGACCTCGCATCTATCACCGAGATGGATAACTTTTGAAGCTTCCTCTTGAGCCTTTTCTGAAGCCTGTGATGATTCTGAGGCTTCATCGGAAAATCGACCTAACTTGTTTCTTTGCTTAAATGCCATGACGCTATCTGAAAAGGATCACGAATTTAGAATAGTGGCTACCTGGGTTGTGTACATAATATCCACCAACCAGTCCGTTTGGCGTATTCCTCTTCCGTAAGTTCAAATTTATCGACTAGTGAGGTATCATTGTACTGGTTTTTCAGGCGATGTGGGTTCAGATCGATGACCTAATACACAAAAGAGAACGCAAACGTACATACATCAACAACGGTGATGTTATAACCATCTCGGCAATATTAAATATCTTACGTGAATTCGCATATAGTCATCAATAGGATAAGCTCCCAGCATTCTTGTATCGTCATCTATTCTTCCAATCAATGTCTCCCCGTTATACAATGATATGCTTTGGGTGCTTGCCGGGATTCCCGTGATCGGTTCGAGTTTATACTGATTGCTCTATTAGAAAGCGATTCCTCCAAATTCGCAACATGCTAGCAACCTACCTTGAAGTCGAGAATGGTGAGACCTTTGTCAAAGCGTCTTTCGCTATTGACGTTCTCATCGGTTGACACAAAAACAGTGACAATGGACATGATGATTCGAAAAGGTACAAGGTCGCGGAGTCGAAATGTGGCTACAGTAGGCGAATTTGACAGCTTTGACCGTTAACGCAAAACTTCTTTATTGCCCGCGACATTCTGTAATCATTGCATCGCTGGCAAATTGCTTCTTTGTGACAACCTAATCCTACTGTACAATTTGAATTTATCCACCTTCAATTCCATTACATATATACACATATCATTTACAGTGGCATGGCTTCTCCGGATAAGCAGTCGACAACCGCTGAGCCACAAAGTGAAATGAGCACAATCGATCAACCAGCAAACGATCGCAACGGTGCATTGGAACCACATAGACCTACTGATTGGGCAGCAGCATTAAAAATCTTTCTCAAGAACATAGGATTTGAAGAAACGGCTGGCGCACTTGACACTGAATTAATCATTTTATCAAATGCAAATAAGGCCACGATTCCAAACCATACTGTTCGCCTCGTCAATGACTTGCTCTCTATCATTGAAGCCGAAGCTGAATCAGAGCCACTTTTAGAAAAAGAAAATGAAAAGGGTAACCTTGAGGATAGCAACACGAAACGAAAACGCAGTGATGAAGATGATGAAGATATGATGGAAGATCGAATAAAAAGAATGAGCCCAGAGCAAGTTCAAATACGAGCGACAAGCAGTGATCTTCGAAAGCGAATCGAAAACTTTATTCAAGCCAAAAAAAGCGAAGTCGATGCCAGCAATCGAACAGAGTTTATGAAAAGGAAAGACACAGGCGAGTCCGATGTGACTTGCGCACGAACGGACGCTAGAGAAATCGATCGCAGCATTCAGATGAAATTCGACGTGGTCAATAATGAAGATGGACCACTTGCGCGTTCTTTAGTGACATCTGCTAATCATGTTAGTGTCGGATCCACTGTGCACAAGGGCTCAGGTGCGGAAGAACGATTACAGAACTTGGAGCAGCACTTGAATATCGTATACAAGAACAACTCTAGAGACAGCTTTACTTTGTTTCAAAGAATGAAAATCATAGAAGACACCATAATTCAGATTGAGCAGCAAAATCCATTATGGGCAGCGATACACTTTAATCAGCCCAACAGAACCTTCCCACCTCCACCAATAGTCAACCTCATCACACCAGCAGAATCTACTACTGAAATGGCCACGGAACAGAAATCTTACACATCTGATGCTGTATCACCCACCCCACAACCGCAACTGAAGCCAACAGGACGCGCGAATTCGTCGCTCACCAGGGCCGTCATCGAACAATTAGCTCGTCGACAGCAAGAATCATAAGATAATTGATATACCATGCACTTATGCTTGTATTTCCAAGAGCATGATGCTGTCATTAGAATCAAGCATGTACCGTTGGTACATTGAATCGGACATGAGATGGGGCGAATAGTATCCACATCTCGATGCCAACAGGAGTTTTATACACCACTAATGCGTTCTTCGCTTCCTCTCAATTTTAATTATTCTATATCGATCCTTCACATTGTAGAACGGTGTCAATAACAGTTTCTAAGTAACGATCGTACTTGTCAAATATATTTTTGTTTGATTTTCGAGGTGTTGGTCTATGCAGACGCAAATTGCAAAAGTTTACAGTGATTGTCGAACAATCAGCAATCGGTTATAGTAATAAATCATCTAGTTTAGTCCTCGTAGCCGGAAGGTGGGTTTCGTGGTCCAGCTGGCACTGTTAATGGCATAAATGTCAGTCTCCACTTTGCGATGGCGAACTAGGTGGTGAGCATTGTACTTACAAGGATATGTGGTAGGAAGGGGAGCAACTGGCTTGTAGCCAAAGTACTCACGACGTACTTTTGGGACAGTCCAGACCATCAATGGGCCTGTAAGAGCGAAATGATAAAGTGTGGCAAGTTGTCAATATGGAAATTTCGAAAATAGGTGGGCTGAAGACAGTTGTAAAACTATCATAGTAACATACCAATGGAACCAATAACAACAGACCAGAGGATGACTGGCTGCTCATGAGCCATGCGGCGCAAGTATCCGATTGGCATGATGAATTGCACGGGGAATCTAAAGACAGCTTATGGGTGAGCTTGAAGGCTGTAGATAAACACACTGTAGTGCTACGTCATCACCTGACTTGACAGCAAAATTTCAATTTCACTCTCCCCGCTCTTTTCGACCACAAATGGCTGAACTTCGAGCGCTACCCTGTTCATTTGGTATTGGTAGACTATTCCAGTCTAACAATTTAGTGATAGACGTACCTGATGGTACTCAAAGTTTGCTGTTAGCAGATCATTCTGATAATCGCGTATGCCTAAAGCTTTTTGCGATCAACAAGACTGTAAAAGCGATTACAGAAATCTTAAGAGGTAGTCATGTGTCGAGTGCACTTTCATAGCTTATTTGTTCGAGCAATTCGAATTTTTATGTTGAAGACGGCTTAATAAAATGGAAATGAATTGAAATTTGAACACTCCTTAACACGTTATTTTTGTTTGTGCTGAATGTTTACACATGAAAGAATGAATGTTTTCGAACGACTAGAATACTGTGAATTTAACGGAATCATCCATCCGCAAATCAATTGGCCATATAGAATGATACTTAATACATCTACCAGCGAGCACTCATGATACTGACAAGCCTCTCAATTAAAAGTTGACCATGGATCAAAAAACGGCATCATGGATTATCTTCTACAGATCCATTCTTATCATATATTAAGTCATACAGCGGAATAGAGGGATGTCAAATGAGCAAGTTCGATCGTTGATAAGCGCAAGATTCCTGTTAGTATCCATGTAAAATCAAAAGTACTCATGTGAGATTTAGGCACAGACCCTTTCATGTGCACTGAGTGTGATTTTAGTCTGTGACACATCACAATTTGATCGGGTGCAGACCTAACTGCACATGACGACATTATCACCATTTTCAGACGTATGATAGCCAGGAAACTCGAGCACGTCTTTTCTTTCACTTTTCATCATATCATCTATTATGGCTGAAAGCACACCACAACAAAACCTCCCGGGTAAGCAGTAATAGCACTTATGGGCTACCTAAATAGCGTCGAGAAGATCATGAGTATTTGAGAAACTTACCTGGAATATCACTGCGGTGGATCTAGTTACTGAGCAACCAAAGGTCGAAAATCCTCCTTCAACATCTAACCAAACCGGCGATGCTATTGACTCTAGCCCAGTCTTTGTAACCCCGGATGTCGACTTTGAGAAAGGTAAGGACGGAACGCAACTGGCTGTTTCGGTCAAGCATATATCGATCAGAGGCGCTCAAAGCGATAAGAAGCCACAGAGTACAATTTTTTTCTCATCAATACGTACAAAATCTCATCATATGCATTAAACAGCTCCAGCCAAGTATATCAACACACGTTTCCAGTCCATCATTCTGTGGGAGAAGCCAGTCAAGAGCGGAATTGCATTGGTTTTGTCACTGGGCATGCTGATTTTGACACAATTTTATTCGCTTTTGCAAATATTTGCGGCTTTCTCAACTGTTATTATTGGCGTGAACTGGGTGTATGTCAATGTCCATGTGCAAGCCCAGCGTTTTGTCGGCAGCAAAGGACCCAACGAAGTCGTTAACCCACACAAGTATGTTTAATCTAGCAAATAGCATTGAGGAAAAGCTTCACCAACTAATTTTTCACATGAACGCAGAGCCCGTATGCAGTCTTCACCAAAAGCCTTGGTATCTCGTGACAAGATTATTCATTTCTGCAATTTGCTCGTCGATATTGTGGAGGCATTTACGATTGAAGCCACCAAGATTGTTCTTATCGAGGACAACTTCCGAAGCTTGAAGTTTTTTGGAGCCTCATTCACTGTTTGGACTGTTGCCAAGTATCTATCCACCAAGTGGATTGTAGGTGCCGGACTTCTTCTGATCTTCTCCGTACCAAGACTCTATTTGCAGCACCAAGAAAAGATTGATGCGCAGTTTGCAAAGTCAAGCGAGCAAGCCAGAGTTCTAGCCAATCAGTATAGCGAAATTGCAAAGCAGAGAGCTTCCGGCGTCTATGACCAAGCTGTGAAAGCCACCAAGCGAGGCGGACAAAGCCAGAAGAAGGTCCAGTAGTTATGCATAATTTTACATGCAATCATCATCATCTAGCATCATTTATCTGAGCGATTAAAGTAACTATGTATATTATATAATATCCTTTTGGAAAGGTATTCGTCAACATGATTTATGATGATGCTCATTAACTTTGAAATTGAGCTATGTTAAAACTTTGTTTGGTATATGTGAGAAGGTATGATGAATATGTACAATCACACGGTGTGTGAAATGTATTGATTGCTGTTCTTAAGCAATCAGCTATTGAACGCAAAAGCGAGTAGAATAGAAAGAAGCACTACCACTGTGAAATTGCAATGGTTGGTTATAAATCTCATACAATCTCAATATAACATATATTCAGTCTTACCAATAGGCGTGCCCCATTTGTCCATCAGCATGGATGCTGTCTCCCTTCGTCGTGCTGCCTGTATTTGCCTTTCCAGTTCCATTAGTTTGTTAGGATAGTCTTTCATACGTCTGTTTTGCTGGTCGATACTCTTGACTGTCTTGATGTGAGCATTTCTTGATCGTTTTAAATTGGGATTTCTTTGGCCAGTTTCAGCTAGTTGTTGTTCCATACCGGGTATAGAAGTCACCCTTGCTGCAGCAATACCTGAATTCAGTTGCTATGACAACGCAAAATTAGTGATGGGATTGCTGATAATATCTCAGATTGATTCTGCCCAGCTTACCTCGACCTTGTCGTCTAATGTCTGGAGGTTTTCAATGTAGAATTTGATCTCATCTCTGCTTTTCTGGATTTTATCTTCTTCAAACCTCATTCTTCCTTGAAGATACTCAATTCTTTGGACAAGTTCGTGAACGAGATAGTCACTGGGCCTGAAGTGAAGGATTTTTAGTATACAATATCAAACGTCCAACACAGCATACAAATTATACATTACAGTTTGGCAGCAGTTTCTTGTACAGCAATCGGCGACGTGGGAGTTTGATGTCCCAAAATATTTGACATGTTGTTCATAGCTGCTCTAATATTGATCATAGTTTCATGCTGGTCTGGCGCTTGGTTGAATCCCATGCTTTCTTCTTCGGTTACGGTGTTGTTGAATTGGATGCCAAGCGCCGAGCCAGCGTTCTTTGGAGAGCTGGACAGCTTCTTTCTCCATATACGAGGTGGACGTCCGTCTCTAATACTATTATGCGATTTCGATCGAAGTCCACGAAGTCTGTCCGGTCGCTGCAATATTTGTTCGCGTGTTTCAGTTTCCGGAATAGCAATTATTGATGATTTGGATGAAGATCGAGAAAATTTTGGCTTTGACAGTGGAACATATTGGTCTTTAGGCGGACCATCCATCATCAAAGCAGTATTAAAAGAGATATCGGAGGCATCTATATCACAAAATCGATAAGCCATATATTCTGTAGTAGCAATTCGTCGCGATTCAACTTACCGTTGAACGTCGAGCTCAGCTTGTAATTTCTGTCGCTGTCTGAAACATCGTCTTCGCTTGACATAACTTCCTCGAACGGTTTCGTTAAACGAGAGCTAGAGTCTTTTCGTAACTTCCTGACACTGTTGACAAATCTTGATACTCCAGGAACTGGTCGCCTTCGCTTGGAAATTCCTGGCCCACTCGGGTAATCTGTCCATGATCTGTGTGGTACTGATGGATAATGGTATATAGTGTTGCGAAAGTTTTCATAAGATGGAGCAGGATCTGCTAATTCCAGTGAGGTTGAGGAACTGTTGGTACCCACAACTTTACCGCTCTTTATGATCTTGCTCAATTCTTCAAACTCCATGGTTTTGTCACAAGGGCAGCTCAACTACTCCAAAGGGCGGATCAGGTACGAGATTATTTTGGAAGACGATTTCAGGGTCCGCAATTTAAAAAAACGTCATGCGTCCAGATACTGAATGAGTGAACAGCTCAATGTCGACCGCCACTAAGGATTCGCCGAAGGGCAATGCCAACAAAGATGCACCATCACTGGGTCGCACGTCTCCTATGCTTTCCTACTTTTGTGTATACAATCCAACGGTTGGAAACAAAAACGATGAAAACAACAAAGAGCAGATTCTGTTCTATACAGCAAAGAAAGTCGTTCCCTTAGACGTCAAACTACGACAAGTGGGTTTGGCACAGGCTCTAGTGAACTTCACATCGTATGTATCTATACACCTATCATAATTTATGTGCATTTTATTAATATGAATTGTGAAAAACATAGCGCATTTTCTCCATCGAAATCAGTACAAACAGTTCATACACAAAAAGCTCGGCTAGTATTTTTTCAAGCTGAACCCAACTTCTGGTTGCATATGTCGATTGAACTTGGAATATCGCGGTATCAAATTCGAGATGCAAATGGAAAGCTTCGAACCGTTACAGATTATTTAGATGCAGAGTTGAATGATGATGCTGTAGAGGGCATCTTGCACGCTGGCTATCAGATGTACAAGGTTTGTCTCATACCCAGATCCCAGTCATACGAATGAGCTCGATAGGACGGCTAATTTTTCCATGGTGTTAGCTGCTCAATGGCACATTTGCCTCTGTTCTTCCTCATGACGCCAATACCGCATCTCTTCAAGCAATACGACGGTTGAAGAATAGCATCGAAGAGTTTTTCTCGGATTGGATATGGAAATGGGATTTTGATAGACTCGAAAGCATGTTGTTTTCGTCTGTTTTCAACGGAATTCCTATGCAGCCGATTTTGAGGCAGTCCTATCTGAAAATACACAATATAACAGAAACCATTGCCGATGATATGAAGCTAGATATCAAACACTTACTTGTGTTCAACAAAGACAACGCCTCGTTGATATATCATAATCCGCAACTTGCACTCAGCAGCGTGCAACTACTTAGAAAACTAATTGTCCGACTTTTGGAAAGATGGAGTGATATGCGTAAAGCAGAGGAATGGCGAAGGACTGCCAATGAAGAGCCTGTAGCATCAAAAAAGGATCCGAAGGTATTTCTTAAAGTCTGATTTTGACTAGTACAAGCCTTATATTTTTTAAACTAACTTATGGTGTCAGATCACCAGCTTAAAATCTTTAACAAAATCCTTTTCGCAAAAGAATATCCTGAGTTATTTTGGATCTCCTTCCTTGAAGCCGACCAGCGCTCCAGGATCAGTGCCAGATTCACCAATCGCTTCGCCAGAACCAAACCTGATTGCAGCTTTGAATGTGACGCCGGAAATAGCATCAGATTCATCTGGGACTCCGTCCCCTGCTCCTTCGTTGCGTCAAGGCGTCTTTCTTAGTGGTTTAATGAAAAGTACCTTGCATGATAGCAGTTCCGACCCACAGCATCATAGGAACGTCGATATCATCAAAGTGTACTTGGACGGCGATTCAGATGAGTGCAACGAACTGTCACATCAGGATGCTTGTGAGGATCTCCAAGAGTACTACTTTGTGGTATATAAGGTATGTGTTGTTGTTGATGGCAAGCAATAACACCTTTCGAGATTAAGTTTCTTACTATTCATATGTTCCTGTAGCACACATCCCAAACGCTATGGTGCTTTCTCGTACCAGCGTCAGGCGAACATATTGAGAGCCGAGTGTACGATGAAGATTTCTATGATGAGCTCGAAAGTTTGCTAGTCAGACAAAAAATAGAAGAAATAACAACCGCGATCAACAAGGATATTGAGAAATCTAAAGAAACAGTGTACGGGGATGGATATTTTTTGGTTGTTCAAAAACAAATATGCCCTAATTTCAGCTTTTTACCACAGGCTCGATATTGCAAAAAGCTACCGTTGCTTGTACTTTGATCATGAAACGCTAGCAATCAAGTCTACACTGACTCATCCTAATGGACAGCTTATGGACGGTTCAAACCGCCCAAAGGCAGCTTCACCATTGGGTGGCATTCAGATCTCAAACGAGATGCTATTATTGTTGCTGGATTTGAAAAAGGACTTTGACAGGTAAGGCTTGCACCATTTACTTGTAAAAACTAGCGAAATATTTGGACTACATGCCTATTAATTGGCTGAATCTTTGTTCATAGTTTACCAAATACGAGGGAAGTAATCACTAGATCTACTGCGAATGTCTGGGTGGTTGGTCAGCGGATACATAAACGAGACGATGCTGGCGATAGCTCAGAGTTGCCACCACTTCAAGGAATGGACATCAATAGTGGTGCTAGCACTGAAACGGAAGATTCATTTGAACCATTGATGGAGAGAGAAGAGAAAGTAGCTCTATCCTGTACAGAATTATATCTCATTGCTGCAAAGAAAGACAGCACATTGGTAGATGTTAAAGGTAGGTTTGAAAAGACGTCATGATGTGATTATTTATTCCTCGGTTCTAAAAACTTCCCAATCGCAGACGATCTTGAAAAGCTGGCCCATCGTATGGCCGCCAGCATGTACATCGATTAATCTTCTCAATTATTGTACCATAGTATACCTAAGATTCACCAGTAGACAACGACCATTGTTAAATAAATATGAAACATTTCGGGCAGAGCGCGCCCCAATGCGCCAAAAAGCCTCGTTTATCATGTCAAAGAAGACATAGTAGTTGTTCACGATACCTGCATTGTTTGAAGACCTTAAGTCTCGTAAGTTTTGGTGTCGCCGGCATAACCTGAAATGCAAATGTAAGCTACGCACCATAAAGTATCACTTTTCTGGATATGGTCAGATAACGTCACTTTCTCGTCACCATAGATATATAATACCAGAGAGTTTTATGTATTATTGACATATCTTTTTATTCGACCATGTCTATAAAATGTAAGCAGAATGCATGGAGCCCTATGTTTGTGCTATTTATCGCGTACTAAGGCAAGATAACATTTTAGTGCGCAGCCATGGAGGGCGATATTTGAATTTAGACAAGAACAAAAAATTAAGCGTTGATACCGGCATCGACTTGGATCGCTCCACTGAAGACCTGAAAAAGAATGGCAGTTTATTCAAAGTGGATGATTTAGAAGCACTAAAAAGCGGTGGTAACAATCGCTCCCAGCTTTTAAACGAACATGGCGAACAAACCATCCTCGATGATAACGGAAAAGAGTACAAGATATTCCTCGAAAAGTTTGGTGACGAGCATCAGGTAAGATATTCATAGAATGTGTTGATAAATCTTAAGCATGGAAGTCACATTTCGCTGTTTAACAAAACTCAATAACAAAAAATGACGCTAATCAATTGCAGTGGGCACTGAAAGCATCTGGAGATGGTACTGAAAAGTATGTGGTTGTAGCATTACAAGGTCTTCGTTTGGAAGACGATATTGAACCTTTGGGCATATTCTCGATGATAACGCAATAAAGTAATGCACGTTCAACTGATAATTTGTGAACGCCATCGCTCTATCAGATGGAAATTTAAAAAAGCTATGCTGTTACATTATGGTGAATACTATCCTTATCCGGTATCAAATTGACACCAGGCTACTACCAAGACCAGCCGGCACATACTATGAGGCAAAGACAAAGTTGTTCCCAATTGTTTAACGGTTTGTGTTGTTCTCTAAAGAGTGGCTATCGGCTGCATTTAGAATACCAAGGCCATGAATAAAATTATACTCGAAGCTAAATTTTTAATTTTAATTCATCCTGACTTGTTCTTTGTGTGATCTAAACAACATAGAGCGTTTGCGCATCAGTATACGCCATTCGGAAACAAAAAAAAAAAATCATCAACAGGACCGTCATTTCAGCCATATTTCGCAACACGAAAACATTCAAAAGGCCCAACAACCAGAATCATCCTGCTTCGTCTATCTTCTACCACCAGCTCGCTCTTAAGATATGAAGAACTCTAGAATTTTCCTTGCATCAGTACTTGCTTTGAGCGCTACTATCACTGGTAAATGAATGCTTACCTAGATGAGAGACCTGCGAGTTCATTATTCTAAATCCTGTTTCAACAGTCAATGCCCAGGACATGAAGGCCTCCTCTGAGGAAATCACCACTGTCTGGCAAACCGTTGTCGAATACAAAACCGTTTCTGATGAAATGAGCGCAGTCCCAACCGCCGCCGGTACCGATCTTGCTGAAACCGCCAGCGCTATGGAGCCCGTTAAGACTGGTGCTCCTGAAGTCGTTGATGGCGATGCTGATACTGACGTTGATGAGGACGCTAGCGTCGAGACTGACGACGATGAGGCTGCACCTTTAACATCAAAGGCAGCTCCCAGCGCTTCAGCTGTTGAGCCAGAAGCTTCCGCCGCCCCTGTTGATGAAGCTGTCGAGAGCTCTGACGCCGAAGCTGTTCCTACTGCTTCAAAGTCTGCCGCCGCCGAGGTGTCACAGACCGCTGATATGGATGCTACTGAAGACGGAGACATGCCTTCTGCTTCCGCTGTCTCCACTGGTGCCGCTCCTGCCGCTACTCCTTCCGGAGCTGCCAGTGATGAAGCTCAGGAAGTCGTTCCTGGTTTCCCCGCTGCTCTTCTTCCAAATGCCAATGGCGATATTGAAGGCATCGCAGCCGAGTCTTCCATGGCTGCTCCTATTGTAGCAACAGCACTCCCCTCCCTCACTGCATTGGCTACCAACGGCGCTTCCATGAGCGCAAGTGCATCAGGCATGCGTCCTAGCATTTCTCTCAAGGATATGAGTGCATCCGCCGCTGGAAGCTCACCAACTGGTAATGTTCACAGCGCCGCTTCCAAAGTCACTTTCGCTGGTGTTAGCGTTGCCGCTTTCGCCTTCGCTGGTCTCTTGTTGTTGTAAACATACCAAAACAAATCGGTAGAAACTTGCTTTTCCAACCTTAGATATTCAAGAATTTAGATAATCAAAGAGTGTGAATAATAATAAATCTTTTCGTACATACACTATATGAGGAGTTGTTCGTTTTATAATGGTACATAGTTTTTATACATGGGATCTAATTTCCGTTGTCTATTGGTCACTGGCATACCAGTCTTTAATGCTTTCATAAATTGTCATACTGATGGCAGTCGATGGTATTCCCCAGCAGATGCGAGTAAGAAGCCCTCTTGTGAAAGCTCGACTGCCTCCTTGCCTCCACATGTCCTGTATTATATGCATCGGTCCTCGCTTATAAGATGTACCTTCTTCTGTAGATGATACTTGCCATCGTGTTTTGACAATATCCAGAGGCGTAGAGATCGTAATCCCAATAGCGCATGCGATACTGGAACATACCACGTAGGTCATGAAGGGTAATTGGGATACAAGTGTATCTGTGCTTTTGCCTGGAAGTTGCTGAGTGCCGTCAGCCACGTAAGCTTTGAGTTTTTCGTACACAGCAAAGTAGGTCATGGTATATGGGACAAAAACCGCCAGTCCCATAAGATAGCCTCGGTAGAACCCACTTAGACCTTCTTCTCGCCAAATTTTCGAAGCCAATGCGTTTGTGGAAACCGAACGTCTAGCTGTTTGCATTTGATTCTTCAATACTTCCATAGGCGTGAAAGCAAGGCCGGCGAAAACTTCAGCTACTAGGCCGCTAAGTAAATGGTTGGGGGTGTAGTCTCGACTAATCGAAGTATTTCTATCCAAGTACAGACTGCTGAAATCGTAGCACGACAAATAGATAGACAGTGCCGGGACAGAAAATACGAGAGCTACTGGAAGTCCTCGGTAAAGTGATGCCAAAGAGCTTGTTCGAATGATCTTTGCATATGTTTCTGGTAATGCTCGAAAGTGAATCGGCTCGTTGGCTACCTGTAAACGAGTCTTGATTGTGTCCACTGCAATCTTGTTAGCAAACAACTTTTTCGAAAGCAATTTCACTCCATAAGGAGAGAGCTGTCTTACGTGGATGGGTGCACACTCTGGCTACCACTGCAGCAGCACTTGAAGCTATCAAATGGTAGCCGTAAGAAGACATGTCAAAAGCAAACTAGTAGTCAAAAGCAAGTCCGCTCACCTCTTTTGAAGTCGACACTGGCATTATGTGCTTTTATTTATTTTTTTATAATAGAGTAAGATTGCATAACAAATAACTTAGATATCATAGCGCATACCGACTTCAACGAGCTTGTCGTTAGGTACACCAAATTCATGGCGACGAACTCCTCGGGTATTTTTGCGCACAGAATTGAAAACCTGCAGTAAGGAGCGTTTTGCAAAATTGGAAGTTGGTGCTCCAGCATATTCAATAGTGCTCATGAGGTAAGTGACCCGATTCTCTTTGGCAATATTAATGGCGTCTCTTTCAGCTGTACAGCCTTCTTGTTCCAACAACTCGCAAATACGGTTTACTACCATATCGCTAGGGCCGTTCTTGTCATCGCCTTGAAGCACGTCCTTGTATCCACGGCGGATGATCACACGATACATGTTAGGTACCTCAAGTCGGAATACAACCATTCTCTCGCCGTCGGGCACCTGTAGGTCGATGGTTATTAAAGGTATTACTCTACGTGATTTCCATTTTAGTTTGTTGACTTACGGTTGGCTGCGGCAGATTTCTGATATGAAGGAAGATTGCAATATCCGGAGACGCGGCAAAGGCGTCTGTAAAATGAGAGTACACGGGAGGGATACCAAAGCCCGCTGAATCAAAGATAACCGATAATCCTTTCAAGACCTCCAAGCGTTCTCCAGTCTTTGCAAGAGATAAAACAACGGACTCGTTACCGTCGTTATGGCGGATGACGTCTGCTTTGATGAGACCAGGCAAGTCCTTTGCTCTAGGCTCTTCATATTTCCATTGTTCCAGCTTTCCGGTGTGCCAGATAATCATGAACATAGCGATGACGGCAGCAATAACAATAGTAGTCCAAGCGCCTTGAGGAACTTTCAACAATGTCGCTGATAGGTAGGCAGCATCAATGAAAGCGAAGAACAAGAAGAACAGGATAGAGAAGATGATATTCCATTTCCAGACAATAATGCTCACAATGGTGACAAGGGTAGTTGTAATCAGGGTAACGAAGGTAACGCAAGCACCTAAAATGGACATATCAGTGTTAGAAGCAACCCATGGGTAACCTTGAACATTGCAAAGCTAATATACCATAAGCATTTCCTAAAACTGTTGTATTGGGGAAGGCAGCAGTAATGATAACGGTTCCGATCATTAAAAGCCAATTTGCAGTTGGAATATAGATCTGGCCGTGGAATCTTTCAGATGTATGCATGACCTTGAGCTGAGGAAAGTTGCTAAGTGACATAGCTTGACGCAAGATCGAGAAGCAACCAGAAATCATAGCTTGAGAAGCAACAATGGCGGCCAGGATGGCAATGATAAAAGCGAACCAGAAAGACTACGCAAAAAATAAGTTAGATTATCCTTCTTTACTTATTTTCAGGTATATAGTCACTTACTGAGGGAGGGACAGTCGCAAAGAATGGGTTGCTCCAAGCAGTACCGGTAGCATCATTGGAGATGTAAGCCGCCTGTCCAATGTAAGCAATAAGAAGACACTATTATGCGTAACGAGATACAACGAGTTAAGGAGATCAATCGATAGTTCTGCATCAGGCTGGGTGCTAACGAACTTACAGGGTATGCCAAAAAGGTCCAGGAAAGTTGTACAGCCGCGCGACTAAAGTGACCGAGATCGGCAAACAGAGCTTCAACACCAGTGAAAGCTAAGAGGATACCTCCCATCTTGACCCAACCGTCGCTACCATTACGAGCAAACCATGCGTAAATCCAGTAGGGTGAGAATGCAGACAGAACGGTGTAGTCCTGGGTGATAATATTGTACAGACCAACGCTGAAGTTGAATAGCAGCCATATTATGACAATAGGAGCGAACGAAGAGGCAATCTTGGTGGTTCCAAACGGTTGAATGCAGAACAGAATGATAAGGATGACTTCGGAGATACCTGTGATGGCAGACTGGGAGATGTCGGGCACTTTAAGATTCAATCCTTGGATGGCACCGAGGACTGATGAAGGGTGTATGTTATTTTCAGATGAAGACGTGGTCAAGTACGTTTACTGCTATGTAAACTTACCAGATTGTGCGGGAGTCAGTACACCGTCAGCCATTACCATGCTTACACCAACAATAGACAGAACAGAAATTAGGTGTCGCAAGAAATTAGACTGCTCCAACTTTGCACGGAAACCGCGAGAAAAGTATCGCATATCTTCTGTATGGTATCTTTGCATACCCAGGTTGACTGCACTTTGAGGGTTCTTCCAACTGATATTAGCCTTCAAAAGTGTGGTGTTCAAATTAGCGGTTTGAATAGAAGGTGAAGTAGTATAATATAGAAGTGATCACGTACATAGCGAGATAAAAGAGTGAATAAAGCAAATGTTCCTCCTTCACCGTTATCATCGGCTCTCAAGACGAAACCAACATATTTGACAGTGACAACCAGTGTCAGAGTCCAGATAATCATGGAAAGTGCACCAAGAAGATCGGCCCTTTCCGGTGTAGAAGAAAAGGTTGAGCTGTAAACATACAATGGACTTGTGCCAATGTCGCCATAAATCACACCGACGGATTGATAGGCTAAGAAGAGTACAGCGAGTTTACTATATTTCTAGTGAAATAAGAATGGTTAATGATTGTCTCAATGGAATATTTCGGTAACAAAGGGAGCTCAACCTACAGGACGTTCTGGAATATCACTTGCTAAGAGCCACTCCTTGGATCCTTGATTTTGTATTGTTGAATATACTGCCAGTGATGGAGTATCACCTTGTTCTACGCTCTCAACATTGAAATTCAATTTCTCTTTAACAGTTGAAGAGGTATTTGATTCAGACATTACTGGTGGATCAAGTATTCTTCTACTTGCCCACGATCATACTTTATATCCCACTACATTTCCAAAAAAAAATAGCCACCATCTTCCCTTATCTCTGAGATTACCCTTATCAAGAATGCAAGCGACAGCCAGAGAGGCTCTGCACACACTACAAAAAAAGTCAAAGGATTACTACTACTGGGGGAATAGCAATATTCGCTCAGGCAATGAGATAGCCAAATTGTCTCATGAACGGAACCTGAAAGCCAGCTATTTACCGATTGGGATACAGCTTCAGCGAAATTCGCGCAAAGAAAATGGTATGCTTGGTTTACTTGATTGGCTGCCGATCTTGGCAATATGTACCACCATGCTTTGCAAGGCGGTTAATATTCCATACAGCGCCTAATAAATAAAATATATATGTCATTAAAGAGATGTAGTAGCGTGGTAGTGAAAAACAAGGGTGGCAGCGGTTGTCAGGCGGGTTATAACGGGGGCTATCAAAAGCTAGCTACACATTTCGCAGTAAACTTCAAAATATTATGAAGCAATCTTTATTTCATAAATAATATAAGGTATGGAAGATATAATAAGTAGATCACATTCATCAGGTTTTCAAATACAAAGAGCCTAATTATTACTAGGTCGGTACACAGCTTTAAATGTCAGCCAGAGAGCAACAAAGCCTTCATCAGTTCTGCTTTCGTCCAGTCTTTGCGTTGCCCTCATGTCAATATGTGTAAATCCCGCGTCCTCCAACACAGTCGTAAGATCATCGGCACTTTCAAAATGCTTGATGTCGCCCTGAAGTAAGCGCTGGTATTGAGCGGTACGATTGCCACCAACATGAGCACCAACGAACCAGCCGCCTGGTTTCATCAGTAGCGCAGCGCGACGGATGAAGTTTCTAATTTGCTCACCATCAAACAAATGAAGTACACTTCCTGCATTGAGGTAGGTGATTTGGTGCTTATATTGGTCAAGTGGTGCGGTTTCGATGTCATCGGAAGGTGACAGGAAATGATCGTCAAAGATGTTGCCAGATATAAATTTAACGTCCAACGTATCTTTGTCTTTAAACAGATCATATCCAATATCAATAAAATGGCGGTAGAGATCAACTCCAACAATAGATGTTCCAGGGTACCCGTCCAGTATCAGTTGACGGATGTCAGTGCCTGTATGATCAAACAGTGAGAAAATTAAAATGCCGACTTTGATTTGCTGATTGCGAGAATTCGTCTCCTTACCTAGACAGCATCCTATGTCCATAAGGGTTGGGTTTTCGCCATTTTGTGCTCTCTTTTGACGGTCTTCCAAAATGTCTTGGTAGTAGAAACGTGGTGCCAGTCGTGGTGCGGTGAACTTGTATTCACGCAGACACCTGTATGTCCTTTCACTCTACCATAAGGTATTAGTCGTTTACGTTCACTAAATGAAAGGTACAAAGCATGCGCGCGGAAAAACAATATAGAAAAAAGTAGAAGGCGTGTACCTACAGTTTTAAGCTTTTTAGTTGTCTCCAGGATATGACGACGGATCTGATCAACGTCGTTTATTCCAAGATACTGGCTGAAAAGAGCGAGGGCTCCATTGTCAACTTTGAAATCGGGATCAAATTCTGTCATGTGTGGGATTAAGAGTTGTAAGCAGTGTAAGCGGGTGAAACTTCTCAGTTTTTAAAGTTGATGGAAGTGGATTTCGTAAAAGTTTGCCCGTCCTCGCGTAAAAGTTAACCCCCCGTGGCGATCTGCAGCACTCAGATGCCCAGGAGCTCGGTTTTGGACAAACGCAAATAGGTGATATCAGTGATGGAGCTATTATTCGCTTTCATTATATCAGCGTACTTGCCAGCTATATAAAACGTAACCATTGTTCAACTCACAATTGAAAGCAAACATTTCAGCGTCATGACCCATGGCCGAAAATTCACATCCATAGTTCCACTTGAGCTTGATCACGCAATGGTAAACATAACGAGCCAAATCTGTACCACCTTTGCTACAACCATTAGGCGACGCCATCGACTGAGGCCCGAGGAGACTGATTATCTGGCCGAAGAGTTCCAGTACAACCCTAAACCAACCCGGCGAAAGATTCAAGAAATTGCCTCCGATCTCGATGTTAGTGAGCGCACTGTCCAGATATGGTTTCAGAACAGAAGAGCAAAGTTGAAACGAACGCAGAAAGAATCAACGGAAAGAATTCCACTTACGTCCGCAGATGCCTTGTGCGGTACAGTATTGCACGAAAACAAGTATAACCTCCGAGCGGCTCATGAATTTCCCGAGTGGATACAATTACGAACCGTTCGATGTCTACCAAGGAGCGATTGTAATGAAGACGACTCTTCGGTAGACCCCGATGCTCATGCTGATGATGGACAAGAGATTAATAAGCTACGGTATATCTCTGGAACCGACACAGCATTGCACGACACTACGCCTCTTTTCCGATCGTGCGAACCGCAAGAGAGTGATCGCCCAGAGTCATAAACGCGATGCTGAGAGCCTTTTGCGATAATATTAATATAAAGGTGTCACCAAAATCGAGACATGAGATTAACGAACCCGGTTTACGACGATAGCACATCAAGCTCCATAACTTATATCATTAGATATATTCTCCACCATTGCAATTCACATTGATCTAGTCAACATTTGCACAATGCTATCCCAGAGTATCGTACGCAACAAACAAAATAAAAAGAAAGATGTTTGTTTGTAATCACATTTATGACTTTTTTTTTTTTTATATAACATCAATTATTTAGAGGCAAAATGTGGTTACACGACCGTCAAAGGAGATTCTACCGGACTACCTTCCGTCAGTTGTGTGCTTGTACTTAAAGCAGCACTGATTTCCTGAAATGATTTGGTTCTGGAAAGCTTTGACATATGCTTAACATTGAAACCTTCAGCTAGCCCGGCACCAAGACTTGTGGTTCTGGTTCGCGGTTTGCGGCCAGAGGCAGGTACCATTGGTTGTGCAAGCGGGTGCGCTGGAGTTTGATTTGACTGCATTGGCGCTTGATCTGACTGTACTGGTGACAAATCAGTTGGCGACATGGGGGCAAATCGCCCGAGAGCTGAAGGTTCTAGCTTGACTGCGCGCCTCTTTTCAAATATTTCAAATACATCATCGTCAGAGTCCATGTCTGGTTGATCTCCTCTCCAATTAAAAATGGTACTATCATCAAGCCATTCCATGTGATGATTCTGCAATGTATCGACAAACGGCTTGGGGGGTTGTTTCTTTTCTGGCACACGACTTCGCTGTTTTACTGACGATATGTCAAGCGACACCGTTGATCCTTGACTTTGTACATAGTCGGTAATATCTTTGCTCAGAACCACACGCATCTCTTTGATTCGCTTGGAGGCATTTGGATCAGTAATAGCCAAAAATAGTGGCTTGATGGATCTAGTGGTAGTCCAATATCAGCGTCAGATAAGGTCATGCATGACAACCAATGAAATATAGTTTAATTCTCACCTGTACGTTGCTATTCCTGTCTCTCCGCAACGCATCAGTGAATAGTTCAGAATGGGTTGGATGGCCCAACTGATAAGTGCTCTTATCGTTCGGCGTCGACGGGACATGGCAGGGTAGTGTTTTCCAAGGTGTACGAAATAAAGCAATGAATATGCAGCATATAACGTAGGTGTAGCGAAGCATGCTACAATGATTTTCCAGGTGGCAACCACATCCTTTCCCAATATTTTGACACTCGATCCTGCGAGGGCACTCTTTTGTTTTCTGTGACTGATATATTTGCAGAGAGCTATAATCGGCAAGTTTAAGATTGCTCTATATATGTGATCATTAGTAACGAATCATGGGGCTCAAATGACATAGAATAGAATACGTACGAAGGAATGGCCAAAACGGCGAAAGAGAACAGCTTGAATACTCGAGTCACCAATAGCTTTGTAGCTTGCAAAGGTGTGAGATTTAGTCTCTCGACTTGATGATCGCGAATGCCGAATTGAAGCAGCGTCTGATTATAATCTCTGACTTGCTGCAGTAGTTTTTGTAGTTCTGGCTTGTCTTTGTAGTCCGAGAAGCCATTCATAAAGCGTCGGTTCAAATCAACCACTTGAGAGATACTCAATTTGTGATGAACCGGGCGATAGAGCCTTCGTGCCGCTTGAATTACCTATAAATGATCCACATCAACACACACCGCCGAAACTATACTTCATCATCAAAAATGCCTATCTTACCCGCAAGGTTTCATAATCCGGCGAGTTCACAGTGACAGTCCTCAAAGCCTCTTGTCCAACTTTAATCAGGTTAGATATAGCCTCATGCTTTTGAATACCACCAGCTTTGTATTTCTCTACTTCAGATCGAGGTATAGTGATCGGCACACCGTAGGAAATGACGGCTCTGGATCGGAACTGGTCGGGGTGGAAGTAATTCAAGCCTGTTGATATAGTCGTTAGTCATCCAGTGCAAACTTTGGACACCACTACACGCTATACCGTCCTCACCAACTGGTATAATTTTCACATCAATATCCGGATCATTAGCCATAGCACCTAAACCCATTATGGCGAATCCCGCTATATCATGAAAGTAGTTTAGAGCATAATCTACCATTTTGCCTAGCGATAAGCCCATAACTTACCTTTCAGCGGTAACAACTCGGTTCTATCATGGCTACCTCCCTCCGGGAAAATGGTGATGCACTCTCCATCACTAAGCTTTTGGTTTACTCTTTCGTATAGCGCCTTTTGATCGACATATGGCATGATCTTGTATCGAATGCCTCCTCCATCCTTCAGCGCCATCAATGTTGGCTGGTCGTCCACTTTTTGCCGTATGCGAATAGCAGTATCTGAAACCACCTCCACTACCTCCAGCTTGATCGTTTTGGATAAAATTAAAAAGTATCGTGGTGCAAGCTGTTTTGTGAACAATGTAAAGTTGCCCCGCACCAACGTTGGATCAAATGAATCTAAAAAGATTGTACCCTTGCCAGTATATACGAGATCCTGCGGTCGAATGACAGGAACTAATCAAGTTCAATGGATCGTTAATTTCTTAAAATGATGCTTGCGTATGCTGATAGTAGCTAAACTTACTTGAACGTTGCAGTTTCGCTACTGTGCCAACCATTTTCAGGTCGTAAGATTTTTGCGCCACTAAGCTATAGTATCGTCGTGGATTGCTGGCACTGACTAACATTGGATCGACAAACTTGGAAAACGGTTGAATAATGTGAGTCGTACATGAAGGTAAATTTTATAGTGGTATGATTTGGTTTTACCTGATTGGCATGTGGGGCAACAATGAATATGCATGGGCCATAGGAAGGCACCAAATGAGTGCCATTGGTTTCGATCTCTCGGAAAAAGGTCTTCAATATTCCCAAAAAAGCCAAACGCATTGCATCGTGGACAATAGCATGCTTTGCTCTGTCGGACAGTATGTGCTTGTCTGCAGCTGTTTGCATGATCAACGTTGAGCCTAAGGAAAGCCTGGGGTCAAATTACATTTTATACTTTGAATGTCCGACGAAACTGCCTTTTGGGCAAAATTTGGGAAAAAAAAATTAAGGAGCAGAGGCGAAAGAGGAAGAGTATGTAAGCTGAAGACAACCTTCTAAAGACCTATTTACACGCATCCTTTAGATTTTCTGTTTGGCATTTGGTCGAACGTTTCTTCTACCTTCCTGGCTTATTTCATGTTTTCACATGTCAATGAGTCTTATCCAATGCGCTATTCATGGCATGTGCAAGCACAAAGAGACTTATGAACAAGCGCTCCTTGCTGTCAACGCACTTTACTCTAAAATTATGAATATTGTAAAACTGACGGATAACAGATCAAAAAACGTTTTCTGTGAGGTATCAAGCCGTATTGAACAAATTCAGACAGGTCACTAAATACCGCTGGTCAAACTGGGAGCTTTTTACGTGGAGAAGTTTAACAAGCCGTCAGTATTTAAAGCTAACGTCGCCTCAGACAACCTTACTTGGATTTACAAATAGTCATCTCAGCGGTAAAGCGTTCATCCAGGTACTGGTGAAACATCACAGATGCTCATCGTTTCCTATCGCTGGCCTGTTTGTGAGCAACATCCAAAGCTGGATCTAAAAAATCCCCCCAAATTCCGATCTAACGCATTTTAATGTTGCCTTTCATACTATGTTCAAACCTTCCAATCAAAAATGACTGGCAATTCTGCTGCTTGACCAACCGCGCGGTAGAAGTTCTTACATACCCGGGTTTGCTCTTCCGAAGATATCAAGGTGGAACACAACAAACATTGTGAAGAATAGGCAGTTCATGTATGAAGATCCTATTACTGCCTATCGCACGCGATGTCGCAGGTGCTCTATCAGCGTAGAAGAAATTGATTTTAGTATAGCGGTGGTCGGCTTGAATTTACTGGTTGCGTGACTTAGCCCAATTGGGTGAATTTTTTTTCTAGAAGGGATGCTTTTTGAACATTCCCCGCACTATAAAACTTGAAGGGTACAACTTTATGCTTCTTCCATGTCAAAGAAGTAGGTTTGAATTCTATACTTTTCCTTTTTGCCTTCACGCACGGATTTCTCACTTTACCGACATAATAAAGTACAGAAAAATATGCCGAAGAATAGCAAACAAAGATCATAGAGAGAGGTCGGGTGATTGGTCTTGGGCCGCCGTACATGGATCTGATGAACTACTGGAATCCTCCACAACAACTGCCCTGTTTGGGGAAGTGGGTTGTTTACCAGTTACCAATTCAGTCACCGGAGTGTGCCCGACATTGATGAAGCCCATGACGACAAATGAGTGGGGAGCGCTTCTAAATATGGGCAATGGTCATCTCATCAAAGGTAGGCCAGGCGAGAAAAATAGAGGATACAGCGACAGTGAGTAAAGCAGTAACATATCCACAACATAAACTTTGGGAGGTGCGGAAAAGAAAAACAATGCAACAGCGGCAATCGACGCTTATGGACCGTATACTCGTGACTATAATATTGGGTTGGTTCATCGTCATCGTTCAGGGAGTTTCCACGCATCTTCTTTTTCTCTTCTTCTCACTTTCACTTGCATATACTCTTCCTCATGTCCACTCGAATATCAACCGACTACCATCGTTATCATCATGACTCACAAAATAGAACCGTGCGACGCTCCAGTACCACGTCTCATAAACGCATGCTGGGACCTGACCACTCAGTTTCCAACTCCTCCCGTAGAATCCATTCATTGCAACAACCACGCACTAGCAACAAATTTCAGGAACAAGACATCGCATATGGTTCGCCAAGGCAACAGCATTATTATACAGATACAGCATTGACAAGCTTACAACCAAGAGACACAAATATACAGACTCGGCCACGACTACGCCGACTTTCAACTCCAGACTTGACTGATACACTGACGAATAGTCGCAGTGATAGTGACAGCGAATTGAACAGTCCAACTTATCGTCAGAATAGTCGAAGTTCACCACAGCTGTCCATACCCGGAGCGTGGCCAGCTTCCCCCATAACATACACCGAAGAACCTGGCGAGATCACTGTCGATGGGTTGAGCGATGAATTTGATTATGTTATATTGAGAGTTCCAGCAAAGTCTAGAGCATCTAGTATAGCTAGTTTTTCTTCGTCAGCCAGAAGATCGATGGACAGTTCAAGAAGAGGAAGCATTGAAGAAGACGTGACAGAGAGGAGTGTTTCTCGACTATCCACACCCGAAGCCACTCACCTCGTACAATCCATTAAGGCACTTAAAACTCCGGTGCCTGATCAGACCAGGCAGTTCGCCATGTATTCGCCTGACCGCTCTACGAGCTGGAGAGTGGATGATATGGGGAAATACGAATATTTAGTTCTTAGATCGTCTTCACAAATGTCTACCGGAAGACTTCGCATGTCTTCTGAAGAGAGTGATAAAATTGCCTATGAGTCTGATCAGAATGAAGAAGTTGAGAGTCTCAATATTGCTAATCCAGGTTTTCCTCTTGACGATATTGCTGATCAATGGCATGATCCTCCTCAAAGTTTTTCAACCTACCATCGCTCTTCATCGTATACCGAAATTACTGCATCCTTATTTGCCTACAAACCCGAAGAAATCAGAGGAGCGAGTCCGTATCAAGTCAAAAACGCAAGCACGACCGTATTGGAAGTACCACACCGACCACGTTCTCGTTCCTTATCAGAACTGCGCCCACATCCGACGCTGTCTGCCAGCGAGCCTAGTCACTTGGATCAGATACCGCGCGTCCCTGAGCATCGCACCAGCATGCCACCTACATTGAAAAGGTCATCTTCATCAGGATCTCAAAAGCTCGCACGCCTCCTTTCAACTGTGAGTAGACGTAGTCTTCAGACCTTAAAGATGTCGTCGGCGACCGAAATTGGGAACCAGATGGAACAAGTTTGGGAGAGAAGGATGGAGCAAGCAGCTTCCACCCCACCTCAAACTGGTCTTACTCGAAAATATACTTTGAGTCGACCGTCGTTTTGGGATCCTAACCATCATGTACAGGACGCAGCCATCCAGCATTCACCAAAGCCTTCGATAGGATTCAAGATCCTCTCAATATTTCGACCTAGGAAAATGCGGGTTCGAAGTCTCATGAGACAACAGCATTTATTGGAAAGAGGATGGGCTGTTGAGCGTGCCCGGTCACCATGCATTGCATACATGCAGGACATGGGAATTCATATGGGACGACTGAATCCTTTCGCCATCATCAAGTATGTATCACATGAATTCTCAATCAAACTGGCAAATAGTACTAACCATCTACTCTTCTAGTAACACATGGGAGAAAGGAGAGCCTGGAAGTCATTTGAGCTTTAGAGAATCCGACTTTAATCAGATAGATACGTACGCACGAAGTGTTCGTCAGAATGGAACAGCCGTGACACCAGAACAACTCGCAACAAAATATATCGTCCGTCCGTATAGGCGAGATATTCAAAAAGTTCGCGCCATCTTTATGTGGATTATTGAAAACATTCGCATGGGCGCACCTCAGGACGGAGCGTCTAGTAACGGAAGCAAATCACAAGGATCTGACAATGAAAACGATGGATCCATCGGAGGCTTTGGCACTTCAACACACGCTGAACAAGTCGAGAAAGATTGGGTCGAAACCGCAGAAGTGGTGTTGTCAAAACGTTGGTGTCGAACTGGCGTTGGATTTGCACGGCTCTTTTGTGAAATGGCCGTTGCAGCGGGCTTAGATGACACTAAAGTTGTCTATGGCTATCTTCGCGTACCAAAAGACAACATTGACATTGCCACTCGTAGTAACGGAAAGATCAAGATAAATCATGCCTGGTGCGCTGGTAAGTCATTTGATATATTGAAAATAGGAGGTTAATCATGTAAAATTTTTTGTTTTTTAACCTGTCTCTGTACTTGTTGTTCTGGTCATGGCTTTGCAGTTAAAATCGATGGTACCTACCGACTGATTGATTGTTACTTGGCGTCACCATTCCTTCCAAGCAACAAAGGGTTTGTTGAGTCTCATTGGTTCTTAGCCAGACCACTGACCATGATATATACGCACTTTCCAGCGTCGTTTCAAGACCAGTTCCTCGATCCTCCTGTCACTTCAGCCGTCTTTTTCGCTTTACCACATGTTCGAACCCCATTCTTTAAGCATCATCTACAAGTGTTGGATTACGAGTTTACCTACTTGGATCTTGTCGACGATGATGGTAAGTTGGAAGTCTACTTCATTACATGCGCCTTCAATTATCCGTATTGACGTACAATACTTTCACTCATTAGTTCTGCATATGACGCTCTGGATGGACGATGCCACCGGCTGCTACGCTGAAGTAGAATGTAGATTGCAAAAAACTGGAAGTACAACATCAGCCATCATCATCAAGAGAGCTTTAGCTCAATTCATCATGGATGGCCATCAACGTGTTTGCAAGGTAAAGTATACTTGCGTCTTATTATATTTACCCGTCATGCTCTAACCTTTTCAACAACATCATTGTAGATTAAGGCTGTACTTCCATCGGATATGCGGGTGGGCTGGCTAAAGATCTATGCTGGACCCAAAATCTGGCCAGATGTGAGTAATTTCGCCATTTTCTGTAAAGTTCTTCAGTACAACATCGACTCGCCATCTCGATATTGACTTCTTTTAAATTACAGTCCCAGACAGCCAACTCTGCATTCAATCCTTATCCTCTGGCCATGGTTTATCGAATAACCCACAGTGGTCGACCACCGCAGGTGTTTGACTTTGTGAAATCACACCTGAGTGTATATGACTTCTATGTCCATGAGCCGCAATGTTACGTCCTGTACCCTATGCAAATGTATACCTTTCGTATCCTCAGCATGGTCAACAGGCACCAGAAGTTAGCGGTCAAGAGCCCCACTGGGCGTTTGAACAGACTCGTCTATTTTCCCCAGGACAAGAGTTATACTGGGTCCATGATTGTAGGTGAAGTTGGAATCTGGCACTTGGTATGTCTGCAGGAGTCTGGTAGTTGGAACAATGTCATCGCCAGCTGGGAATGTCGTTCCTGAACAACGATCGTATCATACGATTTTAACATGAAGTGTTGTACATAACTGTTTGGTCGGGTACCAATATCAGCAATATTGAAGTTATTGCTTTCCCATGTTACATGTAATTAAATTACAAATAAAAAATATAACTTTCAATTCACACTTTTTTTTTTTTTTTTTTTATAAAAGAAAAAATAACGTTGCTACTTGTAACATTCAATTTATAAGTTTTATCTGGGGTTTATAATACATGGTACGAGGGGGACTATT